TTCCCTGTCGGTGGACCCGGTGGACCCTGGGGCGGTCCTTGGTCTTGATCCATAGCATCAGCCATTGTGCCGATACTGATCTCTGATCCTGGTTCTTCTATTTCTAGGTTCTAGCTTGTTTCGGCCGATTTCCGAAGTTGGCAGCATGAGCGAGCGTCTTTCAGAAAAGGAATGAGCAATTCAAATTGTCATGGGCCCAAACCACGAAGGATTTGGTAAGCTGGTAACGCTGTTGAATTGCTAAAGAGAGAAGGAGAAGATCTCTCTCACTGCGATCTGCTATTTACATCTGTGGGCAAACGGTCTACCCATCCCTTCTGCCTTAGGCCGCAAGGCCACAACACACAGACTGGGCAAAGCCCAAGACTGTCACATGGCCCAGGGGTAGGGGGCAGTGAAAGGAATGTTAGGTGGCAGTAGAAACCAACAGGGGCATCTTGCGACACTTAGGCTCTCAGCCTGTGCCAACCATGGGCCATGCCCATAACAGGTTTCGTATCTTGTCCTTCTGGGTGTTATGGGTTGAAACCCTTGGTTGGCTCAGGCTGAGAGCCTAAGCCTGATTAGGTTAAGGGTAAATCAGAGTCCAACCTCTCCGATGTAAACAAGAAAGCTTCCCTTTCTTGTTCTCTTCTTTAGCTTAATCTAGAATATCTTTGGCTACGTGTATGTTGTGTGCATCCAGCTACCGTGCCGTAACACTGGGGTGCAAGTAACTCGCTCCAACGCTCGTATTGTGAAAACTGAAAACTAGAAACATCATCAGTAAAATCTAGTCCGACCCCACTGGGCTGCCTCCAGATCTCCGACCTCAAACCGAGTGTCTTTGAGCTCGAATGATTCCCGCTTCTGAATAATCAGTTTCCGGTCACTCGCCGCGGCAGGGTCAGCGTTCCCAGCCTTTAATGTCGAAGATTGTTTCGAGCTATCTGCTGCCGACAATCCAGTTACGTCGCGGCCGGTTCCGGCTTTTTTGATGCTATGGATCTTGGACTGAATGAAACTGAGCGGTGGGCCGAAGATCGGCGCAAACAGAGGCCGGAGGGTTGGTATGCATGCACAGATCTGTGAAAATAATGAGTAGAAGTATATGGCGTTTCAAGGAGGCACTTACCACAGAAAGGTTGTTCTCTACCGCGCTAGAAACGAACGCAGGAAACTGTTCCCATGTGTAATCGTAGCTCGGCTCGTAGTAGACTCTCCAGCTGTAGTATGTCCGTAGAGCGCCAGCAGCCGTGACAACATAACCCAATCCCAGTAGAAATGCTAGTCCATATTTCTGAGCCTTGTTCATATTCATCTTTAGTATCAGAGGGATTGGCAAAGTTGTGACAAGAAGGTCGACGAATGTCTTGAGACTGCCTCCAACGATAGTCCAAACGCCTTCATCGATACATTTAGCGGTCTCGGGCTTTATTATTGCCCAGGCTGCTTGAACAGGTCTTTTCGTTGATTAGCAGGATCTCTCATTACAGACGCATAAAACGTACATGCATATCAGGACCTGGGCCATGAAGAAGATAAACCAAGTGATCAGGTTGAATGCAAAGACGCTCCAAAGTGCGTAGCTGAACCATCGGATATTCGCCTGATCAATAAGACGATAATAGAAGACGAGTAGGGACAGCGCTGTCGCATTGGCAGAGAGATTAAAGAACAGCCTTGTCGCATACGCGGTTTTCAGTGAAGCTAAATCCCGGTAAAGGTTAGTACTGGATGGTAGGCATGACGTGATGTCTCTTACGTATCGCCCAATCCAATGGTATATCCCATATATGACGACCCCATCCATACTTTGAACTGCCAATGTACGTACCAACGTTGACTCCTATGCTCAGAATCTGATATTAATGCGGGTTAGTCGCGGGTTTACTGGTTCTCAAACGGCAGGAATATGGGAAACAGTGCTCTATACCAATGCAATGGCAATAAAAACATCATCTAATCCAAACCAGCGGACGATCCAAATGCGTGTATAGAGTCTAAGAGCAACTAAAATAATACAAAGCGCAAGAAAGGTGTGGTTAACAGCTGCCAACGTCAGTCCGCGTGTCTCAGGATTGACATAGTTTGGTGTCGGCCAGGATAGAATGACTTCTGGGGTAAGGTTTATCATGTTCTCGATTGGATTCCAGAATAATAGAACAGCAACAATATATTTGAGTAGAGAAGACTAGATCAGCAAGACATTGAGTCCACATACGAGACATGGTGCTCCTTGTTATACAAAAATTCTGGGGAAAGATGTAATGATTGCGACGTGTTCGTCACCCACATATTTGTGGCGTAAACTTCAGGAGAACGCGGGGAAATGGAAAAGCTTAATAATAACATAAAACCGCTGCAAGCTAGTTAGCGGGAAGGAAAAGTAGAGAGTAGCTTAGATTTAGAATTTTTTCGTAGACGGATAAGTCGCTTTCTGAAGCAACGCGGATGGTGATTAGACGAAAGGGGAGCCGCTAGGAGCGGACTTTGAGGCTAATAATGGTGTGTCGGACCGGAACTCCGAAGTGCGAACTCTTTTCCACAGTCGGACGCACACTTTGGGCCGTGTCCCACTGCTTTTCAGGCCTGTCGTGTAACCCATCAGGATAGGAATAGTGGGTGTAATTACGAATACTTTCGTAGAGCTCTAACTCCATGGTTGGTTGGTTGCGACTCCACACTCGCTAGAGCTTGAACAACGAGACGGTCGGGAATTGCAACTGAAGCTGTCAAGTATTGTTCGCTAATGGAGGGTTTCTGCCAGCAATTATGGAGAACCTGGAAATTGCACCTCGCAGCGAAAATTTCCTGAGTCAGCAAGGGTTTACTAGCCGTTTAGGCTTAAGGCGTCTTGGCGACAGAACTTACTTTTTATCACGAGCGTAGCGAGTTACTTAAGTGGTCGAGTATGTTATGGGCATGGCCCATGGTTAGCATTAGGGATGTGTAAAATGGGTATTATGAGCATGTTACTGTAACATAGCCTCCAGTAATGAAAAGTAGCCAATTTTATCGTAAAATACGTATTATGCGCTAAACCTAGTACGGCCTAGGGTTTATCGGAAAAAAGATCTTCCACCGCCGGCTGAACTCAAAGCCGCAACAGGCCAGTTGCGCTAAGATCTTATACAATTTGTATGTAAAGTGGGCCCGGTAAGGTAGAATCTATTTTACGCCAAGACCCGTAATTACCGGCAAATCTATTTTACAACATCTTACATTACACACCCCTATTACTTAGCATAGGCTGAGAGCCTAAGCCTAATCAAGATTCCTCTGTCACACATCAGCAAACTATTTTTCATTTCAAGGCCTAATTGGATGTCGTGGATGCCAGCGGATGCCAGGATGCCCTGTGTCTATGTCCCTGTTTGGATGCTGCGGATGCTCCATACAAAAACTGGATGCTGTGGATACATTGAATGAAATCAAGCCATCTATTTCAATTAATGCCTTCATAGACATCTAAAGCATCTGCAATCGTCGCAAGATCTGGTGCAGTCGCAAGATTTGATGCAGTCGTAAGATCTAGTGCAGTCGCAAGATCTAGTGCAGTCGCAAGATCTGGTGCAGTCGTAAGATCTGGTGTGATTGCACGATCTGGTGCAGTCGTAAAATCTGGTATGGTTATAAGATCTGGTGAGGTCGCAAGATCTGGTACAAATAGCATTCAATTATACTACATATCTAATCCTAGCGCCTGTCCATACCTCCGTCTATAGCTATCCAATCCATCCTCCATGTAACTACCTATACCTCCGGCTCTAGAGGAAAGTCGGCAACGGGGTTACAGAACCGGATTAAGCACCGGGATGAAGCCTGGTCTCCGCTACTCAACTCCATGTAGCGCTCTACAATTTTTTTGGAATTCATCCTTATCACCTAGTGGCTTCTGGTCGGTTGGGTTGATTCCAGGTAGGCCCCAGTAGAAGAAAGAAGGGTACCTCTCATCTAACGTAGGAATCTTAAGTCGTTGTCGTAGGTCGGATGTAGCAGATTCTAACTTCTTGAAACCACTTCTGTCCATGCTTACACTCAACTTAGTGGCTCCTATGCCGTCCAGATCTAATGTAACTGGCGGAGGCTTCTGATTTCCATTGGGCGCCTTTGACCAGTATTCGATTGCCCGTAGCGATGTAAGAAAGTAGACGGTAAAAGTCTGGACGTTGCATGTTTCGGAGGTCGTATCGGTCTTGGGGCGACAGGAGCGTTGAGGACGGGTAGGAGGTGGTTGCTATACAAAGGTGAGAAATTATTAGCTGTTAATTCAGAGAAAGCAGTATAGGATAGTAGGTTTCAACTTACCGCGCGCGGTTTCTTCGTTGACTTCTTCTTTTTGTCGCCTTTACCAGCAAGAGGAGGCTCGAGGGTTACCGGCGGTGGACTGGATCGGATGGAAGAGAGGGCTTCGCTTATATCTAATGGTTTCGGGGATAATTCTCTACTAGTCCGGTTTCCATCTTGCCGCTCACTATGCTCATCATCTTGCTGCTCACCCTCATCAGCACCAGGCTCATCCTCATTATGTCTACTAGGCACGTCCCCCTCCCTTGTTAGGGGGGGGAAAGCGACGTAGTTCCATCCAGGGTGGCTATTTAGGCAAATACAAGCCATTCCGGCTTTGTCCCCACTTTTGAGTGGTTCGGGCTGGCTCGTTTCCACCTTGTATCTCTTCATACAAAATCGCATATCAGAAACCAAGAAGTTATGGTAGGCTAGAGGTGAAGAAAGTTTGGCTCGTACCGGCTTGCAGGCCGAGTCAACTATAAGCCGTTAATTCAGGGTCCAAATACAGTTTACACAGGCCGACCCGGCTTAAATAGCCACCTGGTTCCATCCTAGGTTTTGCAAGCATTGCTGATAACGGATAGACCAAGGGGACTTACACTCCGGGTTAGAGTACCAGGCCTGTGGCCTGTTCCCTGAATGATAGTCTAGTCACTCACGTGACTAAGTCAACTGTCGAAGTCTTGGACATCGCGCACGCGTCGTAGATAGCTCTTCTTCTTTAGCTTTGCAATAAATGAAAGTGGTTCTCGTAACTTCTGCGATCAAACCGTCTTAATTTGCAAAGCTCAACATTAGATCGTCCTGCGAAGTTCTCTACCGCGGAGCAGACGACTACTATAACCGCCATAGACACGCAGTCGTTGGGCGAAAGGACCAACGAGCTAGAAAGACACGGATCTCCAGATGGAGGGACACTTAACACCAGAGCAAGTTAGCGCTATACGAGCACAGCACCCGGGAGCCAATGACATGGAAATCATGACGCGTCTGCTCACGACACTGGGGAACACATAGACACAGAACAGCGAGCTACAACCGCAATTAAACAGACAAGCCCAGCAACTCCAGGCTATGGACGCCAAGTTAGCCGGATATAGCGAACAGAACCACGTCGGAGGAAGTGGTAAGACGGATACCATATCCTATTGCTTCCGTGATTAATCGACACGCGAAAACGTTCAACACAACTTGACCCGATCATCCAACTCACAACCCAGACATACTGAACAAATCTTATGGTCTCGGACCGTTCTCTTAACTTCTCCTGGAGCACACCCGTGACTGAAGCAATGAATGATACCCCCAGGGCAATGCTTGTTCAAAGACTATTGCAACCGCTTGAACCATAAAAATTCCCATGGCTCCACGCAATATATATCCGAATGGCATATTGGTCCCCATAGCAACGGACTGAATGGTATGACCTATCCCAGAGATGAAGAATCCGACCGATAGGTGGATCAAATATGCTGCATAGCTACATCGGGTGATACCAGGAAGGCGATCAGAGCACGGCTATACCCAAGCAATGACTGAATCATGTCAGTAACATTCGATATCAAATAGGGGACCATACTTGATGTAGGATTTGTTGCCAAAAAGAACACCAGAATCTTCCCACACTTGTCATATCGTCGAACGTACCGTGGATCGGCGGCCAATCCTATAAATGTTAGTGCTGTTGAGACTGAATACATATGCATACCTCAGGTTCGGATAGACCACCTATGACATCTACCAGCGATACAAAAGTCCATTGAGTTTCCCATGAGCAAAACATGATGACGAAGGAATCGATGCTAACAAGTAGGCGATCCAGCAATGAAGGATGGTCAAAGACATCGGGATACTTCCATCGGTCCTGGACCATCGACGCAGCATCCATGATGATGAATACCCGGCAAAAGTACCGCAATTGGTTTGCGATGAATCTCTTTCTACTCATCTTGGGTGCATGTTGAAGTCTCTGCAGACCAAAATTCCAACCAACCTCTCGAGGACTGATGCAAAGTGCTGATGCCCATTGAAGCTTTTGCCATCCAAAGTCCATCCCCAGTGCCTCTTTCTCGTAATCTTGTCTCCAGACTTCTGCTTCAGGATTGTGAAAGAGGAGCTTTTCGAAGATATGAACGACGTATAACCAACTCCCAAGTAGTCCATATCGAAGTTGACTGGATTGAGGACAAGCGCTGCAGTATGTTGAAATCAGAAGCAGGAGAATGATACCGACGCAAATAATCCTTCTCCTTTGAATGGAGTACTAGTAAGACTCAAGACATACGATATTAGAAGTAAAATATGGGACAAAATCCCAATCTCCGCGTTCGAAATGGCGACAATGAAGGGGTGCGGACTCGATTTCGGCGAGGTGAAATAAGTCATAGACTGTGACATTTCTTGCAATACTTTGCAGTTCTGTATGTTGTGTTTCCGTGACGGCTTCTTGTTCATCTAGGTGTCCAGGTAATATATAGTTTGTGGCGTGGTATCAGCAGACAAATATGCACGCCTTGACCCAGTCAGGAGACTTTTGACCGATTGCAACACGCCATTGATCAGCGACCACCTTTTTTTCAAGTCTGGTAGAGAGATTTACATCCAATTCGAACTTGGTGTCATTTCTAGCTGCTCCTTTCTTCGAGACTCGGGAATTCATGGATTTACTCTATGCAGATACATGGCAGTAAATGTCATTAGCATTACTGTCCGCCTTCAAGTCGTACAATACTCAGTCTAAGATCGTCAGCAGAGTTCAAGTTCATTCTCAGTATCCTACTCACCTCCCATTATTGGACCGATCGGATATTGTGAGGCTTCTTGCCATTCCTCTTCCACCATATCCATTGATTTCTGCTCCTCAGATCCCGAGCCCTCCACTGGAGCTGTCCGTCCACTTGTTTCTTTCCGGATCCCATCTTCAAGCTCTCTCAAGGTAGGACGGATTTCTTCCTCCTTTCTCTCATATTCCTCTCTCTCTTCTCTTTTAGCTTTTAGAACCCTTTGGGCAGCAGCCGCATCGGCGTTCATGTAGTCAAGCCATAAAAATTGGGCCCATCCCCCCATACGATTCTTTTCCTCTTGTAAGAGACGATGGTGTGAAGTGGGATCTTCAGCTTGACTGTTTTGATTCTCTGGCTGCTCCTCTCCGGACTCATTCCTTTCATATTCATCGATTTGGCTTCTCTCGGCTTTCAGGATATTATATGCACCGGCGCCATCGGCATTCAAGTAGTCCAACCAGAGAAGTGGGTTCCATCCTGAAAGTTGTTGCTTCTCCGTTTCGGAAAAATTATGTGGGTGTTGTGAAACCATCGTGTTGGAGGTGACGGTTTCTTGAGCTTGGTCTGAATTCATGTTGTTAGGATGATTTTTCTTCTTGGTTCATTAAATAACAACCTACGAACATTGCTTTACTTATAACTATCTGGATTTTCCTACTTAGCAATTGTCAACCTGATCTTAAGATTTGGTCGCAAATGTTGGATCAGTCCACTGAGATGGTAGACACAAGTCAGTGATACGAGACCTGATAGGTACTCGGTACGTACCGTACCGCCTGCGCCTCCATCATTCGACTGGATCACACCATGTGGCGAGGCAGGGCTCCCAACAAAATCAATGTCACCTCTTCCTTCAATTCTCACCAACGCTCGGGATAAGCGAGATTCTTATTTCCATTGTTTCCACGAATATTTTGTCCGGGGCTAGATGTCTCTAGAGGCTATAAAGGCTATGAGTTACCTCCGGCCATACTCTTGGGCGTTGATTGTATTCTTCGAGACGTGAAAGCACTACTATAGCCTCCGACTGTGACAGCGCGAAGTCTTCCGGATTTGAGGAGAGTAGATTTCATTTCGGCTTGGCAGCTGGCTCAAGAGTGAATCCTGGATATTCTCAGCGCTGTCTGAAGCTTGCGGATTACGATAACATATGTACACTAGTTATCCCTCTTAGACAATTATTATGTAGATGTGGTTACATTTTGAGCTAACTACCTGGAACTAGCTTGATCGTCGATGATGATTGCTCGTGTCTGACTCAAGTGCTCCAGCTCCGCTATTCCTTCGTCGGATCTTTATGCGACTAGTTTTCTTGATTGTTCATTTTATTGGTCTAATGCTGTGCGGTCTTCAACTCCAATGAAATATTCTTCTGCTCAACTCTCTCGAACTTGTTTTGAATGTTGGATGCAAGGCCTCGTGGCTATTCCACCAGGATTCCTGGTATGGCATGGGCTATGAAGCTCAGCGCTTGATCGGATGTCTAGAGCAAGTACATGGTCCAGTGGGTTAATACAAAGCATCCGTAGGACGAAATTGATAGTCCCAAGACTTATCCCTAGAGTATGGAGAACTTAATAGCTACCTATTTTCACCTCCTCTTACCCTTCTAAATGCAGGGAGTTCTCCCTTTATATTCTTTTAGTGCAGGAAGCGGATACCATTCTCCGTTTTCAGACGCCGGAGGTGCACATCGAAGGCGAAGGGAAATCAAGTTCTACTCGGATGAAGCAGGATTTCGCATCGTTTCAGTACTCTGTAGCATCAAATTCAAGACTTGAGATCAATCACTGAAACCACTCAAGTAAGTGATATGGTCATCAACTAGGATTGGGATAAGCAATGAATTTCACCAGGCATCAGCAGTGTGTGGCGCCACATAGATTCGTTGTCGACCAGTGCTGCATCTAGATGTCGCACCAGCGGTCTGTTATTGGGACTCATGTACTCCCCTTTCCCATGATCGCAGTGTCCGCTAGGGAAGCCCTTGTCAAACCCAAGTAGTCTAGAGGAGTACTAGAACCGCTCGCATCGAATGGAGGCATTGCTTGCATACGATGGTTGTGCTGCCCAAAACCGCTGCCCCGTATGGCAATATCACCGCTCATCGAGACGTTTCAATGCGTGTTTGGTTTCTGATGTCTTGGGTCGGAGTGTGACTATTCGTGAAGGTCGTTCCACTTTCAGAGCTAGTCATTGCAAAGGTAGAGAATCTATACCCCAGGTCTCAAGTAATCAAGACCTCTAACCCGTCTCCAGGTTTCACGGATTGCTCGTTCTTGTCCTTCCCTGGAAGTTTCAATACTTGAAGGTCCGGCAGGTCTATTCTCGGTCAATTTCGGATCATTGTCTATCGAGGGACACCTACCGAATGCCCAGATATAGGCGACTTCCAAGCTTGACGGGTTCGATCGGTGCGGTCTCGAAATCATTGGGAGGATTTGAAGTCGTAATAAGTCCACCTGCTTCTTCCAAAATACAAATACCCGCGCAAACGTCCCTAGCCCATGTCAGTGAAAGACAGAAGATTTCTGTGGCACATACCATTCCCAACATCCCCCTTCCCACCAGATATCAAATGCTCCCATTGCTGTGTAGGCAATGTCCATGGTGGCACTAAATCATCAGCTTGGAATCGAAACGGATAATCAACTTACCTCCCCAGACTTCTTATTCCATGGGCCATACCCCCTTTACCCCCTCTTCCACCAATCTCTGCTGCCATGTTGAGAAATACCTCGATCTTCCGATGCATGTTACTATCCGGATGATCTCTTCGATCCTTACCCCATTCGCAAGAGAAAATACACCCACTTGGCGCATTCGGAGGGATTGGAGGGATCGGATTTCGAATGAGAGGCAACTTCTGTTTTTCATTGAGCCAAGCACCGCGTCCTTTGCAGGCAGAGAAGGTTTGTTTCAAGAAGGGTGCATTGATCACTCCAACTACCGGTTTGCCATTCACCACGAAACCGATGGAGACACAGTACATTGGAAAGAGATGGATGAAGTTAACCGTCCCTATATTTGTCAGCTCAGTAGTCATAGGGCATTATCACTCACCATCTAAGGGATCAACACACCATGTCGGTTCATCCCCGATCAGGTATTGTCGGGAGGCTCCCTTCGAGTAGGTTTCTTCACCGATGAAACTTCAGGCCAGTGTCATTATTAGAAAACCATATTTAGGGACAAAACCATACTGATGACTTGGAAATTTCTCTTGAATGCTTCGTTTGATGAATGCTTCTACATCTGCTTTTTGTCAATCTCGAAGTCTTCGCGTAGCAAGATCTTCTTGATTGTCATACCTTCATCTGCTTTTGTAACCAGATCTACGGCGCTTTCTTTTTCCTCTTGTTGCAAATTCGTCAAAGAATTGGACTGCATTCTACCGCGTACTGATTTCTGAAGCATTTCGCCAGCGCCATTGGCAAGATCAAGAGCGAAGCGGTAGACATGATCCAACTCTTCATCACTTATGGAATACATGGTCCAAACTCCTACGAAAAATTTGACTCTGACTGTAAAGGGCGGAAGATTGTCTATTCTGGTCTTTGTTCTCAATCCGAATATGAAGTTACGATGACGATGACTCGGCCCCTCCCTCAAATCTAATTACCGATGCAGGTCACCCTCTGACAAAATTCGGTCGATGCACGCGACTCGGTCCCGCTATTTAGCTGCAAGTGGAGGCGCCTAATGGAACTAAGTTATGCACGAACGCACGCGAGATGAAATTGCGGGATCCGCCGAAGTGGAGGTGCGGACATGGTTCATCAAGGGGAGATGGATGGAACCGTCCCAGTCTGGAGTTCACCTTTTCATCCAAGTCGACGTAGACATCCAGTTTTAAGTCAAACAAAGTCCCTCACGAAGGGGTGGGTGAATGTATTTCCAGAACAGCCGCTCAATATCCAACAGCTCCTGCTCAAATGGCATTTCTTTACGATGGCTCTGGGTTCCAAGACGCTTATAGGTACTAGACACGGGCAGATCTTCTGACGATATCGTGAAACTATTGATCCTCTAGGGTTTGACTTTCCTACACGGCGAATGACCAAATATTATTCTCACCAAAGAAACCTTCCATTCTTTGTCTTCCTTTCATTTACCTCAGTCTATCTCGCTACATTCTCAAACCATGGTCACCTCAATTCTACTCATCAATGGACCAAACCTCAACCTCCTCGGCACTCGAGAGCCACATATATATGGCTCGACGACTTTGGAGGACATCGAAAAGCGAGTCCAGAACCAAGCGTCCGACCTTGGAGCTACTTTGACTTCATTTCAATCCAACTGGGAAGGGGCAATTGTGGATAAGATCCAAGAAGTTCGTGGAAAGGTTGGAGGAATCATTATCAATGCTGGAGCTCTAACTCATACGAGTGTTGCTATCCGAGATGCATTAAGTGCTGTTGCTATCCCCTTCATTGAAGTTCACATCTCAAATGTCCATAAACGGGAACCATTTCGACATCATAGTTATTTAAGTGACAAAGCCGAGGCTGTCATTGTTGGATTAGGAGATTATGGATATACGGCAGCAGTGGATTATTTGCTGAAGCATTACAAGTCTTGAATATCACTCCATTCGATTCAGAGAGATGTTACGGAACCAAATGGTCAGTGGTTACCACCTGAGATCTTTTCTCCAATTACTTTCTTCACTGTCTCCAGTGGCAATTTCTCTCGAGATCTACCAGTCCAGTATCGGTCCTACTATCGTTAATTTCATTCTGTATTAGTATGAGTCACATACCTGTTCCAATCCTTGATAAATCATCGCTTCAGTCCCAAGGATGACAGTCCATCCGGATTTCTCTGCCAGTACTCCAATCTCCGTCCATGGTGAAGGATGATAACACATTTCCAACATGGCTCCTTTATGTGGTTTGTTCAAGAAACATTCCGTGACTTCTCGGGCAACCTTTTCTTCAGGGGATTTTGGAGGAAAATTCGGAATACAGGACACAATTGCTCCAGGCCCTTCCAACTCTTCCGCTTGCTCGAGTGTAGAAACATGAATCAAGTCTTGTCTTAACCCTCTCTTCTGACACTCGGAAATGACCGCATCCACCTCGGATCGATCCCGATTCACAATGTAGATGGGACTACAATGCATCCATCGTTGCAAAGCGTATACGGCACTCCGAGCGGCTCCTCCGCCACCAATCACCATTCCAGGTCGATGATGGAAGACCTTCTCTGGGTCCTTGACAGTGGCATAAAACGAGTCTCGAACACCAATGGTGTCGGTGTTGGTTCCAACATATACACGTTTCCCATCTTTCTCCCGGAGGAAAATGGTGTTGCATGCACCGACATCCCGAGCTTCCTCAGTTAATTCATCAAGGAATCCAAGGATAGCCACCTTGTGGGGCATTGTGACCGATGCGCCTGAACTGATGAGCAATCTTTCTCAAACTGGTCGAATGGCTTACCGTAGAACTTTGGGTCTTGGATGAGCTCAAGAAACCCATTCATATCGGTTGACTCCAAAGGAAATTGAGACCATTTCAGACCTAATGCATCATACACGGTCTGATGGAAGAGGGGAGATAATGAATGTGCAATTGGAGATCCAAACAAATATCCGAATCTCTCGAGTCTCTCGGACGGGTTTGGGATGGCCATGGCGACTGCAACAAGAAAATGATACCAACTCCGTGTATCACAGAATTGTAGTGTTGAACTTCTGGGCCTTCGATGATAGCTTGGATCGCTGCATCACAGTCTGCTACATTTTCTATATTGATGTGGAGCGGCAGTTTTCCGCTGAGTCGATATCTGACCCAAACTCAGCGGCACCCACAAGTTCTGGTCTGGCCGTCTGGGAAATAACCCCTGCACGCCCCTGTTCAAGCCCCACTAGCTCAAGGCGAGTCGTCAATGCGGGGATAGGGTGGAAAAGATTTTATCCCATCCATCAAACTTCAAGCTCGATGGCAACGATGTTGGGACCAAACCAATCCCGGACTTGTTCCGGCGCCACTGATGGAATACGACATCTTAAGTACTATGGTAACTCGGTAAGTCGTCTTTTCGAGTCCAAGCTCTCGTTGGAGCGATGAATTATGGATCGGCAATGGTTCCGGCTCCACGTCTGAGGAAAATGGTTAAGTTGGCTATCCTCCGTTTTCGCTCGTAATCATATGGACATGACTGGACTCGCATAATGGAAAATGCATTTGCCCCGGATTGGAACCCCCATGGGGTGAAAGTTTAGGATCCAAGTCCGCGTCTAACATTGAATGTTCTCATTGGTAATTTAAGATCCTCTTCCCTCCTTCTTGAGTCTGGTTCTTCCTCATTCTTCAACCCGAAAAATTCGGTCACGATCCATCATGGGAATCCTCACATTGGTCGAAGATCGACCTACCCCAAAGGCAGTCTACAACTGGAGAGTCTATGCATGTGCGGCGGTTGCATCTTTCGCAGCATGTATGATCGGATACGATTCGGCCTTCATTGGCACCACACTCGCCCTGCCGTCCTTTGAGGATGAATTCGGCTTCAAGTCGATGTCTGCGGATCATTTGGGTCTGATCAAAGCCAATATTGTCTCGATCTACCAAGCGGGAGCATTCTTCGGTGCATTAATCGCCTATGTGACCTCCTTCTTCTACGGGAGGAAAAATTCCCTCTACATCTTTTCTCTCGTCTTTATCCTTGGGGCCGGTCTGATGATGGGTGCGAATTCCGAAAGAGGGTTGGGACTAATGTATGCAGGTCGCGTGCTTGCTGGGCTGGGGGTTGGCGGATCATCCATGGTTGTGCCCATCTATATAAGCGAACTCTCTCCACCTGCCATACGGGGTCGATTGGTCGGAATCTATGAGCTTGGGTGGCAGATTGGTGGCCTGGTTGGCTTCTGGATCAACTACGGCCTCACGGAGACAATGGCACCCAGTCGGACCCAGTGGATGATTCCTTTCGCAGTCCAATTGATCCCAGCGGGTTTACTTCTGATTGGAGTCGCCTGGATTAAGGAGTCGCCACGATGGCTCTTCTCCAAAGGTCGACGTGACGAGGCCTTGCGGAACCTTAGCTGGATTCGGAAACTCCCGGTCGACGATGTGTATATGATGGAGGAGATCTCCTTCATCGATGCGACTTTGGGAGAACAACAACGGACGATCGGAGCTGGATTCTGGAAGGTGAGCAACCCCTCAATCCCTAAATCAATATGTTCTAACACTTGTAGCCTTTCATTGCGGTCGGCAAGAGCCGAGCGGTTCAATGGCGGTTATTCCTTGGAGGCATGCTCTTCCTATGGCAGAATGGCAGTGGCATCAACGCAATCAATTACTACAGTCCGACTGTTTTCAAATCCATCGGTATTCAAGGGACGAATACGGGTTTCTTGACCACGGGCATATTCGGGGTAGTCAAAACCGCTTTGACCTTTGTCTGGTTGCTGGTCCTGATTGATCACCTCGGTCGACGAAAGCTATTGATGGTCGGTGCAGCAGGAGGTTCAATGTGTATGTGGTTCATCGGAGCATACATCAAGATCACCAATCCTGCAGCAAACGCAAAGAACACTGAGCTTTCATCTGCTGGAATCGCTGCCATTTTCTTTTTCTATCTGTGGACTGCATTCTATACTCCCTCTTGGAACGGCACTCCATGGGTGATCAATTCCGAAATGTTTGATCAGAATACTAGGTAAGGAAACCTCTTGCTTCCCAAATCTCCACTAACCGAATCAGGTCACTCGGTCAGGCTTCTGCCTCGGCGAATAACTGGTTCTGGAACTTCCTCATTTCACGGTTTACTCCGCAGATGTTCTTGAAGATGGAATCTGGTGTCTACTTCTTCTTCGCGTCCTTAATGATCCTCTCCATCATCTTCGTATGGTTCTTGATCCCCGAGACGAAGTCGGTCCCATTGGAGGCGATGGATCGATTGTTCAAGGCCCGACCCGTCAGAAAGGCAAACAAGATGATCCTGGAAGAGATCAATGTTCAGGATGAAGAGTTCCGTCAAGGTGCTGGGGTCATCCTGGATGAAAAGGATCAGGTCCAGCAACAGGAGCGTGTCAGCACTTGAGACCAGTTCTCGGGCAAATCTTGAGTACCAGGGGCAAGCGGGACAATCCTGCGACACATCTCATATATATCAAGCTAGTTACATTATTATCAAGGAGCGCAAATGATTTATCGAAGGTATCAATTTAACCCAGAGTCTACTCGTCAAAGGTGTTGAGGTCCAGGGGCACGGGAGCGGTTGTGAACAGGCGTCTCCAATATCAGTGCCCCAGATCGTGAGGTTCAATCATTTCCCCAGTATCCACATCCTCCGCAAGTCGGGACAAGATAGTATGCCTCCAGCCCTCCACGTTTCGGCAGTCAAATATTCCAATGAGCACGGTTGCCGTAGGGTGATGTCAAGGGCTGTTTTGAAAAGCCGGTTTGGATGTGATCAAATCCGGGCTAAAATTGGCGTCTGGATAAATCCTTTTCCGACTTTCCAAGCGTCCATTGCCGGACCCTGAAAAGTTGAATTGGTTGAATGTTAATCAACTTCATTTGCCCCATCGGCTCTTGGATTCAAATCTAGCAGAAATGATCTGCCTGGTCCAAATCAACAAGTTTTCAAATCGTCAAGTGGATCATGTTGATGGCACATGTAGCACTGTATATCCGTTAGTACACACAAACGGGTTCTTCAGCGAGGTTTCATGATGTCCGAGGTATTTTAAGCATTCGCAGGTGCTTTCCTTCTACTTATTTTGATTGGAACATCAAATTCCTAGACTCATAGTTATTCAAGTGCTTTCTATACTTAATTCAGTCATGTCACTTCGTCCAGCGATTTCGTCCATGTCCTTGGGTCGAGCAGCCGTCCACGACCTACCAGGGAAGCTCGACCAGGCACAACAATATGGAATCACAGGCATCGAGATATTTTACGAAGACCTGGAAGCGGTTGCACAGTCAATACCCCGAAATTCACGACAAGAGACACACCTCTTTGCAGCTCATAAGATTCGTTCGTGGTGTGATGAACGAAATCTAAAGATCATCTGTCTCCAACCATTCATGCACTACGAAGGACTGAAAGATCGATCGGAACATGCCAGGAGGATATCGAAAATCAAACTTTGGTTTAAAGTCGTTCAAATATTGCGAACGGAGATGATCCTGATACCTTCAAGCTTCTTGAGTGTCGAAGAGATCACTGGCGAGAAGGATGTCATTGTCGAAGATATGAGAGAAATTGCAGACCTTGGAGCAAAAGAGACACCAATCATACGCTTCGCTTATGAAAGTTTGGGATGGGGGACATTCATCAATACCTGGGATCAGTGTTGGGACATTGTCGTCAGTGTTGACCGGCCAAATTTCGGAATCTGTCTCGACACATTCAACATTGCGGCAAAAGTATATGCGAACCCTGCGGCACCATCAGGAAGGACATCGAACGCGGATCAAGCAATCAAAGACTCCATTCGTCGGTTGATCGAAACCGTACAGAAAGAGAAAGTGTTTTTTATCCAAGTCGTCGATGCCGAGAGGTTGGAGGAACCTCTCATCGAAGGACATCCATTGTATCATCCAAGTCAACCGGCATGTCTGAGCTGGTCAAGAAATTGTCGATTGTTCTACGGAGAGGAAAGATTTGGCGGATATCTTCCCATCAAGCTCATCTCTCTTGCAATAATTCATGAGCTCAGATATGAGGGATGGGTTAGTATGGAACTTTTCAACCGAATCATGGCGGATCCTTCTCAACATATTCCTGAGCATCTTGCTTCGAGAGCCGCGGAATCATGGAGAAGGTTTGTGGAAGATATGGACTTGAGGGGGAATCAAGGAGTTGATGTTAACTCATTTAGACCTGTACTTTAGATACGCGAACAGCATATGGACCGGAGCATTGATTAGCGTTCTATGATCTCAGGGGTTCATGTTGACTGTCAAACACCGACAAATAGAAACCATTCATATCTTCTTTAAAGTGAATATCGAAACGGTAAAGTTCCTCTGGGGCGTTGCATTAATTTTTTGTACGATTTGTGAACTCATCAATGGTAATATACAATTGTTCTCAGCAATACTTATACGTATGGTGTGAGTGGGGGATCCAACTGCACTTCAGTCAAATCAATCCCCGGTGCCAGGCCAAGATTCTGCATGAAGATGGGCTGATTGGTGAGATCCACATCATCTAAAGATGCGAATTCATCAAATAGGTTCTCTAGATCTATTGATTCGGAATTGGGAGGCTCTGCTCTTCTCCATCCATCGTTGGATGGAAGATGGTCAAATCCGGTGTGCCAGACTGGAACATTGCCAGTCTGATAGTCCATGGGGATGGACTGCCATGATGCATTCGAGATGATTGTTGAGCGAGGAGAAAGAGGGATGGGTGGTGAAAGGTTCTGGTTCCAGTCGATCGGTGTCGGGCGGAAATCGGTAGGGTACGATATTCGCCACCGGTCTGTCAGTTGCTCCAAGAGTTGCTCATACCCAGAAAGACCCGCCTGGGTAGTCCATCGATACTTGATCATAATATTCAAAAGACATGGGACGATGGCCGGAAACTTAATTCCACCTCCTTTGAGAATGGTACAGATCATGTCTCCAGTTGACACCGTAGAATCAATCTCGGAGACGTATCCTAAGAAAGTTTTCGAACAAGCATGCGCAATTCGAATACCGAATTCCTGCGGTGCCCAAGCAGATGCAGGTCGGCCTTGCAGATCTGATCGAAGTGGGAATCGGACTTGAAGCGCTTCTAGTTTCGCGCGAATCTCCGGAAATCCAGTGGCACGCAGTTCTGGTCGAAGATATACAAAGTTCATATATCCAGCCACAACCAGAAGAGAATTGAATGTACTCAGTACTTTCCCTGGCTCGCGAGGTCCAGACGGAGTGACAGGACCATATCCTTCAACTCCTACCCATGGATCGAGTTCTTCCAGTCCATCTTCTGCCACCAATGAGTATTGGGATAGATCTTCTCGACGAAGATGGGGAATGCTGCCCAGTTGGATGGACAAAAGGGTTTCCAATAAGAAACAACTCATCAGGATATGCTTTGCTCGTTTATGGTCGCCGAAAGTTGTGGGAAGTGAAGCCTTGACGGGAGAATCGAGATCTTTGCCACAATTCCGGTCCAATCCAAGTTGAAGTGCAATCTGAATCGCACGTCCAACAAGTACAAGCGCAGGTGAAGCTTTGTTTTGTCCCATATTGATCAAAGCGAGTAGAAGCAACGCCTTGACATGGCCAGGTTCGAATGGCCCATCTTCATTCGGGATCAAAGAATGAGCAATGCTGTAATATGATGTGACATCGGTGTCGGAAAAGGATGGGGACTGAAAGCGCTTGTGTAAAGAGGATATCGCAAGCATTGCCCATAGTTCTGCATGCTCTCCTGAACCCGTATGGTGGTTCAAGTCAACGCCACTAGGATAGGAATAGACCAATTTTAGGACCTCCTTCCTCTCGGAAATTGGGAACCACGGGTGTGTGAAAGCAAAGTAGACGTCCAAAAGGTGCCAAATATCGGCTGGAAGCCTTCGAGGGATTGATGTTCGAGTTGGAAAATCCGTCTCCGGTAAATGGTTTCCGTCTGATCGATCAATCCTTGAGTGATGCAATAATGAGGTCTTTCGATCTTGAGAAGCGGGAGTCAATATCGGGATAAAAGGAGCATTCTCTGATTCACTTTCCACTTCGGATGAAATGCTACCTCTCTCATCAATGACAGGATTCTCCGGGGATGACAAGAGCGTCTCCAACCGTTTTCGTACCAAACTCTTTCTCCATCTCTTGTGCAATCGACAAGACCCTTTCGAGTCCTTTCCAGTTATTAGACCCTGTACTCCAATATCGGTCTGGATAACTTCACGCAAAGCCTCTTCTTTACTTGGATCATCCGCGAAGATCCAAGCAAGAGAAAGCTCTAAGGACCGAATGTATCCGGGTTGTATTCCTCTTTTCTTGGGGTTGGCCGTGTAGGTGCATGGTCGGTTGGAAACCTCACAAGTTTGACATCGTGGATTTGCGCCTCCATCGCATTTCTCTCGTGCGTTTCGGCATTGATCGCATGCTCTTGATACTCTCTGTCTCTTCACTGATTTCCTTGAATCCTCCTCAACGTTCCGTTTCTTCGCATTTTCCATTGGGTAGTGGATACTAAGTGCCTCTACTCAAGACGAGCACAAAACGTTGGATCAGCTCATGCCAGTTGTGAACTCGGTAGCATCAGATCACATTATGTCCAATTCCCTGTGATTTCGGTGATCAATTGCTGGAGGACAATTGGATCCTCCCTGAAAAGTCGGGTGGCTTCGGCCCTTGCGGATATGACTTTATCCGCCCCGCGTTATGCAAGATCTACAAGACCCATGTCTTTGATTGAACCAGTTCAAGCACCATGTCTCGGATTTTACAAGTACGTACCTGACGCAACTAAGAGGAATATCCCTGCAGATTGACTCAAAGATGATACTTTCTGTATATTTTGGAGAGCGTACTCACCTGGGAGCTCCTCCTTTCTTTTCAAGAACGGTAAACGTGTGAGCGTTCTGTCCGGATCCACTGGCGATGGCTGCCATGACCGGTGGCAAACGACGATTCGATGCAATTAGTGATTCTCAAGTCGAAAGGGATTCACCGTGTACATCATCATCGAGAAATATCCAGACTACGGAGTCTCGGTCGCATGAGGAGGCATCCAATCGTCCCAGTGAGTATTCACGCGTCAATGCCGCATCCTACTCAAGATGTTGAAAGCTTGCTGATTTGAGTCTAGGAACCAAGCTGAAGCGTTCCTCTTCGAACCTAGAAACGCAGACGGACACATCGCGTCGTAATTTCCCTCCCGATGCTACTATCGTACTTCTTGGTGTTCGGGGGTCCGGAAAATCGACTTTGGGAATCATAGCCTCAAGGGCATTCCATCGGAAACTGGTCGAGTTCGATGTCTGCTTTAAAGAGGCCACTGGCCAAACCGCAGTATCGTATCGGAAGGAGCATGGAGCGACGGAACATCAGAGAAAGCAAATGGAGGTCATGAGGGACGTCCTCTCCAACAATGAGAAGGATTGCGTCATTATTTGCGGTCTCCCTGCGATGGATAAGACGGTCCAGTTGCAATTGCAAGAATATGCCCAGTCTCATCCAGTCATTCATGTCATGCGAGAACCGACGAGCGTGCACGAGTATATGCAATCACCGAACGAGAAATATTCGGAACTCTTAAGAATATGCGAATCGCTCTTTCGCCGGATATCCAATCACGAATTCTACAATGTGTCAGAACGACCAAATCGACCGAATCCAATGGCTGGAGGGGAGCCGCCAGGTGTCAGGTCACCAACTCCATCCCTCACATTGAAGCGTGCGGAAAGGCATTTTTTAAAGTTCATCACGCTGATTTGCGCGAAACACAATGTTTCTAGTCTGGAGTCAGCATATCCATTGTCTCGTATACATTTGGAGCGACGAAGATATACATATGCCGTGTCTGTTCCACTGGCAAATATCCTCCCTGCCAAATCAGATATGGAATCGTTTGAAGCTGGCGCGGATGCTTTTGAGCTTGTCATCCCCAACGCAATCCAAGGTATGTCCTCTGCCTGGTCATTTATGGAGCTAACCGGTTCAGATCCGTTCCTAACGGAACAAGAAATGAATGACATTAGCTACGCCATCGGTCGAATACGGAGAAATACATTGGTCCCGATCATATACCATGCGGAGGATCATTCGGCAGATAGCCAGAACCATCGTGCAAGATACATGGACTTGATCCACCATGGGCTAAGTTTGGCTCCAGAGTACATCACGATCGATCTACGACTTTCGGACCAAGACATATCCAAATTACTTCATGAACGAGGTGGTACCAAGGTCATGGCCGTTTTCACGGCGACTGAGCATGAATCCCTTCCATGGAATCATGAGATGTGGACTTCCCTATACGATCGAGCCGTCAACCTTGGTTTCGACCTCATCCGTATTACTCGCCTTGCTCCATCAAACATGGATGAACCTTCACCTCAATACGTGTTACCGAAGCCATCGGCTTCGTCCAGAATACCGGTCATCGCGTACGACCTGGGTCCTCGAGGCCGATCATCCGCCTGCTTCAATCCAATACTTACGACTGTCACCCCAGAACCGAGGAGACCTGGAAACTTGAATTCCCCCCACATTACTGCTCGAGATGCGACCAATGCCCTGTTCAGTTCATTTGTTCTGGACCCCATGAAATTTTATATCGTCGGTGCTAGCTCATGGTATTCTTTGTCTCCGGTGATGCACAATGCGGCATACCAAAATTACGGGATGCCTCACGTCTTTCGTACACATCAGACCTCCACATTACAAGTCTTAGAAGAACTTGTGAAGGATCACGATTTTGGCGGTGCAGCTTTGACTCTACCTTTCAAGGTGGAAGTCATCAAACTCCTTGATCGGCTGAGCCGCCATGCTCAGGCAATCGGGGCAGTAAACACGGTCATTCCCGTACGACATTTGAATGATGATGGTTCCGTCCCATCCGAGTTAGCGATGGCTCAAAACACCAATCGTTCCGGGCCAGTGCAAGCCTTGTATGGGGAAAACACCGACTGGGTTGGAATTCGTGCTTGTATCCAGCGTGGACTCTCTCCGGTGAATGCCGTTGGACCGAAATCTGCTGCATTGGTCATTGGTGCTGGAGGCATGGCAAGAGCCGCAATATACGCGATGTTGAACCTGGGAGTAAGGAATATCGTGATCCTGAACCGCACATTTTCGAATGCTCAGCGCCTTGTGGAGCACTTCACCAGAATACTCCTATCTTCGGACGAAGGCAATAGGTCGGCACATTTCGATCCCTTCCCTTCCTTCGTCCTTCCGCGGGGCGAGGTGAAATTCCACGTGTTGCACTCTCGAGACGATGTTTGGCCAGCCGATTTCCGACAACCAACCATCGTTGTGTCATGTGTCCCAACCCATAGAGTGGGCAACAATCCTCCTTCGGACTTCACCATGCCTTCCACATGGCTTCAGAGTCCCACGGGCGGAGTAATTCTTGAGGTAAGTTGACTGCTAGAAACGTTTAGAAATAATGCTGAGATGTTAAGGTTGCCTACAAAACACTCTCCACCCCTTTGCTCCGACAGATTCGAGCCGAAGCGAGTCGGGGATTTATCCCGATGGACGGGTTAGATCTTCTACCTGAGCAGGGTTTTGCACAGTTTGAACTATTCACAGGCAGAAGAGCCCCACGACGATTGATGCGAGAAGAAGTATTACGCAATTATCGAGACGAGAATGGTGAAATGCATGAAGATCTCATCAGGTCAAGACTAGCGGCAGTCAACGAGCAAGGTCCGTAGGAGACCACTCCCACCTCCACGCATGTTTCCATCTGGCAGCAGAGCCTTCATCATGTATGAATTGTTTCATATCTCTAATGCACATGAAGGATTCCATCGTATGAATCTATGAGATCTTCGTCGATGAATACCGGTGAAGCAATTCCACCGATTCATTGTATGTGATCCGTGGAATGTCTCTATCCAACTCTCCATATGTAACCATACTGGCCATTTCCACGACCTTTATCTCGTAGGCCACGTTTTTCACTTGTAATACTATATAAATTCCTGGGGATACCTATCAGAGTCCTGGTTTCTCGTTTCGTGTCAGCGAGTTTGCAAAGTCGGCAATCTGGTGGTTGAAGTTTTGGTCGCCAGTGAAGCGCTGTCCATTCATCTGTCCTTGTTTCAACATGTTTTGGGAAGCGGGTATACTTCCGCAGTCCGAACGAGCCGTGTCATATTGCCTTCATAGGTCTGCTTCTTGAATGCGAAATCGCCTCAGCCTTGCTAAGACGAGCCATCTCTTCCTCTCTGTGATGTCCTCCTCTCGTTCAGGATCCCAATGCCGCCGATTGCCATCAACATCAAGTTCATATATCTCATCGATATCCAAGCCGACTGGTCTCAGAATACTCGAACTTCCAAGGTCGAAGAAGGAGGCCACGATCTTTCTACCAGTGTGGAAGCCAGCAACAACACATACACTGGCGCTCGGATGGTCAGATAGGAAGTATGCCATGGACTCAGCTAGTGCTTTATGCGACGCATGAATCCAAAGACAATCGGCTGCGATGATACGGTCAAACCCTCGAGATCGTTCAGCAAATGGAGTTGTAAAATCACCCCAGAGATGTGGCTGTACCGAGACACGACTCTGGAGGGATGGTGGGATATTCCTCTCAACGTTGGCTTGAATGTTTTTTAAGAGGGTATCCGATGGATAATCGGAGATCGTGACCTGACTCCTTTAGTCTCGTTCTCCATTCAGAGCAGTTAATGAACTAGTTGGGGGCAATGGACCGGGGACAATACCGTATCTGCTCCAGCCAGAACACCAACGATACCAGCAAGTCCTGCTCCTGTATCCCAATCAGTCGACCAAACTTTTCAATAGAACTCAAAACATACCTGCTCCCAATTCTAGAACCGTCTTCCCTTTTACATCCCATCTATCCGCATCATCTCCGCTGATCCACCATCTTCCCAGACCCCACTGATGTGGCTCCGATCTGTAGTCAGGAATACTGCCGATGAGCTCTGCAATGAGCACGCTAGAATTCCATAAATAATGTGCGAACTTGATCCTTTCATGCTCTTGCTCTACTCTTGCGAGTTCAAATTTCAGGTCACCTCTCTCCCTGGCAACCTGGCTCGTGCCTCGATATATGACCGCCATATCGGCATCCCCATGGGAAACGGTGACATCACCAGGGAAGAGGGAAAGCCCAGCATTGAAAATATCTTCGGCAGACTCTGGCTCTTCCGGACGAATTGGAGAGAGATGTAGAAGCGATGGTAACATCCTTCTTATGAATTGGAGGTTAGAAGACTTTTGTCGAGAATGTTAATCTAAATTCCCTGTCACAAGTACACTTCCGATATCAGAGGGGAATAAGAATGGGTCCAAGTTCAAAACCAGGAATGAAATTGCTTCCGAAGCGAATGCACAGTAGAAATGATAGCCTCTGCAACACACGATAGCGATGCAACTGAAGTGTTCGTTCTTTCGCCAGCAAATGTGTTAGTTTCACTACCGGAAGATAATGTCACCGAATGATTACGATTGGGAGATGCATACAAATCACTAGCCAAACTAGATCGTCACAATGAAGAGGACGGTGTACGTGACGCCTTCGAAAAGTCGTTTATTCTATTCATGATAACCTACCCATGCCAGAAGCGGTTCATGGATCCCGTTGCACTTTTATGCTTGACTTTGTACCGAGTCGATGAACTACATCGCCAGATCATCTATTGCAAGGACAAGGTCTTCTCCTTCATAGTGATACCGTACTTGCTCTCCAACTCGGCCATAACAGGTCCCGCAATCTCCATGTCCATTGGAGCGAAGATACCTTTCCTAGTAATGGTTCCATCCAACACCTTCAACACGGCGATGGCACATGGGACACCGACCAACTTGGTCATGGCAGTGTAACCTTTCGGGTCACCGAACTCCACAAGAGTGCTGGTCCTCGTCTCCTTCTTGCCATCTGCCCATTCGATACCGAAGGTGTGCTGCAAAAACACCAGATCCCGCTCTCCTTCAGCATAGCCCATCTTTGCCGCCAGAGACGCGCACAACGTGTCCAACGGCGTACCAGAAGCCGTAGCCTTCTCAGTAGACGACAGCATTCCAATCCACCGCAGTCCATCGAGGATGCGTTCTTTCTCATCGTTATCGCGGAAAGAAATTTTCGAGGAGATAGCCCGAACGAGATCCTCTTCCTTGGAGCTTGAGGATCCAATGACCTTGGATGTGACCTCGGCCCAAGTTGGAGGGGATGAGGAGTTGGGATCGAGATAATCTTTCTGTTCCTCCGAGAGGAATCCGATATCACCAAACACCTTCGCCAACTCGGGGAATCCGTCGTATCGAAGAGATCCTCGGATGATGGTACGGCATTCGGGAATGTTGTATCGCTGTTTGTACGGGACGCTATCGCCGTTCGGATAGGCAACAAATGCGAAACCAGGGAAGGTCCGGTATGGTCTTGCCGAAGCCATCAGCTCCTCGGGACGCAGGTCAATCTCCTTGTCATCCTTCCAATATCGAGCGGTACGTCGCAGAGCCAGAAGGACTCCGCGTGCTGACCAGGAAAATTTGTAGCCAAGAGGATTGTCCGAATTCTCCGGAGCGGGAAGCCCGCCGCAGTACGAGAGGAACGAAACAAGCTTGCCCTTGGCTTCGTGAACTTCGGCAATGGTCTTGATGGCGTAAAGACTATGACATTTAGTCGCAGGGATTCACGGATTCACGGATTCATGCTCGAGAATGACGTACTGATCAATGCCCGGATCCATTCCAATCTCATTGAAAACGGAAATACCCGCATCTTTAGCCTCCTGATCCAAGGCCGCCATAGCAGGAGAGACGTAGGATGTGGTCACGACATGCTTTTTGTGTCGGATGGCACTCTTGATGACCTTGGTGTGATGAATGTAGGGGATTAAAGAGATGGCCAGATCGACCTTGGAAACCTCTCCATCCAAAGCTGCCGTGTCATCAACGTCGAGAGAGATGGGGGTGCAATTCGCAAGGCCAGACGAGAGGCTCTTTGCCGACTCGAGAGTCCTGCAAGCAACGGTGACTTTGACACCGGAATCGCTAAGGATTTGAGCCGTGGGACGGGCGACACTGTAGTCATTAGCTAATGACGGTTGCATGGAGGGATTCTACCTACAATCCCGCTCCGAGGAGGAGGACGGAATAAGAGTTCTAAGCCAGTCAGCACGGATGAAAGCAGGTTTCGGTTCGGACCACTTACCGAAGCCATATTGAAGTTCGAACAAATGTGAGTCGTGAAAGGTTTAACGAGAATGAGACTGATGGAAACGAGTATCAGTCAGTGGGGAGTGATGATTCAAGCTGTAGCTGTACGAAAATTTCCCCTCCCCCACAACCAACATATTTGAACCGGCTATTCTCCGGCTTGAGCCCCGACATCGCAAGACCCACCAGGAATATTACGGGAGAACCCGAATCGGGACTAGTGTTGATAGTTTCTAGCAGTCAATCGTCTCTGATCTCGTCATCGCCAGGTCGCTATCATTCATCCACAGTTATTCCCAGTGGATTTGGATGAGACAAATGGCAGATTAAAGTCGACAACCGATCCTGGATATGGAAAGTTCGCCTTCTGCGCATGCCTTCCTCGATCGTGTCGAGACGATGTCTACCGGTCTGGTCACGAATGCCGTGCTCATCGGTCCTGACGTGGGTGTGAGTCCAATCATGGAATGTCATGGAGGATGACTGGAGAAAGCCTCGAAAACCAGCGCGTGTGCTCTTCACCCTTTGGCATAGCTTCAATTTCCACTGAGTGAATCCAATACCGCCTGCTCTCAAATCATTATCGAGCAAGCTCAAACGCGAGGTCCATAGCTCGACCAAGTAAACCGATCGATTTCGAGGCCGTATGAGATGAACTAAGATGATCCCGGATATATTCATATATAGATTGAATTTAGACGGTCACAATGCTCCGCTATAGCTTCTGGTTTAGGGGTGATGAGCTTGCTTGTCAAGTATTGTCACAAAGGAGGCAGACCATGGAATCGGAAATCGATGGGGTTCGATATTGTGTGGACTATTTCGCAAGGGGAGATGGACCGTAGGAGGTAGATTAAGTGCAGGATAGATTGTTCATGGCGGTCTTTGGTCAAATACCTGTGCGATTTGGAACTTGGAATCCATAACAACCAAATGTCAAAAAGAACACCCCACAGCTGTTCGGCCATCGTCTAAAATGTCGTGAACTGACGACGAGGACAACGAAGTGCCAACTGCCAAGATCATGTCTCACGAGGATCCAGGTCCTGTCTCGCCCGGCAGCGGGCACTGGGCAGTGGGCAGTCACCAGACCCTTGCAATAATAAGTCGAAATTGCGCAAGGGACCGGATGGATTTTGTCCGATGTGGGAACTGGACAAAGAGGCTGGTGAGTGGAGAGTGGTGAGTGGTGGTTGATGAATAATGACCAGCATTGGGGCGACATTCAACTTTCCAAGCCCCTGGACCAGTCGCTGTCGACATGGAGTGGAGTGTGCACACCACCATCTCATGGTGTTCCGTGTTCCTGATCAGCGCAAGTACGCCTGATGGTTGACAAATGACACCGTGACTAGAGGAGTGGCTCATGAGATGGCGGGAAACTGGGGATAATCTTCGTCAGTTGACCACCAGCGATGCAGCATCGTGTTGCCTTCTCAATCCTCATCCGGCTGAGAGTGCTGAGAGAGGGAGGCAGAGCTTTAACTTTCGTCTTTTGGCTGTGGACTTCAGGCTGTGGACTTCTGACTGTGGACTTCAAACTTCCGACGCCTGGGTGCTGTGCGCCTGTACCTCTCGGCCTCTACTGTCCCCACGTTCCGCCTGTTTTACAAGCTCTTTTAAAGCGGGGGTGACTAGATTAGAACCAGAGTCGAGCGGACTCTCCGCATGACAATCTGTGCTACGACATGTCGACATCGCTCAATCGCTGATAGCCGCTGGAACACTGGAAACCATCAAGCCACCTGACCAGGTTGCCTGTACATCACCGGATCGGCTTCTGTGCGTAATCGGCTGGCACACTAGGATCTGGAGGAGTGGAGGGGTGGAGCCCTTAAGGATGAACGTGCAAGTACGTAGTAGAATCGTGGTGAATTGAATGGAAATAAGAATTATTAATTAATAGTACTTACCAAGATGAACTCAATGAACTCAATGAACTGAGAACTGAGAATTGAGAATTGAGAATTGAGAATTGAGAATTGAGAATTGAGATATACCACGGGATTTTCCCGAGATTTGTAATGAGAGCTGCACGCGCATAGATAATAATTATCGATACCCACTGTGGCTGTGGGAGACTTGAGCTCATGGATTGAACTGGAGATACCTGACATCTCCTTGTGATACATATGTAATATTCCGGACCATAATTCCTTATTGATTGTCTTGTTCGGCATTCCACCCTCCATAATAGCCCTCCTCTGTCCGAGACTCTCCTCTTCTATACGCTCTCGCTACGTGTATCTCCCTATCCACCCTCCTCTTTCTCCCCCATTACAGGTACCTCCCTCTACCCACCCCCCTCCCCCCCTCTCCACCTCCCAATAATAATTCGCCATCGCTCAACAGGGCAAAGTCAAGAACGCAGGCCCCCCCTCCCCCGTCGTCAGTCGGATTCGTGGCTTGGTCTTACCCTTTCTCTCCTCACTCGTTACAGGCCACCACCTTACAGCCTTCCCTGGAATCCCAATCCTTTCTTTCTCCGCTTCCCAAATATTTTTTTCCTGAGGCTGTCCATTCTCTCCCTTTCCCACCCATTCTCCAACTTCAGCCTTTTCGTTCATCTTTCCCAATAACGTTTCTTTCTTTCGGTTCTTCCCGCTTCGTTATCTGCCTTTCCAGTTTCCATCCCACGTCAATCGTTTCAATTGATGGCCTCGAACCGCTTTTGAACCGCTTTTGAACGGGATCGACCCTCTTTCTTACCGACGCTTGTCAACTCGGTATTAGTCGTGTCCCATACCTTGCCACGCTTCCCCGCCGTCGCTCATTTCCCTCACAAGCTCTCTCTCTTCTGTCTTACTCCCGATCTTCCCGCCCAATTTGGTTTCCTCGAACCCTGATCGACTCTCAAGTCCGAGCTGTACCATCGCGGCGAGGAGGACTTGAGGGTCGTTTGAAATCGTTTCACAATGACCGCAGCAAAGGTAAATAGACCCGACCTTGATGATGGTCTCGGAATCGATCTTTGGTTCAGGTCCAACAGCTACTGTAGCCCTTTCCCCGTATCAACCAATGTGTCCTCCAACGTCTCCAACTCTCCAAATTCCCTCCACTCTACGACCTCCTAAACTTCAAATGAGTCCGAGATGGTTCATGCCGATGAATCGCCGCTTACCCGTTTCTACAGGACATGAACCCTCGTCCGACGAGCGCACATCATGCCCACCATTCTCGACTTTCGACCAGCGCAATCTCGAACGCCATGAACACATCACGCGCTCCCCGTACGCATTCGCACTCCTTGTCGGTCGGGAGCATCAATCCACTTCATCGAGTGACGCGACGGAAGAGTATGTCGTCGACCGCTGCGAACAATGCTGCTGCCATGGCTGCGGCTGCGCGTGAGATATCGGGTTCTTCGTCCACGCCCACCGATCCTGGTAGCGATTCTGGCCGGAAATCAACAACAAGGTCCAGTCGAGGGACATCGTCGAGTTATCTCGCACTTCCCAGCAGCATGCCGAATCATTCCGCCGTGTTCGCTCAGGGAATGGCTGGAATGAAGAACGCAACTTCAGTCCTCAACGGTCATACCGGCAGTGCTGTGATTGATGGCCCGAACCTGGCATCAATGCCCGAAGCGAACAAGGCGGCTAGCAAGCCACGCATACGGAGAGCGAGCGAAGGCTCAAGGTTGAGCAAAGGAGAAGGACGAAGGAGCGCGGTAGAATTGCGTTGCGAAACCTGTGGAAAGGGGTATAAGCATAGTAGCTGTCTCACCAAGCACTTGTGGGTAGCCCTTTTCCAAGTTTCTCCCACGCTGGACATCCCCTTGATTCAGGGGATGTGATTGACACCAAGTTATTGTTTCGCGAATTTCATGTACTATGTTCTGTTTCGGAGCGCTTCCTATTCATTCGCATAGCGGGGAAGGCCGAAAGTTAACGGTTCCATGCAGATGGGAACATACTCCCGAATGGTCTTATACATCAAAGCTGTTGATCTCGAAACATCAGCAGGTACAACTCCTCGAGGCCGCCTCGGTACTGGTCAACATGAATCAAGACGGTCCGGAATCATCCCATTCATCGGACTCTCCAGCCGCATCATCCGATCCGACCTCATCGCCAGACCCGGATCCTGCCCTTTCCACCATGTCCCTTTCCTCTCCCGAAACCACACCCCCGCCGGGCGGTCGGGAATTACATGGACGCAAAGCTCCGCCATCTCATTTGGATCGTACGCACCGATTTAGCAGCGCCTCCAATGCATCGTCAGCTCTGTCCGCTTCATATAATTCCACGTCCACCGCTGCCACCGCCGTAACGTCTCCCGGCTTTTCCGAGTCCGCTCCTCAAGGTCGACCTTATATGTCCCACTACCGTCAATGGAGTACGTCATCTGCTACCACGAACCCGACTGCCTCCTCATCCCATACCGTTGGCGCCATCTCTCGCGGAATGGATAGCATTTCCGGGGGTGGGTCGAGTGGAAATGTGGTTAGTGGCATCGACGAGGAGAAAGAAGATGATGATTCAACGTCGGCCGATCTAGCCGCCGCGGTTGGTTTGTTGAGTTGTAGCTACGGTACTCCAAAAACTGGCCCGGTCATGTTGCCCCCAGACGTACCGCCAGTCCCTCCACTCCCAGCTCAATATCTTTCCGGTTCGGGGCCAGGAACTAGCCAGTATGCCGGATCTATCTCGAATTCCTTTTCGCACTTCACCAATAGCCAATCCGCGCCGCGTCGTCCACCAGTCAGTCCGATCGAGCAGAAAGTATTCCCCGTTGGAGCTGTGAGCACTGGCGCTCCGGCACGAAAGTTGAGACTGGATGCTGATCGAGACGTCGAGATGGGAGACCATGAAGTCATGAAGATGGAGATGGAGGACGACGATGAATGGAACGGGACTAGTCGAATCGTGGACGAACGGGCCATGAGCGATGATGAAGGCATGTTTGGGCAAATGGAAGAATAGGACGCGGACGAATAAACGACCCTGATGGAATGATGGAGGTGCTAGACTGCGGTGGTGCAGTTTCTATCCTCCCTTTATAGGGAACCACCGCCATGGACGACCATTGCCGTCGGTACCGATTGAAGCTATTTCGCAGTCATCTCGCAACTTGACAGGTTCTAAATGGATAATGGATTCATAGGCAATGCGATATACTCAGGAAAGCGAAATGGAAGACCATGTTGATTAGTATGCCTGGAGGTGTTCCGTTCATCTTTCGTGCTGGCAAGATCTCGTTTTTCGGGTTTGAATTGTACAACGGTTCCTTACATGATAGAAAGTGTCTAGTTCTGACCGTTCCCAAAGGTCAATCTCATTTGCCCCTTTGCCATTCCAACTTCGTTCTTCTTCGGTCTACCCCTGGCTCTACCATTTCCCTTCCCACTGGCATTTCCATCCTGGGTATTAACCCCCCTCCGACTTCTCTCAGATATTATGTCTGGAGGTCGATTTCTGGTCGGGGACTCAGCAGCCAGTTGGGTGGAAAGATCGGAGGCAAAATGCCAATCGGCGTGTTCATCTTTGGACGAAGGCGAAATCGCCGTGCTGCAGCGGGGACAGGGCGAGCCGGAATTCTCTGCCCTGGAACCAATACTAGGGGGTAATGCCGATGTCTTCGGGTGCGAGCCGCTCATTTCGATCGAGGCAGACATGTTGGTATGAACTGCATGAGACCGACTACCCAGATCAGGACGAAACAGTTCTGATGTTGGTCGGAGGAATTTATGTAGCGCGCCTGTATCGCCATGGGGTCTTTTTCTCTTCGCTGATTTCGTTCCTACACTAGCAATCGCTGTAACGTTATACCCTTCGTCACCCTCCTCTTCCCATCTCTTATCCCTCTGAAGCACCTCTTCATTCATCATCCTCGCCTCCTCACCTCTCAGCAAAAAGTTCCCAATCCCCTTGTTTTCTTCGACGCAGTCTTCAAAACCTCCAACCGATAGACTAAGATGTCGACATGGCCAGGCCCTTCCCTCGGACACGACTTGGGCTAGCAGTCCCTTCCCTGCGTTCAATAGGCCATCTTCAGTCATGGCTTTTTTCGCGCTAGAAATGGGTGCCTGACGACTTCGTGTTGTGTTTCCCTGCCGGAAATGCAACGCCAGGGTCTTTGGTCGCCTTCGGTTCTCCAAAACTCCCTCTTCCATGCATCGAAGGAAGATATCCGCTGCGAAGATCCTTAGCCATTTGACGGCAGCATCCCAGGAATTGATCGTGGGTTGGAATGATTTCGCAGAGAGCATGGATTTGATTCGAGTTCGGGGATTCACCTCACTATGGTCGATGCCTCGGAGTGTTGAATAGACCCAAGCGGCGGTATCGTCATCCAAACGACGCTTCAAACCACCAAGAGAAGTAGAAAGGAGTTCGGTGATAGAGTCGGTATGAAAGTGGGAAACAAGCTGGTCACCTAACTTGCCACCCAGATTCCGGATCTTGGTAAATTTCAGGGGGGAAAGGAATTGGGATATAGCGCGATTCCGTATCACTGTTTGTGAATTCGGTTTCTTGTGCCCCGCTCCAAGCTTTGCAAGCATCTTGTTGCGTGCAATTCCTCCTGAGCAAGTGTATTTCAACTGTGTCCGCACGGCATCCCTTAAACCTCGCACGATTTCCGCTCCAATCGCCATAGCGATATCATCCCAATCGTGATCTTGCTCTTCGTCATCATCCAGGTTGATAAGCTTATCCGCATCCCAATCGATCGCGCTGGTAGGTGGTTCGGGTAACAGCTCCGCCGGATCGTCGGGAGGTCCTTGGAGCTCTGGAAAGCGTTCCAGCAGTATCGAGTGGATATGCGCCGACAGATCCAGGAAAACTTCATCGATGCTGGCTTTTTCAACACGTTGGAGGTGGCTGGGCAATGTCTCCTTGATGACTTGAACAATCTTGCGACTTTCCAAGCGATATGGGTCCAGCGATACCTTATGCGTCGCAATATCCCGGTCATCGTCCTCGCGGTACCGCCACCGATCGTCCCCTTCTTTCCATGTTGGCACGTGTGGTAGCACGACCTCCGGGCACTTCTCTCGTGCCTCCTGAGGTGTTACGTGCCGACTGAGGCCAAATTCTCTTGCGGGGTAGTTGATTGCGATCAGAGCTTGCCACTGCTGTACTCCCAGTGGGGTGGTCGGAGGAAGGCCAAGGCGGACAATCTCGCATTGGGCATAAAAGGCATCGAGATCCACGAGGGCTATGACGCGAAGTGGTGTGGTAGTACTATACTGAGACAGTTGTTGGAGGTGTCGGAAGGTGAAGCGCGAGTTTGGACAGGTCGGAAGGGAGGAGACGAATGGTTGCGAGGAGGACATATCGGACTGAAGTCCATGACCATTGTTATTCCTGCTGCAACAGATGATCAATAATTCAGTTACGCTATTGTTGCCATTGAATGCATGAATATAGGTTCCATCTTCTGTTGGTTGCGCACGCGATGTTCATTGATAATTGGCAGCGCGTTCGCGTGATTCAAAACGCGTGGTCACGGGACCTCGCGACTTCACACAATCACCTGACCGGACTGAGAGGAGAGAAATAATTCGCATTTTCGCGTCTGATGCTCACACAGGCTTCATGTACTACGGTATCTCCGTAATCTCCAGATCAAGATGGCCCCGGAGCATCTTCCTGCGAGCCAACTCGGCACAAAAGAATAGTAAGAAGTGAACACCGAATGATTTCCGCATACTAACGGTGAGCAGCTGGGAGCAAGCATATGCGAACGAGATTGTAAACCATCAGGCCGAACCTTCGGATGAAGGAACAGTGTGGTTCTCGGATGCTGCAGCTGAGGAGCGAGTACTCGATTTTCTGGAGTCATTGTCCGATGAGGGAGTGCTTTCGAAAAGTACGGCATCATTCGTTGATATTGGCACCGGAAATGGCCATATGCTCTTTAGTCTCCGTGAAGAAGGCTGGGAAGGAAGTCTGGTTGGTGTGGACTACAGCCAGCAGAGCATAGATTTGGCAATTCAGATTGTTGATTCCAAAACGAGGGGTATTGTAATCGACGACAACGTCCCTCCCGACCGACTTGCACTTCAATTCCGAAAGTGGGATATCATGAAAGACCCTCCTGGGGATTGGTTTCCCCCTGAAGATGGACTTGATGTTGCCCTTGATAAAGGGACGTTCGATGCTATCAGTCTTTCTAGCGAGCTAGATGAACAAGGTCGCCGGTTATGTGAAGGCTACGGTGACCGGCTCCAGCGATTGGTGAGACCGGGAGGTCTTCTCATTATTACAAGCTGCAACTGGACGGAAGATGAGGTCATTTCGTGGCTCATCTCTGACGAGAGCAATCTGGTTTTAAGGGATCGCATCAAATATCCGACTTATACGTTCGGAGGAAGAAGTGGTCAACAAGTTGTCACTCTATGTTTCCAAAAGGATGAAAAAGCGTAACTACATGATTGTCACCTATATGGGCCGAGACTCAAAGACATCAAAGTATCACAGGTACGCTTCCTCTGGCACAGTCCGATATCGCCATCTTTTCATACATTCCCTTTAACCCCCCAGCCAGCTTTCCCCAACCAACCGAACACGTCTTCCACTCCTTTTCTCCCGTTGCTAAGGGAAAGATGCTCGGGGTTTGGGCCAGGGTCGTTGTATTCCTGCACGATCCGCTCTTGTGGCAACACCTCGAGGATGATACCTCCAACCATGTCCTCCTTCTCACATAACCTCAACATGCTGTCCGCAATCTGTTCCGGAGTACAGAACTGGTCCTTATCCTCATTTACCAACTTCATCTTCTCCGGGTGATCGGTCCACAGCGGGGTTTTCACCAGTCCCGGCGCAACCGCGTTAACGCGTATGCCGATCGTCTCCAACATGGCAAGGCTTCGAACGAGGCCATGCATCGCATGTTTGGAAGCGATGTACATGGGGTTAGCCAGGCCTGAAACGTGGCCTGCAACAGAGGATATATGCACGATCCGTTTCGGGTTGGCAGGGCTGACTTTCTCGATACCAGGGGGAGGATTGAGGAAATGCGATATCGCCATCTGCGTCACACGGGTTGGGTGCGTCACGTTGATATCCAGAATGCTATATCGCCCGCCGTCCACCGCATCCTTGCTCACAGAGGTACCAGGAGGATGCCAGAAGTTGCTCCAGTGGGGTTCGTAGATTCCCGCGCCGGGACACACCAGATCAATATTTCCGAATGCAGTAACTCCAGCGTCAAACATGGAGTCCAGGTCAGGCCAGCTGGTAACGTCGGTATTGTGAAAAATGGCACGAGGCTGAGAAGTGTATTGTTCCAGGAGTACTTTCGCCTCAGGGAGGAGGGCAATATCTGCAATGAGGACATTGCAACCTCTCTGTAACAACAGCTTTGCGAACCAGTAGTTGATACCTGCTACCATTAGCGAGTTTCCATCGTGATGGTTTCGTGACTTTTAAAAGACGCACCAGATCCAGCTCCCGTTACTATGGCAGATTTTCCAGTGACGGAGAATGGCAGACTTGCCGGGTTGCCATCAATCGTCCCAGGCATCTTCAAAACTTGAATTGGTACTGGCACAGTAAGGTACCTACCTACTAGTTCGGGCAAAGAGGTAAAATATAGTGCAATCTTGCAATAATCGGGCTTCAATTCGTTATTCTTTTCGCAGTTGAACCTGATAAGGGTCCAATTCCTCTTTCTTGTCAGTCGTCTATCGCTTTACGCTTCGGATACAATTCAGGTGGGGTCCGGCTCTACGATTCAGCCTCCATTCCTGTTACCGGGACAGGAGAATCCCAAGGCATTCGGCCAGCTCTAGTAAATTGGGTCTTGAATTTTAGTTCTCGTTGACATTGAGTCCTGGATACTATGTGTGTTCGAAAATCCGGAGAATGATGTGCTTAAACAGTGCACCTCAAGTGAATACGATCTCCATCACCTTGTCCTCGTATATGACGATTGCACGTACTATCCTGGTCTGCGCGGTCTCAATTTATATATTTGCTACTCTGTAACCGCTGGTGGCGAGCAACACATCACGAACCAGAGAAACGAAACCATCCGGTTGATAGAAAATACCTTAGTTTGATTGGAATCTGTCCACGGTTCGACCATACGGTGAAACGTGTAATTCATCCTTTTGAATAAGAGTTCTGTCTACCCGGCGGACTCCATGGAACCTAGTCAAAGCCGAACTCAATTCATGCCTTTTACTGAGCTTATCAACCGGTGCCTCGGGTTCTATCATACACAGATTTTACAAGCACTATGCATGGTATCTCCTATTTTTTGGGCCATGCCCATCCCAATTAATTGCGACGGACTTCATGGTATAAACAACCATGCCGTGGAAACTCGTCGGATCCGACGACTATGTACATTCCTGTCAGTCTGGAGATATACCAAATTACACGAAACAGTAAGTGATATTATTCTAGACCTCTCTCCAATGTACTCGGATGTGGGAAGTGCTGCTCTCATGAGTACCCATCGCCCATATCGAAACGATGTCGTAGCACCCTCGGCGTCTTATGTTCGCGAGGTGGCAAATGTGAATGTTTCTTGAGCACTCGGTTTGCCTTGCAGCTCTTCTTGCTGGTAGCATCGACAGCACCCCGTTGTTCAGGTTCTTCGAAGCTTTCCGCCGAACAACAATCCACGCTCTTCAAGAGTCCAGTGCGAAGCGCGTCAGCCATACTGATGCGCTTCTTGGGGTCGGGGTGAAGCATTTTCAACATCAAACGTTTCAGGGGTGCGGAGTCGAGACGGGCAAAAACAGGGCCACATTTCGGAGTGCCCTCCACACCATCGTTGATCATGCCGTCAGGATGCACGGCGAGCCAGTCGCTCCAACCTTTGGCGAATTTGGCGTAGTGCTGGTATTCAGGCTTGGCGGCTTGCCAAGGTGAACCACTATAGGTCATGGTGAGGAAGACAATGGCGCAGGACCAGACGTCGAGCGGTCGCGGGTCATAGTCGCCTGATGTGACGGTGTCAGCATGGTCGGAACGAAGTTGTCAAAATCATAATCGGAAAGACTGGCAATATTTCGGGATGAGGTGACGTCATTGGATGATGGGATGCGGGGGAAGGCGGAGGGAATGCAACGGTGAATAAAGGGCGAATGCAACATCGAAAATGACAAGGGATATGAAAAGCACAAGGAGCTCAGACAAGTACGTACCGTTCTTTTCCAACACCTCCGGCGCAATGTACGGCAAACTACCGCATATGCCCGGAGCACATCGACGAATCTCGCCCATATCTTTTCCACACTGGCCGCCGCTCTCTCGTAATCCTGGATGGGCGCCACAGAATACCTCCGAGACTCCGAAGTCCGTGATTTTGATGTAGCCCTCATTCGTCATAAGCAAATTTTCCAGCTTGATGTCTCGATGTGCGATGCCGTGACTGTGCAAATAATCAATCCCCCGAGCGATCTGCTTGAAGAAACACAGCCGGTCTTCCAGTTTGTAGTAGGTACGGAATAACCCTCTCTCAACGAGGGTATAGAGCTCTCCCACGTGGCAGTACTCCATAACATGGTTCCAACGACCATGTTGCACACACAATTGCACCGTGTCGACAATGTTGGGATGATGTAGACTCTTGGCGATGCTGAACTCCGACTTGACTTTCTGAATGTACTCCTCCTCAGCCTCGGACTTGTCCTTCCCACGGAACTCCTTGACGGCATATAGCTCATCTTTGTGTCCACCGCGCCGCTGCATCAATGTGACGGTCGCCGTAGCGCCTTTGCCCACTAGATGACCACGTCGGCCGGGGAAGATGCTTGGCGATTTGTATTCCTTTTCGAGTTCGCAGAAATCCACCCAAAACTCGCCCGGGAGACTCGTGCTTAACCGGCGAGCTTTGAGGCCGGTGCCTTCGACGGCCATTTTGGAGTAGGAAATCCGTAGGCCATCGGTCGGATCGCCTTCTTGATCATCGGTCGTCGGCCGGATGATGGGAATTTGGTCGGTACTAGCGGAGCGGCGGCGATGGGGTCCGGGCACTTGCAGACCACTACCCGAAGGGACGCTGCCCCAGGTAACGCCTGGCCTGGGAGATGACATCCGTGCAATCCCAGATGTTGACTGCGAGTGACCACCGGCAATGCCATTATATGTCTGGGACTTTTCTAACGCATTGTTCTCGATTGGCGAGGCTGGGGATGGAGGAGTGTTGGTACCCGAGTTGGTCTTGGACGTGTTCGGGGAGTTTCGAACGGAGAGGGAGAATGAGCTGATGCGTTTGGCTTTGGGTGTTGGCGTGGAGGAATCAACTGCTCCTGTGTTGGGGCGGTTGATGTTGTTGGAGTTGGCGTCGGTGCCATCGGGGACCAGACTGTTCTTGTTTTTGCTTGATGAGGTACGTCCAAGACGACTTTTCACGAAGCTACCCACTCGTTTGCCAATTCCACCTTTCGGTGTTGCAGGCTCTTCGCTGGATGATTGCGACGGAGATTTTCGTGGTGGTGGAGGAGTATCGGGGAGAGTCTTTGGTACAAACACTGGTCGTGGACGTAGTGGATCCGGACCAGGGGCGATGGAATGATTTGTAGCCCGAGTTGGCGACCGCGATGGTGACTCTAATATGGGAGAAGTGGTATTAGGGATGGTCTGTATGGGGGTGGGAGGTTTCAAATTCATGGCCGGCGCGTATTGAGGCAGAATGTGATGGTCGGACGCGGGCAATTCGCCATGGTCGTGGAATCGATGGTGATTCGCATCGCTGGTCGGAGTGATTGGTTCTGCCGTCTCGCTTCCACTTCCAGTACCATCATCCTCTACTTGGGTGGATTTCAGACGAGATTCGGAATCGGAGGCAGGTGGTTGCTGGGGTGTCGATGTCGCGGATGGGGGTCCGATTCCGGTAGCGACAGGGGGCGAAACTAGGTGCGAAACCGCATTCACCGGCATTTGGACGGATTGCTCGACTGGTCGATGTCTTTGCTCGGTCTGGGAAGATGCCATGATGACCTTCGGTTCGTACAAGATCGGACGGGGACGGTGGACAGCCAGGACGGTTGGAGTGTGTGCCTCGTGCTTGGTGGGGGTTATCGGGTCAGAAGCTAGACAGAAAGGCGCGCTGCGCGGTCAGACAGTGGCACGGACGACACCAGATCATCAATGCGTTCCAAATCAGGCTCAATTGAACGGTGATGGTCGAGAGAGAAGGGATGCGAAAGAGACTCGAATTCGCTAAGCGCGTTGCAAACTGCTGGGTTGGAGATAGTAGGCGAGGATGGGCGAGGTCGAGCCTCGTGTGGAGTTGATGATGCGAGGTGAGGAGACGGAGGGGGACGAAGCCATGAAAAGGTTCGGTACTCTGCAATTTCCAGAGGAGCAAGGTTGAGTTGGAAAAGGATATGATCTGAGATGATCGGGAGGACCAAGTCGACGGCGGATGATTCGGCAAGGCAGATTTGTCGCGGATTTCTCGAGGGAAATATGGAGAAGACGGTAATGGTGGGATTGGAGAGGGCAGCTGGAGAAAGGGTCCGTGGGGATATATATAAGACACTAAGACTAGAGAGTGAGGGAGTTCAAGAGTGAGTTAAGAAAGGACAGGAATGGCAGACGGCGAAGGAAAAAAGCCAAGGCCAAGAGGGATGGTTTAAATGGTTGCAATTGATCCATCATTTCCAAGAGATCCAAGAGATCAAGAGGCAAGACACGATGGATTTCTGGGAGACAGGCATCGGGATGGAATGGCCGGGGATAACGCGGCATGCGGCGGCTTCAAATGGGCGGGTAGGGACTGGCAGTCTGGCCGTACATATTCGGTTGAGTAAGTTGATTAGACGGGGTCTGGTATCGATAACGGTAAGGATAATTCCAATTTAAACCGAACGGGTTATAAATCCGATGACGAAATGCGGCAATCGTCGAAGGGATTGGAGAATCGACAAGTGCTGACCTGCTGACTAAGTCACGTGTGGCAATGGTGGTGATGGAGGTGATGGAGGTGATGGTGGTGATGATGGCGATGATGGCGATGATGGCAAAATAGGGAGTCATTAGAGCCTAATTAGAGACCCGACAATTCCATCTCATCCCTTCACATCCACGGTAAGATATTAACTCCTACTCTTCGTATCTCATGTCATAATCCGAATACCTAATCACGCCGTCGGAGTGGGATTCGCAGATTCGCAACTCGCAACGGAACGGGACACCATCGGACGGCGATCGGGTGCTGGGCAATACTTGGGCCACTGGGCAAAGAGAAGGAAGCTGATCAATCGTTCAATTCATTCGATTCAATTCAAGAAGGCTTCCATTCTTCCACTCCTCCAGGAGTTAATTACGTACAGGCTCCACTGTTGGCTCCATGCTGCCGTGCATCCGCTTTCAATTCATGTCTAATTGTCTATGTCCGCGGAGTCGTGATCCCCAACTGTGAACTGACAGCTAACTGACTGACGTAGGTTAACTGCCCAAAACAGTCGTGAACAATAATACCAAATGCCTAATATTCAATACCCATTCAGATCTTAGGGCATTCACCTTAGAGCCTTGCACTCCCCATCCGGCCCTGGAAGTCTCCCTGCCGCATCTCCGAGATGGCGGCCCCCGTCCAATAACCCCTCACAACCTTCCCGTCGTCCGTCTTTATCCTGATTGCACCATGCCACTGGCCCCTACATGCCCTGACTACAAGTCAAGGGATCCGCCCTATCCATCCGGTCCAAACATTCAAATCCCGAATGACGTTCGGGGGATCCGGATTCTTGCGACGTTCGTCTGGATAGGCCATGAATTGGGTCCCCGTGCAAGTGCCTCTGCATGCCAACACCACTGGTTCCTTGTGCTGTTGCACATTTGGTCAACCAAGGCTGATTGAATTGCCCAGGTCTTGGGTAGGACTCATAGGAGTTAAGGAGACCAAGTTGCGTTGGCCCTGCACAACAACAGTACGTACAGCACAAGACTTCTCACCCAAGAACTCTGGGGAAGGATTCGGAGCTACACCGTGTTTTTATCCACATGCTCATTCCCGATCTTGCTTCGTCATTCCGACCAGAGAACAATGCCTTCGGCCTTTACGGACGGAATAAGTCTCGTTCTGCATGCTCTTGCAGCAACAATTGACAACGGTTCGTAATCCGTCAACCAGCTTTGCCGAACAATTCTCGAAGATCGACGGTAACAGATGCACATTGTTGTCCACTAGCGGATCATGTGTTGCCCTGTCATACAACCAGGTCAAGTTGCAGAAGGGGTCGGTTCAGAAAGATCTAATCTCAATCATCACCACAAGTGGCTCATCTCCAGAGTGTAGGATGATCCCGAATTCCGTTTTACCGATTGTTCCGACATTTACTCATGTCATGGCTCAGGCCTTGAGAATATGTGTACCTTTCGACCGAACCCTCAGGAGTCCGGAACGATACTGGATCTTCGTGTATCAATTGATTGTAGAGTGGCTGATCGCACGTCTTGTTCCTTTGGTAGACACGGTTACCTCTTATCCGCCCATTACCTGATTGTACAGTGTACACATTTGGGACAAAATGATGCCTTGATCGATGCGGTATCAGACACCCACATGCCTCTTCAGCGGCGGAAACAAGGCTTCTGAGCAACGGAAGGCAAAATTATATCACGAGGAGAGCGTGAAAGTCTCGTCGGCCTTCTCTCGTCGTCATTTCACCCCCTGCCTAATTATGGAGGATATGCGTCTGAATGACAAGCCCGTCCTGGCAACTCCACGCCTTACTGATTGGTGAACTCTACCGATTCATCCCTCTCTGTCGGTAACCGCGATTCCAATCTCTAGCCTTACCACCTCGTGGGTTCCTTGTGAAGCCTGGTCTCCTTCTAGATACCCCACTATGCGGGGCCAGCAAGCAGGAGTACAACCATGATCACACGATGCCGATGCTCATGCCCGTACTCCGTGGCCTGTTCGAGCAGATCGGAATGGCGTGCGTGGGGGGTTTGCATCAATATTCTCATAACCCATGCACAACTTGCATGATGCGGATTGCTAGCTGCGACTTGCGAGTTGAAAATGCAACACGGTCCGAGATTCGGACGAACCCAGAGCAATACCGCTGACAAGGTAAGACAATACTAGTGCAATGGTCTGGCTAGGAAGGTATGCTTTGCAGCTCATATTCATTTCGAGATCGTGGTCAAGGGCCGTGGCGGAATGAAATTTTTGATACTGCAGGAGCCAGGAGGACGTCCATGCCGCGGTCCTGATTGGCAGTCTTTATGGTGATAAAAGAGGTCTTGCCAGCCTGAAACGGACTATTCGCTGAGCTTCTGTTCGTCCGATCCAGAACAGTATGAATAACACCTTTGATACTTGGCGGATACGAATACACACGATCATCTCGAACCTAAATTAGCTAAGGACCTTCCGCTCCTTCACTCCGTGATCGTTAGGTATCGCGGTACCGTAACGTGGTGCTTGATAGGGTCCTTGAGGCCTCAAAGATTTGAAGTCGTGGATAGGACGGAACTACTTTAATAGCTAGACTTCCGTGTGATCCGCATGGTCGTCATGGTCGTCGATAATTCGTAAAGTTCCACGGTGATCTTGCCGACAACTGATTTTGATTCCCTAAACGGTTGGTCGACCATTGACACAGAATGTAACGGAAATTGGCATTGGTAAATAAGTAGAGCGATGGTAGATCCAATGACCAGTGACCAGCTTAATCGACTAGCTATGTACAAAGTAAAATATCAAGCGTCACGGTGAATCGGATCATGATTGCTTCATACAGTCCCATTCATACTACACATCGTTAGCGTTAAGGATGGGAATTGACACATCGATGACTTACCACTCGTCCATTCTCATCTCCTGTATATACAACTTGATGAATGGGTAGAATGCAGGTGATTCGGGGCGTCTGGTTTAGAATCGCTCCATGTGTAAACTCCGCATGTTCAAGGCGCTTGACTAACTCCAAGCCCCATTTTCCGTATGTGTCAATGGCCTTTTGCCAGACCTGATAACTGTCAATATTTCCTCGAATTTACACAGGGCAGCCTTACCTTGACAACTCCGCGTTTGTGACCTGTGAACATCAACTCCCTCACCAGCCACTCATTTCCAACACCTTCATAGAATGCACATGTCGAAACGACATCATCGATCTCCTCCGTGTCACAAAGATCTTGGTCTAGCAACAGCTTGCCGTTCAGCGTGTACAAGAGCAGATGCGATCCCGAGCATAAAACGATATCTCCGGAAACATTGTTGATACGAGCGCAATGCACTGGTTGGCCTCGGTGATTAATCTCTCGAATAAACTCGAACCGATTCAAGTCCCATAGGTAGACCTTCCCACTCGAATCGCACGATACAAGGGCGCCGAACGTTTTTGACGCCGCAAGAGCGGTGATCGAGTTTCGATGACCATACAGTGACGAAAGCGCTCGAAGATCTACCGTGCGAGATTGGGAGATCACACTGTGTATGATGAGGACACAGTCGGTTCCGGCAGTGACCAAAGTCTTGCCATCCACAAACAGTGCACACGCAACCTGCCCCTGGTGCACATGTTCAAACAAGGAGAGGAGTCGACGATTGTCGGACGAATAGAACCGCACACTATCATCCGCAAAACCCCATTCCATGTACCGGTCATACATTGGTGGAATGTTTAATCGAAACGCACCGGCGCAGAGGAGACGATCGACTTTGGATGAATAAAGAAGAGAGGTAATAGCCTCACGGCTGTCAAGAAGGGGCTGTGGAAGCCGGACTAGGGATTCTGCCGAACTATCCAGACGCTTGTATCGTGGTTTATCCTCCTCGCGCTCGACATGAGGTCGTTGAAATACTTGGTGTGGGGTTTGGCCAAAGTTGTGAATGATACCGGTTGTCGCCACCCGCACCACTGGATCTTCAATCGCATCCAGGTCTGCTGCGCCGCGGTACGACAAATGATGGAAGACGTTGGTAGCTTCCATAGCCGCTTCTCCCAGCTGTTTATACCCGAACACCAAGTCAATCCATAGATGAAGGTGTTGGCTCACATATGGACTTTCAAGCGCCTCGCGATGCCGTGCAATGAAGATGTTCGGGCTGCCCTTGGCCCACGGTGGAAGAACGACATCACCGATCCTCTCCTTCTCGTTCTGCTTGAGACCAAAGTTGTACTTGTTCACGTTGGCGAGAAAGTCCGGGAGGTAGAAGAACTCTGGAGTCAGTTCACGGACGTCGGTCATGTTATCCCGGGAAGCGGACATCCATGCCCGTTCGATCGAGTGGAATATTCGGTCCGCATGATCAAATGTTCCGCCTTGAAGCAAAAGATAGGACGCAACGAAAGGTTGCAATCGAATCAGGTAAGAGGTGACAATCATGGCTGACGAGTAATGCGTTCCGTAATGGAATGGTTGCGCCGTGTGATCTCCCATCTCGGCGAAAGACTGATACCTCTCGCGAAATTCCGCTTCTCGGGTGGCGGTCTGGCAACCCATCGGTTTGGACAAATCCCTGAAGGTCTTGGGGTTGGTAAGGTCTAACTCTTCGCTAGTATAGTCAGCCAGCACCCAGGGGAACACCGGGTATTGCGTCAGATCATTGAACGTCCGTCCGGCCAATGTATTGATCCACATGAGGTAGGCAAAATTGGACATCTCCCCTTTCACCCATTTGCGGGTGGCCGGATTCGATGAGACGGAGTTAAAGACATTGGCAAACTTGGCCCCAATCGATTGGGGTGCCTCGTCAGGATTTCTCAACGCCTCGAGCCTCCAAGCATCTTCCGTGATCGATGGTGAAATGGGTGTATTCACCTGCGGCGCCTTGGAAACGAGCCTGGAGTACAAATCGTTCCGAATATGAGGAGTGAGCGTTGTTAGAAGATAACTTCGTCCATCACCAAAGAAGATTTCAATGGCCACATCTCGGAAAATGAATCGCCTCTTGGAAACGCTGATGACACTGGGCCAAGACCAATGGCGCTTGGTCTGATCAACCACATTGGATCTGGTCCGCTTCTTCTCCTGCCCAAGAATGATTTGAAGATATGGATCCCGTTCTTCTTGCGGAGCCTGCCCTACACTCACGACCTCACCATCCGAGCGGTGAAAATAATTGTCGAGAAGATAGAGAGTCGTGCTTCCGATGATGAGTAACCCTTCGCGGGCTTCAAGGCCAACAATTCGAGATACGTTGCAAACGTGTTGGATCGAATCACCGGGTGTCAGACTGCGTAATACTTTACGATTCTTGTCCTCTGCGGCATCTTCATCTTCATTTGGATCATCAATCATCTCGAATTCATCATCGCCATCTCCATCCCGAGCCGCGGGCAAGTCGGGATCAGAGGGTCCGGGAAGATCATCGATTTGATGGACCATGACGGGTGTAACACCGATCATATCCTTCGTTGATTGCTTCACTTGTGTATCAATACTCAATTTCTTGGATTCCATATTGCCAGTCGTTCGTCGTTTGGGCTGGTATTCATCATCTCGAGGGATGGTTTCAGGGATGATCTTGAGCCTCACCCGATCTCGCGCTTCAGTTTCGTCGAGCTGCCATTTCTTCGGTTGCGATGTCTCAAACAATTGGCCAGGATCTCGCATCATTTTCCCCATTCTCTCAAAAGCCGCTCCATTCTCGACAAAATTATCTTGTTGGTCTTGAAGCGCTCGCTGGTGCCTTGCTCGTTCGGCAGAGTGAACATTGAGACGCCAAAGCCCCGATTCGGCTTCGTGGCGACGCCAGATTTTGTCGGACAGGATTTCTTCAGCATTCCATTGTTTCAGCCGCTCACGCCGCCGTTGGATCCGAGATTTGGCGGTTTCCTCCGATCGTAGGTTCTCGATCGCTACATGCTCTTCCCATTTCTTCTGCATGCTGGTAAAGAAGAGTTGATTCAGGTCATTTCGATGTGACTCCGTCCATGAGAGAAATGCGTCGTTATCAAGCTCGATGATCTTTCGAAATCCATTCGCAAGGTCTCGGTGCTCTGGAGAAGTCGCATTGTTGAACATCTGAGCCGTCTCGACCGGCTTTTGTACGAGGATCATACGCCAAAAATCCGCAGCCGCCCGACGGATGCCCTCCTCTTTGTCAATCAGTTTGGTGTACAATAGAAAGCTCATCAACCGCAGGTAGTGGTCCTCAAGATTTTCAGGAGAGAGGATAACGGTCTGCCAGTAGGTCAATTTCGACAGGAAAGCGGTAGATTCGACTTTCTTCGCTTGGTTGAGCTCAGACAGCTGCAGCAGTACGACCCGTAGGAAAATGGAACGCAGTGTTGTCACGGCGGAACTGCAGAGGCGAACGTTCTTCGATTCTGCCACATCTGGCCGTTGAAGGATTTCCAGGAGTCCACCAAGAAAGTCCAATAACGGATTCGCGCCCCCTAGGAACCAACCTTCGAAGAGTGCCTCACACATATGGGAGGCATACCGTGCGAGATTCATCAGAACGCGAGGTTCCATGGCCAGCTTTTGGTTCAATCGGAGGTTATTCGAGACGGTCGACATCGTTTGAATGAGAATATAAGACAGGAAGCAGGCCTGATGTTCCACAAATCCAGGGGGAACTTTGAGGAATAGGCCAAAGCCTGGGAACTCTCGTCGGAAGAGAATCTGATCCAAAAATACGGCGATCACCACGTTAAGAAGTTCTTCGACCAAGGCATTCCCGATTCGAAACGATCGAGACTCTCGCTCGGTCGGCCGTACGATAGCGTTGAGACGAGCGACGGCTGGGTGATCCGGAGCATTGCGAGGAGTAAGGAGAATGAAAGTCGACCCTCGTCTCAAAGGGATTACCTTTTGCGTCGCTGGACTCGGCGGGGAATCGACGAGAGTAGTCCGCATAATATGCGACTCCTCGGAATCGACCCGAGGCTGCACGTTGATGTCTTGGCCATCGAAACTAAGAACTTGACCTCGAGAATGCAGTTCCGTCTCTGCACTGACCCTCTCCGAGGAGACAGCTACTGGGTATAGAGCAAACAGCAGTTGGGACACATAATCCGATGATATGGCAAAATTTCTGAAGGATTGGGACTTGAGGTGGAGTTCGGTGAGAAATTCGATCACGGTACGAAGCACTTCCGCATGTCCTGGAATCCGCGAGTCCTTCGGACTAAGACCGTGGGAATCTTTGCCCAAAGACATCGACCGGGGATGCAGATGACTTGTCTCCGTGCTCTTCCCACTTGTGACGGGATCTTGATCTTTCTGAGCTAGCGTGGACTCTTCGTCGAAAGATAGCGATAGCAGGCCAGCTTCAAGCATGGAGAAAAGTACCGGAAGCATTTGAGGGAACATGATATTGTTCGACTCAACGGGAAAGATTGACGTAAGGCTTGCGAGATTGAAGTCTTCATCGAAGTCGATTTTTGCAATGTCACAACCGAAGAGGATGGCAAAGCATACCGTCCACATGGCTGGCATATTCCACCATGCCCTGAGCCGTCTCTTGAAAATAACGAACCCTCCAGAATGGTCGGCGAAAGATTTCACGTAGCTTGTGCCGCTCGTGACGAGAAGACGAGCGAATATTCTTGTACTGCATAGGACCGCCCGAGGATCTCGTTCGGCAAGGAGAGAGAACAACCACTAAACGGTTAGCGATCGTCGATATAACGGCGGAACCACGAACCTTGCTGGTAATTGATCGGGAAAATTGCTTTAACATAACAATCGAACCCGGATCGCAAGTCAGCTCCGTATACAGCTGGAGTATCCGTACACCAATCTCTTCGCGTGATATATCTATATCACTGTCATCTTGCGGACTGACCGACCGTGGGGTGGCCGGATCTGGAGTGACAGATTGGAGAGCGTTCGGAGCCCGTGCGCCTTGCCGGCGAGAACGATTCAAGCTGAAGCGCTCATCATGAAGGGCGAAGGTGATAAAGAGAGACAAGTTTCGTAATATTTCGGGGGACATGTTACACTTGATGAGGGTTTTGAAGGCTCTCAAAAAGTCCGGAAACGCCTCCGAGAAACGTTCCCCTTTTAAAGCTTCGATGAGACGTTTGATGATGCGCATTCGGACCAGACGCTTGTTATTGAACCGATGGTGTTTACTATTCTCCGCGAATTGGATGAATTGCTCGTAATAGGTTCGTTGGATCTTCAGTGGAACCCTTCGCCAGGTATCCGGCTCGACAAGAAGCGTTCGGTAAGCCAAAGGATTGGTGATAATAGATTCCTGTGGTGACTCGTGGTCATAGCCAACAAAACGAAGGATTTCGTCCAGGATATCGGCCGCAAGGCTTTCCATCTCTTCGGTATCGACCCGACCCGTATCCGCTCGAGGAACGCCTTGAGAAATCATGTTGCGGATGCCAAGTTTATCCTGGATAAGACCGGAGAGTACGGCATATCCGGCTTCTCGTTCCATGGCCTCACTATTCCTCCAATGATCTTCGACAAGGGCGAATAGAATCTTCACCGCGGTGACAATGGCTTCCGGTGATTTTGCTAGATGGATGAGTTTCAAGGCGATGCCTGTGCAGCCTCCGATACTCCATGCAGCGTCATCAATGCCATGAGGAATGCAAACAACTGGATGCCCAGTCAAGACGCCGATCGAGTCGGGATGGCATAAGGAGTTGTTGATAGAAGGATTCGCAGCGTTCACCGCAATCGAATGACCCTCCAGGAGAGTATAGGATCGAAGGTTATGAGCCGCATCACGGGAGAGGGATTTGATGAGTTCAGATTCATCGATGTGGTTGTGATCCTCGCTGTCTAACACCGTTAGGGGCGAGATGCTGAGCATAACCTTGCTTTCCGGCAGGACATTCGCAGCTTTCTGTTTAATGGCGGATGCGATCTCGGATTTTTCATCTTTGCTGGGGTGTAGTGCATCGTTCAGGAGGCCCAGCTCTGCGGAAGCGCGATACGTTTGGAATGAACCGAGAGTATCTTGGAAGTTTCCAAAATATCGTGGTCCCATCTTCTGGTAGACAGCAATCAACTCATCGGAAAGGGCATCTTCAAACAAATGGAAGGATGCCAACGACCATCTGGTGTTCACCACATTGCTTCCAACAATTGAAGCCAGCGCTTGGGGAGTTCCAAGAAAGGCCTGCACATGTTCTTCTTGCCTTGAACTTCCCGATAAAGATCCGAAACTTTCCGTGCTGATCGTCCTGGCGGCGGGTCGACTTGGGTAATGGCATCGGACCTCCTCGGTGAAGTGACCGTCGACATACAACGTCGCGCGACTGGGAGTAGTAGCTTTGTGTCTGCGATGTACGATGGCAAGGTGGTACCATCTCCCTGGTTCAAAAGTGGTGGATTTGAAGCGAACACTCGATCGTGACGAAGCTTGCGTAAGGGAAGTCTGCAAGATAAACTGTCTCGAGTCTTTTTCGATGTACGCCAGGAGGAAACATATTTGACCAGCATCGTAGGCCCCAAAAATGGTCGTGTGTGTGGAGGAATCAAACTTGTCAATATAGATCCAGGCACAGAAACTGTATCCCGCACTCGAGGCGGGTGGAGGAAACGAACGACCCAGCCGAGAGAACTCCACGGAGGCATATCCTGAGGGGCTGAGGTCAAATTGGATAAAAGCCGGGCCGCGCGATACTCGAATGGCTCGGAGCGTGAAGTTTGCGGCCTCGGACGAGATGCTTGCTCGACGAAATAAAAAGTATGCATCGTCCAGCTTCGTGACGCCCATTTGCATCATGCTGTCCGCGAGCAGCGGTAAAACTTGAATTTCCTCTTCAAGGGCCTCGTCGTCGAGCAAAAGCCGGAGTATGGGGCCAAGCACACCCGTCCCGTGAACGGCTACCGCGTTCCGGGTTGATTGGGTGGTGATGATCTGTAAAGAGTGTAAGAATCCGACGGACAGGCACCGCAAGGACCGATCCAGTGGGCTTTTGACTAATATGGTCCAAAAGTTGAACGCGAGCAGAAGTGCTTCCGGATTTCGTACGACCTCATTACCACTAAAGAATTTCTCGAGGAAAGGAACCATGTGTGAGGTCAAGTCAGCAACCGAGTGTGTGTCCTTCATACTGCCATCGTCTATCGGCTTGTGTATGGTAGTAGATATGCGGGAGAGGTGTGCCTCGATATCTCGGAACACCCGACTCATGGCTTCTTCTCCCAGGGCAAATGCCAGGAGACAACCAAATAACTGCTCGAGGCCGGGAACGTGCATAAGGCCGTCTTGCGAGGCGTTGATAATACCCGTGCTCGCCAAAGCTTGTTCCAGAGATCGCCAGCCTCCTCCTTCGACTCGTTTTGCAAAATATCTCTTGTTTCCAGCATGATCAACTAGTGCCTCGGAGAGAACTTCAAATGTAGCCTTTAGAAGTTCGAAAAACTCGGTGCGCTCATCTCGTGAGAGTTTCGAAGCATCGTAAAACCCTGACACCGATCGTAGTGTGTCAAGGAGACAGATGAAACCACCGACATGACGGAAAGCATCTCGTGCTCTTCCATGGTCCCCTTGTTCGATCAATATCTGGCGGATCCGTCGAAGATCATTGCACTGGACCTGGAGTGTATCGATGGTGGACCCGTGCCGTTCGGAGGAAAGTGGGAGGGTGTCGTTCAGGTTTTGGACCAACGCATGTATTTCTTCGGCAATAGGCGTATCCGCGGCCGATGCAGCAGTCAGCGACCGGTGACGTTTTCGTAGCTGGTCCATAATGCGCCTTCATTCGAAGCAGGACCGAGCTCTAAAGGGAAATCGTGTAGAGGGAAGTGGAACATTGCTTTCCCTTCAGGTAGGAGGATCTATGAATGATGGTCAGAGTCGATTTGCAATTGCGAGCAAGTCAGGTCCATATGCATTGCATTCACGAACATCAAAGTCGATTGGGATTTCCGTCTGCCCTCAGCATACGACTTATGCTGATGTCAGGTTGGGAAGCTCATATTGGAGAGAGTGCTATACTTGCAACTACGGAGTACAGCTAAGCATCTAGAAGGCGTTGTGAGCTATAGCATCAAGACCTGGACGCATATGATAACAGCATAGAATGAATCGCGAAATATTCGAGATTCCTTTAATCTTATGTTGATTCCTACAGCTTCATGATACACGCTGGATGGTGGAATCACGTGATTATTGTCAATGCGGGTTCCGCATTCATGCCCTTGCCATTCTTCAGTGACTCTATCTAATCAAATCTAATCCTCTACCCATACCAGACTGAAAGAAACAGAACTCTGGATATATGGAGAATTCATGTACTCCTGGTATGGCATCAAATCTTCTGGTACAGAGTTTGTGTGGCGTTTTCAAGGAGACAAGTTGGGTCCCCAACAAGACAAAGGCGAATCACTCCTCTAGTTGGTAGACAGCTTCCACATTCCTAGCTCAGATGCAATTCGAGATTTGAAGAAATTTGTTTAGCATTGAATGCTAATGCAATCCCGACATGTTCCGCAGATACTCTGCAACTCACTGTCCCGTGCAAACGTCTCTTGCAGTCAAATTCCCGATGATTCAAGGAAATCAGATGCGATGTGTTGAGTTGACCCTGTTGTCCGCCTGAACACCGCCAGGCGTAGTCCAAACTCCTCCAATGCCAAGGACATGGTATTTATACAAAATGGTACTATACAGCGGCCGGCCGCACGGATTCTTCGACTCTGCGGTCCGGGTAAGGAGAACCAAGACTCCTGGATGCTGATGGGAGACCGAATAGGTTGATGTTCAGATATCGGTGGATTTCGCTGTGGCCGAGCTAGGAACCGTCGTCTCAGGCAATTCGGTCGCTTGCTCCGGTGCAGGCTGAGATTTCGCAGCAAGTCGGTGCCGTGCATCAGCCTTCGCAGCTGATTCTCGTGCCTGGAGTAAGGAAAGCTTAGGTTCGATCAAACCAAGCTATTATTCTCCAGATTAGCCATGTTCAGGCGGCCAGACATTGCACCGGACTTGCCATCGATAGCATTGCTCGTGCCGGATCACTTGGTTGCGCGCCAACACCCAGCCAATATTTTGCGCGCGCAACATCTAATTTGATGTCCTTGAACTGTCGTCCTTCCCCGTCAAGAGCGGATTTCGGTTTCGGGTCGTATGTTCCTAGCAATGATGTGAGCAAGGAGGTCTAGATTCCAAACAAGCATAATGCTCGAAGTGCCAGGCACTGGTACCTAAAACTTCCATCGGTTTACTGTTTCTAGCAGTTCTAAACCAACTGTCAGCGTCGAATCTTGAGACCGGGATGGAAGCTAAAACCTTGCTTGTGTGACAACCACGTTGTAGAAAGGACTGTGTCGCTTTCCGAAGCGGGCAAGCCGTATTCGAACGACCATGGTTTGGAAGTTTGGGAGCCAAGCACATGCTTTGGCAAAGTTTAGAAGATAGGATGGGTCCGAGCCTGGACTGGAGATGGTCCTTGAAGCGGTTGAAGTTGAACATCGCGGCGTGGAATCCTCAGGCCCAACACGACCGGCGTTCATCCGTGGTTCATCCGGAGTTCATCCGGAAGCCGACCAGATGCCAGTCACGTGCCATCAGTCCTTTGCCGTCCACGCCATCCTATTCTCACTCTCCAGCTCAATTCCTTAGGTAATTTCCCATGTTAGAAGCAGATAATTAAGTTAAGTTAGTTAACTAACTAACTTAGAGAAGATAGAAGGAGATAGAAAAATGGGGCACGAGGCCACAAGGCACCAACGCATGTAATTAGTCAGCTTAGGTAGTTCCCCACATGGGCCTCGCCGAGAGGCCTGACGGGCGTATGAATCTCTCTCTCTCAATTCCTTAGGCTCCAATTCCTTATCTCCAGACTCCAGGCTTCAACCGATCACATCATGATTATATCTTATTATTATTGTCCCTCGCTCTCCACCGAGTCCCTGCCTGCCGCCGAGCTCCTGCCACGAAGTCCCTGGTATGACCTGAGATATGCGTCAAGCCCAAGAACCTCCAATTCGACCGGTCCAACTGATAATCGCAATACCTTGGTGCATGGCTTTGCCTCCAGGGCTGTATTAGTACACGAAGGCTACATGTACACCTACAACGTGGCAATCCGGGTTCTATCGCCATAATCCCTGCTTTAATCTATATCAGTGGTTCCAGAACGAAGCTGAGACCGTGCAATATTGCCATGACTTTAGCCCTGTGCCCCAAGCCAATACAGTTAGGGATAAAGTCATGCCGAACCATGTTTAAGTTCGAACTCGGCAAGTCCGGTGACCCATAACCTGTTGCGAACGAGCAGGGTTCGAAGACCTGAACGCACCAAGACCAGGAACAAGTCCCGAATTAAATTGCATACCTACCTGTAGGACATCGCTGGACCCCTCATCATCGGGAGGTAGCACCTGAGGAAGTAACTTACCCATGGCGCGAACCTCGGTGTTAGTAACAGCCCCTAGGTCGTGGGCTGGGGGTTGATCATGGATGTCATTCAGTTCCTGCAGCATCTTAGGGGCAAGGGACATTTCAGAGCGCATGAGATCAGTGGATAAACAACTAAAATGTATTCCAGGTGCGAGTAGACAGGTGTCTTAATTATTCCATTAAATCCGTGTAACCTTTCAACCAACTCAATGTACATCCAGGTCTTCGGAGAGCATCATTAATCGTAAACAGGATAGATGTGAACAGTTGACAACTCCATCGTACATGTAGCGCACCAGTGCTGCTATGCGCCTGTGGGACCCCAAAGTTGACTCGGCTTCCAAACTCTATCGCCATTCCGAGACTTTGGAGAATCCATAAAAGCCTCCCGAAATGATCTAGAAATAAAGATCAGGGCCATTGTCATAGCGTTCATGCCCAGTCTCCTTCCACGGACGTCGGCGTGGCGGCAAAATACTCCTCCCGGTCAATGACGACGATAGGGCCCGGCCTCCGACAGGTCGGTTCGACGACGTCGAACCCAAATATCAAGAAAGATTTCCCTTTTTCTTTTGTAATCCAAATTCGCGGCTTCAATTCCCCTTAGTACGCCCAAAAAAAGATGCTATTCCAAATCGTATACCAAAGCGCCGGGCTCTGAATCCCAATGCGAAATGAACCATTGATTCCGACCAAAAATCCGCAACCCACAAATGGGTGGATTAGACAATATCAAATGTATAGAATCCGATTAATCCATGAGGTGAAGCGCTCCAGGTCCAGATATAGGAAGACTTGCGATTGAAAATAGCCGATAAGCTGGACGCCGTCGATACCGTCGACTAAGGACCAGCAAGTTGTATCGTGACCGTGCACCGTTCGAATTCGGATGGCGAGTTGATCTGTATTTAGTCTCTCATACAACACTGCGGGTAACGATGTCGGACCATGTCGTAGTCGGACGGATACTCCGGAAACAAGAGTCAATCCGAACTCTTATGACTACCAACCTCGATGAGTAGCGCCACCATAAGCATTCGGTCCCTCATCATGTCTTGCGGTAAATCGACCATCCCGGAACAGTCCATCTTCTCCTCTGCCGTTCCAATGAGAACCGGCGACAGTCCTGGGATTGGATTGGTCGGCAAGTCTCGGTTGCCTGCTCGAATTTGGCTTCACGGTCGGTTTGAGATGCTCTTGACTGCTACGGCCCGAGATAGCAAATTCGGATTGTGATTCATCGTGCGATTCTACTCGAATGTCGATGTCTCGAGCCACCTTAATTCCTCCCAGTTCAATGTCATCGGTAATACTCTTGTGGCGCGAGCTGTAAGGATGGGTTCCCTTACCGACAGTGGACGAGAGGCCATAACTCCGATCGGGCTTCTCGGATCCGGTCTGGCCAAATGATCGTTTGATCGTGTACTTCAGGTCGCTTCCAAACGAGGAGACTTTCAGGTAGCGTTTAAAGAAGACCTTCAATGCAGGCGCGGATGCACAGATGACGGCAAGATGTGTTTCAACAGCGGTCCAGACCCAGACCTCTTCGGCTGCCCACGTTACGTCGTAGGTTTTGTAGTAAACCTTTCGAATGGCAAGAATGCGAAGGATTCCTGTAATACATAGGCTACTTCAGTCAGTACGAGCCCTAACTTCCATCAAGGTGCACTTACAAGAATCCAACGCCAAAGATGGATGCGAGTGCCACTTTCTGCCGCCTGGGTAATTTCAAATCCCAGAATAACATCGTTGGTAATCCACATGCGATGAAATCCTGCAAAACGCTGATACTGGATGCAGCCAGTAGGTTGGCTCCTTCATCGAAGCAGTGATATTTTCCAGCATTTTCTAAGGCCCACCTCGGATCGACCGAGTGCCAGAAGGCGTGTATCGGGATGCAGGTGACGAAAATGTTAATCGTAAAGACGATCATGTAAAGGACGACGAAGATGATGCTCGCCCATACGGCATAATAGAATGGTTTAGAAATCGACCCTGCGGACATTCGTCGATAGAAGAACAGAATGGAAATCTTGATGATCGCAGTGCCAGGCGTATACAAAACTTCGAGGGCCATCACCATCTGGCGCAATCAGTGACTTGTCCATCACCGACAAGCTGAGGATGCGTACCTTGCGGCTTTGCATTCCTTGCCCTGGCTTTAAATCCCATACATGGCGATCAAACCCGTAGAGACGAGAGCCTATACAAATCAGTCCAACCGTCTCGGTGTTCATTCGAATCGTACTGACCCAGACATGTGCCCACTGCCAGTCCAGTCACGAAGACCTAGAAACGGATCAGTCAGACGGTCCTCGTTGACACACTTGCCGACAACGTACCATAGCCACGGATATTAAAGCATCATCGAGTCCTGCATTCTTTGCAATTTTGAGGCGGGCCCATAAGCGGGCAGTGAAGATAAGAAAGGTAACAAAGTAGAGGACTACGACCAATATCACCAGGCCCCAACCTCGTGTTTCGGGATTAATGTAGTTTGGCTGCGGCCATGACTTGGCCACTGATATCGGAGGATGAACACCTCCAGGCATGTCTGCATCACAGAATGGATGTGCTACTGGGAGGAGTCGTGGTGATGTTGAAGCTTGAAAGGCCCAATATTTGTTTGAAGGATATCAGCCAGGGTTACGACTGAATTAAGTAAAGGACATGAGCCCTCGAAAGCATAAAACTCCAAGTAATGTGGCGTTTCCTAGGCCGTCAGGGATAGCATCATACTGATCGGCTGGAGAATACTACAAATGGCTGGTTGAAGGTTTGCCGATCAAGGTTCAGCTGGTCCCACCGCCCACCGGCGGCAGACGACCAGACGGTAGACGCCCGTCATCCACTATTTCCTGGAGAAGTAGTCCGGAACCCGCACGAGACGGAATGTGCATCGGGCTTTGCAACAGAACGTGCTATTAAATGCACGGTGCCTCGTCAAGGTCCCAACTCCCAAGGATGACCTAGAAAGGCACCATGGCCTCGTGGCAAAAGAAGGAGGTCGTTCATTGTTTTCTCGTTAGTTTCGACTTTCGAGGTCGTGAGGATCCAGCCATCCAGGTCTTTTGGAGGGGGTCGTTGCGGGGGAGTCGCGATCCGCTGACAACGATGAAGAGTCTGAACTATGAAGTCTGAAGTCACTCTGAAGTCACTCTGAAGTCACTCTGCCTTTTCGGGTTTTACCCGTTGGGGCATTGAGGAGTCCTATTCTCTACATGGTTCACGTCTGATTTCCAAGTCCTGTTATTTGTATGAGGTGTTGGTGGGTTCCGTTATTTTAGTATTCACTTGTACCTTTCGTACTGGATGGAATTATTGGAAACCAAAAGGTTTGCCAAAACTTCGGGACGCAGGAGGGCCCAGAATCCAGATGATCTATGGCCGAGTTTGGAATTCTAGCAGAGATCTCTCCGTGAGATTGGGTACTCCAGGCTCCACGGCCTCCTCCTGTGGTGATCCAGTTCTGTTCACTCATTGGAGAACTCAGAACGATCGTAAACCATAATTTGTGCCATTCATTCTCTGCTTGTTGGTCAACCCCATCGGAGGGTAATCTCCGTGCGCCTAGCAGAGTTTAGCGTTTGGGAGAAGGTGGCGTATTGAGTAGAAGACCAGATACCTTGGAAGATCTGGAACGTATTAGGGCCGTCATGGTCCAAGGGCCCCGTCTCAGCAGTCAGGACCCTCGAACCAACGCTGCAGGATCGATGTATCCAAGACACGTTGTGAATTTGTGCAATGGTCGACACTTAAGCGCGGCGTAAGCTGCATCATGCAACATGCTGCGGGCACCACCGCGTACCGCCCCTGATTTCGCTGGCGTGTCTTTACTCTTCAGGACTTGCTTCTACTAGTTGATTGCACCAAAAACTGGGGATGGATCCATGCATTGAATGATGAAAATTGAAGGGGTAAGCATTCCTCGGTTGCGGGGTTGAAACGTCTGTACTACGGAGTACTCAGCAGTCAGCACCCTTAGTCGATATGTACTCGTGCGGTACAGGATACACGGGATAGAATCGTGACTAGTGAAGCCGGGATACTATGTACTAAGAATCGTTAATTTCTTATTACCGAATACCGATATTATTAGAAAGACCACCATGACATGACCCAGGATTTCAGGATTTCAGGATTGGAGGGGTGCGAGAATTCCCACTTTCAGAGTTATGTTCTCGGTTATCTAACCCGATCCTTTGCCCACTCTCCGGTTCCTGCATACTACGCAAGTTACAGTAGGTGGTACCTGATGTATTTCGTGGATTTCCCATGCTCTCTTGATCACCCTCGAATCGTTGAATAATGAATCGTTGAATAATGAATCGTTGAATAATGAATCGTTGAATAATGAATCGTCGTTCGCCTCGTGGTCTTGGTTTCTCTGGGACCCCAATCTTTATCCAATCAATCGCGTGAACAAGCCGTCTCCTATCTTCAATGGAGACCCTCAACTCCACAGCCATTTGCTAGCAAGTGGGCTCCCTGATCTTCCCTCTCTCCACCTCTGATCTACTAGATAGTGCACATCACAGCCATCGCTTGACCATCGGTTCCACGCTGCATCACAGCAGTTCAGATTTCGTCGGGGCTGCGGAAGAGGCCTTTACCGAGTACCGACACGATGCAGACCCCACCAAAACAGGAGCAACTCTCGGTAGTGTCATCACTCAGCAGCCGTGTGTCTCCGGTGTGTGCAATGAACTAGAGATCGAGAATCCAAGAAAGGGGTATTTAGATAGAAGTCTTTGACGATGCAACGGGGTGTCTGCAATTCCAATTCAAAGATGGAAGCGAGATCAAGCCAGAGAATGAGCGAACTGCCGGAGCAAACCCTTAACTAGCAATTGGTCCGACGTTGCATTGTTCTAATACGAAGGCGTAACGTGCTTGGGAGTTGGGACACATCCCTGAGCCTTACATAGAATAAACTTTCGTCTTTCGGTGATAGGACGAGCATCGAACTAAACTGACGAATAACATGGTCGAAAGATGCGATGCATTAGCGGATGTTGTGGTTTGCCGTTAGTAAGACTTCATAGACGATAGTTGATACTGCGTACTTGAATCTTGATACTTGAATCTTAATATTTGATACTTACCTACTTTACTAGGGAGTGGTGACACGGTGTACAGGTGTCAGATAGCAGCTCATAGCCCGCAGCAATTAGCACTGAACTATCGCTTAGATTCCCCCATAACGCGCCCGCACTGACACGGGATCGGTGCCGCTGTGGAACCACCACGGGCTGTGGATTTTTGCATGCTTCGGGCTAATATGACGTCCATCATGGTGTTCGGCCGCTGACGTGATTACTGAAGAAGTGAACTGTGAAAATCGCGTGGCATCCTCGGCAACCGAGCCGCTGATTGAGTTAGTACGTAGTAGAGTATGACCAGACCAAGTTCTTGGATCCATCATGCGACGACATGGTGGTATGGACGGAGTGTTATCGGTCCCACGAAATGGGTTCAACTGTCCTTACTCAAATCGTAGGGAGGTACCTGTCGTTACCCTTATGTACGTACTGACCGCGGACAATTGACAGCTGACAGGCGACAGCTCGAGTACGAGTAGATCCTAGCGCTCAGCCGCTCACTACGATAGTAACGCATTGACGGATCTGCCATGGTTGCTCCCAGGAACCAGGTTTACGACGGGAGATGATCATCACAAATTTGGCCCAGGACCCCAGGACCTAGGTGCTTGTATATCATTCAGTGAAACTCCTTGGTCTTAATTCATTAACTTCCAGATTCTCATCACCATGGATATTTCTACGCCGCCGGGTGCAGGAACGATGCAGCATCCATGGTTCGCAGCTCGTGAACCGTTGGACTGTGTCGATGCCATAACAAATATCACAAAATGGCTCATACTAGGAACCCGATGGACTGGATCGGACATGCCCGACAACTCTGTAACGTCAGCAAGCCCCTTTTCATTTGGTATGGATCCAAACGTCTCCCGCGCCTCGACTGGGGAGGAATCGGTGACTGCACCGGCAGCAGAAAACGAGGCGTCAATTTTTTCCTGCGGTCGGGATCAAACCTCTGGGTTCTTTCCGTCTCTGTGAACTTCATCAGAGCCTCATCGAAGTCTTCTCTTCTCAATGCAGAAGGAGTGTAATAACATTGCATGTATACAGATATGTGCTTACTGTACTCACCGACGGTATGGTGTAAGCGAGTTCTCGGCAGGGAAGATAGTTCAATCGGCTTCAAGAACAGTTATTCGTCAAGAGTTCCCCGACGATTGCGGACGCTTTCTGTTATCTCCCGTACCTGCATGCCTTTCTAGTCGCCGGGGACACGGTACTTCAGGGCTATTTGCCTGACGACTTGACGGGATTGGGGTATTAATACCGCAAACATTGCGCTTGACCAGGGAATCTGACAAATTCGAGCCCCCATTCTTTGGGCAGTTCAAATCGATGCGAAAGATAATACCCCTATGGCACCCGATACTTCACCAACGTTGTTATCCCTATAAGGAGTCCAACTCGGCCGGCTAGATGACATGACCAGAGAGATTTCGCGCCCGAGACAACGCAATGTAATGCGGTGACCCCAACACTGCGACTCGAGTATCCTGGGTACCACCAGCGCAGGAGAACTGTCGGTACTTTCAAACTATTCTGGGAACATTTAGCCGTGTGGTGCGCATCGCGGTATCCGGTTAGAAAACAGAGCCTGGCTTTTTAATCCCAAGTGTCATGTCTGGCATGTGATGCAGGTGAGAGATGCGGGCTATCCGATGTCATCATTCTAGATACCCTAGACATACTCCTTCGATGCTAATGCGTAATTTTTAGATGCCGGGTACAGAGCCTTCGCTAATGAAAGAATGCCTTTTTTTGACACGGCGCCCGACCCATTCCACTGAACCCTCTCGCTGTAACTGAGGTCTAATTCCGGACCCATTCGCCGCATTGATTGTTTTCAAGTCTGCGAGATGGATATCCGTTGACGCTTATTTGAAGCTGTTTTGGTCATCCTAGGACCAGCGACAAAAAGTAGACCATAGGAGGGACGGTTCCTGAGGAAGCCAAACTCTTAGTCACCTGCAAAGTCGGCGGAATAATCTCAAAGGCTGCGCCGAATGTTGAACGTGCAAATATGACGTTGATCAACCAATCCTTCGCCTGACTGGTGGTATCAAAACCTAAGTTGTGTCACCCTCCAACTATGCAAGGCGCTCGATCCTGCTTGTCTATGGAGGACCCAGGACCTGCGACCACAAGACAAATACACGCAAAGGAGACTTTGATTTCATGGGCGGGTAGCGTATTTCGATGTCGCTATGCATTCTATTCAGCCATCTCCCGATCGCCTTGCCAAATGAGAATCCATACAGCTGACATGCAGTGTTCGCCTCGCCAGTTCATAACTTTCATCCTCTTCAATGTCCTCGTTCTTATTCCGTCCTGGATACATATATCAGGAATGGAGCAATGTTATTGAATTGATGCATATGCCCGACCGTCTCAAATGGTCGAAGTACCATTCAAAGAAAGGGTTCCTCATGTTTTTCGGAAGCGACAATCACCTCTTCATATGTCTAACTCCGTCTCCTGTATCCAGACAGACATGAAGAGGTAGTTCCATATTGCAATTGCTGGAGTCGAATATAGAATCACCATTGCAAAAGCACGGTACATCATCCGGTTTGGTCTACCCATTTTCCTCGCTTCGCACTGTTTGGATCGATCGGTGATTTCGCAAAGATTTGTGGCTTCCTGGGTATCGCTTCCCCTTTTTGCTCACTCTATCTCGCTAAATGTGAGAAGTACGATACCATATTTTAGAGAGGTACATATTTGCTTGAACGGAGTCGCGTGGGCACCATCCCTGCTTTTGAATGCGTGAGATCGCAATTGATCTCGATTCCAACCGGGATTTTCTTGTTCCAGCTTATTGGTGGTCGAGGATAGGACTTGAATGGAAAAAATGACTTCGAGTAGAAGAATGCATCCACATTTTTCATTACCGTTTCTTAAGTACTCAGCAATTCGGGTGAAACACGGACAATGTTGAGAGCTCGGATGAGCGTTTGATATTCTAGGTCCGCTGCTTGATATGCATATCCAGCGTCGCCGTAAATATCTCGGACGAACCATCCTGCAAGGTCGGTAAGAACCTGCCTCGCTTGAATTCCCTTCCTGTTCCTTCGAATATATGCCGCTGGATTTTGTCAATCCACTGAATGGAAGCTCGAGTTCCTTTGCTCAAAAAGCACCATGCCGGGATGGCGTTAAGGGATGGCGGCTCTTATCCACCTGTGTACCACAGGGAAACCATGGTCCAACATCTAGACTTTCTGGTAGCATGGAATAACTGTATGCGAAGGTATGTTCAATTGTCGTCTTGGGCAGTGCATTAGAAGGGAGTAAGCAACGAATGTATTGATGTCGTCAAGCGCCCTACACGTGACAGACCTGGCTAGGTTTAGCGTAAGAACTAGCATCGCTTACCTAAGACCATTGACCTCTCAGATACATTTGTTTCCTCCGGATTTTCGGCGCGTCCCAAGTCCCGTTCATATCCTGATGCCTCCCTGTTCTCTATAATATCAAACTGCGTACGGGACACCGTCTTCTCATCAAACTCCTTTAGCCCTCAATCACTGCGATATTTCTTAACACCTTGTCCTCGGATTCTACATCACCACATATTCCCATTGATCGTGCCCTTCATGCCACGCCGACATCAATTGTGCTTGTCTTCCGTTCGTTCGTCATTTCCAGCACCGCGTCCCATAAGCCGTTTAGGTTGCGTCCGGGTTAGATGAGTTTGGCTAGGCTCATGTATTAACTTCACCATTGCATCATTGCACTCCTTCCGGCCTCACTTCCCCCGTTGCAACTGGGTGGTACCCTCCTATCGCCATGCAGGCCATGCGCCAGAAATTACGGCCGAAACACCAGGTCCTCATCCTGAAATGTTATCCACGATACCAGAAGAATACGACGGAGGTTAAGCCAAATTCCAGTGAGCTGAGCTACTTGCTATATTATGCGAGTACGCGTCGGAGCAAACTCCAGAAAGTCGGCAGCTATCTAGAGAGAAAGAACCTAAGCGATGTCCGGAATAATCGCATTGGGTATGTACGCTGTGTGACAATTGCGTTCCTGAGCTAACGGTGTTTGCGCAGAAATGTCCAGGTTACGCTCGCCATCTTGAAATCCCTTATCGAAAAATGCCCCCGCGATTTGTCCCTATACGGTGGCGCCGTCCTAAGAATTCTAAACACCGTCCTCCGATCTCATGATATTACAATGGTGGAAGCGTCTGTACCCACATTCGAAGTATACTGCGCGAAGCAAGATCCGGCATTCCTTGCGGCCGATCAAGGGTATCTCAAACAGTACGAGCAAGTGATTCGGCTGTATGTTGCATTCGCATCCAAAGAATACCGTATCCAAGGGAAGGCCAAGAGTGTTCCTCTAGCGGTACGATTCCGAAGGATCGGTTTGGAAGCCATCAAAAGTTTGACCATGTCGGAGTCTCTGAGTGCTGAGACCGAAAGGCAGCTCGCGCTGGTCATCCCGGTCATTCTCGAGGCCGTCTACAGCTCCCGCGGGTCTGATCTGCTTGCAATTGAGCAAAACGAGCATGAACGGGAAGAATGTGAGAAAGAGCAAGCGTTTCGCCGGAGGCAGAGCGTCTCGACCGTACAGACATCCGAGATATCCGAGCACGATCCAGTCGCGAGAACTACCGAGGAATCCGACAAGTTTGCCGAGCAGTCGGTCTTGATAGCTGCGTTACAAGCGCTTCGTCAAGTTTTCAGCGTCAACAATCGCTCTCAAGTTCGACAGGCGACGACCATCGTGCTTCAATTCGTAACGGAATGCATCTCGTTAGAGGGGCATTTTCCCACCTCGGAGTCGTTTGCGGTGTACGCGGGCAGTTGGCCCACGATTCTCTTCCAGATGATGTGCCAGTGGACTCCGGTGCAGGACCGATTCCTCATCATTGTCACTGCGGTGGAGACGTTGATCCGATGCCCCATCGAGGAGAAGAAAATGGAGAGACAATGTCTGTTGAGCATCATCATTGCTTGCCTCCTCGGCTCAAACACCAACTTCATCGGGTTGAGTGTTATGGATGTTCTCGTCGGACTCATCCAGCACTCCCTCCTTGTGTTGCAACAGGGTGGTAACGACTCCATACGTACACGCCTATTGAACCAGCTCCAGACCTGCATCAGTAACCTTGCCACCCATGTTTATTACAGCGATCAAATCTCCGATATGACTCGTGCAATCCTAGCAAGACTCAAACCATCGTCCGATCCGATTGCAACTGTCGCTGCGATTGAAGACCCCGAGATGGCTGCCAACGGGATTGTAAGTGCCGGAAGCTTGGTGGAAAAACCGAGCACCGACGGATTCTTCTCGTTCGAGACTGCAAGGGAACTTGCCCTGAACTCGATAAGGAATATTCTTGAGGTCGCAAACCAGAGAGCTCTTGAGACGCAGTCCAAAGCGAATCGATCGCCAGTAGACATCTCTGTTTGGGAAGGGACCCAGTGGCTCCTTCGGGACCCTCATTGGGAGGTTCGGAAAGCTTACGTGGACGCCTTTCTCACCTGGGCGAACCTCGAACTGAAGAAAGATGATCTTAAAGTTCTCGAAGAGAGTCCTCGGCCGAAGAAGGATGCAAAAGACAATATCAATCACCGGCAGAGCAGCCTTGCCAAAAGAGCCGTGTCGAATGCATCGCAGAGAGAACGCTGTCACACAACGAAATCGCCCTTTTTACAGCGGCTACACTTGGCCGTCTACGAGAATGCTCACCAGTATGCGCAGTCCGAATCGGACATACTTCTTCTTCATCTCCTCCTGGCGACACTCGTTCGGACCCTTGGGGTAAACAGTACCCAGTGCGGTCTTCCGATGATAGTACGGCTTCAGGAGGACATTCAAGATTTTGACGATCCTACTTCCAAGGTTCACATTGGCGCGTTGGTGCACGGGTATTTCTGGGCACTGAGCGTACAATTCGACTTCGATGCGTCGTCTACCGGCCGGGAAATTCACAATGAAATATCTCGACGTATGAAGGTGGGACTTTGGCTATATGGGCTCACGATTCCTCCTCGGCCACTTTCCAGTTTGCCATCACCAGAGGGAACGGAGAAGTTGTCGGCGGACATAGTGGAAGAAGAGGCATTAAAACCCTTCGACAATCGTCAAGGCGTTGTTGATCGCATCGCCGATGCTTACTCAATTGCGGTCAACTCCCCACCGTCAAGCCCTCCTCGTTCACCAAATCGCTCCTTCTCGACCCCTTTTGTCCAGGTCACTTCTCCTTCCGTCCCGTCCATTTCACGATCACCTCATGCCCTTCCAAACAAATGCCGAGAGCAAATGCTGTCTGACTGGTCAAAAGAAGCATGCATGGAGGCGGCTTCCAGCCGATCCGACTCATTCACAGGTTCTGGTTTTGGTACAGCCTCGACACGACGACACTTGCTTGCTGTTCATGCGCAGAATGGCGTCGACTCGGTCTCCCCGCCAAATCCCGAGACTGCAGGCCATTCTCCACAGCGGGCCGCATTTCATTATCCTTCATATCGCTCTCGTCCAGCTTCCAGTGGAGTTGGACTAGGCAGTAGAGGCCCTGGGTGCCATGTTGGACGAGCTAGCCGAGCGACCAGCAACACCGGCACCCCAGTCAGCGCTTCCTCTCGCCGTAGTACGGTACGTGTCGAAGACTTGAAACGGGTACTTTCCAGCGGCGGTCTTACGACTCTCACACCTGGTATCATGGCCGCACAACCTGAGCCGTCCGACACAGCTAGTGAAAGCATGGCCAGCGCAAACGGCCTCTCTTTTGATGGCTCCGAAGCTGATGACGATCCGAGTTTTCTCCGGAACTCCATCGAAGATCCCCAATCTCGGGATGGTACACACGACACGGATACTTTGGACGGAAACAATCCGTCTCGACCACCTAGCTCGTCGGGGAAATCGCAGATAGAGAACGTGGCCGATCGTTCCACCAACTCTTATGCTCCATCGCTTAATGGCGAAGACGTCCCACCTGTACCGCCATTGCCAGCATCATTACAGGGGCTGGCCATCCAGCGTTCTCGACCTACCACCGCGAGCGAGCATAATGGCAAGGTGGTTGGAAGCGTTAGTGGAAGAACTGCGAGAAGTCGATCCGGTGTCAATGGGTCGCCCCGTGGCAAGGTCAGGACACAGCATAATGGAAGCGGATGGGCTCAGGATGTAAATGGGTTGCTTCGTGAAATTGACACTGATGACCCAGAAATACGGACGGATAGCGAGACACGACTTGGTGGCTTGGTGATCCCGCCGTACTAATACCTATGCTCGGGAGTTACCTGACATACGTCGTCACTGCTCAGGGCATATCAATGAATTGATTTCCTTGAATATCCATCACTCCGCAAACGTTGGGGTGGAGCGTTGTTGATTGGAGATGTGGTCTGCATTGAGTACCTTGTATTATGTACACGAAATATTCCTATGTATTTTACAATGTAAGAGATGTCGAAAAGTCTCTATCCATCAAGGTCAAAGCTCCTCTGCATGGAATTAATGGAGGCCATCAGTCCATTGAGGACTGACCCAAGGCTAGGGGTATGTCTCGGCCTCGGTGTACGAATGGATGGGTTTCAGGTAACCCCTTTGGAGTCAAGAAGTGTGTAAATCAAGACTCGGACTTGTGGTTATGGTGCCTCGTTCGTGTCGATAATCGTTAGTGAACCCGCTGGGTTGGCTTTGAGCGTCGTAGTCTGATCTGCACTGGAGTTCTTCTAGCAGGTTGGAAAGAAGTGCCAAAGGCCGACATCAACTTTACCCAACAGAGGATGTATAAGTTCCAGTTTCCGATTGCTCAAAGTTACCTGCATGAATAGGCGATAAAAGGGACTCTTGTGCCATGTTCCAAGCCCATGGCTCGATGACTGAATGACGACGCCTCCGCTTCTACCTCTAGTTTCGACATAGTTGAGATATGGTACACCCAAACGCCGACCATGCAAATAGCCGTGATCATTCTGCCGATTCTTAACCCAATGCGTGAGCTACCTCGGTCTAGCAGGGACCTCTGAGGGTTCAGCTTTCTTCGCCTCCTCCTCGGACTTTTCCTGTTCATGTTCAGCGTCTTCGTCGCTCTCGAGGTCATATTCGCGCTCTTCCTCCTCGCTTACTTCGCCCCTATTCTCTCCTCTCTTCATAAGTGCATCCCCTCCTTGCATCTGCCATTCCATCAATCGAGTAAAGGCACCATCACGGGTAGTTAGCTCTTCATAGGTCCCTTCCTCAGCGACCGTGCCGTCAGCGCCGATACAGATGATTCGATCCGATCGTTTAATGGTTGACAGACGGTGTGCAATGGAAATGGTGGTGTTCTTCTCTCGGAGGAGCGTATGCAACGCTTGATTGACCAGTGTCTCGCTTTCGGCGTCCAAAGCACTAGTCGCTTCATCAAGAATCAAGATGTCGGGATCTTTGAGCAAGGCACGGGCAATGGCGATCCGTTGCTTCTGACCGCCCGACAGTTGGGTACCGCGAGCACCAACATGGGTTTCTAGGCCCTCAGGGAAATCCGAGATGAACCCACAGTTGGCTTTGCGGGCGGCTTGGATGATCTCCGAACGAGTAGCCCATGGCCTACCATAAGAAATATTCTCGGCAACCGATCCAGAAAAGAGCACCGGCTCCTGTCCAACATAGCCAATCTTGCGACGGAGTTGCTTTGCGTTCATTTCGCCAATATCTTTCCCATCAATGGTGATGGAGCCGGAGCCAGGAACATAAAATCGCATGAGAAGACTCGCAACGGTAGATTTCCCAGCACCGGATGGCGCGACAATGGCAACATTGGTACCCTGTTCGACTCGGAAGCTGAGGTTTTGAAAGATCGAAACGGCAGGGCGAGTGGGGTATGAAAAAGAGACACTATTAAACGCAATGTCGCCACGAGCGGAGAGAACGCGGGCGCCCTTGGTTGGTGAGGGTGGAGTGCGATCTTGCAACTCGAAAAGTCGGGTAGCAGCGCCAACACCCTTCATTAATTCACCGAAAAATCCGCTGAGGCCATACATCGAACTGCCAGCATAAGCCGTGTACATCAGAAACGATGAGAGTTCGCCAATACTGATGTCTCCGCCTTGGACCATGCCGCTTCCGCGAAAGAGGATGTATAGGATGGTGATGTTCCCAGCAAACCCGGTTCCACCAAAGAAGGCGGCTGACCATTTGGCCTCCCTCACTCCTAGATCATAGATCTTGCGAACTTGCTTGTTGTATCGTGACACTTCTTGCACCTCCCCTGCAAAGGCCTGGGAAGTTCGGACGCTTCCCAGGCGTTCTTCGGCAATCTTGGTCAATGTACCCACACCCTTTTGTAATTTTCGGGAGATATTCCGGATGAATCGACCGAAAAAGAATGCACCCCCGCCAATGATGGGGAAAAGGTAAAGGAAGTACAGGGTCAGGTCCAAACTGACGTATGCCATGAGGGAGAAGCCGGCAGCACCACTGACGACGGCCCGCAATCCATCGGAAAGGTTCTGGGTGACACTCTTCCCAACGATGATGGTGTCAGAACTCAGACGAGAAATGAGATCACCAACGCGATTCGCATCGAAGAACTCGGCATCTTGAGTCATGGTTTTCCGGAACAGCTGAGTCCGCAAGCGCGCAACAATCCGTTCACCCACTTTCCGCAGTAAGATGACTCGTCCGAAGTTGGCGGCTGCCCCGACGGAAAAGATCGCGGCGAGCCCGAGGTAAAACGTCGTTGGGTCCAATCCCATGAGGAAGTCCGCCTTTCCCTCCGGATCTTTGTTGGCAATATCCAATATCTTTCCAATGGCGAAGGGGATTGACATGGTCACACCGGATGAGACGAAGAGGCAAAGGACGGCAACGCCCAACATCTTCCGCTCCGGGATGGCTATCATGATAAGCCTCCATATCTCACTCATGCCTCGGTTTTTGGATCCTTCTTTGCTGAGTCTCGCTCGTAGGTTGATTTGCGACGCTTGCGACGCCTTCTCCGAGCGCTTGAAATCATTTTCGTCCTCCTCTACATCGTCCTCATCCTTATTCCGGTGTTTGATCTCATCGCGGTATGATACTTCCTTCTTCGCTGCTTGTAAAGCTCGACTTGTAGCGAAGACACGTTTCGATGAGCCGGCGGCTGCTTTGCAATCCGAAACTGCGCTGGGGAATGACCGAGGGACCCGATGGAGGAGAGTTCGCGTGCTTGAGAGGGTCAACGTTCCGAGGCATCGCGCGGAAGGAATTGCGAAGGTATAGGCGACATTCTTTCCTCCCCGTGCAGATAGGAGCGATTGCACCGGCGATTTCGCGGACTGAGCTCCTTGAGCAGCCTGGTGCCAGATTCGCCGGGTGAAGATGTGGGATGGGGAGGACATGGTTGCTACAGGTTCGAACCGTTGGCGATCAACGGCACCTATACACAACAGATTGCCTTTTGGATTCCTGGATAGAGATTCGGGTCATCAGGATGTCTTAGAGGGAAACGGTTCTGGGCGGGAAAGATGAATGTATCAAGACGGGAGTGGCATTTACAATGGAAGATCACCAGCAAGAAGCGGTTTCGGAGGTTTCTAGGGCCTTAATAATGACATGGAATCATAAGGGAAGCCGAAAGTGAGCCATGAGGCAGCAACCCGAGTTCAGCCTTGACGCCTTATAACCGCGGCTGCGGCCCGACACGTGATAACATGTAACTATTGTGTCAGGTGCATGATCAGTTTCATGCCTTAGGCTGTCAGGCAAATATTTAGACTTCACCCCGCTATCATCGGATTCCTACATGTATTTTCTGCTGTTCTATTCGTTTTTATACGAAATACAACCGGAAGAAACAGGAAGAAAGACCGGTCAGCACTTCAGCAGATTGGCAGAAGGATGGAATTCTAGGAAAACTTGGTTGGATACCATCGGTCTGCTGTGGCTCCAGAACATTCCAAGGCTTCCCTTGTCTTAGCTTACTTCTCGCACACTGTAGGAACTTAGCTACTTCTCCTCCCTACCACCTCTCCCAGTTCCTTCAATATTAATAGCTACTTCGATTCCATCAATCTGCCAAAGCCTTGCCAAAGCCAATTCACCGACTGTGATCGCACATCATGCCAGTTGACTACAGCAAGTGGGTATGTGGACCAACCCATCCCCAGCTTCACTCATCCATTGTTGACTGTGATATCTCTGTAGGATGCCCTCGAGCTCTCCGATGATTCCGACATAGAAGTACATCCCAATGTCGACAAGAAGTCTTTCATCCGGGCAAAGCAAGCCCAAATCCACCAGGACCGCCTTCAACGAAAGCACAATATCTCGACGTTGGGGTACGAGCGTATTATTAACGATGGCTTGATGGATCGAATCGACCGCCTCCTCACAGCACTCAAGTCTCACAAAGCCAACGCATCCGCTCAATCTCCAGAGGAACTGGTTTTTCAAAGTTTAATCGAGTCTGCTGGCGATCCGTCGAAGGATCGACCCCCGCCTGCACCGGAAGGTGTGCATCAACACGTGGAAGATCCTCCAACGTACTCAAAAATGATGGCCGCTCTAGTCGACCAAGTCAAAGCAGCGATTGACAAGGACACCACGAAAGATCGGTATGAAGCGTTCATAACCGAGGTGGGAAAACATAGGGAAGAAGTCGCAGGGCTGCAAAAGCAGCTCTTGGCAAAGCTTGCAGAGCTTGAGAAGGAGGAGAAAAAGCACATTACAAGCGACAATCTTCATACAGGATTCGACTACAGCTCAGTACGAGGACACTAACCGGACATCCGGAATATAGAGGAATATGACGCTAACTGCGCATAGGTTTCTAAAGCGAAACAAGAAGCCTCATCATCGAACCCCAAGTCGGTCGAGCTCTTGAACCCCGGAAGTGCTCAACGGGATCCACTTCTACGAGCAGACACCGGGCAATCGTCAGGTGCCGATGCGGACGTCGAAGATGGGATCCGGGCTGAGGAGGAAATCAACGAGGATTCCGTCCGTGCCTCGAAGTTGGGCAAGGAGTTTGCAAAGATTGACATGGCCGACTACCGAGCACTTCTTCGCTTTATCCAGGAACATCCCAAGGTTCTCAACGAGAATGAGACGGATGGCCTGCTGATTGAGGCTTTTAATAGCCAAATTGCGGGGCAGGATAGATACGCGAGACAGTGTGTCCACCAAGCTTTGCTTCTACAGTACTGCCGATCGCTCGGCCTGGACGGAGTGCAGTTGTTCTTCAAGCGGTAAGAATTTGACTCGTCCCATGGACCGTTAATCCGTACTAAATTCCACACAGAGTCACCAGTCCCGGACATAAAGCTCAAGCACTCTTCCTCGACGATGTCAAGGGGACGTACGGCAAGATCAAAGTCAAAGCCGCCGAAGAGAAGGCCCGACAAGAGAAAGAGGAAGAGGAAGGAGCCGCTGGGGTGGAGCAAATCCAGTTGCAAGCGGTCGACCCAAACACCACCATTACAGTCAACGTTCCCCCAGCCGTTGAAGACCCGTCCGTCGCACCTCCAGAGCTTGTAGCCGCACGGGAGATCTTCGATTCATTCCCGCCAGGCCTTCAAAGAGCCCTCGAGACCGGTAGTTTGGACGAGATCAATAAGGTTCTTGCGAAGATGAGCGTCGAAGAGGCGGAAGAGGTCGTGGAGAACTTGTCAAATGGCGGCATGCTGAGTGTGGAGGAGGGCGTCATTGATGCCACCACTGAGGAAGGTCGGGCGAAGATGAAGGAGATTGAGGCTGAAAGGGATCAGGTCGTGCATGACGAACCGACGGATCTGGCACCCAACCCGGAATGAATGGCAACGTGTCACATTGATCACATTGGGTGTTCGATCTCCCAGCTACAACCTGGGAATTCAGTAGACGTACTGCTGTTAGGGTAGTATGATATCTGCCTCCGGAAAGACACACTTTTCAAACTCTACCAACGGAATGCTGCTCCGTTATAGTTGTCACGAGGATTGTCGTAAAATATGCTCCCTCAAAGTATCTCATTGATTGGTACTTAATAGAGAACATCAGCGTGTCATTGCTTCGTAAGGAACCTAGTCTGCTATGCTTTGCTTGCCATGAAGAGGTCGATCTTCTAAAACACGTATTCAAGTCGTGCAAATAATTGAAGCTAAGCCAACGAGCGAAAAACCTAGGTATTCATAATCTAGTCCGTCCATTCATTAAGCTTGAGAGATATCTGCGAAAGAGGTCGAACAGGCTTGAAAATTACCGAAGCAGCGACTGACAAAACGCTCAATTTCGGCCCATACGTAATAGCTTCAACGTCATGGCTTGATATAATATACTCAGCCACTCCCAGAAAACATTTCGGCGGTAAATCTCAGTCTCCTATCAATATCTCCTCCTCGGTACCCTTCCTTCTTCCACCACCATCCGCTCCCGATCATAGATACGCTCGACCCCTGGGGGTAGGAATGGCGGCGGTGGAATTGGCGGACCCGCCAGAAGGGGAGGCATTGGCGGAGGCCCATGCATACCCATCGGGGGTGGAGGAATCCCGTGGGGACGATGCAGGTGTTCACGCTCCCATTCGATCTCACGAATGCGACGACGACGCTCGGTTCGGATGCGGTCCGAACGCTGGACGAGTTGGAGTACATCTTCCTGTTGCAAGGGTCAGTGACTGGAGTGGAAGAGCCATGAAAAGGGGCGATAACATACGTAGCGAAGATACTCCATGATGTAGAAGAAGTCCTCCGTCTCATCGAACTGGTAGCCGGACTCAAGGATCGCTTCTTTGAGGACAAGATCCTTAGTAACCTCAGTCCACATATCCTTAGTTCGCCGAGACGGAGTTGGAGGAGGGTGAGGGAGGTGTCTCTCTTCAATCTCTCTTTCGCGGATAGAGATATGGTCCAGTTCGCGATCCACCGGTGGGCCCCCTTCCCTTCTCCGGATCTCAACACTCAACTCTTCCCTCGACTCTCTCGCCTTTGACGGGAGTGCTGGAATCGGGCTCGGCGCTGGCGGAGGAGCAGGCAACACCTCCCTTCTCGGGGGAATCCCATAATCCGTCGCAAACTCTTCGCCGTCCCCAATGAATTTGGCGCGACGGGCGCCATTGTATCGCTGCCAAGTAATCTCTTGGCTTCCACCGCCCGTACCGTCCATTTGAACACGATGAGTGCCAGGTGGAACGTCCACGTGCTCCCAATCCTTAGTTGCGCCATTGTAGGCTTCCCCAGGATACCCGCGTTCCATGGCACGTCGGTTGTAGTACTCAGCTTCGAGGTCGAGGTCGGAGCCTCGAACGCGGCTACGAGAGCGATGACGGCGTCCGGGAGACGAAGAAAGTGATCGACGACGGGGTGAATGAGAGAATGAGACGGAGCGAGCGCGGCGCCCCACAGGACGGCCTTCGCGTTCACGGTCACTGATGTGGATGGTCTCACGGGCGCCATCAGCATCTCTGCGACTGGGTTAGTCACTTCCAATGTAGAAATCGGGGTGGAATCTATGGGACATGGCATACTTTCTACGTATATCAATCTCCAAACTTTCATCCTTTACTGGCTCCGGTGGCGGAGGAGGTGGCGGAGACGGTGGACTAGCAGGTCTCAATCCTAGAGAGTTTAATGATAAATATGTGTACAGCACCGGTTCTAGAAGCGGCTACTTACCATGGTCAATCGTGTAGACATGTGTGATCACGTCACGATGTACAGGAGGAAGATATTCAGGTTCAACGGTTCTCGTAACGATCGGTTCCGGTTCCGGTTCCGGAAGAGGTGGTGGTGGTGAAGGACTCGATTCCGCCCTCCGGATGATGATCTCTTCCGTTGTCTCTCGCGCTGGAGCTGGGGGAGGCGGTGGGGGTATGCTCGGTTCTCGTCTCCTATACACAAACTCTTCGTGTTCTCGCGCGACAAGTCTTCCGACCGGAGGCATGCTTCGGCGTCGGCCTCGGGAGCGGACAGTTCCACGATCCGTCGTGAGGGACGAGCCGGAACTACTGCTTCGGCTTCGGCTCCTTCTTCGATAGGTCACTCCCCGCATGGAAGGCCTCGCATCTCGTTCGTCTCGACGGATGATCACCTCTTCCCTATCAATACCTTCGGGTCGCCGTCGTGGCGGAGGTCCTCTAGATTCTTCCCTCCGTATTTTGATATCAAGCTCATCTTGGTCGATACCTTCGGGTCGTCGGCGTGGTGGTGGCCCTCTGGATTCTTCCCTTCGTATTCTGATATCAAGCTCATCTTGGTCGATACCTTCGGGTCGTCGGCGTGGTGGTGGCCCTCTAGATTCTTCCCTCCGTATTCTGATATCAAGCTCATCTTGGTCGATACCTTCGGGTCGTCGGCGTGGTGGTGGCCCTCTAGATTCTTCCCTCCGTATTCTGATATCAAGTTCATCCGGATCGACCACTTCGGGTCGTCGTCGTGGTGGCGGCCCTCGGGACTCTTCCCTTCGGACTCTGATCTCCACATCATCTCGGTCGATATCACCACGTGGTCGCAGTGGACCACGATCTGTCTCCACCCTTCTTATGCTGACGTCTTCCCGTTCGATGCTCCTCTCCCGCACCCTTGGAGGACCTCGATCTTCACGTTCCGTCCTCCGAATCGAGATTTCGGTATCATCCAGGTCCTCTCGTCTCCGTGGTGGTAGCCGATAACTCTCCCGGTGATCTCGGTCACGGATTTCGATGTCCTCTCGCTCATACGGCCGGTCCCGAGGAGGGGATGGGCCGTAGTCATCGTCTCTACGTCGAATCGCAAGCTCTTGCGCTTCGCCATTGCGGTCGTAGTCATCTCGCATGAAGTCAGGGATCCGTCTCGATGGACGATCGTCAGGGTATTCGGCGACGGGCGGTCGAGTCCGCCGTGCGCCGGGTGAATGACGAATGTCGATATCGAGGTCGTCAGATGCACGTCGTAGAGGACGAGACGGGTAATCCCGGTCGTCATAATCGTCGTACCGGCGAGACATGTTACCCAAAGTATAGGTAGAGATGGTTGAGCCAGAAAATTGTTCAAAGCTGACCGACGCGGTCTTCAGGCTTGAAAGTTCACGACTTCGCTGCTCGCCAAGGTGGGGTACAGGTGATCAGGATGTCAACGTGCAGGGAGACGGACTCGATGAGGGGCTGATATTTGGGACTTTGTCGGACTTGGGCGAAGGCAGGTAGCAATTAGAAGTGGCGTGCTGAGCAGAAATAACCTTTACCCGCGCATAGAGTAGTTATACGGATGGCTCAGGACCCGGCAACTTTGGTAGAGAAGAGTTGAGGATGGGAAGTCATATGGTTATGACAAGCATAGGAAAAGCGCCCGATGACGAAAACAGGCTGTCTTCCCCCGCCAACGGGACCAACCCATTGACCCAGTATGGTCCCTTGACCCTTAGGCTATATCAGGATCAATGTCCGTGTGCCGTTTGTGGCGTTGACTTAAGAGATACAGCATATCTACGACACCCGCGATAGATAGAAACATACAAGAGAGACAGTATAATTTCTATAGGGTTTTATGACAAGAACAAGAACATTGGGTGTGACTGGAGGACTAGTATAGTGCTACCAATAAATGCGATTTTTACTGGGCAAAGTTGGAGCAGAAAAGGTTGGATACAGATGGGAATTAGGAGAACAGGCGGCTGCTCCCGAAGGGGAAAGACGTCATTCTACATCACCTCTTAGCAGGTTCAACTCCAAAACTCTAGCCCCACGGAATCAGTACTTAGGTAGTCACCACATGATGCGTAATAGTTATATGGGTATATGCAAATTGAAACGCTAGTGTATCTAAATCAATGCTAACATATGCTGATCCGATCCTGCTCGACAACCAGATCAAAATTCTCTACTGCTCCCCGCTTATAAAAGCCATGAGACAAATCTCTTGTAGAACGTCGACTGCGGCTTGGTGGACTCTTTCTTCTCCCTCTCCAACTCAAGCCAGTAGTTGGTCTCCCTTTCATACTCTTCCCTACCCGTCCAGAGGTCCGCCGTCTTAGGATCAATAGCTTTGTTGCGATACACCAGCTTGTATCCAGCGATCAAGGTAAGGTAGACCGGGATCCCGATGTAGCCGGTGATGAAATTGGGGACATCAAGGTTGCCATATTTCTCATCGTGGACGAACACGTTGAAGTTCTTCGTCAGTGCGATCAAGCAGCAGAAGAACAAAGCGATGGAAGAGCCCCACAACCCGAAGGGCGATTTGAAGGCGAGGCTCTCCACCGGTACGTTTTGCGCCTTGCGCGCTCGGATAAATCCGATGTGAGCAACCAGGATCGAAATCCACGTGAGAAGACCTGGACACCTGTCAGTTGTGGTTGATGAACATTAGAATGGAAACTTACCGAGGATAGAGACCACATTAACGAAGTAAAGGAACACATTGCGGCTATCGGACGAGACATTCATGAATGCCAGCGAGGAGATCAGGATGCAAATGAGAAGTGAAAAGACGGGAACGCCACGTTTATCCGTCCAGGCGAAGATGCGTGGAGCTTTCCCTTCCTTCGCAAGACCGTAGATGGTCCGTGATCCGATATATAGATCGGAATTGGCCGCGGAGAAAACGAAGATCAGAATGCAGGCGTTCAAAATGTGGGGGAGGACCGGAATTCCTGCAAGTTTGATGGCGACCACGAACGGAGAGGCGGAGGCCGAGTTGTTGGTGACCTTGGTGGCGAAAACCAAATCGGGGGAGTCGTAGGGAACGATCATACCCAAGAATAAGACAGACAGGACGTAGAAGAAGACGATTCGATAAAAGGTGAGCTTGATCGCGCGAGGGATCGTCTTGCGTGGGTTTTGAGCCTCTCCGAGGGTGACACCGACGAGCTCGGTACCGAGATACGCGAAGACAGCCGTCACCATGCTAGACCAGAATCCCAAAAAGTTACCAGCGCTGCCAGCTAGATACAAGTTAGACCAGCCCACAGTATCGAATGTGTTGCTCGACTCACTCTTGAGATATGGTTTGAATGCGCCGGGATCGTGGTAATACCGGAATCCAATTCTATCGTGATTCGGTCCGCCACCAAGGGCCAAGATGAACGATAGCAGAATCAGACCGATGACAACAATGACCTTGAACGAAGAAAGGTAGAACTCGAACTCTCCGAACACTCGGATACCGAAATAGTTGATGCAAGCAATCAGGACCATGAAGATGGCGATAAAAACTCCTGGGTTTACCCGCTCTGGTTTTACCCAGAACTGGATGACCAGCGCACCTGCGGTTAGCTGGTTCGGGGTGACAATAATGTATTTGAACCAGTAGGTCTGTCCGTGTGTCAGCGCTCAGCAGGTTCATCCATTAGTTGTGGAGGTTTCACTCACCCATCCAAGGGCGAATCCAAGAGCACTGTCGCAATAACGATCCGCGAACGCAGTGAAACCACCTTCGAGAGGTAGCCAGGCACCCATTTCTCCAACGGCGCACATGACAATCCAGACGAGGACACCGACGAGGGAGTATGAGATCAGGATCGATGCAGGACTGAGGTGGTGTCAGCGATTGTAATCCCGGAATCGCACATATTCGATTCGAATCTGTTAGGGTAGCTCACCCAGCTTTTGCGAGGGCGGAGCCAGTTCCAATGATCAGACCAGTTCCAATTGCACCACCAATTGCAATCATAGTAATATGCCGCGATTTAAGGCCTCGATGAAGATGATGTTGTTCCGGATCGGGGTCCCTCGTTGGACTCTGATCATAGACATCGAATTCACCCGCCCCCTTGGCATATTCACCAGATTTTTCCGCCATGGTTGGAGAGATGACAGCTCTATATCAATCTGTTAGTTGTCTGCTGCTAATTTCCAACCAATCGCAAGTCGTGCTGGCTTTCGTATCGGCTTGTAGCTTTCCGATCACCAAAGTCGAAATTCGGGACAAGAGTAAACCATGTGCTAGTTCTGGGGGCTGAAGAAAGAAATAGTATGGAGTACTGACAAAACTATTGTATTAATCGTTCGCCGTCGTCCTCTACAGCTGATATCGTGATCCGCGGGTACTCCGTCCTGATCTGGGAGCTGCACCACAGGCGAACCGATACCACCAGATTCTCACGCTGATGTGCGGTACACCAGACAGTATTCCGTACCGTAAGTGAAGGTATAAGGAAGTATAGGTATGGGACTTGGGCAACTTCGAGAGTGAACTCTTGAAGAATTTCGAATTGGAAGAGTAAAATCGCAAGACGAGCTCGGTGGTGGTGGAACACGAAATATGGACTGGGATCCACTGTGAACCGATTTCAAGACCATGTACGTAGTGACGCACTATGTAGTAGATGAGATTCACTACTCTCCACACCGTTCTGTTAGATCCCAAGCGATACTCCAGGAGGCGAGAGGCGAGAGGCGAAAGGGTGGAGGGAAAACTGGAGAAAGGGTCAATGTGAGTGAGGTGATGATAGAACTCTTATTCTCCAGGTCTCCAACTGATCGGGGGTCCAGGTCGATCTCCAGAACTCCAGTTCAGGTCTTCTAGACCAGAGACAAGGACTTGGCGGGGCGTGAGCGATATGTACCCGATGATGCTGTTATCTGCACCGCCGTACCACCATCCTCCATACATCATCGGGGCAGCGTTGGCTATCCAACAAAATGCTAGGTACTTAGAAGGATCGTCATGACGGGAAACCTCTGGTTCTGGCTACAATGATCAGTCTTCTGGTTTCCCATTTCCAAGCGACGGACAGACTGACAAAAACGCCTTGGCTGATAGGTTACCCAACGGAACAACCCTCGTTCGGTGCAACCATCCGCAAAATATCCCCGTTACCCCATAGCCATTGGCTTGGATGGCGGAGATGGGCGATGGAACTTCCATATTCTGAATAGTTGCATGTGGTCGAAGATATTCGATGACCACTTCATTAGGAATGTAGACACATACTCGGCTATCCTGAATCCTCCGGCCTCTGGGATCAATGCGAAAGCACAGACATAAGACAGGGACGTCTTGACTCTTGAGTCTTCACAAGGGCCATTTGCTAAGAAAACGCCAGGACGCCACTTCGAAGATAAGACATGAATACGATCTGCATCACTCTACATGTGCTTTATGATATCTTGGAATCTTGGAAATTACGATTTACGGCAGGGTGGGATCCTGGGTGCGGGAAGAGGCACCTTCTCCACACATTTCTTAATTCTACCTTGTTCAACCTTACCCCATGCCTTTCCGTCGTATCATTCGGTCATCAGAAGACATTGGCTCGACTCCTTTCATTTTCCCTTCTGTTTGAAGCATTAAGCCTCGTTGCTGCGGCGCGGCTGACACTGTGGGCTCACAGCCTCACACAACAAACGGCATCGGATGACCGCACAAAGGCAGATAAAGAGTCCGGGACTTGGGTTCTTATCAATCGATGCATGCAACTTTGGGCCACTACACTCAGCAGCACCAGCAGATTCTGTCAATCGTGTCCCTGTCCCCACGGTCGACGGTTCCCGCTGATTCTTTAACTTCGGTACCCTTTACGGAGGACTCCGGACGCCGGACAACAGCCCATGGTTACCTTGATTGGTTTCCTGTAATACCCAAGTACCCGCAATACCCAGGTCGGTGGTAGACCACGGTGAGATCGGACTCTCTGAAATCTGATGATCATTTTGGACTCTGGTACTATTCCTTTGTGTCATGCATATCCGATGGGTTGGGGAAACCGGAAGTTGCGATAGAGTGTTCAGTGCGGACTGCGGAATGTGGAGTACGTAGCAGACTAGCAGTACTCCGTAGAGAATAGAGACAAACCGGAGCGGGAGTAGCGGTGCATACTATGTGCTATGTACTATGTAGGTAAGCCCTGTGCATAACTAGTCAGGTTTTCAATTCAATTGTAATTTGTATGGCTGATCAATGAGCATTTTGGCCAGGCAGGCCGCGCTTTCGGCACACCAAAGACCAAAGCTCGAACTCGAGCCGCCAAGAACGCCTCATCCGATCTTTAACAGTCTCAAGCTCCACTGGTTCGCCTTGGCCCACGACATCACGAATTCAGGATGCACCGCACATCGCAGCTCGCTAGAATGAAAATTAAACGTTGAGGATATCTCGTGGTGTCGTCATTGATATTCAGTCGACCGATCGTCCTCCAAATTTCCAAACCCATCCTTGGCCCTTCATGTCTAGGCCCCCCGGACAGGCAGAACAATGTAAGAATGTAAGATAGAACGGAACGTCCAAATAGGACGTTACATTTTTAAATGGCCCCACGTTTGCCAAGCTTACCCTTGGCCGAGGGGCTCTTGGCCTCATACTTTGATTTGTATCCATTTCGCCGAAAGATCGCTTGGAGGCCTGAACCGAGTCTATCCACACCAATGACAGGAGATTTTGGTATGCATACTTGAAACATCGATTCGGTCAGCTCCGAGAGATATCAACGTCAATCCGCGAAATAGAGTAGGTACCTATCCCATGCCCACCCAGTCTGTGCCTATTGTAGTCGTCATATCGGGTCGGTGGAAGTAGAGGGCCTCGTTCCAATCACGTGGCGCATCTCTGCTTGTCCGGAAGGACTTGGAGAATTGACTTGGGTTCTGCTGTGATGGATGTGGTTGTGATGCATCGACAATCCACTGTAACCTTGGAAGGTTCAAAACATTCAATACTGGTACAGGATCTAAGGGAAGAACGTCCCCGGTGTCCCGGAATACTTATGTTGATCTTCCCAGTAAGCATCAATCCGGATCTCGGAGTCCCCAAGGATCGGATCCGCAGATCTTCGTCTAACCAAGGAAAGATCGAAAGCAAGCACGCGCCGTGAATGATCGCAGTAGATAACCCAATCGACACGGTGCAGAAAGGATCCATACCCCCATGGTCATTCGTATGCACCGGGGCATCCTAAGTGCGGAATATGCGCGAATAAACATGCCATGACCTCGTTTCAGACCATCAATGATCATTATTCGCCCAAGGCCAAGGACCAATACCATGGCAAAGTCTCCTGGTTTCCAGGAAACAAAAGCAGACCGCCGGCCAATCAACGAAAACCCAAGGCCATCAACAATACCCCATTTGGTATGTTCCATGTTCACTCCTTCAAGCTCTCGTTCACGACCAACTCCACCACGATCTGGCTCCGCTGCTCCTCCGGATGCTGCATGCTCACCTTGATCGTCCGCGATCCCTGGCTGCTCCCGCTACGTCCGTCGTCCAGACATTTGACGTCGCGTCCGGCGATGACCTGCCTCAATCTGCCATCCTGCGCGTTGCGGATCTCGACGAAATCCTGGTCGAACAAGAGGATGTATGGACCATGCAGCGCCGCGCTGCGTGCTTTGCCGACGAATTCCATGATCACACTGCGGGAAATGTCGCCATGCTTGTTGACGTACACCGCACACTCTTCGTAGCAAAGAAGGAAATCTTGGTCGGAAAGTCGGAACATGCCGAGCGGCGTTTGACTAGCCAATCGTTGCGCGATGGTCGCGACGTGCGGTTGTCGGAGATCCGGGACACTCCATGGCTGCTTCTTGTCAAGTGTCAGGATTTCGAAGCCGCGAAGGGTGGAGACGGCAAGGGAGGTGTTGTAGAGGCTGATGCCCATGCATTCGGTCGGGATGTAGAACTCGTCGAACTCGCGGAAAAACTCGGTCCGGCCAGACCTCATAAACCCACGCATCTTCTTCTCACTGGCTTTCTGATAGATGGGTTCAAGGACCTTGAACGTCGAGGAGAGGCCTTCGCGTTTCTTGTAGAAGACGAGAACACGGTCTTTCATTCGCCCAGTAGCGAAGAAACCCACGTCGCGGCTACCCGAGAGTTTCAGAGGAGCCTTTCGCGCAGAATCGCCCGTCGATCCGCCATTCAAAGGGCATACGACGTCGAGATGATATGCGATGAGGGATTTGTCCGAGATGAGTAGGAAGAGTCCGAACTCTTCGAGCACGGCAATCTGTGCTACCTTGAGCGCGGTGATTGCCTGGATTCGTTAGTGTTGCCACGATGTGTTGCGGTTTGAACCTTACCTTCATCCAGCCTCGCGGATTGTTCATCTCCGATATGAAAACGCCGATATCCGTGCCGACGGCGAGCATGGGCTTCTTTCCTTGCGTGAAGCTTGTGGCGCAATTGACCTTGGCTCTGCAGATGGGCGACGGTCGGCCGGCGCTGACAAACGTATTTTCCACTTCTCGTACCGCCCGGTCAAGCGGTGTTCCCTGGATGACAATGGTCTTCTGTCCCACGACGGTGGAATCGTGCGCAAATGCCGCATCCGCCATCACTCTCAGTTTGAAAGGCTCGGCATTCTGTGCGAATAACGCGGTCGCATGTCGCGTTTTTGCCTCGATGATTCGATCGCACCATTCGTCCCGGTTCTGCAACGTGGGTGCAAATAGAGTATAGGTATCCTTACCGAGATGCTTGATTCGGAACGGGTACAAGATTTTGTCTTCCTTGGGATCGATAACCGGGTTTGGTACCATGGTCTTGTTAGAAGAACTCGAAGACGACGAAGCCACCGACACGTTGGTATTGGTATGAGTGATGCTCCCAGGACCAGGGCTTTGATGCGATGATGTACGGCTGGATCGTGGTTCTAGAGCCGGTGCGACTCGTGGCGCTACCGCAGCAATGCCTCTGACAGTCGATTTGATCACAGGATCATCGTCTCGGCTTTCTAATAGCAGCAAGTCCATAGGGATGGGCTGAAATTTGATTAACAGAGTTCAAATGGGTGGATGAAGTACTTACCAGTCGCGAGACGTCGTACTTTTCCGATTTCGCATCCCCTTCTCTCTCCGTCACGGATTTCGCCAACACGAGGAAATGGTCGAACAGCAATGCATGCGTCTCCAGCAGAGAAAATTTCGTGGTCCCCAACCGCTGCAGGTCTCCTTTGAAGATGAGTTCGCGGCCGAGATGGTCGAGATTCAACTCCACGCGTTGCATGCCCTGTCTCAACTTTAACTTGCTCTGCAAATCGGTCAAATCCACTTTCCGGCTCATTTCCGCCACTTTGGCGTCGCACTCGTGGGTAACCGCTTTGATCTCGTCGATTGCCACGATCAAGTTTCGCTTCTCGTCCGAATCTTGGATGGTTTTCTTGAGCACCGTGTCCAGTAGCAACCCGTAGTGCTGAAGGCGTGTAATAGGAGCCTTCAGGTACGTATCCCAAGCGAGTTTGTTGGAGCGAGGATCGCTCCGAGCGCGATCGATGAACATCCGGAAAGGGATGTTGCGCTCCATTTCTTGCCGGACCAAGAATGTCGCATGAGGGAAGGCCGCGGCGTACTCCGTGTAGGCCACCTTGGCTTTCCGGATCCATTCGCGGAAGATGTCACTGAACCCCACCATCCAAGGTCCCTGCTCGTGTTGACGATACTTCATCTGCGGGAGAAGGAACTCCTCGTTGGCTTTCTTAACGGCGTCGACTTTACCAAACACCGCATGGAGGAATTTCTTCAGGCGTTTCGGTTCGATCGAAGGTGGGTTGGACGTCTGTAACGTATCGCGGTAGAGAATTCGGAGCACATCCAATTGATCCATAAAGCCTTCTTCCTTTTGCACGATCTCGTGAAGGATGTTCTGTCGTTCGACCTCTTTCGACGAGACGCCCTCGACATCCTCTTTCTTGATCTTGTAGTACGTTGCCCAGTCGTCGGTCGGCTTCAAAACGGATTGCTTATTGAGATCGATCTTTTTTAGCGTCCGTTGGCAATGGTGCGAGTAACAACGACCGCTGGCGTTGGATTCATGCAGTTTCGAAGCGTAACAACCGGCCCCGGATAACTGGAAGATGACGCCGGTCATGGACTCCGAACTAAACTTCAGCCATTCCTCTTCCCTCTCCAGAACACCGGCTTGGAACATGTTCTGGACGACCGTTGTACTGAGGGTCTCCGCATCAGCGATGTTCATCGTCGGAACCTTGTGTGTGAACAGAGCGACCAGGCCTTCGACAATCGGACCTTTCTTGAGCTCGTTTTCGCCTTCGGTCATGAATTTGAGCCACGATATAATCGAGCTCAACGCCCATGGCTCTGGGCACCGCTTGAAATCGGTCGTACTCAGTTTGGAAGGATTAAAGCGGCGGGCGATCGGCAATGTGGGTAAATCGAGAGCTACCGCACTGGCACTTGCGGTCGTATTCCCGCTGCTATCGCCAGGCACTGGTTTCCCGGCCTGCTGGCGCTGGGACCGGTATTCAGCGTCGGTCTTGGATCGTATCGGTGCGGGTGTTTGAGCGGTGTTGGAGTGTGATATGAGGGATATGGCCCTTCCAGGTTGCAAACCGACTCCAGCAGTGATTGGGCTAAGCACGGTTGGGGGAGGCGCTTCCGGTCCTTGGGGGTATGATGGAAATGTCAGGTTACCGCCTTGATTCCATTCCATTGGGTATGGTGCAGTTCCACCGGGGAGAGCCTCGCCAGGTGGAGGTAGGGGCAGAGGGCGGTGGTTCGACATCCCGGGATGATAGAATAAGTCCGGAGGATCTCCCGGTGCGAGGCCGCCGTCGTTGAGGAAATTTGATTCATCTCCTTCATCATAACTCAGGCGTCGTCGCTGTGCGGAAGGTTCGGCCAAACCTCCCGTCCCGAAAGCGTCCACTCTCGCGTATGGACCACCGTAGACTTCGTTCTCGTACAGGGTCTCGGCGTCACTCGTTTCCGACCGTCGTTGAGATCCGGAAGAAGAAAGACCTCCATTTCGACTCTCAACGGTCCGCAGTGAAGACTGCCGGGCAGCCAACTGGCCCGGATCACCCCCGTATGATACCGAGGGTTGGAAGGTTCCACCGTAGGACATCAGATCGATGCCGACGCCATCGCTATCACTGGGAATGTCCTGGGGCTGCGACGGCTGTGGACCTGCTGGTGCCGCGTAGGTGCCAAACAATGTGCTTTGTCCGCTTCGGCGTCGGTATTCGTCTCGCTGGTCTTGTTCGTCGGCAAGCCGCATCGCTTCCAGGCCACCAACCGCCTCCGCGTCACTTTCATCGCTGTAAGCCGGGCGTCCCACCTCCGGTGTCAAGTGGCCATTCGTGCTGCGCCGAGTCAACGTCTCGCTGCCGTGCAATCCGTGGGACTGAGATTCGGTCAGTTCGATGCGAGGACTCCGTACTCCCGTGTGCATATTCATGGCCTCTTCCACTTCATCGAAAAGACGATCCTGCGACCCCTCGTTCTGATCGTAAGGAAGCCCATTCGCCGGGTATGTCTGGTCCGGTTCAATGGGCGGTCCTGGCAGCGGTCGTAATTGTGGGTGTCGTAGCGACTCTTGCCGTTGTGGTGATGAGTGGCCCGTGGATGCGTAAGGCGATGGGGTGAAGCGGTCGGATTGACCGTTGGACGGATGCCGAAGCGGTAGGGTGGAAGGAAGAGGCGATGGTTGGATTTGGGAACGATACGGTTCTGAATTGTGGCGAGGAACTGGGTGCTGCTGTCGTTGAGAGAATCGGCTATTGACGTCAATATGTTCATCTGGAGAGGATGCTAACATCGGAAGCGGAGGAGGGGCGGGGGGGGTGTACGCGGAACGATCCCCGCCGGTCGCCGTGGTCTGTGAGGGATAAGGGAGTGTGGATTGTCGGAAAGGATGGGTTGACTGCGTTCGTGCGAAGGAATATTGATGGACCGGTGGAGAAGGGATCGCATATGAGGAAGAAGGGCCATATGCCCCGGCAGGATACGCGACACTCGAATGGCGTTGGATGTTCGGGTCCGCATAGTCAGCAGGGTTATACTGCGAATGACCGCCAGAACTTGGGGCCCTCGGCCTGCCTTCCGCAGAGGAATGCGAGTAAAAGTTATTTCCATGAACTGGGGGTGTGGGAGGGGGATTTGCGTAGTTCTGGGGGTTGTAGGCCGGCTGTGGGTTCGAAGATGGGTATCCCGCACTCGACGATTGTCTGGTGGGGGATGCTGATGGGTTCATCGGTGATCCGATGAACAGTTCGTCGTTCTGTCGAGCGGCCACACTTCTGGTCCGTTCCGGTACATTGGATGTGGCCGAGTATGGGGTATTCGAGCCATGTGGTGCGACGCCTGCACCGTAGAGTCCGGGATGAGAGTTGTCCGCATTATCGCTGTCCGAATATTGAGTCGGGTAGGGCTGCGACGGCGGTGGTTGATGGTAGTAGTAGTGACCGTTCTGGTTATGCGCCATATTGATAAGCCGGTAGACCAGTGTCGGAGCACTTTCTCGAGGCGGAGAGCCCTTGATGGAGATGGTCAATGAGTTGCGCAAATCAGGAAGGGTCGGGAGAGTCGAGGTCAGATGTGGAAGCGGGAGATGGTGTGGTGGTGGTGGTCATGGGAAGGCGTTGGGAGGGAAAGTCCAAGGTTGGGATGGAAGCGAAGGTAGAAAAAGGTCGATTCAACATTTCCTAATTGGGAATTTCAAAGCGAGCGGAACAGAACGTTGAAAGATTAGTTGAATGAACAGGTGCAGAGTTGAAGAAAGCCCGTGGGAAGGAGCGGAGGGTGGAGTGTGATTGTAGAGCGGTAGAAGCGGTAGAGGTACGTGGAGGGTCGGGGAATGTGGAGAGGTGAAAGGTGAGAGTTGAGAGGTGACTGGTGACTGGTGATTGGCTGTGGTGAGACGAGTGCGAGGTGGATTTCCGATATGCCTTGCCGCCTTGTCGCCTTGTAGAGGTTGCAGTTGCAGTGGCAGTGGCAGCTACAGTTGCAACTTTGTAGCAGACTAGCAGTGGTAGCACAGTAGCACCCATCGAAATTCTAATCCAATTCAATAGGTACTTCATTCATTTGCTACAGTGATGACAATTAACAAACTCGGATATTTAGCGTGTCCGAAGTGATGAAGCAGAATCTGGGGATCCGACCCTTAAACGTACCTGGACCATGGTAACAGGAAGTCCCTTACTGATCACTCTTGGACGGTGGTGGACCAGATCGCGGCGCTGTGGTCTTCCGTTCTTGGGTTCTCGAGTCCCGGGTGCTGCGAACCCCCCCGGCCGACGCAGCCCCAGGGTCTGGCACAGCCACAGCAGGTACTCCCTACTCCATAGAGAGTCCCTCCGCTCCGCCACCATCCCATGTCCCTTCAAACTCAAATATGCCTTGTCCTCCTTCAGTCCTTCACCAATTTCATTATTTCATCACTTCACCGTCATAACTGTGTTTTTACTTCCACGTCAAAGTCGTGCGTATGGATCTGCCTTGTTAATGCCGTTCTTCTTCCGCCTCCTCGGAGTCACATCGCCGCAAGCATGCCTCCGATCCTCTCCCAATTGGAAGTGAAGGCTACCCTTGACCGGAACTGGTTTGGAGCGACGCCTGCATGATACATTTCAGACAACTTGATACCAGTCTCTTCACCTAGTCTGTCCCATCCACATAGAATTGAGTGCCCTTGAGATCCGCACCGTGGTACTGTAATGCCATCCGACCACCCGATTTGGAGGCTGTCTTCATAGCCTGGACAGATGCGGAGGCGGTATCTTGCTAAGCTTCGCAGGCCATCTACAGGGCTTAGTAGCATGCGATGAGGTAATCGGAACTCAAACCAAATCAATCCGGCCTAGGAAAACATTCTCCAATTCATATATTGATGGTCAATGATGCTGTTCATGCCTCGTATGCTTCCATGATCGCGTCGCTGATGTCCACCGGGGTGCCCATTAGTGTCCGCCAGATGGCAACCAGGGTCTCATCGACAGTCAGGATTCGTCTCCAAACTCCAGCATGTTCAGCGATGCCATCAACCCTGCCAGGGACTTTACGATCTGATTGCCGTGCTGCTGAGTATTGAAACTGTCATGGGTAAGTAAGCGGACCAGCTGCACCCAGTGTTCTTCTCCGCACAGACAAGTCGGTGGAGAGCTTGGTCTTCTACTTGCAGGTTGCACTCTGGCTCCAGGAAGACGCAGAAATGGCATTGTCCGTATAGGTTTGGCCCCATCGCAGAAATCTGGAAACTATAGACGAGGGAAGTACAGACGTCGGCCTCTTCGTGGAAATCTGCCGCTAGTTACTGCGAGCATCGGCATCGAGGTCCACGGAGTAACTACGTACATCGAGTCCCACCATTCGCAATATCTACGCTTGATTATATATGTGTATGTACGTATATACAGAAGATTTACCTTTTCGAGCCATATCTGCTGGGCTGGGGGATTTACCCAAATCATCATCTTCTTCTGGCCCTTCACTACCTTGTCGACGATTAGGAGTAGCAGATATCGCAGCTTGGGAGCTCCATCACAGAAGATCTCGAGGGTCTCTTGCAAGTTGTTGCGCTCCGGGAGGTTAATGATCGTCTTAGTCTTCTTCTTGACTTGGGCATTGCGAACATCTACTAGCATCTGACATGCATCTCCATCTTTCTTCTTAAACGCCCTCACATTCTTGGCAGTATAGTGCATTAACCATTGAAAACCAGTCCAAGTAGTGATTGGGTTAAGGGTCCTCCACCTTAAGCTTGAAGAGCTGGTTGATCAACGATTGGTATAAAAGGTTGTATGCCTGGGGTTCCGCTGGCGTCATATCGATCGTGATTAGATTTTCGCATGTCTGGCCGCTGGTCACCGATACGCTTGCCATCGACACGAAAATCGGCGGTTCGTCGGATCATGCACTTCTCGAGAAGCCATCGCACCCAAGGTCCGATCTAGATATAAGTTTAGTTCGGGTTCTAATCCGTACATACGCACAGTCCTGGTTCTTACCGACTCCTGATCCACGCCGCTAGAAAAGACATGACGTCGGAGACTGGCCGCCGAAAAGCAGAGTTGCTTCCCAGGGTCATCGTTCGATCTAGATGGGTCCCATGGGTTATGACGGTCTAGGACTATCTTCTCTCAATCATCGGTGCCGACCTATTCGTCTTCGTAGGATAAGCCTAAGAAATCCGAACTTGCTGGACCCTATGTCTTCTTTGACCTCTATCAAACCAACGAGCCCTGCTCTATCGTCGATAGCGTTTATCTATGGTGTCGCAATGAGTGGAAAGATGAAATAAGTGAAGGCAAAGTCACAACGGACGCAGTGAAATAATTGAGGGCAATGTCACGGTTCGAATCAGAGAATTTGGTTGCGTTTGATCGTTATCGAATTGATATAGAAAGAAGAAAGAAACAACTCTTCTTGAGGAGTAAATATACAACTGTCTGTGGGCCCGGCCCCTTATCAATGAAAGTCGTTTCTTCTTCTTTAAGCCGCATGGCTACTCTACCACAACAGTCGAGCGTAGCTCAAGACTGTGACAGGCAAAGTGTTAACGGACGAAGTGAAACCACTCTCAAACCGAAGGAATTGGACCGAATGGAAATAATTGTTATAAGGAACAATAGCAAGAACAATAGGAAGTGGTATATACGTTGCAGATCCCTCAGCTGTGCGCCAATACTGTGCCTTTTGGCCGATTGGAATATAAGTTGCAGAAGAGATGAAGATAAGATCTCTTCCGAGAATCGTTAAATTAAACTAATCTTTAATATAGACAGCCGGCCCGTGCACTCATTCATAACACTCGACACTCGTCACTCAATCTCAATGACTCAAAGAGACTGGGCGAAGCCCAAGATTGTCACAAACGATGCTGTTTATGCCTCCGAATCAACTACAATTATTGAATCTCCACAGTGTGTCAGTGATGTTCACCCCTCCATCCGATATCGTCTGTTCAGGTATTAATCATACAAGCCTAGCCGTGCCATGATCTATAATCTATTAGACCTAGGTGACTCCTCTAATACCCCGCATCCCATCCGATCAGCAATATCCAGGAGGTATGGTGCTGGGCCGAACACCCATTCTATACTTAAATGTTCCTATATCATTCCTATATCAAGTATTAGTTTCTCTGTGTCATTTCCGTCTGAATTCTGTTCCCTGTCGCTCGGTCACATCGTTTCATAGTCAACCTTTCTGGGCACATTCTCAACATGGCGATTCAGTCCGAGTCGAGAAACGGAACCAAAGCGGACCAAAATGAGCCGATTTGCAGCCCTGACGCTCCCCCGGCCTCCCAGGCAGACAAAACGGGGTATCGAATTCGCGAACAACCAATGGGAACCAAGGGAAAACTACGTGTCGTCCTTATGGGGGCTGGGGCATCTTCGGCGAACTTTTTCAAACAGGCCGAGGGGCATATGGAGCAGCTTGATATCGTATGCTACGAGAAAAATCGCGACATAGGTGGCAGTATGTATCCCCTTCTCATCCTGTCTGCACTTATGCTGACTCCATTGAAGCTTGGCTTGAGAATAGATATCCTGGTATGTATCGCGAGAACCTTGACAGCCAGTGTACCAATCTAGTTCATAGGATGTGCGTGCGACATTCCGTCCGTCAACTACCAGTTCTCCTGGAAGATCAAGCTCTGGTCGCGTTATTACTCCTTTTCCAAGGAAATATGGGAATATCTCAAGGACATATACGACGAAAATCGCTTCGTGGATAAGTATGTGAAGCTCCGACATAAAATTCAAGGAGCGGAATGGGACCAAGAACAAGGACTTTGGCGGTTCAAGATCAAGAATCTCGACACCGGGGATATCATTGATGACCATGCCGAGTTCTTCATTAATGCCGGTGGTGTCCTGAACAATTGGAAGTGGCCTGATATCCCCGGCCTGCAGGATTACCGCGGAAAGCTCATGCATTCTGCAGCCTACGAAGAAGACTACCCTCTCGACGGTAAGCGAGTTGCTGTTGTGGGAGCCGGAAGCAGTGGAGTGCAGATCGTCTCTGCGATTCAGAAGAAAGTTGCCAAGCTCTACCACTGGGTTAGGAGTCCGATCTGGATCACAGCAGGATTTGCGCAGACTTGGGCGGGCAAAGATGGCCTGAATTTTGCGTGTAAGTGACACCGAATCCGTTGACTTGGTCCATATCCCCAGCTCGAATCACTGACGCCTCGGTCCAGATACTCAAAAGCAAAAGGACTACCTCCGTGATCACCCTGAGAAGTATATGGAATATCGGAAACAGATCGAGAACGAGCTCAATCAAAGATTCAAATTTATCATCAAAGGCACAGACGAAGCTAAAATGGCAAGAGAATATGCCACATCGGAGATGAAACGCAAACTGAACAATGATCCTCGGCTTTGCGATAAGATCATCCCAAAGGATTTCAATCCAGGTTGTCGAAGACCGACACCGGCACCTGGGTATCTCGAGGCTCTGGTCGCTCCAAACGCCACCATCTTTACCGACACTGTCACCAAGTTCACTTCATCTGGGTTCATCGATCACGAAGGCAACGAGCACGAAGTGGACGTCATTATCTGTGCGACCGGCTTTGACACCACCTGGAAGCCCCGGTTCCCCCTCGTCGCTCATGGCCGAGATCTTCGCGAAGTCTGGTCCGGCGATGATAGTGTCACCTCCTATCTCAGCATTGGCATCCCGGATTTCCCGAACTACTTTAGCTTCTGCGGTCCCTACGGCCCGCTCGGGCATGGGAGCTTCATGCCACTCATCGAATCCTGGACCGGTTACATTCTCGACGTCATTAGAAAAGCACAGGTCGAAAACATCAAATCGTTCACACCGCGGATGGATGTCTCCAAGCAATTCCGTCAGCATGCCGACTCGTTTCTGAAAAGGACCGCATGGACGAGCCCATGCCGAAGCTGGTTCAAGCAGGGAAAGTCAGACGGGCAGACGGTGATCTATCCCGGGAGCCGGTTGCATTTCTTGGAAATTATGAAAAACCCGAGGTATGAAGATTATCAGATCGAGTACCGGGATGAGAACCGCTTCGCGTTCATGGGGAACGGCTTCGACCTTCGAGAATTCGACGGCCGGGACATTACGTATTATCTAGGAAATATCGATCCGGATGGGAGGGATGTGCAGCCAGAGTATGGAGAAGAACTGATGCCCGTTTTGGCGGGATGGGCAATAGACGAGAATTGAGGAGATAATCGCCTCACATGGTCGGTAATTATTATCCCAGAGGAGCGCATTGTCTGGACCACTAGACAAGTCATGTCATGCGGCTGGTTCCATTCAAGTCCCGTTCGTCAACAACCGAAAGAAGCGAACAAAGTCATCAACCCTCGTCAGGCTTCTTCTTCATTAGTCGATTCGAAATTCGAAATGTTTGCAGTGTTGCGCTTACTTCCTTTTAAATATTCTAGTCCTTGTGTTTCTATTGGTTGCCATGACTCCTATTAGTCCAACATTTCTTCGTAGAACAGTGCATCTGGAAAAAGAAGTGGATGGCCCTGAAGCACCCCCAGTGGGTCGAGAACGCTCAATCGTTGCCTGCTGTCGCCTCCTGTTGTCTTTACATAAACATAGAGTTCTTATTTCCTCGAATTTAGCAAGCCGATACGATACTCCCTTTCAGTCGGCTGGAGATGCACTAGTATAGAGTTGCGCACTATGGACTCTCTGCCACGCATCCCTATGTCACTGAACTGGATGGACAGGGTGCTTGGTATGAATATCAAGGTCAATGGCAGTCGCAAGCGCCTCTGGCGCACACACTGCAATGAACCCGCGATGCATTCATGCGCGCAGTGCCAGTACCATGCGGACATGATCCTTGAGCACAAGTCTCCTAGAATTGACTAGCATGTCACAAAGCTAGACCCTCCGTCGAGTCCAAATCTCAAGGCAGATTCGAACTTCATTCTGTGGGCAATAAAGGATCATATACAGAAACCACGCCTTTGGTACATCGACATAGAACCATTCGCCCTTGGAGGCAGTATCACAATCCTGCTTGAGATATGTATCATCAACGGAAATGGGTCCATAATTCTTAACACTCCGGTTCGATACCATGGTATTCACCACATCAACGACTTGAATCAATGTGACACGAGGGATGGGCAACCGCAAAAGCCCCGATCGATCTACAATGGAGCTCCACCCACGAAATGCTTCAATCTGAGATAAGAACGAAGATCCTGACAACCTGGAGGAATTCAAGCTCGAACAAGATTTCAAAGACCCCTAGGCCAAGCATCCTCAAGATCTTTCGAACTCGGCTTGCAAGAGCGCCCCTCCGAACCCTTTCTCTGGAGCATACCGGCGGTCCAAGCACAGAGTTGACAACACAATTTTCAAACGCTTCATGGGCGATCCGCATGGATCACCTGTGGGGATTGTCGAGTCTCGAAGCTCTCAGGCTTCCAGCCCCGTTCATCATCCCGGGCAACTCCGTTACGACTTTGCCATCAGGAGGCGGTTTGCCCCCCAAGGATGAAGCATCTCCATCTGTACGGCTGCCACGATTGCATGCGGCTTCCCGTCAGGCTGCTCCAGGCCATCCGCAAGAGACAGTGGCTGCAACTGGCGAGAATCAAGGGGGACGGCATCGAGGCACCGTGGGCGTTTGATAATTGAAAATACGGTGACTGAGCAGAGAGTTCGAAGCCAGGCTTTCATCTGAAGGGAAATGCGGGCATTGCAGGTGGCTGATGGTGTGAGGAGCGGAAAAGGACATGATCGGATATAGAAAAGTTTGATAGAGGTATGAAAAGCAGCGCATCCAGTTACAAAATTCCCATGGGTAGAAATAGATTCTTACTGCGGTCTAATCCTGTATGTAGTACGTATCCAGAAAAGCTGATCACCACCATCAATGTCATGCCAACCAAAGCCACTGTTACATTCGCAGATTCGTGAATCGTGATGAACCCAAGCGCCGATCATCGGGACTGTACTGTATCTTAGTCACTTGAAGGGTGCAGGACTAGCTAGTTTTGAACCGTCCACGCAAGGCTCTTTGAATCAAGTACGCAGCGATTGAGATTTCTCGATTTCTCGACGCCTAGGGGTGTGCTTCAGAGTCAGGACGATCAAATATCAATTACTCAGATGTAGGATACCGAGTTACCAACAAATTCATTGTTCACGTGTCAGGAAAGCGAGGTCCAATCACGTGGTCCTGAATCCTGACGACTTAGCTTTCCAGTTGCGAACGTCGGTCAGTTAATTGATGACTTCTCACCCTCTCCAAACACGTCGCGTACAATTCGTCATTTGCAGAATTGACTGTTCCTATCGAACGAGAAACCAGAAATTGAATCGCTCTTTGTTCCAAACTACTATCTTCTAACCACCTCCGGATGGATCGCGCTCTAGACGAAGTTATGGCGGACCGCCCGGTATGCGAGACCACAAGCTGCATCGGTACCCATTCATAACTAACATTTCCCAGCGATCGTATCGCGGATCAAGAGACCGCCGACAAAACAATCGACCTCGTGATGGCGTAAGAAAGGTATGTTGGCTCTCGGAATCGTCCCTAGGTCGTCAACCGTCCAACTGACCATCGCAATAACTAGGTGTCTTCCATCCCTCCTCTCCTTCTCGACCCTTAGTTGCTACGCAGCAGCACAAAGCAGTCGCATTTCGACCTCGATCGGGCGACCTGTGCCGAAGCCGATCCTTTAAGTGGTATACCGTGACCTTCGCTGACCTAGGTATTTCCTTACCGTACTAGAGCCGGAGAGATGACAGTCGCAACCTTGACCGGTGAGTTGCATAGTGCTCGATATCAAGTAGGGTACTAATCATTCGTAGTGATGACTGGGTCCACGATCGATATGAAGACGACTACGACTGTACGCGGATTTCCAGAGATATTTCTTTCCTTACTCACACATTCAGCCCAACCAGCGACTCGCACTTCACGTGGATCTCGCATCGATCGATATGCTCCAGAAGAGGACAAGTATGCTATATCGCTACTCCAGTCATCGGACGTGTCCGCTAATCGAAACAGTACTCAAACGGCGAAGGTTCGAGTTGAAAATCTGCATTACGAGCTCGGGGAAGATGATCTTCGGGTAAGTTCTTCATTCCTTGCGGGTAAAGCAACCAACTAAAGTTTCACAGGAGCTGTTCACCCGTATCGCGCCTCTACGTTCCCTCCAACTCATCTACGACCGTGGAGACCGATCCACCGGAGTTGCTTTTGTGACGTACCAGGATGTCGACGGCGCTCGCGCTGCAATTCGCCAGTTCGACGGTGCCAATGCGAAAGGTCAGCCCATCCGGCTCTCGCTCGTACCTCAAGGACCCTCGAAACCCACCAAAAAAGACTTGTTCGACCGCATGGAGAAGCCAAGCAAAAGTTTGTTCGACCGTGTGGAACGAGATGCACGAAGCATATCTCCTGATCAGGATCGACTTCGACGTTCTGATACGACCAAGCCGCCACCAGATCATATTGATCGGTATGTCCCGGGCCAGAACGGAGGAGGACGAGGGAGAGATCCTGCACCAAGAGGAGGTGGTGGACGTGGAAGAAGGCCCGGTGCTCGAAGGGAGGTGAACAGGCAAAGTGGGAGGGATGATACTGGAAGACCGGCAGTGCAGGGAAGGCCGAGGAAGACAATGGAGGAATTGGACGCCGAGATGGCAGATTATTGGGGCCCAAAAGAGCAAGCGGCAGCTATGGCGACTCGCCAAGGGTCTACGACCGGCCGGTCAGCCCCTGCGGATGATGATGTCGACATGATACTTTGAGTTCAAATTGCCGAGTGGAAGGGTGAGGAGATGTGCAGTTCAGTCAAGCCATTATTAGCATGAATAACGGACTTGGTTAACCATGTTGCCCACTCTCTATTTGCAAGTATGCAAGACATCAAACTTGATGTCAGACTCTCAACTCAGCTTGATGAACTCCTGCCCCATTTACCTATTTATTCCAAGCCATGAAGCAAATCCCTCAACCTGCTGCAATCGCTCGTCCTGTCTTCGAGATTCCCTCGCTGTCATAATGAATTACCCGTCTCCGTTCTGCAAATGGCAAACCTTGGACCCAGACCATATACGAGATATATCGATGATCGATGAATTAAGTCCCGCCCAAACCCACCACTTTCCTCCCACAACCAACACTGATCCCAGTGGCCGCAGAGGCCATGGTGGCAGCACATCCGTTGGCCCTGATCCATTGTACCATGCGCATACAGCAGTGTTTGCCACCGTCAAATCGGACTTCCCTTCAATAGCAAATGCTGTGAGCTATCCGGAATGGAAGAAACTGACGGAAATACCCTTGATGTGTTCCTCCGGTCTACACAAAAAGGGAAATATACCAACCCGCCGAGCGCAAGGGGCAACCTGTATGGTAATTCTTGTAGAGCGGCAATCAAACCTTGGAAAAACCAATCGCTAAGGGGTTTGAGGCCATGGAGCGATGTCTCAGGGCCCTCAATTTCGTCCACTCCGGAGACAGGGAGCGCTGGCATCATAACCGACTTGATGTCGACATGAACTTGATTTCCGGGTCCATTAAGCGCGTCTATCGCGAAGAGTAAATTGCCTCCAGCTTAGATGGCCGAAAAAGGATGCAGTTCGCGTTTTCTCATAAGAATTGGTAGTAATATCGTCATCTTGCTATTATAGTGGCTGTGGGGGTGTCCGTATGTCGGTGGTCGTGGTTGTGCGGGATCTAACTTCACGACCTGGGAGCCGTCTACGAGCGTTGATGAACCAATTATTGACCTAGTACGCGTTGAATTAGCATATAGCCAAATGTGGATGACGGTTTAACCCCCCCAACAGGGGCATACTCCGGTTCTAGAGACTCGCCGAAGCAAGGGAACCGGAAGAGCATCAGACCGTGTGGCAACCTTCCTACTCACGAAGCCAAGAAGGACACCATTCACCAGAAAACAGACATGAATTATGCGGTGAAAGGACTCCGAGCTTCATAGGAAGGAAATTATGGCTTACCTGGTTCATCGACAGTCCTGTGGCCCTCTGCAACATAGTCTTCTGCTCATCAGTCGGATAGGGACTTTCGCGGTTCTCATCAAACCACTGTTTGAGCACCTTGGTCGCCTCCTTTGGTAGGTTGCCTCTTCTTCTCCTTGGATAATGAACAGCGGTCGAAGCGCTATGGCCATAAACATAAGGATGAACATGCGAGCCGTGACTGACACTCGAATCTTGAGGAATTACATTTGGACTCCAATGCGAGTCATGGCGGACGTGTGTGTGAGGATGTGGTCGAGGAGCCATGCTGGAACCGTGTGCAAACGACGACATATGACTTGACAGTGAGTTCCTTGGTTGCGGGGGGGTTAATGGGGGCTGAAGTCGGGAATTGTGTCGTTCCAAATGGCTAGAAGGCTCAATTCCATTTGGGGAGCCCACTGGTCGATATGATCGTCCCAAATGGTCTACCGAAGACGGGCCCCTATGTCGAGATACATTGTTTTCCCAACTGCCCAGATGGGAATGATTTTTGGATGGTGGGTTTTGAGACGCTTCGGGTGACTCAGTTTGATTCTGTCCTCTCATATGACCTTCAATCGGTTCCAAAAGCTAAAGGATTGTCAGTTTATGGAGGTATCATATGTGCGCGTTCACATACCGAACGGATCGAAGGCAATGTGGGACCGGATGACACAGGATGAGGGCTCGCGCATGGTCGGAATGACGCCGTAGATTCGTGCTTTGCCAGCTTTTCGAGACCAGTCATTTCTCGCTTTGATGGTGCTTGACTGCGTGGATCGGAATCGCCGCAGCGGAGAGATGCAAAAGAGCTTGACAACGCTGCTTCATGAAAATAGGGATTGAAATGACTTGGTGAAGCAAGTGACGCCATTGACTCGTCCTAACTGTTGATACACTCTTACAAAGGTGACTGGGTCCGCTTTGGGGGAATAGAACGTTGTCGGCCTGTGACTTCTTAGCGACGATCCAGGATGTTTACGGGATGCGTGAGTGTCGAAAAGTTGTTTCTATGCGACGGTCCGGCTCAATCCCTCTGTTTCTCATATGGGAGATTATGAACCTTGAAATTCGGCAAAGAAAAATGCCCTTTCAAAGGGTTCGAGAGCGATATGTCCATGGTTCATGGCAACGAAACGGGACTAGGAGAAAAGGATGATAGACGTACCCTGTTGATGATGCTTCTGCCCTAATGGACTTCCTCAGACGGTTACGTGGGGAGTTGGAGACTGTTTGATCGCTCGAACCAACGATGCCGTTGTTTTACAATAGGGTTTCGTGACTGATGGCGGATTGGCCGAACATGTGAGGTTGAAGCCTGTCAAATATGAAACACGAAAGTGATAGAGAACCCCTCTATTCCTGCTTTACAAAATTCAACCGGGCATCTGATTTCTGACCAGGTATTCGTGGTGGTTCAAGAAAGAGCTTCCGATAGAGGCGAATATCAACGTTGAGGACTGGGTCTTACACGAAGCAAGTCTGAACAGGATGAGGGAAGTGAGCGTTTGGGATGGGTGACTGTACAAAAGCGTTAAAAAAGTTAAAAGATTATGAAGGTGTAAGGTTCGCACCTTGTCAACAGTAGGTTCGGTTTGAAGAAAGGTGTGGATACGGATGGGTAGTTGTGTGTAAAGTAAGATAAACCAATGGAGCCATTCCCTCCAGCCTTTTCCATCTCTCCTGGAGTCCGAACCGTCACCTCAACAAGAGGGTGGTCTAGCAAGGATCTAGGATATATCCAGTAGGGGCCTATTCTACCTCTAAATAGGATGGGGGATTGCAAAACATGGGGTATGGCTGTCGATTAGACTGTCTTCCGGTTGATCAGTGGTTCTGAGCTCTACCACGAGCCATGGGCGTGCTACAGAAGAACGGCGTCACCTCCTACTCGGGAACATCTTGATACAAAGCGGGAGGTCGCTACGGTGACCTTGAACGTCAGCGAAAATCGCCGATGCTGCGGATAAATCGCCCGATAGGCACGGCTTGCCAGATACCAGTCGCTCGGGAAGTGATCCACGACATATATCCTCTTCCGATGGTATCACTGCTGATCGGGAGTAGCGAAGGGAGGAGTACATTGTACTACCGACAAGGATTAAACCTGAGAATTGCGCCGCTAGGCCTCCGGTCGGATGAAAGCCAGGTACCTATAATAAGGTTGACACTTGACGCCTGGCGGGTAGATCAGAATCATGACAAAACGGGAGGCAGACGGGCCACTTTGACAGCCAAGGATTGGAGGGAGTGCTAACGGAAGACTTTTAGGTTCGTCAAGGGTCGGAGGCTGGTTTAGTAACCGTGTATTCTCCGAGAAGCATCACAGAAGGGATCGCTCCGGTTCGAACCCAAGGACTAACGCCTCACGCCTGACGCAAACGGATAGCCAACCCGCATAGGGTGTGACAGACCTTGTACGAGTTCGGCACGCTGTCCACGCGTTTGGTAATGGGGGCTCCGAGAAAGAAACTTTAAATCCCGAATCGATGGGTGGATCGTGCTCTCCCGCATCTGTTTCGTATCCGCTACGGTAGAGCCCTACATCCATGTGAGATAGTGGAGAACCAGTAAGCATCAGACGTACCCTGAACATTCGAGACTTCAAATGTTTACACGAGACTGATGTCCGTAAAATCCAAGGAAGCTTGAGAAGCAATGCAATCCTTTCACTCATTGAGCGTGTCACTAGTCAAGTGAGATCCATGCAGGTATTCGCTGTGGTCTTCCATATTACCCCGAATAATTCTCATTGATCATAGCACAAAAAAGCAATGTCATCCTTGTCGCTCGTGGCAGGAGCCGCGAACTTTGCCGCTCAATTTCCTCAATTCGGAAATCGATCTGTCCTCTGTCGATGAAGACTAGCCCTATTTGCCACTCGAACAAAACCGCGTTATTCCAGGATGTGATCGCGCTGATCATGGAGCTATTCCTCAGCCTCTACTTCTATCAATCTTCGACCATGGTGTTCGGGTACACAGCACGATGCCTGCAAAAAACAAATGATAACGATTGACAAATGGCGACGAGAATTGAGAGAAAGTCAGACCAATGGCGTCTTCCGTGAGGATCTGGATACTTACCCTGCATTGTGAACCGGTACTTTGCATCAATTGCGTCCGGCGTCCCGTCAGTAGATGAGCACAGATGCTCGCCAACGAGCGTCACCGTCCAGCTCGGCAAAAGCCATCAGGAGTCCAGGACCAACACAGACCACTAGGTCGGGATCAACCCTTTAGCTCGTCCGATGTGGTTCCTCAACTCAGTAGACCGCGTAATGACGAATGGGAACTTTGTAGGATTTCGATTCTAAAAACATTTACAAGAGAGCCCGGCAAAGCGAACTCCACAGTCCATCTATAGTAAACCGTGCTCGGTTTGGATTGGTCCATAAATCGAACCTGAGCGGACGGGTGAAGGTGAAACTAGCAAAGCTCTATCTGGACCGTTGGATGAAACGCCAAAGAGTAACGAAATGTTTCTGCAGGACAATGACACCTTAGGACGTAGGGTGACAATAGTCCAACCACGTCAAGACAATCCTCGGCTGTACACACCGGTAATAATACTTTCGTACCAATATCCCAAATTCGCGGGAATCACTCCTTGACACGACCTTGGAGGACGGGAAATGTACGTTGCCGCTTGATGCCACTGGATCGGCGCACATATCACCAGACGCCTAGACACCGACTTTGGGAATTTTGAACACTGGTGCTGCTAATCCGAGAGGTGGAATACACGAAGACACACGGCAAGCAACAGTTGGTGCTGCGACCTCGACCTGATGATAATTGTAGGTACCCAGTCAAATGAATAATGATGCACGCATCCGTCCGATCCGTCCAGATTTCCAGAGGCCTTGTCTCGCCGGACGGATGATCGACCGTCGCCCGTCGTGCTGGCACTTTTCCGCCGACGCTCTCAATTAGCAGACTTGTCAACATTTAGAGACTAGACAAGGAAGGCTCCGTGAAGGTGTAAAGGCGTCAGCTGTCAGCCGTCAAATTGTCACCCGGCAAAAAATGGGGACCAATTTCCGGGGGGTGACACGCCAGATCGTACAAGTCTCTCGATTGGGTTGCGTCAACCAGTCGACGCCCGAAGCAAGTGAGGGTATCATTGTGTCCAGTAGTCCTTAATCCTACCGAGACACCTCCGATCCTTTGTAGGATTCGTAACCACGGAAATAATGAAGATAACCTTGGCAGCGCATGGGGATATTGACGAAATGGCCTGTCATCCTCTTCAAGCCGTCTTGTTATCTAAGTGGAGATATTCCCGGATGTCGCCATGAAGCGAACCAATGTAGATTAGGCTTAGATTTGCATCATGACTAGGCAAAGGTGGATTGCTGCTTGACAGCCGCCTCTCCTTCCGATCCTAAGTCCCAAATTTTCCGGTCTATTGCATGAGAGCCGAAGCTATGACGAATAGAAATGAAAGAACAACGACAGGATATCCAGGGCTGGTGTTCCGGTTCTGCACCCAGGAGACCGCAGGATGGTACGGTTGAAGTTGACACAAGCTGCGCAGGCCCCATGATTGACACCAGGGGGTGTGCAAGGGAGCAGGGGCGGCTTGGTTGATGGTTCACGCTTTTGGTGGCTTGGTGGTGGTGGGCCAGGCCTTGCAATGATGACAAGAATGCCCTTGTTCGAACTTTTGGTCTTGCATTTTCCGTCCTCCTTTGAATCTCGGATTGGTAGGCTTGCCATAGATTTTAATGATGCATACCGTATCAGAGTAAATGAAGAACCGTTTGCATAGGTAGGTAGGTAGGTGTGGTGTCGTGCTGTGCAGGTGGTAAGAATCATCATCTTTCGTCTCGATTCTTGTCAGATATTCGTATCCAGAGCGGTCTGGGCAGACGAAATTTATCATCCTCGAAGAATCCTCTGGATTTTGAAAACCCATAACGGTTCCTACGAGATCTACCTTGTCTAAACATGAGCTGTTCCCATTCAGTCAGGTAAGCCACTCTGTTTTGCACCTTTATGAAGGCCGCGTCATGCGTCCATTTCGTTCACCTCAGATGTACCTGTTCAAATTAGGAATTGAAACCCCCTGGTCGAAGAGAAACGAAATATTTTATCTGCAAATGAACTGCGAACCGGAAACTCGAGTCTCGAAGTTCGTTCTTCAGAGTCCCTATGGTGGGTTGCATCCTGATATTTCGTGTCGTCTGGATGCTCGGGCTGGTAGTGCTGCTGTCACAGCGTTATGTTGCCCCATCCCCCAATCCAGGTTCTTGATTCGCCATCGATAGTTCATGACCCTTGTAGCCGGGTGTTTTCCCTTCCGCAGTCATCGTAGGATTTCTGGGTACACACCGAAACGAGTGTGGTCACGGCTGCTCTAGAAAGCCATATGGAACTGTTGAACAGCATATCAGTCTTGGGATTTGGCTTGGATGGGCAATATCAATGCAAGGCTAACCCCGTACCAGAACTTCCTGCTGATGGTGCACTGCGTATGAGGACGAAAACCACTTACCGGATATGATTTCAGACAGCATCGGTCAAGCAAGATGATGCAGCGAATGCGATCTGGGTACCAATATTCCATAAACAAACCTCGCTTCTACCTCTGAGTGCAGTATTTCAGGAGGCCCGAAATCCCCCGCTGCAAAACTGGTGCACAACATCATTGATATTCTCCGAGGAGATACCAGGACTCGTCTTGGATTCACCATCTATGCAAGAAGATATTGATGGGCCTGAAGCATATACACAGGTCATCAATACTCCTAATCCGCGAAAGACAAAGAAAGAATGACCAGGTCAGTACAGTGATCCTTTTACTTGAGCTAGCGGAGAGTCAAGCCAGAAGTTCTTTAACACAGTTGGAGAACACGTGGTTCCTTTGACATCGTCAAAAAAGGGGAAGGTGCGAAGGAGGAAAGGAAACACTCAAGAAGTGTTCAAAAAGGGAAATCCAAAAAAGGAAATCCTATGCATCAGCCGGGAATCGAACCCGAAGCCCCAGCTATCTTTTCGTCGCTTTCAGGTTGCTGCCTGATTAGCTTACGTAATGGAAGGCTGAAATGTTACCATTACACCACTGATGCTTGATATATATCAATTTTCAGAACAAAATTAATCAACGAATAACTGTGTTGTGTTGAAGAGACGAAATTACGAAACTAGTCGAGAATAGGGAGTCACGTGGGAATGTGGTTGGGAGGGGTTACCTCAGCAAGCTCAGGCCATTGTGGTAGTGCCTGAGGCAACGGACCGCGCTATACCTAATTGGTATGGTCCTCTACCAAATAGCCTGAGGATCCTGTCATTGATTTTCGGCCTGAGTCGAGATTGTTTGTATGAGAGCAATTTAATCACTTCAACCTCGTTTTCCTCCACAACGAGCTATCACACAGTAAAATTGACACGTTCAATCGAATCTTCTATCGTTTCTTGACAACCCAGTGAAATTTGGACGATTTCAGATCGAATCTCCTCTCGGCGCAGCGTACGACTGAACCCAACGTCTCCAGAGAGCAGAGAATAGCTACGAACTGGTACTCGAACTGCGGTGGTTGGTTGACGATTCTGATGCAATTTGGTTCCTTACATATCAGCATTTTTTGCAAGCCACAAGCATCCGGAGTGGAAAAAATTCAAATTCTAGATAAAGTATATCTTGCTGCACAGCCCAGTGAATTTAAGGGTAATTATAATAAGTCCTTGTGTTGTTATTGAAGAATATGCAAAAGTGAGGTTTCCAAAATCGTGAAAAACACATGAAAATTATCGAACAGTCAGTGTGAACCATTGACAGAATCCTCAGGCTATTTGTTCGAGAACTGCATTGACCGATTAGGTATAGTGTGGTTTGTTGCCTCAGGCACGACCACAAATAGCCTGAGCTTGCTGAGGTAAGGGAGGGGAACCCTGTAGTCTTATGGCCTTGGCGTCTTGTAGCTCTGTAGCCTTGCGGCCTTACCCCACCAAACTGAAACAGAAATGAAAGACAGAAGGAAACTGAAAACAACTCCTGGTACCCAGCACCCGACTACATTGATGTAGACGGTGTGGCAGGTATTGAACAATAGAGAAACATGATGCAGTGTATTGGCGATTAGTGTATGGACTATATGTAGGCGTTTCACTACCTAGGTTACGCAAGGGCGGGAGTTGGGAGTACTGTAGAGCTGCAGTGAGGCGGGAGCAGATGGTCTGCGCCACAACATAAACCCAGGTTGGCAGCTACTGCTTGGAGTTTGCTGGAACACCACACCTCTGGAGCCCCTGACTTGGCAGCAGTGCAACCCAGAGCATGAAGCCATCTGTAGCGACGTACAGAAGGCACGTCAGCACTTCAACTGACCATGTTGACCGTCCATATCGTCCACGCCAACTCTGGACCGGGTTCTACTTGTATGGAGTGAGTTGTGGTTCAGCATCTGTTGGATGGAGATGTTGGCGCTACAAGTCAAAACTTTCAGAACGATGGTCTCCCAGAGATTGGTAGAGTCGTCACACGCATACTACGGGATCACCATGTATTGGTAATATAGTGGGTGTTATTTCATCAAGTGGACAGCAGAGCACAACAGCAAGTTGTGTTGATATTGATGGTTCTATCTATACTTTTAGACGCGGAATGATGAAATGATCGACACCTAGCAGAAGAGCATGCCGAATTGAGGCGATATGTGGATGACCGTCCATCTCAGATAAAGAGATGCAACCAGCTCGATTAATAGCAAGCCGTATTGAGATCATGGCTTGATGACAACCATCTCAGGTATTTCACCGTTTCCTCCCACTGGTGCTCGATGTGCATCTTCGAGCATTGACCACATGCCTCTTCCTTAGGATAGTTAAACTTGACCCAGAGAGAATCATCACATATCGGCATGACCGAGTGATCCTTCGGGCAAATTCCCCGTGACTTCACACCGGGGTAGGACCTGCAATTCTAGTAGGCGCTCTGGGATTGAAACCACCCCCAGGGACAAAAATGGCGTAGTGTGCAGCCAATCCCGCCACAAGCGTGGTCCAGCATATTGCAGGGGCAAAGGGACTTGACCAGGACATTTGCGTACATCCTGCGTCATGTTGATGGGGGAAGTGGATAGAGCAGAGTGGGCGGGGGTATCATAGGAGTAGGCTGAGCGACAGGGGGAGTGGGAACGCCAGAATTAGGTGTGAGGGAGCAGGAGGAGCAGGAGGGGTCGGAGCGGGACCAACCGCCGAGGAAGATGCTGAAGCTTCCAGGATAGAGGCGGACGGCTCCTGGGAGCACAAGAAGGGAGCCAACCCGCGAGGCTGATAAATCTCGCCTTGGAGAGCATCCACCTCTTCGCGTAGTTTCTGGATCTCATCCCGGAGAGAAGCTATCTCCTGCTTATAGGTCGCCTTCATCTCGGAGACCCTCTTTAACCATCTATGCGTTTCTTCTCAATGGCCAAGCAGTTTTGTAGATGACCGAGACTGGGGTCGAGTTCGGAGTATTGATTGTGGTCCCTCCAAAGTAGCTGAGCGAGTTCCTGCTCGGCATTGGATGCCCGTACTTCTAGCTTCTCCTTCTCGAAAGCCCAGATCGCCTTGTCAAGTTGACGTTGGATACCTGACCTTCTTCACCTACGTGACAGAGAGTTGCTCGATTTCGGCGTTGTTCATTGTCATCGACTCCATTGTCTGCATCGACGAACTTGTTGCTGCTCACTGTTGAAAGAGATGCATATCTAATTTGAGATTCGTAAGTACTTACAGAAATGGACGCGGTGTATCCCCAGGAAGCGTGATGTTGCTGTACGGGATGTTGATTAAGGATGAGGGAGAAAACAGGAGCGAAGGAAAAGTAACAAGAGCGGCGAAACTGGGTGAAATGGTGAAATAGTGAAATGATTGAAGGCAAAGTCATAACGGATGAAATGAAACTAATTACATTCCAACACATGTGACCCAACGCAGCATATGGAGGAAGAAATTGATCCCCCCGAAGCATAATCTCATGGCGTCAAGGACTCTGAATCGTCGCGTGCTTCCGCCTCCTGTTGATGGTCCTGAAGTATACCCCCAGGGCGTCGAGGACCCTCAATCGTTGCCGGCTTTTGCGCCCTATTACCTTTCTTAAAGACAGAGATCCCCCTTTATATTCTTTTTAATTTAGGGAGCTGATTCGATTCTCCGTTTTAATAGGCTGGGGGTGTACGTCGAAGGCAAAAGGCAATCAACTTTTTATACCCCGGATGCAGCAATCCGTCTTGATATTTACTGCCCCTGAGGAAGTCGAATAGTCTTCCTTTAACGTTAGTCTGAAACACAACTTATGCATGCCCAGATTTGGAATGAATCTACAAATCAGGTATGCAATTTTCTAGAATACATTCAATACCATCGCCAGGAAACGCCTGGGTAAAAAACCCGGCATACGAACGGACACGCACCAACCAGGCCTGGGTGAAGACCTCAATTCTCCTCTCCTCGAAACACGGAGGTGTCTCGAAGGACACTGAACCCCTTGCACGTAAGGACCGGGCAACTGCGCGGAACTTCAAGCGCCAGGGGGAGGTGGAGGAGGTTGCTCGTTCGGTGGCTGAGAGCTTGTCAGATGATGGTAAAACAAAATGGACAATCGTCAGTTACTTACTGGAGGAGGAGCAGCATCAGTCGGAGGTGGAGGTGGAGGAGCCGCACTATCACCATACCCAGGATACATGCCCGGCGCAGGTGGCGCACCAGGTGCACCAGGCGCACCATAACCACCGGCAGGGTATCCATACCCGTAACCTGAAGCTTGAGCGGGAGGCGCTGCCTGCTGCCAAGGTGCAGCCCCAGATGGAGCCGGAGGGGCACCATATCCCTGCTGCTGGCCATATCCGTAGCTGTCGTTTGTTCGATTACCGCTTCCACCAGCAGCCCATGGCGCGGGAGCCGATCCTGAGGCACCGCGATCGTTGTCTCGTTGCTGCCATGGCGCGGGAGCCCCAGTTGGACCACGTTGCCAGGGCTTGAGATTTTCGCCACCAGCTGCAGCACCGTAACCCTCATCATTGTACTCGATCCTTTGCTGGGCACCGCTGGATGCGGCACCACCCGACAGCTCTTGCATGAGGGATTCGTATTCGCGATCCACAGCATCTCCAGCTCCGATCCTGCCAGCTGGGCGAGGACCTCGGTCATCGTTCCGCCAATTGGTACCTCGTTGACGATCGGGACAATCTCGTGCCATGTGGCCTGCATTACCGCAGATTCGGCAGATGATATTTGTGGTGAAATTCCGTTGTTGAGGGCAGTCGTATTTTCGGTGACCGATCTCGCCGCCTGTAATTTGTTAGAAAGAAAGCTATGATGGAAAATGGAGACGTACAATTCTGGCAGGCCTGATTTTCATCGTCTCGCAAAGTACCGTTGAGGGCTGCGAGTTCGCGAAGTTGATTCCGCTTCAATTCGTTCTGTCCTTCTGGGATGGAAGCGGCCTATGCCTGTCAGTTTCGATGTCTCAACGAGGGAGGAGTAACGTACCGTTTCAATAACGTTATGGATGAGCTTCTTCGCCTTAATCACCTTGTCCTCCGAATCGGCCATGATTAAGCAATGCAAATCTTCTTCCTGGTTGCTGGAGTGAGCCGCGTCAGATCGACCTTTTCCTTCCTTGACAGATCCTTTGCCACGGATGGCGATCTTTGCGCCAGATTCGGTTTCCATCTTTTTTAGAGTATTTCCACGTGGTCCGATAAGTAGTCCAACTGTTAGTAGGAAAAAGTCTAAGTGTTAGTATCTGCAAGATGACGCAAATGAAAGCAAAGTTAGAGAAATCAAGCGCAACTTGTCCATGACCCTACGAGGTGCATGGAAGCTACAAGATACAGAAATTGGGTAGTTATGGGTTAGAAATCGAGGGTTAGCAATCATACTGAAGTTAATCTCTGGATAATCGTTAACAGGCACATAGACCTTCTCCTGGGTCTTGGTAGGCCGTCTGTAGTCAGATGGTGGATGATAGTTTGGGATCATCTTCATCGCTTTCTCGACGAGCTTGTGCCGCTCATCTTCCAAACGCTTTCGGTAACGGTATTCTCGAGTATTCACGCGACGGCCGAAGTTGTCGTATTGTGGAGGAGGGGATGGAGATCTATGCTCGAGGTTAGCTACCGGAGATGAGACGGAAAACGGGCACTCACCTGTCGCCTTCAGCTGGGACAACATCGTTAATCCGCAGCTTCTCGCTGATCTCCTGGATGCGCAGATGGACGATATAAGCCTCCAGCTGTTCAGTAGTCATATTGGCCATGATAGCTGTCGGCAATCCCATGAGACCCGCGGCCTTGTTCTCTGTCGCATCGCCCCATCGGTTTCGCTTCTTTCGCTTCTTCGTGCCGTCGGGGTTCAACTCTGCGATAAAAGTTAGGATTCGCAAGTAGTGTTGTCATCTTGTTTGATGCTTACCTCGAATTGGACTGCGTCCACGCTTCAGGTCTGGGGCTGGACTCCCAGTCTCCGATGGCGTGAAGCCATCTTGCGGCCCATCACCATCGCCAAAACGGCGGCGATTTCCTAACGGGATGTTGTTGGAACCAGTGATTCCTTGGTTGCGCCACGCCATTTTGAAGCGATTTCTTGGATGAACTTAGGATCCGTTGAATATCGAGTTTCAATAAAGCGAAAAGTAACTAGACAAATGTCGTGGATGCAGTGTCAAAAGAATCTCAGCGCAGTCACGAAACATCCAGGGTCACGTGATACTCGGACTTGCCACACTAATCACGTGCTACCCGTGCTATCTGCCGTGTATCAAGTGGCGAAGGACAGCGGACTGTGGGCGAACTGGATGAGGTTGAGCGTTGAAGATCTAGGAGGTAAGCACGGTAAGGTAGTGACAGCAGGTACGCGTATAAGCGTATTATTCAGCATAGTCACTGCTGGCTTCTTGTTCACGTTACCACATGTGGAGTGCTGATGCTTCCTTAGACGATTCCATTCGCTTGGGTATGGTTTATGTGATGACATGATGCTTCGTCTCTTACCAAAAACACCAGTAGACCTATCTTACGGTCGCTCCATCTAATGCCAGCAGATAGACCAAGTGGCATCCATGAATCCTTTCCCCCTTGCAGAGCATACATGTCGCCCGACGGCGTAATATACCTCTTATATTCCCAAAGTTGCCCGCGGCGCGGTGATTCCTCTGTTCTACAGCAGAGTGCCTTGGAATGAAAGGCACCCTGAGGCACTCAAAGTCGCTGGTCGACTTGCGGTCATTCAACCTTGCTTAATCCTTCCAATCCCACACCTGTCGCAAGAAGTGTTCCATATTGACCTTCTTTGCTTTCATCTCTTCCATCCATGGATGGTCAAGCATTTTCCATGGTGTAGCTCGTCGGGCTGGGTCCTTCTCGAGACTAACATGGCATTAGCATATCAACCAAGTAATCGGTTTGTGTACTTACCAGCACTCGATAAAATATTTGAAATTCCCGCTCCACTTGATGCCGCTCTCCGGTTCATCCTTCAGGACCGGAATCGGTTGTCGAACGATGTAGGTGAGAAGGTCGATCAGGCCAGCTCGAGGTTGCATTTCGGTTCCGTCGGCCGGGAATGGGAATCGGTGTTGAGCAACTTCCAGTAGAGTAACTCCCGTGCTCCACACATCGCTAGTGATGGTATATGACTGGCCAGTGATCCTTTCAGGGGCCATATAATAACTTGTTCCAATGAACGTATTCGCATCGCCTTTGGTTCCGAACTCCCCAGAAACCCCAAAATCGCAAAGTTTCGTTTGGCCGTCGCGGCACAACAGAATGTTCGAGGGTTTGATGTCGCGATGGATGATACGATGCTCATGGAGGTAGGTCAGACCCTTGAGTACTCCTTCAGCGACCTTTCCGAGGACCTTTTCTCCGGTTCGTCCGCCCAGGCCTTTGACTTCACGGTAGATGCTGTCAAGAGAGCCACCCTCGCAGTATTCCATAGCAATGCTGATGGTCCCGGAGCTATCGTCCATGAAAGCGCCGTAGTATCGACAGATATGGTCCGACGCACATTGCTTGTTGAAGCTTAACTCTCGCACGATCTGCTTCTTGACATCGGGGTCCGGGTTGGTGGTGATGATCTTCCGGAGTTAGTTCTTCGTCAGAAAACAATGAAATCAACCGACACCATACCTTCAGTGCAAACACCGTTTTTCCCCCTCTCACTTTGCATCTCGTCACGGCCCCGCCAGCACCTTCTCCTAAGCTCCCGAGTTCTTCAATACGGCCATCCCTACTAGCAGCTTTCCAGCTAGCATCATCCAAATCGTCCACGTCCAGCGGTCTCCCTTTCTCCAAGCTCAAGGCTTCCAGGTCCGGTAGCAAGGCGCTGACACTATTCTCTCGCTCCATGGGGGCGCCCCCTTCCTTCCCATCCCCAGAGTATGAGGAACCGGCAGATATTGGTTCTTTTCGAATGGCAGCAGCGTAGTCTGCCATTGACGTGGCCGAAGTAGGCAGACCCATTTGTGATTCACCCCCCACACTTCCTGATAGATCACTCGTATCACTCGACCCACCTGCCGATATACCCGGAATGAGCAGTGGCGGTCGTCTCCGTTGCGGACGAGCGCCTTCTTGTGGAGTAGCATTGGTTCCCATGGGTGTGTTTAGTCGGAGACCAGGTGGTTCGGATGTGGAAAGTTTGGGTAGCTCCGGGATGCTCGTCGAGCCATTTACAACTGGTCGTACATTGGGTGAGGGGGGTATCGCAAGGCCAAGTCGTGGTGGTCTCGATGCGCTATTGCTTCGAGCGCCGGGGATGGGAGGTCGGAGAAGTGGGGCGGGGGAAGACATTGTGATCAAGTTCGGGCGGAGGGGATTATTGATGAGCGGTCTGTGGATCGGGGATATGCTTAGGAAGCGGTGAAGGATATAAAGGAGGAAGATGATAGGTAGCACGAGGGTGCCACCGACCGACGCAGGATGATGAGATCCCGGATGGATCAAGTCCAACGAGGGTGATTGAGGGTCCGATCTGGAGGTTTGTAATCTAGCTTCAGGGATTTATGGACCAGGCCGGCAGTGACACTTGATTAACTTCTAGAATGCACCACGTCGCTGCGTTTGGGTTAGGATTGTATGGCAGCCCAACCTCCGGGGTGATGGATATCGTCCGAAGCGGTCGAGTCAACCACCACAACGGCGAGCTTGATATCCTGGATCACTTATCCGTAGGTCGATGCCGTCGGGTTGTGAGAATGGCAATCTTCTTAGTCTTGAACTCGACGGTCTGGCCGAGTGGGCATTCGATGGGCAATCTTGAACGTTGGCGCGATGCTTTCAACCCGGGTAGAGAATGTTGACGTTGAATCCAATGATAGGCAGCAGCGCTTTCGGACGATAAGTCTTGGGGTGTGGGTTTCTCGTTACTGAGCAAACCTGCTGAATCGGCAGGGAGGCAAGATACGTGGATCGTTGTCGGGAGGTTCAGGTGGGCGTCAGATGAACAAGGACAAGTCGGAGAAGGCTGAAACGAATGGTAGGCGACGATACCAGCAAGTCTCGGCGTGCGGAGAGGGATAGAAGTAGGCAGTCGAGCACGAGGAGTAAAGATGAAGCGAAGGAAAAGATGGAGGTTCGTCGTAAACGCTGGAGCTGGTACGTAGGTAAGTTGGAAACCAGGATACGGCAAGTGATGAGTAGTAGGACGGGTGGAGGGGACAAGCAGCACGTTCCAAGTCTTCCAACGAGCAAGCGATAATTAGCAGTACACCGGTACGGCTAACTAGACTCCAAAGTAATGACACTTCCTTGGGATTGGTTGGGTAATTAATGTAGGGATAAGATGAAAGCGTCGCGGCGTAGCACTCGTCGTAGGAGCGATTAATACTTTGTCGGTTCCTCCGTAGTTACCGAATACCAGTATTACGTCTTCAGCAAGAGTTTGGAAACACAGGCGTGTCAGAGCGGAATGACTCAAATGCAGTATTATTATTAAAGTGCTGGGCTTAAAGACCTCAACTTCTAGAGGGGCGAAAGCCGGAGATCCCTTAGGGGAGAAAGAGGGCAATCGAGGGAGCGAGAAGGCAATATGGTAATAATTGGGAGATAGGTAACTATGGGAGTATCACAGTGTCAACTCTAGCAAGTCCGTTTTCAATTCATTTTCAATTCATCCTCGCCAACCACCAACAGCCCCAAGGAAAATAAGAAATGAACAGTCCACTGCATCCACCATTCATTTGATCCATTGATTCGTCTCCATCTCATCATCCTTCACGCCTTCGCCCCAGCCTGGCCCGATCCGTTGATTCGGTCGGGTTTCAAGACGCGCCCAACACCCGCTCTCCTCACCCTTCACACTTTTCACACCTTTCACACATAAGCCATTTGTACCACTTAGATTCCAATGCTTCAAAGTATATCGAATCTCACCAGGTCTACCGAACTTGTCTGAATGTGAGATCATGAGTGATGTAACCCTATCCACATCCACCCCCTAGACACGACACCATTGATCATCATCCACAAACATCGCCCTTCTCGAATATGCTTATGTCATCACTGCCTTCGACTCGGTTGTCTACAAACAGGCTCGTTGGGTTCAGGACTCTCCTGCGGCTGACAGTAGGTGGTCTATTGCACCGGGTGCCCTGGTGTGAATGGGATGGTACTGTATACATGCTTTTTCTTGTTGGAACGCCTGCGAGGCTATGACTGCATTACCCTAACGCTGCTAAACTTCTGTACGTACGTGGTGCCATTCGGACTCGATGTCTTCCTCATCGCGGATCGGTGCTGGGACTTGGCAACATACTGTCGATCTTTCTGCCGATCGTTCGGAGGGGGCGAACCGCCCGCGAACGGAGCTGAACACAATGTAAAATGCATTCCCGATCGAGGTATGAAATACTCCTGTCCTGGGGCTTTAGTGGTGGACTTTGGCCAACTCCATGGTTGGAATGCCCATTGTGGAATACCGCATTCTCAATGACTCGTGAGGAGGTTGGATGGACTAGGGCTGCATGAAAAGTCCGTTCTAAACATTTGGGGGTGAAAGAATAACTCGAAATCTTGTCCTAACGATATTCAGAGCAGATAGATCACAAAACCACACCGTCTGACAAGTTACGAGTAGTAGCACACTAACATTTTATAGTGGAACTTACAGTAAAATCGGTGATGTCGGGCATTGAATACCCTAGATATCACACCCTACTGACCCATTCTCCATTCTAATGATGAATAACCTCAACGCCGATGTGGTGGGTATCCTCCGTCGTTCAACCTACACAATGAGGTGCCTCAACGACTTCCATGCCCTATGCTTTCGATGCGCCAATCTCATAGCCTAGTAGTACCTCCGTAGAATTCCCTTCCCACCCTCGGTTCCCTGCGGTCGAAATCATGAAGGTGCATGAGGGATCAATGTACAACTGGGAGATGACGCCAGTACGATGACCCGGAATAATCAAGAAGGGAACGACCGAGTGTCGTGTTTTGGTTTCCTCCTGGTCTTTAAGATCATATAGCCGTAGGATATCATGCGATGCGCTAGAAAACTATTAGACTCCTATTCCGACCGGATTGTAGCGGAACTTACCAAACCAAATGTTTCCCATTCGGCATTGCTTTGATTGCGCTCACTGCTCCGCTACCATATGGGAATTTAAATGTTCGACTCGGCGCTTTTAGTCCATGCGCAAGACTGTATTCTTCGACAGTGTTGTTCCGGCGACCGGCGTAGATGAAGTTTCCATCCGGTGACCAGCACGCGTTCATACACCAGGGTGGTACACCTGGACCAGGTAGAATCCGAGCAATCGGATTTTGTTGTCGTTGATCCCAAATGCGAATCGTGCCGTCGATTGAGGCGTCGAGGAAGGTATTTCGGTTGGAGTCGATGGGTTTTGAGGTTGAGTCGGTGGCATCCTGTGCATGGCGCGGTTCATCGGAGAGAGGGAGACCATTTGGCCACGAACCCGATTCTTGAGCTTTCTCGTGTCCATTCAAGTTCTCGCCATCGTTTGTGGGTGGTGCTTCGGCAACTGGTGAATTCCGTTCCCCGTTTGGAAGGGTCTGGTCAGCAGTATCTTGTGTGGGTGGCTGTACGGGTCCGCCAGCATCTTGCATATTCGCATCTCCTTCCGCATCCTCGTCATCATTAGCTTGAATCCCGTTCGCAATGGCTCTAGAGAATTCATCGTCCTCGTCGCCGAAAAGAGAGTTGAGTGACGGAGAACCGCCGGGGGGATCTTCGCCGTTCGGGAGAACGTCGCTTGGTCGATCCTCTCGAGGTAAAGAATGATCGTCGGCGGTGGTACCGTTCATCGTAAATCCATTCGCCGAAGGTTTAGAATCATAGTTTGACGAGAATGTCGAACTTGGTACCGGTCGGTATGAAGCCAATTCCTCAGGCACCGGGAGGCTCGACTGGGGTCGTCGCTCGATGGCCGAAATCTGACTCCCGCTTCCTTCAAATGTGCGCACCACTTGGCCCGTATTGAGGTCCCAGTTTACAATGGTCTTGTCCCAGCTTCCAGAGAGCACCGAAGTCTCGTCGTCTGCCAGTGACAATACCGAAACGGCGGACGTGTGCTTTTGCAATGCTGCGATCCTCGTCCCTTCGTTATGACGTACAGATTGTAGGTTGATACCTCCATTCTCCAACCCCGAGAGTATCCAAAGTCCCTGATGGTGGACTGCAAGAGAGTAAATTGGGGACGGCGGAGTATCTTCATCCAGAGGCGTGCGATCTGTTTCGTCAGCTTTCGTAACCAATGCTCTTCCGAGTCATAGGCCGTACCTGGAGCTTCTTCATTGTCCCAATAACTTAGGAGTACACCGGCCTTCGTAACACTATCCACGAATGGGTGCCTTTGCGCGACGGTGAGAGCCAGTTTTCCATTCGCAGTGTCCACCCAATTGAACTTCCGAATATATCCATCTGTGCCGGCCGTAAAGACCCATCTCATGTCCGATGTAGAACACACTGCATTGATAGATGTGCTGTGAGGAGCAGCGATGGTGGGAATAATGTCGTAAGTTGGGGCCGTGAGCATCTCGGGTCGAACACTTGGTCGAAAGGGTATCGGGGTGGAATTTCCCTGGGGAGTTGGAGGTTTGACCTGGTCCTCCGGGTGGGCATCCCCGTTTGTCATGACACCATTCGCATTCGGCTGGTGCCTCGGTGAAAGACCATTTGGCATCGATGTCGGTGGTCGTGCAGGAGGCTTCATGGATTGTGCACCTCCTTGCGAATCGGCGTCCTCCTGGTCATGGTCGTCATCATCATTGTCCCCATCATCATCATCATCATCGTTGTCGCCATCAGCATCCTCTTCTCCATCACCCTCGGCATCTGCCTCCGCATCTGCACCATCATCGGCATTGTCAGCGTCCATCATCTGTTCATCTTGGTCTTCATCCGAGCTAGAACCTGGGAAGAACATTAGCAATGAAGTATGGGTACAGCCGGGTGGGTTCATTACCGCTGCCGTTCTCTTCATCATCCTCGAAGGCCATGGCTTCGTCAATAATCGCATGCGGTGAATTGGTGGGAGGTCGGAATGGCGTTATGGTAGAATCCACGGTTCAAAGGGAACGGGAGGTTACAAAGAAGTGTGTGGATGGGTCATTTCATCGCTCTCTACATGCTTGGTTCGCATGTAGGGAGGAGATGGCGACACGACTAGAGAGTCAAATGTAGTGCCCTCAATGCGCTCCGGGTTGTATGAATCGTTTACTTCATTGAACCAGATCGTGGGGAAGCCATACTGCTCATACGCTGTCACTGTCGGTCAGGGATGATGGAGCGCATCCGCATTGCGGCTGGTAAGGCTTGATACAACGCTATGCTCCTTTTGGATGTAGACGCTATTCCATTTACAGTATGGTTTGTTTATGCTCGAGTGCCAAACTCAACCTCGTTCGCGGCTTCACGCATCTCGAGTTCTCGACACATCGTTAATCATGTCATCCTCAAGCAATCAGACCATTCATGACTTCATGGGATCCCCATTCTGTTGTATCTATAGCCTACGTGCATCATGATTTAACCATCTTGTGACTATCCTATTTGGCTGTGGACTCCTCTGCTCTTTGTTTGATGCTTCCGGTACCCGACCGAAGACACACGATGGAGTACACAGGACCAGTACCCATCCGCCTTGGCTTCAGGGCTCAGTGCTTGGGAAGTGTCTAGTTGATTTGTGACTTGGATACTTGATTCATGCATGCAGTTTCGGATAAGTAGCGGTAACGAATCTTGAAGACAGCCTTGCCGCTGCTTGCAATGATCTTCGATGCGACAAGGAGCCTCTCGACGGCATTCCATCGCCTCCGTTCTAGGACAATATATGACCAACACAACCGAGGATACAGAGAGCAGCTGTATCTATCCTGACGGACAGTATGACCAATATCTTGCAACGATCCCATTGAGAGACCAAGGGTATGGTATATCATCCTCCAATCATGATGGGATGTGGGAGTAAAAGGATAATGAATACCAGCATGCATCTACCCATTAGGTCATCTGAGCTCTCATCTCCACATCCTGACTGCTTAAGGAATACCCTGTCGTCTTACAGGGGAATCAGAGGTATGGTATTGACCCTCTCCAACCTCCAGGTCGCACGGACATTCTTGATATATCGATCTTCTTTGCGCAACTTCACTTTGCATGTCTTGAACTTCTCCTGGATGCTCATTGCAGCCCAATTCTTCTTATTCTACTGCTAATGCGTCCTCCTCTTCCCCGTTTGACTGTCAATTATTTTTACACACACCCTATACTTGAAGTGTTCCAGTGATCAGTATGTTTGAGAGTATTCAGTCATCCAGCCAGTGTCGGAAATTCCACTTTGACGACTCGCTTGAAGCAGAGGGTTGTTATAGCTTGCAGCTCCCTGGCCCGTTTCTTTCTCAGCGAGTTGAAGCAGGTGGCTAAATACTACACTGGCAAAAGTAGCAGAAACAGAACTCAATTAGACAAGCAGGCGACACCGGTGGGTACTTTTCGTCGTGCCTTGAGCCATTGGATTCTGTACGGTTCTCAGCGGCGTGCAATCTTTCGCTCGTGGCGATCAACCACATGATCCGACTACACTCTGATGTTTGTCGTTGTTAATTTCTCCCGGATTCCTCAATTTCCCTCCACACCCATTAAACCTGTTTTTACAAGCCAAACTGCAGAATTCCAAAATTGAGGAGGTCGAGAAACCTCTTCTGTTTAGTCCAATACTCAGTGCCGCAGTCAGTATCCAAAACAGTACCCAAAGCAGCATCCAAGGGAGCGGCCTTCTTCTGTTTGGGAAAAGGTTTTGGCTCCTCGCCTTCCTTCACCCCCTTCCTATCTCTTAGCCACCGTTTCGGACCAAGAATAAGGTGCGTCGACTCCCCCACCAGCGTAATGGGTCGGAGCCATCACTGACTCCATCTTTCCGCGTCGTAGTGCTTCCACCGCACGACTCATCAAGAGCCGATCATGCCGAGAGAATTCCCACCAAGGCATGAATCGAGTGCGCCTGATGGACGATTTCACTTTAATCGCACGTCTGCTGACGGTCACCCTCTTATTGAGACGGTTCGTACCAATCTCGTCGAATTCCGTGCCCTCCAAAATAGGATCCGAACATATGCGTCCAAATCGCCGTCCAAATATGGTTCCAATCCTGTCATGCCTTGGATATCGGAATCCGAGGTGCCAACCGCGAATGAGTTCCTTGACGAGACCGACCCTCTAGACTACGACCCCGACAACTATTCTGGCCCGAGGAATCTAGTCGATGGTCCCTGGAAATCTAAGGAGAAGTACCTGGAAACGCACTATAAGCTGCTACGCCGTGATACGGTCAAGCCCCTCCGTGATGCGGTTCAACAGCTCAGATCAGATCCCGGGGCATGCGAAACCGATTTGGGATCTACCGCTGGATTCTATGACCGAGTAAGTGAGATCCCAAATTATGAAACTGAAGGATTGATGGAAGAAGGTTCATGTAACCGCTGTGATCCCTTCTACCATGGGGGTGGCAGTTAAAGTTGTCTTTTCCATTCAGCGCATCGGAAAACGTGTCCATTGGGAACAGTCCAGTCGATTGATTCAAGGTTCACTAGTGGTTCTCAGTCCTCGCGATGACTGTTTCCGAACTACATGTCTTGTCGCAACCATAGCCGCCCGACCTTTGAGTGGAGTCCAACAAAATCCCCCAGAGGTCGATTTGTTCTTTGCCCGATCGGAAGATTTGATACTAGATCCGGATATCGAGTATGTCATGCTCGAGGAACGACAAAGCTATTTTGAGGCAGCAAAACACACGCTAGTGGCACTGCAACGAATGCAGCATGAGAAGTGAGTAGGTCCTCGGAACTCAAGATGTAAGCTGACATGAAAAGGTTTCCTTTGGCCGAACATCTCGTCGATACTCAATCACATGTCGAAGCACCCGCATATCTGCAAGCGAATCCTACCATCGACCTTCGTGCAATCATGCCGAAAGATGACCAAGGTCGATTCGAAACCAGTCGACTGAATATCCTTACCGAGTGGCCGAGCGAAGATAAAAGAACCGTCATGGATGTGTCTCAATGGAGCGCTTTGAACCGGATCATGACGAAAAAGATAGCGATCGTCCAAGGCCCTCCGGGAACTGGCAAAACCTATGTTTCGGTGCAAGCTATCCGAACCCTGATTGATAATATGGCGGATGAAGATCCGCCGATCGTCGTGACTTGTCAGACCAACCATGCTCTGGATCAACTTCTACGTCATATCGCAGAGTTTGAGCCAGGCTTCCTCCGCCTTGGTGGCCGTTCCAAAGACGTGGATGTAGTCAAGAAGAGGACCTTGTACGAAGTTCGCTGCGGGTTGGATATGCCACGATTTCTGTCGGGTTCTCTCATCGCAGCAAGGAAAGAGCTTCAAGCATTGGCCGGGGATATCGCGTTGATACTCGAGCCGATCAAGCTTGGGTCAAAATGCATGATTGATGCCGAGTTTTTGAGGAAGTTCGGAATCATTTCCGACGAGCAAGCACAGTCTCTGCTACGAGGTGGCACGGAATGGGCGGCCGTGACAGATACGACTGACAAAGGAGAGTCCGGACTCTTGGGGAGCTGGCTTGGAAGTCTCCTCACCTTCAAGCGAAAATCTTTTGAGAGTGATAATTTCGGATACGAATTCGAAGAGGCGGAGCTTGAGTTCGAACAGCTCAGGGAAATGGAGGCGGAAACATTCGCAACCGATGAAGAAGAATTCGAGGTCCTCAAAGGAACCACGATCAGCATTCATGACAACTTCACGGCAAAAGGGCGGGTTCAACTTTCGGATGCGGAATGCGAGAAGAGGCTTCGGAATACGGACTTGTACAAAATCGATTTCAAGGATCGACCGAGTGTATTCGGCTATCTTCAACGCCAGGTGACCAAGAAGGTTACCGAACTGTTCAAAATCAAGGCGAAAATCTACGACGAGGTCGCAACAAAACGACGGCTGGCAACGTTCGAGCGAGACGTTCCGATCCTTGCCCAACAGAGGGTTATCGGCATGACCACCACCGGCTTCAGCAAGTATCGCGCCATGGTCGCAGTAATCAAGCCGAAGATCGTCCTGATCGAGGAAGCCGCGGAGACTCTAGAGGCGCCAGTGATTGCGGCATGCATTCCGTCTCTGGATCATTTGATTCTGGTTGGAGACCACTTGCAACTCCGACCCCATTGCAACATCCGGTTCCACGAAGGAGACCCGGTCAACTTAAACTTGTCACTCTTCGAGCGGTTGGTCAACAATGGCGTCGAGTATAATGCACTCCGGAGGCAGCGTCGCATGATTCCCGAGATCCGTCGAATCTTGCGACCCATCTATGGAGATCTCATCAAAGACCATGACTCGGTCAAAGATCCGGCCAACCGACCTCCCGTACCTGGCATGGGCGGCTGCAATTCGTTCTTCTTCAGCCACACCTATCCCGAATCACGAGACGACTACATGTCTGCCATGAACGAGCAAGAAGCCCAAATGGTGGTCGGGTTCTATGAGTATCTATGGATGAACGGGATTGACACCACCAAAATGACCATTCTGACCTTCTATAACGGACAACGCAAGCGCCTTCTCCGGCTACTCCGTCAACGCAACAATCTCCGGAACCTAAGGCACAACGTTGTAACCGTCGACTCATACCAAGGCGAGGAAAATGACATTGTACTTCTGTCCCTGGTTCGAAGCAATGACAACGGGACTATTGGGTTTCTCAAGGTTGACAACCGCGTTTGTGTTGCCATCTCCCGAGCTAAACGTGGCTTCTACATGTTCGGAAACGCCGAGTTGCTTGCGAGGGAGAGCAACACCTGGGGTGAAATTTGCGTCATGATGTACCGGCACAAAACGGCCCAAGGGGCCATTCCGAAATCGCGTGTCGGGTTCTGGCTTCCGATTACTTGCAAGAATCATGACCGAAAAATGTTCTTAGAGGGTGAGCTGCTTATCGACATACTTCTTGCCTAGACATTCACTAATATATAATGATAGATCCCGATGATTGGGCCGACTTGACTGGAGGTTGTAGAGAGGAGTGCGACACGCCGCTTGACTGTGGACATCCATGCCAGCTTCGCTGCCATCCGTAAGTCATATCGCAATTTTTTCGTCTCTTCCCTGACATTCCGTAGCTTTGCGCACAACCAAATCGTTTGCCGATCGTCATGCGAGCGAAGCCTTCCATGTGGCCATTCTTGTGGTCAAATTTGCGGCGAGCCATGTCGATGTTTCATGTGCCCCGAATCAAACTCTGCTCTTAGCCAGACGGCTCGTCAAACTGAAGGATCGCCGAGGGCGGTCGGTTTCCTTGCAGACGTAACCCAAGAAGAACAGGAAGTTCATGTGGCCGGCTGGCGTGAGTTCGCCCAGAACGGATTTGAAACGGAAATCCAGGCCCTGCGGGGAGAGCTTCACCGCCCGAACTCGACGGTAGAAACCACCCAAAATTTCGGAAGTATCTTTCACCGAACCTCATACCAGGCTCAGCCGTCCACGACTCCTGGACCTACGCCGGCGGAAGCAGCGGCACTCGCACGCGGGGCCCATCAACGTTTTACACCAGCCCAGCGTATGTATGCGCCGTCACCTGCCATCCAACCCGCATCCAACAGCCCCGATAGGAATGGTGGAACAACGGCTACCAACCGGCAAACCCTACCGCCCCGCCTTTCTTCCGGGACACGCGCCATCGCGCACAAGAAAATCTCCATAGAAAGCACATACCGACTGAAGGCGGGCGTGCCAGCCGTGCCGGGGGGGGCTCCCACTCCTAAGCCGGCCAGGAACATCGATCCACCATCGGTCGAGGAGGATCACGACCTTCTCGTGGACTTCGGACAGGACAATATTGTTGTGCAGCCACTGTCCAATGACACGGCTGACGCGTTCCCAGGGCCACCGGATTCTAGATTGAACTTGCTCGATTAGAGCCTAGGACTGGACGACGGCACTGGGAACTGTTCATCAAGTGCTGACTCGTTCCCAGCCAGCATCGAGCGAAGATCAGGGTTGTGGCTGGTGTGGGCATGATCCAAAGCGTTCGAATGGGATATGACAGATGAATTGACAGGAAAGTGGGCGTGTTTTCGTCTCCAAGTGAGCACTCATGGAGCCAGCATGACGATCACAGGACTGAACATAGCAGAGTTTGCGATTGCCACCATGCCACCTCGAACAACAGTGCGGAGTTGTAAGATTTCATTGACAAAAGCGGGCGGGGAGCAATTATTTGTACTCTACATATGATTTGATTCATTTGAAGCATGTGGGCAGGTATCTGGGGGTTCGGCGTCTTCTCTTCTGTGGTTGATGCCGGCCCCTCTCGAAAGACACCAAAGATGTTAAGGTCTGTTAGATGTAAGGGTGGGGAAAGTGTAACATAGACAAGTCAAGCATGTATGTAAACTGATGTCTACTACTGATTTAAGGCTGAGGAATGTACGGATGTCATTGGGGGGGGGAGAGAGAGAGAGATTCATACGCCCGTCAGGCCTCTCTGCGAGGCCCATGTGGGATGTCATTGGAGGTGGAGGATGGATTGATGATAAGAGGCGCAGCTGCACGTGATGTACTCAGATATAGAATTGCGTCAGTGGCTGTGCACTTATTGCAATTCTACTTTGCATCTGATAGGCGCACCTGACTAAGTGCCCTGTGCGCGGCTGCGCCTGCTACACTGAGACACTCACCTGCACCAGACATGAGGCAGTAAGGCAACATGAACCCCTGAACCACCACTCAGCACTCACCAGACACCACTCACACCAGCATCACTGTGGCGCACGTGCCTCTTGAAGGAGGCTTGGACCGCTGACGACTGACGACTGACGCTTCCCTCTTTAGGCTCCAACATTTCACTCCGCCTTTGATCATCAACTATCCAATATCATTCCCCATGCTTGCTGTCTATCGTCCTGTATTGATGTATGTTCAATTCTTCTGCTGTCATTTGCGTTAAATATTTCCGAATTTCATATCAGCTTGGTCAAACCCCTCGGCTTTCATGGCCCATTGTACCGCAGAGATCCTAAGATCCCAAGAAGACCCTGAATAATCTCCTTTCCACGATATGCAGGACATGGCGTCGCATGCGACAATGGAGAGCGTTCTAGGGGGAGGCCTTGCTCGGAAACATGACTTGACCCAACTGTATTCCGACACCAAACATTCTTACCAGTCCATCACGGAACAAGAGAGGGTTTTGGACACCCCCGAGTTCCATGCTTTGCATCGACGCTATCGCATTCAGAAGAACCGGTTGGTCACGTGGGGCCTGGAATGGACCGAAGGGAGCCAACAGACCATCGATGAATCCATAGCTCGCGCCGGTTATACCGACATGGTTGAAGATGTGATGAGAACCATCAAAGACATCCTGACCGAAGTGGAATCGCTGACCCTACGCGTCCGCTTCAACGCCCCCAAGGATATCACGTCGGAAAAGGTCGATTTTACTAGACCGACATGGTCCGCATCCAACCGGGCGCGGTATGAAGAGCTAGCGAAAGATCTTACGAATTCCATCGACATTCTATACGACCTCTCACGGTCACGGAAAGCCGTCCAACAGGGCACCTATCCGACCCACTTGGCCCAAGACGATCCTCCGTCGAGGTCCTCATTATCATTCCACCGCAGCCTCTTTCTGTCCGATGAATTCACCGGATCACCTTCAACCCCTCCATCTACCCGCGGCGTAAGTAGAGTTTCCACGTCGAAGACCCTCGTCTCCACCTATGAGCCGTACCATAAGGCCGACCTGGCGACGATGTCGCTACCCCATCGGATCGACTACTCATGTCTCTCCCTACCCCCAGAGCAGCCACCCCCATATGAGAGTTTTGTTCGCGCGAATTCGCGAATGATCGGCCACTACACTCGCGGATCACCCGGGATCCCTTCCAAACTCGCCGAATTCAATTCCTCCACCGTCCCTGTCCTGATTGAATTCTGTAACTTTGATCCCATCTATCGAGATACGGGAGTCCGGCTTCCGCAGGATAGACTGGAGGCATTCCTCACGTACTTCTCCACCACGTCGTCTTCCGATGCGGCCTCGAGCGGAGTATTGCCCTGCCTAGGCTATTTTGAGGATCCAAGGCAGCCACGTTACGGAATGGTCTACGAGCTACCCAAATCCGTCTACGGTGGCGCCTGGGACTCACAGAAGTCCCTCGATGAGTTTCGACCGACGTCGCTCTTCGAACTCATCAAAACTACCGCGAGAGTCCACACCTCCTCTCGAAGGGTGATCCCGACACTTCCTCCGCTCGAAATCCGGTTCAAACTCGCGTACAACATCGTGCGAGCGTTTCATCGACTTCATGATGAAGAGCTCGTCCACAAAGATATCAACAGTAGCAACATCGTCTTTTTCAAAAAGCCGGCTGCGGTTACCCAGAGCCTGGGAGACACATACTCCAATCATGACATGAGGAATCCGTACTTGTGCTCCTTCGACTTTTTCTCCGACTCGCTCGTCGAACCGCCCCCTTCTGCCCCCAATCAGAACATCTACCGCCATCCCAACGACCCTCGGGCGAATCAACGGAACAGCAAGTCCTACGGTCTGCATTTTGACCTCTATAGTCTCGGCCTCATCCTCCTCGAGATTGGAATGTGGTTGCCAATTGCTGAGATTTTCAAGCCGAGATACTCACTGACCGAGTTCAAACTGAAGATTGAAGACACTTTCGTGAAGAAACTCGCTGCGAAATGCGGCACGGCGTATATGCACGTAGTCCAGGACTTTCTTGGTGCATCTGTGAAGACGGCCACGGGTTTGCAGACGTCGGAGCCTTCCCGCTTGCTCTATGAGCGCGCCTTGAACCGGTTGCGACGATGCTGCTTGTTGGATGAGGACGAGGAAATTGGTGTTAAAGATGATGCAGCTTCGATCAGCACCTCCGTCTCCAATTTCCTAGAGGGTCAACGAGGGCCCACGCGGTCGGCCGCTGCAGTAAAAGAACCACCAAGCCCGCACGTGATGGACTTACGGAGATCCAATTCTTTGCCTGCGAATCCCGGACGCTTCCTCCGCAGACAAACTGCTCGGTGGAATGAAAACCCAGAAATCATCACCGAAGAAGACCTTTCCGAGCCACAGGCTGTCGCATCAACAGATAAACAGGACAACGTCTCGGTCCTTTCGGTCTCATCCCGGTACAAACGAGCAGCAAACATTATTGCTCGTGCATGGCGTTCTCACCATACCAAGAAACTCTCTTTGACAGAGTATCGTCGCAAAGTTAGTGTCGCGCACCAGCAGTGGCGAGAGAGCCGCGATCGCAAACAACAGGTCAATCCTATTCAATCCACGATTACCGAAGGCAGGCAGCAAGTTTCCATTGCTATGGACCCGCATCGAAGTCGCGGTGAAAGTGGCACTTCGACCCACATCGACAAATCAAGGAACTCTCACAATGAAGCAAGGGAGGCGGACTACATTGTACCCGATAGCCGGGACATCTCAACAGAAACTTCGGCTGTTTTCATAACCCCACCCGAGCCAAAACCGCGACGCAAGCTGAGAATTCAGCAGACTCCATTTCCTGAAGAGGTACTAGACCAGTGGCACAATGAGGTGCTTCCAGGTCTTGAGCGCGTGGTTGGTAGGGCGCTCCGCAACTCTGATGAGACGGTGAGCATCGACCTCTTCGGCGTTGGCGATACACCGGCAAGTGCTCGACCAACCATATTCGTCACTTGCAGCAGCACGGCGAAGGTGAAGGGCACGATCAATCGATCGCTTGATTATGATCATTCCATGTTCGATTTGAAAGTTCGCAAAGGCAAGATTCGACGCTCCAAGGTCACGAGCCGTGGCACCAACCGTCCGGCGCATCCTTTGCATCGGTCCATGGACAGTGATAGCGATGAGCCGGTGCCTCTCAATCCATTCTACCAGGAACAACCCCTATGTGGATCGTCCATTGGGGCCTTCATGAACCACCATCTCCCTCCTGTCTCTTTTGGCGGAGTGATCATGGTGGACGGAAAGCCCTACGGAATGAGCGTTCATCATATCTTAGATGCACCAAGCGATAGTGATGACGATTCGGACGATTCGGACGATGGAAACGACGTTCTCGATGACAGTCCCGCCCGCTCAAGTGCTCGTGACGGCTTCGATCCTGAATTCCTTCTCAGGACCATCGGTTCTGGGACGGCGGTTGACACATCGATGGATGGATGGACGCCATTTGAATTGTCAGACGAATCGTCGAATGAGGATGACGACAATGAAGAGCCCGACGTTGAAGACGATGATGGGGCCGCTAGCGAGACCGGAACAGACGGAACAGCAGGTGATGTCGAAGGGATACCGAAGGGAGAAGGGGAAGATATCATTGTTACGCAACCGGCGCTCACAGATGTGGATGTGGACTTCTTTCCAGACCCAGATGATCGAGATGAAGACCATACCCTTTCCAATCGATTCGGCCACATACATGCTACCTCAGGAATCCGACGGGCGGTGTTCGATGACCTATTACATGAGATCGATTGGAGTCTAATCCAGATCGACGACGGGAGGCTGCAACCTTACAATCTTATTCAAGGAGGCGGCCGTTTCCGTCGAACTCCCAGCAACAGGAGAGACCAATGGCGTCCGAGCCTTCGGCAACCAGTCTCGCGGAACGGGTATTCTGCCGCCGAAGACGAGTATCCCCGGGAGATCGCCGACTCCCGGAAGATCGGCGGCAGTCCGGTCCATTGCTTCGGACGCACAAGCGGGCTCAAGGAAGGAAGGATTAACGAGACCATGGGCGCGGTCCGCATCTACAAACGACGCTCCTTCTCCCGCAGCTGGGCCGTTCGTGGCGAATTTGGCGCTGGCGGCGATTCTGGAGCATGGGTCATTCAAAACGAATCCGGACGCGTCTGTGGTCACGTACTGGCCTGGTGCAAGAGCACGCGGGTCGCTTACATCTGTCCTATGGACATCCTGTTTCGCGACATCCAAGAGACCCTCGACGCCACGCATATCTGCCTCCCGGGTGGGGAAGACCTCGCCATTCCATCGGGGTGGGCTGCGGACACCCGTCAAGAGAACGTCCGGCCCGGATCAAGACTGCCACATACCGCAAGTGAGTTTGATGACATCGCATCGATGGAAGCAAGCCTGCGGGGTCTCAAAATCGCTGGAAGGCCGTCGCTAACCCCGACTTCTCAGCATCTGCCGTCCTCGTCGCCGTCTACTCGGGAGCAGCAGACAAGAGGACCGTGGAGGAGTGTCGCGGGGCTGAGATCTGAAGGGTATCGTGCTCGTGCGTAGCCGATTCAAACCTAGTTGTCATAATAGGAACAATCGGAATATCAAACTACAAATATATTTTCTGCTTTGCGGTGCTATGCAACGTAACCTTGACCTATATGCCGTCTCCCATGCTCGCCGATCAGTGCGCCAGAGCCCATGCGGCGCCGATGATCGACTTCCAGCACTGTTGTACCCCATACAACCACACCAGCGTCCTCAGCCCCGCCACGCGGTCATCCTTTACGAACAGATACATGGCCGTGTACACTGCCCTCGCCAGCAGCAATCGCACAGCGAGCGCATCCGTCCCCAGGCTTTCCCCGACAGACTCCCCCTTCGCGATGGCGACGAATTTGCTTGCCAGTACGGCCGCGACGAACAGCGGCAGGTTCTCCATGGCATTGGCGTGGGCGGCGCGGGCACGCTCAAAACGGTTGTATTGCGCGGGCGAGAGACGGGTTTGGATCTCCTTCGCGTGTGTTTGACCACGGCTGTTGGCGTTGCGCCATTTGGAGGAATCGCCTTGGGTTCCGAGGTGGAAGGAGTAGAAATGGGGGAGAAGCGCGAGGACGTGATAGGCAGGGATAGAGAGGAGGGAAAGGGAGTAATTGGAGGTGACGTAGTTGAGATAGCTGGCCATGGCGATGATCAGTTCAGAAAATACTTCCTAGCAATAAAAACAATATGAAAGGAGTGCCGTAGACACGTGTTTTAGGAAATCGAGATTGTCGGAATGGAGAGAGGACTATGAAACGCAAATGTGAGGCTGTGTCAGCGATTCGAACATTAGAAGGAACCGGACGACTTTTTAAAGGCCACGTTATGCCGGTCCCGAAGTGACGATCTCGGTAATGGTAGCAGAAACGAGGAAATGGTCCTCTAATACCGAAGATAATTACAGGTTAACCGACATTTGGGAAGCGCGAGGCTGTGCTTAATGCGGAGAATTACCGCTTACCAGGGATACGGTATCTAAACTCCGAACTTCTGAAAATCCGAAGCCATGACGGTTGACACTTGACAGAAAGATGGTTAGTCCAGTGTTTGCACGTGCGGGCCGCCCCCGCTAGTGATAGCCCGGAGAAAGCGACTACATAATCACTAATATGATATGAGATATTACATAGAAGGAGACAGGACACGATCGTAGCGATAGGTACAAGAACCGAATGATAGGAATGTCTTTGGAGGTCTGGATTGTAAATCGTTGAACCAAGGACTTCAACTCCCTTGACTAGGGCGTCAATACAGAGAAAGTCAGCTGTACACTACCCGAAGCTCCCGAACCTTATGAAAGTGAGTCAGCGTGAGTCGTGTAATATAGACACTAGAAAGAGAGGGAGGAATTACAGATAGAAATAATCGTGAGAGCTGACACGGTCTGGATGCGCAAGGTCTGCGATTACCAAGTTCCATTAATCTAAACTGAAGAGAGAGAGAGAGAGAAGAAATCTCCCGGCACCTTTGTGCGCGAGATAGCGACTCTCCTCTCCAATGCCCTACTGCTGTGTTACCATGTTTGTTTGCTTCTCTGATATAATCCACCAGCCACGTCTTCAGCCACAACCAAGGGAACTGGCCGCAGGCCTGGGACCATAACAAAGAGCGGCGACCAAAAACAGGAAGTTGTAAACCCAGGGAACACCAGTCTGGTCGTCACTGATTCAATCGGATAGAATGCTGCTGTACCCCTTGCTCTACTGTACGGAATGAATTCATTGACTCTTTGTTACTGTAAATTGCTCGTCAACGTTGCAATAATTCAATGCAGATTATGTTCCTCGACACTTAAAAATATGACAGCGATTCCTAAATGGTGTATCCAACAATAGGATTTCGACGCTTGACAGGCGTGACAGGGAATAAAATTCGGCCATCACATCCAAACCCCTGAAATCGAGCCCTGATTGGGGAGATCTGGCCCATCATTCACACCTCCAGGACACACAGCTCCGAATCGGGTTGCCTCGTATTCCGCCACGCACCACCAATTACATCAGCCGACATCGAAGAAACACTGCGGATTGACAGCTAAGCATCGTTGGGTTCGCTTATCTTGGGCTTGGATTTCAGGATTTGCGATGGCGAACGGATGGGGAATCCGTTGATCGGGTACTCCGACGCCATAATTGTAGACTTAAGCGAGGGTGCGGGATACAAATGGAGTTTAGAGTCGGAGCGATGAATGGGATTGGATCGACGATGAGGTTGACGCAGGAACAGGACCTTGGCAAGTTGGCATTTGCAGACCCATTCCAGGAATAAGGTTGGCCGCCAGTGGTTTGGTGGATGATCGTGAAGTAACTTTGGTAGGTATACCGACGCCAGACTCCGCCAGGCGCCAGAGGGTGAATGGAGTGGGCTAACTGACACTTGACAGCTGAGCAGACAGATATATCGCTCATGATCTTTGCTGGTGACTGGTGAGAGCTGATGACCAACTTATACGCCGACTTCGCCTCCTTTGACCTTTTGCTTGTCCAAGTTGGAGAATGAGAATGACTTGAGAGACTCCGGAAACAGCGCAAGACGACGGGTTCTATTCCAATGCAAGATTTCAAGCTTGACTGGTTAATTGTAGCGTGAATAACCGACAACTAATAAGGACAAGGAAGAAACAGTCTAGTTAGATATAAATAACTCACAACAATGTTTTGGAGCTGAGAGCCTGAGATGGTGCTCAGTGCTCCACTCTCCATCGAACTTCGATGGTTAAAAGTTAAAACCGTTGATCACTTGTCGGCATCGTCGATTCGAATCCTTTCGTTGAGGAAACCCTGGTAATCACTAGAATCGCTTGCATCATTAGCGCTTATTTCGAGACTTTCATAAATCTTCGACCATAAGTGCTCATCCTAAATTTGGCCCGAAAGGAGTTCAGAAAAAATGCCACAGAATTGCGGTCTTGTTGCCTGGCCGATCAGAGCAGCCATCCGCAGCCAATCGGACGGGCACGCTTTCATGTCCCTGACTGAAACAAACTCGACATTAAAAGAGTTCAGTGTTTGATAGGATAACTGGTTAGGAAGTCATGCACTGAAGACTGCCCTATATGAACGAAAAGGTAGCCCACAGCAACGCACACCCTGGGTCGATATCAGGAGCACAAGCACAAGTCCGAGGACTCGGAGGCATCTCCTGGTGCCTATGTACGAAAATGGCAAGATACATTTGTACAACTTGATTGGTTCCGGCTCTATCCTGTCGTCTCACCGATCGTTCCATATTCCTTCTCATCTGATGTGAGGTCCAGAGTCTAGACTGGTGGTGTAAAGTGTTGTGCTCGATCAGCCTATGAGCCGTGTCTGCACCCATCCTTTTGAGAAACATCGCGGGATTCGGGATACTTCCTGAGGCGGTTAGAAGCATCGATTTAAGGAACGAAAAGGTGCAGCGTTCGAGGATAGGAGTCCAGAGAAGAATCGCTGGATGGTTCCACGTGGCAACCATTCGGATGAATTGTGCCCAACGGCAGTTCAGTCTCTGCGTTTCGCGAAGGTCCGAGAGGATGTGGACTTCCTGAGTGGTGTGAATAGAGATCAAATGAACCCCCCCTCATCCAGTCAAATCCGCTGCAAGAAGGGCTTCTGCGGATTGGTCCAAAGGCAGATATATGTCCCGACGTTGGAAAGGATGTCAATATCCCCAGGAATGAAATCCTTCCGCGGGCAAGGTGACAGCTGTAGAGGGTATGACAGCGACGTCCCATTGGTTACGACTTTCGAGCCTCGACTCTCGCCAACAAGGTTGAGGTGCCAGGCTGCCAGAAAATATGCCGTACATCTCAAATCGCAGGTTTCGCGTCGCGCAAGTTATCGGGCAACTTCCCCGACCCTTTGCAACATCCTCAATAGGTAAGACGGTGGTGCTGAGAATCACGATAATCCACCTGTGTCAATCAGGCCGCCAGCGGTCGTTTCGCAAGCGGTCGTTTCGCAAGCGGCATTTGAGCAGGTTCTCCATGATATCATTGGCATCGTAAGCAGCCATGCCGACCAAGATTAATAGCGAGGACGATGTCTGAGAGAGTTTCTTTGCACAACGCCACACTTCCCGAGCTCGTCCTTCAGATTCATGATCCTACATGGACATTTTCCGCAGCATCTGTGGCACGGCAATGCCGAGTGCGATTCCATTCGACAGGACTTCGCCCAGTGTCATGGCTACCATTCGGTGTTCTCGGGGGATAAATGTTGATAGCCGCATAGCGGGTGCATGCGGATATGCCGAGTCCAAGGGTTTTGAAAGGCCGTGCAACTATCAGCCTCGAGGACTTTTGGCAAATCTCAGTTCTCATTCTCCTCTTCACCACATGCCTTTGGATGAAATGCCGAATGCTCACATTGTGTCGCAGTGCCTGTTGACAACGTGATTGGCACGGGCGGGAAGAATTCCTGGTATCGATGTGGTGGAGGGGGCAGAACAAGAACATGCGACAGAGGCGACCAAGCCACGAAAGAAACCGTTATCAAACCAAGACCGACTCGCGGCTCTCATTCGCTGTAGGCCAACCTGGCGCTCAACGTGGAGCCGTAGCGCTGGAAATGGGCTGGGAACATCTATCCTCAAATCCTGCCATGGAGGGGCGGATGGATTCACAGATGACATTCTTCCCCTCCCTCAACGAAAATGGGGCTTTCCGGCCTATCCCACCCTGTTGTGGAACCTACACCACATATTTGACTCGAGACGGCAGATTTGGCCTCCGCTCCGATCGTTCGTAAATCATACGCCATCGGAGGGGGTATCCAGGGTGTTTCGGGGATTGACATCCTGTACGATGATGGTCTTCAAGCGAGACGATAACCCGGAAGGCTGGTACCACTATCGAGAGGAGGATTTGTTGGTTGAACTTGAGGACTCTGGACTCATTTCCGTGCTTCAGCCTTTCAATCTGAGGCTATGCAAAAAGGAGTCCTCATGACGACCAATTGTTGAGAAAATATTATATCCTATCATCATGGGGATCCAGACGTCGCTTATGGAGGGCAACATTACGCAAACACTCAAAGGCAGAAGGCTATGTCGGAAGGATGGTGTGCGTCGCACACGAGCTGGAGGGGCGATGTGCAAGTCCATCTTGAAATGGTATCAGGACAAGAAGACACGGAACGAAGGGTCGAGTGCCAGGTAATTCGCATCCTTGCTGACGTGGCTTTCGTTGCAATTCTGCTCTCTCACCCTTGGATCCCTGGGAAGGTATTTATGACACTGATCGGTAAGTACGGAGAACCGGCAAGGTAATATTTATTGCTATTCCTCGAGACTTCACTGACTGCTGACGAAATGAAGTGGAGAGAACTTGGAGACTCCGCCAGAGAGTAGCCCTTCATCCTTGAGGCTGAGAGCGAACTGGAGGGGCTCGGGGGCGTGCATCTGGACTCTTCCTGACTCTGTAGCACATCACTATTACATACCATTATCTGGCCTCTCCCTATGCGCCGGCGCATGCGAGGCGGGAGGACAGGAAAATCGTGATAAGTCAACTTGCCCTAAACCCGACTCGAAGGCGTGATATTAGCGCGAATCGAATGCCACTGCGAAAGAGTTGGAAGCATAGAATTCTAGAATTTTGAAACGGAGTTTAATGTCTACTCCCATACATGTGAAAGATGATCGTGCCTTGATTCGAGGTTGGTAGGTAAGTACCTCAAGTACCAATTGTTGCGACTTTGGAACGACGATGTGTGATATTGGACTCGTCGTGTTGCCACCTACTACCGCAGGGTGATGCCCGGCATGATACGCATATGAGACATACGATGTGTTGATATCTGCATGCGAGCTTTCTGCAAGGAATGCCCAGTCTTCATTGTTCTCGGGCAAACAAAGTCGATACAGTGATATTCCGCTTGTCTTAATTATCCATTGCCTGCCCTATGATTCAGGTAGACGACCGTATGTGGTGTGTACACTGTACGGTACTTGGTGAATACCTGTACTTACGATAATGGAGCATGGCTACTCTCATTGTTCGGTTCCTGTGTTTTGGACTTTGGCGCACTGCCTCACCTCGAACGATCCATTCAGTTCTGTAATCTGTTAGAGGACAGGTACTTACCACAGCATAGCCATCAGGCTCCGAGTTCCATCATCGTTATCCCCTCCACCATCCCCAGTCCTTGCCACCAAATCCATCCCATCGGATGTAGGCATATTGAATTATCGACAACCAGTTCCCCAGAACTCAGAATTTCAGGCAAGAACTTCAGAACTTCTGCAGTCTTTATCTTATCATTGGGCAGATTGGCTTCCACTGAACTAGTGAGTAGTGGCCCAGTGCACGCTCCCCTCCCCCCCTCCCGGCCTCCACCTCTCCATCTCTCCATTGCCCATCCTCGTAACTCGTCACTCATCTCCCAGCCCTGCCATTCAAGTGATTCAAGCCGTAAACTCTCCCTCCAATCCCCTAATCACCCCCAGTCCATGGCCCCCGGCCCCCCCTCCTCCATCACTTCCACCATTCCCAAGAATCCTTGAGTTCCCTCCAAGCCTCAACACTACTGCCTTAGCTCCGCTACTATCGGGTCTACTGGAGAGTGGGTACTGACTACAACTCCTGGGTTACTGGGGATTCCACTCATCGGTTCAGTGCATCCTCGCTGCCTGTGGTCTGGACATTGAAGAGGAATTGCCTCTCACCCCTCTGGCCCTTTTGTTCTTGAAGTCTCCCAATCACCGTGAGGATCCTGTCGCATGCCCTCCTGCTGAGTCCTGCACGGCCGGATCTCCCCCTTCTAAAGTTCTAAGTTCTATTGGCAACGTTGCCTAGCCTTGTTTCCCTGTCCTGGCCAACCGCTCATCCTGCGCAAGCGGCAAGGTCGCAACTCGCAGCCCGCAGGTCTCTAAGGAAGCTGTCGCATGCTGCATATGGGACCTGGGTTGATGTAGCGTGTGAGTCGATTGCTGGTGGTGGTGCCGTCTCGGTCGCACCTCGAAACTTTCTGAGACATTGCCGTCATCTTCCCATTTGAAACCTTCACCCTCTCTCACCAACCGTAACTTTTCCTTTCCGAAGTCTTACCTGATCCGTCCCACGCCAGCTTTGCAGCCCCGAGTCCGAGTACCCATTGTCAACTCACCGTCCGATTGCGCCTTCGTCCTCCCTATCCCGCATCGCCATTCAATCCTTCATGTTCGACGGGCTCCGCCACGACACCGTCGAGGGAATTCGAGTCGATCGCGAGCAGAACACGCATCCACCCGACTGCATTTCGAACCACATCGCTTGCCAATCCCAATCGCGGCACCTCGGGCGTGGTTGTCGCGCATGCTAGAGCTGCACGTCCGCTTCGACTGGCTATATAATCGCAGCGGTCTCGCCGTCGACGCCTGCGTCTTTCCACCGCCGCCATTCTAAGTTTGTCGCCTGGCGACCCCACGATCGTCGACATGGCCGGTGGGCCAAGTCCGAGCAGCACGAGTTCCAATGGGGCCGTCACTGGCTCCTTCCTCCCCGTATTTCCCTCCTCGAACTCGCCTCCCCAACAAACCTTTACGGACGGATTTGGAGCAGCGGGAGTCTCCCACGGTTACGGTTTGCCTCCCATTGGAGGTGATCGCAAGGCTGTCGGGGACAAGAGCGGGAGCCTGCTGTCCTTCAGCATGTTGGAACATCCGGTGAGCAATCCCGACACGGACTTTGCTCCGACCATCCTCCTTCGCAGGCTCCCGCGCAGCACCACCATCGAAACCCTGCGGAGCATGCTCCTTTTCGCCAAGGATCTGATCAATGTCGACTTCATCGGCGCGGACATTCCGGAGGACCACGGCTTTGTGTCAGCGGTCGCACGATTCCGCACGCTCAATGGCGCCAACGAAGCCACCGATCGGTTGCATGGCAAAGCCAACACCTCGAACGATGCCAACATGGTGGTCGAAGTGCTCCAGCAGGAATTCACCGGCTACTTTAATGGCCGACGAAACACGGTGGATCACTCGCTCGCCCGTCACGGATCCATCTCTGGCCAGATGTCCCCACCGAACGGGCATGCCAATCGGCAACCGTCCCGATACAATGATACGTTCCAGTCCATGGAGAAGATGTCCCCTCCGAACGGAGTTCAAGGGTTGACATCCGATTCGTTTGCCATGCCGGAGCCGAACCCGCATTTGTCGAGCCTGTTTTCTCCTCAATCGCCCATCGGGAACACCTTTGTGTCGAGCAAGTCCATGATCAACGTCGAAGATGAAGAGACGGGGAAGCTTCTCAAAGATCCCGTCGCATATGCGAAGAGCGGAGAGAACCATGCGGTTTCCTCCCGCCGTCCAACGAATCCGCAACTTCCCATCTCCCGATTCAACGGCTTGTCCCTGAACACCGTGGAGCATGTCAACCGAGGAAGCCGGGAGCCATCGCCGCCGATGTCGAGCTTTGCATCGCCACGAATGCCGATGCAATCCCCCAACGGTGCCCTCTCACCAACGTCGCTGCAATCTCCCATGAGCGGGATCGGAGCTACTGGGCCATTTCACATCAACCCGAAACCCTACCAACGTCACAACTACCCACCGGTGAATCCGGCCGACCAGAATCCCCCGTGCAACACGTTGTACGTTGGTAACCTCCCGATCGACACCTCCGAAGACGAGTTGAAAGCCATGTTCTCCAAACAGCGAGGCTACAAGCGTCTCTGCTTCCGTACCAAGCAAAACGGACCGATGTGCTTCGTCGAGTTCGAGGATGTCTCGTTTGCGACCAAGGCTCTCAATGAACTATACGGTCATCCTCTTCACAACAGTGTCAAAGGTGGCATTCGCCTTTCCTTTTCCAAGAACCCTCTCGGTGTTCGTTCCATCCAGAACAACAACACCAACGTCGCCCCGACCACCCCACTCACTCCTCAAGGCGGCCACGTTGGCAATATGGGAGCCCCTCCAGGTTTTCCTTCCGCCAGTGGTCCTCCCCCTGGACTCGCCGCGCCACCAGGGTTGGCTGGTCCAATTGGCAGCTCTTCCGCGGGGTTGGGCATGTTCAGCCCATCTGCATCTGCATTCGGCCCGCCGATCGGTGGGGCGATGCGGCAGCCAATCCCTGGAGGTGGCGCAGGGAGCAATGGTTTTCACGGTATGGGAAATGATTATTCGGCGTACATGATGGGTAGATAAAAAACGGGGATGGATCATTTCGGCACCAGCAGCCGGGTGCTTGGATTGGGGTTTGTTTGCATGGAGTCGAGCGTGGTGCACTAGCAGGTTGATATGGTGCCCTTCGTGAGCATACACACGGGGAAGATGGTGGTTTTGTTTGGCTTGTGGGGTTTCCACGGCATTGCGACGGGTTTTCTCGGCATGGCTCATGTCAGTCGTTTCTGGAGGAATTGGCATCTCACATTTGCTTTGTTTCCCGCTTCTTTTCCGCATTCTGTCCTTTCCGCACAAGATTCCCTCTGCTGCCGATTTCCATTTTCAACGAGGCCGGTGCTATGGAGTGTTTCTGAGCCCTCGGAAGGAAATCATGGGCATGGCATGCCTTATTGGGTTGTTTTCTTTTCTATGGGGTCATAAGGAGGAAACAAAGGAGATCCCCATCAGGGGGAGTACATGGCTGCGCATCATTGGGCTGGACTGTTACGTTCAGCGACCATTCACATGGCGCAGCATGAGGGACGCATATCCAAACATGGCGTTTCTCTTCCTTTCTATGGTCTTTATGTTCTTCAAATGGGGTGCAGGTCGATCTCACACGATACGATTCGATGTCCCGATGTCGGATTTGTGTTGACACGCTAGAATACCCTCTTTTTCGGTCTCATTTTGCTGTATGCGGAGTTGCACACTGGCGTTCACAAGCTGTTCCCCTAAGAGCATCTTGAAGGTGCATGGACGGCGACCTCAAGTGATCAGGAGGATGTGGCGGGAAGGGCTACAGCGACCACTATCCCGAAATGCTCTTTGCAACACCAAGGTCACTTTCCGCTGCGGTGGATCCTAATGAGGTTGTTGCCCTAAACCCTTCGGATCTCGGATTCTCTTCCCAGGACCGTACGGTCCCTGGTTTTCCCCTTTCTTTTTCCTTACAGTTAGACGGCATGAAACGCAAGAGTACACACATCATGGTTTTCCATCTCATTTGGAGGTGCACATCATCCTGGAGTCTGTCATTATCGACTTTTTTCACGGTCTCCTAGGTTAGGGGTGCTTACGGGGATTCTTCAGGTTTCTAAAACGCCTGGCCCCGGAGCGCTTGATCATATGAGGTGTTTTCCCCATTCATTCACTAGGACCGGATCTTTGATGGCGCATTGTCTCCTTGCGTGCATGGGCATAACGGCATAATGTACATTGGGATCCTGCCCAAATCATCATTGGACTGGTGGTCTGGCATATGGCTATTTCCTTGTTAGCGAATTCAATGAATGACATGGAGTGAATACACTGGATTGAATTTAGATGCAATTTTGTGATATGATGTTACAACTCGAGCACCATCATCTAAATGCCCTCATGGCATTAGACAATCTAATGTATGGTATAGCTCCTACGAAACCGGTTGAGATGCATATGCAGGTCTTCATTGTCGTGTTGCACTCCCAGAACAGCCATATCTCCGGCGAGGTTGGAGTCCTCCGGGTTCTAGAGTATTATCTGCAGCAGCTACGATGCATATGATAGAAACTTGATACACGTAATAAATCCTGCAGAATCCGACTTGCCAGTATCTAGTCCACCATCTGCATCAACAAGCAACAGCCCAACCGACATACTACGTTCAGGTACCCCTGAGTGGTAGCCGTGAGGCCAGGGACGGAACGGTTAATCCTCGGCTTCCATATCTGAGCTGGTGAAAACTGAAAGGTGGATGAGATGGGTTTTGACTGCAACACAAACTTTTCGCAATATACAGTATTATTCTCATCAAACTTCAATTCTTCCGCAAAAGTTAGAAAACCTACAATATTTGAGAGGCAATTCCATTCATAGCATCACCTTCAGCCAACACCCATTGATATGGCTGCTCCACAACACGCGCTTCGGCGTGGGAGCAGTTCTCTCACCCGCTTCACCTCCTGCTCCCAACTCTCCAGCCTATCAATCTCGCGAACATCTACCCGCTCATCCCACTACTTTCGCAAACTCGAAGCAACCGCTGAAAAAGGGGAGGTGCTCAAACCCATGGAAGAGGAGGAGCTATCGCTCAAAGCACTCGCCGATGGCTGGCTCGAAGGTCCTGGAAGCGCGTTCAAAGATCCATTACATGGATCAACAAATTACCTGAACGCGTACTCGCCCAGTGGCAAGCTATTTCGACTGAACACAAGAAAGGGCGAGGAAGGATCGGAGGCAAATGCCACCAGTGATGGTCAACTGCCACCTGAAAGGCTGGAAGATCTGATGCCGTTCCCCCTAAATACGCAGTTCCGCAGCCAGTCAGTCCTCAGTGAAGAGCTCCGAGAGGAGATTTACAATCGAGTAGTGGTGAACGGAAGCAGTGTGCGCTCGGTGAGCGCTGAGTTCTCCGTATCGATGGAGAGGGTAGGCGCGGTGGTCAGGATGAAGCAGATAGAAAAGGATTGGCAGAAAGATGTGAGTTGATCTTCGTCCTTTTTTTCTTCCCCAATTGCCCGCCTTTATATGATGAGCTCCAATATTTTCGATTAGTCTTGAAGACAACCACATGGTTACAAATTATTTGCACTGATACCGCAACCCGGAAAGAAAAACTTCGTTGAAAGCTACTTAGCGGATCATTCTAACACCTGCCACTAGGGGAAATCTCTCGCGAAACCTTATGCCCAAGCCGTCTTGAATATGCTCCCGACCACCCCTTATATCCCCAACGACCCTCAGCCACACGAAGACATCAACGACCTACCCGTACATTCACATACCACCCAACAAATCTTCTACCCTACCTCTGAGTCACGCGACTTCACACGCGCTGACGCTGGTCGAGCCTTCAACACCGATCTCCTCCCTGCCGACGCCCGGATCCCTCACCCGCAGCTCATCGAAGAGCATCGGGAACGGAATTTTCCACCGGCCGTGCGGCAGAATCTGATCGACGAGCGGGAGCGGCGGGAGATCCAGGACCGAGAACGGAGGAAACAGAAGATGATGGAGCGGGAGAAAAGGCAGGTCACGGTCGTGCCGGGGAAGAGGCATGAGTTCCGGTTCAAGGATATCAGTGTCGACTCGGTCGGGAAGAACGGGAGGAGTCCCGCTGGGGTGGGATGGCGGTACGGATTCCCGCACGAGGACCGAAAGAGGGGGCAGGTCAAGATTCCTACAAGAGTGGATACGTGAAGATGATTGGATTCATCTCGCGATTGTTTTGCAGGTCGTGGATGGGTAGGTGCCCAAGCGGTCTGTTTGAATTTTGAGCATGGTTTAGCGTGGGACATCCATTTAGCGAAGATACAGCGTATTTCGCGTGTACAATACTAGCATTTGGCTTTCTTGAGTCACAAATTCAAACGCCTCCCCCGTGTCCTTCTTCATCCATCTAAAGACCAAATCGAGCCCAATCCGACACGTCACACCAGGAGTGGCTGCGCTGCGCTACTGCATGGTGGGAGTACCCTAACTCTACCGAGGTACTCCCGATGGGACCTTGCCCTACTCCCAACGACATCTCATATACAGCGTGCATGTTCAAGTACCGCTACCATCTCCGATGTTCTTCGACCCCCAACCTTGTCTGGCAGCCTTTGCCAATTCTCACATTCGTGTGGTTACACAACCCTCTCATAGGCTCTTCCAACCCCTGCCAAATCATTTAGACTAGGCAGCAACCTCGCGGACCGGACCAATCCAGACACGGTAAGGCCCGCTCCTCCCTCCCTCCCTCCCTCCCTCCCTCCCTCCTTCCCTCCCGCCAACCATGAGCTGGGCGCACTGAGGGGCTGAATCTCGTACCTCGTGCGATGTGCCGCGTGTCGCATGCCACCTCCTACTCGCGGGGCGTGGCCGTTGGAAACCGAGGCGGAATCCACCCCAGAGGCCGTGGACGACAGCTAATAGTGTCCATGTATACGGATAGATAGGCTGAATGAACCGGTGAAGCCTCCGAACAGGGAGTGCATGTGAGGACGATACCTGTATATGCTGCGGTGGCTCCAGGGTTTGGAGTCTGCATGCAGGTGTCAAATATCCAGGCACATGCTGTCTGCAGCCGTCCGCGGATGTAGAAGGATATCATTGCTGCAATGGTGCTGCCGAAACCCTGGGAACCATCCCTGAGGAGACTCGGGGCTAGAACCTAGGTAACGAGTACTGCGCGGATACATATCTTTTCTCACCACATCCTATGTTATGGCCTAGGCTCCCACTCGATGTCACCCAGTGGCATCAACCGGTACATCCTCGCGACGTCATGTCGAGACTCAATCTTCTCATGTTTCCAAGTCCTCTTTTTGTCTTCTCTTTTGTCTTAGCTAGACTTGCTTGGATAAGCTTGCTCTAGATGGCATGAACCCGTTCTGCTATGGACGGGCATATGTCCTCGAGTCAAGTGAGTAATGGCCGTTCTTTTGTCCGGACTGGTGGCACAGATTCCTAGTTTCGTGAACAGTTCCTTTAGTCATAACATTACCTGGACACGGGACTTCGTTCTTCAAGGGGAGCATTCGTGATACCTGGGCATTTGGGCAATTCCTGCATGAACATCTGCTCAATATGGGGATTCAAGTGTCTCTGAGTCCATTTCTCTGACAATTTTCTTTACTCGGCATCTCCTTCAATGTTACATGTCAGTTGCATTCATTCCACTATGGTGAAGCGGACTGCGTTGGTTTCGGGTTTGGTTTCGGGTTCTAACACCATATGAAGATGCCACACTGAATATCTCTCACTATTGCCGCGATCTTGAGCGCGCTGCTTACCGTTTCCGGACAGAATACCGTCTCGCTTTTAATCTTCGCGGATGAGAGTGCTATGAGACATCAGTGCTGCTAACGTAGCCCAAGCTGAGATTTGCCAGAGGTTAGATGCGTACACTTCAACCTAATTGTTTTTATGCTGGATAAGCTCCACTATAGAGTATGGCTGGCAGATATAGAACTGTTAAGGGGAGAGTTCAAAAGTGGTCCCGTTGGTCACTGACTACGGAGGTGAAACCGATCATTGCTTGATCAACGGAGGAGACTTGACTAGCGAAGTTAACTACCAAGTGTTCCGGCCAAATATCAATTCAATACCCAACCGTATTGGTATTCGGACCCAAGAGAGAGGATTCCGTATTATCGACCGGACGCATAAAATGATATTAATAATAATGACTAACTCCTCATTTCTGAATTCCATGTTGTTACAGACATGCAAAAGGTGATTTTGGCCTGAGGCATAGTAAGGCATCAATTGACGATGTATGACTGGACTCTCCACTCGATCCAACAGTCTCCTGTCGCGCAGTACATAATATGCAGCTCCCACAGATTCACAAAATCCTCGGTGTGAGTCCACGGCAACTGTTTCCATTCAGATGACTGTCGGATTGCTGCCATCTCCTCAATTCCTCCGCAACAACATCATCCGGAAGATCTCCACTGCATCTATCTGCGCGCAAAATCCCCTTCAAATCCTTCGATTTCGACCTTTCGCAACAATGGCCGAAACCGCCCTTCCGGTCCGTAAGGCCAAGAAGGGCAAAGACACCGGCTCTGCTTCCAAACACCTCGAATTGAGCCCTCCTCCTCCATACTTCGACCACCGAATTGCCATCTTCGAAAAGCTCAAGGCAAAACACGACGCGGAAATCGCACAGAAACCCCGGAAACCCATCAACATCACTCTGCCAGACGGGAAGATTGAAATCGGAGAATCCTGGGAAACCACGCCTGCGAAAGTCGCACGCTCAATAAGCAAGTCTCTTCTCGAACGTACCGTCATATCGCGGGTCAATGGCGAGCTGTGGGACATCAACCGGCCGCTAGAAAGCGATTGCGAGCTCTCCTTCCTGGATTTCAATGATGAGGAAGGCAAGAAAGTCTTCTGGCACTCTTCGGCGCACATTCTAGGAGAAGCAGCGGAGAGAAGGTTTGGCTGTGACCTGTGCATTGGCCCGCCTACCGACGATGGTTTCTACTACGAGATGGCCTTGCCCGAACAGCAACCTGTCCGGGAGGAAGACAAAGAGCCACTGACCACCCTTGCGAGGTCCATTATCAAGGACAAGCAACCGTTCGAGCGACTGACGCTCTCGAAAGAAGACCTCCTGGAAATGTTCCAAACGAACAAATACAAGCAGCACATCATCAAGGACAAGATTCCCGACGGCACCTTCACCACGGTTTATCGGTGCGGACCGCTGATTGACTTGTGTCGGGGTCCTCATGTCCCAGATACGGGCCGAATCAAAGCCTTCCAAGTCCTCAAGGTGAGTAGGCATAGCCAAGGCCGAAATGATTTGATTCGGGATTTTGCTTATCTGTTTAAAGAATTCCGCTTCGTACTTCCTCGGAGACGCGAAGAATGACTCGCTCCAGCGTATATACGGCATCTCATTTCCTGAGAAAAAGATGCTGGACGAGCACATGAAATACCTCGAAGAAGCCGCCAAGCGAGATCATAGGAAGATTGGGAAAGAACAAGAGCTCTTCTTCTTCCACGAGCTTTCACCCGGCTCCTGCTTCTTCCTTCCCCATGGCACTATCATCTACAACACACTCCAGGCTTTCATCCGGTCCGAGTATTGGAAGAGGGGCTATCAAGAAGTTGTCTCTCCCAACATGTATAATTCAGAGCTCTGGAAACGGTCGGGCCATTGGCAATGTGAGTATCTCGCCCCCGGTCCTCTAGTACCAAACCTAATACAATCCAGACTACAAGGATGACATGTTCACCTTTGACATCGAAAAGGAGAAGTGGGCACTGAAGCCGATGAATTGTCCCGGTCATACTCTGATATTCGCACACCGGGAGCGCAGCTACCGAGAGCTACCCATCAGAATGTCTGATTTCGGTATCTTGCATCGCAACGAAGCGTCCGGAGCTCTGGGCGGCCTTACTCGCGTGCGTCGATTCGTGCAGGATGATTCTCACATCTTCTGTGCCGAGTCACAGTTGCGAGACGAAATGGCGGAGATGTTCGACTTTTTACAAACTGTGTATGGCAAGTTCGGCTTCACGTTCCGCATGAAGCTTTCCACGAGGCCGGAGAAATATCTCGGTGACATCAACACCTGGAACAAGGCCGAAGACAAGCTGAAGGAGGCTTTGGACGAGTATTGCCAGGCTGGGAATGCAAAGTGGGAGCTCAATCCTGGCGATGGGGCATTTTACGGTCCCAAAATCGACATCACAATCATGGATGCTCTAAAACGGCAATTCCAGGTATGCTTTGATTCTACTGCAGCCCCTACTTATCAACTAACCAGCGCAGTGCGCCACTATCCAACTAGACTTCGTCCTACCCGCGCGCTTCAATCTTCGTTATGCCACCGACGATGTCGGCCATGTTTCCGAGAACGCAGGAAAACCTGAGCTTCCCCCAGCTGCTAAAGTCGTCACTGCCCCTGAATCAGCACCAACAGCTGCAGAACCCGAGGCCAAGAGCAGTTGTGACCGCAAGGGAGAAGAATCAGAATTCGTGGAACAGCCGCTGCCCGCTGGCTATGCCCGGCCTGTCATGATCCACCGCGCCGTTTATGGTAGCTTCGAGCGATTCATTGGCATCTTGATCGAGCATTTCGGCGGCAAGTGGCCGTTCTGGCTCAGCCCGCGACAGGTTCTTATTGTCCCCGTCATGGTCAATGCGCATAGCTATGTGGAGGAAGTTCACGCGCTTCTACGAAAGCATCAATTCCATGCGGACATGGATATCAGCGGGAACACGCTGAACAAGAAGATCCGCAATGGGCAGTTGTTGCAGTATAACTTCATCATGGGTACGTGAAGCTCGATTTCGGTTTTTTTGCAAATGCTAATATGCACTTCTAGTCCTCGGTGCCGCTGAGATGGAAAAGCGAACTGTTAGCATTCGAGTGCGAGACCAGGATAGCAAGGCGCCACAGATCGTGATGCCCCTCGATGAGGCGATTGAGAAGCTTGCGGCATTACGGGAGTCAAGAAATGTTGAGAATGTGCTCTAGGGGCAGTGTCTTGCAGTGGACTGCAGGTTTTAACGTCTGGCATGCATCCTAGGCATTTCCCCAACATCTCTTTGCATAGGCATTCGAAAAGCATCCAAATGGTACTCTCCGAGGTGTAAAATAAACAGGACTCAGGATTTAGATCTTAGAATGCCTTGTTATACCTGGAAAACATGGCTCAGGCTCAGTGCCTATCCCGATTGGTTCTTATGGTCTAGGTCTTTGCTTGAGAACTGATGCCTGAATGATTGTACCGGTATCAAATTGGAGAAAATCACAATACATTCCGGTTGCCAATAATATCTTTCTGGACCTTCAGTTCATTCCTCCATTCAAAGTCCGCATGCTCGGGCTACTCACGTGCTGCACCCTTCGTATTTCCCCCCACGTGTACTCGTATTTGACGGCCAGCATTAGCAATTTGACCATCGTCAAACACTGGCTGACGAGTCTAGGTATTTCCATCTCCAATTGTCGCAATTTCCTGTTCTTTGTTCATAGGAAAGTTTCGTCATCCTCTCATCGTCATCACTTATCAATACCTGTTTGTGCCTACGCAAAGCGTCAGGTATCACCGTTCTTGTCGGCACGTTGCCACGCGTCGCGGGTATTGTCGTCGTCGCATTGTCCACACGTAAAGTCTATTTAGAAGCCATTTGGTACGATATGCTTACACTACTCTATAGGAATTGGTCGGGTTATCTTATGTTCTGAGCATCTCGCGAAATCATCATGAAGATCATCATCGTTGGCGCTGGTCCAGCCGGACTCGCAGCATATTTACATCTCAAGAAACATCTTCGCCTTTCACCGGATAATTCAAGTCATCAGCTTTCAATATTTGAATCTCATCGAAGTAACATCAATGTTCAAACCTCGTCACTTGCAGAGCTGAATGCATCTACAGCCCTTGTGGGAGGAGGGTTAGGGGTTGGACCAAATGGCATGCGTGTAGTTCGGAAATTGGACCCTCAGATCCATGATAGGCTCGAGAATGAAGGATTCGTCTGTGATAATTTCACGTTCCGAAGTGCCAGAGGGTTTGTGCTGGCTACAACACCGGCTACTGATCGAAAAGAGCTACCGGAGCATTGCGTGAGCATTGCGAGACATACTGTTTGGGAATGCCTCAAGGATGCCGTTGGAGAGGATAATATCTCGTTTCGAAAGGTCTCTGGAGCGTATCGGAATGAAGCTGGAAAACCATGCATCAAGTTTGCCGACAAAGGGGAGGATGAGCAGGCAGATCTCATCATTGGAGCCGATGGAGTCTGGAGCAAGGTCAAGGACGCTGCTCTCGAAGGCATCGAAGACAAAGGCCAATATGATGCTGTCTCGGAGTGAGTTTAATACCTTCGCTACATGGCAAGTCACTCTGACATAGATCAAATTCAGGGGCCTTCTCGGTGTTGGCGGCTTCGTCGAGATGCCACTGCCAGACCATGTCCTCCGTGACAAAACTCTGTGTTTTACATTTGGGCGCAATGGCTTTTTTGGCTATGGTTCGCACCGTCCAGCTAATCAAAACCAAATGATGTGGTGGAGCACCTATCAGGACGACTCCTTGCCTGACAAGAAAGTTATCGACCGTGATCGAATCCTCGAGGAGCTGAGGAAACGGCATCAAGACTGGAAGGATCCGGTAATTCACGATATCATCAACAAGGTTCAGGTTGACAGTGTGTACCCAACATGGACTCTCCCAGAGCTGCCTACCTGGGGCGGAAATGGCTTTATATTGATTGGCGATGCTGCACATGCTTTACAATCGACTTCTGGTCAGGGCGTTAGCCAAGCCTTGGAAGACTCATTGACGCTGGCGCTCCTTCTCAGAGGATTTCTGCAGAAAGCTGCATCCGGCAGCATGACTGAAGAAGAAGCAATTGACCGGACCGCAAAGACGCTGTACCAAATTCGCAATCCACGAGTCCAGAAGATCGCAGCATTCGCCGCCCAGTCTGCAAGTGGCAAGCGAGAACTCACCCTGGTGGCAGAGTTTATGATGTGTTTTTTCCTCGGACTCATAGGCAAGTTCCCATCTGTTGGTAGGTGGACAACCCCCTCTGTTCTGTGTGTATCGGATATCTAACGTTCGTGTCTGCCAGGTAAATTGTTACTGGGCAACTATAACAACGAATTATACGACTGGGACGCCGAGAAGCTTGTCGAGGAAGCTCTGAGTCTGCAATAAATCATTTATCTAAGCATCTACCTTTGCTATGATCCTACATTTCAATTAACTACGTCATCATATCCTCGGCTGACGGCTCTGCACATTAGGAGTCGTTCAATTGTAGATCCTTCACGTGCTCATATTGCTTCTTCTGTCTGGCCGTTTTCCTGCGATGTTCCACGCTCAACCATCACATTAGGTTATCTCTGCTGTTGCGGGGTCGGATTCTCTGTGGCCTGTGCCGCACTACAATTGCTTTACCCTTTTAGACGTCATTCCTGTAGCGGGAAGGATCTACAGTGAAGACTCCTGCGAGTATGCGGTACCTCATCGTTCCAGTGGATCTCTCAGCTACACTGGACCGTACTCCGCCAGATTTACAGTTAAACCCTCCGCTTACTCTCATATATCAAAGCCATACACTGATGCTGAGTAGTGAGCGTAGTGACTGGTTTCTGGAGTCTGGACTCCAATACGACGTTATTTTGGGACATCTTGAGGGTTAACAGTAGAGAGCACATCCCGTACGGCATCATCCTCTTCACTAACCAACATCGACTCGCGTACTCAATTGTCAAGCCCGATCCAATCATTCAGGAGGGACTGGCAACCCTGGTTGCGGGTCAGAAGGATATCAATCAACAATGCTGCTGATTCAACAACAACCCTTGCTACTGGCTGAGAATTGGTTGTATTACTATTTACGCTACTATCCAACTGCCAAGGTCCGATGGCCTTAGGACCCTCAAACTTACGGAAACTCTACAACAAGCCAAGAAAGGGAATGAGCCTGAAGCCAATCGAGCCGTTCTGTCGCAGTTCAGGTCGATTCTGACAGCGATACGGAGTAATACCCTCCCAGTCAGTCCTGGGTCTAGCCACCCAGTGTCCATTCCTTTCCGGGTTTCCGGTCGATGCCAATTCCCAGGGTTTACTAGGCATTTGATCAAGGGGTCCCATGCACACGTCGTGGATAAGGAATCCTTCGCCAAGACAGGGGAGCGGCGGATGGAACATTGAGACTTGAAATGCGTCGCGAAACCTGCTCAAGAAATAACGTGGAACAATCGATTCGGCGGCACAGATTCAAAACGGTCAAACATTCATTCAGAATGACCTACGTTGCCAATATCCTTCAATGACTCGCATTGGGCGGAACAGATCTGGTAGGCAATATGGATACGGAATACAATCGCATATAAATCCCCGCCACAGACCATCAATTGGACGATCTCCGCGATGGATGTACACGATGGCATGGCGGCAGCAAATTAAGGGATTAACGACAAGATATTCGGTACTGCCCTATTATAAAAGCCTATTCAAGCTTGTTCTACTGGTGCCATTAACCAGGTCTCCCTGGATGCCCAAGAAAACCGGACGATGACCTAGGTTTGACAACATGGCGATGTTCATGGTGGTATCTTTCCCCAGCTCCCAGGGGCATATTCGCCGTCATCGTGCAGCAAAGATACATCTGACTGGGTTGGGTAGATGTTTGGAGCCTGGACTCTAGACACAAGGCAGTACTTGATCGCCCTTGTCGACTGGGTATTCAGCGACGGCTACGAAACCATCCAGCATCCATGTAGGATCCCGAATCATCATGGAGCCAAGCACCAACCGTTGCTGGTGGTCCCAACACCAACCCGCCCATGTACATAGTACGGCAAGGTCGGGAATAATAATAGCCACTTAGCCTGTTAGCCAGTGCATCTCGCGCTGTCTTTGTTGTCGACATCGTCAACTGTTGGAGGAAGACGCCAAGTTCTGCGCACGTTTGCTCTCCGCCGCTTGGAGCGGCACTTCCTCGGGGGTAATATTATTCAGAGGACTTGAGAGTTGAGCGTTGCGGTTTTGTTGCGACTTTGTTGAGAGCCATATTCATTCTCGATTGTGAAGGATAACGAGCCATTTAGTTTGGGGGTATCGATGCGTGAATTTCCCGAGGGAAGAATTCCCAACGAGATTGAAATGACGCAGAAGATGATGTATGCGTTGGAATCTTGCAAGTTGCAGGTCACAACCTAGCACCAAAGTCGCCTCGTCAGTATTAACTAATGGCTTTCGGATATTACTACGCAATGCTCGATTCCAAGAACACACCGGCACTGGTGTATTAATCCCACCCGTTACGTTAGATCAAGATCCTGCCGGGAACTAGAGAACCATTCGACGGATTCGTCTGCGTCGAAGGATACTGCACATCTGTATCAGAAGTGATCCTTCAGATCCTCCACAATTTTGAGCCTCCGTTCCATTCCATTCTTTTTCGCTACCGCGGAGCAAATAGGACAGAAAAGGACGCGAAGCCTCCAACCTGGAACAGCCGCAATTTATCAAGACAGGGTCATTTGTGTTTTCCAACAACTTTCCATGTCGTTCCCCACATCGGCAGGAGGAGACGGGAGGATCGCATCATCCCATGTGCTGTCTCATCCCGGATAACCGTTCCTTGGCTAACAGAATCAGAATGGCTTTGCCTTCGCTACCCACCCCGTCGCGGCGGTCGCCTGGATATGAAGATCGCCCATCAAATAGGAACTCGAGGACAGTCCAATCCCAACATCATTGAGTGATATCGACATTTTCGACGTCCAGGTCCCATGTCCAGAACAGGGTTCCCGACAAGAGAGAATTGGGAACCTTCATGCGGACAGCGGAGACCTGTCCGCGGCGGGACTGCGGGCTGCGGCAGTGGCGGCGCCCATTTTCCTCCCGTTCGATAAAATCTCACTTCTCAGGAGTCTAGCAACGACAGAAGATTGATATGGAGTTCTAGGCTTCCAACATATCTCACATGTTGGATGGTGGATAGTAAGAAGCCCTGCCCTACTGTTCCCCTCCGCGGCCCTGACCTGCGTTAGGATCTTAAAGGCATTGCACAATTCACCTTGTCTAGAGTCCGCTTGATACTAGCAGGGACTGTCTGAGAAAGGTGAACAGATGCCATTTCTGGGCAATCGCACTAGCCTTTATCTGCGCTTTGCAATGCCTGCCACATGCGACGGGTGAGTGGTCACGAATAACTGCGAGGCTGTGAAAAGCATTTCGATCCATGGCTGCAGCCAATGGTTTTCGACCCGGCCCTCCTCAGTCCTCGTACATCATGTAACAAATACAGATGCAGTAATAGGTAAGACAGGATGAGTGGAGTGTGGGGCTCTCTTCACCATGCCCCTCGATGCGACGACGCATAGTCCATGTCCGAACTACTATTTTGATATCTATGTTGCAGCAACACCTATCTAATGATCTAGCCAAACAGCCGATACATTCTTCAGCTCGTGCCTCATTTCATAGGCTACCACAAGCGACTACCCACGCCCAATCCTATACGGAAGGTAGCTGGATATGTAGGTACGTCCTTGTCGTCGATGCGCTTGGATCGGCACCCAACTGTCCCCCCAAGACTCACTCGCACGTCGTTCAATTCCGTCGGACTCGTTCTCAAAAGACTCGGTCGTGAATGTGCTCGTTTCTCAAGTCGCACACTATCGGGCCGTGCATCTGTATCGCCGCTCCCACTCCGGCGGGGCTTGTGCTGAACCACAAGAGGCCTCGCTGGGATTCACGCGGCCATACCGAAAGTTCTCTGTCTGGACTGAACGCCTTTCGTACCATTTGCAAGACGGGAGTGTTGGGTTACGGGAAACTGCCCATACATATCCACGCCGTTTCTAGTGTCCCTGAATGGGTTCCCCCGATCACCACTGTTTTACCAGCACTGAGGCTTTGTGACTGTCGGCGACGATGCACTACTCATTCGAGATCTTAAGCGTCCCCAGTTTCTTGTTTAGTCTTGCTGGTCTTCGCCTATCTCGTTCTCTTGTCCATCATACAGCATGTTCCGGACCTTCTCTCTTGGCTCGCAGAATGAGTTTGCTAGGTTCATATATCAGTCGGACGATCCAGCGGGATCACCTCAGGTGGCGGCTCCACTGCATCTAGCATGCAACTGTTGCCGGTCCAAGAAGGTCGGTATACGCTTCAACGCTGATATTCTTTCTTGGTTCCGATCTCCGCTAATGTCTTGATAGCTCCGATGTACAGGAGAGAAACCTCAGTGCCACCGATGTCGAACCAAAGGCGTGGATTGTGTATATGCTTTGCCACGAGAACGGAGGAGGAAGACGAAAGATGAATCAAGATATCATCGCCGCAAACCGCACCTTCGCCATGTATCAACCCCTTCTTTGCCATCCGCTCTCTCTCAAAGGAAGGATTCGGCTCAATCGAAACCTGGGTCTTCGGGGTCAGAGTCTAAGATCCAATTCCCAATTTCTAACGATGTTCCGAACACACCTTCTGGAAATTACTCCGATTCATCGTCCATCTACGAAGAGCCACTCTTCACCGATCTCGACGGACCGTCCGACTTCAGTTTCCCATCGGGGACGTTCCAGAATTTCACATCAATCCCTCAGACAACAAGTCTCCCAGGTTCCTATGTTGGGGATATGTTTTTCGACCCCTTTACGCTAGGACGATATCCACTGTCCAATCCGGCGGGTAAGTTCACTACACTCCTTGATTTACACGAATATTCAATGGTGACAGTGAACGATGGCACCGTTACACCCTCAATACCCAATCACCAGGGTACGATGCCAGAGACGCCTTCATCTGTGTCATTTGGTTTGGACTCATCTACTCCAACTCCCACCGCAAAACCTCTGAGTGGAGGTGACTTATCCATGGACACTCCAGCTTCAAACACACCCTACGGAATGTCTTCTCTCTCAGACATCACGCCAGCACATTTAGTCTCTTCCGAAGTTATTGACGTGGCGCTGGCTCCACCGCAACATCAACCCGACTGCGCCTGTATCAAAGACGCAGACCAGCTCTTGAGGGAAGTTCGAAATCACGACCCACAGTCCTCAACGCAGCCTGCAGATACAACTCTTACGCTTCTACGGGAGGCAATGAACTACTCGGACCGAGTCCTTAGTTGTCCGACTTGCAGCCAGACATCCGCCTCTATTATGATGATGGTACAAGTATCTGGAAACCTCGTCCGCTTCTACGAAGGCCTCTCGATCAAACTAGCGAAAATGGAACTCGGCATCTCCGAAGGCCATGAGATTGCACCCGCTGTCGGCGGCGCCAGCGCCAGTGATTCCACCAGTAGCATTCCTTTGAGACTTGGAGCATACGAGCTAGAGAGTCAACAGGAGTGCTTCAGCATCGTACGGTGCCTTGTTTCCAGTCAGATGGAGAAGATGACGGAGACACTGTCACGAATGGCGTCGCTCGCTCAGTCACAGGGCTGGGCGGATCCCAGCAACGGATTGATGACACTCAAGGAACGGTTGGACCTAGTTGCACGGCATTTCTGGCGTGCTCCGACTTCCTTTGTGCCAGGGAATATGAATATCAACCCAGGATAATAATAGCACCTACGCTGGGAATGACACTCACTGGGGTCCACGAGCGGGGATATAGCACTTCTTGGGTAGCGGGCGCACAACGGGTAACCAATGACAGAATACGACGATTGCGATATGACAGGCAGATTTCAGCCAAATCGTTCAACAAAGCTGCTCATAAAGTCCAATCATTTTATATGAAGGCTGTACTTGTTTCGATCTGCCTAGCGAATTGCTACCATACACGCAGCCTTTGACATCATGAATTTCTGTTGTTCCTGAATCCTGATGAAGTATTCAATTGGAAGGATCGGGCTAGACTCCGTTTCTTCCCTGTTGGATATCAGAATCTGGTAAATAAGTAAATATTACTGTACCGAAGCCAGGATGTAACGTGAAGCCGAATCCAGGGATGGTACAATATCGACCATCAAGGGACCTCTCACCCTCTACAAGTGCCTATCCACCATCCTCCGTAAGTCATGCAATTAATCCTCCACGTCCGTTCTAGACACCTACTATATAGTATTAATAAACATTCCGTTCAGCCCGAGTGAGGCTGATACCATTGGAATATGGAGGAACAGAGCCCCAAAAACTGAAGCAATCTGAACCCATGTTCCATGTCCTTCCCGCGCGGGCTTCCCCTCCAAGACTCCAACAGTCCAACAAAATCACCCAAGTTGGGCGAGTATCTAGATCCTCGCCTGGGTTCCACGATTCCATGTGCAAATTGCCCAATTTCAAACCGGAGCTGACATCTACCGTACCGAACCGTATTGGAATAACGAACCCACCCTCGGATACGATCATGCGAAACGCCGGGAAAAAGAGGAGCAGTGGATGCACTAAGTATCCGCAGACACCACTAATACTACATGACGTGTCGCAGGCTTCCATCGCAAACCTCCACTTGTCGCAAGGGTTTGACCGAGGAGTTCATGCACCAACATCGTCTCATCTACTTGCTCAGTCCTTCCCTCAGTTCTTTTCGCATTTATCATACTGAAACGTCGCTGTCTACGATAGTGAACCGTGCGCCACTTCAAATTACCTTTATACCTTACTTGCTGAAGAAATTCCCCACCCTACCATGACATCTCATCAACCCGCCCAGTGCTGCGCTGTCGGAGTCAAGCATGAGGGCGAAGCTGCTGGCGAGGTGAAGTTGGTTGGTGATGGTGAGTCCCTGGCTCTCAGCTGAGTTTTCCTATCCCAAGTCACACACGAATCAAGAGTCAATTGTCCTCTTCAGAATGCATTGTAACATTCCGTACCCTACTTTATGGCCCCTAAGTCTGACCCCTCCATGGTGTATCTCACATTCATAGTGGGGCGCCCCTCTCAGCCTCAATATGGTCCGCAAAACAGACGTACCAACGTGGCTTGGGGGCATAGAATGTCTCACGCACTGTTACGCAGAAAATAAGCACATTTCCTTATTTTAATAACGGTCATCTTGACCTCAAGTCACACAAAGACTAATAGGAGGGTGTAACGTTGTAGTTGAGACGTACTTCGCCTATCCAAAGGACAAATCCACCACCAATGCCATCCTGATACTCACCGATGTGCTCGGTCACAAATTCATCAATGTGCAGCTGTAGGTTACAACTTTCATTCTCCAATGGATCTTTCGACCCTTCATCTAGGCCCATTGCGGAGCGGGCACTCCTTTCCAGCACATTCCTCGTCTCTGCTTCATACCCCTTAATATCAGCTGCGTTCCCCTCTGTTCCCAGGTGTTACTCCGATATGGATACCAGATGGATGACTCCGTGGTATGATTAGAGATCATGGCTGATAAACTCGTAGCATTGCGGACCAGTTCGCCGCCAATGGCTTCTTCGTCGTCGTTCCCGATCTCTTCCAAGGCGACCCGGTGCCCGTGAACGGCGAGAACTTCGACTTCGGCAAATGGCTCCCGAAGCATCACACCGGCCTCGTCGACCCCGTCGTGTCGGCCACGCTCAAGCATATGCGTGAAGACCTGGGATGCAAGTGGATTGGCGGTGTTGGATACTGCTTCGGTGCTAAGTATGTCGCGAGGTTCCAGAAAAAGGGAGGAGGTCTTGATGCAGGATACATGGCACATCCGAGCTTCGTGGCTGCGGAAGAGTTTGCCGCCATTGATGGACCGCTGTCGATCGCAGCAGCAGGTGAGTGAAATGCGCAAGCAAAGGGAAATTCCTCCTGCACTTCTGCCTATCTCTCTCACTTCAGCCAGTCCAATACTAACTGTGACGAATTCAGAGACTGACGAAATTTTCCCGGCTTCCAAACGCCATGAGTCGGAAGCGATTCTCAACAAGATGGATATTGCCTGGCAGATCAATCTATTCAGCGATGTGGTCCATGGGTTTTCCGTGCGTGCCGACCTGAGCAACAAGCGAGCTAAGTTTGCAAAGGAGCAGGCTTTCTTGCAGGCGGTGACCTGGTTCAACTATCATGTTACGGCGTGAGTATTACATCCCACTCCCTACGGGACAAGCCTGCTGGTAAACATGTCGACTGGTGAGTCCTTAAGAGGGAGATGCTCCACGCGCAGGATTGGCTGACTTATATGGTAGAGGAGGACCGTCGAAATTGTAAGGATTGCTGCCTGACCGACAAATCTTGAGACTTTTGTGATGGGACATTGCAAGCTCGATGAGTGTAGAATCACTCGATTGTGACTTAGGTTATGATGAGAAAAGGAATAGTCCATTTAAATTATCGTAAAGTGAAAGAAACCCCCATTTTGCGTTCAGTGGTGTATATATATATATCATCCATATGATATATCCTAAAGACACATTCCTGGTGTTTTCGGGGGTATATAACGTGTCTCCATCCCCGCCTCGACTCCGAGCGTTGAAATCAAGTGAAACAGGCCAACTCCATAAATTAGTCACGTTAAAGCGCAGTATTTTACCGCGGTGGTGGGTACTGTCCTTGCGGAGCCTGCAACGGCTGCGGCACTGTCCACTGTTGCATGTACTGCGGCGGCGGCGGCGTCGTCGCTGGTATTCCCCATGGTTGCTGCCCCGGCGGAAATTGATGTAGCTGCGTACCTTGCATGTGCGGTGGGACGTATGCGGTCTGCTGATCTATCTGCTGCTGTTCATGGCCATTCATAATCCCCTGATTCTCTAGGGCCGTTGGAGAAGGAGCAGTGAAGGGGTAGGTCGACGGGTTCTCGGCGGGGGGATTCCAGCCATAGGAAGGTTGTGGCTGGGACGTTTGCGGACCCGACACGAAGGTGGAGGCTCGGGGAGAAGTTGTTTTACCGAGAGGGGCGAGGTTGTTGAGGTCGGTCGGGTTGACCGAGGAGTACCCTCCGAGGGCCTTGTTGCTGCCGACGAAGATGACTGAGATGAATACACCCGTGAGGAAGGTATAGTAAAGAACGTCCGTGACGACGCTTATGGAAAGAGAGCGAACACTTTTGCCCTGGAGAGAATATGCAGCGTCATCGACCACGTTGAGCAGGGAGAAACCGGCGAGGAACAGGAATAGGGCGATGAGACTGGCCATGAGCCCTGACGTGCCGACTCCGTTCCGCTTCGCTTTGATCACCGCGATGAACATAATGGCACCCACCACGACAGCCGCGACGAGAAACAGGCAATCATACGCGGCATCCATGTCAAGCGCGGACCGGACATTCCCATTGCCGACAGCATTGATGCAGGCGAGGATGAGTTGCGCAAGGAAGATCACGCTCAGGATGGCTAGGGTCGTGTAGAGAATGATTTTTGGGAGTCGGATCGACATGCCGGAATGGGTGACGAGAGACAGGGCGAGCGGGATCAGAATAATCGAGATGATCATCTGAACCGCAATCTCGCGAATGACGAATTCGGCAATCAACAAGTCATGGGAAGCGTACGCGCTTGTTGAGCACGCTATAAGAACAGAGTGGCTCAAGTGGAGGATCGTGGCTCTGTAATAATATGTAAGCAAATGACTCTCATCATGTTGATCAAGACGGCATACGTTAAAACCAAAAGTAAAGCCAGCCCGTACGAGCTCCATGGTAATATCTCCCGGACCTTAGCGCTCCGCTTCTTCTTTACCACCCATATACTGAAGGTTATTAGGTAGACAACAGTCCAGATGGCAGGAACAATGATGGTGGAAAGGACATAGCCATCTTGAAAATGGGAGGACGGGCAGCTGCTGAAGCCGCCCTTTGAGGACCCGCCACCCGAGCTGGAGCCGCCGCCTTTGCCACCTTTAGGAGCCATGGTACGGTACCAATGGGGTCTGAGATGAGGTCTCGATAAGGTTAATCTGACTGTGTCCAACAGGGATCTGTAATGAGGCTCTTTGAGCGACTCGAGATCCTCATAGGCTTGCGCACTATTAATAATAATAGCCACAGTCTTGTAGAATCGTCGTGAGTTAACAAATATTGACGGAAACAAAGAGTTGAAAATGCTCTGGAAGGTCAAACGCGCAAAAACGACTGGGAGATGCAGCAATTTGTATATGGCGCCACGGCATCTCGAATACGAGAAGTGGTCCAAGATTAGGCAAAAGCTAGACCATAAAGCGGCTTGAATGTGGATAGCCTTCTTGGCTTGCTTCACCCTGTCCAGGAGAATCAGAGACAGGGGGTGAAGACTGAAGAGTCACAGACTCACAGTAGACACGGCTGAGCGCTGGACAGCGTCTCAATCACTCTATGCCATCTCTCTGCTCTCATGCCTAAGCTCTGAATCTCACCCATATTTTGAGGCTGATGCTAGGGGAAGCTTGTCAGAAAGTCGCGACTTTTGCTCTCGATCACAAACTCCAATGGGGCTGGGTTACGGGGAGGCCAGTCCGCCGATTCGCTCTCGTCCCCTGAAGGCCGAAACGGTCCGGGGTGGCAGCGATCTCAACCCCCAAGATCATCTCCCTCTGGCTGAAACGGGCTGCCATAGAGTGTGGGGTATTCACACGGCGTGGTCCGAGGAATGAACTATCAAAGACATGCTGTAATTATTCGGGACCGAGAATCGCGACGAAGAGCCTAAGCAGAACCATCAGCAATTAGGGGCATGTGCTGAAAAGTGACACCAAAAGGCACGAGACGGATTGATTGATCATTGACATTTCTGAAAAGCGATTCTGAATCCATAATAATTCCGTACTCCGTAATAATTAACTTTCATATTAGAAACAACAGAAAGTGCCAGACTGGCAGACTGCTGGATATCAGTCAGTGTCGAGGCTCGAGTCTGCCTTGCGAAGGTGAAGAATGTTCCACCCCTGTCCTGGACGAGAGGCTGTGCTCCGCGGAACTAGGAGAGAATACTATCCGAGGGAAGAAAGGGGAATACAGAGGAATCAAACACGATGAGGTTTGACACCCGTTTGAGGTATTCCCTGATTTGAGAAAGATTTTTATTGTATGGTCCGAGTTGATATTGCGAGTTGAAGGTTGGAATTCGGACTTCAGCTGAAGGAATTCGGATTTCTTGCCTCTCCCGCCAACTGTCACAATTCACACATTCATCCATCCTCCGTGCACCAAGTACTACCTACTAGCTTCGTGAGCATTCTCCATTATAGGCGTGGTGTTATGGTAAGGAATTGGGAGGATAATGCTATATATTTCGTACTCCTTGCCATGTGTAGTTGGCAACCTACCATCCTCTCCGCCACTCAACTATAATCAGTTGCCGAGATATCCAACGCCGGATAACGTGTGGTGGTGAGATCATACCCTGGGTTTGCCTGAGATGGATGGTGCTGCTATCGCTATCCAGAGTTCCAGACTACGGACTCCAAGGTAATACATATTATCCTTTTATGACCAATTAATCCATACCGTGCTCCAGCACCATTCTCAAATGTTGAAACGATCGACTCCGTATTACTCGACTGTGTTGTCCCTTGTGGACCATCTGCTATGCTTCTCTTCCACAGTTCCTGGATGCTAAATCCCCTTCCATCCTCTCCCCGCGTTCCAACATCAGCCTCGCGATGCCCAAATCTTTGGACGCTCCGCACCGCCTCTCCAACCTCTCCGATGTCCCAATGTCTCATCTCCTCTCGGGTCTCGACCCTGCCATCGCTCCGGACATCGTGAGAAAGCCGACGAATGGTCCATCCACCCCTCCAGCGTCCCCATCGAAACCGAGCAGCGAGGATGGAAACCAACTCTCTAGCAACCCCATCTCGGGCGACGAGGAGGAAGACTACGACAACCTAGAGATCGACCCCAATACCGTCGTCGAGGACGGTGCAGGTGCGGGCATTCATCGTGCTGATGCGCCGGCGAACCTTGTCATCGATCCGACAGTCAATGGCGCTCCTGCGACCTTGCGATCCCCCACTACGGCGAAAACGAGATCTCCCGCGGCGGCTCGGTCGCGGCGACAGAGCATCCAGGTGGTCTTGGAGCCGACCAGCCGCAAAGGGGAGTATGTGCTTACGGCCGACGACCCTGCGATCCGAGAGATCCTCGAAAATCGAATCCAGATCGAGCACGGCGCAAAAGTTTCCGAGAAGGAACGGACACGGCTTCGAGATCTGGTCTTCACGCGACAATTCACCAGGTTTGACCGGCAAAATCCCGCGAGCGGCTCGCCCTTTCATGGATTCTTCACGCTATTCTGGCTGGGCATTGGGCTGTTGTTGATTCGCGTGGCGATGCAGAATTGGAAGCAGTATGGCAGCGTGCTAGGGCCGGCGGAGATCCTCCACATGATGTTCAAGCGTGATTTGATTGTGTTGGGACTTACTGATGGCGTCATGACTGCGGGCACGGCGATGGGGTTGGTCCTGCAGAAGCTGATCCGCCGAGGATACTTGACATGGAATGGTTCCGGATGGATCATCCAAAACATGTGGCAGATGTTCTATCTTTTCGCCGTCATCGGGTGGACCTGGTATCGCGAATGGCCGTGGACACATACCATCTTCATTGTTCTCCATGGCCTCGTGTTCGTCATGAAGCAACACAGCTATGCCTTCTATAACGGACATTGTAAGGAGTTACCAATCCCTATGGAACCTCTTGCTAACCAGACAACAGTATCACAAGTCCACCGTCGCCGTGCCATTGTCGCACAAAAACTGGCTCGTCTTGACGATATACCTCCTTCCTCATCACCTACCGGGGAACCTCGTTCACGAGCATTATCCAGTCCGGCATCCGCCGATCCGTTCACCTCGGCGCTCGATCACCCTCCGCATTCTCCCTCCCAACGACGCGCTTCGGTCAACCCCAAAGCCTCGACCGACCTCCGTAGCGAGAACACCGAAGTCTCCAACATCGCCTTGGCCATCGAGTCGGGGCGGCCCCTCGACGCCAAACAACTCCGCACCTTCCGCATGATCCTCCAATCCGAACTCTCCGACCTTGATACGGAGTTACGTGGGAAATGCACGCACTCATACAACCACTACCCATCCAACCTCACACTCGCCAATTGGGCCGACTGGATCTGCCTTCCCACGCTCGTCTATGAGCTGGAGTACCCGCGACAGGAGTCGATCAATTGGTGGTACGTCCTGGAGAAAACCCTGGCCACGTTCGGCGTCATTTGGGTCATGATCATCATCTCGCAACATTTCATCTACCCCCCGGTGATGACGGCGGTGACGCTGCGAAACTCCGGGGTGTCTCTGAAGCATCGCTGGCCGGAATTGCCCTGGGTACTGTCCGACATGCTGTTTCCACTCCTGCTCGAGCAGCTCCTGACATGGTACGTCATTTGGGAATGCTGTCTGAACGTGTTGGCCGAGGTGACGCGATTCGCCGACCGAGGGTTCTATGGGGACTGGTGGAACAGCGTGTCGTGGGACCAGTACGCGCGGGACTGGAACCGACCGGTGCATAACTTCCTGCTGAGGCACGTCTATCATTCGAGCATCTCGGCGCTGCGGCTGAGCAAGAAGGAGGCGACCCTCGTGACCTTTTTGCTAAGCGCGCTGGTGCATGAATTGGTCATGTTCTGCTTGTTCAGGAAGGTGCGCGGGTATCTGTTCATTTTGCAGTTGAGTCAACTGCCGTTGGCGGAGCTCAGTCGGACGAAACTGTTGAAAGGACGCGATATCTTGGGAAATCTAGTGTTTTGGTTCGGTCTATTCGTGGGACCGAGCCTAGTGACGTCGTTGTATCTGATTGTTTAGGTCTTGTACCAAAAAAAGAAAAGGAGATGCATGGTTTGATATTGGATGGTTCGATACGATTCACTGCCTTTTATGACTTTATTTTTGCACGATACCACTCATTATCCGCATTCTAGGAGTTGCATACTAGCGTAGGCGTTGGAAATCAATGACAAAGACCAGAGACACTCTGCTCTATTCTTAGGGATATTGATCAAACTAGTTGTGGTTCCAGGCCAGCTTAGCTATTATATCGAAAACTCTCACGCTTTTATCTCCCACATATTGATCTTTCCCTGCTCATTGGCAACAGCGAGGACCAACTCGCCATTCACCCCCTTTTCGCCCAGCGCCACCGCCGACACACGCCCAAGCGGCGTATCTGCCGTCGGCCAGTTCCTGTACACTGTACAGCTTGGAAGATGCACCAGACGCAATGCATCCTTCTTCCATCGACTGGCCATGACCAGCAACTGACCATCCGGCGAGAATCGCAAATGAGAGATCGGAGTCGTCAGATGATCGAGGACCTTGGTTGGCTTCGGCCGGGAGGGGACTCCTGCGTTGTCGTCCATATCGGTCTCATTCGCTTCATCTCTCCATGCTCCGCGATCATAAACGTTGACGATTCCCGTCGAGCTTCCGATCACGACCCACCGATCCCCACCGAGCCAACCTTCATGTCCACTTCGCCCACCCAGCGAGATGACACTGGTTCCGACCGCGCCTTCGTCCGCCCACCGTGCAATCACCCGTCCTTCCGCTAGGCTCCACTCGCTCACCTCGCCATTCTTGCCGGCAACGGTCATGCCTTTCGCGTCCGTCCACCACGCAAAGTCCGCGACGCCCTGTTCGCTCGTCACGCGGACCTGCGAATGCCACTGCATGGTGTCCGCGCTCAGCACGTTGACCACGCCCCCGCCTTTCTTCGCCGTGCCACGGAGCGCCAGATATCGCCCGTCCGGAGACAGGGACATGTGCTCCATGCTACGCTGCTCGTGCTGGTGGGCGTAGATGCGGGAGATTTTGGAGACGTGCCCGGTGGAGAGGTCCCAGGTGTGGAAGTATTTTCGCCGCGCGGAGAGGAAGATGCGTGGGTCGGACGGGGCGGGGGAGAAGAGAGTGGTCGTGAGTGGAGTCCGCCGCATGTGCAACGAGGTGAGGAGCGGATGAGGAGTCGCGGGGTCGGTGGGGTCGCCATTGATATGGTGGAGGTAGAGTGTGCTGGCGGGGCCAGACGAGAGGAGAAGGGAGAGGTTCGGGTGGAAATGAAGAGAGGTGATGGCCGAGTGCTGGGTGCCGGTGACGCCTTTGATACGCTGAATGTCAATGACCTCCGGGCGGAGCTTGCGCTTCTTCCGTGGGTGCGACGCGTCCGACGCTGAGAAAAGACTGGCATCCTTCAAAAGCTGTGCGAGAGGCCTTGACGAAGGAAGATCGTCATCGCTCGACTCCCCATCATCCTCGTCGTCGCTGTCGCCTGCTGTTCGTTTCCTTGACGTCCCATTTTGCTTACCGACGTCCGCCCACGCCGGACGAGGATGCAATCGCTCGTACCTATATTCGTCAGATCTGTTCGACTACTGCCGAATTGCCGTCCTTACTGTATCCTCAAGCGGCGAACATATTCCTTGCCTGTCACCAAATCTTCTCCCTCCGTCACACGCAGCTTTCGTAACCTAGGCACCGATGAGAGCGACACCGTGATACGTTCGTCATCACTATCCTCCCAGGCAGCCTGTCGACCGTCTAGGTAGGGGGTCGACGTCTGATGTTGGATTGCCTGAGCATCGGACTGCGCGGGTACACCCGGTCCCTCGTCGACGAAGAATAGCTACGCCGCGCATTAGTTCCAGTCCGCAATATAAGGGCTCAAAAAGGAAGACGCATACCGCATCGTCATCCAGACCTCGAAACTCGTCGTTTTCATCTTCCTCGCCGACTCGAAGCAGCTCCTGGGTCGATTGGCCTACGGACTTCAAGCGGTCCCTGAAGCCTTCGCTATCACCGAAAACCAAACGTTCCAATTCCTCCTCGTCGCTATCTTTGTCGGAGTGCATGAGCACGTCATTCTCCAGGTCCATGTCGGGCATTGCGGCGAACCGGTGAAAGCGGGAGTTGATTTAGTGTGGGATGCGTACGAGATTGAAATGGTGTACGCGGAATGATATTTTGTCTTTGATCATCTTAATTTTTTCATACTGAGAACCTCTCCACTCGGCCACTCCCCTAGCAGCTTGAGCCTTGAGCACTGCAGGGGTCGGGCTGGCACTGGAGGGGGAAATATTAATTAGGCCTTAACGCCGAAACACCGACATGTCAGGTGACAGGTCAGGTGACAGAGAAAGACTCCAGTCATGTGCAGAGAATGTTGCCATTCTTCATTCAGAAATCCAGAGCAAGTTGAGAGAATCCGGACATCGTATACACCGAAGATTACACATGTCTCCACGTACGAGTATCAACATGCCGTACGGAATACTCACTGATAGATTGATATATCTCAGACTTGGCCCCTGCTTTCCTGCGCGTTGCACATCAAATTTCAAATTCAACTCTCATCGAGGTTCTATGGACCATGCGAGGTTGGAGTTTGGACTGTCGGAGTTCGGACTGTCGGAGTTTGGACGGTTTTCTTTTCTATTAATGAGTCATGATGGAACAGAATCCTTCCGCCTCGTATTTAGCGGCATCTTGTTTTCGACCGTGCCGAGTCTGTCGACCGATTGGAACGCGTAACTACGCGAGTTAAGCATGAATTCATCGGCCATCAGGCCCGACAGTGAACGGTTAGACCTGACCACATGGCTGGGATTCATCAGTGGGTATGGGAAGGTGTTCGCGTTTCGCTGAATACTAAAGCCGTCCTTGATTCCAACCCCTCATTTGTCACCAACTTCTCAGGGACGGATCACTAATATATTATCTATGTCAATCGAACGGTGTTTATGGTCTGGACCCATCATTTTCGTTGCATCATAACGTGAAGCGCGATCACGTTGGTTCGATCCAGTCACCGCCCTGCTTCATTAATTATTAACTAAAGGTTGACATTAGACAGGCATCTGTGGACCACTCGAGATGGGACATAATAGTACCTGCAAGGCCGATGTCCCTGGGACATCGGCCTTCGGCGTACGGGCGTAGTCGGCGATTGCAGAATTACCTGATGGGGCAACTCCGAGCACAAGCTTTGTTTTAGTGTTGTAACATCCCCTGCTCCACAGTTCGGCCATATCGCCTTTCTTAGCTTTCTAAAATCCGAGTCGCAGTGAACCATGACAACCCACATGCGGGCCGCATATTTGGAGATTTCTACCCCAAAGGGGCCCAGCTGTGAGGCGCCTGGTACGTCCCTTGCACAAATGTTCGCATTTGTTCGCCTATCGCCGATTTCTGTTGTTCTGCCAGATTTGACTAGTTTGGCGGTCCCCTAAGCCTTAAATCGCGCATCACCTCATATATATATGTTGGGGATTCCCTTCTTGCTTGACCGACTGTAGCAGTTTTAGAGCTGTCAAGTCTTGCTTCATGCGCTTCCACTTCACAACGCTACTCCAAGTCACATAACATTTACTTTGCCTTTTCCCGCCTCTAATTAATTCCTACCCTCAAGGTTTCTCAAAATACTTAGATCAGATATACAACTGGTCTTGTTTACGCTTCACGCAACTCCATCCATCCGTCATGGGCTCCCCGGCTGCCAGTTCGCTCTCCGACCCAGAGAAGCATCATCTAGAGAAAACAGATATTGAAGATACTGCACCACAGCGACATGTGGATTCTCGCGAAGAATCCGATGAAGAGACGAGTGTACCAATAGAAAAGAAGCCATCGGCTGGTCCAGCAGCAGCGTTCGACCCTTCAGCGTTCCCCGACGGTGGTTTGAAAGCATGGACGGTGGTGATCGGAGCGTTCGCTTGTCTGTAAGTTTGGGTGCTATATGGTTGCCTTGAGCAGACGTGGATATAGATGCTGACCATGACTTCAGATTCTGCTCTTTTGGGTGGATCAACTGCATAGGGGTGTTCCAGGCGCACTATCAGAAAAATCAATTGCGCGAGTACAGCGCCAGCACGATTTCATGGATCCCCTCGCTCGAAGCGTTCATGATGTTTGCCGGAGGTCCCTTCATCGGCAAAGCCTATGATAACTACGGCCCACGATACATTCTCCTGATTGGCACGTTTCTTCACGTCTTCGGCCTCATGATGGCCTCGATTTCTTCCAAGTACTACCAGTTCCTCCTCTCTCAAGGCATTTGCTCGTCCATCGGCGCCAGCATGGTCTTCTACCCGGCCATGTCCACGGTCGCAACATGGTTCTTTAAGAGACGAGCGTTCGCTTATGGCATCACGGCAGCAGGATCGTCAATCGGCGGTGTTGTAATCCCAATCATGGTCCAGCGACTACTTCCACTAGTGGGCTTTGGTTGGACCATGCGCATCGCCGCGTTTATCATCCTCTTCCTTCTCGTCATCGCCAACTTGACGGTCCGTTCACGTCTCCCGCCGCACCCGCAGCCTTTCAGGGTCATGGACTTTATCGAACCGCTGAAGGAGGTTCCCTTCGCTATCTCCGTTTTCGGTTTCTTCCTCTTCTTCTTAGGCATGTTCCTTCCCATCAACTACCTGATCGTCCAGGCTTCCCAGGCACCCATCAACATGTCCCTGTCCCTAGCCGGCTACCTCGTCTCCATCCTCAACGCCGCCTCCTTCTTCGGACGTGTCATCCCGGGCTATCTGGGTGACAAGATTGGCCGCTACAACGTGCTGATCGTCCTCACCTTCTTTACCGGAATTATCGATCTGGGACTCTGGCTGCCGGCGCGTGCCAATGCGCCGATCATCGTCTTCGCCGCGTTGTACGGGTTTTCGACTGGTGCGTTTGTCAGCTTGGGCCCCGCGGTCATTGCACAGATCACTCCGGATGTTCGACGGATTGGTGTGCGCACCGGAACGATGTTTGCGATCGTTTCCGTTGCGGCCCTCATCAGCAACCCGATCGGCGGCTCGTTGCTGACAAGATGGGATGGGAAGTATACAGGAATGCAGGTCTTTGGGGGAGTTTTTCAGTTGTCTGCCGGATTCGTGCTGACTGCCGCGAGAGTGATACTGGTGGGCTGGAATCCGAGCAAAATGTGTTAGGCAAACCGCCCTTCACCTACTCAATCGACTATGAGATTGGAAGGGGGTTAAACCTCATCTCTGTGAATTTATTCTCGAGACCAAAATCTGGCTCGCTCTAATAGACATGACCCAAGACGGTCGACGTACATGTGTTGGAATATTGCATATAGATGGTGTTCGGAAGTTGATAATATGTGAAGAAAACAGAAATCTCTGTTCTTGTATATCAGAAGCTACGAGTATAGAAGCTAAGAGTTTAACTCATCTGATCTCAAATTCTTGCTACAGTGACCTTCATCCACACAAACCGCCATCATGTAGGTCGCCCCTTGTCCAAGGATCCGTGTACTAGTGTTTATTGTAGTCAGCACCACAGGATCCTCGCCCTCTTCTGTTTGGACCCCCGACCTGACTCTGATCATCTACTGCCAGTCTATCAGCAACGCCTGAGCGCGGCTTGTCCCCATTCGCGTGATCTACATTCCGGACGAAATGGGCAACGCATCTTCCGGGCCACGGTAGCCGTTTGAAGTGGATTTTGAGATTTGACAACATGCTCGGATTCGCTGCAACCTTCATCCCAAAATCTTCAAGCCGCCCTTGGTCTTCGCTGGCTTCTTCTGCACCCCTGCCCCCGTTTGCGCATGTCCCGCAACCTTATTCTGATCTCGATCTCGCCCCCCTGCTCTACCCGAGTGGCGCCCGCCTCGTCCCCTTTGGCCCATCGCCATGGGCTTGATATCCGTCTTGCACCGCTGGATCTGAATCGGGTGACTCCCGATATACTTCCCCTGCATTTCCTTGGCCGCCTTAAAGTAATCGTCCGCATCGCTGAAGCTCACGAAGCCGTACCCCTTGCTCTTGGTCGATTTCTTATCCCGCACCACCCGGCCCTTTTGCAGGGACGGATAGCGCACGAATGCCTTCAGCAGCGAATCGTCCGTCACCTCCCCCGCGAGGTTCCCGACAAACAGCCGGAAATGCGACGGATCCCACTCTAGCAACGAGGTATCCTCCCAGGTCTTCCCGCCTCCGCTGCGCACGACCGTCTTCTGGTTCGGGTCGGCCGGCACCGCCACGCCGATGGGGGTCGCGCTGGCGCCGGCGTCGGTCCCACCACGGGCACCCAGCGGGATGTTGTTGGCGTTGCCGAGCTTCTTGCCGTCATCGCGGGGCGCGTATGCGCTTTGCCATTGGGCGACCTGCGCATCATAGTCCGTCTCGTAGGCTGGTGCCGCGGAATGGCTGAGTGGTGCTTGCGTGAAAGTGCCGGCTTGCGCTGGTGGGGGGTATGCAGCGGTATACGGTGCTGCCGAGCCTCCGTAGTTCACGGCCTGTTGGGGATAGTAGGACGACTGCTGCGCATACGCTGGTGATTGATAGGATGTGGTCTGGGTGACTGGCGGCGCAGCATACCCCGTTGTCGGAGCTGGACTGGCCGTCGCGGTGTACGATGGCCATTGCTGCTGGGACGCGGACGAAGCGCTGGCGACCGACCGTGGTTTGAAGCCAGTGAATGTGCTGAAGTTGGTGTTGCGGCTTTTATTCTGACCAGCAGCCAGCGCCCCACCACTTCGAAGAGGGGGGAGAGGGTCGGATGGCGGAGGCGGTCGCGCTGGGAGAGACGGGTGCGGTTGTGGAGTAGTCGAGGTCGGTGGTCGGGAGACGCCTGGTGGAGGTGGAAGGGCCATGTTGAGGATTGAGCAGTCCTTGAAAGTGGCGAGCGTGTCGCGGTTTGTGAGGGACTTACAGGTCCGCTATAATAGATGAGTCCTCGAGCGATGGGATTGTTGGAGTCGGGGAGGTGGTTGCGGTATGAAATGACTAACTACCTATGTAAGTAGTTGTAGATAGGGTGGCAAATCGAGTAGAAGAACACGATGGGCACGCGTCGTGGGGATTCCAGTGGCTCCAAAGATTGTCCAAAGTTGAAATCGAATGGACTTGGGGAGGATGGGACAACTTCTGTTAATATTTCGAGTTCAAGACTATCTCTAAATATCGATCTCTGTTGATCTACAGAGTACCTACGGAGTAACTTTGAATGCTGCTGAAATTGCCTCTAAACCTCCCTGTCGTAGTGCCAAGTCCTTGCACGTGCTCTTACAATGTACGCTCTTATTATATACGGAATAGCGTTAGATCCTTTTGCTCCGTAATACCAGCGCCACACGCCAATCGTCTACCCTGCTTCTTACTAATTACTCACCTCTCCCATACCATGATACACCTCTCCCATCAATGACTTCTTCCATCAATAGCTCCTAGGACGTTCAGTAGAGTCCACTAGATAGAACATCGGTTGGGACTTCTGCCATTTGCACCATCGGGGCACACTCCCTTCGCCCGTGGGTGGGGGCAAGATGTGTTGGTCGATGTCTAGGCATTGCGCAATGGTCACAAGAGCGTGGAGTGGACGGGTTCGGACTGGCTACGAATGCATTCTGAGAACATACCACATCACAATGATTTAGGACGGGGTTACTCGGGTGAACATCGTGAACATTGTTTTGGTGTTGAACGTTGTCTTACATACGAGCCAAAGAAACCTGGATGAATTCACAATATGTCCAAGCCAGTCGAGCTACAGTCATTCAAGTCAATCAATAATCTGCATTTCATTCTTAAATTCAGCTCTTACTACCTTTTTCTTCATTCCATCATTCTTTTGTTCATCCTCAGCAACTATGACGGCTCTTGAAGGGAGATACATGTCTTCATATGAATGACAAAATCTATAACTTGGAATCACGGATGTTTTTCACCCCGCAGTGCGCTCATTGCTAGCAGTGGACTACTCCGAATCTACAGCAGAAATATGAACAGATAGGGCTTGGATCGCTATCGAGGTATCAAAGAGCCTAGATGTTACGATATGGTCAAAGGTTCGTGACCAGACACAGTTTCTGCCATCTTGGGTCCCCCCTTGGGCTACGACTAGCAAGTCATCGATGGAGTACCTCGGCAGCAATGCGGCCCAAATGGGCATCTTTGCGAGTGAACAACTTCCCGCATTTTCCCAATTCCTGACCCCAGGAGATATCTTACATGTTCAGGGTGTTGCTGTTGTGGTCGTGAAGTCCCTAACTTAGCAACGTCTAGCATTGAACCAGTGCCCTTTGATTACAGATCTGGATTTAAGAGGTCATATCACCGTTCGTCTCGAACTACAGGGAGTCGTCAAAGGCGACCAAAACTACGTTCTCCTCGGGTGTTCGCTTCGGTTGTTCCCAGGGTGATCGGCGAGGCAGATGACTTGTTCGAGTCTTGTCCGAAACAATTTGCGCCTCTGGATAAAGTACGTCTTTTATGCGCAGCTTTCCTCGGATAGCTCTGAGGCTCTGGATTCGAGCACACGTCCACGATATGTTCGACCCTTTTCGACACTGCGTCGCCTGACTCGATCTCGGCGATCCAGAAGAACCATACCATAGAAGAGGGGGCATGTCCGCCAATAGGCACAAACGTTACTGCTCGGTACATAAATAATGCACAGTAGTAATCTATCTCACACCCATTTCGATCCACACGACGTTTCCTGATACGCTAGGAGCAATGTTGGTGGCGGCCCGAGGATTGCTATGTAGCGTAGCTGCACTGTAGCATGGAGCAGAATCGATATTCATAGAATCAGACGTGAGGACTGAGGAGTTTATAGAACCAGTGGGGTAATTACTATGTAGGGTAGTCTCGGCCTCGAATCCCGACCCAGCATCCCGTTTCAGTGTATCTTGGCGCCTGTTGGATTGGCGGGTTGGGGCGCCACGATGCGGGGTCTCATAGCCCCCATTGGCCCCTGTTTAGTGATCCCGCGCAGACAGATCTTAGGACTTTATGTAGGCAAGAAATCCTGCAACTCTCCTCAGTTCTTTACTGGCGAAAATAGTTGAAAGTGAAAATTTTCAAGATACTTCTGGCACAAACGTACCAGGGCATGACCTCGGCAGCCTCGGCAACCGCGAATAGGAAATAGGACAAATAGGGCACGATGATTGTAGGTATGGGATGAGCTACAGGACCCCTCTGTGGAGCGCTGAAAGGGGCTCTAAACGTTGCCTGCCAGGGTGTCGGAGGAGGCTATCGCGCTGAGCTCGCTTCGAATACCCTCCCCGCCGGCACAGATGCGGATGCGATCCAAGAAGGCATCGACATGTTTAAACTAGCCGCCAAGAACTGCCCCGACTCGAAGATCGTATTCGGCGGCTACTCCCAGGGTTCAGCTGTTATGCTTAACGCAGTGCCAAAGCTAGACGCCGCAATTTTGAAACTGGTTGTCGGCGGTGTGTTCTATGGGTATACCAAAAACGAGCAGAAGGACGGTCAACTTCCGGGCTTTCCCTCCGAGAACTTGGAGGTCTTCTGTAGGGAGGATGATGGTATTTGTGATGGGAACCTCGTGGTTACCGCTGGCCATTTTGCGTATACTTCAGATGGATCCATTCAGGAGGGAGCGCAATTCTTGGTTAATCGGTTTGCTGCCGCAGGTAGTGCTACGAATTAGCCACTGCGTATCATTTCAAATCCAGTTGTTTGATGGAAGCAAACGGCTGATCTTCTTCAACATGAAGATGCTTTGAAAGCCCTGGGACGGCTGAGACAGTTGGACAATCCTTGAACGGGCTCTCTTTTCTTGGCTAGACCGCATTTCGACTTGATGTCGCCATTAGTTAGACAAATACGATCGGTCTCGTAACCATATATCTTCAATGCGTGCTCATAAGTCATACAGCCTTGCTCTTAATATTTCGCCAAGTGCGGAGGACAGGTACACTTTAACACTTGATTCTTCATTTCAAAACGGCGGTATCATGCACAAAACGCCCAACTGATCGCCTAGTCGTGTCCTGGATGATGCTGCGGGTCGGCGGTAATTCCAGGGCAAGTACAAGATGTGGCGTCCATGCGAGAGCTTCGAGAGTCAAGCGTGTCAGTCCTGTCAGTCCGCAGTCGATATATCAGATTATGTAGCAAGCCCGACACCCCGGCAAGTGCCAAGACTTCTGGACCTGGATTCTCATTGGTCACATCAAGGCATCCCAACAGTGAGGAGTGAATGGACTCCTTGCTGCGGAATACAGGACGCCAGGTAGTAAATTGTAAGATGACTGTAGTTCATTGGGAATTAGAATTGGGACAGATAGAGTACTACTCGGAATTTAGATGCATCGGCAGAACTTACGGATGGCTGGGCATTTCTTAGTGGTGCTGATGAGCTGCTGAGTAAGTGCCGACGACAAGGGGGATCCGGGGATTAGGGCAGTCCAAATGAGCTCATCTGGATTAAATGATGAATTACGGAGGAATCTCATAAAAGGTGGCAGTAATGGGCTCGTGCATTGCTGATTCATCATGATGAGTCATGTAACCTGCCTTCTTTATGAAGAATTGAGGATTGAAGCTATGTATATACACGTCCATTCCTGCTATGGTTTGGTTATTTAAGCGATGAAAATGTTGATTACAAGACTATATACAGTTGGAGAGAGCTTTACGAATGGGTAGAATCCACAAATACCGATGTGAGTGCCTAAGGCACCCACATTTGGTAATGCTATACCTAATTGGGCTAGTATTTATGAGAGCATTTATGAGCGCTAGAGATAAATCGGGTTAGATTTCATGAAGACTTTATGAGGACGGCGTGCCCTACCGGGGATGCTTGTTTGTTGTGTCAAGATATATTGCCGCCTTGTCGCCTTGATGCCTTTTCCTGCACACCACACACCCGTCAACGTAATACTATTCAGTCGTTCAACTCCAGCGATATTCACGTCAGTTCCTGCACGGAATTATAAAACCGGATATTATGTAAATGATATTTATGAACAAAAGTCGAATATAGAAAGAGTCCATTATGATCTGCTATGGAGTCGAGACGAGAAATCCACAGTGCAGTCGGGACATTCGGTTGAATCGCTAGGAACCTCTGCTTCCTTTTTGGGACGCAAGTTATCGCGGGCATTTCTTTCCCATTCTTCCTTTTAGCCAAAATTCAATTTCAGTTCCAGTCCTTCGGCAGGCAGTCAACGAACTCCCACGATCGATCTAAGCTACAGTACTTACCAGATCTTACCTGTGCCGACTTATCCCTGAGTCTACTGCACCACGCCGTCGTCCGATGTAGGAAGCCTGCCATTGGAGCGATTGGACAACTTCTAAACCCCCGAAAGGAAATTGTAGGAGATGTCACCATGCGCGATGCTTCTTCCGCGGAATTTGGGCTAGTATGATTCGCCTGGTTTCGTCGGATTATTATAGGATTATGAATTTACCTATGATACACACCTTCACTCAGGACCCAGGGCAACCCTCCCTTCCAATTCTCAAGCTTGACCATGGGCCCATGTCATGTTGATCAAAATCCCTTCGCCTCATATGCAAGTCACGCTGATAGATACAGAAAATGCTCGTTGGTAGTCACATCCACAATGCGCCTATCCGGTGGGAATTCGGCGGGTTCCCATAGTGTGTGCATTTCCATGGAGTTGAGACACCATCGCACATCTGGATGATCTGGTACGGGCTGGTGGCTTGGGGGACGGCTCTTCCCCCCACCCCCCGAAGCTTCCGAAACCCACTTGGTTACAAACATTACTGCATCGCTCCCAGATCATTTTCTTTCTTCTTCATCCCATTCTAATCGTCTTCGGTGCTCTTAACACAGCTTGTGAGATCGATCCTATTATAATATTCTATACCAGGAGTCCATATCCACCCCGTAACCTCTGATCTCTGATCTCTGATCTCTGATCACTGCCCCTCAATTCTCCAATACCCCGCCGAGCATATTGACATCCAACGTCATGACTGAAGCCGTAGGAGATTTCGGCCTCATTGGCCTCGCGGTATGCCTTCAATTCTCTTGTCACGCTCCCCATTCCGTCCTATCATGTCCGCGATGATCCAATTTTGCTGACCACATACCACGCTCCACTAGGTCATGGGCCAGAACCTGATCCTCAATGCTGCGGATCATGGATTCACCGTTGTGGCTTTCAATCGTACCGTCGCCAAGGTCGACCGCTTCTTGGAGAACGAGGCCAAAGGCAAGAGCATCGTTGGTGCTCACTCCATCAAGGAGTTTGTCCAGAAACTCAAGACACCCCGGCGCATGATGTTGTTGGTCATGGCCGGCAAGCCCGTCGACGACTTCATCGAGTTGCTCCTGAACGAAGGAGGAGCGGAGCCTGGTGATATTATTATCGATGGCGGCAACTCCCACTACCCTGATACCACCCGCCGAACGCAATACCTCAATAGCAAGGGCATCCGATTCGTCGGAACCGGTGTCTCGGGTGGCGAAGAGGGTGCGCGATATGGGCCCAGTATCATGCCTGGCGGTAACGAGGAGGCATGGCCGTACATCAAGGATGTCCTGCAGAACATTTCAGCGAAAGCCGATGGTGAGCCGTGCTGCCAATGGGTTGGCGACGAAGGAGCTGGTCACTATGTCAAGATGGTCCACAACGGCATCGAGTACGGCGACATGCAACTGATCACCGAGGTATGAACCGATTCTGTCAATTGAGTTCGAGGAACCAGCTTTAGCAACCGACTAACCCCCACAGGCTTACGATATCATGAAGCGCGGCTTGGGCATGTCAAGCAAGGAAATTGGCGATGTCTTCGCAAAGTGGAACAAGGGCGTCCTGGACTCTTTCCTCATTGAGATCACTCGAGATATCATGTACTTCAACGACGACGATGGCAGCTCCTTGGTCGAAAAGATCCTCGACTCCGCCGGACAGAAGGGTACCGGGAAATGGACCGCCATCAACGCCTTGGACCTGGGCATGCCTGTCACCCTCATTGGCGAGGCCGTGTTTGCTCGTTGCTTGAGTTCTCTCAAGTCTGAGCGTGGTCGTGCCGCAAAGGTCCTGGGCGGCCCTACGCCTGAGTTCTCCGGGGACCGGGAACAGTTCATCGATGATCTGGAACAAGCCCTCTATGCGTCGAAGATCATTTCATATGCCCAGGGCTTCATGCTCATCCAGAATGCGAGTTGATCGCCATCCCGTTCGGAAGATTCCTGCTGACGATCCCTAGGCTGCCAAAGAATACAAGTGGAAGCTCAACAAGCCCGAGATCGCCCTCATGTGGCGTGGTGGCTGCATTATCCGCTCCGTCTTCCTCAAGGACATCACCGCCGCCTACCGTGCCGAGCCTGACCTTGAGAACCTGCTCTTCAACGACTTCTTCAACAAGGCCATCCACACGGCACAGCCCGGCTGGCGCAACGTGGTCGCCAAGGCCGTCCTCTGGGGCATTCCCACTCCCGCATTCTCCACGGCGCTTTCCTTCTACGACGGTTACCGCACGAAGGATCTGCCCGCCAACTTGCTCCAGGCGCAGCGTGACTACTTCGGCGCCCATACCTTCCGAATCAAGCCCGAATCCGCCAACGAAAAGTACCCGGTGGACACGGATATCCACGTGAACTGGACCGGACGTGGTGGAAACGTGTCGGCTTCGACGTATACCGCATGACTGAACGGAACGACGAGAAGCGTCCTGTAAGGAACCATGAAATATCAGGATCTAAAATTGCAAAGGAGTCGGGAGACCGGTATGGACAGACATGCATGGGCTGGAATTGGATTGTATGCTCCAACCACATAATCAGAAATTAGACCGCTTGCGTTATGTTCCACGTCCAATTACTCTAGCCACACGCCTAATATATGAGGGGATAATAGGCGCGTGGTGTGAGTACCTGTTAGGTTTGAAGCGTGAAACTAAAAACTTGTATTGCTACCCGTCTGCCGTACACAGTAGTTCCAATGTAACCAAAGCCAGTACAAGCCGCCAATCATCAGGTTAGCAGTGCTGTGGACTCTATTCCGGAGTTTGATGTGACATGGAGGGACATGGAGCGATCTAAATGAGCCTGATAAGGCATCAAGGCCAACTAGAGCGTGGTCACGTGCTTCGGCGATCTAGTTCGCGGCTTCGCGCTGCTCTGAGTTCCTCAACTGGGACATTTGGACGCGACTCTCCCATCGCAACTTTGTCGCAACCCTCGACAGCAGGACGCTGAATTGGAAATCATACCCAAAACTGTTCTTCAGAACCCGTCACAATGCAAGACCCAAGTTTCAGGGTTCCAGCGAGCCTGGTACGTTCACCGCGCAGTCCTGCTCCCACCCTCTCGCGACGAGAAAGAGAAAGTTAACCATCGTTTAGCTACCCCATATCCATTTGCTTTCGGCATATAGCTTCCCTATCTACCAGACGATCACTCAAGACCAAGTTTTCGAATACTTGTTGAAGGCCCCTTCAATCATCAATGATATCCGACCGGTGGCATGGACGTTTCTTGCTCCTCCAGGGGACGGAACTATGTTCCTTGCCTGGCAACCGCAGATGCGCCTGGGGAGCCGTTTTGCCAGCGATGGCTACGTGTGGGGCGATCAAGAACAGACATATTCGATGGAACTACGAGGTTATGTAAGCATCCATTCATTCTCATCGCTGGGGGCATCCGCTAATGGCACAAAGACGATGGAAGTCCTGATTCACCGCTTTGGGTATCGTCCGGGTGAGAACGTCGCATCTCACAGCCGTCAACGCTACCGACTTGTCGGAAAGTCTCCTTCTACGACCGGCCCGGATCCAGACCCGTCCCTTTGGATCGTCCATTATTCCCAATCCGACCCTCAGCACCACATTCCGGTCATGAACCTTCCCATGCAACCACACACAAACGCGATCCTACAGGAACGCCGCATGGTCGAGCGACAGGGCCATCTCGTCCGGAAGGAATTCATGTTCAAAGATCGTGCGAACTGGCCCGACGTGAAGTTCGTCCATGGCCCAGCAATGGGGCCGGGCATGGTACCTCCGGGTCCCATGTATCCCAATCAAATGATGCAACAGATGCCCGCAGGTCCATCAAGAGCAGCTGCACAGTACTACCAGCAAGCACAGGGTCCGATGGTGGCGGGACCTCCGGCGAAACGAGCAAGGCAACAACCACCAGCACAATTACCAGGCGGAACCGCCCCGGTGAATGCAATGGTTGAACAAGATCCGGCTTTATACGACGAACACGTGGCGCACCAAGGCGACCTTCTTGACAACTTGACTCCCAAGGAGATCAGTGTTTTGCGATACAAGCAACATCACGTGTGGATGGATGAAATCCTCAGCTCGACTTTCGCGGCGGAGAAGATCCAGCCGCTCGACCTTGGTCTTGGTCTCAGCGGACAATTACGGCAAATAACCGACGGCCTAAACACCGCTACTCCCGGTCCTCAAACCCTGGAAAAGGATAAGAGCAGGGTCAAGGACAACCATCAACTCAATCTGAGTGCTGACGATGCCCCTCTTGTACCGATTCCTGCCTATAATAAGATCACTCGTGAACAACTGGACTCGGTGCAGAAGCGCGTCGATAAGTTCGTCGAGCAGGGTGAGCGGGAAATGGAAGAGTTGCGCAAGAAGCATGCGAGGAGAGTGGCGGACATGAAGAGGGCGCACAAGTTCGCGGATGCTGAAGCTCAACTGAAGCAGATGTTCGACGATGCTATGTATGACGAGGAGGAGGCGGGGGCGGTCGGAGCCAGTCCAGCCAGCGGATTCGGTGTAATGGCTCTAAACAAAGTCGATGATGTGGTTCGCGCAGTGGAGGAGTCACTAGACGTGGCTATTGAGGAGAAGCGTGCTGTCAAATGCTTGCAAAAAGGCGGGCTCTTGGAAGAAGAGCAAATGCGGTATGAGTCTAAATCCGAGCTCAACGGCAGTAAGGGAACATCTGAACTGCAAGCCATCGGTGAGACTGGTCTCGACGGAGCCGATTCGCGTGCAATTGATGAGACAATGGGCGACGCACTTGGCGATTCCATGGTGGATGATGCAATCGGCCATGGGACCATGGACGGCGGCGACCTCACGTCTGGTTTGCTAGACGAATTCATGACATCTACACCGGATGCGAGTGGCAACCAGGAGAACGGATCCTATCAAACTGCTGAGGTGGCAGCGCAACCAGATGCTGCCGATACCCCGAACGCTAGTACGGCGCCGGCGCATCTACCTGCCCCAGCACAGCAAGAAGCAAGTGCGGCGCCCACTCCAACCGAGCCGCAACAGAAGGCCGAACCGTCAGCTTCCGGTGACGAAAGCACCCCGCTCCAAGGTGAGCAAGACGGCATGCATCTCCTCAACGACATGGATCTCGACGTCGACATGACCGGCCTAGAGGGCGAAGGGGCTTCCGCTCTTGCTGCTACGGCTGCCGAGTCTAGTGAAAAGAAAGACGATGACTGGGTTCTTGTGCAAGAGCCCTCCCCAGCAGCTGCCCAACAAGTCGCTGATACTAAAGATACGAATACTTCCGTCCCTGCTACTACCAACGCTTCTGCTCCGGCGACTACAGCATCGGAACTGAGTGCCCACACCTCCGCCCCAGCCCAAGTTGACACCCCAACAGCTGCCGGACTCACGTCCACGACACAAGTCGAGACGCAGGAAAACAACACGCCGGCGATGTTCGACAACCACGGCTCGAATGATGATTTTGAGACGTTCGACGGACTGAACACGGCGGGCGACGCCCTGGCGGATTTTACGGATCTGGATGGAGGAGTCTTCGGTGACAACATGGGGACGCCTGGGCAGTGAGCCGGGCTATTTCGAGCCATTTGGTTCGCTCGGGTTTCGGCGCTTCGGGGGATCAAGAGATCTAATCTAGGAAAGGAAAAGGTCCTGCGGTGTTCGATGTTGTATGCACGCAATAAATGCATATACATGGCACAGTCTTTGCACGTTCAAGCGTGTGTGCGTCCGCGGAGTCTGCAGACGGAATCGGGAGTTGCCAGGAAATCATTTGGGATGTCATGGTAGCACGACAGGACGGAATTGCGAATGCAACATGTCTCTTCTCTGTGGTGTACTGTCTTCCTTTTCAATGGGAGCGGCGCCCTCTTCCCGCGGATGGCGTTCGAAGGAAAGCCCCGATCCAAACTTGACTTACCTATGGCGTTTAAGGTATGATGGCCATCGGGAAGATAGGGGACGATGAATTAGAAATGGCGACAAGATACATAATTACTCAATTAGGCTTGTCTTGTCATACCATGTTCTCCTGCGCTTGTCTCCCACGCGATGCCAGTGTCCCGTTTCAATTTGTGCATCATGTTGCCGATCTGGGCGACGAAACACATGTCAATAACCCCGTGATCCCGTTGCCTATTGGCCGGGTGCTATGATAACTAAGGCGAATTGTCCGACCCTTCGGCGTATACAAATCCTACTTCAGACACTCGAAAGCGCCGACGGTCAGCCATCTCATGTCCACTATTGCAGGTAGTGATTAGTATCAACTTTGAGATGGATTGACAGGAGACGTTCCGAATAGTGCCGGGATGCGGTAGTACGGCGGTAACGCGACAGCAGGGAGGTTGTATCGCGTCTGTCTTGATCCGATCAGGGGCACCGGCATTCGACCAATAAGGAACCGGAGACGTCATTCAGGAAACCAACGATGCTGGTGACTCGGAACCCCAGCGGCTGTTATTCGCGATACGTCGGTTCTGTCCGGATCCTCGTACAGAAAACTTAATCATCGATGAACATTGAACACGGGTGAAGCATGAAGTAGCGCATAGGGGCAGCCCTATGAATACTCGGATCGCTTGACTGTTGGGGGAGAGGGTTCAGGAGGCCAATCACACGAGTCGAGCCCTCGAGATAGCATCCTTGCTCTCTAGTCTCTACCAAGTACCAACCCCTTTACTACCGAACCCCTGTTCCTCTTTTGAACGACGTTCCACGACTCACGGCGCGTCCACCCTTCAGACCTTCGCTTTTCTTCATCCGTTTATTCCACACCTCGTAGATGAGGTTTCTACTGGATGAGTCTCAGAGGATATCATAAACCGTGCCTAATATCTTGAGAGTTCGGGTGCTCCATTCAGCCTCCGAAGTCTGAATGAGACATCAATCGGAGTCGCCGCACCGGTCACGATCGAACCCACGACCTCGTCTCTGGGTCTCTTGACCGCTGGAGTCTGCCATGTGAACGATATGCGTTTCTTAGCCCCCTAGCACCAAGTCGACCTGTCATCCCATTCGCAGGTGCGCTACTTTGCGTTTCTTCGAAATGGACAACGGAAAACCAACCAGGGTATCATGTACGTAGAGAATCCCGGATCGACAGCATGTGTTCGCCCTCTCCTTTCTTCCTCCCTCTTGGCTCAGGGCTGGTTCTTGGTTCTTGCCATCTAAAACCCAGGGCCATGTATTCATCAGGTAGAGCAGATGGTCCTTGGCCGATTCTTCGTGGCTCGAAGAAAGGAGCTGAACAGCACATTCGGGCGATGACTGGCGCGCTTCGCCCATCCAATATCGCACCACATAAGGGCGCGGCTGCCGATTGCTGTCGCGGATAATTACTTCGGGGTACGTCATTCGTAGGCCACAAGGCGCTGGGTTCGCATCGGTGGAGTTTCTCCACGCAATGAGATCGTCCCTGTGGAGACAGGAAAGGTGGCATATCTAGTGTCATCGCATAGCAGCATCCATTGTCGTCAAACTCGTTAATGATTTGCAAGGAGCAATCCCGTCCATTGGCGTCCTAAGCATTAGTATTGAAGCTATGGAATTCGTGCAACCAGCGGACAGGGATAGCGTAGAGTTACGGTAAGGTACGGAAGTAAGTTTTCTGTTTCTTCGCAAGTTTAACATGTTCGTACTTACCTACCGTATCGTACGTAACATGTCCGAGCTCTTCGTTCAGGTGTCTTCACTTGTCTGATCTCCCATCTCTGATGACAATTTCAGTCCAAATGTTTCAAAATCGGTCGTTCGGCTGGACACCTCCCTAAGCCGTCAAGTTCACCTTCCCGTTTGCTTTTCTTCTTTCCGAAAAGGCGTCGCATTAGTCTGTACCTTCCTAATTTCCACAGCCGCAGCTCGTTCACTTTCCGCACCCTCGAAGACTTCAATTCCAGTCATTACCTTGCCAGCCGTACGGGTACAAATAAACTGTACACATACTGCCATTGTCCCCGGATGTCCACTTGGATTATCGGTTTTGCCTCAGCATTGATAACCACCGGACACCCCTCAATGGCTGATCTCTAGGCTCGGTCGTGTCTTAAGGTGGTCTTTTCTTCGCAATCGCTACTCTTGTCGTTCGTTATTGCCTCCCTATCCACTCATTCTATCCGCTTGGCCGTGGTGAAGGGCCTATGCTAGAAGAGGAGGGCATACAAGATGAGGCATATTAACTTCACCGCCACCGCTGCTCTCTCATGGCTTGTATGCCAATGCGCTGCTACTCCGACTTCCCGCCCCCGCAACCCATTCAGCAAACCCCTCGACTCACCGACACTCGATTCACGGCAAGCACATGCAGTTGGGGACTTTGGGCCGTCATTGGAACCGCATAACAAGCGACAGACAACTATCGCAGTTACAGGTGTCCCTGGAGATACGCAACCACGATTGGAAATCCGGGATTTGGAGCAAAATAAGGATCAGTGGAATATGTATATACTCGGGCTGAAGAAAATGCAGGAGAGGGCAGAGAGTGATCCGCTGTCGTGGTTTCGGATCGCGAGTAAGTCTACCTCTGAGGCCACTGACTTGAGATACTCTCCGACCGCACGGACATGATCTGAGGTATCACATAGTGGCTGACAATATCTAGGCATCCACGGTCGACCTGCAGTTGCGTGGAATGACGTTGAAGGTCTCGGCGACTACGAAAACCCGGGATATTGTGCGCATTCTTCCAATCTGTTCCTAACATGGCATAGGCCGTATATTGCGTTATATGAGGCGAGTCGGGCCATGATAGCACTCCATGGAGGATAAATTTGACGTTGAGCAGCAAGTCCTTGTCGCGTTTGCAATCGATGTTGCGCAAGAGTTTCCCGAAGGCCCTATTAGGGACAGATATGAGCAGGCCGCCTCATCACTTCGTGCGCCGTACCTGGATTGGGCAATGGAACAACGAACTGGGGGGAACGTTTTGCCGGACAGCGTGGCTTCTCCGACTATATCAGTCATTACACCGGATAATATAGGGTGGAACTCGACCAACACCACGACGACATCGATTATCCCCAATCCGCTGTACTCCTACCGTTTTCATTCTGAAGAGGATTTCGTGTATACCAAGGTATGTATTGCCTTTAACGCATTCTCTCGGTTGATCGTATTGACAGAACTATCAGTATATCAATTGGAATTCCACGCTTCGCCATCCTACCTCCGACAGTGCCAGCGCGACGAGTGACACTGAGCAGTTGCACTCAGCATTAAACAGCATGCGTCAGGGGCAGAAAGACCGCTTATATCTCCTGCTGACCCAATCGTCCGAATTCAACACTTTCAGCAATGAGCAGTGGCATCTTGGCGGCAGCAGTAGCCGGAAACCGGACACGGTCTATGACAGCTTAGAGTCATTGCACGATAACTTTCACGGAGCCGTCGGTGGAAGAAACGCGGGTCATATGTCAATCACCGACTATTCCGCCTTTGATCCGCTCTTCATGCTTCACCACGTGTAAGTCCGAACCGACACCAAGCAGAAGGATGATTCTAACACGGCCGGGTGAAGTATGGTCGACCGCTGCTTTGCCATCTGGCAAATCCTTTATCCCGATAGTTATGTGGAACCCAGGGCACAGGGGACAGGAAGTTTCTGGTTCCGCAAGGGCGACACTCTCGATGCAGACACTGGTATGCTTGCCCCAGACCTCTTCTCCCGCATTCTCTGTGCCGATTTAACACCGTCGGATCAGGCCTTAAGCCTTTTTACTCGCCCTCCGGTGAATTTTGGACCTCCGATACTACCCGCAGCACGGATACGTTCAACTACTTCTACCCCCAATTTCCCCCCGAAACGACCGCATCGGAAGCGAAGGCCACCGTCAACACCCTTTACGGCCGGGGTCCCCCGCGTTCTGCCAGCAATGATGGCTTCCGAAGACGCGGGCCTGGCGATCGGGGCGGAATCGTCGGCGTGGCGCCATATTACCTTCCTACATTCAAAACCAGCGGATCGAAGGAGCCACAATGGGACTATGTCTTGACCATCCGCGCGCCGAAGAATGGTTTGGACCAGACCTATTTCGTGGATGTATATCTCGACAGCAATGACGCGGACACGAGGGATACGGAGACCCGTTCGGCGGAGGGCGGGCCGGATTGGGTTGGCACGCAGGCAATTATCACGAGATTAGGGACGGAGGAGATGGATAATGTTTACGTTACGGCGGCCGTGGTGTTGACGAGGAAGCTGGCGGAGAAGATCATGAGTGGGGAGCTTGCCGGGCGTGAAGAGGCGGTGGTGACACGGTATTTGAAGGATCATTTGCAGTGGAAGTTGAGGAAGGTAAGTCAAGTTTCCTCCCTAGTTGGCACTTTGGTACTGCAAGAGGACATTGCCTAACACGAACTGTACAGTCTGATGGGACGGAAATTGCCCCAGAGAGCCTCGAAGGCCTCGAGATCGGCGTCATCTCTTCAGAAGTTGAACCCGAGACTTCAGCATCCGAGTTCCCTCGGTGGATAGGAGACATCAAGATCTATGACGAGGTCACGAGCAATCGTGCTGGTGGGTGGCGCCCAGGATGAGGGCTAGAGGGTACCGTCTTCGAAGGATATGCGAAGAATAGGGAAGGATTGCGTGTTTGATCGGCGCAACAGTGCTGGCTAGGCGAGAAGGGATAGTACTGAAAGCGCAGGGCCAAGTGTGGGCATTTGAGGATAGTTTGCGAGGAGTGTATCGTACTCTGTAATTTTCGGGAGTTGTTTCAATGTACCTAATTCGAAGTAATACATACCGTGATATACCACGAACGGCAATCGTTCACCAGATTCCTATCATCTTGGAACTTACATCGTCCCGTCGAGGTCGTATGAACTCGTGTTGTTGTTCATAGCGCTGCAGCCTGCAGGGAGCCAGACCCTGAAACCGATGTACTGCATACATCGGGTGCACCATATGCCGAATGACGTCAGGGAATGGGGGGTTTGGTACAGGGGAACAAAGCTAAGGAACACAGCAACGGGAACTTTTACGATGTAGATCCACGAGACCAGGACCCCGGAGTCAACCGCTTGATACCGGGAGGTGCGCATTGGATTTAGCATGGATTGCCGGTTCGCCGGGCACTTTCGGTCGGACTCTTGAGATCAAACCTCCCGTGGTGGCTCCGTCCAAGTCACATTGTCGACCTGTTTTTCTGGCCCTGAAACCTAGTCGTCAATAGCCCAAGCCGGTTCCCAGCCTGACGATTGAGGCTTCCACCATCATTGCTGATCCAACGACTAATAGTTCATAAATCCGGGTTCACGGTTCCGATACCGAAATGGGGATTGAAATCTGATAGCCTAAGGAGTAAGGACACTTGACAGCTGAGCCACGGCACCGGGCACACCCTGATGTTGCGGCATCGTCATCATTTGCGGGCCCGACGGTTCCGTTGACGATGCTGACTTAGCCTGATCGCCGGCTGGAGGCTGAAGGTTCGGATCTTCGACTTGGAAGATCTCTTTCTAAGTTCTAATTGCACCCCTCACCTGTACATAACTGTATTTACGCTTTGAATTCCGAACATACGAGGCCTTTTGCGGACGCCGAGACCTCTCCGGAGCAGTTCCTACCTTGTCGCGAGTGTCGTCAGCCCGCGGATCATCCCTCGTCAGCAAGATCGCGTTGCGTCGCTTTAGATCGAGGAAGAAAACCGCGTCCTTTCGAATTGCAGGATCGTTGCGAGCGACGACGACACAGTTTGCATCGTAAACTCTTCCGATCCGGGTCCTGGAACGACGCGGAAAAGGTTGATATCCCGGACTCTTCCCCACCCCACGTTGGACTGTCCGACCGCTCGGCTCAGCCATCGAGATATTTTTAGCGCCGAACAGAATTATATCAGCACTTGGCAGGGAGAAAAACAGAGCCTCCCGGATCCCTGGGAGAAGGACGAGGATCGAATTTCGAGGGATTACGGACATGGGAGGGTCAAGAGGCGGATCGAATATGCTTGAAGTACGTACTTTGCAGCGTGAACATCTGCCATACACTGCGTTGAAAGTTGGGTTTTCTTGCGTGTTGCTTTCCCATCGACAAAGACACCTGTACTTCCAGTTTTGGATGCCTTTACATGCTGCAGCGCGACCTTGTGACTTGCTGAGGATGTTCTGCTCTGCTCTGCTCTTCCGCAATTTGGTTGTGGAGATTGATATTGGTGCCTTAATGCCTCGTTGATGCCTGGAATACGAGTCAACGACGTCAGAGCTAAACATGAGGATCCCATCTTCCTCCTCGACATTCTCCAAAGACACATGCAGTACGACTGTAACTTACCGGCCCCAAGTTCGACGTCCACACTCGATAGACTGCTCTGCTAAGAGGGGGATAAATATTCCAAGAGTGGGAGACGGCTCAAGAAGTGATCCTCGTTTCCTGATTGTACCCCGGCTCTACGGGCACACAAAGACCGTCGAATCGAGTCCAATTTGGAAACGACAGGATAGGTCAATACGGTACTACGGTACTGAAATAAGAGGACAAATCGGCTTGGAACTTGAGCAGAAGAGTCCTGCTTGAAATTATATTGCACCACCAGAGCCCAGACACGACAACCAGACCGACGGAGCTAGATATCCTGTGCAGCAGAGCAGGGCATTCTGTTGCAGCCGCCGCCAACTGCGTCATCGGTCATCACTCATCCCCCTTCCCATCCACCGGCCTCCCAAAGTTCCCTTCTGTTGATGCTACTGCACTGCACTATTACTATTTCTTGTCCGCTGCTTCGTTCCCTCTGACATCCAACACTTGTACTTCTCTATCCCGCTCGACTCTCTTTTACTATCCTCGTCGTCCCTCCTCGAAAACTTGGCATCATTAATTCTTCTAATACCGTCACTTCCCCAACCTGATTCTCCTCATTCATTCCTCTTTGTTCGCCTCCTCCAGCAACGTCTGCGTCTCCTTTCCGGTTGGCTGCGTCTCTGCACCGACACTTCACTAAAACATGGACACCATACAGAACCTCAAGAACTTCATCCGTCACGGCAAGCAGGCCCGAACCTCGAACTCACCGCATGCTGACCCTACCACCAACCTCTCCACCATCCATGCCGAGCAACAGAAATTCCACCCGTACGGTGCTCCAAGGCAACCGCAGCATGATGGCGGCAGCGACCCGAACGTTGCCGTCCATAAACCGCTTCCAAGCGGTCCTGAATCACCACCAAGTGGCTTCTCCATATCTGGCGTCGATAATCACGACGTGACCCCAAATGCAAATGAGGCGGTAGCCCCTGCGGCCGGTACGCATCAAAAGATGCATGAGGCCAGGAAGGGTGAAGTCGACCAAGCGGTCATCGAACGGATCGTTGCTGAAGAGCGGGCAAGTCACGGAAAGCTACCACGCTACCCCGGTCTCGAGCGGTACACGCTGCTCGAGAAGATGGGTGACGGCGCCTTCAGCAACGTCTATCGAGCGAGGGACGATTCGGGCCAGTGGGGTGAGGTGGCAATCAAGGTGGTGCGGAAGTACGAAATGAACAACTCGCAGGTAAGTTTGGTCATGCGGGAGGCGGTAGTGCTTCAGTCGGATGTTCCTTTTCCATCTATTACAACGTCGTGTATTCCCTTCCATTACCGCCAATCCCCACGTAATTTTCCGACGACAAGTTGCCAACATGGGCGGATTCTTAGGGCCAGGATGTACTCCATCCCGACATAAAAGGCGCTACAAAGACAGTAGAGGTGCGCGACTTACCCCAATAGGTCCCTTCGAACCTCTCTATGCGATCCGTATCCATCGCTCGTCTTCCTTTACCGCACTCTCCATCGTAATGCTGACGAATGTTCATTCAACAGAGATCAAACATCCTGAAAGAAGTCCAAATAATGCGACAATTGAACCACCCGAACATCGTTAAATTGATCGACTTTACCGAATCGAAGCAGTACTACTTTATCGTCCTTGAGCTGAGCCCTGGTGGTGAGCTGTTCCATCAAATCGTTCGTCTTACATACTTCAGCGAAGATTTGTCAAGACACGTCATTATTCAAGTCGCAAAAGCACTTGAGTATCTACATGAAGATGCTGGAGTCGTGCACCGGTAAGTCCATCGCTTATATCGAACTTTAACGGTGGTTTCTGGAATTGTTCATGACGTCATCGCTAGTGACATCAAACCCGAGAATCTCCTGTTCTACCCCGTGCCATTCATTCCCACCAAGAATCCGAAACCCAAGAATCCTGATGAGGAGGATAAAGAGGACGAGGGCGAGTTCATCAAAGGTGTTGGGGCTGGTGGAATCGGCGTCATCAAGATCGCCGACTTCGGTTTATCCAAGGTTATTTGGGACAGCCAAACCATGACGCCATGTGGGACCGTGGGCTATACTGCTCCTGAAATCGTCAAAGACGAACGGTACTCCAAGTCGGTTGACATGTGGGCGCTGGGCTGCGTCCTATACACCCTGCTCTGTGGATTCCCACCTTTCTACGATGAATCCATCCAGACCTTGACCGAAAAGGTTGCCAAGGGTCAGTACACCTTCCTCAGTCCCTGGTGGGATGACATTTCCGCCGGTGCGAAAGACCTCGTCCGTCACCTCCTTACCGTCGATCCGGACGAGCGGTACGATATCAAGCACTTCCTCGAGCACCCATGGATCGCTCAATCCGAAGGTCCACCATCGGCCAAAGCCCCACCAATCAGTCAACCGCTCGCTTCGGCTCCTGCGGTGGGTGCGAACCCCAATCTTGCCTACATGGATGATGGTCCAACCGGCACCAGTCGTCGGGTAGATTTCCGCTCCCCTGGTGCCATCAACCTTCGCGAAGTCTTCGATGTGGGCTATGCCGTGCACCGGCAGGAAGAAGAGGGTAAACGCCGCAAAAATTTCCGCCAGGGGTACCGCGGCGCAACGACGGCGCTCAATGCGCTTGACGAGGACGAGCAGACTGAGGACGACGAATTCGGGGTACCGGAGAGTGCGCCGTACGATCCACGCCATGATCCCGGTTCGTTGCCTGCAAAGGTGCCCAAGGGCGTTGCAGCAGGAGACGTGGCAGCGATGGAGCAGAAGATGCGGAACACCACTTTGTCGGCCGCCGCACAGGCGCGACAGGCGGCCCAGGGCGGTAATCAGCGAGCCAGGCAGCCTGCTCACGATGAGAGGGGCTACGGACAACATAGCGCGGCTGTTGCGGCGGCAGCGCGGAAACAGGTCAGGAACAAGGGGGCGTTGGAGTTGAGTCTGGACAAGGCTACGTTGTTGGGACGAAGGCAGAAGAAGGACGATTTGGGACCCAGTGGTTTACGGAGTGAGATGGTGGGTTAAAGCCGGGGTGAATGTTGGGGACGAGTGATATATGTCTTAAGCATCATGGCAGGAGAATTCTGTGGCTCGTTTTCTCTTTCCTTGATTGGCCTTGATCCTGTAATGAAATACATAGCTTTTCATGCTTGACTTCAAGGATTGAGGGTTGCTGGCATGTCCGCAATCGCTGATCGTGCCATGTGCGATGGCAGCGAGGAGTTTTGATAGCACCAGGATTTGATTCCCTCAATTAAATTTCTTGTTCCTTTCTCCCTTTACATCATTGTTTCTTAGACTGATTCTGCGATTCGCTGGTACCGCATAAATTCTATATTCATTTCCTCTCATAGTTTACTTTTATACGGTAATAGAGAATCCTACATCACGATATATGCTCATATCTTGCGGGTCGTCTTATCTAGTTGCCAAGTATGGAATAGCTACGTTACCAAGTATGGAATAGCTACGTTCTCACTACCAATAGAACCGCATACGCAGGCACTTCGATGCTTATTTATTAATTAGTAAGTATGACAACGGTGATGCTGGAGATTGCGGGGTTATATTCGCTGCAGCTAGTTAGCGAATCTCTCCATTTCTAACCATTTCCAACCGTGTCCCGCAATCGAGGAGACGCCCGAGGTCTGCAAGAGTGATGCAATCACTCCATGCTTGCACTCTGCCGCCATCGGCTGCCCATACCCGGACAAATACTACAGACGATGGGTATGATCATTGTTGTGACTAGTGGCTCGTAGATCGTAGGATGGCAACACTGTTAAAGGAAGACAGCAGCAGTTCTGCCTTTTCACCGACTTTGTCCCAACATTCCTCACTCCAAAGTCCAAGTTGATCTAAAATCGAAGAAGAAACATAGCTGCAACCATGAAGGAAGCCGTCGTCTCCAAGGGACCTAAAGTCCAGATCATCGACTCTCCATTCCCCTCCCCAGGAGCAGACCAGGTGGTCATCAAGGTGATTGTCAGCGGTTCGAACCCGAAGGACTGGTTTGTTACTCCTTCTCTCATCTTATTCATCGACTACCCCGGACTCGTCCCCATTTCTCTTCGCATCATAAAGAACTTCTAGAGATCATGCTAACGTATCTCGTGCGCACAGGAAAGTGCCCAACTTCGTTGACTACGCTTCCAATCAAGGTGACGACATCGCGGGCATCGTGCACGCAGTTGGCGACAATGTTACCGAGTTCAAGGCTGGCGATCGCGTCGCTGCTTTCCATGAGATGATGTCACCACATGGGAGCTACGCGGAATATGCGGTTGCGTGGCAGCATACCACGTTCCACATCCCAAAGACGACGACGTTTGAGGGTGAGCTACCATCCCTCTCCATTTCCGCTGAGGCGGACGCTGGAATGCTGTCGAGATCAATCTGCTAACTGCGCCTCTCCAACGAACAGAAGCGTCAACTCTCCCCCTCGCTGCCATGACCGCGGCCGTCGGCCTGTACCAGCGCCTGGGACTCCCCGTTCCATGGCGCCCGGCGACCGCTCCGACTCCGCTGGTCATCTACGGCGCTGCCTCCGCCGTTGGTGCCTTCACCCTTCAGTTCGCGCTCAAGTCGAACATTCACCCGCTGATCTGCGTGGCCGGACGCGGCGCATCATTCGTCGAGTCGCTCATCGACCGCAGCAAGGGCGACACGGTCGTCGACTACCGGTCCGGCGACGAGGCAGTCGTGAAGGGCATCCGCGACGCACTGCAGGGCCAGAAGCTTCAGTACGCGTATGACGCGGTGAGCGAGCATGGCAGCTACCAGAACCTCGGCCAGGTACTGGAGCCGAATGGGAAGATCACGTTAGTGTTGATGGGAAAGAAATTCGAGGGGATTCCCGCGACCGTGGAGCAGAGCATCACGAAAGTGGCGGTGGTGCATAATGAAGAGAAGGACTTTGGATACGTGTTCTTCAGGTTGATTGGGAAGGGATTGGCGGACGGCTGGTTCAAGCCACATCCACATGAGGTCAGAAAGGGTGGACTGGCGGGCATTGAAGGCGCTTTGACTGATTTGTTGGATGGCAAGGCGAGTGCGGTGAAGTATGTGTTTAGAATTGCAGACACCGAGGGACTGGAGAAGTCGAGTCTGTGAGGGGATAGACAGGCACGAGGCTCTCTATTAGGTCTAATACACCGAGTACCATAGCTACAAAATCTAGCTACCGGAAATATGCATCCTGACGAGGTCGTTTGACCCCTTTTCCTTCAGCCGATTCCCAGTGCCGTAACCCTTGGACTCCGCTTTCCGATGGTTTGAAAACAAGTCGAGGTTCATAGTTCAAGTTATAGAAGAGACGCAGAGCCATGCTCAGCCACTTTTTTGCACATCGGCACATCTCCTTTGGTCATTTCGGCGATGACGCGAGGATCTGGATTCTTCAGCATGACGTGGAAGTGTTCCACGGACTTGATGGATTTCAGGGCTCGCCAATTCCGAAACCAAATGCGCTGTTCCAAGACAGTCAGCAGATCCTTCTTCTACAATCCGCACATGTATATCCATGTACGAAATCCAACCTTACCTCCGACTGGTCCACCATGGTAAATGTCGAGTTCATGTAGTCTTCAATCTCCTCTTTTGACTTCTCTGTGAGCAACCCTGTATCAGGGTCCTCCGGTAGAGCAAATTTCGTCCAGACCACCAGGTGAACAATCTTTTCGTGGATGAGATACGGCCAATCGTTGTACAGAACCTTGATGTCTTCCGGCCTTCGGAACGGCGTGAGGTTGGGATCGAGGTCTTCGGGTGACCATCCGAGGCGCTTCTTGCGGATGAATTCGGCAACGGATCCGTACTTCGCTTTCAGCTCGTGCATATAGTGCTTGTATCTCCGGTGATCAGATGGTTTGCGCCGAAAGTCATCTATACGGCTGGAATCTGGTCAATGTTACTGATGGTATCATAACTCGGCCATGCATGCTGCCGTACGAACGATCTTTTTGATGGCATCCCAGCCTAGCGGTTCAAGCGCAGAGTCCGGCATCCCAAGGATCATTTTTTCTCTTTCTGTGCAGCGCTGGAGATATTCCGGACATCCTTCCGTCCATTCTTCTTCCGGTAAGTTGACATTCCAGAAAGGGACCTGTTGCTGGCCCATGTTGAGTGTTGAACGGATCTTTTGCAGGCAAGGAGAGATCGGAAAAGGCAGGATGTGTTAGATATGGTATGAAAAGTCTATGGGGCCTATTCGAAAATTATCGAAAAACTTCGTCTGCAAAGCAGCAAGCGCTGCCGTTACTAAACGCTCGGGAATGGAAGCGGCAAGATCTAGTGAAGAGCAAACGGAAGACGGTAGTTAAGGCATTGATCTCCTGCATTCTCCGTTATGAGAGGTTTGCCCACAAGGTGATGATGATAATCGTGAATCAATCATATCATGACACAATATCAACAAACATTAGAGGGGCCAGGAAATGCGATTTGCCATATGTAGGGTATTAAGTACCGAGTAAGTGAGTTGATAATAGTGGTCTGACCCGCCAACCTGGAAGAATGCTAACTTACACAGTACTCCTAGAAAACTCGCTCCACTGATATGGACTGCATTTAATATATATTATCGGACAACGCGATGGCGAGGTTCACTTCGTCCTGATCCTAAGGCGCTGGGGTTCCTCGCCTTGTCATTGTCAAGGACTTCATGAGCCCTACACTGATATCGAGAACATTTGGGAGACGAACCAACCATTCGCTCCGTCTTTTCGCAGAGAGTCAACCTCAAGCTCGGAGAGAAGCCATCAGCAATCAAGACAGGGATCCAGCAGGACGGCATACATAGTGCATGATTAATGATACACAGGCAAGGGATGGAGGTATACACCCAGCCACCAGGAAAGCTTCACTTCCCGGTACCAGGAGCCCAGAACTGTGGGTACTATCGCCAGCTGGAACTCCTAGGCGTCATCAAATGCGAAATTCAATATCAAATTAAACCCTTCTCCAATGAGAAGTTACAACGCTGGTCCAATTCATATTACACATTACAGGCTGTGGAACGGGAGTACTACTAAGTTAGCACCTAAATATTAGTTAACTAAAGTTAAGTTAAGTTAACTAACTTAGTAACTAAGTTAACTTAGTTAACTATGGATTTAACCTTCATCATTTACGGGCTTCATCACCCCCAGCGGGATCTGTTTGATTACCCGCAGGACGCAGGCCGAAACCCCTGGTCCAACTCAACGCCCAACGGGAGCCACATCCTGATCAATGAGCCGCAAGGGTCTTCGTTTGGTTCGTTGGCCTTTCCCCCTCCTTAATTTTAAACATCTCCTTCGCCAGTGCCCTGGTGCTACCATTTACCTTTCTCCATGATAATGGGATCTCGTGTGACGATGGGTTTGAAGTTTGAATGGTCCCATCCAACAATGTTACCCTCTAGGTATATGACCATTAGAGCGTCCAGTGAGTGCTCTGTGCCAACATTTATAAAGGATCTGGCTGAGCTGGTATGGTTCGGCTGGTGACAACTTCCTGGTCGTCAGACAGGTTACAACTTACAAGCGCACCCACAAAACGACCAATGGTGAGAAACAGCCCTGAATAGGAGTGGGATTCTTGTCCTTGTATTTCGGTGAGCAGATAGACAAATCCTTTGGTCCCCAAGTGGATGAAACGGACGAGACATGCATAGTACTACGTAGATCTTGGTCATGCCGCCAACCTTCCCGCTTGTTCCTCCTGGACATTTCCTTCTCTGGTTGCTTGTTTTCGATCGTTGTCCTCTTCATTAAAGTCTTCTTCGCCGGGCGGGGTCATTCACTGTCTTATTATGTGCCTATATGGCAAGCCATAGTTGACCTCAGTTCGTTCTTGATCCTTCATGCTACTGTCACTGCCACTTCTCCTCTTTTTCTTGGTACCGGAACTTTGATAGTTGCGATCTCATCACTCTTCATTCACTGCAATCGAGTGTTTCCAGGGTCTTAATCGCAAGCGATAAGATTGAAGAATTCATACTTCGGTTACATTGACCTTTGCACATACATTGCTTTCCCCATATCCGATCGAACGCTGGCTTCATTCGCTCGCAGCGTCCTGATCAGCAAGGGCTCCATTCTACAAGCCACGATTGGAAACATTCCCAAAGATAAAGGCATTCAATTTGTCCACGATAATTCAGGAAAATATTTGAGGTTAAGAAGCTCTACGGTCCTACGGAGTACATTCCTCCAACATTTTGGGTTTAACTCCATATCAACGTAACCCTAGACACCCATCGTCACCACCTCACTACCCGGCCCCTTGTTAATGTTATTCTGCGACATCTTCACAACATCGGGCCCTAACTTAAAGAACCCTTACCACCCAGCACCCTTAAAGTGCACAATCCCTACATTCATCGCTTGCGAATACACGACCTTGCACTCCATCATCTTTACTGGCCTCCAAAGCAACGATGGCGGCAATCCGGGATCCTGCCTTCTGGCATCGCTTCTCCATAGCCGTACACAACGATGAAGCACACAGCTCGAACAACACCAGACCAGAGCTCAAGCACTCGTATGTCCTTCAACCATCAAATCCATGTAAAATAGGCTTTGGATTCGCTAACACCACCGGCAGAGACTCTTGGCTCGAACGGCAACAGCAGAAACGATCGCGCCGCACGTGTATCTGTTGGATCTTTTGGTTCTGCTTCCTTGTCTTCGTAGCTGCACTGGTCATTACCATCATCTGGCTGAAGACTTCGGGCAAATTGGACCATCTCAAATCCCCTTTAGCACCACGAAGTGGGTCGAATACGATGTAGAGTGAGACTGAGAGCTGGTAGTCTTAGGATGGGAATGGCAATGTGGATGGAGAAATGCATGCGTGGCTGCAGGGACGACAGAAATGATACCCACACACTTTCCTTTATTTGAGTGATAGTCCATTCCGGACTCGGCCTCGGGTTACTTTGGATAAGATGCATTGCTGGTGGAGTTTGGTCGCAGATGCAGCGATTTCGAGTTCCTTCACAGTAGCATTGAGTTACTTCAAGGCAGCCGAAAGCATATTTTTTCCCCCTCCACTACCATTGTTGAGCCGCATCTATGAGCCCATGGGGGACCAAGGCTCTAGGGACCAGGGCTCGCAGGCAGAGCCCTTCCAAAAGATATGGAAGTAGGACACTGAGTAGGGCTCACTGTCCGGATTGTTTCCCCCCAGTTTCTGGTTTTGGATCCAATCCAGCCCTCTTGAAGCCACGAGATTGAGCTTTGACAATGTCCTTTTCAAAAGATATAAGAAAAAAAGATTATAATAGCATCTTTGGTGTGCGATGAGTGCTGCAGATGTGATCCCCAAACGTATAATTATCGTGGTGCTGAGAAGGTAAGGATTGGCCTGCCTTAAGCTCATAGAAGCTTTTTCAAGCGAGAGGTCTGGACGCATGCTCTTTGCTCTGTGACTCTGATACTACTGTTGTGTCACTTGTGCCTGGATTGATTGAAGTCCTAAAGCTCAGTGCACACGCTGTCGTGTCACCACGTTGCGCCTCAGCACCCCCTGTTATTTGACGACACAAATCAATATAAACAGTCGGTCTCGAGTGATCAGTGGGTTTCACATCGCTCCTCACGCTTGTTTAGTTTCTCAATATTGGCTATGTGCCTTCGCGTGATATTTATAGTGATACATAAGCTGCCTAACGGTATATCCAATCCCTATATGCCTTCCGCCTGTATCCTTTGTGGGTATCAATTATACACGGTACTCAAGTTCATGCCCAGCTAACACCTCCCTAGATGCTTGTATGCATAGATGCCACGGATCTGTTGACAATGTCGTCCCTGCCCCTCTCCGACTTCTGTCGTGCTGACCGTGCGCGGCGACATAAGCCCCGCGTGACTCTTCTCTTGCCTTCATGCATTTTCTGTCATTTTAAGACAGACACGGCGCATGCGGTCCAAATGTGCACCAGTTCGCTCGAGTTCGAAGACCCGTCGCCTCCTCAGAAATAACCGCCTGCTAGTTGCAGGGAAACGGCACAATGTTCGACGGCTCGACGGGCTTTGGCCTACCCTTTGATAAAGCACACGCTCTCTAGCCATCTCGCAAACATAACGCAGTAAACATCGACGCCTCTCCAAAACACATCCCCAGCCCAGATCACTACTGGGATGATGAAAACGCTTGAGAGCAAGAAGCCTCCGATATACTGGCCTTGTGTTTCCCAGCCAGTGACATGCCACGCCCATTCCTGGACGACGTAGCCTACCACATGCAAGACAGGCCCGTGCATTAGATACAGCGCATAGCTAATCTTCCCGAGGTACTGAATGGCAGGATGGTTGAATGGTCGCTGCAGTGGCGGACATATGGAAAGAGCAAAGACGAATAAGATGCCTCCAATGGATTGCCAGAACCGGTATTTTATGGTAAAATATTCGGGGATTAAGGAGGCTAACGTCACCCATCCAGGAGTCTCCTCAGCGGAGTCGTCAGGCTGGGATAGGAGGTAAAGCGCTACGAACGCGAGAATATGTCCAAATATAAGGGTTGCTTGACTTGTCGAACGTTCGGAGGAACCATCGTCTCGCGATCGTGCCGACTTTTCGTAGGATGGCGGCATATCGGATTGCGTCGAATTGGGAGCAACATCGGTGGAGGTAGAAGGGGAGCGGGATCGGGATTCGGCTCGGATCAAGTCGAATTCGGCGATCATTGTACCGGAAATGAAGAGCATCATGTCCCAACGATCCCATCGGAGAAAGTAGTAGAAAAGCGTGAAATACAACACCTGACGGACCCAGGCGCGCGTCCGGCTCACTCCGATCAAGACGAGGAACAACACCATCGAGGCACGAAACTCCACCGGGATGGTCCACAAATGCAGATCGTAACTGATGGAGCCACCGAACGGTTCCCAGGACCATATGTGTACGAAGTCGAACAGCTTCCATCCCCAGTCGTAATACTGATCTGCGAATGTCGGTAGTCGGGCAGGATGGTGCTCCACGATATTACGCATAAACGTGCGGTCCCCGGAGAACTCACGAGTCCGCTCATACCAGCCTAGCCGCAGCATTATGACTACCATGAAGGTACTGATGGCTGTCGGGAGGAAAAGGCGAGCGGCTCGGCGGAAAATGCTCGAAGCCATGGTGTTGAGGAGGCCGGAGAAGTTCCGGGCTCGCATCTGCTTGAGCGACTTCAGGGAGAGAGCGTACCCGGATACGACGAAGAAGAGGCACACCATGGGCGGTCCGGAGTAGAAGAGGCGGATTATAGGGAGCTGGAGGAGGTTCTGGTTCTCGCCTTCGGCGCCGTGGCCGTAGCCGCGCGTGATGACGAAGCTGGTGTAGGAAAAATGACAGAAGAAGACGAAGAGCGCCGCAAGGCCGCGTATGCCATCGAGATATGATGTCGGGTATAACTTCTCCGGTTTCGAGGGTTCGTGGAGGAGACGCTTTTGGACGAAGGAGGGAAGGAGCCAAAAGGCGATGCGGAAGAGGAAGCCACATATTGAGGGCAACGAGATGACTTTAAGATGTGCGGCGAGCATTCGGAAGGGGGAGACACGGTCGCACTGGATATCGGTGCCGTTCTTCTCCAGGTCTCTGGCCGCTCTCTCGTGGATTAAAGAGGGGGATTCCTGGGCCGAATCTGAGCGGATATGGGGTTTATGATGTGTCATCTTTGCGAAGATGGCGCAGAGCGAATGGGCCTAACCAGGCCGAAGGATAGGTTAACGATGGACAAGGCCAAGTTAAAGAATGAGGATATCAGCTCATTGTCAGTTGAGATGTCTTCTCGTTGGTTGATTCAACGACAATACGGCAGTTCGTCCGCTGACGGGTCAATCAAGACACGTCGGACGGGAATCGTAGTGGGTATCACGAGGAGCGAGAGATTAATACAAAAAAGGCCAGCCTGAATATAAACACAAGAAACAGAGCGGAGAAACGTCAACTCGCAGCACTTCGCTGTTCAAACGAGAGTTGATTCCGAACAGTGGAATCGTTGAGACTTGAAAATGAAATGCATCGGAAATGTAACCGAAGCGCGTTGGATTCAAGGGTCTGATGGGACTCCAAGCTTCGACGTCGGAGTGTGGAGCGGCTCTGGTTCTCAGGGACAGTCCCTTGGTCCTTTTTCCGTCCTCGTGAGACATGAATACTAGCGACTGACTAAAGAGTAAAGACGGACTAACACTGCGATGATCAGTGGCATATCTTGGTGTATTATTACACGGGACGAGTTAGACCCAGAGCGGGAAAAGACGTAGTGGGGCATTTTATGGGGAACCAGTAGCAACTAATAGCAAGGCTGTATTCCGTTAACCTGTATGGAGTAACCTGTGGGCTATGAGGCTGTAATTACACAGTATTTCGTAGAGGAATTCAATAATACAGAATAACTACTGTAACCGAAGTCAGCAATACAAAATAATGTGGGGAGGAGGTCAGCCGATTTTAAGGGGTTGAGAATTGAGCCGGCCCTAATTGGAGCACAATGACTTGCTATTCGGCTGCCTCCAATCAATTGGGCCAACCCCAGACGCCACTAAGATAGCAGAGAAGATGTTAGATAGCGACATCGCGTTGACCGAACCGTACGGAATACATTGTAGAACTTTGGAACTTTTCGATATGAATCTCGAGAATTATTAATAGCAGGTTTTGCTGCGAGAGAGCGAAGAGCGTGAGAGGTCTCCGTGGTTGACTCTTCGGTTGCTTGCAGCAATCAATCGGAACCCCCTTGCTGTCAATATGGTGCGGCAATAATTTATTTTTCGGCTTGAGGGCGGGTTGCCGGGGCCATAAGTTCGGGGAGATGTCATTTGGCAGGGAGATCATGGTTGGAGTAGAGTACAAATATTAGTACTTAGGAGTACTTAGTTAGTTAATTAACTTAACTTACCTGAAGTGGTAACTACTAATAGATAGTACTAGGAATGTATACACTTCACTTTGCAGGTCAGGAATTAACGGATAAAGTATCCTCTACTCAAGTACAACACACTGTGCGTTTATTTGGGAGGATCCATCAATGCCACATCCATACCTCACACGATCGACCCATCCTTCAGACGCCGATACCTCGACATGAAGGGTGCCGTGGTGCCTCGGAACTTGTATACCATGGCCAGAGACAGACTCGAGTGGAGAGCATGGGAAAGATCGGTGCCTCGATAGGAGTATAAATGGCAATCGTGGTTGGGTTTGGACAAATACAAGCCTCTAAACGTAAGGGTATCTTGCCTGAACTCGTCGTTACAACAAAATTGCGCCTTTCCGTCCATCTCCCAGGGAATAAAACCGAAAGTAAACATTTGCTCCAGAGTCGTTGATGTTCGTGTATCGTATCAACCAAACCAGCTAGGCGCTTCTGTTCTCGCCAACCTCCACGCGGCTTGCGCGAAAGAGCTTCGCACACCCCATGCAGGGTTTACTTGTTCGTAAAGCCGTGCGAAACTCGCGAGCAATCTTGGAATCTCCTCTCGACACATCTGTACATCAGCTGGCATAGCATGTGATTTGATCACCGTGCCTGGTGGCCCAACAGCGTTCGGATATCTTGCCGACGAAGGGCCGTCCATGGTACTCCGGCTGGCAGAAGATTCTGCTGTGCTATTTGGGGATTCAGCAAGGGCGGCGATGACCCTCACTGCCGCCGCCCCGTCTTTCCCTTCGGAAACCTCAGCGGCTATCTTACCGACGGGAAGCACAAGATTTCGGGTCGGTGCGGACAAGGGCCATTGAGATGCCTTTGCATCACTGGTGAACTGCCAGTGCCTGCCCAGGACTTGTCCTTGATCCAGGCTCGGAGATGTCAAGTGGTCCGGCGGGCCTGAGGTATTCTCTCGTTTCTTTCCGAGTGACCACGACCATACGACTGCCCCGGAATGATGGAGTCCTATGAACGCCATGAGGTTCAGTTTGGCACGCTGGTGGGTGGGTCGAGTCAGTTCTTTAGCGATAATAGCCCAAATCTGACAGGCATGCTCGACAGCGATCTCTGCCTGGCCTGACGCCAACCACATAGATAGCGCTGCAAGGAGCTCGCCGTCAGGGGAGCGGGCCGGGTGTCCATGCCCGGTTGACGATAGTCCTGCCCCTGACGGTTGACGGCTGCGTGGAGCGGAGCCATCGGGCATCCTGCCACCACCCTCGCGATCCTCGAGGCTGTAGCAGATCTGATGAAGGCTCTCAATTGGCGCATTTAAGCGGATGTATGTGAGGTGGTACAAGAGGAGACTAACAACAACTTTGTCTCGGAACCGCTCCTGTTGCACAGGGTCCTGTGATACAACAACAAAAGATCGCTCCCATTTGGTTAGAGCAGCAAATAATCGATCAGATGAAGATCGAAGATCACCCATTGTACGCCTCGAGTAACCTATCGGCTCATCATGGATGTATGGAGTGTTCGGGGGGCGTTCGCTCCGCTGGAATGAATGTGCGTCGCTGCTGTATGGAATGGAGGAATCGAGTTGCCGAGTAGGAGCGCTCAACTGTGGCCTGAGACCGCCTGGTATGACAGCAGGCACACCCGTGAGCCTAGAGACCGCCGATGGATCATGGCAGTACTCCCATATGTCCTCATTCAGAGACCAGATGAGAATTTCATGTTGCGGTAGCGAAAGAGCAGGAAGGGGTTCTTCTCGGTCCAAGGCAATCCGCAGAAGGTCGGAGAACAATAGCTTATGTCTGAGTGCGTTCGGATCATGGATGGTGCTATTGATGTGTTCATCCATTCGATTGATAATGTCCGGATTGAAGACATATTCGTCAACCTCGACTTCCATCTCTGAATGCGACATAAAAGGCCGAGTATTGAGCAGTACGCTCAGATAGATATCCGCCCGATAGATGCCGTAAGCAAGTCGGACTTTGGATTCTAATGTGATCCATATCTTGCGCCGCTGTTCAATACTTTGAGCCCTGCGCATGGCTTCAATGTGTTTCCGTCGATAGCGGCGGGCGGAAAATAGATTCATTCGTCGCGATTGCGTGAACAGAATACACCCAATATGTTGTGCAGCCGAAAATGCACGTCGGTGTCCGAAGTACACTGCGGCCAGCTGCGTGAGAACAAGAGCCTGCACTAGCCAAAGAGGCTCTGGTTCGCTTTCCGCAAACTGGGCTGGATTAGCAGTAAGCACTCCACGGAGGGCTTCGTGTAAGAGAGCACCGCATGTAGCTCCTTGATTGCCATCATACATGCCTCCAATGGAGGCCAGAGTGAGGTAGATGATCGGGTGTAGCGTATTGAAATCAATCTTATGGGGATTGACAATCAAAACCCAGAGTAGATGAAAGTGCGCGAAGTAAAGGTCGATAAACCGATGCAATGTGAACGGTCCTTCTCTGGACGTTACACCAGGGAAGAAGGCTTCATCGACGCGGGCGGAAATCATACGCCAGAACTCGCCATGATTGGCGTCATGCACAGCAGAATTGATACCAACTTTCTTCGCGTAATCGACCATGTCCCTGACAACATCACTTTGGGAACTAGATGCCTGGGCAACCTTCAGGATCGCATCGACTCCGTGATGATCGAGCTTGTCGCGAGGTCCATGAGTAAACGGTGCTATTCGTCGATCAGCCTAAGCAAGTATTTCCACAGAATTCAACTTACAGCCTCGGGCTTGGTTGGGATGTGCCGGTCCTGGGACATCGGGAAAGTTTGACTGATTCTGAACAGCTTGGGCGGTATTGGACCACCCGATTGTGGTCGGAGGGGATGGTAACTGCATGACCGGCGCTGCTGCGTGATCCATACTCATTGAACCCGGTTGCGGTAGTGCGTTGGGAGGGAAACGTTGCTGGGAGTATTCGGTCAACCATACCGAAGAGGGGTTTGTCTGGAGAAACATGTCTTCATGCATCCATTGCCAGTGTGGGGTTTCAAGGGACGATTCAATCAGTGTGGCTTCGTCGAAACCACCGTTGTAGCCGCCCACAGTCTGCTGACCGTTCAACGCTGATGAGTTCACCAGCTGCTCTGATGCGATCGCGTGGGTATCGACTCGACGATCCACAGTTTTCATAGGCGCTTCCACATCCGGGACGTAACTTTGCTCTTGGATAGGAATTTGCTGCCAAGTTGAGGAAGACACTCCGTGAGGCTCTAGCTGCGGCAGGATCCGTGGGTCTGCACCTGACGGGACGGGTACGGTATCATCGCCTGGAATTCCTCTATAATTCGGTGATGACTCGGCGTCAGCACTTAGAAGTGGCTTATGGCTTAATCGAAGGGTATTGTGATCGTATTCGCATTCCTTTTCGGCCGCTCTGCATGTCGAGCACGGCTGCTCGCCGTCACACTTTGACCGCGCTTTTCGACACAATTGACAAGCGGTATGACATCTCCGTCTCTTTCTGAGGTTCGCGTCCGGGTTCGCAGGCTCCCCTAGAGTCTTCGAACCCGTATGGATCTTCCGGTGACGAAGGAGAATGTCCCGTCGCCGGAACTTGACCCCGCAAAGGTCACATTCATGATCCGCTTCGCGATGATTGTGGACATGTCGTGCCAGGGAGTTCTTCGTCGGGTAGGAGCGGTCGCAATCACTGTGAGGGCAAGGGAAACTTTGCATACCGTTCTCGCTCCTCGAGCAACGAGTATACAGCGATGTATTTCAAAGAACCTCAAGGGGTTGCATTCGTTAAGAGGGGAAACGAAGACGCCCCAACCAGCGAAAGGTGCAGTCACGATTCTCGATATCGGTATTGCGAGGGGAGCATTCGGCTGTCAATCTGGAATATGGGGTAAAATGAGTCATTCGAGGCCGAACATGGTTAACTCGCTAAATACCGTATGAAGCCCTGAGCTGTTAGGGAAGGTCTCCAAATCATGTTCGAGAGGAGAGATTTCTGTTGACGGCTTGACTCCCAGGGCCAAGAGCGGTAGAAATACGAAGGACCTCTGCTTCTGCTCGAGACCCGAGCTTGATTGAGAACTCGACTCCCAGAACATACTGCTCTGTCCTCGCATTTTTGATGCTTCAACTGTACTTTGACCAACTACTGGTATGATTAAAATATCTTCAGGATTCGCTCGCTTTCGTTTTAAGCAGTCTGCGTTGTCGTCTAGTTGCCACTGTATCCGGGTTAGTACCATGGTTCCTTAATCCACCTTATCCAGCATTCCTTCGACCCAAGGCTCATGCCATGCTTATCCCTCAATACTGGTAATCAGGATTCGCATCTCATCCTACAGATATTCGACTTGCTAGTGATAGCGGTGCGTTTAGATGATCATTCATAATGCGAGACACGTACCATACTATCCCTATGTCGATCATTATCTGAATATTAACTTATTGAAACCATGTGAGCGATGGCAGAAAGGATCACTGCAGCGAATGCGTCCATAGTGAACTGTGCCCGGTAGCTGTGAGACTATCCATCAACAGGAGTTTTGTATTCATCTCATCGTATTTTGGTAAAACATCCCCGCGTATAGACAATGTAACGCTGGATGAAATTCGTGACCCCGAGAGCAGCCCATGCACAAGTACTTACACCTTGTCGAGGCGGACGGCAGCGTTATTCTCAACAAAGCCCAGGTCGACTTTGTGTCCTAGCAAGTCTCTGATGTTGGACACGCCATATCGGATCATGGTCGGCCTCTCCAAACTCAGCCCAAAGCCGTATACGCGCAAATCTTTCGGCAACCCCATGGGCTCCAGCATCTCCGGGCGGAACATGCCCGAGTTGCCAATCTCTACCCACTTCTTCAAACCCAAATGATATCCGAATATTTCCATGCTCGGCTCGGTGTAGGGGTTATAGGCGGGCTTGAATCGTAGATCCTTGAGGCCCAATTTGCCGAAGAAATCTTCCAGGAAGCGCATTAATCCACCTAGGGTCAAGCCAAAGTCGGCAATGACACCCTCCACTTGGTGAAATTCTGCCAGATGGGTTGCATCGACCGTCTCGTTTCGGAACACTCGGTCGATACTGAAGTAACGAGCTGGACGAGGGTCCTCAGCTAGCCGATGCAAACACCAGGCGGAGACCGCGGTGGTATGGGTGCGCAACACAAGCCGTAGACATTCGTCCTCTGACCACTTGTATCGATAGCCAATGGAGCCGAATTTCCCGTCCTCATGGACCGCGCGCACGTCATCCCAATATTGTTGATAGTCGCGGGGTTTGGGTTTCGGTTTCTCCGGAGTCTCATAGAGCTTCCGGGCACTCGCCTCCATAGCAATCATGGCTTCTTCGGCCGCAGGGTTATCTCGCGGTCGATCAGCGGTCGGTGGATCCGAGATGAAGAAAGTGTCTTGGACGTCACGGGCGGGGTGCTGCTGAGGGACATATAGAGCGTCGAAGTTCCAGAACCCGGTGTCAACATAACTGAAATATCAAAGTTAGCTTTGGCCAGTGACGGCTTGCCGCTCCGACAAATGGAGAGAGTCAACCATACCAGCTTGTTGGCATCTCTACGAAACCCTGATTGAAGAAGATGTTTCGGAATTCCGCCCTCACTTTGTTCAAGGGGTGTAGAGCTCCGGCGTTTTGTGCAGCGCCCAACGCCTTGAAGTTGTACGGTTTGAAGTTGGCAGACTGCCATGAGCCATCTGCAATCATCTCTGCCGTGAGGTCGGTGACTTCCACAGGTACCTCTGTCGCAAACTTCGGCCCTTTCCGAACCGTATATGTTATCGATTTGCCGACCGTCACCAGCTTTCTCTTCTTGAGATCGGCCAGCGTTTTGGCATCGTGCAAGGCTTTCGTCGCTTGGATTTGTTGTAGGACCCCTCGAGCCTTATCTTCCACCTCCTGAGCGACCAAGACCAGGTACTCGCCATCCTTCTTGATCCATTTATTCCTGAAGGCGTTCCCCTGGCCTACTTTGGCGGATTCGGCTCCCACTTCGCTCTAGACAATCGTTAGCAGACACCTCAATAGAGCGAGATCTCCAGTTCCATGTCATCCAATTCGACTTACGGGGAGGTCTTTGATTGTGATTTTGCCCTTTCTTCGCACCGCCTCCCACACTTTGAACTCAGGGCTGCCTTCGGCGCAAATGGTTCTGGCCTCATCGGTGAGAAAGACAAGCTCCGTATCATTGGTATCATACTGGACCATGTCTCTTGACCCTAGCCTGTCTAGAGCGGCCTTGATCTCGACTTGTGGAACATCCGGGAACTCGGCGCCTGTTTCGAAGGACGATTTCTTGTCGAGGACGTCTAGGACTTCTTGCGTTATATTGCGCGGTCCATCTCGCAATGGTAGCGCTACCGGGCCTCGAGTGCCTGGCATGGTTGGAAAATCTCTCTATCTTCCAATGAAGCCGAATTAAAAGGTGATTGAAGGAGTAGAAGAGAATTGTGGTGGATGTGCCGTGGTGTGCAAGAATCCTGCGAGAAGCGATGAGTCGAAAGAGAGTGATCATAATAATATCAGTCACATCGTCAATCTAAAAATTCGGCGGTTTAAGCTCCGACTTTCACTTCCACCACCTCCGCAACCCTTTCACGCATTTCCTCCCACGCAAAATTCCTTTTCGCGCAACCACCGATCACTTATGAGACTGTTCCTATTTCTTCGGCCGATTCGCCACTATTCCAGGACTGCCTCGCTATTAATCGCTTTTCTAGACGTCCCATTCCCATCCAAATGATCGACAGGTAGCAAACACTTCCACCCCACCATCGATCGCCATGGGAGAACCATCCGCAGCGGCGGGCGCGCTTTACGATGCCTGTATGGAAGCCGAAGAACCAGGCCATTACTTTTATCAGGATGATCTTTTGGGCCTTGGCCTCACCACCAATGTCGAAGCCCTTCAGAAGCTTTGCTCGGAGCTTACGAGAACCCAACGATTTCGAATATATACATCCGAAGGCCGACCATGCTGGAGATCGAGAGGAGAGAGGGAGGCACGCAAGTCGGTCTTCCAAGATTCACGCCTCATGTAGCCTATGCTGACCACCCCTTTCATTAGGCTTGTCCTTCTCGCCGACAGCGACCGCATGGTCTACGAGTGCATTGAAGCAGCGGGGAGGAATGGGATCTGGGCCAAAACGATCAAGTCCAAGACGAACCTACACCAAATGGCCATGAACAAGGCATTGAAGGCCCTCGAAAATGGCTCGCTCATCAAAGAAATGAAGTCCGCAAAGACTCCTATGCGGAAAAACTACATCCTCTTCGATCTTGAGCCTTCGGAAGAGAATACTGGTGGTAGGTTTTACACGGATGGCGAAATGGACGTGTCCCTCATCGACACCATGAGCCAAATCCTCCTGTACTTCGTGAGCGCGAAGAGTTGGGCAGAGAAAGTGCCATCACCGGCCGAAAAAGCGGCTCCCGCGGTCAAGAAGCCACCGGGCAAGCGTACACGCAACGATGTAGAGGCGGACAGCAACTCGGCAGATTTTGAAATGGAAGATACTGGGCATTACGTCCCCGTTCCTTTCCGCAAAGGCAATTCGAGGCCTACCGGCTTCTGCGTCCCCCATCCGCATGGCTACGCGGGGTATCCTACGATTCCGGAGATCCTCAAGGCAGTCAGGGAATCAGGGGTCTTCACTGCGGACCTTGTCTTGTCCGAAGAGGGTATCCAACAACTGCTCGATGCGCTGGTCTACGATGGGCAACTTGAGATCATGAAAATTCCTGCCCGAACATTTGCGGCTGGCTCCATGAATACCAGCCGGGCAGGCTCCTCGATTAGCGCTGATACCGCCGGCTTATCCAATCCAGGAATATCAAAACGTCGCCGTCAAGCCGATCCCGATGAAGACCTCGAGGAGATGGCCGTCAAATCGGTTCGCAGAAGCCGTCCGACAATCGGCTACCGAACCACCCGTCCGTTATTGCGCCCGGGACCACATGGCTCGGCTTATCGAGTTGATGCACTCGGCAGTGGGTACACGGAAGCTCCATGCGGTCGGTGTCCCGTTTTCGAAATGTGCGTCAGCGGCGGTTTGGTCAGCCCGGAGACGTGTGTGTACTTCGAGAAGTGGCTGGGCCTGAAGGATGAGGATAATGAGGACGAACAACGTGTAGCGGATGGTCTTGGAGGGGAAGAGTGGGTCCCTCCGAGAAAGAAGGGGAAGGAGGGGAACAAGAGGGCGAAGATCGCGATAGGCTACGATTGATGGCCTTGATTTCCCCAGAGGTTGTCCCATGATGCTACGACGAAATCTTGAATGCGGTTCAGTATCATGCATAGCGTTGGAGTCTAGGGATGCTGCCTCGGTTTTGAGCCGTAGGGCTTGCACAATTTCGGGTTTATGGATTCCCCACGTTGGTGGAGATGTTATTGGCTCCGCTCGGATCCAGCATCATGGTCAATATGAAGAAGAGAGCAGTGGATCCTTCACTGCTTTCAGTCACATATGCTACCGACACATTTGCAACGGGATCTATATCTGCATTGATGGGAGAAGTCCGGAATCAGTTCTCCTGATTCTATAGAGCAGAACAAATCACCATTGTGCCTGACTTCCCCACCTCGAATGCCGCATCTGATCCGAATAGCAAGAGAACGCTAGATCAACTTGGAGAGGAGTAGATGTACCCAAACGGCAGTGCTCTGGGGCATCCAGCAGTAGAAGATGTCTGTTTATCGACAAACTGTGTGTCAGTTCACTCACTACTCCGTTGGAACCATTCAGGATCACTGGATAACCCAATGCCTCAATTCTCCAACAGCCAAGGCGGGGTAAAATAGCCCTCATCGATCGATGGCTGGCAAATTCGTATCTACCTCAAAGACAAGTATGACATCGGGATTTGCATATGAAAATGGTGCCATCGGGATGCATCTCAACCCCCTTTCAAACCGGTCCTTTCAAACCGGTCCTACCAGACCGAGAGGCCCGGAGTATCCGATGAGGCGAAGACCTAGCCGACTAGAGCTGTAAACAGCGAACTCTTGGTGGCGATGTTATAGTGCATTGCGTCAGCTAGAGGGTTGATGTTCGACCCTAGTGGTGGGGATCACGACATGTTCGCCTTTCGCCAATAAGAACGACGCAGAGCCCTAATAGATTCACGACTAGACCGAGTTGTCTGAATCTCTGTAAAGCGTGCACGTCTAGGTTGCGCGGGAGTAGGCATAATATTGCGTCAATCCTATACCCGTGTGTAGACCGTATTTTCTTGATTGCACAATGGGCCATCGCACGACACGGACAGCATCGAATTGCCGTGATACCATGCCGACCTCAAAATCATATTCGCTGATGCCCTGTGTACTTCGATACGTAGTTCTGCGAAGGATGAAACGGGAACGAAAGAAACTGTTCGTGTTCGGGACCATGGGTTTCTCCTGATCATCGAGGATACCTCTCTCCGTGCATGAGGTTCCTAAAGATACCTCCTTAGCACTTTGGTTATGCATTTGCGAGATGGCGTAGTAATGCATAGGAATTAAGGAAGTTAAAGGTCAAGGCTGGAGAGTCTATTTTGTGGTGAGACCGAGAGGATGTTGGATGGCCATGGGTCTAACCTGAGCTGGCTTAGTTCATAGCCAAACGGGTTTAGTGTCTCTGTATCCCACGTTCAGGAGTTAAACAGCAGCATGACGTTTCAAATTCATTTGTATTTCAAACTTTCAACCCTCACTCTTGCACTTGACTTTGCATTACTGCACTACAGAATACTTCCTCGAACACTCCCTCCGATATGTGCGGGCTAGCGGCTTCCAACTCGCAACTCGCAACCCAAAAGGCGACGGAGCATCCGAATAACGACGAGGAAGTTTACGAACGATATTGTATTATGTAGATCGTCTCAATTCTGGAAAGATGTCCAACCACGGAAAATATAATGTCCACAGGCCGATGTGTACATGAAACGCCATGAATCAACTATCTCTTGGAAATGTGGAAGACGTAATGACAACTTGCATCACTATTCATATCTCTGGGGAGGTCACTCAATTTTTCCGAAGCTTGTAAGCGCCTCGGACGCCCAACCAGGAATTCGATCAACTAGCATATAGCTTATGATCTATTCTTCTAGGTACCCATTGTCCAAGTCATCTATTTCTTGCATTGCTTCTGCTGTTTGTCGAGTATGGCGACTGCAAGTGGAATAATTGTGGGGTCTGCCTATATATCTGGGGGATCGTCGGTTTCACAGGACCCCTGCCTGGATTATTGACGACAAAATCACTCAGCGAAGAACTGGACGTTCGATGGACACAACATCAACATGAGCAAGCACATCATTTGGACTTCCCGCCCAGGAGAATCTGGTCTGGGCGTTTCCCGGCTGATGCAAGAGTCAAATGAAGTCGCCTCGATTTGACAAGGCATGATACAAGGCTTAACTTTCGGCGCATACCTGCCGTGCCCCTTTGAATCCTAGGACATCCAGCTGACTGACTAGGAGACCCCTATGTTTCCCATTGAGAATGTGTATCGTTCTATGGTCCTTGCGATGGTTGGACCGCTGGTTGTTTACACGCGAAGCGCAAGGTAGCCACCCTCAAGGTTCTAACCATGGTGTCCAGTGAGAGAAAGATTGCTTCGTTCGCGCATCACCATCACTTCCCCGCTTGATCAATTAATTCCCGATGATGATGTAGAATGGAGACACCCATGAGATACCTCCTCTTGCTTCTATAAGTACGGCCGCACCAGACGCCCCAAAACCGGTTCTACAACGACAACATCCCCTTCCTTCCACCCCGGTCACTCCTCAGTCACCGGTTGTCTTTCATTCTGCATACCTTTCATTCTTTACTTCTGTTTCTGTCACTGGCGCGAGTCTGCCATCATGACTAACTTTCTTCTTCTCGTTACCGTGCTAGCCGCGGCTGTTGCCGAGGGCGCACCGCTTGCTCAGCCTCAAACCGCTCCTTCTGGAATTCCTTCTCCCGGCGGCGCCGGCGGCGCTGGCGGCGCCGGTGGCCTGGGTGGATTAGCCGGACTCTTGGGCAAGGGCAAGGGCGGCAAAGGGAAGGGCCACGATCATGGCGGTAGCGACGGTGGCGACTGTGCCGACTCTCCCGGCGGAAGCCCAACCTCTCCCGGAGGTGCTGGCGGTGCCGGCGGAATCCCCGACCTTGGTGCAATTTTCGGCAAAGGCAAAGGCAAAGGCGGCGCTGGTTCCACCGGGATCCCCGACCTTGGTGCGATCTTCGGCAAAGGCAAGGGCGGTGCTAGCCCGACCGGCGGAATCCCCGACCTTGGTGCAATTTTCGGCAAAGGAAAGGGTGGTGCTAGCCCTACCGGAATACCTGATCTCGGTTCGCTTTTGGGCAAGGGTAAAGGTGGCGCGGGTGGTCTTGGGGGCCTCCTCAGCGGTGCTGGTGGTGCTGGCGGTGCTGGTGGTGCTGGCGGCGAGGAAGCCGGTGGCTCTGGGCTCGCTGGCCTTCTCGGCGGTGCCGGTGGTGCTGGGGGTGCCGAATCCGGCAGCTCTGGCCTTGCCGGCCTTCTCGGCGGTGCCGGTGGTGCTGGGGGTGCCGAATCCGGCAGCTCTGGTCTTGCCGGATTGCTAGGCGGTGCCGGCGGTGCTGGCGGAGAATCCGGTAGCGCCAGCGAATCCGGTGGCGCATCTAGCGAGACCACCGTCGAGCCGGCCGCCGACCCCTCTGCTACTGAAGAGAGCGGCGCGGCCTCAGATGGACACAGCCACTCCCATCGTGCTCGCGATGAAGCTGCCGTTGCTGAGCTGATTGCTCGCATGGTTGCTGAGGCCAACCCGATTGCTAAGCGTCAACTTAGTGGACTCCTCGACGGACTTGGTGGTGGTGAGAGCGGTGGGAGCGGTAAGACAAACCGAGCGCTTCTACATTGGGCATAAGACTAATCCTAAGTAGGTCTAAGCGGACTCCTAGGCGGACTCGGTGGCGGTAGTGGTGGTGGTAAGTAAACCCTCCGAACTCTTGTCTCTCATTATTAGTCTAATCCCCAAGCAGGCATCAGCGACCTTCTGTCTGGCCTTGGCGGATCAGGTGGCGGCCTCAGCGGCCTTATGTCTGGTGGTGGCCTTGGAGGATCATCAGGTGGCCTCGGAGGATCAGGTGGCGGTCTCAGCAGCCTTCTGGGTGGCCTTGGAGGATCAGGTGGCGGACTTGGCGGACTTAGCGGTGGCTCCTCTGGCGGCCTTGCTCCATCGTCGGGCGCCGATTCCAGCGGCTCTTCCACCGGCGCCGACTCTTCCACCGGCGCCGGCTCTTCCACCGGTGCCGAATCCAGCGGCTCTTCCTCTACCGACTCCTCCACTGGCTCTAGTTTGGGCGGTGGCTTGGGCGGCAGCTCCGGCTCCGGTTTGGGTGGATCAGGCGGACTCTCAGGACTTCTTGGCGGCGCTGGTGGATCTTCGGGCGGCAGCGGACTCTCGGGACTCCTCAGCGGCGCTGGTGGTGCCTCGGGCGGTAGCGGACTCTCGGGACTTCTCAGCGGCGCTGGTGGTGCCTCGGGCGGTAGCGGACTCTCCGGACTTCTCAGCGGCGCTGGTGGTGCCTCGGGCGGTAGCGGACTCTCCGGACTTCTCGGTGGCGCTGGCGGCGCTGGCGGTGCCGAAGGTGGCAGCGGACTCTCAGGCCTTTTGGGCGGCGCTGGCGGTGCCACTGGTGGAGAAAGCTCAGGCAGCTCGTCCAACAGCACCGGTTCAGCCACCGGCTCAGAGACTGGCGCAGAGACTGGCTCATCCACCGGTACTGAGACTGGCTCATCCACTGGCGCTGAGACCGGCTCATCCACTGGCGCAGAGACTGGCTCATCCACCGGCACTGAGACTGGCTCGTCCACCGGCGCTGAGACCGGCTCATCCACTGGCGCTGAGACTGGCTCATCCACTGGCGCTGAGACCGGTGCTTCAGGAAGCTCCGATGGACATTCCGCAGGTGCGGGGGGGCACAGCCACGGCTAGACTACAATCTTGGACATCACCGGTACCGCGGACACGGGTGCTCGAACAATGAAAATGTGGTGAGGAGTATTTCAATCGTACATGCCGCTGAAGTGGCCTAAAACTGTATCTTAGTCGTTGTGTTGTCGTGTGGCAAGAACCATACGTAATACAGGGGAGTAAATATCAATCATCCTTTTCCACTACTCTTCTCTCGTATTATTCTCATGTCGCTTGCCAGACATTCCCATGATCCGATCTGATGTTTGTATGTAGTCCAATTCATCACTCCTGCCGCACAGTACCGCACAATGATGCCGTGCCTTCTCCTTCCGTCAAATCAGTGAACTCAGTGTTACACTCCCCAGGACTCATCCACGAGATCCAGACTTTCTTAGTCCGAATACAGTCCGAATACAGTCCGAACACAACAGAACAGCGCCGCCGTACAAGTCCTGCTCGCACCGAGACAGTGTTGAATGACCAAAGTGATTCAACTTGGATCGTGTGGGGCCAGTTTGGGGACTCTGACGAATGGGATCATTGCTAGGTATCACTCATTAAGGACAATATGCCCCCTTCCCCACGAAAATCGTTCTCGCCATAAATACTGCACTCGCAGATGGGATAGCTAAGTCGAAGAGTCCGGAGGTATCATCTAGTCTCAAAGGATGTGTAGGAGATAGACTGAAGGCACAACTCCACGGAGAAGGGGGGACTAAGAAGGTCGTTCATGTATATGGGTAGGTATTTTACTACGACCAACTACCGGAAAGACGGAAGCTTTCCAAAGATCGCTTGAAGTGGGTTAGAAACGCACCTGCCATAATGCATGGGTGATCATAGACAAATCGTCTTAATATCCAAATATTTACAAGCGACTTCAAAATACACTTCGTCGACACTACATGCATCTTCTCGCTACCCTCAAGCCACCAATGCTTCTTTTTCGCGTTCTATACGCATAATGTTCTTCCCTCCCTCCACATAGTCAAGCCACACTATAACTTCTTCCGAATTCAATACAAGTAGGTAAATGCCGGCTAGAAACTCCGCAGATGCCAACGAGCTGAACAGTAGAGGATAGATTGCCGACAGTAGACATTAAAGTGCGCGCCGCTCCTAATTCGCCGCTGCAGACTGAGAAAACCAATTCGGATGCGCGATTCGCTACGATGGTAATATAGCCCAATTCGGTGCCCTAGACGGCCATCAGACTTCCTCCGTAAACCGACTCCCCCGACTCCCATCATGGCTAGCAAAGCTCCGCCCCAACGTGCCCCGACTATCCTCCTGCCTTACCCCCACCGACCCCGCACTACTCGCCGTCCCCGTCCGCGACGCCTCCCTTGGCACAGGCGGCGACGGGGGCGGCAAGAACGGGAACGTCCCCGGCCCGCCCGGCGAATGGTGTACCGTGGGCGTACGCGCGGGCGATGGCATCAGGGTCCCGGGGACCGAGTCCCGGCTCACAGGCGCCGTGCCGGTGGTCATGGTGGAGTCGCGCGGCAGCGCGGGGGCCAGGGCGAGGGGCGCGGGCGCGAGGATGCCGGCACCGCTGGGGAGGGAGGAGTAGGTGGCTCGGCTGTCGCGGTCGCCGGGGTAGTAGGAGCTGGAGGTCATGGTGCTGTCGTGCGGACGTAAGGCCGGGGCGAGGCTGGCCGATGAGGACGGGATGCCCATATCTTTCTTTTCCCAATCGCGGATCGCGGCGCCGGATGCGCCGATGGTTAGGCCTGCCGCGCCCATGTCTTGGATGTTGGGAAGTTGAGGCTCTTGACCAGGAGTGGCGAATGCGGAGGGTAGCTTACGCCCGCTGACTTTTTGGAAGCCTTTCTCGTCGGCGGCGGCGGCCGTAATCCCATGGTGGGGCCCGGAGAGGCGTCGAAGGGTCGCGGGAATAATGGTGTGCATGCCACTACGGCGGGATGGGTTGGAGGCATCGCGGGTGTCGGTGTCAGGGAGCGGGAGACCATTACTCTTTCTTTTATACCATCGGAGCAAGAGTAGTGCGACGACCAGAAGCAATGTAATTCCTGCCAGGCCGCCGACTACCCCTCCAACCACCACCGGAGTGGACACAGGTTTATTATCACCGTCTCCTGACCCAGCACCGTCTTCCCCAGTACCCGATGAACCAGCCCCTCCGGCCGTGTCGGTTGCCCCTGGACCAATCCCAGGGACAACCGCTGTCCCGGTTTCGGTTGCAAAATCGGACAGCGAAATGAAAGAGCTCAATGATTCAAAAGCGGAGGATGCGGTGGTCATCGAGTGACCCGAAGATGAAGATGAGGTTCGGTTAAGGTTTATGAGGAAGATGTTTGAGAGACTACTGGACGAAGATGCTACGTGAAATGTTAGACTTGACAAAGGCCTACATGTGCAAGTATCTTACTGGTAACGGTCGAATTCGCCGTCGGCGATACGATCGGGGAAGGGGACGATGAGGGTTCAGGTATAGAGGAGCTTAGAGAGTCCGTGCTGGGAATGCTGGATGATGACGAAGAAGAAGAGGAAGAAGAAGAAGAAGAGATGGGGAATTCGGAAACGGATGTTGCTGGTGGTGTTGTCAGGGGCACCTCAGGATCTGACACAGCTGGAGTGACATCAGCGGACGGAGTTGCCTCGGGGAAAGACGATGAGGTGATATCGGATGCAGGAAACGGGTATGGTGGAACTTCTGGGACCGTCAGGTCGCTAGGAAACGGAGGCACATCAGGTACTTCAGGTACCGAGGGGACTGAAGCGATTGTCGTGATGGCAGTGGTTTCGCCCGCAGCGTTGACATCGACAGAAACCAGCACCGTATTCACGACAATAACATCGGCGAGCACCTCAATCTCCTGGCGTGGGTCGAGATGATTCGAATCGTCATCCCATAACCCAGGGGGGGAGAGGTCGCGCGGCTTCATATCTTCGTCAGGGTCGGATTCGAGCTCCCTTCGAGAGAGATCGGCTAGTCGTCGATATGATCCATTGCGCGACAGTCTCTGTCGTTTTGAAGAGCGATGCATCCTCCTGCGATGAAATCAAGGGGCCTAGGCACCTCGACAGAAGAAGGTAGATGTTGAGCTGCAAGAGAAGCACAGCTCTTCGATTACAGTCCGGAAGACAGGTTTATAGAGAATCGCCGACCTCGTCGGAAATAGGAGAAGGGAAACGAGTGTATATGCCAAGCTACTCGTTGAGCGTTGGAGAAATGGGAAGCGTGGAAGTCGACCGGCACGCGGATCAATCGAACGAGAGGACGTTTGCGCGAAGCAAAAAAGAATGGACAGGATCTATGGTATCAACAGCATATGAACATGCCACTAATGATCCAAACGAACGGACGCCAGACTGCAGACTGGCAAGGAGAAATCGGACGTCAGCTGGAAGCGCAACAAGTTAGCCGCATGGTCGTATATTCGCGCTGATATATTTGAGAGCAGGGTAAAGTCAATCGCAATACGATATCTGGTTGTAGAGAAAAGCCATCGTTGTTCTGGAGTGGTGAACCCTGATCTTGTTTGGATGCGATAGTGAGAGTAAATTGAGTGAAAGAGTGGTACTCTACCGTTCAGAGCGCCAACATGGAAAAGTTTAGATGTACGATTAAAACGTTCAACGACAATGACCACGAAGCAATATTGACCCGAAGGGGTATTAATTCTTCAGCAAATTGACCGTTGCTCCAGCGGATTAATCAATTCGTCGTGAATGGAGAATAAATGATGGTAAGGACTGGTCGATCGCTTTAGGACTCTGGAATCGAATTGGACCGGACGGATGCTCGCGAAGGAATCCAGTCGACACTCGATGTAAACGAGGTACGGGATGGCAACTGAACGCAAGAATTGTCGACTCTCCACAACTCTCGCGGGCGCGAAAGCTCACGCAGCACCGTGGGCGGTGAGCTTGACGACGTCGCAGCGGAGGTCGTTGCGGACTTGCAGATGGACAAAACGTGGATCGCGAGAGATTCAACGGAGGCGAGGAAAAGGATACTCAAGGTGCATGGACACTGCGCACCGGACTGTGGACACCGGGCCACTGGGGGTGGGCCGTGGGTGGGAGGGACAGTGAGCTAGGGCGGACAGGCAGCTGACTGCAAGCAAATTAGCTCTAAGCTCACTCAGCATCCAATCCCATGATTATCAATTTCTCATCCTCTCGTGGCGGACGGGCATTATGAACGGATGATTGTGTCCATTGCCCATCCCAGGAGCGTCATGGGACGAAGTCAGGCCAGTCTGGGCAACCGAGCATCAGCAACTACGTGTTGGCAATTGGCATGTTGGCGGCCAAGTTGCACGACGATGCGACTGGCGAGGGTAGGGGACCGGGATAGACTCCAATCTCAAAGGATGAATGGATTGATGGAGGAAGAGAAAGAGAATGAAATTAGCCAGACAGTGGAGAGCGGAAGTGGTGATAGACGACGGCGCTGATTGGATGAGATGCTCATTCTGGCAGACGGCGCGCGATTTGGGGTCCTTGGCATTGCTGGGGTATAACTTAATCATCCAAGTCATCCAAGTCATCCAACGCAATCGAAATAAATTGAATGACACAATTTGCCAGGTTGAGTGCTGGCTGCTGACGGATTTCCCAATGGTTCCGTATTTCCAACTTGATTGACCTAAATATTGGTGGTGAGCATCGTTAGAGAGAGTCGAGAGTGAGTAGGTACTGAACACGAAGTTGAAGTTGAACGTTGTAGTTTGTACGGCACATGCAGACAGGATTGTAGGGAGGACAGGTAAGGGACACAGCAGCGGTAGGGCCAGCACAGGCCATCAGGCTGCCCACCACTGTCCACCACTGCACCACCAGACAGTCACCACTCCACCACACAGGGTGCGATAGGGTCCGTCTCGGCCTTCATTTAACTTCATTTCCTTTTTTCCTCGCGTTCTCCCTTGGCCTCATCCAAGTCAGCAGTTCCTCATCCACTTCCATCATGCAGTCAGGATAAGATGGAATCCATCCTCCATATCTGGTCCATGGTTTCCTGCTTCAATATCAACCGCCAGGATCTCCCCTACTTGGTCGGCATGAGTCTACAACCAACATAAATTCCTTCCATCATGGCGCATGCAACTATCTGTAGTTCTGTACGTTGCCCGTGAGTATGGCCTGGGACTTGGGACTTGGGACTTGGGAGACGTCTGTGCCTTGGTGGAAGGGTTGCTGGCTTGCTGCCTTGCTGGGATGGGACCCTCAGACTAGGTATGCCTGTTGTGCTAATTCTTGCGCTTCCTCTTGCAGAAGCAAGGGAGGTCTTCGCTCTTCGGTGATGTACGTACGTATGTAGTAGTATCATGCTTTCCTTCGAAGTTCAAGTCCTGGTCATGGGGCCACTATTGGCTGTTGGACCACCCGTCTTCGGCTGCTGTGACTGCGCGAAGCCGTGACTGCACCCAGGATATCAATTCCGTTGAACTGCAAGTCTGCAGGTTCTCGGCTCGCTCAATTTCCTACAAGGCACTCAGCTAACTTAGGCTACGGAGAATTAATATGCGGCTTCCCGTCCTGCCTCTCTCCCGATACCTATTTCTTCATCCTGGTCATTGATGTCCGATCACCGGTATCCAGAGTCTAATACTAACACTTTCTCGACATCATCACTGCTGCACCCTATTGTGCTTCGTCGTTTCAGGGCTCCATGGGTATTGATGCTATGACACCGACAAACAATCTCCTCCTGGGGACCTTGGAAATCTCTCCAAGCTTTTGCGGATTCCTTGTGACACACTCCCAGCACCGGACTCATGGTTACTTACGGAAGTACAGAGGCACAGGTTCTAATAATAATACCCGAATTTCCTTTTCCAGCACTGCGGACAACGGTTAGATATCGGCTCTCCCATCAATCGTCATTCGTCACACTGTCCAGTCGGACAATATTAATAAGACATCGGAATCCTCCTAACATGCTATATGCAGATGGATTCTGATTCTCAAATAACGACCTTCTCCTCAAAGCGTTATTGATGGCATTAATTAAATTGGTTGTTGACATATCAGAGCTCTATCAGGCATCGCCCTTGCAGAGAAACTTTGACATTTCTACTATCCCTGGTTCGGGCATGCATTCCGAGGGGCTTAATTCCGCTGCCTTGGCGGGACCTGGGTGGTCAATCGAGGCTACAGGGTGATTTCATGGTCAGGTAAACTTCAGAGTAGCGATGTCGGTCGAAGCAAGTCGATGGAATCAGAAATGCTCCCATTCCACCGGTGGTACGCGATTAGGTTGCCACTTTTCCCGAATGTCGTATATTGTGCTACTGGTACGTACCTGTCCCAGCCCCATACATACGCCGTAATACAGCCGAAGTCTCGGCCCTTTCTCGACTTCACAGGGTCACGTTTTTTCTTAGTGTTTGAGCAAACTTGGTGATTGCGTCATACTCAGAGCCAAACGTAGATCCAGTGCATCGCAGAGATAGAGAGCTTCTCCGTAATAGCAACCCGACTGCAACGGTACCTATCTGATATTGAGCAAAGATGGTATTGTGCTGTTGATGATCCTCTGCTGGATTTACCAGGCTTAAAAAGCTGTCCTTGATTTACTCCTTGGTTCATGTAGTCAAGTGACAGGTGTTAGCTACCTCGCCTGTCCGGCACTTATCAACGCAACCTCAACATCACAGTTGCAACCTCGCAACAGGAATCTCTGCGCTTTCGCACAGCCACAATGTCGCTGAATTTTGCCAAATATCAAGGTTGATATCGTTCAATATCTCGATTTTGATTTAAAGAGACATTCTCTTTGATATCTAGAGTGCTGAGAATCAAGACGACATCTTCCTGTTCACTACGTTGGTTCTCGGACATGGACCAACATAGTCGGACCCCCCCTCCACTACCCTCTCGATCTGGTACAAACCACCCGAGGCCCAATTCAGAGTCGATTTCCCATCCTCACCCGTATCAGGGGACGCATTCCGAATTATGGGCTTCATCCGATCCCCGTTCATCATCACAGCAGTCTCTCCTCCCTGCCGAAACCGATCACGAGAGTCGGCGCAGGCTCCTGTTGATTTATATCCATGGCTTCATGGGCAATGAAACCAGTTTCTACAGCTTCCCTTCGCATGTGCATAATCTCGTCAGCCTGTTATTAGCGGATAGTCATGTTGTCCATACCAAGATCTATCCTAGATACAAGTCCAGAAGACAGATTCAGTTTGCTCGAGACGATTTCAGTAATTGGTACGCGCCTATACATCTCTTAAATCACTATATTGGGCACGTACTGATGCCGGTATTTGAAGGCTCGCTCCACATGAGTCTGGCTCAACCGATGTCATCCTCCTGGGTCACTCGATGGGTGGACTCCTAGCGGCAGAAGTCGTTCTCATGCCACCGGCAGATCCCACTCGAGTTGACCAGTCGCTTCAACATCGCATATTAGGGAATATTAATTGTAAGTATATCGGAACGACCCAACTAGCTCCTTCTCGTATATGGAATCTCCCTGACAATGCTCAGTTGACGTCCCCTTCCTGGGGATGCATCCCGGTGTGATAAGCGCAGGACTTGGTTCTCTCTTTCGACCAAAATATGAGAAGCCGGCAGGGTCCTTATCCCCAGAGCCTACTTCAGCGCAGGATACCCCGTCATTGTCGTCATTTTCGTCCGAAACGACGGCAGATACTATCACTACTGCCTCGTCTCATCCAACGAGGACGAATACGAACTTTTCCACAGCATCTAGCCAGTCTGACCCAAATTTCAACGCTCCTTTCTTCAACGACGTCGTCCTACCAGTTAGAAAGGGATGGGCTTCCACGTTGCACTTCATTAACAAGCATTCCGAGAATCTCTCCAAAGGCGTCCGACACTATGTTATATCCCATGCCGAATTTGGTGGTGCCATGGCGGATTACCCCGGGCTTAGACGCCGCTATGATAGGCTTCGCGGGCTGGAAGAGGAGGACGAACGGAGACGCTGTGCAGCCTTCGAAACCATCCTACCCACTCCACGAGTACGTTTCTTGAACTACTACACGGCCAGTTCGGGAAGACCAAAGCCGCAAAGTCAAAGTGCGGATGCTTCCAAATCCAACGTGGCTGCTGAAGGTCGAGAGCCTCTGGACTCTTCGCTTCATGTTCCGCCTTCGAACGATCCAGTGGCGGGATCCACCACACCACTGCAATCCCCATCTCGGAGCCCAAGGATCAGCGTTGAGGAGTATCGGGATGGAAGTTTCGCCCCCATTACGACTGAAGAGCGTCCTACTGGTCGCACAGTTGATGGATTGGACGAAGCAGCTGCATCAACTGATCAAGGCCAAGGGAAAGTAGTGGAATCTTCGCCGTCCACGCCAGAATTGATGCCAATACCACCAATGAGCATAGTCGAGCCAGACGAGACTGTATTAAACGACGGTGCTTCCGAAACTGCCCGGGAATCGAATGTTCCGGGCCGTGAGCCGGAAGCTGATTTGGATATGCTAACCCTTGAGGAATCAAGTCAAAGCAATCCGCATACAAATTCCCCAGATTCACCTTTACAAGCACAAGGAGAGGAGCAACCCACCCCTTCCACACCGACTGACCGGCCGAAGAAGCCGGCCAAGGACCGCAAGTTCTGCGTTATCCCGTCGGCAACCATAACAACGGCTCGCGATGGCACCCGCCAAAAAACACGCGATCCGACGTGGGTGCGGGTATACATGCGCGGTGTAGACGAAGTGGAAGCGCACTGTGGACTCTTCATCCCCGACTCGACGGACCAGAGCCTTCCTGCCATTGAGTCGGGAGCATTGTCGCCAGTGGGGGTGGAAGATGAACGGGAGAGCGACAGGCCAGACCGGCATTATGAGCGGTTAGTAGGCGACGTGAGCGAACGGATTGAGAGGTGGGTGAGAGAGGCTGAGGGTGAAAGGGTCGCAAGATGGATGAGTGGTTGAGGGCTCAGACGCCAATGCTTCACGTATTAGTTGACGATACCCTAGTTAATGATTCAGAACTATTATGTGTTTGAGGTCGAACCCTCTGCAAAGAACGCCCACAGATAACACCCACCCCTACATTCAAATATCGTGAAAGGTACCTAACCGCGCCTTAATACCCAACCACTCCCCATGCCGCCAACACCGCAGATAACCCCAGAATCCCCGCCCGAACCAGATTCAACGTCGCCCACCGATCCACCAGCCAATGCGTGTTCGACTCCTTCTCCATCACCACATCCATCAGACTCGCCAGCGTATCCGCCTCTTCCGCCTTCCTCGCTAACGCCCTATTCGTTGGCCCAATAACCAGAACCGTAAACGGCACAATCGAGATCATCAGCGCGGCTGCGCCCGCAAGCAACCCGAACGGCACGCAGCTACTATAGGGCGTTATGATAGAGTATTCTTCTCCCATGCACATCAGTCCCGTTCTATCATCGGAATCCATCCTCGAGCATCAAGAAAACCCACCGTGAAATGCCAGGAAGCCAAACGTCGCCGTCAACCCCACCACTAGCGGCGGGCCGATTGCGCGCCCTTTCGTCCACGCGCTCCGCCATTGCTTCGCGAGCAGCGGCGCGGGTGCTTCCATGATGCTGGGGCAGAGGATGTAGGTCGTGGCGGCGCTTTGGCCTGTTGTGGTCGCGGCGTCAGTTATTATCCCGTGTAGGAGATTGTAGGATACATCGTACCCGCGAAGAACGCGGCCGTAGTCAGCCCGACGACTTGCGCGACGCGAATAGGTGTCGAGGAAGGCATGGTGCTGCTGAAATTAATGTCAAAGGTTTTACCGGTCGGTACTAAGCGTCAAAGCTGCATAGATTGTCGCATACAGGTTGTCCGGAGGGAAATCGGTCCGTGGAATGTTGGCCTCATTAGACGTCTACGGATACCATCTGGTCCCCGTCAGCTCCAATTGGACGAAGCTCGAACTAACGCCTGGGCACAGGATTCACGCACCTTTCTCCAGCTTCACAATCCGATCACAACGACCCTGAATCATCCAGACACCGGAATTCCATTCGCTTCTTTACTCGCTCAGGGTTGGTAGCATTTGATCTGCTCGGCGGCGGGCGCAGGCTGGTGTGATAATCTGATTACGAACCGAACTCTGGTCTTCGGGGCAAGCTCGGTCTGATCAACCCCATTATACCTCTCGGTGTATCGGGGCTGAGATGGCACCATACCTTTGTCCGGGGTGAATGAGGGGCCCGACTCTAGCTACAAGTCGTGACGCTTTATCAGATCCATTTGTAATCGCTACGAAGGCGAGAAATCCGCCCTGCATCAGCATACTGGAGTGGTTCCCAAGAAGCAGGTTGAGTAACGTAGTCTAGCCGAAAGATCTCTAACTACCTATAAAGAGGCCAATTCCTCATTTACTAATCTGCCCGCATCCTCACTCCTCCACACTTTTATTCGCCGTTGACCTCTACACGGTACAGCCGGAATTTTCAGTTGAGAAAATAATCAAATCAATTCACCATGTCTTCAAATCCTGATATTACACTCTATACAGCCCAAACTCCCAATGGCATCAAAATCTCCATTCTGTTGGAGGAGCTAGGGTGCGTGACTTGATACCTGATTCTCTAGAGCATATTTCCGGCTAACAAACTGGCAGTCTCCCATACAAAGTCGAGAAAATCGACATAAGCAAAAACACTCAAAAAGAAGACTGGTTTCTTAAAATCAACCCGAATGGCCGAATTCCGGCTCTCACCGACGGCTCATACGCCGACGGCAAGCCGATCAGCCCCTTTGAATCCGGTGCTATCATGCTGTACCTCTCTGACACCTACGATAAGGACTATAAGGTGTCTTTTCCCCCTGGCACTCGCGAGTACTACGAGATGTTATCGTGGCTGTTCTTCTTGAACGCGGGTGTCGGTCCCATGCAGGGCCAATCGAACCATTTCGGGCGATACGCCCCAGAGAAGATCGAGTACGGGATCAATCGCTATAAGAATGAGACGCGCCGGCTGTACGGCGTGCTGGACAAGCATCTTGCGGAGGGGAGAGACTACCTGGTGGGCGACGGGAAGAAATGCAGCGTGGCGGATATCGCACACTACGGATGGGTTGCCTCAGCCGGATGGGCGGGCGTGGATATCACCGAGTTCCCGAAACTGGAGGCATGGGAACTCCGGATGGAACAAAGGGAAGGGGTGAAGAAGGGGAAAGAGGTGCCCAGTCCGCATAGGATCAAGGAGCTGCTGAGGGACCAGGCGAAGGTGGAGGAGGAGGCGAAGAAAACCCGGGATTGGGTGCAAGGGGGCATGAAAGCGGATGCGAAGCGTTGAGAGATAAACAGGCACCCTTTCAAGTCGTAAGGATGTACATGAAACCTAGCTGTGATATATATTCAGGACCAAGTCTACCTTAAACCCATTGGGTGCTGGCAGCTATTGTTGATGTGGTGCTGCCGTTGGACGTACTGGGTTCTACTAACGATTGCGTGGCCTTATAAACTTTGATGGTATCGGAAATCATCACGTTCACGAGACTCCTCATATGCATCGAGACCGAGCCAATTATGGATTGAGGCCGTGAAATGGCCTTGTCCCTGAGTTCGACTTTATCGAAAATGTAATTATCGCTTCCCGGTTGTTCGGTTGACTTCACGCAGGTTGAGTCGTCCCTGTCTTTGTCTCGAATTGTCTCGTGCATATGTGCTCGCCTTGTGTTCTGGACCAACTATTTCGAAGAACCACGTTGACTGATATTCAGGACTGGCTAAAGCTGAGAGATTCGAACCAGGAGACTTGCCGTTTATCCACTGACTGGACGATCATCCTATTTAGTTCATTTTCTAGTATCTCAGAATATTCTGATAGGCTGATATGTCGTAATTTTGATGGAAGAACGAAGCCCGCTATCGCCGTAGTGGCCACAAGTCTACTGCGCAGTGTAACCGCCATCAACAGGAACGCATGCGCCAGTCATCCAAGTATTTTCTTCTGACGCCATGAACAGAATCATATTCGCGATGTCCTGGGCCTTGCCTATGCCTCCCAAGGGGTGAAGGTTATTAATCAGCTGCCATGCTGCATCATTCTCTTTCAACCCCGCGACTAATGCAGTATCGACGACTAGATGCGAATTAGCTAAGTCCAAAAGTGATGGAGTGAAATGGCCTCTCACATCCTGGACAGACTGCATTGCAATGGATATTATACGGTGCAACTTCAAGAGCAACCGACTTTGTCAGGCCAGCGACGGCATGCTTCGAGGCAACGTAGGACGCTGAATGGTGATAAGCATGTCGTTCCTACTCTTTGACAGAAACGACATCACATACATGAGTTCCTGGTGCCAACAAGCCCCACAATGCTTGCCAAGTTGATGATCCGTCCTCGCTTCCCATCCGCTGCAGGCTCTTGATTAATCATATAACGCAGCCCATATTTGAGCGTTTGAAATACGCCGTGCACATTCACGCCCATGGTCCGCTCCCACACAGAGTCATCGAGCTCCCAGATCGGCGCGGGCATATGCTCCCGGGTAATTCCACTGTTGCCAGCATTACAGACCAGACTAACCGCCTATATTAGCAAGCCGAGAGAAGTAATAGAAGTGAGGTAGGTACATGTCGATTCTTCCGAACTCGTTGACGGCTGTGTTCATGAGGTTCTTTACCTCACTGGGCTTCGTCACGTCGCACTGAATGAAGATAGCTTTACCTCCATCCTTTGTGATCAGGCCATGCGTGGTGCTTCCGTCTGGTGCATCCTCCTTCATATCACTGCAGACCACGGTTGCGCCTTCGCGGTAGAAGGTCAGGGATATAGCGCGGCCAATGCCAGTGCTGTTGCCTGTTATAACGGCGATTTTTCCTTGAAGACGACCGGGCATGTTTATAATTTGGCTTCAATGGATACTGACTTCAGAAAAATTAAGAAAGATCCAAATTGGCAAAATGAAAGCCAACTTTAACTTAAATAAGAAGACTGGGGAATACGGGGGAAGAGAGACTCTTAAAATAAGACTTAACTTTGAATTATTAAATCCTGAATGAGGGCTAGAACTGCTCGCCATATGCAAAGGGCGGAGAGCCGCAGTTGCATCCGATGGCTTGGACGTGGAGATCGAATATGAAGGAGCTTCATTACAAACGTCGTCCAACTCGACATGCAACATTTACCCCGTCCTTCCGATGCTGATGACGGGCAGAAGTTGACCCCAGTTCAAACTATAGCTAGTTATCTGGGTTAGAATGTGTTGAGATTGGAATATCCGCTGTAACGGAGGCTCAATCTTCTTGGGATTTATAGTCACCTGTAGATGCTCAATCCGCAACGTAGGGCAAGGAAGACGATCAAGATCAACAAGGGAAAAAAGTCACAGCACGCATCGAGTGAGCTAGCTTAATGCAAAACGGTTGGTCTCTTACGGTTCGCTTGCGAACCGCCGGAGGATAGCAGATTCTGTTGCATACTGTGGTAAGACGAGGCTGATCCTTAAGGAATCAGGAGAACTTGTATGCCTAGGAAAGTAGATAAGGAGCAGAGGGTGGGAAACAATCGATCGACTCCGTCATATATGTTCAATCCGACCAGTCACGTGGACAAATATCAAATCGCGCCCTCTGATTGGCTGATTCACTCAAGACTTATTTTGAAGCTCTTCGAAGCATTCTACGGAGTAGCATCGGTTTATCTAATTATCTTAGTGCCTAAGAAGACTCTCCCTGATCGAATCTAGTAACTCCCGCGCCCGAGCCATCATCTGACTCGGCCTGGCTTCCGCCAATTCGAAGTTCGAACTCAGAAGGCTCTCGCCTATCAGGACCCTCAAACGGTTTCACGGGAACACTCTCAATGGCTGGGGAGGGTTTGAGCCTTGAGGACGCTGCTCGTTGGAGGCGAGGCCTTTTGACGACAGGATCCTTGATATGGGCATACGGATGTACTAGTTCTAGTGGGCCTTGCACAACCTCCCTCCTGATAAATCAATGAGAATTGATTGCGACCAAAGGTATCTCGTAAGCTTCAGATCACCGCAGTCCCTCCAAGATTGAGTGCTTGCAAGAGAGCCCCTAGTGGAGCTAGTATTTCTTAGAGCAAGTCTCCCTCGGTGAGGCCTCGCTGCTCAGAAGTTCGCGAGCCTTCTTGATACTAGTGTACAGCATCGTGATCGCGGATTTAGAGAGGGGTGCCGAAGCGACGTGGTGATCAAGGCCTCGTTGAGGATCTCATAACTACTTGATTTGGTTAGTATCTCGTTCAAGAAAGTGCAGAATGGAGGGTGCCTTGGGTGGGGATCAAAAAGGAGGCTACGGTAATGGCTGTGTTGGAACGCTAATATCGGATTGGGCTTCCTGGCGGGTCGGGAACTCTGGATCACACCACTCCGAAGTCCAAACAGGCTTCCTCCAAGTTCTTTCGTAGTTATCATCAACATAAACACCATCACGCTATTGAAACTAAACTCCCTCCTCCATAAATGCGTCTACTTGCCTCAATTAGTAGGCCCAGTATTTGAGTACTTACCTCAAGTGCTTTACCCGTACTCGTGGGGGTCGAGACCTGCCATGGAAGCGACCTGTCAATGTGGAGACGTCCAGTTCACCACTCCGTTAGAACAGCCACTCGACCTATACCATTGCCATTGTACGCAATGCCGTGCTCAAAGCGCCTCAGCGTTCGGCACATCCGCCATATTTCCTCCTTTTAGTCTTCCCGCCAGCCTTCCAATCTCGACTTTCTCACGCCCTACTGCGAGTGGTGGGGTCATGGACTGTTATTTCTGCACCAAGTGTGGCACCAGGCTCATGCATGCCGGTCGAGGAAAGGACTATGTCAGTGTAAAGGGAGGATGTTTGAAGAGTTTGGATTGGAGCAATGCGAGGCATATCTGGTGTAGCATGGCGGTTGTACCGATCCCGGATAGTGTCATTAAATATGACGGAGAACCCGACAGGTGATCATGACCCGTGCTTGTCCAGAACTGGATGAAGCACGTCCTCTCGCGATCGAAGGATAACCCGTTGTCAACCAGCAAGTATGGCAAGAGTTCATGGCAGCCGAATCCACTGGGGCCGATGGAAATCACTGGCGACAATCCCTGGATGGCGCAGCGATCGGTACTCTTCGGAACGAGAGGGATAACCTCCTTGCTGGGGGAGGCTATGAGCCATTCCATGCTTTGGCACCAAAACGGGGAGAAGGGTTTGGAGACAGACGAGCAGGTAGCTCATTCATATGATGGTTAGCAGGAAAAGAAAGCCGGGGTGGACCTTTGATTTGCGTCGACTTATTTTCTGAGACACAGTTTTGCCCTGGACTTATATATTACTGATTGGATGATCATTCGGCGGATGTCATAGGCAAGCCGCTTTGCACTGTTCTTTATAAAATTTGGTTCTGTGTATTATGCCTAGGAGGAGATAAACGGGACCTGGTCCAGGCCTATTGCTGTCAACCAAAACGATTCGAATTTCGGCGCTCGCTTCTAAGTACTGCTTCAGTTCCAAAGCTCGACCCTTAACGTAGTTCCTTCATACGTTGATTACTTTTGCTTCAACTTCAAGGCCGACTCCTTTATGACACTAAAAGCGCGGGCTGTTTCCTTCATGCTACGGTAAACGCAATCTGTGGATGAAGTATCAGCGTGCTTCTATGAATATAGGGCGAGGTACTCACATCCTGGGATCACGAACCAAAATGCATTCAAGCCGACGACGTAACCCCAGAAGTACAGTGCCTCCGGCCGAGAGTAGTTCAACCCATCGTAGAGGTAGTCGCCGAGGTAGGTCGTAAAGTAGAGCACATCCCCGTAGAACTGCCCAGTTGACACAAGAACCTGCACAGGGTGCCTGTATGGGTGATCAATCAAGGTGTACCAAGCCTCTATATAGCAAAGGGGTCCCCAGGCAAACTATCTTAAGTCAGTGCAACGTGATGGCGAAGTAAGGGTTGGGAGATTCTCGTACTGCAGTGACTGTTTCCATGGATACCAAGAACGGATCGATAGTCAGGTATCTCGAGTCGCCTTTCGAATATTCTTTCCAGCCCTGCCCAAGATAATCCTGCATTGGCGGCATGTTGCGATGGTTTAGCGAGAAGTATCCCTCGATGACGATATGGATTGTCCCAGCTGCGTAAGCGTTAGCCAATACCTGTACAAAGCCAAAGAGAAGGCATCATACACAAAATAAACCAGACAACGAGCCACTGGTCTCGGACAGAGAGCTTCGGGTTGATATAATGTGAGACGACCCGGGTTGTGACAGCGACTGCGAGAATGGCACCAAAGAACACGCCAAAGATGTCTTTGACAGTCCAGTCATTTGCAACGTAACCTAATAGCACGCTTTCGACCGGGAAATAAGGATGAACAATCCCTTCCACTGCCTCCATCGTGACAAAAACAAGAAGAAGAAGAAGAAGAAGAAGAAGAAGAAGAAGAGCGAAAGGGAACGAGGAGGGAGCGGCGACTGCGTCCGAAGGAAATGAGCGGACAAGGACAACCCAAGGTTCTAATATATCGTCCGAGTAGATAATATGATGAATCAATGCATAAACCAAAATGCTAGGGGATCGATCTAGGCGTTTGTAGGTATCGTTGGTTGAGGGACAGACTGGATTCGCTGAGGTCAGTGGTTTTCGTCGCATGTATGTACCGTAAGGTCAACCGAACCATCTTGAGCTTTCCTCCTCCCCCTTTGGCACTTTCCTCCACCACAACAGTCATGGGCAGTGCATTTGTCTTCGGAGAATGCCCAAGTACCGTAAGTAGTGCATAATTTAGGCCGGATGATTGGTTTGGACCAAAAATTGAAGTCATTGTTGTAGATACGTCTATTGCGTCGATCTCTCTGCAATTCCAATTTTTCGTCCCATAACTGTTCCCGTTCGCAGAGACTGTGCAAGCAACCGCATAGTCCAACGGCCGTCTTGTATTCTGGATAGCGTAATGCCCAAAATCAAGGCGACGAAAGTCCGTGTCCTCCTCATTTCAATTCGTGTAAATCCTTATAGCAGAAACGCCGTTCCATCCTCCTCAATATGCCCATCTCCAACCAGATTTCCAGGGAAGAAACGCAGCGACAGAGACGTGATGACCCATCCAAGCAGCACGCCTGCGGCAATCAGGCAGGTTACCGTAAAAATTTCCGACCTTCGACGAGCGGTGTGCGCATCGGTACGGGCGCCTTGTGTTGTTAAGCAATTACTGCAACGGTCGCCGGGCGGTGATGCGATTTGTGAGTCCTCGTAGAAGACCTCGCCGAATCGATTAGGTCTTGACCGTATAGCTGCACTACGGGCAATCGCGTCTTCGGAATGGATCGTTATCGCATTACTATCACCAGCTGGGGGAATAGCGGAGGCGCTGTGGTACGAAAAGGCCTCTGAGCGAGGACGCAGGGCAGACTTTGGTGGGATTGGAGGTGGCGATTCCGTGCTGGCTTCATGAGGCTTCGACCATGCTTGAGGTGTCTGTGTATCCTCTGATGCACCGTTAGGTAGTAATGGAGAGTCTCCGAGATCTCTTGAGTCACCTTCCATATCTGATTAAATGATGTGGGTTTGAATGATCGATTGGATTGCACGATCTGGATGAAGCAAACGTCTGGTTCCGGTCGGAGTTGTTCATCATGCGACAAACAGCTGAAGCCTCGAAATATGTTTGATGTGTCCCATTCTCGATGTCCTGCAAACAAATCCGTCTTTGTCCCGTGGAATCGCAACCGAAATCCTCTGAATGCGGACATGGCTGGACGCGGAGAGCTCGTGTTACACAAGATGGCCCATTGCGGCAATCATTTAGAAATCTTGAATTCCAGTCTCGCCAATAATGGTTCGGCCATCATCGACGGCCCAGTGCGGCTCTTCTTTGTCGAAGTATTCTTCCTGACGCTGCCGATCTTCCTCTGCCCAATCATCCAAGTCTTCGTTCTCGTCCACGGTGTCGTAGTCGAAGTCGTTATCATCCCCTCTCAAGAACCGTTGCTCCATCTCGTAGCGCCATCGTTCTTGTCCGTCCTCTTTGGTGTCGGGCACCTCATCGGCTTCCTCGGCAAGGATTTCGCCATCGGGACCGCGTCGGTATGTAAAAATGGAGTTTGGGTCGGGGTTGGCAATGGCGGAGATCTTCGCTTCGGCGCGGAGTAGGTCTGCTTCGAGAACGCCAGAGTATCCCTTTTGTCGGCCTTCCTCTTCTCTCTCCGTGGTAGATTGGAATCGGCGAATCAACCGGTCGTAGAGCAAAGGATCTGATCGCGTGGCGTGTTAGTTATTGAGCCTGGATAAATCGATAAACGGGTAGGATATACCAGCAAGCTCCAGAGACGCGCCAAAGTATTCGGGGTGTGTGTCAAGATATCGCTTTCGTCGATTCTTGATACGAATGCGATCTGAAACCTGGTTTCCCGATGGTTGGTCTTGTTTATCCTCCTCTGCCTCTGACGGAGCAGGTTGCCGTCTTGGGTCCATGGCAAAGTGGAAGTAAGGCATTCCGTACAAGAAGTTGTAGGTCTTATGAAGACCGTATATGCTCGAAACTGCAATGTACCATAATCTCACCGTGCTAGATTCAGATGAGGCGGAGCTTGTAGGTACCGTGTATTGTAGCTACAATCCAAGTTCGCCACAATGATCGAGAGCTACATACCTGTATCGGTCACGTACCGTCCTTTGGACTTGGTGCGTGGATTAAAGTGGCAAGACACCTCAATACATCCGATACATTCCGTACTTCGAGGTCATTTATGATCGTGGATCATCAGCACAAGACCCTCGAAGCCGCCATTGAATGATGAATCATGATATGCATGTGGCTGAAATAGTAACTATCAGGTTACTCGACCGTTGGATCCCTTCAGACTTGGGAGCAATCCGTACCATCGTGTCCACACCACAGGAGGCTGAGCCAATCAAGAGCCCCCTCGTTGGCTTAAATAGCACTGGTATATCCAAACACCTTTGAGCAAGTATCATCAGTATTCTTCTACTAACCGACTTTGCCATTTACATTGATAATTTTGTTGGATGCGTGACACGGTTGTTCTAGCCCAAGGGTTTCAGAGTTGACCTCCCTGGACTGAGCATGGTTCCGGTATTTCTGCCACGTCTCTGGACTCACAAGCTTAATCCGGGATTATCGCGCTCGTTTTTGTCATTGTTCGATTATTCTTCCACTTCTTTTCCATCATGCCTAGTCAATCTAAAAGTACCCGGAAGCCGGGGCCAAAAGCTCAGCATCCCCAGAAGCAAACGAGCAGGTGGTTCCATCTCGGGCGAGCAGCTGGATATCTTGCCCTCGCTGCGCTTGCTTCACCAGTCTCCCAATTGACTCTTGCGCCGGTCTATGGCTCAATACCTTCTTCTCAATTCCACCAGCGTTCCTTAAGTGCTATTGCTTTGCTGGCTTTTGTATGGAAAGGGACGGTGCAGGGCAGACTTTGGCTCAATCTGGAGCGTCTCCTCCCCGTCATCGCGTTTTGGATACCCACGATACAATTCTTTCTATTCTCATTTAGTTCTAAACTCGGGCCAACCGCAGGGCCATTACTGACGGAGCTTCTCACTCTCCTTCCGCTTCTATTTGTGACGTTCTTTTCCGGGGCCGGTCTGGTTGAAAAGGCAGGTTTGACCTCATCTGGACATGCGATCAAAGACGCCTTGCCTGTGGTCGGGTCTTATATGGGGTTCTCTCTTCTTCAAAAGTTATTTTATGCCACTCTCCCTCACTACATTGGGACAGCTTCTGCCTTCACCCGAACAGGGTTACAGCTGTTGATTGCGTGCGCATTTTCTGCCCTTTCCCCATCATGGTTGATCTTTCTTGCTCTTCCATCCATATTCCATACATTCCTGACGAATCCGCATTTCGTGGCCGATACCACTACAGCAGCGCTCAACAAGACGCTTGCACCGCACCAATTCACACTATTGGAAAGACAAGAATCCCTGACCGGGTATATCTCCGTCCTAGAAGGCCAAAATGATGCCTTCCGTGTCATGAGATGTGACCACAGTTTGCTGGGAGGTGAATGGTTGGTATCACCGGATAGAGCCGAACAGGGGCAGAAGGAACCCGAGTCTATCTATTCCGTCTTCAACATGCTGGAAGCTGTCCGGCTAATCGAGGTTCCGGATAAACGAGAGGACGCAGAATCGTCTGCATTGGTAATGTACGTCATCTATTCAATTACCCTCTAGAACTCTTTACTTCTTCCTCTTGGATTGTACACATTATTGACTCTTTTGAAGTGGCCTCGGAATCGGCACCAGTCCATCAGCCTTCATCAAGCTGGGGATCAACACTACTATTGTGGAAATAGATCCTGTTGTGCACTATTTCGCGACCAAGTACTTCGGTCTTCCCAGCAACCACACAGCCGCCATCGAGAATGCCATACCATTTGTCAGAAACACCGCTCTGGACCATCCTTCATCCTACGACTACATCATCCATGATGTGTTCACTGGAGGCGCTGAACCGGCCGCTTTGTTTACGCTCGAATTTCTAGAGGGGTTGAGATCACTTCTCCGGGAGAATGGTGCGATCGCGATAGTAAGTTATTTCAATTCTAGATCATCATTAGCATCAAACTCTAATTACCGCATAGAACTACGCTGGAGATCTTGAGTTGCCCTCTGCAAAGATGGTTCTGAACACAATACATACAGTCTTCCCAAACTGCCGGATCTACCGCGACAGCCCACCGGACCCTGATGGTGAAACCTTTATCAACATGATCTTGTTCTGCGTAAAATCAGAAGACTCGAAACTCACTTTCCGGAAGCCTGAGCTGGCGGATCATGGCGACAGTCTTGGACGGCAGAGATATATTCCACCAAACCCAGAGTGGGAAATTGCGATTGATTTGACTTCCGATGAAGCCAGGTCAGCTGGGGTCCTCCGCCGCGGACAGGAAGCGGAGCTGGAGAGGCATCAGATTGGGTCTGCTTTGGCGCATTGGAAAATTATGCGAAACGTCTTGCCGGATATTGTTTGGGAGACTTGGTAATCCGAAGCGCTTTCCCGTAGGTGAGATCAAGCCAAAAGACAATGGTTTCAAACGATTGCTAAAATTTGGTCTCGATCCAATTACCGGCTGAACAGGCCTTGAACGGCTCAACCGACCATTGGAACTGGCAAGAGGATGATTACCTTGTCTCTTCGGCGCGTATCCTTTGAGCCCTCCAAATATTGAAGTGGGTGGACACCGGACTGGCAAATTGAAACTCCTCATGTTGCTATCTGTCTGGTCACTCCGATCATGTCATGATCATTTAAAAACGCACTACCTTCCACAAAATCGTCAACCGCATATCATCTGAATTTTATTCAATTCTATTTAAGTTTAGCATCTAAGATTCAAGGTTTCCTATTCCCCGAAGCTTCCTGCTTCCGTTTTCCTGTTAAGGAGCCACTACTTTGGTGAGCCGTTAATAATGTTCACCTTGATGGCAACGATTCTATGGCCCACCGCGAGGGAATATTTCATATTTCGCTAGCTATGCTAGTACCTTTGTGGTGTTGAAGAAGCATATTTCTCGGACTTTTGTACAGACGCTATTGTTTGACGGAAGCGGACCAGGCAGGACAAAGGAATTTTGCCCAGGAATGCACCACAGCTCGGTCGATGAAAAAAGTACATTGGACCCGACCCAGTCTGAATTCATTTACAAGTCCGAGTTTCATATTCGAGTATTAATTGGTTGATTTTCTGTTTTATACCTGCGTTATTGCTTGTTCCGGTTGTCCACATTCGGTATCGTCTGCTACAGCCTACAGCTTCTTTGTCGAGGGCATGCGACGATCATAGTCCAATGAATTAACGAAACAAAGCATTAAACCGGCCTGGGCACTAGGAAATTCAACCGTTCTTACCATCCCAGGTTTAGGATTTCATGTTGTTGCCACCACCCGGCAATCGTAAATCAAGTGCTGATGCAAGTTGTTCAATCATACCCCCTTCTCTCCAGCGTGGACCACTAAGACTCCCGCATTTCGGTTGTACTATTATTCACTGAAGAATACCTATTACTGTTTTGTATATTTATGCCCTGGCTTATTCTTATTTCTAGACACTAACATTGAAGAGAAATCCGCGCAAGAGGCTCGCCGGCCACTCACTAGCCAAGTCTCCTATCTTCTGTCAATGACTCAAAGTGTTCTAGTATCCATCAACTATAGCTCGAAGTTGGTCAAGGTCGATACCAATTCTCGGCAGCTCCGAATCGCAAATACCCAGTTCTTAGGCTCGCCTTCATTTCCTGACTACACTCCATGTCTACTACCCAGTGTTTCTTGATACTGCCAAAACTAATCCTCTCTACAAGCAAATAGCCCAGCCTCTGTTATCAAGCCGCGGCCTGATTTACCTTTTAGGCCTATCCACGGCGGTGATGGCGGACAACAAACAAGAGCAAGAGCTCTTCGATCAGCAGTTGACCATCGAGCTCCAGGGAACAGAGATCGATAAGTTGAAGGAGGTGAATAAGCGATTGAGAACCCAACTTCAGACCTGCCAGGAAGAGTATGACGATCTATATTCGAAAGCATCCGATCTTGAGAAGCAGCACGACACCTGGAGGCAGGGTGCCGAGAAGCAAGCGATGGACCTGCACGACAACCTTGAGGCCACACGGCGTCAGGTGCTTGAACTCGAAGAAAATTTGGCCGCAGCGCAGCAAGAAGCAGCCGATCATGAATACAACTCCAATCGAACGGCGATCCACAACAAACAGCTGCAGAAGGCACTCAAGGCGAAGGACCATGAGTACACGCGACTTAAGGAGACTTTCGACAGCATCGGGACCTCTATGGTATCTCACGTGGCGCAGTTCGAGAAGATCAAGCGCATGGAAAAGGTCATCCGAAATCACGAAAAGTGCCGCTGTAAAGTGCATAAGAGCCCCCTTTCGGATATTGACTCGGACTCGGACTCGGACTCTGATCTTGGCCCTCGGCCCAACCTTGCGGCCGTTCTTGCGGCCTATCGGAAATCCGATCCTGAATCCGATCTTAAACCTGACCCGGGGCTGATGGAAGAGCCGGTTATGGAACCCGTCGAGGAGCCCATCAAGGAGCCCATCAAGGAACCCGTCAAGGAACCCGTCGAGGATCCTCAGGAAGAACCCGTCAAGGACCTCGTGAAGGAGCAGATCGAGGAATCGGTCGAAGAGAGTCGTAAGGGGCTCATGGGCGAGACCGCCGTCGATTCAGATTCTAAGCTCGACCCTGACACTGAGACTCCGCCAGTAGAGTCCCCACATCCCAATCCCGACATTAAACCCCGTATTGCTAGAACTGTGACTGAGACAACCACTGATACGCTTATCCCAGCCCCAGACATTGACTTAGATACTACCATGGAACCTCAGCCTGGTCCTGAACCCGAATCTCATCCTCATATTGTCTCAGATCAAGAACTGGATAAGAAGCTCGGGAATGTGTCTGATGTTAAGGATAGAGGGAATTCCAAGAAAAGTGATAGTTCTGTCGTTGACCCCGATACCTCACTAGATATGGCAGCCGATCATGGAGATGGCACGAAACCTAACACCATACCAGTCAATGAGCATGGAATATCAGCTGATTCTGCACACGATACGGAACCTGACCTTATATCAGATGACGATCTCGACGCTAGAACTGATACCGGACGCGGCAGCCAACCGGGTATCGACCCTGGGGGCAAAAAGAATGAGCTACAGAAAGCCACTAAAGATATCGGGCATGAACAGGCAAAGAGCGCCGAGGACGAAGTGTGGAGGCAGCCAGAGAGCAGACAAGTCGAAGAAGAAGAGCAAACAAGGAGTATTGGAAAGGAGTCACAAGAAGTTCGAAGAAGCCTAGGAAGCCCGGAGAGCCCCGAAAGTCCCGAGTGGTCATGGGTAGAATATGCCGAAAATGATGAACAATCCAGCGCGCTTCAGGAGCTCGAGGATATGTACGAAAAAAATCGAAAGAATCACCATAGAGATTCTGAGAGACAGAGTGATTGGCGGCTTGACAGGTCACGGGCGTCCCGAAGGGGTATTAGACGACATATCAATGACAATTACCGAAGCCAGAGCACACCCAGCCCACCTCTACGTCTAAGCCCGCCCAAGCCTATGGAAAAGCGCGGATACATGGAACGGATAGGAGTAAGTGGCCTGATAAGCCCTTACGTCGAGGAGCGCCCCGGACAAAGTTACACAACCTTCCGAGTCACCATAGACGACGGTCATGGGGGGGTCGGCCGCCGAGAGATGTCCTATAAGGTGCCATACAACCAGCGACAAGGCAGATCTTTGCTTGGAAACCAGGGACTTCCGATGTATGACAGCTCGGTTGACACTGCGTACAACAGTTCCTCCTCCGATGAGAATATAAATTCTAGTGAAGGCTGGAATTCTGAAGGCCAGCCTGAGAGAAGGCAGATCAGAGCGAGTAGAGGGCATATTCTGGAACACGACAGCAACTCTGACCCCGAAGACAGCCGGTCCAGCGCAATTGAAAAGCAGCAAATATGGTACAGGGAGTTGTTCAGGCAAGTCCAGTCCAAGAAGCGCCAATCACCCCAACAAGTTGACGAAGATGACGACGGGTTAGATCATGTCGTGTTTAAGGGGCGTAAATCCTCATCAGACAAGCCAAGCGCCTCAGAAAGCCCGTTCAAGGGTGAGGGTCATGTCGATGTTCAGGATAAGAACGCTGAAGGTAGCGACTCGGACTCGGACTCGGATACGGACGACTACCATTATCAGTGGTTAGAGGGTGCGTCGGATGAGCGGCCTAAGAGAGACAAACGAACACCAGGTAGCCGAAGCAAGTCGAAAAAGAATGCGGATGATATAGACCAGGTGAAGAGGCAGAAGGTTAAAGACAGCGACTCGGACTCAAACTCGGACTCGGATTCAATCGATGACTATCAGTGGTTGGACGGTGCGTCGGATGAGCGGCCCAAGCAGCAAAAGAAACAACGATGGAAAGGGCACGAGCCTGGAAATGCTTGGGAGGAGCGCGGAGAGCGAGGAGGTGAAGAGCATGAGCAGCTTGATGGTCGACCAAGGCAGGCTGAAGTTCATTCCAGTGAACAAAATACAACCGCGGAAGTGAGTCCTTTGTCCCCAAAGAGCACCGGAAAAAGCCTGGCTCCTCTTGGGTCTGGAGCCCTTTTAGCGGGAGATGCCTCGGGTGATGCAGATATTCCGGACGAAGTGACTCGCGACTCCGACCCTGGCGAGCCACCCCAACGAGAAACGCGAAATGGAGAAAGCGGTGTGGATAGCGGACGTAGGCATGATGGAGATGACGGTGATGACCGAGGTGGAGAAGCGGGCGGTGCCAGCGACAATAATGGAGATGATGGCGGAAATAACGGCCATGGTGGTACCGGCGGAGACGGCGACAACGAGGACCAAGACGATAAAGGGGACCACAACAGCGACGGTGACAATGGCAGCGGGGACAAGGATGACAGAATGGACCGTACTGACGACAACACCGTTGACGACAACACGGACGATAACGGGGACTACAGCACTGTCGACGACAACTGGGACGACAACACCGACGATGGCGCCGACGATGGCGCCGACGATGACGCCCGCCTGTTTAAGCCTTCCACACCTCGTGACAAAGGAAAGGTCAAGGAGAAGGAAAACGATACACCCGCATCGGACAACCGTAAGGGGGCCAGCTCTCAACAAACCTCGACGACTGGGGAGCATCATATGTCTACTTCTGCAGCTGGACCAGATAACCCTAAAGGTTCTTCGGAAGAGAAGGCAATATCTTCCGCGGTCGAAGCCTCGACGCCTTCTACGTCTGCAGCTGGACCAGATACCCCGAAAGGTCCTCCAGAAGATGAGACAACTTCCGCTATCGAATCCTTGAAGCCTAGCAAGTACGATAAATCCACACGTACCGCCGGATCAGTTACCCATAAGAGTCCTTCAGAAGATAAGGCAGTGTCTTCCGCGGTCGAATCCTCGCACGATACGTCTATTCCTGCAGATAGATCAGTCACTCCTAAAAGTCCGTTTGGAGATAAGGCAGTGTCTTCCGCAGTCGAATCCTCGACGTTTGAGCACGCTGCGTCTACTTCTACCACCCAACCAGCTGCTCCTCAACATCTCCAGGAAGCTGAGACAGCGCCGTCCGCGGCTGAATCGTCGACGCCCCGTGAGCACGTTGAGTCCACTCCTGCAGTCAAATCAGCAGCTCCTCATCACTCTCCGCAACCCGAGACACCATCGGTCGTAGCCGAATCCCCGGCCCCGGTCTATGCCACGGCGAGCGGAAGGGATCCTGAGCAATCTACCAGTCGTGGCTCGTATTTAGAACCCAACTATGGACCTTTTCCATTCAGGAATATCACCAAACCAGATAAAGGGGCGAAGGAGGAGGGGAAGGAGGAGGAGGAGGAAAAGGAGGAGACAAAGGACGAAAAAGACAAAAAAGGCGAGAAAACGGACGAGGAGAGAGACGAGGAGGGAGAAGACGACGACGAGACTGAGCGGCAACTCTATTCCCCTAGAGGGGGAAGAGTTTCTAGGCCAATGACTCTTCGTGACTTGTTTCGAGCGCCCGAGCGATCGCCCCATAGGCCTCTCCTATTCAAAACTTTCCCCAAGTCAGATGAGGAGGTCGAGGAGGTCGAGGAGGAGGTTGAGGAGACCGATGAGCCAGTCTATGACCCTATGAGGGGAAGAGTTCCTAAGGAAAGGATCATTCATGACTTGTATCGAGTGCGCGAGCGATCGCCCTACAGTCCTTCTCTATTCAGCACTATCGCCAGGCCAGATGAGGAGGGTGAAGGCTCTGTCCCTAACCCTACAAGTAGAAGCGGCCTCGAGCGATCCACTATTCGTGTCTCGCGTTTAGAACTCGAGCGGTCGCCCCGAAGATCTTCTCCGCCTAAGGATGCCACCGAGCCAGATGGGAAGGTAGAGGCTGAAGATCCAGTCCTGCCTCCTCCCTCGCCTCCCCCCGCGAGCGGAAATACCCCCAGGAAATTCCACTTCACTCCCTCGCGTCCAGAGCCCGAGCGGCCGCTCCACGCACCTTCCCCGCTCGGGAACATCACCATGCCAGCGGAGGTGGTAGCGGCTGAAGTGCCAGTCCCGCCCCCTCCCCCCACCGGCAGAGTGGTTTTCGAGAAGCCCACCGCCCGTAGCTCGTATAAAGAGCCCAAGTGGACGCCCCACGGACGTTCTCCGCTCAGGAATGTCACTAGGCTAGATGAGGAGGCCGAGGGTGAAGAGCCAGCCCCACTACCTCCACCTCTCTCGGCGAGCGGAAAAGAACCCCATCCCCCCACGAGCGGAGAGACCTCCAGGCAATTCATCAATACTCCCTCGCTTTTAGGGTCAGGGTGGTCGCCCAACCGATATTATCGGCTCAATAAGAATGCCACGCTAGATAAGGAGAAAGAGGAGGTGAGGGTTAAGGATACGCGGCAAACGTTTAGTATTCTAAGGCCCGAGAGCTGCGACCCGGAGGCGAGGGAACAGGTGGCGAGGAAAGAGGCGTGGAACTACGAGGAAATGGAATGGAGTTCAGGGCGAAAACTCCAACGCGCGCGCGAGAAGGCTCGAAGGTTGAAGAGGATGAAACAACCTAATAGACGAAACGTGTCCAGTCAGGACTCGGACTCGGACGATGGCTTGCTCCAGTCCCACAATGATTTACTATTTCCTCCAACACCCCAGGATAATCTCACGATTCCGCCCAATTCGCCTGATCGTCTCCGTTGTGCCACGGCCAATGCGTCGACATCCACTCAGCCACCTCCGAAAAGGGACGTCAGTCGTAAGCGGTCCAAAAATCGAGCGTTGGTACGACGGTCCGATTCCGTTGATCCTTTGACCAAGATGCCATGGTGCTTTGGTACCCCATGGTTGTGGATGATCTTGATATTCCTCATCTCGGTAAACATTAAGGTCTTGTTGCAGAATCTCGACGAGGCCAAGACGTGGGAACTGATCAACCGGGCGCCGGAATTGTTGCCGGCCGGGTTCGTTCGGGAGTGGATTCCAATTGAGCAGGAAACAGGCGGGTGTTGGGATCTCAGTTGCGTTGGGGGAGTGCTAGGCTGGGTGTTCCTGCCACAGGTGCCACCGATCTGGAAGCAAAATGTCACCGAGTTCAGACTGATGGTGTGAAGAAGGGGAATGCGCTTGGGATCTAAAGATGGCTCAATAAAGGGTGACGAAATGTGATGAACGATACAGGGCGTTCGGGTAGAGGCTTTGTGAAGGGATAGAAGACATGGGCGACTGGCGTTACGTTTTGATAGTAGGCATTCGTATATTTATGGTTGGACTTGAACAAATTAATGGACATATCACATAATATGAGCCGACACGACGAGAGGAAATGAAAGCCAAGGAAATTCTTATTTCGTCTTCAGTAAATATTCACATTTCATTGTAGTTGTCTCCGGGTATCGATCATACAGCTCCAGCTTCCTTTAGGAGGGTCGGAAGCTCGCTCTTCTTAGCTTGCACGTCCGAGTTCCCTCCAATATGTTGCTGCCCGATGAAGACGTTCGGGACGGTCCGCTGTCCGGTTAAGTTGGCAAGAGCATCCTGGATGGCAGCTCCATCATCTGCACACGACGCCGAACGTTAGATGGCTGAGGCGAGGTGAATTCGAAAGGAAAGGGCAATCCACATACCGACTTGATCGAGTTCGATGGCGTAGTATTTGGCACCGAGCTCACTCAGCAGAGCCTTGGTAGCCTTGCAGAATGGGCAGTATGACTTGCTGAACACCGCTGCAGTGAATGTCAGCACTGAGTAAGGAATAGAGGGATGCTCGTGAGGAAGATGATACTGACCGACTGGGTTCTCGTCAACGATGCCCTGAACTTTGGTCTTTGCGGCAGACATGGTGGTTGGGCTAGCGGCGCGGTGGAAGAATTGGCGTAGGAAGTAAATGTTGGGCAACTGGTGTGGTAGTCTGATAATTGACAAGGAGAAGGTCTAAGAGATGGTCTCAGGCAATTATATATGTGTGGATGGAAGGAACTAATAACGTCAGATATTGCGTGCGAAGTAATGATGACAATTTAGATGATAATTCGGATCCCGCCAGCCCAGAAGAATCTAAAGGTTTGATGATGAGCAAGCAGCTCCGAACTCCTCACAAACGGCAGTCACACAGAAACACGAGGAAGGGGGGACCAACGATGATGCAATGGTGCGCTACCACTTTCCCGAATTTGAGCCGAGAGTCGCCACTGACATCCAATGACTTGTCGCCTTGTCGCCTTGTCGCCTTAACATGTCCAGTCCCAACTCTCCGTCCGTTGTTCATCATCATGTCCCTGGCGACCATTATTAGCCTTCTGTCCTCCGATCTGTGATACCGTAGAGTGTAGACGAGACATCTTCTCTCCCATCCATTCCTCAGATACCGGTATAGAGGCTATGGCACGCTCATACTTTCGAAGCCACCAATAACGACCATCCCCGACCATTCAACCATGGCGAGCGCAGCCGTCTCAGACATCTTCTTCGTCCTTGCGTTCCTCTTCATATCGGTCTGTGTCCTCCTACTTCTACGACACTATCTTCCACTGCGGTCGACTCCTGCCTATGTTCTGGTGCCGGTGTTCCTCGCCATCGCCCTTCCCGCCACCGCGATTGTCCTGGTGCCGATCGATATTTCATCTGCAGCCGCCCGCAATGCGGAGCGGGAGCAACATGGAATCTGGTTATCGGAGCGGGCGCTGCTTGTCTTCTGGAGGATATGCTACTGGCTGACATTCTCCCTTACCTGGTTAGTCCTCCGGTCGGTAGCAGAGGCGCTGTTGCTAACTACGAATCCAGGGTAATCCTCCCAGTTCTCGGCGAATATGTCGACTCAGGCTACCGCGAACCGAAAGACCGACTCCTGTACTCGCTGCGGGCGAATGTGCGATACCAACTGATCGTCCTTACAACCGCAATACTAGCCGGAGTGTATTTCTTCCTCAGCGCTGGCTTCCGATTCGCGAGCCTGAAGGCCCTGGTCATGGCCCTCGCATACTCCTGGGGTCTGTTAATCGCAACATATTTGATGGGCCATGGACTGGTCGCCCTACCCCGGCACATATTCCAAAACGCATCCATCGCGCATCGGCTTCGTCGACTCCAGTCTAGCGCGCCGAACATCCACGATAACCTCATGGACGCGATCGACGAACTCGCAGAGCGGGAGAACCAAGTCGCGCAGCTGAAACAGCGCAAGACGGGGAGTGCGCGGGAGTTCCAGGAGTGGATCGACGAACTCGCCGAGCTATGCGCGCTTCCCGAGTCGCGGACTTTACCTGTCATCCGGGTGCCTGTGTCTAGGACCGCTGGCGGGGTTCCGAATGTGATCACTGCGAGATATCTTGCCGATTTGACAAGGAAGCTACAGCATTCGAGGAACAAGAAGGCTCGGTATACCGTCGAGTGGAACCGATTGATGAAGAACGCTTCCCGCGCTAAGGCGATCGTTGATTCAGCGGCGAATCGGAAGCTAACATTCGTATCCGGCACTGATCCCGCCGTCCTACCATTTCGGATTCACACCCCATACACGCGGCATGTCTGGTATTACCGAGTCCAACCCATCACGCTCTACCTTCTCTCCGCCGTCCTCTCTCTCCTCTCTCTGCTCCTATTTTCCTCCGTCATCCTCGCCCCCTTCAACCCCTCCATCACTCCCCTGACCCTCACGACCTTCTCCAACCCCTTCTCCAAACACCCTACTCCCCTCCCCACCTTCCCCATCCTCCTCCCCCTCTACCTCTTCCACCTCGCCCTCACCACCCTCTACCCCCTCCCCCGCCTCCCCCTCTCCTTCTGGCGTGCCCGCACTCTCACCCCGCGCGCCACCCCCCTTGAACCCGCCGCCTGGTTCTCCTCCCTCATCGCCCGCCTCGCCCTCCCCCTCGCCCTCAACGTCTCTTCCACCCTCCCCCGTCCCATATACCACTCCACCATCTTCTACCGCTTCCTCGGCGTCCAGGTCGACCTCACCCCGCTCGGCGCCGGGTTCGCGCGCTTCGCCCCCGCCATCATCGTCACCCTGGCCGCCCTCGCCGCCCTCCTCGGCGTCTACGGACGCGTGGGCGGGTGGTTCAGCGGCCCGATGATGGTGGGCGAAGAGGAGGAAGGCGTCGGCTTGCTCGGCGACCAGGGAAGACGAGAGCGAGATGTGGCGGACACCCAGCGATGGAGGGAGGGCAAGGCTCTCTTGGAGCGGGAAGTCGGCACCGGTGGTCTCGGCATGACGGACGGCGAAGGCGGTGCGACCGCCAGTAATGCAACTGGAACCAGCCGACCCGTCGGCACCGCCGGGACCCCCCGGCACCAAGACTCGCGAGACGACGACGCCGCCGTGGCGCGCGTAACCCGGGGCTCCACCCCCACCCCCCGCTCCGGCCGCACCGCCTCGCCACCCCCCAACCCCGTCCGCGCCGCGCGGATCGCGCGAGAAGCCGGACGCCCCGCACGCCGCGATTTCGCGACGGTGGGCGACGTCAGCGGCGATGATGAGGGGTTCGGGGGATGGTGGGGGGATTTCACACATCGGGTGAAGAATACGTTTGAGACGATGGATCGGCCGGCGTGGATGGGCCCGGAGGGGTCGTCGGCGGGGGCAGGGGAGAGAGGTGGGTCGCGGACGGGTGCGTGGGAGAGACCGGGGTGGTTGGGTGGAGGGGAGGAAGGGAGGGAGGAGGCGAGAGAGGAAGGGGATGGACCGTTGAGTGGGTTGACGAGATGGTTTGGTGGGAGTGGTGGGGGATTGGAAGGACGAGTGAGGCTCTGAAGCGTTACATGTTGGAGTCACGTTCTAGCACCAATACAATTTAATTCATGGAAACAAGACCCTTCATCCAGTTTGGAAGAACATTTGATTTTCGGACTGATTACTTATATTTTCCTCGCAGCTACTAGCCATGCCCAACTTCGCATCTTGACCCGTGGTAAGGTTCTGTGGCAGGTTGCCATACCTCCTCCATGGCGCAACCCAGCTGATGACCATGACGTTCGTCTTTCCCACTTTCGACTCTGACACCCGTAAAACATCCCGTCCGCCGTAGAAAATGTCCAGCTAAACCTGTTTCCCCTCAATCCGAGCGAGCGAGGGACATGAGAGGCATATCGAGGGGGGATTGTTGTTGCGCTTGCCGGTAAGCCACGTCTCTATAAAGAACCGAGCCAGAGGAAATAGTAGAATCAGAGTGAACACGGCACTCGAGACGGGACGCGTAAAAGTAGAAGGGTTCGAAAGGATCGCAGGAGAAGGGCTTAGGGGCAATCGGAGATGAAGAGGACGGACAGAATGAGCGGGTCGAGGAGTGAGGCGATCCTGTGGGGAATTGTCGCGAGAAGAAGGCCGTTGAGGTGAGATATGTCGGTTCGTAATACGGGACCTCTGTCGATTCAGACGAGGAATCTGCAGGATCCGACTCCTGAGAACCCCCTCGACAGGCGAAGTGAAGAACTAGTGGAAACCAATGACGCGGTAGGATCGTGGATATCGGAACCATTGGTCATGAACTCGTAACCGTGCCGAGCTCCTTCCTGATGAAATAAATCCCGCCGTGATGGCAATTCATCTCCGTAAAATAGAACATAACATGTCATGAAAGTGACACGGCTAGAAATCGAATCGGGAGCAGTTTGGGCAATGGGTGTCGAAGAATCGAGAAAGACGAGGGGGAAGGGTGGTAATGGAGTGAACGGTGGATGATTTCGAAGAGTAAGGACAGTGGTAGTGAAGGATGAGCAAAGATATTTTGAGGAACGAGTTTGTAGAGCGGTTTTGATGAACGGTGAATGAGCCGCGAAGTTTCCGGTGGGGAAGATGTCTCGTCCGCTTACGAGCGAGCTGGAACTTCGTCTCCTCCCTGCTGTCGGCGCTGTTTCTCGGCTTCGAGGTTCTCATAGAGAAGGTAGAGGGCTTTCTCGTTGCTCGCAGCGCTTCCAGTGATGGTGAACATGCGCTCGCCTGAGTCATCATGCGGAGCCTTGGCAATGGAGATGCGCGCACCCGAGCTCTTGCGGATCTCGCTGATCTTGCTGCCACCTCGTCCAATGATGCAGCCAACCATGTCGGAAGGAATGCTGATGTTCTGAGTCTGGATCTCTTCTCCATCTTCGGTCATGGTGGGAGGGGGAGGACGAGAGGAGGCATCCTGGCTGCGGCGGGGATAAGCCGGTGCCTCGTTGGTGAAGTCCGCACCATTTCCAGTGCGGTTGAAGGAACGTCCACCAGTTGCACCACCCAAGCCGTTGCTAAGTGGGCCAGTGCCCCCTTGGACGCGAAGAGTGGGGTTGTACAACACGGTGCCATATCCACGCTCGACATCATCGATCAAACACTTGCCGATTTCCCACACTGCCTTTTCGATGCTATCGGGCGTTCCTTGAACCTCGACGATTCGTTCGGTGGATTGTGGGAGCATCTCCTTCTGCGCGACCATGCGGACTCCGGACATGTCCTGAATCTGTTTGATCTTGAGGCCTTGGCGGCCGATGATGGTCCCCATCTGGTTGTGCGAGATAAGAAGGCGGACAGCTACACAGAGGGATTAGTCATGGTTACATTCCAGTTGCAGTGGTTGGCGATAGGACGTACGATGAGTGCCATTCGTGTTGAGCAGTCCACCCATGCCCATTTGTGGAGCACCGTCAAGCAGGCCCCTGGAGACAATTTGATATGCCTTCGCAATCCCGGCCAGGGAGCCCGAGACCGTGAGGACGCGGTCATGGATGCCTGGAACGACTTTGCTCACACCAGCACGCACTCCGGTCTCGTCGCGGAGATCGGCAACGTTCTTTCCAGCCTTGCCGATGATCACACCTGCCTCCTTGGAGGAGACGATGGCGCGGAGGGTCAACTGGGTCTGCGCATATTCTTCTTCGGTGCGCGGGATGACGGGTTCACCGCCCTCATCAGTGCTCAATCTGCCGAATTGAGACGAGAGTTCGGGGACGTCCTGGACGGACTGAGTCTGAGTTTCGGCCATTGTAAATGGGGAACGAGGTGGCGCGACGAAGATGTCGGGGAGGATTGAGTCGAGGGGAATGTCGCGATGCTAGTAACGGTCAGATTTACCGGCCCTCCGGTGCCTGGATGTACGATAGCGTGGAACATACACTGAGATCCTTCAAGAGAGGTGGAAGGAAGGGCGCGGAGCGGAATGGAAGCGAAAGAGTGCCCAGGGTTATGGACACGGGGATGGAAGATGGAGAATGAGATTGGTGGTGAGAAGAAAGGTGAAGGGGAGTGAGAGAGGGAGGGAGGAAGCGGAGTGGGAGCGAAGATCGAGAGTGGTGATAGAAAGTTTGAGTGACGTTGAGAGATGGGTGGAGGAGGAGGAGAAGAGAAGAGGCGGTAGAAAGGTTGCGAGGAGGAGGCGAAAGGAAAAAGGTGCAGAAGGAGTTGGACTCAGTGGGAGAAGTGAGAGGAGAGGAGCGGCGGTGGTGGGAGGTAGTGGGGGCACGTGATTGGTCCGTGGTTGTGTGTAGAGAGAAGTCGGCGGTGCAGGAGGTGGAGCCAGGATTGGGAGGAACGAATGGAGAGAGGGCAGGAACGTGGAAAGTGGAAAGACAGAGGGAAAGAGAGAGAAAGAGGGAAAGAACGGGCCAGTGCGATTAGTGTTCCAGAGGGAAGGAGGGGTTCGTGTGTGTCTGCCATCTGCCCTCTCACTGTGATTTTCCATTTTTCTCTCTCATGGTCCATGCACGTGCCCTGTGTGTGTGAGACTGTGAATGTGACTATGTGACTGTGTGGACTGTGGCCATGTGGGATGCTAAAGTTCACTTCGCCTTGAGCCCCAGCATGTGCATTGGTGTTGTGCAGTCATGTTAGGGACTTCTCCCCGCTTAGCGAGCCCCTTCTATGTTTCATGTTTGAGCCTCTAGTTCACGTTATTAGAACTAAGGTATTTCCGTTGTCTACTACTAACCAAAGAGCTGGACAGTTCGGCTTTGGATCTTGCATGATATACTGGTACAGATGTTCAGAAAACAGAATGCCTTCATGGCCAAAGTCCTAATTCAATAATAATATGACTATTATTACCCTATTTAGAAATCATCTAGCTAATTCATTAAACCCTTGGATTGCCAATCAGGGTCCCCTAGTTGATCATTTCCCTTGACCATCCTGTATTAACACCGACAATAATATCGTACTTGTGCTTCAACCAAAATTTCTCCAAGTCCCCTAGTAGATAGCACAAGCGAGGAGAGGGATAGCCACCCGCCACCAGGGCATCATAGCGATCATCGATCCAAACGCCCCAGAGGAATTCGCCGATACGTCCAATCCCACATTCATGTCAACGAATTGGAATAATCCGGAAACATTCATCCCTGGCATTTTTGAGTCTTGTCCTCGCCTCCGACGAATCCAAGGTACTGGAGTCGGTCAAGTAACCCATCACAATTCGCATCCATGAGCTCCACCATTACCTGCAGTGAGCTGCTCTTGAAACCGGCACTATCTTTTCCCTTGCCTGCGCCAGCTCGCGCAGAGCTACATGTAGCTAAAGTAAGGATGTCTGGTTGGTTGGTTGGCTGCCGGCTGGTGAGGTTGTCCAATGTGACGGTGAGGACAGAATCATGTCAGTCTTAAGAGACACCGGTTGCCAGTTAAGCCCTCCAATTTGGCATGGTATCAAAGCGTCAACGTAAATCGTTCTCTCACTTGACCAAGTGAACTTGGAACTTCCATCTATTTCATGGTGATTTGGCCCTCGGTGTCTCATCCCATCACATTCTTAGGAATCTTGTTAATGCATACTTAAGCAAGGAGGGACTGGAACCAATATTGCACTGGACGCGATATCCAACTAAGTACACTCATGAATCGAACTTCACCCAGCTTCCAGTCGATCATTTTTGGCCCTCAAACACCACTTTCTGGACCTTCATGCCGTCGAACAGTTCATATCCTTCCACAGCTTCTGACAATGGCATGATCTTGTCCGCCATGAAGCTATTTTTCGTCAGGTAAACCACGAGGTTCAAGGAGTGTAGTGGACCGAGACATGACTTACCTGAGTAGATGCTGCTTCTTCTCCAGCTGCTTCAAAGCTTCGGGGAAGATGGACCGCACCGGACAGCGTCCCATCTGGATGCGAAGATTCTTGCCATATGCTTGATTGGCAGTCCACGGGATCTAACACCGTCAGATTATCGGTCGCGCCGGATTTCAAGCATCACTCACCTCTCCGTTGTGCACTCCTGCACTGCTCAGGATTCCCCACGGTCGGAGGAGATCGAATCCCATCCTCAACGCCGGGCTGGACCCCACCACCTCGATGACCACATCCACGCCCCGTCCGTCCGTCAGCTCTCGAACTCGCTTGTCCAGACCATCACGGTTGGTCATGAAGTTCCACGGCTCCGCCCCGAGCCCTTTCGCCAGGTCTAACCGGCTGTCCACCCCGTCGACTGCCAGCAGATGTTTGGGTTTGTAGTCCAACGCATTGACGAGCGCGCAAAGACCGACCGGACCACACCCGAGCAACAGGACCGTGGAAGTTGCAATGACATCGGGCGTGAGGTGCTTGAAGCCGTTGTGCGCTGCGTAATAGCCGGTGGGGAAAATGTCGGCCATCAGGACGAGGTACTTGTCTTCGATTTCGGCGGGGGCTTTCATTACCGTGGTATCGGCGAACGGAATGCGGACCTGTTCAACGGTAAATTGCTGATTCAGTCGGATCGGACGGGTTAACGCACATATTCCGCCTGCCCGCCATCTAGACCAGCCGAGCCGAACAGTAGTCCGTTCGCGCACCGGGAGGAGAAGCCATGGGCGCAATAGAAGCATTCTCCGCTACCGACCAACTATTTCAGCCAGAGGATACACAAAGCTTGGGGAAGGGGTCGACCTGCGGCTTCAGGTCCGGCATACCAGGACAGAGTGAACGGTGACACGATCTTATCTCCCTTTTGGACCGTCTTCACCGAACTTCCCACCTTCTCGACCACTCCGGTGAACTCATGCCCCATGATGAAGCCCGTCGGACTGGGCTGGTGGCCCCGGTAGACATGGAGCTCGCTGAAGCACCGTCAGTAAGCCGGACTTGGCTGCGGTATTCCGTGATACCATACCTTCCGCACAGTGCCGTAGCATCCACCTTGACGATGATGTCTTTGGGATCTTGAATCTTGGGAACTGGTCGTTCCTCCACGACCACGTGCTTTGGCCCCTTGAACACCACCGCTTTCATTGTCTCTTTCGCCATGATGCCTCTTTTAATGAAGGGAAATACTTTCCAATATCAACGGTCACGTAACTTTTACGGACTCACGGATCGGACAGGGACAGATTCGGAAATATAGTCGCCGGGGGTAACCGAATGGCAATCTGGACCGGACAAGAAGGTTGTATCTGAAGATGCCCACCTCTTTTAACTGACGTTTGATGAATGCCGAAAAGGAGAAAAGTTGTCAGGCAGAATAAGATGAATAGGAAAGCAAAAGAACCTCTCAATGCAACAAACTCTGAAATTCATCTGATGCCATTTGAGGCCATTGCCCCACGGCGGCATTTAATATCCATCCAGTCTAGCCCCTCTCTTGGACGTTCATCGGCTCAATATCCCGCACCCCCGAAACTACCGTAATCGGCCATGGCGGGGTACTGTGCAGCGGACTTTGGAGCATCCACAGGCATTTGCTACCGGGGGGTTGTCAGCACTCGGTATTTCCGGCCCTAAGTGTTTATGTCCCGAGGTGGAATCGACGGGTAGAATAGAATAATGATGTATTCAATCATGATAAGAGCTGCCTGCAGACGCGTAAAACGTTTTGCAACGATGCAACGTACAGTGTCGGTCGGTATTATTGAGCGGGGGAGGTCCACCTGTGTCCCGGGATTGAGATTGGGCGACATGAGCCATCGGGATGGCATCACACTGGCCTGCGATTCTGCTCGCCATATGAGCACGCGTCGGAGATAATTCGGGACGAGAACTCCGCTGGAAACTCGAGACATATTCTAGGCCAGAAATGAAGGCAAATAAGACGCAGACGGTTGTTCCTGAGCGGATGGACAGGGTGAGCATACAAGACCGTCCTGAGCAGGAGAGGAAGCACCAGGGTGGTCTCCGCCAATCCCTAGATGGCACTCGAACGAGGATGGGCAACGGCACGGATATCTACAGGAATTGTCGGGTTGTTTGATAACATGGTCACGTAACGGAGCCATGGCACCCCACGATTCGCGGGATGGTATGGCGCCTGCGATCCGGGCGTTCGGAAGCCGAAGAGTAGAGTAAAATGTTGCCGTTGAGCGTTGGACTGCCATATATAAATCGTTCAGTAAACTTAAGTGTTTGTCCCATTACCTGTTCCGGACTACGCCATTTGTCAGGCTGCGAGTAGCATGCCTTACTCCGAGCGAGACGAGTTTGAGTGATGAGGGCACCTTAGTTGTTGATGAGAACCACGGGCTCCTCTTCATACGCTCGCCTCGCCTTTCGAGATATAAACGACGCCAAACGCCATATCCATACGCCCTCCCCACCAGCGCCGATACAAATCCATACTCCAACCCATCATAATCATCATCAGCCCTCGCCTCAGGACCCCCGCACCCTTACGTCACGGTGCAAAGCAGCTCGGCCTCCAGGATGAACTTCCCTTCCTTATACTTCTCGGACGGCTCGTAGGCCTTGTCGTACTTCCAGCCGACTGTTTCGTTGCACTGCTTGCAGGCGATGTCGCGCACGATGTGCTTGCCGGTCGTCATGCTGCGTTCGCCCGGGTCGCCGATACTGATGTTGACGACAGTCTCGAAGAGGTAGGCTTTGCCGTGTTGGCCACGGAAGTTCTGAGGGGGAGGGGAGGGTCAGTTGGGGACGATATATGCTTGGAAGGAGGAGGGGCTGTGTGGGAGAGGGATTGCAAGGGATTGGAAAGAACATACCCGGCTGATGATGTCGTCGTGGTTGGAGAGGTGCGTCTTGCACACCTTGCAGCCGTAGATCTTGGTGGAGGAGAGGTAGACGTTGTATGCGAGCCCCATTTTCGTTTTTGGAACTTGGCTGGATGCCCGTAGAGCTGAGGAGATCGGCAGGTACTAGATACGTATGGAGGTATGGAGGTTTCCTGGGCCAGCAGAGCACTGGGAGGTGGAACTCGGGTTCGGCGTGCGGAGAGGGGGACGATAGATGATGTTCGATGTGTTCAGATGGTGTTAGATAGATTGAAGGAAGCGAGGGGATTCTCTCTAACGGGGAGAGCAAGAGAACCCTCCCGTTGCAGAACCCGCGGGGGAGGCTGGTGAAGATGGTAGTCAGCTGGTGGTGATTCAGGTCGGTGGGCTAGTGACTGATGACCGGGTGAAGGGACACAGCGTTGGTGGGGTGGTTTGGTGGTGGGCGAGGTCACAGTACGTTAGTTTGGAAACAGAAGCTTGAGGTTACTTCGAGCTTTGTTTGGCAGATCCGAACAGGATGGTATAGTATCTTCTAGAAATGGGGAAAGAGATGGTTGCGAGTGGGAGGAATGGAATGGGGTTCAAGTCGCATGCGGAAATAGGAGGAGGCAGTGAGATTCCGATGAGGGATGAGGGGACCTGGACTCTCTCGGTCTCTTTAGACTCTACTTCCTATTTCTCGTCTCCTACAGTGATGATAATAGCGGACTCTTATTCTCCGCTGTGGCTTTGCTTTGTCTTTGCTTTGGCTTCAGTAGGTACCGCATACAGCCGTGTAATCCTGTCCTATACAGGGCAATATAGCGCCAATTATCATCCTTCCAATCCGTTTGCCTGGAGGCTTCTACCGGGAATCATCATAGGCAAAGGCAAGCGATTGAAAACCGGATTTATTGACATGCCGCTATGCCTTGGTACATATTGCAATTATATCTGAAATCCTGGATGGTGCAGGTGCCTATTGATCCAATGATGAGAATCGTAATAAGTACGAATACAGCAATGGAGTTGCAGCGGTGGTTCACAATAGCCATTCAACGCTCAACCGTCGTCTGGTCTGGACTTCGTGATACACCCCCAAGAACCATGCAGATGTTCACTACACCAATGACGGTATGCAACACTGCTTGAATCCCAGAAGTCCTTTTGAGAATGCCCTTAGGCTTGACCTCGTGCTGTCCGTGAACTGTTTGGTACATGTAGGTACTCTGTAAAGCTATCCGCTACTGGGCCCCAATGGCACCATGACTGCCCAACACGGCATATTACAGCTGGCCTTTGAAGGCTATGAGCAGGAAACCTGGTCAGAAATGAGGTAGACAAGTCGGTATAGTAATAGCAATTAAAATAGACATAGAAATGCTGACGAGAACTTTCACTGGCGCACCCGGTCACTCAGTAGACCAGACCCGCCCTCTGCACAGACGCAGCACAGAGACACCGTCCTCCCTTGGCCTATCGAACCTTCTGGCACCTGGAAATGTGCATGCTGATCTTGCTTGAGCCTTCATGGAGTCTCCTGGGTGGTGCACTTCTCCTAACCTTCGCTTCATCAGCACGTGTTTTTGCCTCTTCAACAGTTCTGATCGATGCATGCTTGGTCTTGCCTGTAGCTTTGCATTGATAGTGCACGGGGGCTCGAAACGACTCTTGTGATACCACCGATCGAAGCGATAATATTCTGCCGGTTGCCCGGTTGCCCCGTTCACCATCTAACAAGATACCTGGTATCAGGAACCTTGGATAAAGGTGGTGGTCTCAAACTGTCAGTTGTGACGGTGCTGAACAGGAGTGTGCATTGGATCAGTTGATAATAGACAACGGACTTTGATCACTCTGACAGCCTAAAGCACCGGCGTACCAGCGTTGGGCCAAAAGAACTTGGGCCGAGAGGACCTGGGCCAAAAAAACGACAACGGGAACTCTGCCGAAAAAAGGGAACGCTCCCACCGGCTCTCAAGCTTTGCCCTATCGCCGGGATTCCATGATTTCGATCCGCCGCCATGGTGCCGAATCTCAACTTCTTCAATCAAAAATCCAAGAAGAAACTGGCTGACAAGATCGATACCTCGCTCCCTCCCTCCGTCGAGTCTACCCCGCCGTCATCGCCTGAAAAGAAATCTCCCTCGAAACGAACTGCTGACAAAGGCGAGAAGGAAGAGGCTCGGAAAGATAGCTCCAGCGCCGGATCCGGTGGACGAGAAAAGAAGCATTCCCGCACCGCCTCGACTGGAAAGTCATCTAAGAAGGACAAGAATCGCGATTCGCACCCGTTGAACCTCCCTCCCGACGAGCTGCAGAGACGCTTCTCGCACCTGAGTCGCAGCAGCACCATGAGCGAGAATTCACAATATGCGACGGGCAGCCCGATGGATGTTGACCGCGAGAAAACTCGCACGCCAACCCCGTCTCCCTCCAACCCATCTCTCCATCGAACCAATTCCGACTCGGTGAAATCCAAGTCCACTCCGCAGAGACCGGGAAGCCCGCTCCACAAGGCCGGTACATTCCCCCGGAAAGCCAACGGCGCCAATGTCAATGGCACATCCGCTCATGGAGATGCACCCCCCGCGCCTCCTCCCCATCGTACACAAGATGCAGCGAAGCCTTCGGCCGATGCGGAGACATTCAAGGCCGCTGGCAACAAGTTTTTCAAGGCAAAGGAGTATGACAAAGCCATCCAGGAATACACCAAAGGTTCGATTCACTGCTTCGTATTGATTCATCCTCTTGATCATCTGGTTCTGACATCGCATCACAGCAATCGAAGCCGACCCCAACAGCCCCACATACCGCTCCAACCGCGCCGCAGCATACATGTCAGCCAACCGATACACCTCTGCCATGGAGGACATCCGAGCCGCAGATATGATGGACCCGAACAACCCCAAAATCCTCCTTCGCATGGCCCGCATCGAAGTCGCCGTGGGCAACCACGACTCCGCCCTGTCCATCTACGCGAAGATCACCCCTCCCCCGTCCGCCACCGACATGTCCCCCGCCGTGGAGATGCGCAAAGCCATCGGAGAAGCGAACATGCTCCTCGACGACCAGACTGCTGGCGGCACGCTGATCCTCCACGCACTCGAGCGCGCGGCAAGGCACCTGGGAGCCTACGTAACGTGGCCGCGGAAATGGCGCCTCATGAAAGCCGCGGCGTATCTCCGTATGGGCGCCGCAAACCCCTCGGGGAACGCCAACTCGCTCGGGGAGGCCGAATCGATTTCCATGCAGCTACTACGGGAAGCGTCCGGCGGGCTCGATCCCGACGCGTTGCTGATGCGCGCCAAAGCGATGTACTTTTCCGGCGACAGCGACGGGGCGATCAAGCACCTGCGGCACGCCATGAACCTCGATCCGGACTTCACGGAGGCGGCGCGGCTGTATAAGCGGGTGTCGCGGCTGGAGTCGCTCAAGGCGGAGGGAAATACATTGTTCAAGACCGGCTCATTCCATCGAGCCATTCTCAAATATACGGACGCCTTGGAGATCGACCCATCGGCGCGGTTAACGAACGCGAAAATCCTTTATAATCGGGGGTTGTGTAACCTCAAGCTGAAGAAATACGACGCCGCGGAAGAGGACTGTAGCGCCGCACTGAAGTTCGATCCGAGATACACCAAGGCCATCAAAACCCGCGCCACCGTCTGGGGTCAGCAAGGGCGATGGGAAGATGCGGTCAAGGAGCTGAAGGCGGTCAAAGAGTCCAACCCCGGAGAACCAAACATCGATTCGGAAATTCGCAAGGCGGAGCTGGAGCTGAAGAAGAGCAAGCGGAAGGATTACTACAAGATCTTGGGTGTAGATAAGGAGGCGGGCGATATGGAGATCAAGAAAGCGTACCGGAAGTTGGCGGTGCTGCATCATCCCGACAAGAACATCGGGGTGGAGGGGGCGGAGGAGAGGTTCAAGGATGTCGGGGAGGCGTATGAGTGTTTGAGTGATTCTCAGTATGTGTCCCTTTACTTTTCTCCTCAGAGACGTTGTTGTATCTCTCTGAAACTCCCTTAATACCCGGAATTTGTTGCTAACCGCTTTGTCACAGGAAACGCGCTCACTACGACTCTGGAGCCGACCTCATGGACCCCTCAGACATGTACGGCGGTGGTGGTGGCTTCCACGGCGGCGGAGGGGGCGGCGTCCCCATCGACCCCGAGGTGCTATTCTCCCTCTTCGGCGGCGCCGGCGGCGGCGGAAGACCTGGTGGAGGATTCGGTGGCGGCGGGATGGGTGGCATGGGCGGCATGGGCGGCATGGGCGGAAGCCCATTCTCGACGTACTCTGCGGGTGGAGGAATGCCGGGGCAGGGGCGAGGGGCCGGGAACTTCCCTGGGGGGTATCCCTTCTCGAGGTGATTGAGATGGAAGGCGATAGAGATGGATGGAGATTTTTTCTGTTCTCTAGGTTCGGCGGATGGGCAGTCCGTGCAAATCATGCCACAAAAGCGACTCGAGGGAGCGAAAGCTACATGGAGCTCATTTTGTATAGGGTATAGACGGACGGTGGGCCCTTTGTACAGCATGATCCAACTCAATTGGCGGAATAGACTACACGAATTCGAACGATGAGGATGCTTGCTCTATTTCATATTTCACCCCGCATTATCGTCCATCACCCGCCCACCCCCAACGCCGATCTGTGTCACCGTCCGTGAAGCGTCATAGCGCCGCCTCCAGCGCCCACAGCTCCGTCGTCGCGTCCTTAATCCTCAACGCCTCCACCTCATCCAACCGCTTGAGCGGCGCCCTCGGGAACCCGCCGTACCCGAAGTAACTCTGCAACGCCGACTTGGTGCCGGGGATGGCGCTCTTCGTGAGCACCCAGTCCCCCGTCGAGAGGACCCGCTGCAGGCGCGCCGCCTCGGACAGCGTAGCGAGCGGGTCGGGCGACGACGAGAGTGATTCCATTGCCTTCCACACCCTCACGCAGGTTTTCGGGAACACATTGGCGCCACCCGCGATGATGCCCGAGCCGCCGGAGACGAAGGTTTGAAGGGTGAAGTCGGCCATTCCGCCGAAAGCCATGTACGGGATGCCCTTGGCCTCCTCGGTGGAGGAGGTGGGAAGCCCCGCCGGCGCGTCCGAGAGGCCGGGGATGAGCGTGGCGGTGGGAGCGGGCTTGGTCTTGTTGTCCAGGTTGGGGAGGGTGGAGGGGTGCAAGGCATTCATGGCGCGGGCGACGCGGGTGAGCTTGCCGTTGTTACCGCAGGTGAACTTGCAGCCGACGATGTTGGGATGCTGGCAGATGCGGATCAGGAGGTCGGAATCCATGTCGATGCCGGCGACGGCGCCGGGGTAGTTGTAGAGCACGAGCGGGATGGGAGAAGCGGAGGCGACGGAGGTGAAGTAGGTGTAGATGGCGGCGTCATCCATGGCCGCTCGGTAGTAGCTGGGCGGAACCAGCAGCGCGTATTCTCCTCCTGCGGCGGCGGATTCGTGGATTAAGTCCAGGGTGAGTGTGACCGATTGCTCGGACGTTCCAACCATGATGGGGATGTGGGAGAAACCGGCCTGATCCAAGGCTGCCCGGACAGTGCGAGTAACGATGACTTTCTCGGCGCGGGTCAGATGCACCGCCTCGCCGTTGGAGCCCATGGTGACAATGCCAACCAGGCCGGCCTGTGCCAGGCGGACCGAATGGGCGCCGATGGCTTGAAGATCCAGGTTGTCGTCTGCATCGAAGAAGGTAAGGACGGGACAGTAGATTCCAGGACGGAGAGGGTTCCGGCTTCCGGAAGGCGGATGGAAAGATCCATTGGTGGCAGAGATTGAATGATTGCCATTCAAGAGTGGTCCATCTGCTGTATGACCATTTGCTGCCCCATTTGTGACGACGCTCTCAGTTGCCATGATGACAGTGCAATGCTTAGACGATGCTTTGATTCTGGAAACCCCAGAAGTTAATCAGTCACTACGGCTTTGAGTACAAGGATGGATGGCTATATAACGGGGCTTTCTCCGTGTTATATAGATCTTGCTACCACAATGGTTCGGAAGGATCCGTCAAAGCGCTGGCAGCTGGTGAGATGCAGATTCTAAGGAACTGCATGCAGGAATGCGGGGAAGCCTAGATAGGAATCGCAATAAATTGAGAACGACTCCGAGGAATTGACAGATGCAATAGAAAGGAAGTCAGCTGGACATTGATCTGGAGGATGAGTGCGAAAGGACCGAGAGAACCAAGAATTTCGCTGAGGTGATACACACGACACTCTACCCAACCTGCATCTATGGACAGGGCATTAATATAAATGTTAGGACATGCTCGGAGCTGATCCCGTCTAGCATGGAAAAATAGCATCAACCGTCCATCCCGAACCTGGTCTGATTTCCCGGGGCAAAAGGGGACGAGGATACCGGTATGTGGAGGGGATCTTACGAGAATGGAGGCGCTGTCTTAGCATGACTGGTCCAAGAATAGCCGGAGGGATATTAGCGGAACAGCCGCGTCTATGGGGGGGAAGCAAAGGAAAATTTGACATAATGTGAACGCGATGATCCGAACCGCTGTACGGGAAATGGAAGACGTGGGATTGTAAGACGTGGGATTGAAGACGGGCCGCTTCCAGAATTTGGAGCAGTAACAAGACTAGACAAGACTAGACCATCAGCGATGATACATTGTCCCTCATTGGCCGTTATCGTTCCTGATTCCTGGCGGAGATGGGGAGGGGATCTTCACACGAGAGGTCGAGACAGCCATACGGGCAGAGAGTCTGGGGATTCGGAGGGCTTAGGAGCAGGAACACGAATGCCAATTATGCAATTGACTAACCACGGGCGTTTTTTTCCTCATTGAACAGGCCTTATAACGGATCCTTTCCAATGTCGCGCCATGCTCTGGCATGCAGTGGTGAGAAATTGGGAGAGCCGACGTACAAGTTGAAGGAACAAGTTGGAGAAACGTCGTCAAAGGAAGCAGGAGATGGAATTGTTCCACCAATCACTCCAGGGGGAAGTCGTGGGGTAAACGCCGCAATCCATCACCTGCAGATTTCCATGCATGGCTCCTTGATTGTCCTGCGGCGGTTGATTTTTGCATGATCGGCTGTGACTGGATGCTTGTAGTTATGAGCGATTGCAACCGTTGGCTGTTCGTTTATTGATGGAATGAATTATGAACGGAGGGGAGGAGGAGAGAGCATCGTGGTTCGATCATCCGGAAACATTCCCGGTTCCACCATCAGCCTCCAAATCCTCTCCGGGGGACCGTCTGGAGGAAGATTGTCCTGAATTAACCCTGAAGATCCCATCTATTTCTCACAACAAGGATGGAATTGAGCGGTGGTATTTACCCGCGACTCGCGACCAGTGCGGCCTCGGGGCGGGGGGCATTAGAGACTATGAACAGCTCTGGGGTTTGCTGCTCGATTGAATTGATCTCTTTTCATTTATGAGTAAACTTTGAGACTCCAAGAAACATCCAAAATTGTAACCAGTTGCCCTAATCTTAGAGTATTGACTGTATACAATATGGCTCCACTCGATGTGTGCATGGTGAGTACAGGTCATTTCCCTTTGAGTTGAGGGACACATATTGACGGACTACCACGTAGGTCGGTACTGGGGAGTACACGACGGGATTTGTTGGCGGAGGAGCTTCCGGATCAGACAAGAAGGTGGGCGTGGTTGGACTGACGCTCTTTGACCTGCGAAGGCGAGGCAAGGTGGGCAACTTGAGTATGGTGGGAGTCTCAGGCCAGAAGTTCCCAGCAATCCGTAAGTCCTCCATCGTCCGAACCATATAGGACGAGATGGTCTGATATCAGGGACATTCTAGGAGAACACCTTACCAAGAACATCACCCAAGTCTACAACAATTTGGACACCAGCTTCGACTCCTACCCGGACAACAATACGTCCGACCCGGAGGCCTACAAGGCGGCTATCGATGCCCTTCCTCCCGCCTCTGCCATCACCATTTTCACACCTGACCCCACACATTTCCCAATCGCTCTGTATGCCCTCCAAAAGGGCCACCATGTCCTCGTCACCAAGCCTGCCACGCTGCTCCTCTCCGAGCACCAGATCCTTCTCGCCGAAGCTCGCAAGCGCAATCTCCTGGTCTACGTCGAGCACCACAAGCGATTCGACCCGGCCTACGCAGATGCCCGACACAAGGCCACGCAAATCGGCGACTTCAACTACTTCTACAGCTACATGTCACAGCCGAAGTCGCAGCTGGAAACGTTCAAGGCCTGGGCGGGCAAGGACTCGGACATCAGCTACTACCTCAACTCGCACCATATCGACATCTGTGCGTACCTGGCACCACAGTGGAGGCCCGCACGCGTGAATGCATCGGCGAGTAAAGGGATCGCCACCGGTGTGGGCTGCGTGGCAGAGACAGAGGATACCATCACCTGCATGGTGGAGTGGGGAAAATCGGTTGAAGGCAAGGAGGACCAAGTGGAGGATCTCGGTGCGAAGAGGGCGGTGGGAATATACACGGCGAGTTGGACGGCGCCGCAGAAGGCAGGCGTGCACAGTAACCAGTACTTCCACTATGTCGGGTCGAAGGGGGAGATTCGCATGAATCAGGCCAAGAGGGGATACGATGTGACCAGCGACGATGGCGGGTTGGCGTGGTATAATCCGTGAGTATCCCCAAATACCCTGGGACTCCATCGCTGGACACTAACTTGCAACCAGTTTCTACATGTCATATGCTCCTGGTCCCACCGGCGAGTTCAATGGTCAGTCCGGCTACGGCTATGTGTCGTTCGAGAAGTTCGTCGATGCCGTCACGGCCCTCAAAGAGGGAACAGCCACATTGGATAATTTCGACAATATGAATTTGCCAACGTTGAAGAACACTCTTGCCACGTCGGCCATTCTGGAAGCGGGACGGAGAAGCTTGGATGAGAAGAGACCCATTGATGTGGTCGTCAACGGCGATCAATGGGAACTCCAATAGTCTCGGCTGATGTGGGCTCTTCCTGGAATGTGTTTTCCCGAAGTTTGAGAAAATGAAATTCCCTGTAACCAGATTTATTCCTGGCTGGGAGAACAAGGTACGGTATTCACGTCACAATGGCGCATATATGAAGGATTAAGAAGTTCAATTATTTTAGAGCCATAACTAAGCTATTGAAACACTACGTGTCGCACTTCCAACTTTTGTGAACTTTGACACTGACGTGATTTGGTACGCGGCGGCATCCCGCATCTTCATCGCCTGGTCTCGCTTGCTCCGACCGGTTGACGTACAGTCTTACGGTCATATTTAGCCACGCCGGATAAGGTGAAAGGCGGACCGAGGGGCGTTGGAAAAGGCGGTGCAACCAGCTTCTCGTAGTATTTCCAAATACCGTTCGTTCCCGGAAATTCCTTTACTCCTGGTCCTGATTTCGATGACGGAGATCGAACGTTTCGAGACTTGCCCGCATGCGCCAAGCTCAGGCTAGAGGGTCGCGAGAAGATGTACCCGCTGAGGTATCTGGCTCGGCCAGATCGGACTGAGATAGCTTAAACTCATTGACTCGGAAGTGTGCAAGTCGCAGGACGGAGCCCGCACGCGAGAGGAAACAGGAAAGAAACGAGCAGGAAAGCAGTTCATCACAAGATGAGAGCCACATGCTAGCGTAATTAAGGCAAAAACAAATGCGAGCGTGACCACGCCGGTAGATAATGCTTGGGGTATCAGAAATGGGAGGGATGGGAGAGTGGGATCTATGCAAGTAGGCATCAATTCAAGCCTCATAAGTTCAAGACCCGTGTCTCATCGCCGAGAAATCGTCGTCGGTAGTTTGCGATTTCTTTCGCAACTAATTCCGGATCGTTTACGCCGCGTTGTCGAAGGACCTTTACCACCTCCTTGAGTCCTTCGGTCCATTTCTTGCGTTCGTCTTCGGTCTGGCCGGGGTTCTTTGTCCCGAGCTGAACAAGGATCATGTCGTCTGCATCGTTAGTGGCACAGCTGTCAGTAAGACCACCCTGAACATAGTGCAAGAACTAGTGAAAGAAAGGAGCATGCAAGGAACGAGTTGAATGGGCGGAGGAGGAGCCGAGTCCACATTACTGGCTCGAGAAATCAAGTGACCACAGAACAAACATACCACTCAACCCCATCTTATTCCAATGTTGACCTTTCTTGCACTTTGGGTCAGTACAGACACCGTCAATGTCATTCATACATATCGGCTTGTTCGGATCGATGCTATGGCTGTAAGTTAACGAACGGAAACCCCCGCGGACGTTCTGGGAGTAGTGCGGATGGTATCGATAGGACCTGAACATGCGCAAGGGGGACTCGTAAGCTTTGAAATGCTGGGAGCGAGCGTTCGCAAGAGCCCCAGCCGTGGGTTGAGGGATACTGGGCACGGGCACTTTCATTGAAGCCTCTTGGCTGGTAGCTCGAATCTGTATTTCTGGCGTGTTCTAAGAGATGTTAAATTCACGTACATTCTCTCACGGCTGAACAGGATTGCGGCACTTACAGATTCAAGGTCCATGTCTTCTGATTCCTCCGACTCCGATTCCGAACTCTCCTCAGAAGCTTCCGAAGTAGCACTAGGTTCCGCAGCTGCAATCTGGACTTCATCTGTCACTGCCTGCTTCTCCTCGGCGATATCTCGCTGTACCGGAGAAGCCTCCGCTTCAGATGACGGCTTGTTCTGGCGAAGAGCTTCTAGCCTCGCCCGGAGCAAGGCATTCCTCTCAGCCCGTTTCGCCTCGAGTATAAGTGCTTCTTGTGCCTGGCGCTCGGCGTCATCGGTATGCTTGTCATCAACCGCAGCAATCGCACGGTCTGCGTCTTTCTGTGAGTCACCTTGGGTACTAATGGATTCGACATGGGACGAGAGCAAAGCTGCAATCGGATTTGTGGTGTCGATGGGAGCGGCGTTTTGGACTTCGCCAGGCTTCTCGAAGCTGGTCAGATGAGCTGCGCCGATCGCACCTACTCGGTCTTCGCTGAAGACACTGGTCGATTGGCTTGGGTCAAGAGACTCCATCTCGAGGAATCCAGCAGCGACTTGTGCGGCCAGCGAGACATGATCAGGAATTGTGCTGTTGACGTCCTCTCCGATATCGGCATCTTGGGCACTCAAAGCAGCTTCATCGCCGATGATGTCCTCGGGATCATAATCATCGCTGTCATCTTCTTCGGCAGCAGACCCAACGGAGCGCTGTGAGCCATTGGTTGGAGCAAGCTGTTCGTCTTGATCGTAGAAGTCTTCTTCCTCGTCGACGGATTCGGTTGATGATTCTTCCATAGGTGCAGATCCACTGTGCAGGAGCGTGGAGACTACCTCTTGTGATACTTTGGATACCGAACCACTCTGAAGTGCCGAAGCACTTGGAATCCTGGATGCCGTAATCATCCCCTCTGCTCCATAAACAATTTCGGGTAGATCCATCTCTCTAGGATCATCTGGCGATTCGGGGGCTTGTCTGTTTGTGTCGTCGTCCTCCATAATCTCGCCCTCACTGACCTCAAGATCCATCGCCTCGCCAGGGCCAGAAGATTCGCTAGCATTATTGGGCGGTGTGCGGTCATCCTCGTCGTACAGCATCTCCTCGTCCTCACCGCCATCATAGATAGCGGAAGAAACAGACTGGCCATCGACCGAGTCATCCTTCTTGGTCGTGTCTTCGTAAAGATCCTGGTCTTCCCAGCCTGTCTCAAGATCATCCTCAGATGCCCGGCGCTCTGTGGGTATTGCATCGGCTCGAACAGACTCCGCAGAGCCCGGAATGGCCTCAAAAGCCGGGCCTGCTTCTGGCACAGCGGCTTCGGGTATAGTGGTCTCCAGTGGGACACCGACTAGGCGGGCGCTGGCATCTCCTTCCGAATTATCAACCTCATTGGCGACACCAGCACCAGCATCTTCGCCGCTGTCATCGCTAATTTGCATGAGCTCTTGGAGATACCTGTCTTTTTCCTCGCGCCTTCTCCGCTCTTCATCTTCTAGTTGCTGCATTTTTCTCTGCAATTCTTCCTTTCGCCGCGCACGGACTGACGTTTCACGGTAAGGCGACGGAGAAAGCGTATGGGCATGGGAGTCGGAAAGCGCCAATGTACTTGGCATCTGGGCCCGACTGATTCGAGGCGAGATTGAAGCTATTGCAGATCTTTCGGCATGAGCGGTTGTGGTGAAACCAGCTGGCCGGCCTGAGAAGGATGTAGCGGGATCGGATTTGACGTTCCTCTGAGCGTCGGGTTTCTTGAGCGAGCTCTTGGCTTTCAGTTTTGCCTGCATCAGTGCTTCTTTGGCGGCAATCTCGCGCTTCAGCCTCTCGATTTCCTGTTCTTTCTCGACCACGTTCGGCGTCTCAGAGCCGGAAGGTATTGGCGGCGTATCCAACGGTGCGCGGGATCGGGTTACGGTAGGAAGCGATGAAAGAGCGGGAAGGGGACGAGGCGGGGGAGGGAGACCGTCCCCAGAATTTGCTCCTTTCCGCATTTCAGATTCGATCAGGCCGGCTACTGCGGCCTCAAGCTCAACCGAATCTTGGATAGCATCTTCTGTATCCTCAAGAACCTCACCCTCCTCTTCCTCCTCATCTTCGTCTTCGTCATCACTAAGATCGATTATCATCCGCTCATGGGGATCATAGCCACCATAGGCGTTATGGACTTGTCCATAGCTTGCGCTTCGACTTGCAGTGAACGATGGACGTTTACTCAAAGGTTCCGTGTCAATATCGTCAAAGTCCGAAGCGACAGGCCTTCTTCGCTTATTCAGATTGCTTGACTGGACGGAAAAAGAGCCAGGCACAGGGCGGATAGGAGAGGAGAAGGCGTTTGGATAACCTTGGCCGTTCACGATGGGAGCAGTGCGAAGTCCTTGGCCGGTTGACATAGCAGTCGGGAAGGTCTCTGAAAGACTAAGTCCTGGGATCGCACCCATGGAAGAGGCTGGCCTGGCAATAACAGGAGCCTGGGACATGTTCTCCTGTTGCTGAACTTGACTTGACAGGTGATGTGGAGAATAAGCCGGTGCTTGTTTTGGAGTCCCTTGTGCTTTCTGCCTCAGTAAATGAGCCTCCAACCTTTGGCGAGCCAACTCTGTTTGCTTGCGTTTCTTTTCTTCTCTTTCCGAGATCGCCACCGCATCGGACAGTGCTCCGTTCTCCGGGATTGCGACGGAAGGACTTCTCTCCGCCTCAGAGAATGCGATGGCCTTAGAAGTGACATCTTCTGGCCCTGTGGAAATGGGAGGGTTGACAACTTTGGACTCTTCCGAGAGCTCTGCTAGTAGCGCTGATGGCGTGGGTATAGAGGGCGGAGCTTGGTCGGCATTAGACCCCGCGGCCTTCTTCTTCTTAAGAGCAAGAAGTTTCTGGATATATTCCTGACGCTTTGCAGCTGCAGCTTCTGGAGTTGTGCCCACTGATTGAGCAATCGTAGTGGAGGTTTTCATTGGCTGTGAAGGTGAAAGTCTGTGGACATCGGGAGAATATCCTGATGAGGCTGCACCCACGGCATTGTTCACCTTGACAGCTTCTGGAGTTGGATTGACGAGCCCAGGGAGATCGGTCGCAATAGCGGATTCACCGCATGGAGGGGCATTCTGGGTCAATGATTGATTGACTTCGGGAGGAACCAAGGCGGTAGAACCAGCGGGACGCTGGATATACTCCTCATGTGGGGGTTTCGGGGCAGATTTACCCAGCTTCGCGGCGGCCACTCGTGCTTTCGCTTGGGCGAGGTGGACACGAGCCTCGTCAAATAGCCCACTTAGTTGGGCAATTTCAAATTCAGTCCAAGGAGGATTTTCTTCCGCCATGTCACCAACGCTGTAGCCGTTCTCCGCCAATGTATTCACGAATTTCCGAACCCAATCTGGGTGAGGCACTGCGTGACCTGGCTGCGTGGCGGATGTTGTGGGTTGTGTGTGGTGGGAAGGGTCGCCTAGGTTTGTGTGTGATGGAATCGATTGAATGCTGGTTGATCCGAAAGGAACACTCGCAGGGACTTGGGAAGTTGGCGCTTGCAAATATGGTGGGTTGTGATTCACATTCAAAACATCTGTGAAAAATGGAAATGTTAATGTGTTTTCTGAAGAAAGTAATAACAGTACGATGAACCACTACTCCACAGGCTTCCCACTTACCGGCTGGCTCACTTGAACTGGGTTGCACGCCCTTGGTAGGTTGATCGGGTTTCTGCATTTCTGCATTATTTTCCTGACTGACCGGCGGCAAAGATGGAGAATAGGCTTCGTTGTCTTCTATCTCGATTGCTGCGTTTAAAGCATCATGAGAGGCATCTAGAAAGCAGTCAGATTCGAGATCGCATGGCAAGGAAGTGAATGAGGAGATCCAACCTTTCGCTTCACGTGCCATTTCATTGCCATGCAGATTGGCATCAGTTCTTGGTTCATTTGCACCACCTTGTACACTTCCCCATCCATCGGCTCCAGTTTTGCCATGCTGAGATGAAGGTGTGATGGGGTTTGTGTCGACATTACTCATTTCTAGATCTTGACGTGGCCTGGGCTGTCCGTTGGTACCGTTTGGTGTCAGTTGCGGCCCAGGGGATGGGAACCCAGGAAAGGTCGGATTTTGAGGGGCTTGCGAGCGCATTTGGCTATGTTGTTGGGCGTAAGGGGTATTCTGCATTGAAAAGGCTTGATACTGCCCTGCAGCAGGAGTGTTTGCGGCGTATCCAGCGACCGAGTGCGGGATGGGAAAAGGCATGCCATAACCCGGCGGTGTCTGATACTGAGACTGGGCAGTGATTGGCGAGGTCTGCGTGACCTGTCCCCAGTACGGGTTAGGAAAAGGCGGCATCGGCTGGCCGTAGTTTCCTGAAGGCAAGGTCGCGCTATGCTGGTATGCGGCTTGGTTTGGATGAGGCGTGTATCCGGAATGCTGCTGAGGCATTTGCATGGCATGTTGCTGAGGGAACATCTGCTGAGGAGGCTGCGAAAATGGTATGCTATTCTGCGCAGCATATGGCATCGATCCGTGGCCGAAATGAGGGTTATGGTAGTCACCCATCTTGACGACGATCTTGAGCGTTACTGAGGGTGGTGGTGTCGATGTTGCTGCTTCATGCTAGTGAGGTCCACAACATTATCACCGTAACATCAATGATTGAGACTGTGGAAGAGTCGAGAGAACAATAGGTAAATCCAAATGCTCAAATGACAGCGATCAGTGAGGACAAGCGATGGATAGGAAAGGACGAGATGGATTTAGTCCTTGAAAGCACTCTTGCGCAGTAGAGCGAGAGAAGGGATAGCAAGCTCTTGAATGTTGCTTGACTCTCGCGTCATTAAAATGGGAGATGGTCTCTCAATGAATTTTGGATGAGCTCCTTCAATAGGCAGCTAGGAGACAATGGCCACACGGGTAGATGGTATCGTTTTACTCCTCGAAAGTGACATGGACTAAGGGACAGCAGTAGAGTTGTCGGCCGGAGGCAAAGAATATCGCGAGATCGACCACCACTCACGTGACTCAACCAATCAGCGATCACCAGCTGAGGTTGCGCGACAGGCGCGAGTCGTCCGACCGACGCATGTTTGTAAACACCGATGTTCACCACTCCACCATGTCGTCTCGTGGACCTGAATGAACGAGGTGATGAAATGTCCAAAGAACAATTCCCTACCTTGAACAACTCTTGCCTATCTTGTGCTCTCTTTTCTTGGACCTCTTTCTAGAACCTCTTCCCAATTAATGGCACTCAGCTCTGTCATGCGTGCCACCCCAGCAGAACATAGTTGATCAACACCCAGTCGACCGTCATGTCGGTGCCAGCTCAGAATGGCCCAAGATGGCGGCGAGACCACTTCAGCAGAGAGTCTGCTTCTCCTTCTCCCCCAGTTGCATCCCCTCCGAATGGACGGCCGAAATCATCCATATTATCCTCATCCTTCCCACTATCCGATCGAACCAGCCATGCGCGACATCAATCCTTCTCACCCATGGTGAATGCTCCCTTACTTTCTCGAAGCGATTCCAACCGACAGCGATCGAATTCTCACAGAGGTGCTACGCATTCGACGGGGACATTTGCACCGCAGTTCATTAAGACTGAAGAGATGCAAGACGGCTATGAGAAGGTGTCTGGCATTGAAGGGGAGAATGATTTCTCCGGAAAGAGATATGTCTGGCTGAAAGACCCGGAGAAGGCGTTCGTGAAAGGTTGGGTTGTGGAAGAACGCGAAGGGGGACGTTTACTGGTGCAATGCGACGATGATACCCAGCGCGAGGTCGATTCCGAGAGCGTTGATAAAGTCAACCCCGCCAAATTCGACAAAACAGACGACATGGCCGAGCTCACGCATCTGAACGAAGCCTCGGTGGTTCACAACCTGCACATGAGGTATCAGTCAGACCTTATATACACATACTCTGGGCTATTCTTGGTTACGGTCAACCCATATTGCCCGCTGCCGATCTACACTCGAGACTACATCAACATGTACCGTGGTCGAAGCCGCGAGGACACAAAGCCGCACATCTTCGCCATGGCCGATGAAGCATTCCGGAACCTTGTGGAGGAGGGCGAAAACCAAAGCATACTGGTGACGGGTGAATCTGGCGCGGGAAAGACAGAGAATACCAAGAAGGTCATTCAATATCTCGCTGCTGTGGCAACGTCAGACACCCCGAGGGCTGCTAAGTCTGGTGGGAAACATCTCTCCAACCTTGCCGAGCAGATACTGCGAGCCAATCCCATCCTCGAGGCTTTTGGAAATGCCCAGACCGTCCGGAATAACAACTCCTCACGGTTTGGGAAATTCATCAGGATCGAGTTTACACGATCGGGGCAAATTTCCGGCGCTTATATTGACTGGTATCTGCTGGAGAAGTCTCGAGTGGTCCGGATCAATTCCACCGAACGAAACTACCACATCTTCTATCAGCTTCTGCGAGGAGCGGATCGAAAGATGAGGTCAGACCTTTTGCTGGACGGCATGGAACTTAACGATTTCGAATACACGAAACACGGAAATGATGCGATTTCCGGTATCTCCGATCACGAAGAATGGAACTCTTTGATTGAAGCCTTTTGCATCATGGGCTTCTCGGAGAATGAACAACGGTCGATCTTGCGCGCCTTGGCCGCAGTCCTTCACCTGGGTAACATTACTGTCATCAAAGAAAGCCTCCGTGCAGACCAAGCGTCGCTTGACTACAACGCCGAGAAACAAGCTGAGAAGGTCTGCAAACTGCTCGGTATTCCATCAGAGCCATTCATCAAAGGTCTCCTCCATCCGAGAGTCAAGGCCGGCCGCGAATGGGTCGAAAAAACCCAAACACCGGAACAAGTTCGCGCTTCTATCGATGCGTTAGCAAAAGGCATCTATGAACGATCATTCGGCGACCTCGTATCGCGTATCAACCGGACATTAGATCGAAGTGGATCCAGCAACGAAGACACGCACTTCATCGGCGTCCTTGATATTGCGGGTTTCGAGATCTTTGAAGAAAACTCATTCGAGCAGTTGTGCATCAACTACACCAACGAGAAGCTTCAACAATTCTTCAACCACCACATGTTCGTCCTGGAACAAGAGGAATACGCACGTGAGCAGATTGAGTGGAAGTTCATCGATTTTGGGAAAGACCTCCAGCCGACCATCGATTTAATCGAGTTACCAAACCCGATTGGCATATTTTCGTGTCTTGACGAAGACTGCGTGATGCCCAAGGCGACCGACGTATCCTTCACAGACAAGCTACATTCATTATGGGATCGGAAAACGCCCAAGTACCGCCGCAACCTTCTGGCACAAGGCTTCGTCTTAACCCATTATGCAGCAGAAGTCGAGTACTCCACGCATAACTGGCTGGAAAAGAACAAAGATCCTCTCAACGATAATCTGACGGCTCTTCTCTCCCAATCTTCTGATCAGCATGTGGCGCACCTGTTCGTGGACTGTGGCGATCCATCGGATGGAGACCCGACTCGCTCGAGAGTCAAGAGAGGGCTCTTCCGCACGGTTGCACAGAGGCATAAGGAGCAGCTTTCAACGCTGATGTCGCAGCTTCACTCCACCCACCCACACTTCGTTCGATGTATTCTACCAAATCACAAGAAACGGCCCAAAAATTTCAGTGCTCAGCTCGTCCTCGACCAGCTCCGCTGCAATGGTGTCTTGGAAGGCATCAGGATAGCGAGAACTGGATTCCCCAATCGCTTGCCGTTCGCGGAGTTCCGCTCGCGATACGAGGTTCTCGTCTCCAAAGACCTTCCCAAAGGATACATCGAGGGCCAAGCCGTGGTGGCCATGATGCTTGAGCGGCTTGGAATGGACCGGGCTCTCTATCGCGTTGGCATCACTAAAGTGTTCTTCCGTGCTGGCGTCCTTGCCGAGCTCGAAGAACGCCGTGATGCGCTGATCTCGGACATCATGGGTCGCTTCCAAAGTGTAGCCCGTGGTTTCATCCAGCGTCGTGCAGCGCATAAGCGACTATATCGAGCTGAAGCCACCCGGGTCGTGCAACGGAACTTTGCTGTGTACTTGGAGCTGCAGGCCAGTCCATGGTGGCAACTGTTTGTTCACATGAAGCCGTTACTCGGTGCGACTCGACAGGCAAATGAGGTCCGGCGCAGGGATGAAGCAATCAAAGCTCTTGAGGAGAAGATGGGCTATGAAGCCGAGGAACGATCGCGCGTGGAGGAGGACCGCCGGCGTACGGAGATTGAGATACAAAGAGTCCAGCAAACACTCGAATCAGAGAGAGCGCTTGCTTTGGACAAGGAGGAGATCTTCAAGCGACTTCAAGCCCGGGAAGCGGAGCTCGAAGATAAGCTTGCTGGCGCCATCGAGGATCTCGAGAAGACGGAGGATCAGTTGGATGCACTGATGGATGCGAAGAAGGCTGCTGAAGAAAAGGCAGACGTCTGGAAAGGAGAGCTTGAACAAGCCGGTATTATCATTGCCAAGCTCGAGGCTGAGAAACAGGACCTAACTTCTCAAATCAACGGTCTGGAGCAAGGCATTCAAGAACTGGAAAATGCCAGATCCCAACGTTCCGAAGAGGAGGAGAGCTTGATGCAGGAAATCAAAATGCTTTCGAGTCATCTCGCACTCAAGGAGCGGAAGATGCAGGATCTGGAGCAAAAGCTCCTCAAAACCGACCAGGACATGGACATCAAACTATCCCATGCCACGAAGGATCTCCAATCGAGTAAGAGACAAGTCAAAGAATTGCTCGACGAAAACAGGCAAATTCGCCAACAGATGACGGATCTGTCTTCCACGTCAACGAGTTTCGAAGATCTTATCAGGAGGAAAGAGAGCGAACTTGCTCTCTTGAAATCCGATGTGAAGAAGTATGAGTCGGACAGAAAATCATTCGACGACGAGAAGCGGTCGCTCGCCTCCAAACACGATAATCTTCAGACTCGTCTTCGAGAGGCACAGGCTCAAGTTGAGGCTATGAAATCTCATCAGTTGCAGCTCGAACGAGAAGCGGCCGATTCGAAGAAGATGCTGGAAGATCGCATCTCGGAAGCTCAGGGACGAAAAATGCTCGAGTCCCAAATCGACGACCTGAAATCGCAACTGTTCCAAGTTCAGACGGAACTGAGCCGCGAACGACAGTCCAGGGATGATGTCCAGATGCTTGGGGAACACAAATATCAAAATATCAAGCGCGATTACGACTCACTCAACGAGTCGAAGATCATCATCGAGAAGGAAATGTATGCTCAGCAGGATGTGTTACGACGGGCAACCGAGGCCCGGGCAACGGCAGAGCTGGAACGCAAAGAGTTCCAGAATGAACTGCGCGGCCTCCGTGAGAAGTATCTTGCTCTGCAAGAAGAGAAGCTGGAGATCCAGGAGGCAGCTGAACGGACAGTGTCTCGGGCGGCGAACGAGCGACAAGCAGCCTTGCGGAAGGAGATCGGCCTCAAGGATCAACATCTTGAAGAGATGGAGACAGCAAACGCTGAGCTTGCGGATCAAGTACAAAGTTTAACGAGAATGCTCGCCGATTCTGACTCGTTTAAAAACCGAAACGACAAAGAGAAGGATAGACTGGAGCGAGAACTCGTCACCATCAAAGGACGTCTGACAGCATCCGAGAACGATAATCGCGCCCTTCTAAATAAGGTCCAACAGAAGAACTTGGACATCGCCAGATCCAACTCTCGCGCAGGCGACACCCAGCGGTCCCGAATTGCGCAGCTGACCACAGAAAAGTCCAAGGCGGAAGAGGAGACCAAACGACTGTACCGCAAATTTGAGGATGCTCAGCTCACCATCACCAGTCTCGAGAAGCAGAAGGAGAAGTTGGCCTTGAACCTCGAGGACCTCAACCACGAGGTGACCCGAGAGCATAAGACAAGCCGAAATGCCGAGAAGATCTCCTCAACCGTCAACATTCAGCTTGCAGAAGTAAATCGCAAGTTGGAAACTGAGCGGCAGCTTCGGACCCAAGCTCAGGCAAACACAAGGGCGGTGCAAAATTCCCTGGACGAGTCCAACAAGGAGTTGGCTGAGTGCCGCAATCACCTCATCCTTCTCCGAAAAGTCTTCGACCCCACTCTGCCTGAGGGCATGGTGTCCTATGAGGCAGCCAAGCCCGACATTTCGAAGGCGGTCGACCTAGCACAGAGATTGGAAGCCGCACAGCAGACACTTCATGTCGCCAACGAGCGATGCGCTCGCGCAGAGTCACAGTTGGAAGAAATCCGCGCCAAGCATGAGGATGATATACATGACCTCGATACCCGTCACTCCAATTCGAAGCGAGCTCTCCTGGAGGAGTTGAACTCCAGCCAGATGAATACACGAACCCATCAGTCGCCCGCCGCGCAGTATCGCAAAGAATTGGAGAATCGCAAAACATTCTCCCCGACTCACACACCCCTGGCGCAGCGACATATCAGCGATGCCACCAATAACTCGGCTCGCTCCGACCGCACCGTTGACACCGTCACCTTCAGCAACAAGCTAGACCTCGCCGCCGAACTCGAAATGATCCAGACCCAACTGCAGATGTCTGAGATGCAGAATAAGCACTTGCAGAACCAAATTGATCGGTCCTCTCCAAGCAAGAATAGTTGGGTTGGTGACGAAAGTCCCAGCCTGCGGCGCATGCAGAAGCTCGAGAGAGAGAATTCCCGACTGAATGACATGCTCGATGACAGTGCGAAGAAGGTGACTGTTCTCGAGAATAGCCTTCAGATGGGCCATCTTACCTTGCAGGAGGTCCAAACGAAGAGTCACGAGGAATTGTACGATCTTCTCAATACCCAAGAACGGTCCCGGAAGAACCTGTTGCATTCTCACAACAGTTCCATCAACGAACTTGCTGACGCAAAGGCGGCCTTCGAGGAACTACGGCATGTCAAGGCAGCGAAGGAAGTCGAGTTGCGAGACGCGACGTCGGAGTTGGAAGACCTGACCTACGAACGCGAGCAAGAGCAAGCAAGCCACAACCAGCTCCTTCAGGAGTTCTCTGATCTCCAAATTCGGTTAGACTCGGAGACAAGCAAATTGGTGGATGCCAGCTCGAGCTTGAACCTATACAAGGCGCGGGCTGATGAGTACTTCAGCAAGCTGGAGCAGGCCGAGATCGCGGTTCTGAAAGCTTCCCGTGCGGAACAATTCGCGAAGTCTCAGGCAAGGGAGGCTGAGGAGACTTGTGCCAGCATCATGGCCGACCGGAAGCGCATGGAGGACACGGTTGAGGATCTCACACGGCAGACGCAGAGCATGGAAGTCCGAGTTGAGGACCTCAGCGCGGATCTTGACGGTGCTCTGCAGGCCAAGAAGAGACTTCAGAATGAGCTCGAAGATTATCGCTCGCAGCGGGCCATGGACATCGAGGATAAGGAGTCGAGCATGGAGCAGACTCGGAAGAAGTATCAAACCGAACTGGCCTCGCTCAACAACGAGCTGGAGATCGAGAGAGAATACGTCATTCACGCACGAGAAGACAACGGGCGCCTCCGTGAGGAAATCGAAGAACTCCGTGGTAAATGGGATGACGAAGTTCTCAACTCCAGCTCCTGGGCGAAAGAGAAGAGCCGCCTTGAAGTCGCACTCACAGACGTGTCCAATGCTCGTGACGACGCGGTGAATGCCCATAACGAGGCGCAAAGCAAGATTGTCAACACCCTTAGCCAAATCCGAAGTCTTCGAACCACTGTAGACGACGTCTCAAACGAGAGGGACGCGCTAGCCAAGGAGAAGAAGACTCTTGAGGGTCGACTTGCTGAAGCTGGGGAGCGTCTGGAAGAACTGGTGCGCTCTGAGTCACCCTCTATGCGCAACGCAGCGGCAATGGATAAGGATATTCTAGGGCTGAAAGCAAGGTTGGCCCAGCAAGAGGATATTGTTGCTGCAGCCGTTGGGAAGATGCGTCGTGCGGAAGCACTTGCCCAGGACACACAGAAGGACATTGCCTTGGAGCGAGAACAGAACGTTCAGCTGCACAAAGAGAAGGCAGCGCTGGAGAAATCAGCCAAAGACTTGCAGCTCAAGGTCGTGGACCTTGAGACGAAGGGCTATTCATCCGTGAGCTATGACGTGAGATACTTGAACGGCAGGATCCAAGAGGTAAGTTTCGCATCCATCCATCATCACCCAAGTTTCTCTAACATTTCCATAGCTCGAGAAGTCTCTCGAAGATGCCATGAACAACTCCGCCGCATCCGCCAAATCCTCCCGCAACATCGACCGCACGGTCCGCGACCTTCAGAGCCAGATCGATCGACGCGAGAAGCAGAATGGGTCTCTCACCGAGGACATCAACAAAGCTCGCGATAAGATCTCCGGCCTCCTTCAGACCATCGACGAGCTGCAGTCCACCGACTCCGCATCGCAACTCGCCGCCAAGCGGGCCGAACGCGAACTCCGGGAGGAGAAGGAGCGCTGCCTTCGACTAGAACGCGAACTCGAAGGGTGGAAAGGCCTCCGCGTCGAGCGAGGCAGTCTGCGGGCTGGTCAGGGCGGCCTGATCGCCGTGAGCGAAGCTGGGGACGTCCGAAGCAGAAGAGGGAGCTCCATCGGACCATCGCCGCAGGCGATTGGAGGGCTAGATGGTGAAGGTCCGCCGCCGAACCGGCAATTGAGACGGGTCAGTGCGACAAAGGGTTTTTTGTAGTTGACGTCGTTCCTGGTTCGAAAGGTGCTGTGGATTTGTTAGGAGTGCCCAGCATTGGGGACGACGTACGGAGCGAGGTTTCATCGATCAGGTCGGAGGCGTTTTTGTGAAGGTCAGGGTGGGAATGGAAATGGGATGAACCTCACGCAGCAGCAGCATATTTTGGGGCTTCGGAGTGTATATACGGTAATTAACGGTATTGCAATGAAACTTGTACCTCTTTCCCCCCACCCGTGATGTCGTGTGTGGCTTCTGTTTGCTTTCATTCCTTAGTTTGTTCGCCCGTCAAGAAGACGGAAGCTGTCATGCCTTAGCTAAGGAGGGCGGATTAGTGGTGTCGAGATAGTCCAGGGTCGAAGTCTGGGGAAGTCGGCGGTGACGTCGTTTGTAAAACGGAATTGCCTCCGCCCAGTTTCGCACTATTAAAGGGTCGAGAAAGCCGTGAAGTTTTTGTAGTTCTATTTTTATGCGTATTGGATTAAACTACATTTTGGCTAGCATCCGGTTTCAATACTAGTAAAAGTTTTGGGTTCCCTGAACTTGACAACAAAGTTCTAACCAGCTGAGCCAGATCCAGTTCATCGACAAATACATCGCAAGCAATCATGTCGTTTCCCGTGGTCTTCACCTTCGAGGGATCTGCACGACATGAAGTGCTTTTCATCAGTCCGCAAACCAAACTTGCGCTACTCAAGCAAGATATCATGGCATGCCGGGACTCTCCCAACTGTCAGGAGCTCTTGTCCAAGTACAACCGATCGCAGAGCGAAGAAGTGACGAAGCTCACGGTCCGCTGGGCACGAGAGGGACGGGATCCCAAGATTTTCCCGTCATCTACGATCATCACTGATCAGAATTGCGAGGCGGTTTTCGCGCTGATGCAGGTCGGAGTTGGGAAGGATGTTTTGGAGGTTCGGATAGGTGAAGCCGAATAAAATGAGCTACTGTTGGAGTTGAGGATGGGGAAAAGATTAGGAGTTGAAGACTGAGGATCTACGGGGGATTGTTTTGTCACGGAGCTGTCATCTCATCTGGATAATTAGGATCTGTATTCTGTTATGTATCCTTTCGGCGGCTAAGCTTGTAAGACGATGGAATCAATATCATTTTGTTCATCAAACTTTGATCTGAGTTGGTCTGGCCTGATCATCATCATTCTGTTGAAGATGATATTAGCCTGAGGCAACAAGGCGCCAAATCGAGCTGCGACATGGATTGGATCTGGATGAGATATTGGATGACTGGGCTGGAGTGACTCCATCTCAAGTCCTGTAGAACACCTTTCATTCTCTGGGACAATATTAGTCTTTCTTGGACCGATAGTGTGTGGATTTTGTTTCATTTGCGTTGTGCAAAACATTATTAGACATTCAGGTTTCCTTGTCTCTGGAACATCTGAATACAGCAACGTCCACTCCATCAGTAAGGGTCAGGCGGCATCGCCTGCCCAGTTGGACCGCTTGGGTATCGTTTCCTTATGCCGAAGAAGCAGCGCTTCTCACAATCCGCTCATTACAAGAACACGGCTCCGTCCGGTTCGTACTCTAATCCATCCGCCAGCTCATCGCGGCAAGATGTCTCTGTGAATGATCTCCTCGCCCGCCACCGTCACGCCTCCACCCCACCACCAACCGCGGCCAAACGAGCGGCGGTAGAACGAATCGTTTCCTCCCCAACCCTTCCCCCGAACATACGACAGATCCTTGATATCCCTGAAAGCGACGCTCCGCGACCACGGCCTCCTCAGCGTCGAGGGCAACATGGCACCAACGCTCGTCCCATGGCGCCGACACCTCTGCGACATGCAGCTGCGAATGCCATCCAAAGGGCAGCAAGGCCTCCGCCGGGTCCGGCTGCACCGCAGAGCTGGTTGACCGGTGATCTCGATGATCTGGACCGTAGCAGACATGCGCCCGAGGACGTGAAACTCCGAGCCAACCAGCGCATTGACGATGCGCTTCGAAGGCGGAGGACGCATCCTGGTGTGCGATGGACGTTTTCGAGTACCAGACTCAAGGGTGAATCTTCCAGCAAGTCGAATCGAGCGGATGATGCAGTATACATGCCAACCCCTGGGAGTCTTTCAGATATGACGCTAAAGAGCATGGCGGCAAATTGGGAGTTCATTGTGGAATATGAGCAATTGAACTTAGCCACTCTTTCAGGAACACTAAAGAGCCAGCTTCTAGCCTACATCGGTATCTTCGGCCCGTATGATGGAATTGACCTTGTTGGCCTCAAGACACTTTTCCTCACAAATGAGGAACTTGAAGGGGCAACTGGAGGGGACGAAGTCGAGTTCTTGAACTTATCAGGCTTACTGGGCGGCAGACTGAGTTGCCTAGATCTGAAGAGATATTTCGAGTCATCTGGGAATGCCAAGCGGAAAGTTGAATCGGCTCAGACATCGAAAGCGCGATTTCCCGAAGACGAGATTCCCTTGTCCTGGGATGCTGAACCAGAGAGCGGTGGTGTAGCTCTACCCGCGTCGCTAAACCTACGATTCCCTTGTTTGACCCGGCTCTCCCTCGCCAATCCCTCCGCAAAGTCCGCATCATGGTCCGATTTGCTATCCTTCTCAAAACATTTCGCAACACTCACCCACCTTTCACTGGCATACTGGCCAGTGCCAACAAGGACCCCCCATGCGACCACCGCCGTCGTGGTAGCCGACCGCGCCCCTGGCGAAGTGAGCCTTGGAGGCACACACATGTACTCTGCTATGGATGAAGACTGGCACGAAGCCGCCAGCATCCTCCGGCAGTTGAGCAAAAACACCTACTGCCTACGCTGGCTCGACCTCGAAGGCTGCCACCAGTGGCTCAAAGTTCTGATCTATGGGAACAACAACCCGACCTCACTCCACGGTCCAGATGCACGGTCAACCCGTCCTTGGCTGACGTTATCCCAAGACCACAACTGGGAGGGCGCCTCGTCCGAATTCGAAGCATATTTCACCGAGCCGCCCGGCCCAGACTTCAACTCGTACTGGCGGCAGATCCGCTACATCAACATGTCGCAAGGCTGGATCCCGTCCGACGCGGGCGCCATCCAGAGCCTGCCGGCCGGCATGATCTCGATCGAGCTGCTGGACTACCTCCGCAAGCGCTGGAAATCCGGGCGGCCGAGCATCCCGATCCAACCGGATGCGTCGCTGCAACAGGTGAGGCAGTGGATCTTGCAGGAGCAGTTGGCAAGGGAGATTGCGCGCAAGATTCGGCAGGTGCGCAGCGGTCAGGGAGGCCTGTATTGTGAGGTGGATTGTGGATGGGGCCTGGATGAATTTGAGGGAGCAGAGAGTGGGGAGGAGGGATAGGCGATAGCAGCCACTAACCCCGAAGACGAATAAGTTTTGTCATCCATAGCTGAGTCTGTATTGCCAGGCTATTATTATAATATAACATCATTCGCTTGAGCCTTAGTGAAGACTTGTTCAGCTATGGGTTGGGTATCTGGCTTGATTGTATACTGTTAAATCGATGCCATTCATTCATCCGGATCATATAGATCGAACCCTAACGACGGCTCTTGCTGCGGCACCGTCTCTCTCGGCCTACTAACCCCCCCAGTCCCAACGTCTGCAGCCTTTGCCGGAACCGCCGTCTCCTCCCGATTCTCCTCCACGCCACTATCTAAAACCTCCGTCTCCACCTTCCCCTCTTCCATCCACACCGGTTTCACCCCCCTGATCGCCGCCAGCGTCCCGTTCTTGATACTCTCCTCATTCGGCCACGGCATAAACGGCGCCCGCGACATCTGATCCAGCCACACGCGCTGGTCCTCCGTCAAGCTCTTCCACCCGACGCCCATCCCCCGCCTCGTCGCCTCCACCTCGCCCTTGTCCTCCGTCCGCCGTCCGTCCGCACCTAACGCCGACATTCCCGCCCCCATCTCCTGCCCCTGTTCGCCGTGCGGCAATGTTTCCGTCACAGGTGCGGGCGGCGGTGGCTCACTCAGTGCTTGCGTCGGGGGGACGGTAAAGCGGCTGATATTCCTCGCATAGAACAGCAGCTCATCGACGGTGACGGGACGGGGTTTCGCCGCATCTTCGTCCGACGGGGTGGACGGCGTCGGCTTCGCGGCTAGCAGCTCCTTGCGCGTGTCGGCGACGCGGCGGAGGGTGGATTGGATGTGCTCCTCGAGGTGGGTGATCTGGGAGCGGAGGGTGAGGATGTAGGTGTGGTTGTGCTGGTGGCGTTCGAGGAGGGCGAGGCCGGAGCTGAGGTCGGAGTCGGCGGCGAGGAGGTCGGTGGCGGTGGAGGGTTGGGGGTTGTAGGTGGTGATGGAGTCGATGAGAGCGTTGAGGGCGGTTTCGACGCGGTCGAATTGCGTTTGGAGGATGGTGTCCATCTTCGGAGGGTTTCTATGGCTTCATGAACCGAGTTTGATTTCTGCCAGCAGGTTCTAGAGGTAGTCAGAGACTGTGGACCGTTGCTGCATTGGTGGCTGTTCTAGATATACCCAGATTGGCGAGAGCGGTTTTATATCAAGAGAGTGGAATCCGGTCTTTGAGTTCGGGAATTGTATCAGGTGCCAAATAAAGTACTGAACCCATCATCCTCAGTTGTACCAAGGTGCAACAGTATCGACGTTTTACTCTCCCAATGTTTCAATTCAACTAATGTGAGTGAGTGAGTGAGTGAGTGAGGTCAATATGGTGCCTTGTTGCCTCACTATGTCGCCCGTTGATGCCTTATTGATCAGCCCAGGCCCCTCCGGGGGGACGAAATTGAATTACGTTTCTTGGCATTCCCCCAACCATCACCACCATTATTACAGGCAGGCCCAATTCGCTCAAAAACAACATAATACCAAAAAGTATGCTCTTTTCCTAATTAAGCAACTACTAGAGATCTGTTTTAGTGAATTCTCCGCCGCGTTCTGGTTAAGATCGTGGGAACTGTGCTTAGGGGAATGCCAAGAAAGGTAACTCAATTTCTTCCCCCCCGGAGGGGCCACTGAGCCAGGCCTAAGCCGTCGTATTATTATGAGCCCTGTTTCCTCCTCCTGTAGTCATCTGCTAATTTTCAGATTCAGATGATACATGTTGCAGCTGAACTAGCATTGGGCGGTCTAAGCATGCAATTGGAGCGGATATTAGAGTGTTGTTCATGGAACATGGGAAGACTTCATTGTAATCTACAAAAGCAGCCGATCGTTTCAATAAGATCACGGTTCCAGGTCCGATCCCGCTTCTCTTGCTTAGGATTGATTTCCGTGTCCGTTTGAACCATGACTGCCACGGCGTTCCTCCAGACTAGCTTGCAATCGAGCCCCACCCCACGGCCGACTATCGTGAATCAAAGGTGAGACGCCCTGGACCGTGAATGATCTCGTCAATGATATCCAGGACCGGATCCACCATCATAGGGTCTTTGCCATGTACATAAGTGTTAGGCATAGGGATCAAGGTCTCAGCGGTGTGCGGTTCCGAATGAGCTTGGGCTGCGTTGGAAGAAGTCGTATTTCCTTCATTGGGCGAGTTTCCTTCGCCGGGCGAGCGCGGTTTCGGTCCATAACCGGCAGTGGAGGGCACATGGGTTTGTTTGACATGATGTGCGAACCAATTCTGCGGGGCCCTCACCCTCTGGGAAGTAGCTCGCTTGAACTGTGAAATGTCAGGCTTGGCAAACAGGTCTCGATCATCGTGGAGATGTCACTACCTTCTGCATCTTCTGGCGCATTCCTCGACGACAGGTTGACTTGTCTCGCCAATCGCAGATCTTCTCAATGTCGTTCCATTCTAGTCCTCCTTGACATGGTAGCCACAACGGCTTCCAGGTGTCGTCTTCTGGGTCGTGAACGCACTGTATGTAGGAGTAACAGTCATTCGGGTGGGCATAGAGACAGTCCTTTGGACCTAAGCATCCGTTCGTTTGTATTATATCCTCCTCAGGGCATACGAAAGACTTCACATAGGGATCGGGTCGATAGTGACGGTAGATTAGCGTGCCGATGATGATGGTGAGGACAATAGGTGTAACAATGAAGACCATAGCGAATCAGTGGAAAGGAACAATAGAGGACACCGGGTAACCAAATGACGGAATAGACTCTAATAGGCCAAAATAGGAGAGTAAATCGCAACACTTGACGGATTGTTGGTTGAAGTGTTGGACTGCGCTGATGTTTGGTTTACGATTGGGGATTCCCCGTTTCCGCCATCTTAGTCCTCTGATTGAAGCGGCGCCTGCCACGACCGACTGAATCCTCCCGTCGCCTTGCGCTTGTCATATTGGTGGTGGTGACTGCAGCTCCTCTCATGGAGCAACGAGAGACTAACACGTTGTTTCCTTTACTGTGGTGGAACTATACGTCGTTACGATGTCCCATATGTAGGCGCGAGACTGGACTGGGTGTGAGACTTCGGAGTATGGGGATGCCCAACTCCAGGAGGATGTCAGGTTGGACAGATGTTGGGTATGCAGCAAAGTTGTAGCGAAGATGCAGGTCCAGGCCATACAGATTAGTGATCGGAGCATCTAGAATGGGTGAATCCCGGCACGGTGCCCATCGCTGTTCCTCATTGGCAGCTTGACCATGCCGTGCTCAAGATGTAGCAAATGATAATGATGATACAGGTGAAAAATGTTCTGGAGGGTTAAGTTGCTGCGCCTCACACTGTCAGTACGTTGCAACTTAATTCGGTTAGACTCCGCTGGGACGGCGCTTGGTTGACCTCACGGCTCACGTCCTTACTAGTTACTACTATGGTACGGGCACCACCACCGGCACCACCACCAGGAGGAGGGTCTGGGTCTGTCAGTCCACACTCCACACCATGACATGCCTGATGCCCACCACCTCAGATACCACTGTTACCTCCAACTCGACACAGGTACATCAATCATACTCCGTACGTTCCCCTCTTTCGCCTCCGCGACTGCGCCTTTTCCTGAATATTGCCTCTTAAAGACTCCTGCCACTTGGAATTATAATCTCTCCCCTCTCAATTCCCAATCCTCTGTTTACGCCCGCGTGGAATCGAGTCCCTCTCCCAAACCGCTGCTCGAAATCTGAGACCGTTGCCGTTGGCGCAACGAGGATCCGATCGCCAATATGGGAAAGTCGTAAGTTCCCGTTGCATTCCTTTATACGATATCTTCGTTCGCGCAAACCGGTCGACCCGACGATCCCCGTTCCCGTCCATCCCGCTTCAGCGTTGGCATCTGCGGGTGAGCGCGGTTGGAGGTGTCTTCCCACAATCGAGTTACCAGCACTTCATACCTGTCTTCCGCTCGATCAAATGTTCGAAATGGCGCAATTATACAGCGAGCCGTATTGAGGGGAAGCGCAAGCTGACATTTCCCTCGCAGTCAGAGTAAACTCTCCCAGCAAGAGCTGGCGGACCTGCAAAAGGCCACCCATTTCGACAAGAAGGAACTCCAGCAATGGTACAAAGGTCCGTCTACTGCGCAATGGCTGCATTGAGTTAGGGGGCGTCGCTTGTCCACGTAACATTCTACTGACACATTCGATAGGCTTTCTAAAAGACTGCCCCTCGGGCATGCTCACCAAAGAAGAATTCCAGAAAATATATAAGCAATTCTTTCCCTTCGGCGACCCCTCATCATTTGCCGATTACGTATTCAATGTGTTCGATGCCGACAAATCCGGGTCGATCGATTTCAAGGAGTTCATATGCGCGCTAAGCGTAACGAGCCGAGGGAAAATGGAAGACAAACTGGACTGGGCATTCCAGCTATACGACATTGATGGCGACGGAAAGATCAGCTACGACGAAATGCTGGCGATCGTGGAAGCCATCTACAAAATGGTGCGTCTTCAATCGAACATGCGCCTGCGCAGTGCGAGACTAACCCGTCACGTCAGGTTGGATCCATGGTGAAGTTACCCGAAGACGAAGACACGCCGGAAAAGCGCGTACGGAAAATCTTCCGCATGATGGACAAGGACGAGAACGGCAGCCTGGACATGGCCGAATTCAAAGAGGGATCGAAACGCGACGAGACCATCGTTAGCGCCCTTTCACTATACGATGGGTTAGTGTGATGACGTCTACCCCAACGATCTTCCCCTCGCAAGAACTTGTGCGGGCTTCGGCGTTAAATTCAGCTGTTTTGGGTACCTTTCTGGCGGAAGGGGTGAATCTGGGGGCGTTGGAGCGAGAACGGTTGGTGGAGAGAGTCCCAGGCAACTGGCTGGATCGTTCCCTCCCGAACGTCCCCCTAACCCACAACTGGTGATTGATGATGGAACGATGTCTTCCATGAGAGCACGCGCAAGCATGCTGTTACGGCTTTTTCGAATATTTTTTGTAACGTACCTGTAGTTATCCCCATTAGCGAAATGCGGAAAGTGGACGAACTAGTACCGGGACTCGCGCGTGGTTGCAATAATCGATGTTCGTGGCGGAGCACGATCGGGATGCATGACAATTCCGGTCTGAATAGGGGAATACTAGGGCAGTGCTGCATGCCATGGCAAAGCAATGCTGCAGCAGTTTCACGGTATTGATCACAACATCATGGCCAAGTGATGCCTCCTGAAACCCATCCACATCTGTGCCCAGGTGTTGAAGATGTGACTGTGACGCCCTGTGAGTCTGTGACGTCCTGAACTCCTGATGGGAAGTGACAGACGGAACTTGCCGTCCCTATCGATTGCCCAAACACGTCCTTTCACCTCGTCCGCAACATGGAGAGAATCTCCCACCACTTTGAGCCTCCATCATCGAGCTTGGGAAGGCTCATATTTTCATAGCCTTCACGGCCCCTTCGTCTCATTCGTTCTACTTCTTTGCTGGTGTTTCGGGTCTCTTCAGCTTCCATTTTCCAGGTGTTCCGGTTCAGGGACATCATCTCGACTCGCGCCGTCGCCCGCTTCATGTCGATCCTCGCGTATTCCCTTGATTGAGCGGATCGACGAGCCGAAGTAGGAAGATACAGACGGAGCGCAACGATCTCTGTAGAGTGGAAATCATGGCCGAGAGCAAACGGCAGTCCATCGGTGGAAAGCCACCGGCGACCAAGTCCGGTTTCACCGAGCCAGATATGGCTCTCGCAAAAGCGATTGGTGCAAGGTACGTGACCTCGTCATAGTCTTGTTAATCAGATATATATCATCGCGAAGCTGGTGTTCCCTTAGCGATCTTTCTGGCGGCACCATGAGCTGAAATTCTCCCCATCCGTCGAACTAACCTGTCGCAGAGTCAGGATCACCACTTCCTCAGACGTTGTCCTTGAGGGCACCCTCTTCACCGCATGTTCTGCCACCAACCTTGTGGCAATTAACACCGCGCCCCCTCCTCCGAATCCAAATGCATCAAACCAGCCGGGCGATTACCACATAATACCCGTCTCGCAGATCAAGTCATTCGAAGTCCTAAGCCTTTCGGCGGATGGCTCGCAACGCGATGCAGCAATCTTCGAGACCGCAGTACCGGCTATCTCCAAGGTCGATATTGGGGCGCTGAAGGCGAGAGAAGAGGCGGCCATTCGGAAGTTGAAAGAACAGGATATGACGCGGGGAAAGGGCGTAACTAGGGAAGCGCAGGAGATATTTGACGCGCTACACAGGATGTATGCTCTTCCATCCTCCAACAGTATCTATTGCTCTCTAAAACTAACTCGAACACAGATTCCCCACTCGATGGCACGGTCAGGCTATCATTGTGAACGACGCGGTCATCATCAAATCGCCGTATAGATTAGAGGATTGTCAGGCCGAAAAGGACAAGCAAACCAGCTTGGTCCAGGTCAGGAAACATCTAGAGGCGTATATGAAGAAGAAAGGTCAGCAAGGCGTGAAACCCGCGGTGGCTACCCCGATTCCTCCGCGAAAGGGCGGGTGATCAAACGGGAATGCTGCAGAAGATAGCTCTCGTGTGCTTGGATAAGTCGAGCCGGAAGGGAAAGGCCTAGCGTTGCCGTAGCCTAGAAGCGGAATATATTCCATGAAACGCAGCCTCATGGCACCATATTCGAACTGTGACCGAACAGCTCGTAGCTCTCACCTGATAGCTCCGACATTTGAACAGGAAACTCAAAATTCTGATTGGTACTTGGAATTGGTTGATGCATCTAGGAAAAAATCATGGTACGCCAGGTTCCCAGATACCGAAATGACTGCAAAGCTGACTGATACTTTGTGATGAGACAACCGCCCTCCAGGACCCCAGGACCTCGTGGTGCCAATCTATGCTATGGTATCAACCTTGCGCTTCTTGGAATTGATTACCTCCTCAATCTTCCCAAACATCATGTTTCCGCTGAGTTCTCGCAAAGGGGATGACTGACGGCCTCCAGGTGCACTCGAGCCGTTCTTCCAATTTGTTTCCGGTCCCGACACTTCGTTCAGTTGCACATCAGCAGCTAGACCTTGAATCTCTGGGAACGGACTGAGGATACTTGAGATATCTCCCCACCAGTGTCGGTGGGCCTTATACCACTGCACGGTCCGCTGCAGTCCTTCATCAAACCGGACTTTCTGCTCCCATCCGAGCTGCTTCAGCTTGGAATCGTCCACGGCATACCGGCGGTCGTTGAACGGACGATCTTTCGTGTATTCGATGGATTTAGCGACGTCGGAATCTTGGATTCCGAAGACCTTCAGGAGCTTGTAACACAGCTCCATATTGGTGACTTCGTCCGCTGAACCGACGTTGAAGATCTGCCCGACCGAGCCTTTGTGTAGGATCGTGTCAATCGCGTCGGCAGCATCGGAGGCGTACACGTAACGTCTACTGTTCAGCCCATCACCATGGAGGACGAGCCTCTTTCCGCGCATCAGCAGGTTAATGAACTTGGGGATGACCTCTAGGATGTTGTCAGCTGATGAACCCCTCTCGATAGACCGAACACTCACTCTCGGGATATTGATGAGGACCGTAGACATTGTTGCCTCGAACTATGATCACCGGCGACCGGAAACTCCTCATATACGCCGTCACCATCATTTCCGCGGCAGCTTTGCTGGCAGCGTACGGGTTCGTTGGAGACAGAACGCTGTGCTCGAGGAGATCTTCGTCGTCATCGCCCACCTCACCGTACACCTCATCCGTACTCATGTGGATGAAGCGCTTGATGTTCACGGTCTTGTGGTTCGCACATTCCAGCAGAACATGCGTGCCCACCACATTGTTCACCGTGAAGTTGTACGAGTTGCCGAAGCTCAAGTCCACATGTGACTGGGCCGCGAAATGCAGGATGGTATCGATCTTCTCTCTCTGGAGCGCCGTGAGAACGTCGGCCGGATTACAAATATCGCCGTGGAAGAACCGGAAGTTGGGATAATTATCCAACATTCGCGTATTGTTCAGCGATGAGCAGTACTCCAACTTGTCAAAAGACACCACGTTATATTCGGGGTAGGTCACGACCAAATGACGGACCACCCAGCTCGGACTATGATGCTCTGGTAAGTGTCCTGGTGCTGTGCCGTTGATAAGTATGGTACTCACATAAAACCAGCCCCTCCTGTCACCAAGATGTTCTTGGTATCCGAGCGAGGCTCAAATCGCGTCGTCCCCGTGAGGAGAGGAGCATTCTTCCACTCCCCGTTATCCGTGAAGAAGCGAGACCCGAGGCTCGTCGCTGCTACGCCATATCAGCATCGTTGCCTTTCAACACGCCGATGAGAATCGTGCCTGATGCGGGTTGCCAGTGTTGGAATCCTCCCATGATCGCCTCCTGAACCTATGGTTTTCCTGAATGCGGTATCGGAAGGTTTTCGACCTCGGAAAGCACACGTTTAACAGATAAGCGCCCAAGTAAGGCGACCTTTGATTGTGTTCCAATGCGGGTATGGAGAATGCAGTGTTTCAAGGGCGTTGGAGAAGCGCCCCCCCTTCCTTAAATCCTGTCGTTTTCCCCGCAGGAGCCGACTTTTGCATTCAATCAATTCAGCATCGGGATGTGTCCTTCGCCATATATCTACCATGGCCTCAAATAAGGAAGAGATTGCGGAACTGGTGGGCGAGGAGAAAGCCGAAGTAGGAATTCCACGGGTTATATCAAAACTATCTAGCGGATCCCATGGCCCGCTCCTGGTTGCATGTGTAACAAATGTCGTCGCTACAATTGGAATTGTAAGTGGACGCGGGACGATGTTCTGCAGATCCCAAACTGACGCTCATCCAGGTCTTCACGAACAAGCAATTATTTCACAACCCGTCTTTCAAATACGCACAGGTCACATTTGCCGCGTTCTACTTTTCCGTCGCCGGTTTGACTCTCTTCCTCATCTCAAGACCTGGCTTCGACTTGTTCCAGCCGAAGAGCGTTCCTTTCCTGAGGATCCCGCCCTTAGCAGCGGGTTTTGCGTTTAATGTAATCCTACCCAACTTGTATTTCGCTCACTCCTCGGTTGCGTTCTATCAAATCGCCGGTGTCCTGCTCACGCCATGTGTCGTCGTCCTCAACTACATGACTTTGAAGACTACCATTTCCCGAGGCGCCGCTATTGCTTTGGTACTAGCATGCGTCGGTGTTGGCATTGTCTCGTTCAATGGTGCCCTGGGGAAGTCTAGCGGCAGACATACAACATCGATACGAGGAGTCATCTTCTTCTTTGCTGGGGTTCTGAGCAGCGCAGTCTATACAATCTACGCAGGCGCGTACTACAAGACCATGGAACTTAACAGCATGCAGTTGCTATTCAATCAAGCGCCGGCTAGCGTACTGCTACTTTTGTACGTGATCCCATTCTCAGAAGACATGACGGTCTGGCCAGCGACCAGCGGGGAGACGTGGATCCTCATTCTAGCGGCGAGTGACCCCCGTGTAGATTTCGTGAAAGGTCCTAATATTCAATAGATCGGCATGATGGCGTGCATGATTACACTATCCCAGCTGATCATCAACCATGCGGGGGCTGTGAGTAGCATGATGGTTGGGCATTTGAAGACGTGTTGCATTGTCGGGCTTGGCTAGATCGTGGATCGGAAATCTGTCAACGATGGCTGTCTATGGCGCATTGCATTGGCAATCGGAGGGATTTTCACGTATGGATTCGTAGATCGCATCTCATTGGTAACGCCACTGACCAGAACAGGTACTCCGTGGTGACACAACACGCGCGATCGCGGTAGGGGATACGCATCCCTGGCATGGTGGCGATGGTCACCGAACAGTTTCTTGATGATATGTTAATCGAAAGACTACCTGTCATTCGCGGCTCCATGTTTTTTTTCTTATTCACTGACCTGAGAATTCCCTCCTGGTCTATGTTCCACAGGAAAGAAAAATCAATTAATGAAAAAAGACACGACGTTGCATTGCTGCAAGCGCAAGACACTGATAATTTTCCTCCCGTTACACGCTGCTCCTTTGCTTCCACTGCAGTCATTGTGAATTTTCATTCCAGCGGTTAACGTGTCCTGAAGGAAACCTGAAGTTGTGGAAAACCCGCTCTTCGTCATTTCAACATCTTCAATATCCCGTTGTCTATCCGTGCTGGTAACGCTTCCAAAATGCCACTCCTACCAACTTCCACGACGCCTAACGCGGAAAACGTATATCTGATATGGGGTGCTAATGGCTGGATTGCTGGCATCCTCAAAGGACTGCTTGAATCGAAGGGGAAGCAGGTCCACGCCACCACGGCACGTATGGAAAACCGCGATGATGTGATGAAGGTATTGGACGAATACAAACCAACTCATGTCTTCAACTGCGCCGGATGTACCGGCCGACCTAACGTGGACTGGTGCGAGGACAACAAGGAGGCAACGGTCCGCAGCAATGCCATTGGGACGCTCAATCTGACAGATTGCTGCTTTATGGAAGGAATTCACATCACTGTCTTCGCCACAGGATGTAAGGTCCCTTGATGGTTCCGGTTCAGCTGGTTGTAGTTACTGATTTTCTTCGATCAGGTATTTATACCTACGACGAAGCTCATCCGATGGGCGGAGCTTTCAAGTTCAAGGAAGACGATTCCGCGAACTTCGGCGGATCATTCTACTCCTTCACCAAGTCTCGGGTTGAGGATGTAAGTCAGCACTGTAACACCTGCCCCTTGGTTCATGCTCACCCGGCGCTAGATCATGCGAGCATACGACAATTGCCTCATCCTGCGCTTGCGGATGCCCGTCTCGGACGATCTCCATCCACGCAGCTTTGTGACGAAGATCACAAAATACGCCAAGGTTGTCGACGTTCCCAACTCGCAAACTATCCTGAGCGATCTTCTTCCCTGCTCGATCGCACTAGCGGAGGCACGCGAAGTGGGTGTGTATAACTTTACGAACCCCGGCGCGATCAGCCACAATGAGATCCTGGAGATGTACAAAGAGCTCGTAGATCCAGGGTTCAAGTGGGCGAACTTCAGCCTGGACGAGCAGGCGAAAGTCCTCAAAGCTGGACGAAGCAATTGCGAGCTTGACAGCGGCAAATTGGTTCGCAAAATGGGTGAGTTTGGCGTCACTATTCCGGAGGTACATCAAGCGTACCGGGATTGCTTCAAGCGGATGCGAGAGAAGATGGATAACAGTCAGCCGATTGTGGAAGAGGCTCTCACAAAGATTGGAAAACGCTCTCAAGATGATGACTTGGGGGCCGAGAAGCGGATCCGCGTCAGTTCGTGAGGTTCGTGAGGTCGAAGATGGCAGCAAAGGCCACAATGTCCGTACAATCACTTGAATTGTAGCATTTCTCAATCTGGAAATGATAAAACCGCATACCTATAGGAGCATAAAGCGTGATATCCTTGCCTCCTCCTGGCCTCTCTATGGCCACATTCCATGCGGTATCTTACGTTCATGAAATTCATCTCTCCCGTTGACACGGCTTAGTTCCATCATCAAAAGCAAGGCGGGACCCCCTGCTTGGTGACCTCGTATGGATCAAGTTCCTTCAGTCTTGCAAGCTTCCCTTCAACAAGATTTGCCTCAATGCAATGCCTCAGCTAAAGCTGCACTTGATGAACCCTCCAAAGACGGAATAACTAAGTATGTGATGGAAGCTTCGTGAATCAAATCGAGGGAACAGAAGGTGTGGAGAGTAATGAAAGGGCGGACTTTATGAACCACTACCGCAGCACTGTAGTGACGCTGATCGTGAATCATAAGCATCGTCAAATTCAATCCAGTAGCTGTACAATCAATACTACCACACCCTTCTGAACCTTTGATACGATATTCGCCCAGTATGAAGCAACGCTTCTCTTCCTTGGATGTCCAGGTGAGACTAATCACCCAAGCACTGCTGCTTTCCGCGCTGCCGCTTTCCACGCTGCCAGCAACCGCTCATCCATGACTTCAGGCTATTGCTCAAGAGCTCTCCTCTTCGCTCTGCGGGCTCCGAGTGACAAATATCTATGACCTTTCCCCGGTTAGTGATGGATCAATCCTCCTCCCAATTCGAATGCTGACTCACTCCAGCGAATATTCCTTATCCGGTTTCATAAGCCCGACCGACGGGAGCAGTTCGTCATCGAATCCGGGTTCCGTTGCCATCTCACCAAGTTCTCTCGAGAAACCGCCGCCACTCCCTCCGCATTTATCGCCCGATTGCGCAAATCTCTACGTACTAGACGAGTCACATCCGTTTCTCAAGTAGGAACCGATCGTATTCTGGAGTTTCAGTTCTCCGATGGCTTGTACCGGCTCTTCCTAGAATTCTATGCAGGGGGAAATATTATCCTTACGGATGCCGACTTCAAAGTCATCACGCCCCTACGCACAGTGGACGAAGGCGCAGAGCATGAACACGTACGACCTGGGTCCACGTACAATCTTTCTCTGAGGCAGAATGTTGATGGTGTCCCCGAGCTCACCCCCGAACGTGTCCGAGATGGACTGCAGAACTTCGTTGCTCGAAGTAAAACTAATCAACCGCAAGGCGCCGGTGGGAAACTCAAAAAGACGAATAAAAGTATTTTACGCTCCTCGGTGTCCAGTTTCATGTTCGAACTTCCTCCCCCACTGCTTGACCATGCGCTGCAACAGGAGGGAGTCGATGCTTCCATGTCACCGGAATCGGTCCTGTCCAATGACCAAGCTTTTGAATCTCTCATGAACGCACTGAGGAGTGCAAAAGAGGTTTGCCAAAGTATAACGTCCAGCACACAGCTTAATGGGTACATTGTAGCCAAAAACACTCGTCACAATGGATCGGCTTCTGCTCAAGAGCTAGACGATTCTCATTTCGCGTACGATGAATACCACCCCTTCAAACCGTGCCAGTTCGAGACTTCCGAAAACCATCGTATTCTCGAATTTGACGGATTCAATCACACCGTGGACCAATTTTACTCGGCATTAGAGGGTCAGAAGCTGGAGTCTCGCCTTCACGCACGTGAAGATGGTGCCAAAAAGAGACTCGAACAAGCTCGCCAAGATCATCGTCACCGTGTCGAAGGGCTGCAGAAGGTCCAAGAAACCAATGTGAGGAAAGCGGAAGCGATTAAAGCCAACCTTGAGCGAGTGGAGGAGGCTACAAAGGCTATCAATTCGCTCATTGCCCAGGGTATGGACTGGGTGGATATTGAGCGGTTGATCAAGGCTGAGCAGGAACGTGGCAACCCGACCGCACTAACAATAAAACCACCCTTGAAGCTCAATGAGAATGCGATCACATTAATCCTACAAGAAGTGGGTGATGGTGACAGCGAGGAGCAAAACAAGTACTGGGATGCGGACGAAACTGACAGCGAGGAATCATCCACCGACCGAGACGCTGAAGACTCTAGCCAACCAAAGCCCTCCGCCATAGAGGTCGACGTGAGGCTGGATTTGTCGGGTTGGGCGAATGCCAGACAATACTATGACCAGAAGAAAGTCGCTAGTGCGAAAGAACAACGAACGGTCGAGTCATCCACGGTGGCCTTGAAGCGGCAAGAACATAAAATCCAAGCAGATCTCAAGCAAGGCCTCAAGCAAGAGAAGGAAATTTTACGTCCGCTGCGAAAGCAATTTTGGTTCGAAAAGTTCCTTTACTTCATCTCGTCCGATGGGTATCTTGTTCTTGGCGGCAAGGATGCTACACAGAACGAGATCCTGTATTCGCGTTATCTGAAGGATGGCGATGTCTATGTACATGCCGATCTTCAGGGGGCGCCTTCAGTCATCATCATGAACAATCCGTCAACTCCGAACGCTCCAATCCCGCCCTCCACTCTATCCCAAGCGGGGTCTTTTTCTGTCTGTGGTTCAAGTGCATGGGATTCTAAGGCGCCAATGTCAGCTTGGTGGGTGCACTCGGACCAAGTTTCCAAGACTGCACCAACTGGAGAGTACCTAACTGCTGGAGGATTCATGATCCAGGGGAAGAAAAACTACTTGCCGCCATCGCAGCTCTTGATGGGCATTGGTGTGCTTTTCCAAGTCTCAGATGAGAGCAAAGTGAGACACATCAAGGACAGAATTCAGGACAGTAGAGGCAACAAGGCATCCGCGCTCAGTGCTGCCACCGGGGACATGACTGATGAAGACGAAGATTTTCCGGATGTTACCATTGATTCCAAGGCCCCTGCGAAGCGCGTTGAATCTGATACAGAAGACGACGATGATTTCCCGGATGTGAAAATTGGTCCGCCTGGCTCCGAGCTGGCTGCTTCGGAGGCGCCGCGTGGACGGACAACTGCACCACCGATACCTCAAGCTCCTCGAGTACTGCCTGAAGGCAAGGCGCGAGATAATAGCCAACCAAATGGTTCAATCATCGACAGTGCTGACGCCAGTGCCAAGGCAAATGAGGAGCAAGAGGAAACTGTACACGGCCAGCACGATAGGGTCGATGGCTCAGATACGGATCGTAATGCTGACAGGGACCAAGTTGACGAAGAGCAGCCATCATCCGAGACTACCGGAAGGTTAAACGATGAGCCCTTCAGCAGACAACCATCGGTGGCGCCGAGCGTGGCCAATTCTCAGCAAAAACCCAATCTTCCGCGAGGAAAGAGGTCGAAACAGAAACGAGCGGCGGCCAAGTATGCCCATCAAGATGAAGAGGATCGTAAGATGGCACTACGCCTCCTTGGAGCTCAAGCCAGCCAGGAAAAGGCGCAGAAAGAGTTGGCTGAGAAGAAGCAGAAGGAACTCGAAGCTGCCCGGGACAAGGAGCGTCGTCGAGAGCAACACAAACAGGCTCAAGCGAAAGGGCTAGCTGCGGAAGAAGCTAGGCGACTCCAGCGCGAAAAAGAGTCTGCATCGGGGGCAGTGGAAATGGATGGCGAAGACGCTGTGGATGATGATGAAAAAGCTCGTCTGGAGTCGGTAGGGTTGGATTCCTTCATTGGCCGACCTCTGCCGGGCGATGAACTGATCGCAGCTCTTCCGGTATGCGCTCCTTGGACTGCATTGGCAAATTTCAAATATAAGGTCAAGATACAACCTGGCCTGGTTAAGAGGGGCAAGGCAGTCAAAGAGATTGTCGCCGGATGGGAGCGCGATTTCAAGAACACCAAGCGCATCGATCATAAGAGCGAGGATGCAGATCGAATTTGGCCTGGAGAAGTTGACTTGATTCGAGCCTGGAAAGACGCCGAAGTAGTTGGGACCATTCCGGTGCCAAAGATGAAGGTCATGATGCCAGGAGGAGGTGGCTCGGACAGCAAAGGCGGCGGATCAGGGAAGAGCAAAGGTAACCCCGGGAGGGGAGGGAGGGGAGGGAAATCGTCGAAGAAGAAATGATGAGCCATTTTCAACGCAGCTAAGTCTCATTTCATATTCAAAGGCTCTGCAAGACCACTCAAGGCTATATATGACAATGGTAGTGAGTTCAAACTTTTCTTCCTCTGAACGATACCGGTGCATCTCCCGCTTTAGTTGGCAGGCTTGAATGTCGTGCCAGGCAGCATGGCCGGGATTTCTATTTGGTCGAACACCCAAGTTTTCCCCCCATCCGGAGTTACTGGCGCGTTCGCGACGACCTTGGGGTCTTTCGAATACGTCCGAGCGAACGTTGGGTCCGCAACCCGCAGCGTCAGTGTCAGATTTCGGTATACTTGAGTGTCTGCAGATCCACGATTGCTCCCTTGCATCTCGGTTCCGGTCTCGAAACTTGGACACGTTAACCTTTGTTCGCGCTTCTTCCGAGCAAAAGGCTCTTCGAACACTGGCCGTGGCCTGTAGAACGAGAAGTGTCACTTACGTTGTTCCAGCAGCGCTTCCAGCTGAGTATTCTGGATATTTCTTCCCTTTACTCAAATTTGTCAAGGATTGTTTCCATGTTCCTTTTCCGGATGTCGCTTTCTCATAGATGATCTCAATCTCGTCGCTGCCGTCAATGGCATATCCATTTTGGATCGTCAGGGGTTTCCATCCTGACAGCACGTATGGCTGTAAGCACCATTGGCCGCGCTTCGCTCCGCAGAAGGATGTCATATAGGCCTGGTCATGGCTGCTAATGACAGACTGAACTAGGTCCGATTTGATGCTGTATGGGTTCCAGACTCCAGGCCAAAGGGCGAGGAACTTAGTAGGGTTCGCCGGCGGGTAGCCAGGTTTGAAGACGGTGCTCAATCCGATGATATCCGCGCCGGATTTGGTCGGGCCCATGTGGACACGAGGTCCAAAATTTGCGGCCTGTCGAGCCTCAAGCCTTCCTTCGGATTTAGGTTCAATCTCGAGGGGTTGGGGATCGAGGTCAGGGACTGGCGTTGCGCTGCACGCCAGTGCAAGTATGGAAACGAGGCACGGAATGGCCAGCATTGTGCACAGATTTGGGCTATATCGTGAATTGAACCGGAAGTCGACTTCGAAATAGCAACCGTAGTTGGCAGGACCCTGCTTATATTCTCTACATGTGATTCCCATACCCTTTAAAATACATTGCAGCTCTTAGCAGAAACCAAGGGCTCATATTGTCCCAAGAAATTACGTCTGGGGTGATAATCACACTGCTCATCTCTCGTCAGAACGGCACTAGTATCCATCGTCAGGAATCAGACTGGCAGGTGTTATCCATATCACGGCCAAGACGTCAATATGAAACTGGCGAGCATGCACCAATGAGATAGGTTAGGGCAACTAGAATAATGTGTTTAGCGGTGTCGACTTCATATAAAAGAGTTAATTTACAGGGCAGACGAGCTGGCCTGGCCAGTTCTCCCCTCTGATCAACACTCTGGTACGTTTCATGTCGTTCTGATTCGCGGCGAAATCAATTAATGACCCCAGCCATCGAGAACCAGACGAACCATGATCGACATCCGCGGCTAGTGAGAGATCCCAACTCTGGAAACCTCAAACAAGGTACGTACCGAAGTCCGAAGTCCTGTTGAAAGAATCTGTTTGAATCTAGGGGCATAAGCCCGAGTTAGGGCATCATCCGTGACAGGATCAATGATTTCGTAACTGGGAAATCTTTCGATCTGAGCTGTTATTAGCATTATTATCGATTAAAGACCATCTACCTGACAAGTCTCATATCGAACACTCGTCCTAGTATATGTAGGATTCCAAACATGAAACTATACATAATGATTCTTATTCGATGGGCTGAAACTGAACATCCCGTGAGTGGAGGGTTTTGTTGACGTACTACATATGACTCCATGTGGCTGGTAGAGTAGGTCGGGGCTGTGAGGTGGTGCGGCTGGGTGCTCTGCGGCCTGCGGGAGACCCTCCATGCCTTGCTCACCCGTGGCCGACAATGACAGATGATAGCCTGAGGCATAACCACGTATATGCATATCTCAATCTCTTCCTCTGCTCACTTTGCACATGCCCTTTAATCTTTCATATCATCGCTATGATGAAGGACGTCGTTCTGAAGACGCCACGTTAGAGGCGCTTCGTCTCCAATTCCATGAAGAGAATGTCAATATAGGCACTGAGAATATTATGTTAACGATGCAAGCAGCATGGCCACCACCACCGACCTATGACTTCTCAGCCCCTTTGCAATTCACCCCCAGTGCGTCTAAATCTCGGATTTTCATACGATGTCTTCTGAACAGCTTGAATATTGCGTGCTGGACAAAATCACTGCCCCAACCACATGATCGTTGTCCCCAACCTGCTGCAGCGAGGCTAACCAAGTTCGTTATGGCTCGAGGCAAGAGGAAGCTTCAGTTGTGGCTTGTGAGGGGATTGCTTGCTCAGCCCCCTCTCTAGTGAGGCATTGTTTTCCTACACCGAAAGTCCATCTCCAACTTGGCATGGATGATCTACTAGCTGGCTGAGGCTGAAGCATTGAACAGGCGGGTAAGCTCGGATCTTGAATTCACGATGCGTACGTGCTATATATGTCGTCGCGTACAGCCTGTCCTTTTAACCAGCAGCTTTTACCTTTCAGCCGGTTGTCCAATTGTCCTTTCAAATACCTAGTCGCTGGTTCTTGTCTACTGTCCTTTTTCACAATGGCTGCACCCGCGTTTGGAGACATCGTCACGGCCTTGCAAATTGCCTATAAGATCATCAATGGCTGCGCGCATGCCGGCTCGGATTTCGAGCAAGCAGGAATAGAAACCGAGTCCGTGACGATCAACCTCGAAGAAGTCAAGCGGTTGTACAAAGATAAGAAATCGTTCTTAAACCACCCCAACAATCAGAGGCCGAGAAAAAAGCTCGAGTTTTACATTACAAAATGTCGAAGAGCCCTGGAACTGGTGAAGGCAGAACTGGATAAATACCAGAATATGCATGTGGTGAAAATAGTGATGTTTGCCATGAAAGGGAAAGGCGATGTATCCGATTGCCTGTCCCACCTTCAGTTCATCTCGACGCAGATGTCGAATTATATTAGCTACTTCGACAAGACAGCGGTCACTTCAGATCGTCTGGAGCGGAACTTCGATCGTACGAAAAATGCTAAAAAGGCCGTCGAAAAAACTTGCAAATCCAGCACTGTCTCTCCGGAAGCCAGGTCTTCGATGGAACGATATGCCACACACCTTGCTGTACGAGACACGAAGCGGATTTCGCAAAAGAAGAGACCCACGACACTTCCTGGGACTTACTTGGAATGTTGGGTTGTGAAAAGCGCTACGGTTCTGGGACTGGACAAGGCGGCGAAGCAGCCGCTGCCCCAGAAACGTGGGCAGACACAACTATGGGAGATGGCGAAGCAGTTTCGTATGCACCCAGGAATCAAGACAATAGGAACCGAAGCGGATGATTCACGGGTCAGGTGGATACTCGGCGAGAAACGAGCTGGCGAGAAAAGCAAGCGACACTTTTGGAAGTTCGTAGCCGCTCGGATCGAAGGCCAATCCGAAGGCATGAAAGGACTGGTAATGGAGGAGAGGCTCATGGTGATCGTCAAGAGGGCCATGACCCAGTTAGCGAAAGATGCACATCTCAAGAAACTCCAAGTGCAGAAGGCGAAGGAGCAAGAAAAAGCTACCAAAAAGCAAGGACAATCCGGCGATAAGGCGAAGCAACGAGAGAAACCTGCCAAGAAGCAAGGGGAATCCGGTGATAAGACGAAGCAACAAGAGAAAACTGCCAAGAAGCAAGGACAATCTGGTGATAAGGCGAAACGTCCAGAGCAAACTGCCAAAAATCAAGGACAGTCCGGTGGTAAGGCGAAGCATCCAGAGCAAACTGCCAAAAATCAAGGACAGTCCGGTGGTAAGGCGAAGCATCCAGAGCAAACTGCCAAAAAGCAAGGACAATCCGGTGATAAGGCGAAGCAACCAGAGCAAACTGCGAAAAAGCAAGGACAATCCGGTGATAAGGCGCAGCACGAAAAGCAGAAGCATCATGGACAGCAGGGGCAGAATGCGCAACCTGGACAACCTGGGCACCATGGGGATCAAGGGAATCACGGACAACGTGGGAATCACGGACAACGTGGGCATCGTGGGGATCATGGACGTGGAACGTAAAGACTCCGAACCCGCCGAAGAAAGAAGATGCACTACCACGCTGGTCACGGCAATATGAATAAGGGGAAAGATTCCAAATCCGCAGACTGGAGACGAGGACGATTTAACACCTCCACACGGGCAACATCACCAAGGCAAGACTCGAGGCCATTCTCTAGGTTCTCGTAGAGGGCGTAGATTGTCTCACCATTATCACTGTCACTCCAGGCTTTTTTGTGTACGAATACCTGTATTGCGTTGCAACTGTATTATCGAGCCAGTATGAAAGAAACCGGGAATAAATGCTGCAACTGAAGCACGTGTACAGAAGCATGTGTATAGAAGACATTAGCACCTGTCATTGAAGATGTTTCCATTCTAAATGCGGTTAGCGTGCCAAATCAGGTTTAGGGGCGTGTCCCAAAACGGCAATCACAAAGTGAAAGGACAACCGCACCTCACTCACCGCACCAATTTCGCTGCAGACAAAAGTGTAAACTATTCCTCCGTCACAAGGGCGAAGAGTGCCTTTGCAGGATCTCCTATCATGCTGACTGAATTAATTTCGATTTAGAAGCCTACTCTCTCCCATTATCCATTTAAAGAGACACTGAAAGTACTACACATTAGACAGTCTGGTGCGGACCTAACTATGTGAATTGGGGCCTGAGGGCATATCTCCTCTAGATATTATCGCTGTTAGCGGCCTTCTCCTACAATGAGCAGTACTTGCGGTCGAACGTAATCCTATGCAGGAATCTTGATTGGGTCGGCGTGTTGCAGGAAGGGAAACGTATACAGAGCTTACAACAGCTCAGAAAAATTGACCGACCGCTATGGAATCGTGCAAACATGTACCACAACGTGTTTGAAGCTTGCCCAACCAGCTTACGGTTCAGGCGGCACTATGTCCCGGAAGTCCGCTGCGATTATGGGTGGTGCTGATTCTAGGACCGTTGACGAATTTGACGGAAATTATAAGATTTCAATTCTGCATCAATCTGCTCACTGGATGTGCAATAGCAAGCAGTAGACAAGAAAAGGAGCTAGAGCATTCGGGGGGGTCCAAAGGGTGATCTGGAAACTTCCCTTCAAATTGATATTGGAGCACTTGTGTTGAAGTTTTCAAAGTCAGTGAGTGCAATGATATAATGAATAGTCTTTCATGCAAACGTAGACGGTAGACCACCTGTACTGTACTGGTAGTAACGGAAATCATTTGTTGCTTTATGCTTGAGATGCCTGTATAATTTGGAGCCCAAGTCTGACAGTCGATTGTGCGAAGAACCCTTCCCCATACGAATGTAAAATCCTGCGACTGACATGATTGCCCAGATAATTTATGGCATGAATATTCAGGTCGAACATCCTCGAGGTATTGGTAATAGTTCTTGTGTCAGTTAACTAATGGACTTGTGTCTAACTATACGAAGTAGACGTTAAGTCATAAGTGCCCCATGACTAAGTTAGTTACCTCGAATTAAGCTTTTGCTAGTCTTACCGCAACGCGAATAAGGAGTGCGACTCGGACTTTCGGTACTAAGACAACTGATAGCTCGGGAAACCTCGGGCCGTTGATGATTATCTCGGACTTCTCTCTCACCATCAAATATCATTAATTCCTGACTCCAATGGCAAACATGGGTTGAAACATAAATCCATTGGTGCACCGCACCGAAAACAGTTCAAAAACACGGTTTTGGGAAGCCATGGCCCCTCCCCAGAAGATTCTCGCCCTCCACGGCGTCGCGCAATCCGGCCGCGTATTCGAGCGTCGTATGGCCACCATCGTCGAGACGCTCTCTCCGCTCAGATATGAATTTGTGTTCCTCACCGCACCATGCGACATATCCGGGACTGCGTATATACAGGCACGGCAAGCGGACTGGCAAGAGGGGGATGAAGAGCGAAGCTGGTGGGAAACCGATGACGACGCCAAAGAACATTCCGGGATTGACCAGGCGATGGAGCTTTGGGGCGCGACGTTGAGGGAGAAAGGGCCTTTTGTTGGGGTCGTCGGATTTAGCCAGGGTACGTGAGATACAACGGATGCGTTCCGATACCGTTCAACTTCGATGATCCATTATCATCAGAAGGGTCCACCGGCGCTGACAACGCGATTCAGGAGGCTGTGCGGCAGCATCATTAGCAGCGATGCTAGAACCCAGTAGAAGGGATCATCCTCTGGTTAGAAAATATCTCCCAGTTGACCATCCACCCCTCGACTTTCTCATCATGTTCTCCGGCAACCCCTATCGGTACCCGTCCCCAGAAATCTTCTGGCTGTTTTACCCCGAAGCCGGAGAAGAGAACAAGGTCATCACCCCGACGCTGGCATTATATGGGAAGAAAGAGTGGGAGGCACAGGAGTTCTTTCGCGAGCGTCAGGAATTTCTTATGAGCCGCTGTTCCAATGTGGAAATCGTCGGTCATCCGTGGCAGCATACGGTTCCGCGGACCCAGGAGTATGCGGATATAGTGAAGCGATTTGTGACCAGCTTCGATAATAGGGCGACGGGCATGACGATAGACTCAAGATTATGATCATTTTTCGCGTCTATATAGGTAGATCAGGGGTATGAATACTGTTTCTCCTGTTCCCGTCGCTTATAGCTCTTGAGTCACGACACTGCCACCGTCAATTCTTGCATCTATCAATCTCAAGCGACTTCTTATACCTCACGATGGGCCTGAACTATTTCGCTTCCTTGCTACCTTAGAGTTTCAAGCTTGTCCAACTCCATTCTATTAGCCATCGTGCCTGTGCTGATTTCATCAAGTGCCTTTCCATGGTGACTTATTGGAATATTCCCATTCAAAATAAACGCAATACAACCTCCCTGCTCCGATATGGTTGGTGTATCCTCCTTTGCAAGGGATGTAAATACCGTGGATTAAAATCCCCAGCCCTTGACCGTCTTCATCATGTCGCCCATCTTCTCGTTCTCATCAAGCAAAAGTTCAGCGACAGGTGTCTACGCAAACCGTGTCCAGGTGCTGGTCCACTCATACAACGCTGACCGTTTTCCACGCCTGCGTTACCTCATCCACGCAATCATGCTTGCTCGCGACATGGACCGTCAATTCCGAAAACTGCTTGAATGTGGACGTTGGCTTGACTGACTCGCTCGTGAGCGCGTCGTACCAGACCTTTCCCACCTTTTCCCACGAGTAACCACCGACAGCTTTGGCGGCTAGATAGAATGCATGGTTAGGGATACCAGAATTGATGTGGACGCCGCCGTTATCATCGGCACCTTGTTACCGGCTGGCGTAGTCCTTCGGTTGGGGATCGGTGCCTAAGACGGGGTCGTTCACGTAGGCATTTCCAGGGTCTTTCAGAGATCGCAAGGCGGTGCCCTTGAAAGCTACGGGGAAGATGGTTTGTCCGATCAGCCAGTCAGCTTGGTGGACCGTTTGATTCATTTGCTTCTGCTCGACCATGCAGGCGAAGACGTCGGACATGCTTTCATTCAATGCACCGGATTCCCCTTCATATTCAAAATTGGCAGTGAACTGGGTGAGGCCGTGTGTGAGTTCGTGAGCAATCACGTCGAGGGAGTTGCATATTCCTTTCAAACCGTTAAATCCTCTCACAGGCGAAGGAGCCCAACATACCGTGGAAAACAATCCCGTCGCCATCACCAAATACCATTCGTTCACCGTCCCAATATGCGTTGTTGAATCCTAGCGGTTCGGTGGGGTTAAGGTAATGAATGGAGCCAAACAAGGGGTAGCCCTTGTCGTCCAAAGAGTTGCGACTGAAGATGTCGGAGTAGAACTGGTGAGTAATGCCGAACCCTCGTAGACGTTGTTGACATCTCGGTCTTTGACGCGGCTTGCGCCTTCAGTGCGTGCTACCTTTCCTGGGAGCTTGCTCGTATTCCCCAGGTCATAGATTGTCCGGGCTCCTGGAGCCTTTACTGTTGCCGGGGCCGCTGCGTTTAGGGCCGCCTGTGCTGTCTATTGAGTAACTTCAGCTGCGCTCCAACAACTTGGACAGCAACATCAACGATCTTGTGGTATAATGGCAAAAAATGCAAAGGAAAACCCCGTGAGTATGTACTAACATTAGTGTTTCAATGGCAAGATCGTGGTGATGACACAGACTCAGGCGATGCTCATGAACGGATCCCATACTATCCAGCGTGGTACGGGCGGCTGTCTTCATATCGTCGTCCGCACGATCAGAAGTAGCAATGCTCCTGAGGATGTGTGGAGGGATGAAGCTACAGACATGCTTCTTTGGAGTGCGTAACTTCTCGCTGAGAGAGCATTTCTTCACTGGGCTGGACATTTTGGAGCTTACAATGACTTGCAAGGTCCGTATGGGGGGATGCGTTGACTTCATAAACAAATACCACGGTGTAAACGGGTCTAACTTAGATGTAAAGTACTGCAGATGCGATGAGATGAATAGCTAGGACGGACTAAGGGCAAGACAAGGCAGAAATAAGAGACTATCCGCCCTGGTATCGCACGACTGAACACTTCCGACGTAGATCTTCACGGTTTCGAGAAACTCGCAAGTAAAGTCAGGATAAACCCTGTGGACATTGAGAGGATAGCAGGATCATTACCAGACAGACAATTCTTTCCGGTGTCTTTCCGCAAGAAGATGGACCTGTGTATTATTGATAGGTCGAAAGCAATCAAGGCCAGAAAGATTTGGGAACCTCGTCACACTGCATTTTTGTCCCTAATAGGACTAATGCTTCTCACTACTCTACCTGATCCACGCGATCACGACAGGCGGACAGGTGATCAGAACAGGTCCAGCCAAGACGACACGGTCCTGTTCTGAACCCGGATTTTCTGCTGCAGATGTAAACAAGCTGAAAATTCTGGACGCCGGCCGGATTGGGCCAATGCGACTATGGAGGTCTGGCTAAGGGGAGTACGACAGGTGTCTAGATCCAAGTAAAGCAATGGAGGGAACGTCGTTATGCAGCTGCTGAAAAGGGCTCAGTGGCTATTCAATCCCATCCTGCGTGAAAAGGGGTCTGCATCACGAAGCGGAAGCGCCACGCGACGGGTTTATGGATGTGATTGCTGCATTAGAGCCAGGAGAGGCTCAGAAGCAAGGCTCGATGCCGACATATTGTGATGCATGCTGTTGTAAAGGAACAATGATCGGCCGCTGCGTATGGTGAAGAAGCGGTGCTGGTTCTACTACAGGGGGTCCAATCAATATCATAATGGGCATATATTAGTCAATAGGTCGATTTGGATAGGACGTCGTTCACTCTGGGAATGATATGGTGAGTCGCAATTGATCAAATTTCGCAAGGCGTGGTGTGGCTTTGCTCAGCGACAGTCCAGTCGCCAATCAACGAACTTCTACGGCATCCGGAGTGGAATAAAATGATCGGCTTAATGTGCACCCTCGATGTTGATGCCTTGGTGAGGATACATGACGAATGACGAGTCGGCAATCACCCATTTGTTCCATTGGGAAGGCGGCGGCCAACCTGATACGATCCAATCTGATTGTCCCTATTGAAACCCTCATACAACATCGTATCTACAGAACATGATAGCCAAATCGAGGAAACGCGAATTCAGCCCTGCTCTGTTCACTCCCATACTACACCGATCCGCCCCCCTGGACTCGTACGACAATTAGGCAGCATTGTTGTCCCCCTCGTGACGTGCAGCAATGGACCACGACGCATCACTTTATCCTGAAAATCGCAAGGAGACACAAGAGCAGAAGAAATGAAAGTTCGCAACCGGGAAGGATATATGCGTCTAATATTGTACAGCGAAAGCAGAAACTCAGAAGCCAGAACTTCGGCGCGCGAACAGAAACGAGGGCCAGACGCTCTATGAGTTCACAACAAAACGTTTTTGGATTATCCCAACCTTCTCCCCCCTTATCTCACCCCCGGGACCACTTGCTGCTGGTATGAATGATGACGCGGGACCTGCGGCGGGGGCTGCTGCTTGACCAACTGCTCCGTGTTCGACGGGCTGTGGTCGTCCTGCGGGCTCGACGGTCGGCCCCAGAAATCCAGGCTGGCGATGACGTCTTCGCCCATCTCGTCTTCGTACGCGTACAGGATCTGGAAAGGGATGTCAGCACGGGAACCGAGAAATGGATCGGAAAGATACGCTACCTCTCGGGTGGAGGAATGGAGCATCCGGATATTCTTCGCGGTGAGAATGTGGACCAGAACACCGGACTCCATATGCCGCATTTCGATGAAGCTGGGTTCGAACGCCAGGATGTATGGCGCGAAGATGGCGAACCACTGCGGCGTGCCCTCCCACTTGATGAGATATTCCGGGCGCGCCCGCCATCCGTTGCGGTTGACGTAGAACGAGTAGTCCGAGTAGCAGAGCAGGAACTCGCCCACGACGCGCTCGATGTGGATCGGCTTGATGTTCTCCTTGGACTGCACGAAGTCGAGCGACGTGTCGGCCTGGTCCAGCAGCGACTGCGACTCGTTGGTCTCCAAGCTGAGGACCTCGAAGCCCTTGGTGCAGCCGACGCAGAGCTTGGACCGCAAGAAATGGATGGACGTGGCTTCGGAGGGGACGTAGAATTCCTGCGGGTTGTCGTCTGTGAGCTCTCCATACGGTGGAGAGGAGTGTTGTTGATCATTTACCTTCCATAGTTTGAGTACTTCCTGGCTGCCGCCCAGCATGCGAGCCAGCCCGCCTCGTCGGGCTGATCGTCCGGCTTGCTCCGCTGGTTCGTGGACCTTGATAACCGTGGACAGGGCGGACGTCTTGACGGTTGCGACAAGATGCCTGCCTTGGCACACGCCGGCTTTGAAGAACTGGGCGTGCCCGATCTTCTTCCCCCGCTTGTTCCCGGGATACTGTCCGTCGTCCGGGTCGAGGGCTTCGATCGGGAATGTAAACAAAGTCTTCTCCGACAGAACCAGGAGGAGCCCATAGTTTTCCAGGATGTCGATTTGGGTGACGGCCTTGACGTCGAGCACCTTCTTCGGCTTGAAGGAGGAATCCTTGGGTTTGCGATCCGTCAAGAAAACCCCTACATCAGTACCAAGAACCAATTTCCTGCCGCCGTCGAATGGCACGCAACAGGAGACGCGTGAGTACGAGTTGAAGTATCCTTCATTGAGAATAGTCTTGGTGAAGACCTTCGACTTCTCGCGGAGAAGGCGTTGTTGCTTGTCGATGTGCTCGATCCATTTCTGCTGCTGGATGGACGATGAGCAGAACAACGTCTGTTCATATCCATCTTTTCCGAGATGCTTGAAGGTAATCGGCCACGCTTGCGCTTTCCCCGCTTCCGTTTTACCTGTCATCGTATTCGTCCGACCATTGGTCATCATTCCCGAGGGGGTCCGCTTGCCCAGGCCTGGCTTCGGGATAATGTCGTCCATCTGGGGAATGTGAAGGAGTTCCAGCGGGATAGGCTTTCGGTACATTTTGAGCTCTTCCTTCTTGTTCACCATTTTGTGTCGGACTAGAAGGAACGCATGGTCGAAGAGGAAGGCTTCCATGTCGCTATTGCTCTCGGCCGGAGTTTTCTTTAGCATGCCCTTGAAGAGAAGCTGGCGTGCCTCGTCGGTCAGCTTCAGGTCAACGTACTCACCAGGCCGGAACTTCAGTTCGCGGTTCAACTGCTGCAGGTTAAAGTGGTTCTCAGCCTTGCCCGATTCGACATTGACTTGACTTAAGAATTGTTTGATCATCACAATCGCTTTCGGAAGATCCTCCTTGTCGGGATTATCGTCCGCGGTGTACTTCAAGATGCCCTCCAAGAGAAGCGGGTAGCGCGCCAATCGTGTCGTCGGCTTCGTGAGATATCCGTTTAGCTCCAGTTTACGAGACTCCTTCATCCGCTCCGTCTGTTCAACAAATTTGGCGAACTGAGGATTCGTCCGTTTCTCGTTTTCGAATTCGTATTTCCCAAACAATTGATTGGCACCATACTTGATGAACGGAGTAAACCGTGGCACGTATTCCAGGAAGATGTCGCCGACGTTGTGGACCACGGGATTCTGCTGTTGTCGCCGTGTCAAAGACTCCGCCATGCGAGAGTTGACCATGTACACCTCTTGGCAGTTGGAAAATACAATGCGCACGAATTTCTCCCGCCGGTGATCGGGAATGGGAGAGCCCATGTGGGACCGGAGGGGTTTCATCCAGAAATCCCGCAAATACTCCAGATCTTTCACGAAGTCGCGCTCGGTATACATCAGCTCGGACAGAACCTCCTGTCGTTTCTTCTCCTGGTCTCCAATGCTGTCGGCCACCTCCTTCGAAACGGTGTTGATCCAGAGTTTTTGCTCGTTATTATCCTGGTCGTGAAGACTGGACCGCGAATCCTGTCGCTTGAGTACATGCTGCGGCTTCAAGTTCAATCGAGCTTGTTGTTCCAGCCTTCTCGGGCATGCGATGGAGTAGCAGAGCTGATATGGAGTACACGTCGGGGAGTAGCAGTCGGCCATGAGCGTGAAGACACCGTTGACCTCGGTTTCACCCTCCATTAACGTCTCATGGAACTGATAGACCTCGTTCGACGAGTCTCGGAGTCGGTGGGCGTAGGTGACATCGTGGAAAAACTTCTGCGCGTCGAGGGAGCGACCGAGCAGAAGCGCCAGGTTTCGATCCTGGGTCTTGATGATGTAGGCAATGAGATCCACCGCTTCCGCGCCGGTAAACGCATTTTTGTACTCCAACCCATCCTTTGACTTTTCTCCAAGCGCGATGTTTTCCCGGAACCCAGCGCCGACCTTGGAGAGCATCGCCGGGTAAACCAGCGGCGATTTTCTTGAAGAAACCATTTGCGTCGGTCCGGATGTGGATTTCATCGTGGCCGTTCTGCCACTCATGGAGCTGGTGCGGTCGGTCGGAGAAATCGCGGTGGATGAGGAGGAGCGATGTGAAAGAGAACTGGTGCGGTCGGGCTGAACGATGGTGGAGGCCATTGACATGGTTCGGGGTTGCATGTCGCTTCCATGACTTGTACTGCGGGGTTTTGTCTGATGTGTTACAGGCGCACCGGACGGGGCATAGCTTCTGGGCGGCACTCCCTCTTCGGGAAATGAGTCTCCTTGCGGGGATTCTCTCCGCCTGTCTGGAATTACTCTGCCGCTCATTGTCTGCCGAGACTCTCCGGCGGGAATGTACGATGCCATGGTCATGCTCCTCTCATCCGGCCGTTCCGGCACGACTCGGCCTTGTGCAGTCGTTCGGGCCTGGTGGTTCAAGTATGGCTGCTGGCGGAAGGTATGGGCGGGAGCGATGTGGTACGGGTTTGGACCTGGTGGTTGCTGGCCAGGGCCGGGGAAATTTGGACGGGGCTGAGACGCGAGCGATTGCGATCTATAACCATCGGAGTTCATGGCGGGAGGCGGTCCACTAGGATATCGATTTGGTATCGGCCTGTTCATCGAAGGGTATGGTCCAACCCCTGGCCTAGGTGGTTCCATGCGTTGAGGCGCTCCATAGGGCCGTCGGTCGGGGCGCAGAGGAGGGGGAAGATGCTGCGGATTTGGCTGTCGATGAGCCATGGGAGGCATCGGTCCATCGAACGGTCTCTCATACGGTCCGCTGGGTGGGCGTTGTGCGCTGGTCGGACGCGGAGCATAACTGCCCGGATGGTGACCCGGATGTTGACCCGGTCTTACAGGTGGTGCTCTGGGCATCATATCTGGCGGCGGCGGCGGCGGCGAGCGAGGTTCGGAAGCCATGGACTGCGCTCGTGGCTGAGGGGGCGGCTGGGAAGTCATTGTTTGTGATCGCCCACCACCGAAGATATGGTTGAAGGCGGCATCCCGCTCCACGTTGGCCGGATGGCCATATTGGCGACCGTACTCCCGACCCTGTTGAGCGCCGTAGTCTGCCATATATGCCCAGCTAGCCGATCGAGGGCGAAGGGGCCGGGTGACTGGACAGCGGAGTATCAAGAGGCAAGACTTCCCTAGTAGAAGGACTATTCGACTTCTCTCCTCGGAGTGGTCAAAGGCGGATGAGCGCCCGAGTGTGCAAAGTTATCTTTGTCCTCGGGGAGGTAGGGATGGGAACGATGGGGAGAGATATGAGAGGAGAAGGGGGAGGAGAAAGTGATAGATATGAATAACGGAAGACTCGAGTCAATGGGATGGTTGAATAGATTGGAGATCATGAAGGCGATCGAGGTGAAAGGCGGGTAATGGGGAGGACGTTCAAGAGGGTCGAGTTCCGCAGGCCAGAGACCAGCAGCAGTTGAGAGTTGAGAGTGACCAGGACCCTTTCCCACCAAAGAGCAGAGAGTCGCAGAGAGAGCAAGAGACGGAGAGACCAACGAAGTGGATTGGTTTGGTGCATTTCCCCCCAAGGCCCAAGCACTGCAGGCCAATAAGGCAATAACTGAACAGGTACGACAGGGAAGAGGAGCTGCGCCACTGCGCCACTGCGGCGAAGCACGGAAGCACGGAAGCAGTGAAGCAGGAAGCACAGATCATGTGAAGCGCAGATCACGTTTTCTCCACGTTTTATGCCTCAGGCAATACGGCATAAATGTCTGGTAAGCCAGGCGTGCCAGCCTGCCAGGCAAGATTGCCAAGCTCCTACAGTCCTACTGAAGCAAGTGAGCTTCATCTCATTCACCACTCCATCGTCACGGTTCCATCCATACACCACCTCCGTTGATGCATTCTGCCTATCGCGGCTCTTCCTTCTTTTCTTCCTCCTTTTTCTCCTCCTTTTAAGTTCTTCATCCCATTAGCCAGCCGTCAAGCTTTCCCATCACCTTCACCATGGAGTCCGAATTCACCCCCAAGTTCGCGCCGTTCTTCGGAATGGTAAGGCACCCATCACCACTTCATCCAAATCTCTATAGCTAACTTTCCGATCTAGGCCGGCATTGCTTCCGCGGTATGGCCCTCCGAAGATGTATGAGTCGACTGACTAGCTAATGCAATACTCGTCAAAGATGATCTTCGGCTGTATGATACCTCCATACCCCATATCGACTCCAGTAGCTAATACCTCTCTAGGCGTCGGCGCTGCATACGGCACGGCGAAGTCCGGCATAGGAATCTCAGGAATTGGCCTCTATCGACCAGATCTTATCATGAAGGTCAGTCAAGCAACACGGTGGTTGATCCGGACGTCCACGAGTCGCTAACTCGCCCACCTTAGTCCCTCATCCCCGTCGTCATGTCCGGTATCCTCGCCGTCTACGCTCTGGTCATTGCGGTCCTGATCGCCGGCGACATCAGTCCCCCTCCTGGCCAACACTACAGCTTGTTCAGTGGGTTCATGCATCTCGCAGCCGGGTTGTCCGTCGGTCTGACGGGGCTCGGGGCGGGCTATGCGATTGGTATTGTTGGAGATACGGTGCGTTCCGCGTTCATCGTCGTCTGTTCATCCGCTGACTCTATCAGGGCGTTCGATCATTCATGCAGCAGTCGCGGCTCTACGTGGGCATGGTTCTGATTCTCATCTTTGCCGAAGTCCTGGGTCTCTACGGGTACGGTCCTCCAGCACCTGACGAGATGCACGCAAGCACTAACATTTTATCAGACTCATTGTCGGACTGATGCTCAACACCCACAGCAGAGGATGAAGGCCCTCCAGAAGCATTACCAATATTCTGTCAATTTGAAGTTGCATTGTTCGGCGTACATAGGAGCATTTTGGACATCGCCTTATTGCTGCAAGGCTGTCATCCACGTGGGCAGGATGTGTATATTAACGAGATTGTATTACTGTAATCTGAGCGATGGTATCCTGAGTCTTGAAGACAAGTCCCCCCAGCTCCTGTTTCATGCTCGCTCGCCAAAGCTTCAGCTTCATCCGTGCCGTGTGATTCGATTCCGGGAGGGAATCTTCTCGTCGGAGCAGATCCTCCCGATTCCACACTGTCAAATCCCCGATCTGGATGTCCGATTCGCCCACGATACGCCAACATAGTTCGTCGAAACCCCCTTCCAGGCACTGATGCAGAAACCAAAGATCGCCTCTGCTCTTCGCCGTCACTGTCACCCCGGCAACGCTGGCCCGGGGTGAATTGACCAGCCGGGCCAAACGTCTCATGGGACTTTGCATCCACACCTCCCATTCCCTCGCCATCTGCTCCTCCACCCTACATCGACTCAGACACGTAATCCAAATCCGGAGCAGGTCCCACCGCTCCCGGATCGCGCTCGCGAAAATCTCCAGATGACACGCGTCGGCGGGCGTGAGGTCTTTAAACCCTGTCAAGATCTCCATGATGTCCTCGTGCTTCCACGACCCGTTCGCGCGATCCTGCAAGCTGCCCGGCGGGACCGCTAGCTTGCCGATCAGCGTGTAGAGCTGCTTGGGCCCCAGGGGGACGTTGTCCGCGCGGGCAAGCAGGAGAAACCGCCGGAGCGCGGTGAGGTTGCGGCACCGCGCGGCGAAGAGGATGCCCTGGTGGTGCATCTCCCACGTCATGCGCAGGTTGTACTTCGCCAGGCGCGTGAAGATGGTGGAGATGGTGCCCAGGACGTCGCGGTCCTTGAGCTTCCATCGCAGTTCGTAGAGCCGTTCGATCAGCCGATTGCAGGCGGCGGGGAAGCGCTCCAGCGTGTGTTTGTTGCGCTGGGCGATGGCCACAATCAGCATCACCTCCTTCGTGGATTCCACGGACGCCATGAGACTGTTCAAGGCACGGCGGATATCCCGCTCTTTTCCCGAATATCGTATGGTGTGGTAGTCTTGCCGCTTGGTACAACTGGACTGTGATTCGCCGCCGAGACCGGTCAGGATTGATATCGTCAACCTGGGGGGAATTGGAGCAGTCGGTTGCGGATCTAGGATCGTCTGCAACGGAACAGGGGCCGCATTAACAGGCTGCACAGGAACCGAATTGACGGGATAATGTGGCAGCCCTGTAACGGTTCTCACACAACCCATTGGGGTCTGCGACCAATGGGCCGCCGATCGAGGAGCAGATCCATGGTGACGAAGTCCTTGACACAGTCGAGGGCCCCGCATTGATGCATGGGAGGATCATGGGCAGGATTGGAAAATCCAGGCGTCGAACGATCCGAACGGTCATAAAGGATATTTTTGGAGTCTCGGGCCTCCCATTTCAGCTCTCGTGGCCTTCAGAATCGGGGTGGTTGATAGAGGCGGCGAGGATGAACGGTGAAAGTCGAGCGGAATGAAAGTCGATGTTCAATGTGCACTGATGGACGTTATGGCCCGCTGGGTCGCTGCCCTTCTCAGTCGACTTGGAGTCCAGATTCCCAACATCAAACATACCATCATCCTTCTTCCGTTACAAACTCCGAAAAACGACACTATTTGCGCAATCTAAATCAATAATACACACGATGTCTCCTTCAAAAAAGCGGAAAACGTCGCCTATCGCTGACGAGGTCGAACCGGAACCCTCCAAGCGACGCAACGTCAACCAAGACGAGCAAGATACGCCAGAGACCGACCAACCCGAAGCACCCAGCGAAACGCCAGTTTCTCCAGCCAAGGATGACAAGCAAAAAGAGCGAATGGAGCGGTTCAAAGCCCTCAAAGCCCGACAAACCCAGTCCCGCAAACAGAACCTCAAAGACTCCGCCGACGAAACCAAACGGCTCGCTACCAATCCCGCCCTCCTCCAAGCCCTCAGCCGCAAACACGACAAAGCCTCCGCGAAGCTCCTCCGCGCGGAGACCGCCGAAGCCGGTGAGGACTTCGAGCGACGCCGCGCGTGGGACTGGACGGCGGAGGAATCCGAGAAGTGGGACCGGCAGATGGAGAAGAAGGAGCGGCACCGCGGGGAGCGGGCGTTCCAGGACTACCGGCACGCGGCGGAGAAGGCGTACAAGCGCGAGCTGACGCACCTGACGCCGGACGTGGAGGGGTATCAGCGGGAGAAGATGGCGGCGGTGGAGCGGGCGGCGAAGCGCGGGGGGTTGGAGATCCTGGAGACGGAGGAGGGGGAGCTGATCGCGGTGGACAAGGACGGATCGTTCTATTCGACGGCGGACAGTACGGCGTTCGTGCACAATAAACCGGGCCGCGAGGCGGTGGATCGATTGGTGGAGGATTTGAAGAATGCGGAGGCGGTGCGGATGAAGAAGCGGAGGGATCGGTATAAGGATGAGGAGGACACCGGGGACGTGACGTATATCAACCTTCAGGTATGGATGCATCGAAAGCGCTTTTGGAACCATGAGCTAACGGCATTACAGAACAAGCAGTTCAACGAGAAGCTTTCCCGCTTCTATGACAAGTACACGACCGATATCCGCGAGAGCTTCGAACGAGGAACGGCGATGTAAGACGATAACCGAAATTGACAGCAAGAACACGGGGTCTGTGGTGGCCCTCACCAAGCATATGGGTCGTTGGAATATCACGGTAGCATTCATGAAGCATTGAAATATTTTGATTGAGAGGATTTTGGTTGCTCAATAATCATTTCCATCCCCGTCCCATATCCTTCGTGAAGACCTTAATCGCCGAAAGCGAGCTATAAAACATCATGGAGTCCGAGAGGCTTAAGAAACAGACATAACAGGTACGGAACGGTATCACACCACCAACGCGACCAGCAGCTTCTCGTAGTCGCCCCGTGTCTCCCCCTCGATCCGCTTCACCAGGTCCTTCTTGTAGAACTGCCGGTACGCATTCCTGACCTGCTGCATTCGATTGCGATCCCAATGGATCTGCACCACGCGATGGATGAGCAGCTCGTCCTTTGTCCCCAACCCCTTCATCGAGGCCTCCAACTGGTCCGCATCCGTCTTGACCGGGTCCACCGCGCGCCCTAGCATTAACCGCAACGCATCCTCCATGTGCCCGCTGAACTCCTTCTTGAGGACCTCGTCGAGCGAGCGCCGGTACTTGCTCTGGTACGCCTGGGCGATCGCGCGGATCTGCCCGTTGCTCCGCTGCGCCAGGACCTGTACAACCACATCCTGGTTGGTGCCGAACTTGGTGCCCTCGGTCGCCTGCTGCAGGCGGTCGACGTCCGCGTCGGTCTGCTGGGGGATGACGGGGGCAGATTCCTCGGCGCGGTTGGCCGCCATGACGTATTCGAACAGTTTCGCGGTCTTCATCGAGAGGTCGCCGCGCACTTCAGCGCCGAGGTCCTTACGGTACATCTTCTGGTATTCGCCCATGATGGCTTTCAGATCGGCGTTGCTGCGTCCCAGAAGCACGTCGTTGAGCAAGTCTTCCTTGGTCCCCACGCCGGCGAGCGATCGGTTGAGAGCGTAGACGTCTTGGCCTAGCGGACCGCGAACGACGGCGCAGAGGGCCTCCTCGAAGTCACCGCCGGTCTCGCTCTTAATGTCTTTGATTAGGTCGCGGCGGAAGCGATCGTCGTACTGGAACCGGAGCTGCGCCATGTCGAGCGGATTGTGGACTTGCGCCAAGGCAGCAATCAGCTTGGCCTCGTTCGTGCCGAACCCTTTCATCGAGTCGCGCAGTTTCACCGCCTGCCCGTTCATGTCGGTGTGCCCTCGTTGTCCGGGAATGTACCCGGGCGACGGAGGAACGGGAGGTCCCGCGTGCACCGGTTGCTGAGGGGCGCCATATCCTGGATATCCGCCCGGTGGAGGATAGCCCTGAGGAGGACCCTGAGGAGGATAGCCCTGCGGAGGATAGCCTTGAGGTGGGTAGCCCTGAGGAGGATAACCAGCCGGCGGCGGCGGAGCGCTTTGAGGGGGATATCCCTGAGGAGGATACCCTTGAGGCGGATAACCTTGCGGCGGAGGATAACCTTGAGGCGGATACCCTTGCTGCGGGGGCGGATATCCTTGCGGAGGGTACCCTTGCGGTGGAGGATAGCCCTGAGGCGGTCCGCCGGGCGGTCCTCCAGGCGGTCCGTAGTTCTGCATTGGATAGGGAGGGTATTCGGGGAAGCCTGGCGGAGGGGGAAATAGGAGCGGGTAATACGGATTCTGAGGGTACGGCGATGGTGCGGGAGGGAAAAATGGAGGGGCAGGTTGACCTGGGTATGGCGGATCTATATAGTTGTACATTAGCGTTAAGTGGACGCGTGGTGGTCCCTGAGGTGGAGGGACTCACATCCAGGCGGAGGCTGCCAAGCCATCGGTGGCTGAGCAGTTTGTTGATCTTGGTAGGGAGTTACCGATCCTCAGCTCTTTTTGGGGTAAGAACAGCTGCGCCTGGATGCCGGTGGTGCTAGGATGCCTTAGTGAGGAGGTGGGTGGTGAGAATGACGAGCTCGCTAGCGTGAACTACGCCGCCTATTGATACTGTAACAGCAGATCAAAATAGTAGGGCCGATGATTCGCCAAATCTATAATGAAGAAACAAGAGTTTCGAAACCTCGAATTAACGCCTTGGTGAGAGATACTCGATATAAAGTCAAGTAATATCTACGGCAGCTTTCAGAACATGTAAGAAAGAATCGCCCAGTGAATGGACGGATGGAGGGGCTTGCAGTGCAGGTTCGGCAGTATCTGAAGTGCCCCGCCTCAGTAACTACAAGATATACATTTTCCAACTGGAAAGGTCATCAGCAGCACATTCACTTTGATTCACATCATTCACTCTGCTTCACGTCTCACGAGATGCGACTTGTACTGAGGCGATACCCAATTCCCCCCGATTCCCCCCACCCAATGACCCGACGTCATGCATGTGCTAGGCCCTGTACCACTGTGGCCTATCAGATCATCCAGATGCCACTGCACAGCCGAATAGAGTGGGCTGTGGCTGACCCGACGCAGGGTATGTATCCTCGTGTCACGTGTGTCTAATTGTATGAATTTGAGACGCATCTGTCTGAACATGAACAGAACTAATTATTGAAAATTGTATCTATACTCCTTACTTAAAGGTGGCTATCATGAGGAGAGTGGCTGGTATACGGAATATCCAACAACAGAAACCAAATCCCCAGCGCCATTGCTACGGTCTATGAAGCTGCTGTGTCTACCAGCGTTCCAGGGTCCTGCTTCAAGTTGTACATGAGGACACCGGGTCAGTCCGTTATCCAGCATAGGGCAGGGTAGGTACCTGTATCCCAATTCCCAATCCTCGTAGGTTTCTAGAACCGCGTCATCATTTCGCGGAGTGAGTAGCAGCGTTGGACAGAGGCAATAATCTGATCAGATGTCTGCGACTGAGGATTAGACCTCATCTCACTACGATTTAACCGCCACGCAGGCCGCAGCAAACGATAAGCGACCCATTCAGCCTTATAAGGAACCGATCACCGCTTCGTCAGGACCATTTACCAATACAGTACCTTGGCCAGCAGGCTTCGTCGCCTCACACTAGCGGTCAATTCGACAACAGGTAGGCGTCTAGGCGTTTTTTACTCGCCGTCGAATGTCGATACACCTTTTGCCTACCGAAGGCAGATGACCAGCGATACGACAGTATATCAAGTCTAGGCCCCCCATCACTGTAACTCGCTTTAAATCGGTTATCGCTTTATCAAATACTGTCCTAAAAGCTTAGAAGCGTGGGTCACAGGGAATAGCTCCGAGATTGATATCATCGATCCTGGCTTCCCAGATACACTATATGACCCCTCCCATCTCGCACTTCACATTCCCTCAACATCGATCCCAAACGACGACACACAATGAGTTTCGAACAACACCCTCCTCCACGGCCACCGGTCAGTCATCAGCCGACGAGCCAGTATTACGATCAGAATCTCCATCCCTCCGCGGCGCAATATCGCCCACCAACCTCACAACCGCAACCCATCCCAGGACAATCCCAATCTCAACCAATCCCATATTCCACCAGCCTTCACGGCAGCAGCCCATACGGCGTGAGTCCAAGTCAAGGGAACAGTTTCCAAACCGGAACGTCGCCAGGTCCCTCACCAGCTTTCGCGCCGCAGGATCCACTCCAGCGTGCGCGGGTCGGCTCGCACTCCTCCTCCCATCGACCCGGATCCGGCTTCTCGCGCCATTCTCACCAACACTCTTACCACTCCCACAGTCCGGGACATTCACATCACTCGAGACCGTCGTATAGTGACGAGAGGCGATCGAGCCATCGCCATCATGAGCATCATCATAATCATGAGAGTAGTAAGAAGAACGCGAATGAGCGGCCGACGCTGGGGGACACGATCTTAATGATGTGGGACACATTAACGGGGTCGAAAAGGAGGAGGGAGTGAACACATGACGACGGATTATCTAACGCATAAACGGGGTTGATGGAATTTCGTTTCTCACATAATACCACTTTGCCCTAGTGGCTAGGAACGGTGCGATGGGTACGGCTTTGCTATATGAAAGGGTTGGAGTTATCTAGTCTTTTTAGACATCTCGATGCCTATATCGGAATCTCCTCTAGCATGAGCAACACCTGCTATTCGCTTCCAATCATTCCCAATCCTTAGTTCCACTGTCATTCAACCATTCCCTGTTGCCTTCCTTATTCCTCCTTTTGTATACATGTCGTGCATTACATTATGTCCATCGATGTTACCAACCATCGTCGTAACCCTCGTACCTAGACTCTGTTCAATTTTGTCATTGAAGTGAGGGCATAGAGAGTCGATCAGCATTTCTAACCCGGTTAGCTTCCCCTAGATCTAGCATATCAAGCACACTCACTTTCGGCCTCGGTTTCCTGCACTTCCGCTCATTCGCCTCCCAACATCTAATCGCGTGCGAGTTCTCGCATTCGCACCGCTTCCGCATCGTCAGCCGTGTCATGATGTAGCCTGGCAACGGTTGGGGAACTCACCGATTTCTCACTGAGATGCTGCGCAGGGCACGTCGCCAATGTGCAGTCACAGGCTGCTTTGAGCGTGAGCTTGGCGATCCTCTCTTTGGGATTCTTCTGTCTGGGTGGGTTAGGGTCCGGGTGTGCAAGTGTCAGTGCCACGAATAGCGAGACAAGAACGGGGGAAATCTTCATCTTTGCGGTCGGGCGATCGATGGGGATCGGAACGAGAGGAGTGTTCCCTGAAGAGGGCGAAGTAAGAGCTGGACGATCGGGCGATATATGAATGAAGTGGTGGGCATCGGTACTTCAGCCGAATAGCTACCAGTGGAAGTCGAGAGATTCTCCGAGGGAACCAATCGCTCCTAGTCTCACGATATTCATATGTCAAGCAATAATGATGTGTCAATGGGACGATTGAATTCCGAGCGAGAAACCGTGGCTTCTAAGCTGGCCGTACGCACCGGACTAGACGATGTGGCACCAATCCGGCAATGTCTGAGCGACCTCATGCAAACTGGCGCTGGCCTTCGGGTCTGGGCCCAGGTGTTTCTGCAAATGCAGCAACCTAACGATATATGGCATCAAATAATTTTCGGCTCCCTCAATTTGACAACGTACAACGGACACGATAATCGACGGCTTTGGGGCTGAAGGTTGCATGCAGGAAGTCCGGCCGTGTCACGTCGGAATGAGAGGACTTATATCCAATACAGAGTCGCAGGTTGGCTAAGTTGCAAAAATCTTTACGTGCGTGTCAATAGTATCAGGAACCGATACTCGATCTAGTGATTGGATCAAGCATTACGTCGCATGCTGGGACTATTGTGTCGTCGACATGAACTTATATTTGTAATGTCCTGATCCTGTCCGGTGGCGTACTAGGGGCTGCATCGAATATTCCATGCCCTGATGATTCTCCTCCTGCCACAGTTCCCCACCTCGCCTTTCTGCGTAAGTCTCGATGAGGCCCTGTGGATGCCTTTGGTGGCGGTCTACTAGTCAGTGCCGGTTTCTCATCAGCTTTCTGAACACGACACTTCGTTACCTCTGCTACAAAGTCATCCGACCCTAAAGATCACAATGATGCTCAACGAACCAAGTGCATACTAGGGCCTGGTATCAGCAAATTGAATAGCTATTACAACTGTGCCAGTGTCGAGAGCCGAACGTGTGAAAACTGGGTTGATTGATTCGGGTATGGAAGACTGATCAGTGATTGGAAGCCTTTATATATACATCTGCACGGTTTAGTTGTTAACTAGCCGTTTTAGTCAACCTACCTCAATAATATAGATTTATCCGGCCATTCCAGAAGTCTACTTACTTACAAATAACCCGGCATGCTTCTTCGCCATAAGATGTCTAGCAATGGGGGCTACGGGTTTTAACGGTTGATCCCATCTAGAAGCATGCTCGAGATTTTGTGGTAGTGGTTCCCTGACAGATCCGGTACTTCATTTAATCTATAATACCTCTTTATCAGCTCTTCTATACTCTAAGCAGGAGACCATTAAATATATGAAGATGTTTCTACATAGAGTTGAAGCAGAATTGTTGATATGAGCCTTTCAGTCAACTGATAACCACTGAATAGCACTGACTGAACTGGACGATCCGAGGAATGTAAGGGAGACTCCCTCGAAGGGTTTCGAGAAATTTCCCGAAAGTCGGGTCTTCGGTTTGGTCCTCCACGTCCTCCACGTCTTCCTAATTAGATCATCCATACTTGCTAGAATTCGGCCAATTTCTGGTATACTATCCTCCCGTGAACCAGATTACTACGAAAATCTTTCTCTATGATTGGCCGACGTATGATTTACTCAGACAAGCTTCAGGTTATGGTGTAGAGAGAAGAAGGTCATTTAACGCCCTTCTTCACATCTCGCTGGACCTGGCCAGAGCCTTCTTCAAGAACAGTTGATCAGGATTCCTCATAAGCCTGGAATCTGCGATTGGCTGTGCAGGTCGACTATCTGGATATAGCTGGCGGCCTTATGGCACATACGACTTCATGGACCAGATGGAACTAGTTAAGCCCCTGGATATCTAGATACTAATGACTGAGCGCTCCGATCTCAATATATACCCGAAAGTATATCATAAGAGCCATACCATTGCAAGGCACCAATGACCAACTAGACAATGACCACACAAATGACATGTATATATACTCTCTTGCTCATCAACCGGAATATGCTTCTCTAGCCATCTCCCCGAGCAGCAATCCTTTGATATTTAGTTCTATTTACCCATTGAATCACAATGCCGGGCAACAAGCCAGTCCAGAATGCGCTTAAGGACCATCCATCGGCTAATATTGATGAATATGTCAGGATGAGTACGCTGAAGGAAGACGCTGATGACGCAAGCACGTCTTGCTAAGACTGCCACTATGTTGAATAGCAAACTAACCCTGTAGGCCATCCGTGGACACATTCATCTCGAATGGAAGAGCTGGCTCCTTTTCCGTAAGCTGAGCGCTGCCTGTGCTCGTGCCAACGTCTCCTTTCACGGCTTCTTCTCCATGTGAGTTTGAGATGGACTTCCCGTGACGGATAGAAACATTGGATGTCGGAGTTGAGTTCCCAAAACCTGCAGTATTATTAGGTCCACTTAACATCGAACTAGACATGCGATAAAATATCAGTAAGGATTCGAGCTTCGCTAGTGAATTCTGGTTTTTAGTGCCTAGACGTTATCCGACATCCCTTCGTGGCAACCGCAAATATTGGTCCATGACTGTCATCTTCGCGCAGTTTCACCACTATGAAAACATATCAAAGCCGGCATCGCGTACGGTACTTCATCCATGGAACAACTCGGGAATCTGCTGAACGAATCCTGGACAGACAAGGCGCCGCGTAGCGAATACGACAGAATACTAGAAGACAGAAAAGTCCGAAGCTCGAAAAAGCCCAAATTACCCTTGGGCACTCGGCAGCTTTCTGATATCAGTTATCACAGCTTCGTGTGCTCAGACTTCAGTCAGCAGTGCAATCCCACGTCCCGTCCTCCCCCACTCTCAAGACTCAAGGATAGGGATTGAGATTTGAGGCACTAGGGGTCGTAACTTGACGCCGTGAATAGCTTAGTAAAGCTGCTCGGTCCCCTGCAGAACAAGGGAAGGGGATTCGTGTCGAAAACTTGAGGTTGGGTGATACGGTTCCCGTTTCCCAAGGCCCTTCGTATTGTTCCAGTTCATATTGGTTCTTGATGTCGGCTTCATCCGGGCGGCTGTTTCCGCATCGTGTTCCTTTGAAGGACAGGAAAAGTCGGAGATTCGTCAAGCCAGCGCAAAAACGTCATTCGTGCAATAAGATGACGGGAATCGCGTGGGCGTGAGCCGTGAGCCGTGAGCTGTGAAGCCAAGAGCGCAAAACCGATTACCGAATCCCTCTAATGACGATCGGTTTCGGGGGAGTGAAGAACCCACAAATATCCCCATAATCTAGCTCTAGCTGCAGAATTCAAAACCACACAGACTCTGCAATCTGCAGTTGCATGGACGCCAATGGTTGCGGGTTGCTAGTCCACGGTGTGAGATGATGAGAAACGATCAGTCAGACGAGACATTAGGCATTATATTCAATTTGCCGATTGATGCCGAAGTGGGCAGGAGTTCTGACAGTTGAGTGCCACGACTACTTCGTAATCCTTACGATAACCCAAGTACCTGTACTCCGTCGGTTGGGTCATTTAGGTTTGGCGATTTAGCAATGTACGAAATTGAAAGTAGATTACGGAAGTATTTTGGATGAGATCTGAAACATAATCAAGCATTTTGTGAAACGACTAGGCGGGACCGCGGGAGTGACGAACCGCCTCCCCTGTGATGCTGGATTGCTGGTGAATGGTGATAGAGTGGAACGTGGAGGGGACAAAGGTCAAAGGAACGTCTTACAACTTACAAGTTACAGGAATAATTCCTCCGGAAATGGGGTGGGTACAGAGACATTTGCGTACTCTCGACCGCAGTTACCCCCTTACTGCACATAATGCCGCATGCGTAAGGGAACAAGTAGTCAAGTGAGCACATCATACACGTCCTATTCCCGTAATTCACCCTTGTCTAAGTTAGCCATGTTCCATCCCCTAATAAACCCTTCCATACGGAGTACTTCATCAATATGGACGGAACATCTGGTGCCAACCTTTCCTTCTGGTGTCAATCTTCACTCGTTCTGATTGTATCCTGGTCCACATCCCAAGATAAGAACCCTTCCATTGGTTCCAAAGCAGAGGCATCGCTGGATGTATCCACTGCTTAGGAAGCCCTTTAAGCCCCTTGATAGTTAGGTCCCGCTAAGTGGCGCTCTCCCATTTTCCCGGCGTCACTTCAACAATTCTGTACTGTTTGATCGTCCTAAGCATTTAGATCAGACCTCGACGCACAAAAAGCATTGGCTGGCCCTTTGGTTTCCCTCGCATCTCTCGTTCTCATTCTACTGGAGATCTGTCTTATTCTAGTCGATCATGTTGTCACCGGATGCCTAACAGCGCGATTCCACCGCCAGTCTGCACGCTGCACCCTCACTGTTCAGCTATGCGGGTTCTCCAATCCTGATTCGGTGAAACATCTACCTCAGCCCGCCTTGAATTCGCCGCAAACGACCATCTCGTTGGCTGTCATCGACTGTGCCGCGCCTTCGGACGACTCGGTGAACCAAAAGTGGTTTTTTTCGCGGGTTCTTTCGTGGATTGATTCATCATCCGCGTCGGGTCCAGCACTCCGCACGGAATCAACTTTCTATGGTTGGGGTGTTGATATTTCCAGAGATCTTCGCTGCTTCACGATAGTCTACCTAGACATATCCCCCATCCCTTCTTTGACTCCTCCGAATCCTCAATCACCGTAGTCAACCTGCTTCGATAGCTCCGTAGCCACGATGTTAACCTTTCGGAGAGCGCTGATCATCGCGGCGGCGGTCCTCACCCTTTTCTACCTCCTCCGGAATACCCAGGCCGAAAAGCAAATCCAGACCGCAGATATGCTTCCAAAACCCGGACCAGTTATCCCGCTGCAAAACAACGATAATCCATCCCCCGACACGGCCGAACAACACACCCTCTCAACAAACTCACCGAAAGGCCAGAAGGACCCTTCTCGACGACACCGAAAACCGCAAACCCAAATCTCACTTCAAGACCTGAGGGTTAAGCCTCTCAAGGAGCAACTCGCATACAACTTCCCCTATGACCCCGAGTCGAAGTTCCCGGCATATATCTGGCAGACATGGAAGTACACGCCGGCCTCGGGCAAGTTTGATCCTACATTCCGGGAACCAGAGGCGTCGTGGACCTTGCTACATCCTCGCTTCGTTCATGAAGTCATCACCGATTCAGTTGCGGTGCAACTGATCAAGCATCTCTATTCTGCCACGCCCGAAGTGGTCGAAGCGTATAAAGCCCTCCCTTTCCCGGTGCTCAAAGCCGACTTTTTCCGGTACTTGATCTTGCTGGCGCGGGGGGGAATCTATTCGGACATCGATACGCAGGCGCTCCAGTCCGCTACCGAATGGGTGCCACCGGATGTTCCCCGTTCAAGTTACGGCATGGTCATCGGGATTGAAGCGGATCCCGATCGCCCGGATTGGGCGGACTGGTACTCGCGAAGAATTCAATTCTGCCAGTGGACCATCCAAGCCAAACCGGGCCATCCCATCCTCCGAGCCATTGTGACCAACATCACCGAGGAGACCCTCAAGCGAAAAGATCAGGGGACCCTTCCTAAGGACCATGAGTCGGTGGTCGAATACACCGGACCGGCTATTTGGACCGACATCATCTTCAAGTTCTTCAACGATCCGGAGTACTTTGACATGAATAGCGGCAATGGGAACATTACCTGGCGTCAATTTACCGGCATCACGAGCGCGAAGAAGGTCGGCGACGTGGTTGTTCTACCGATCACCAGCTTCAGCCCTGGCGTGAAGACGATGGGCGCGGGAGAAGACGACGACCCAATGGCGTTTGTTAAGCACAACTTTGAAGGTGAGTGAGCGATTATTGCGTGGTCCTAGCCCAATTATACCCTCCTTTCTATGCATTGCACTGCCGATCTAGCAATGCAAACCGATTGGGTGCCCGACTCTCGGGTTTGGGTTTCATATTCGGTGGGACTGGAACCAAGCCGCGTCGCCCCGATTGCGGTTCTCTGCATGATCCATATCAAACACAAACTAACCATCGCTGCAGGGACATGGAAGCCGGCGAACTTGCGGCATATTGGCGAAACATATTGAACGGGTCATTTGAAGCCACCCGATCGTATCTTGCACAAGGAGGCATTGCGGATTTATCCCTGCTTTCATGATGTCTACGACTCTGGCTCTACTCGATACCCATATCTCTCGATGGCTTCTTTTTAGCCTTCTTCCTCCACAGCAACCAACTTCTAACTTGAGTATCCGTTCAGTGGAGTGAACCTAAATAGATGGAGACGGCGTACCACTGAGCGTTCTTCGAATATCGAAAATGACGATTCATGAGACCATCGGCAGCGAATCCGGTGGACCAAATAGAGGGATCTTTTTCCGGTGTTGGTATGTTCCTTGATATCTGGTTCGATTTTGCATAGATCATTCGTTTCCTTGTCAACAGAGTTCGTTGGCTTCAGAAGCCTTTTGCTTCTTTTAGTCTGGCTTCGTTGGATTTTACGGTGTCTGCTTGTTCAAGCGCTGAACTCGCGGCTGCAGCAAGGATTATTGACCATCACTAAAGACGCTCTCGGATTTCACACCGAGGGACGCCTAGGCTGATATGGATGGGGAATGTTTTGTTTCTTCTATTGTAATATACATGAAAGTCTTCAATGATGAGAGGCCATTTGAATGGAGTCGGGAGACCAGATGAGTCGTGACAATAGTTGTTGAGATGCGTAACCTTTGTAATCGCTTCCATGCGCCGCCATATAATCGAACTCTTAGTCTTATAGCATCCCCTTTCTCCACGCCTTCGTCGCCAACCTGTCAATTTCCGCCACGTCCACCACTCCTCTCACCCCCTCATCCCCAATCGCCTCCACCACCGCATCCCCCACCGCTTCCACCCTCAACGGCTTCTCCCCCCCCGCCCCAATCAACCACGACAACCGTCTCCCCATCGCGCTATTCACCATACTCCCCACCATCCCGGCCGCCGCGATCGGCAACGTGAACGACCGACTCGAATCGAACATGAACGACGGCCGGATGAAGATCTCGCGCATCGACGGGAACTCGGCGGCGATGGTCGCCTCGGCGTCGCGTTTCGTTGAGAGGTAGCGGGATGGGAGGAAGGGGGCGCCGGCAGTGGCGGAGATGTAGACGAAGGCGGTGGTGGAGTTGGCGGCATGGGCTTCGCGCGCGAGGGTGATTGCTGGAATGGGAGGACTGGTCAGCACCGTGAGGCTTGGGGATGGAGAGGATGTTATCACGTACCGGAGTCTCGATTCATAAGCTCATATGTCAACTGCCCATCCTCCTCCTGCGGCTTCAGCACCTCCCCTTCCTTCCGGGTCAGCGGATTCTGACTCCCCCGCTTCGTGGCGCTGAACGCCCTCTGGAGCCCGCGGATCGGGGACTCTTTCCCTTGGATCACGCCCTTGTAATCCGCCTCAAGCAGGATGCCCATGGAGTGCACCACAGCATCCGCGCCTTTCAAGTGCTCCTTGTAGGAGTCTGGTTGGAGGATGTTCGCGGCGGTCCAGGTTACGGATTTGGACCATTTGGGAGCGGTGGAGGAGGAGGAGACGGCCGACCATGAGGGTTCGCCCGAGCGGCTAATCGTGGGATGTTAGAGGCAGTTTGATCTTGAAATTGACGAGCATATATACCCAATCGATGTCACGTCCCATCCCCGTTGCGCAGCAGCTCTGCAAATACGGGTCCCTAGACATATGTTAGCTCGAAAACACCAGGTGAAGCCGGAGTGCAACTTGCCTAAAAAGCCATTGCCTCCGCACACGACGATTTTCCTTTTCACGGCGGCCGTAGCCATGATGGTATCGCCTCAAGGGTACTCTATACAAGTGTGATAGCAATTGCGCATCTTTCACGTCCGACGAAGCTGAAGGAGCAATTCAACAGCTCGTCGTTAAGTTCGTGTCGTCATACCAATTGTCAGATCCCAGCACATCGAGACCCTGACAACCACCTTACGCATCTACAATTCTAGATTCTAGATTCTTCATTCGAACAACTTCCACAACCCGCGCAAGGTGTGAATACCTCACTGATTAACCCCAAACACATTTCTGCATCGTCAAATTTGTGCCACGAGAAACTAGAAAGCCGCTTTATTGACCTGCAGCCCCAACTCCACCATGGCCGGCCCTCCGAATCGACGTGTCAAGGTATGTGTACCTATCCGAGTCCTGGCTTTAAATGTGCTTACACCATCTAGGGCAAAAGAATAACACGGAAATTCAGTATGGCTCCTGAAATACCACTACCACTGCGAACACTGCTAACGTTGTGAAGTCATCGGCTCCGAAGCATGGCCTCTCACCCCCGAAAACCGGCCGCCTGGCATCCCCGAAGACCACACCACCGGCTGGAAAGTCTACGTCAGGAACTTGGAGGGCGGGCCGAACATCAATGTCTGGCTGAAGAAAGTGCAGTTTAAACTGTTTCACACGTACACGCCAGCGCTACGAAGTCCGTCTTTATATCCCTTTCTGGCCTTCACGTTGATCGACTAACATCCGGTAGCTGCGGAGCAGGAACCGTTCGAAGTCACGGAAACCGGCTGGGGCGGCTTCCAGGTCGACATCCGCCTCCATTTCCAACCCGTCACCAGCGAGAAGGCCCAGTGGCGCTTCCACTACCTGCAACTCGAACCCTACGGCTCCGACGCCGATAAAGCGCAGCAGAAGGCCCGCGGTCGCGTTGTCTCCGAGTCGGTCGAGATCCTCGAATTCAACGAGCCGAGCGAGCCGCTCTGGGAGGCGCTGACGTCGGACTCGCAGTGGGACTACCTCAACCCGGCGAAGGGCGGGGGAAAAGGCAAGGCGAAAGGACGTGGCCAGATGAGCGTGGCGAATATGCCGGTCATCGGGCTGGGGACGTCGGAGCTGGCGGACAAGTCGACGCCGTCGAACCCGTACTCGAAGGAGATGGAGGATAAGTATATTCGGTCGTTCGAGACGGCGGGGGCGGAGGTGGAGAGGCTGCTGCAGGAAGAGAACGAGCGGTTGAAGAAGAATGAGGAGAGGATTCAGGAGTTGACGGAGAGTGGGGATTTTGTTCCGTCGAAGAAGAAATGATGGACGTCTATCAGGTGTCGATGACTGTCGACTTCTCTTGCGCAAACAGGGCCTCCACTCGGCCTTTCCATAATGATATTCGATGGCGCTTCCTCCAACACCCATCCCCTCATAACGACCTCACCCCAGACATTATCCTCCCCGACAGCTCGAGTTCACAGCACCTTATTCTTCGCGAAGATCATCATATCAGAGAGCACTTGGCACTTCCATCCCGAACAGTTACACACCCGTTTCCCTCCCTGTCAATCTTATCACCGGGTCATTCTATACGGTTGTATCGTTATCCACGGCGACTTTCACCCGTCCGAACATGCCTCGCAAACGACAACCATCGACCCAACCCCGTGCCTCCCAAGCGCAACGAAAGGCAATCAAAAGGCACCAGAGGCTCAACATCCTACTCACCACCGAGAACGCCCGCCTACAAGCCCAAGCGGACTCGAACTTACAGGAACTCTCGACCCTCCGCGAGCTCAAGGCGTCCTTCGAGCAAGCGATCACTTGCACCGCCCAAACCGTCGCGCAGATCCTCAACTACTGCGCCGAGCAATGGGTCATGATGGACGAGGAGAAGCAGATACAGGCGGCAACGATCCGGGCACTCGAGGCGGACGGACAATGGCGGCGGCTGATGACGGAGTACGCGCAGCATAGGATCGGGGCGGAGACGAAAGTGTTGCGCGGGGTGCTGGATGGGTCGGGGTTTAAGTTGATTCCGGCGGAGAGGGTGGTGCAGGTGTTGGAGGAGGTAGGGGTGATTCTTGCGGATGAGAAGAGGGAGGAGGGTAGGGAGATGGAGGAGGAGTGATTGATGGAGTGCTTCTTGGGATGTGCAATAGACGAATATTGATAGGGGTTGCTATTGACCTCGAGAAGAATGCGTACATGTACTATAATGAGGCATTCTCTAGGCACATACCCCACTCACATTCACTTCCTATTCATATAACTATCATTGTCTCGCATGCTTCTTTTGTTGACTCTCTTCATCTCCAGTTTTATAATCAATCATGATAAATAATCATCCATGCAGCTCGATCAGTACACTAAATACCAAGCCACGTGAACCCGCGTCTATAATCCAGTTCGCTTCCAAAATTCCCCCAGCGACAACGAATCAGCGATTTTCTCTGCGGCCGTTGCAGCATGCATGCAGCAGTCTCCCTCCAGCCACAAAGGATTTTTCACCGGTGGCACATCCTATTCGCTGTCACGTAGGGCATTAACTGCAGCTACTCGGTCGCGACTTTGTCGACGTGTCCTTTCACCTTTGTTTACATCGGGTGCAGGCCGTTGTTAGGGTGCTAGACTGCTGATCGTGGTGCTGATCGTGGTGCTGATCGTTGGGAGGAAGAGGGGATGTTTTTGTTTGGGAGAAAGCAGGAGAGGGAGGATACATGATCTGAAGCAGCGCTAGCATTGGGAAGGGTGACGACGGTGTCGGTTAAACGGTTTAAAGGAAGCCAATTCCCCGTTGCCCATGATGATGCTCTGTACTTATTAGTTCATCTTATTAGTTCATCCTCGCACCGTCCTACAGTGTCGACTGATATTGGACGCACAGGACATCATTCGAGAAACTGCCCACGCCGCCATCCTCCCCTGTCCGGACTCGAGAACACTGGTGATTCCCAGCACATCCGGCAATTTTACACGAACTCTGGGCGTTGAACGGGTTTGGTGCCACTGCAACCAATGCTTGCTGCGAGGCTTCATCTGGAGAATCTTGTTGGATGAACGTGAGGGTCGTTGGGGTCGAGTCCTGGAGTCCTTGTGCCTGGGATTCCAAACTGTGGAAGCCCAGCGGCTGGCCCCGAATTCCCCCATCCCCCCGAACCAGCCGTGTGTCCAGCAATTCGTCGGGATTCGCGCTCATTCGCAGGATTTGGCAAAGCAATTGACGGCAAATTGGCACGCTAACCCTCCACGCGCCCCAACTGGAGTGCTGCCCGTGCGAGGAGGGATTGAGGGAGAGAGGTGTCCAACTGTCCATTCATCCTTGCGACTTCGACCCCCAGCAACCAACAACGCCAAAAAAACATCATCCTGCATCAACTCCAATCCCGATATTCCCCTCCTAATAATTCCTTTTGCCCTCCGTTTTTTTACCAAAAGTCCCATGCAAATAGATCTGATCGCTTCTTCAATCGTGGATTCCGAAATCCAGCATCCGCCGAGATCTTTCCCCCGAAACAACTCGACCATCATAACACCCTGCACTGTTTACGAATTATCACGGACACACGACCACGACACACCTCACCACGTAACCACCAACACAGCTCGAACAAGTAGTCCTCCAGCTCCTTGATTCCTGCAAACTCCCACTCCGAAACTGGCGTCGACTCTTCCACCGCCCTCATGCCTTGGCCTCCTGGCGACCATCGTCCGATTATCTCCTCCCTGTCCCGTAGAGGCCACTCCTCCATCTCGAAGCGACAATAAATCGCCGCCTCCACGAGCCCCGATCCCCCGTGACGACGCTCGCCGCAGGCACCACACCCCCCGGCGGCAGCTCCAATGTCACAGAACCACGGAGGAGCCCCGCCGCCTCCTCCCCCGCCGCCCCATGGCTCGAACCCGAAGACTACGCGCGGCGGCTTCGACAAGTCAGCATTCGACAAGGCGGGACTGGATCCGGAGCACTCGCAATTTCTGATCGTGGAGAAGGGCGGTGGCGTCATCTACCTGCCCTCGTTGTACGTGCATCGGAACTCGTTCTTAGCCGGCGCATTTTCCATGCTGCTGGTCATCGTCATTTGCTCCATCGTCGCGCCCGTCGCGTGGGTGTGGATCAAGTCGGTGACGGAAAGCGGTGGCGGCATGTCGGTGTTCATGCTCGTGGGCATTGTCGGGATCGGTGCCTGGGCACTCGGGAAGACATCCGCGGAAGGCGGTGGTTCTTCATCAAAGCCTGGACCGACGGGCGATTCGGGCGGTCCCCCAAATGCTGGGCCGAGTTGGAATTCTGGACACACCGGCCCTGATCCGAACGCACACTCATCACCTCCACCTCCACCGAATCCCGAGCCGCATTCTCCACCGCCACCGAAACCACAACCCCAACCCAAGCCTCGACACACCGCCAACGACGGCCCCTCCGCCTGGGAGCGCGCCAAAGCCCAAATGAAAGCGCAAGCGGAAGAAAAGAAGCGCCGGGACGAGAAAGAAGCCGCCGAGAAGGCGGCGAAGCTGGCCGAAGACAAGGTGAAGTGGGAGTCGCGGATGAAGGAGGCAAAGGAGCGCGTGGAAAGGGAGCGGAAGGAGAGAGAGCGCGTGGAGAAGGATGCGAAGGAGAAGGCGGAGCGGGAAGCGCGAGCGAAGGCGACGAGGGAGGCGAGGGAGAAGATCGAGCGAGAGGCGCGGGAGAAGGTGGAGCGGGAGGTGAAGGCGAAGGTTGAGAGAGAGGCGAAGGAGAAAGCAGAGAGGGAGGCGAGGGAGAAGGCTTCGAGACCGGTGTACGGAGTCGGAGAGCGGACGAATATCTACGGTCGTCCAGTCGGCTCGAAGGTGTCCTCCGCGCCGACCGGCCAGGAAAATCAGTACTCCTACCGTCCCTACGACCAGCCCAAACGACCCGCCAAGCAAGCCTCCGCGTCCTCCTTCTACTCCGACGCGTCCTCCTATTTCGGTTCGGAGACCACTGCCACGACGCCGCCCCCCCGACCCAGCGGGCCGTTCGTGACCAACGACGAGAAGAAGATCGTGCTGAAGGCCGTGTACCAGTTCGGTGACTCGTTCCCGCGCAAGCCGAAGGCGCAACTGCAGGCGGGTATGGTGCCGGTCACGGACGGGTTGGTGCTGCGGATGGATCTGGAGGGGCTGTTTCTCGACGATGAGGTGCGGCAGGTGCAGGAGCGGGAGTGGGATGTGAAGTTGTGGACGATGAAGTCCATCGAGGTAAGTTTCTCCCATTTCCACCCATAACAAGTCAACAATGCATATCCCATGCTCTTAACCTCCGTTCCGACCTAACCCCCATCCAGAGCGCCGAAGTCCCTCCCTACGCCATCATCCGCGTCACCACCAAGGACGCCGACAACACCCGCTACATCTTCATCCTCTCGGAAACCGAGTACTGGAAAGTCGGCAAGAGCCTCGCGCGCCTGAAATCCGGCGCCACCATCCAGCGACTGAGCGTCAACAACATGGACGGCAAAGACGCGAAGAAACTGCTGATGTCCCTCGGATGGCAGCCGCAGAACGTGTAGGGAACGGATCCCCGGCTACAGGCATTTCGAGATTCGCGATGCGAGGTGATGATTGACGGCCGAAGAGGAGAGAGGAAGTGTGGGAGCATGAGGAATGTGTCGTATCCGGTCGGGTGACAAACACATTCCGCCGTCATCGTCGACGACGTCTAGTCGCGGAGGATACGAACACCACCCGACCGAAACCAAACTATCACGAAACTCTTCTGCTTTCGCAACTGCTCAAAAATGCCGACCGTTGGATGAGTTCGACGCTGCGCGAGGGTGGGTGCACGAGGTTGCATCGATTCATATCGACATGTCTATTTCCATTTCCCACAATCCATCGAGTACCGTCGAACCGTGAAACACGATGGGTTTGATTTTCCCATCCACTTTCACATCATCACAGCATGCATCAGCGATTGGAGTTCTTTCCTTTTCACCGACGACTACTACTACCCCCCCAGGTTGATTTTGAGCCGTTTTTTGTATTGGTTTCATTGTTTGGCTTTCTTTTTTTTATTTTATCTTCGGACCTTGTCAATTTGGCATATAGGACGATGCTGTTGGATGTACATAAACTGATGACGGGCGAGCGAGCGAACTGGATGACGAGATACCTCATTGTTGTTTACCAATTAGAGATGTTGGGACTGTTTCTGGTCAATCTTCTCTCCAGAAGTTGAGCGTGCATGAGTGATATGGACATCAAACATATTGTCTATGTAAGAATGTTTTGAGTTTGTTAAACTGTCCCGTTGAGTGGTTCTCAATAATTACTACTAGTCATGATCCTTTGCCCATATTACACCATGTGTAGGCCAAATCCCATCCGTAAAGGTATCCTGTGAATGCATTACATCCGTGCCATTGGTATAGGTGCTTGAAAAATGAAAACATTCTCAATCCCGTGCGGACAAATTGCAATAGGATTTTGGGCGCTCCGATTTCTAAAATGTGGTTCTATGGGATCCTCTAAGTGATTCTCCCGGTGTATCGGGAAATGCCCGAAGGGAGTGTTTCTCCAATCATTCCTCGCTGGTGCTTTCAGAACACTTTGATCTAGACAAGCAACGGATCTCCCCACCAGGAAGGTACGCCAGAGAAGCAATCTTTTAGATTGTGTAACGGAATCCATCATTCTCGCCCTCAATAGCGGTTCCTTCACGATCCGCCCGTCGGTTCTCAAAACGTAGGCGGATGGTCAACCCGCAGACAATTACAATGTTCATGAGTGCACAAGCCATGCACGCCCACAGCCCCGGGTGATAATGAGGGACGTCCTGGGATCTGGAACGGTCAGGTCAGCAACTACAACATTGGAACAAAAAGTCAAGGGACGCACCTGAAAACAACCGCGCCAGCGATTCCTCCAATCCCGCCCATTCCAATGATCGTGGCAGAGCAGAACGATCGTTTCCATTGACCCCGGATGTTGTTCGCTTGATATGTAATCGACGCACTTCCGTTCGAGGTGGCTCCAGCGGTAAGGGGAAACATGCCAGCGTACCGGACCCAAGGATTCTTCGTCCACCCCAACATGGACAGGCCAATGATACAAAGAACCATATTGAAGATAATAGGTCCAGCCCGTTGCTTGTACTTGTCGCCGTACCATCCATTGACGTAATTGATGATGGCGCCGAATGCAAAAGGCGGAGCAATCAGTAAGTTCGAGGCAGCAACGGAGAAATTCAGGGTGTTGCGAAGGATGAGTGGACCGAAGAGCGCGATCGAATACAGGATCGTCGTCGTGCCGAAATAAATCAAACCGTAGCACCAGATCTTAATGTCCAGGCCTGCCGCGAAGAATTTCTTGAGGGAGAACGGCTCGATGTGCACGTCTCCTCGGTCGTCTTTGACTTTTTTGATGAGCCAATCGCGCTCAGTCGGGGTCAGGAATTTGGAATTGTCTGGCACCTCATCCGGGAAGGAGATCAGAAAGATAAATCCGAGGAAGGCAATGACGCAAGTAATCTGGGGACTTGGTCAGCCGGTGTCCAAGAATATCTCCGATATCACACTTACTATTCCTTCCATGATCAGGATCCAACGCCAGCCACTTACGCCTCCAAGACCGTCCATCTGTATCAGGCCATAGGAAAGAATGCCAGACAGGCCCTGTGCTACGGATCCCAAGATAAAGAAGAGCGCATACCGCTTGCCCACCTCGTAACGTTCGTACCATCTACAGTCGCCGTTAGCAAATATGCTGCCCTACGTCGACAGCAGAAAACGCACGTAGAAAGTAGATAGACATATCCCGAGAAGGACCCAGCCTCCAAGGCACCCAGGATAGCGCGAATACCCGCCATGGTGTTCCACGTCGTTACAAACCCCATGCCGATCACCACTGACCCCCAGAGGAGAGTGCTTGTGGAGAGGAAAACACGAGGGCCAATCTTGCGGATCAAGAACGCCGCTAGGGGTTGGAATGCGATGTAAGGGAAGAACAAGGTTAATGAAATGATGTTGTAACGGTAGCCGGTCAAATTTAGCTCTTTATTCATGCTGGGAAACGTCAGTCGGAATCTTCTTGAAGGTGAGGATGCCCAATTACCCACTAACGTTCGCTTGTCCCATATTCGTTCGGTCGAGCAACGAGATCATGTACATGGCACCCAGCATAATGACCAGACGGACATCAATCTTTCGAATAACACGTCTCTGCTGCTTTGGGGACAGCTCCGATTGAGCTTCCGTTGAAGAGACCGAATCGTCAACATCCACACCGAACTCCGCACTCTTCTCATGTAAATTTGCCATGGCGAACGGCACAATCGGCTTAGGAATATCCTCCTGAGCAGACAGTGACCCAACGACTTGAAAAGGAAACGCAAGGTAGCGAAGATTGCCGATGATTCAACGACCTGCGTGTACTGAAGGCGAAAAGAGAGCTGAGGACTTATCAGCGGAAACGGGCTCAATATACAGGTAAGAGTAGCGACAGACACTAACACTTGTTCATCAACGCGTATCTCTTTCACATCCACCTTCACCACGCAGGGTACATCCACAATTGCGGGATTTCGGTCCCAGCACGGATATGCCGCTATGTATCCATTGGCCAATTGTTTCTAGGATTATCTGAGAAAGGTCGAGCCGCAAATCAACTTCGCCAATCCGAGCAGTCCCTACAGTATCAAGCGATGAGGAACGGTCCATTTGCCGCCAAGAGGGTGTAGTCCTTGCAGGTTGGAAAGCCAACGACACAAGATAAACTTGGCAACCATGAGATCCATGCGGCTGGTAAAACGGTGGAGTTCGGATGGGTCATTCCCTTGGTCAATGACTCGAGGGTCAAACTACAGGCCACGGGCCGCTCCTCTTCCTCTGGGGTACCAAAGTTCCATTCGCCCTCAGAAGGTTTCTCGACCTCATGTCTTAATCACCCCCGAATCACTGCCCGGCAATCCTGTCGAACCAAAATGCAATGTATGTTCAATGTTGACGTGCTCAGCGAGTGTCGATCGTTGACGAGGTGCGTCCTTCCTCCGCCCAAAACGGTATCGAAGAATGGAGATATGAACCGGCGTCAGCTGGGAATCCAGAACGGGAACAGTTGGTCGCCTCTAGTGCGCTATACGTGCAGCCCCCCTCTAGAAGTACACAAAGGTGCAAGCTGTAAGAGTTAGGACAGGGACTAAGGCCTTGGTCACTTGCCCGGAGGGGGAAATAATCATCTATGCTTTGCTTGTCCTCGGCTCCTAGCCACGTTTTCCAATCGTTAGTCTCTGGGGCATTTTCGACGAAATCCTGACCACCTGCAATTGCAGGCTGGGCACAGCATTTCAACAGGGGCAAATAGCTAATGCAGGATTGCAGAGGAAGCCTCTTCGTCTGCATAGGAATTAGAGACAATACTTTCCGTAGCCCGCTATTGCTGAGAATGTGGGATTTATTGACTTGGGCGGCGACGCGGCTCGTTTGCCGCTGCGATCGCGTCGTAAACGGGGAAGTACTCCGTACGGAATACTTGGTTGTGACCTGCAGCTTGGAAGTTCTCGACTGAATTTCGATGCAAAGATCTGGCAGCCGAAGCTCCGCTCTCGCCACTTCTGACAGTACAGCGATGCAAGTCAGCGCTATCGGATTACATGGCGTGTGGTTGGATTTTGCTTCGATATGCAAAGCTGGAACAAGCGCAGATGTTGGTATCCTGATTCCTGGCGCTCCAAGTACCGTTCTCCACCATGGCGGTTCCGCCGGGGTTGGGAATTGTGCGCATGCGCCCAGACCGTCGGGATCCCGGCTCTCCTTCTCCGGTTATCCCACTTCAGAATACGGGACGATGCGAACCGCATGTTGTGAATCGCGGAATTGAAATTCCTAAGTCATCGTGAAGAGCAGGGCGGATAACCGAATGCGAGCATCGATATTCGATGGTCGTAGGGAAGTATATGTCGCTAGGATAGTTAACCATCCAACAAAATCGATGATGCATGTGAAACGGCCCCGCTATGAAGAATATAATCGGACCACCTGATTTACAGGCCTGAGATTCGGGGAAGAATGTCTAACTTTCAAGTTCTGGAAGTAACAATCAGGCCATATCAGTCGTGGACTTGGCGCCTGGCTCACTACTGGAGTCGCCACCAGGCATTAGTGTAGTCGCATCCAAGGACACATATTTCTGTTGAGGTCGGAACAGTTTCCAAAGTCCACCGACGAATAAACGGACAGAGTTGGACCAAGATGGTTTGGTCTGCTGTGATCGGTCGTGATGCCGGATCCCAACTATTGCTAAAGCGGCGAATGCGTAGGTTACAACCGCCATTAAGGCGGTGGTGATGTAGAAAGAGCGCTGGTTTCGGGACGCATCTTCGTGGTCGAAGAGATGCATGCCGAAGATTGCCTGGAACGGTCAGACCGTCGTCAGGATGCACGGGATGAACTTACCGCAACAAAGCCCAAGGGTAGATAAAATATAGTGGCAAAGGTAAATACAAGAATGTATTGATTGAGAGTGGAAGCCCTTGTGGCTTCGAGAAGTTGAGTTGTGCTCATTAACTGGAAGTAAGTGTCAGATGGCCACTACTCTCCGGGGCATGCAAGAGGCAAGCAACACTATGCTGGTCCTCGACGTTTGTAACAGCCTTGAGACGTACAAAGAGAAATGCGGAGGACTTACACCATCCCTTAGGCTTTTGACATCCTCCTCCATTTGTGTCACTCTTGCAAGAAGCGGTTCAGCAGCAGTTTTGGCATCCTCGATGTCCTTTTCCCAGAATGCGTCTATGTCGCCTGCGTGCTCACCTTCTGGAAACTCCGTCGGGAAGAAGGCGGTAATGGTTCCCGTATACTGGATTTTCAGATCCGCTAGATTTTTGGGGACCTCCTGGATCCAGACTTTACAAACACGCAGGGTCTGCAGAACAGCGAAGTACGACTCAGCCATGGTCAAGGACCTGTCGAACATTAGTTTGCGTCGATCCTCGGGATTCAGCGCGCTGTGTATCTGCGGTTGTTAGCGCCAATTCGACCCGAAGAGCTTGGAGGGTGGCAATACCCCAAAATCCAACATCGTGTCCATCGCATCGAGGAATAACCCCCACTCCATTGCCCAATAGAAGTGTGCTATATGCAGCATTGCGAGAAACATGGCGATACCGGTTTGAGCACCTGGGACCTTGAAGCCTAGGCTCTTTATCTTCGCGAGCGCATCCGATTCGTCTACATAGGTGCAAATCCGGAAGTCGTCCAGTAAAGTGATCGCATACAAGGGACGGTTAGAGAGGGTGGTATTGAGCAACACCGCAAGACGAGCCTCCGTCAACTCGAACTTCTTCCCCCCCAAAGGCGAAGGTATGCTCCCCTCGAAGCGATTGAAATAGATACAGCTGGAGCTGATCCCACCTTGTGCCATTGTTGGAAGGTATACCGGCGGTAATCCGTCCCGAGAAAGCAGTCGGAGATGAAACTGCAACGAAACGTGTTTGCTTCCCTGCTCAGGAGACCGCCATCCGCTGTTATATATGTAGAAAGGCTGCCATGCACCAAAATACATTTGCAGAAAGAAGGCGGCAGGGTGATCGTCAGGATCAAAATCTCGTCCCACTTGTCCCAGGGCATGGAGGGTTTGGTAGATCTGGCAGACCAAGAGAATAATCGACCTCATCGTGAGCATCGCTCGACTCTACTAAGATACCTGCCGAAGTTAGCAAAATGTTAGTTCTTCAACAGTATCGTCCGTCATAGGCACCAAATTCTCCCATATGATTCGTGTAAGTCTCGAATCCAAGGCGAATCCTAGACAAATCTAAGTATATGTTGCCTTGAACACGACTCATAAGCCATACCTCAGGTCCTGTGAAATTCACCTTCCCTACTAGTGTTGGACGGCTGGCCTCGTCATAATCAAAGAAAGAGAGGCTTGCAGCCTCGAAGTCTCCAGAAACTTTCCAGTGGACGGGACTGCTAGGTTGTTCTTGAGGTCCGAGGATATCAGACATGGTTTTCCTCCACGCCAATCCAAACAGATTGAGAAGGATCTCGGCTCTCTTCTCGACGTCTTGACCCGACCAGAGGACTGGACTCAAAACAAATTGTCCATTTTCGGCTCTAGCATAATGGCAGGGTTCGCCAAGGAGTGTTGGTCTCTGGCTCGCTCCGCCGTTTTTCAGACTCAGTATGCTCACTGGGAATTCCAATATATGCTCATTGTCCAGGAAGAGTGTGAGTTCAACTTTGGCGAAACCGCGTCCCCTTTTGTTTCTGGTAGATATTAGGGCCGAAAACCTCTTTAGGAGGAACTCGAGGCGAGTCTTGGGCGGGAGACGGCTCCCAGCGAACGCAAGCCTTGCTTGTGTGTCGTCCTGATTAGGTTCGATCGGGTCTTTAGATGCCATGACAGAGAAAGATGGTTGACAGCACCTCGTTCAGTGAAACTGACTTGTTCATGGAATAGCATTAATAGAAACTGGGCACGGGAAAGTAACGACTCAGAACCCGATAATAGAAATGATTCTTAAATAAAGCAACGTATATGTAGTTGGTCAAGATGAGGCTGTATCCGTCTATAGGAAATGCCACCTACCTCCTATACAGTACAATACTGTACATAGCACTTCCAGTCTGATTCGTGGATCTGTTGCTGCATAAATGCATGCAGTGCACATGTCCGGCCAGCAAGTACAAATATCAGTTTGTTCAGATGAACCCAATGTTTGAGTTAACGCGTGGCGCAACGATGCAAACTGGCAATGATCCAAGCGATGATCAATACATGTATACTAGAGTATCGACCACGATATATCCTCGATGTTGTTACTTGTTAAGATGCGAAGAACGGGTCAGCGGGAGGACTCTTGGTGGAGGATTGAGGAGGCTTTATGCCTCAGGCGCCAAGGCAAATATACCCACGTGATGGTATAGGTCCCACCTTTTGAGTTCCCACTTCCCCGAACCTCGGACACAGCGATGAACGTAATTCGTTCTCTGTCTCCGATTCAATTTCGTGGTGGCGCACAGCATCAGCAAGGCACGGAGGAATCCTTCTACAGGTTCAGCGGACAGGCCACGAGGGCTCGCATGTCACAACCGGGACACATGGCACCCTACCAGTAGATCCCAAAGCAAGTAAGCAACGGGACTGAAAACCCTGGGCAGACGCGATTCAACCTCTCCAGTGATCCAGTCTCGTCTCCGGTCTCCAGTGTCCACTAGATCGGAGTGCCAGGGCGGAATAAGCAACTTCCTAATAAATTTTGGTGTGCAGCTCGGGCTTTAGCGTAGATAAGTAGCTGGCGATCCGGATGAATCGCGGAGTGAAAGTGGGATCCCTCGGTCCTCCTGGAGGCTAGAATTGCGCTCGGATATTCTTCTTTGGAGGGGCATCTTGAATGTTAAGAAACTTGAGATGGTCTAAAGCCTGGAAGATACAAACTTACACGAAAAGGTCATGCAGAGATTCCTGCTAAGTGCTACTTGATCATCGGGCATCATCCGCGTATCGGTGGTAAGGGCAGATGACCCGCGGGCGAGACACATGCATGTGGTTAACAGCCGTGGGGTCGCATGTCAGAGGACTGTCGTAATCAGTGCCGCAAGGGGAAGCAAGGTGGAAGAGAGACGAGAATCCAAAGGATTATTATTAGAGCCTTGTTAGCCAGATTATTCTAGCGATCAAGCGGTAATAGAGAGTCGGTGACCTAGACTCTCTCTGATCCTGTCTCTCGTGTTCCTGTTATCGAGCAACCCCGCTTTCTGATTGGGGGCGGCACGGCGTATGTCCGCGCCAACTCCGACTCTCCTCCACCACCACCACCACCACCCACTTTGTTCACCAGTGAGACGGAGGGGTACCAATCCACCACCCTTTGCCTTCTGTGTGGCCCATTTTGGATCCATCGGAATCCTCCTACGATTCCTTTTTTCCCATCCTCCAATTCCTATCTTCCCTAACTATCGTCCTCAGTTTCCTGCGCTTGGAACCCAGCAATCTTCATATCATGTCGTGACGGTATGGTGCCATGTACCGAATCATTTCGGGATCCCCCCTCCCAGCCTCGAGCGGATGATGAATGCTGATCATACCCTCTACCGACAGACTTGGCCAATTGCCAGATGGGCACACCTCATGGTTAAATGACCCCTTCTATTCCCTTATCTCTGCTGTGCATCGAGACTTTCGCGTTCGATCCCCTCTATCGCCATAGACTGGTCCCTAGAAGTTATACATTCCGTTCTTACCAGCCTTTTAACTGCCGACGTTCGGCAGCTGAACCCTGGGCCGACCATTGAAGAAGACAATCGGACCACAGCTCAGGGAGCTCGATTACACGAGCTGGAATCTCTCTTTACAATGGATATCACTACCGACTCGATCGACGCCGTGATCCACGGCTTCCCCGATGCGACATCGACCCAACACGCATCTCCGACCTCTCCCTCTCCTCCTGCAATGTCCTCTTCGCCTACTCTGGCTCAGACGACGCCAATCGACATTCCTCAGAAACTCACCGGCCGAAAACGACTCCTCAACAAACTTCAACGGATCTCGTCGTCACCGTCCCTTGCCAAGTTGGGCCGCTCCTCCACCACCAGCTATCGTCCCGGTGGTCGAGGCTCCATGTCATGCGTATCGCTCTCATCTGCGGGCTCTCCCTATGAATATAGTTATGGAAGTCCGACCTCGCCGATAAGCGCAGGGTATTCGACAGCACCAACATCGGCCGATAGCTCACCGGGAGGTGATGACTACCTCAATTGCAAGAATCGACTCGTCTCCGGCGCACTGGATGGCCCCGCATCTGTTGCTGTCCCAGTTGAACTTCGCGTACCCGCCTCTGGACGCATATCTCCCATTGCAACGGAACAGATCCCGGAAACGGATGAAGACAACATCAGTGTGCCGCTCGACCAACCCATCGCTGACGTCAAACCGATCCCGGAGTCCTGGAGAAGACCAAACTTCAACTTCTGGTTAGATCTGCCCCCTGAGCTACGAACCCACATCCTCTCCTTCCTCGAGCCCAAGGAGCTGGTTCGAGTGTCATCGGTCTCGCCACTCTTCCAAGAGTTATGCCTAGATGGTCAGCTATGGGGTTCTTTGGACTGTTCGTCCTATTACCGCGACATCCCTGCGTCCGCCCTCTGTAAAATCATCGGAACGGCTGGTCCTTTCGTGCGTAACTTGAACCTTCGTGGATGCGTCCAACTCCGCGATGCGTGGATTCTGGAAGATCTCCCTTCGAAATGCTGCAATCTGGAGCAATTCTCACTGGAAGGATGTCGGATCGATCGAAGCAGTATCCACAACTTTCTGTTATCGAACTCGCGACTGGTAACCCTCAATCTGTCGGGGCTGGCAGGGGCGACAAATTTCGCCATGAAGATCGTTGCCGCCCATTGCCCGAAGTTAGAGGCGTTGAATGTGAGCTGGTGCAACAACATCGACACTAGAGGACTGAGGCGGGTGGTACAGGCGTGTAGTCAACTCAAGGACCTTCGTGCCGGTGAAGTGCGTGGATTTGACGATGTCGAATTCATGGACGACCTATTCCGCCGCAACACGCTCGAGCGTCTCGTGCTCATGAACTGCGACAGCCTGACAGACGACGCTTTGAAGGCCCTCATGGAAGGAATTGAACCCGAAATCGACTGCCTAACCGGTCGAGCCATTGTCCCTCCGCGCAACTTGAAGCATTTGGACCTGACCAGATGTAGAGGCATCACCAATGACGGCATCAGTTCCCTCGCTCACCATGTCCCGTACTTGGAAGGTCTCCAGTTGAGCCGCAACGCAACCTTGACCGACGCTGCTATCAAGGATCTGCTGCTCTCCATCCAGTCCCTCACCCATCTCGACCTCGAGGAGCTCGATCAGCTCACCAACGACACCCTCAAGACCATGTCCCGCAGCCCGTTCGCCCGCCACCTCACCCACCTCAGCATCAGCTACTGCGAACACCTCGGCGACGCCGGCATGCTCTCGCTCCTCAAAGTCGCCACCAACCTCGAGAGCCTCGACGTCGACAACACCCGCGTGAGCGACCTCGTACTGATCGAAGCCGCCTCGCTCATCCGCGACCGCAACCGCGACCGCCTGTCCCGCGTCGCCGCCACCGTCGCCCTCAACGGCGACGCACCATCACAGGACAAGGGGAAGTGCAAGGCGCAGACCGTCGCGCCCAAGGTGGGGCTCCGCATCGTCGCATTCGACTGCGCCAACGTGACCTGGACGGGCGTCCGCGAGGTCCTCAACCGCAATGCCGAAGCCCTCCAAATGGGCCTCACGGCCGCCACGACCCTCTCAAACTGCACCTACAGCACTCCCTCACTTACATCCCCCGAATCGCCATCCGCACCCAACCCCGACATCCTCTCCCTCAAAGTCTTCTATACCTACCAACCCACCGTGACCGAGCACACCCGGCGCATCCTCGCCTCCAACCTCGACGGCGCGCGCCGCCTGGAGCGCAAGTGGGCGGACTGGATGATGATGAACGAAGAGGCGGGGACGGGGGGCGGGCGACGGCGGCGGCGGCGCGCACGGGAGGCGATGCGGGGGTGGGAGGAGGAGGAGGGGGGTATGGGCGCGGGGTTGGATGGGGAGGGAGGGGTGGTGGGGAATGGGGTGGGGAGGAGAAGGAGGGCGAGGAGTGGGCCGGGGTGTGTGGTGATGTGATTACCAACAGATTTTCTCCGTGTGGTTCCATCTCGTCGATTTCCATTTTCCAGTCATTGTGGTCGTTCTTCGTGGTCCTCGGTTGCATTTCCAACGGTGCGAGATACAAATCGGTGCATCGCGGCCGCCGCGGCCGCGGCGGACGGACGGACGGACGGGGCCCTTTTCCTGCTTTTGTGCTGGTTTTCATTTCCTGCGATTTCGTTTGGAGGGGTTTTGGTCGGGTGGGGACGGTTCGGAGGGATATTTATAAATCAGATTGATGCACGCACGATCCCGACGGGGTGAGACCGGACCGGATCCATTTGGGTTCTTCTGGCGATCGTGCCAGGTGGACGGACTTTGTCACTCGTTTTCCACGCAACGGACGGCGTCGCATGAGGTGCATCTCACTCTTCCCTGTAGTTATTCATCCCGTATCTATAGACTCGGAATTATCGATTGACCCCTAACATAAAAACACTGGCTCCTCCGATTTCCGCGGTGGATCGCGGCCGATCGCCTGGTGCTTGTGCCTGGTTCCACGACCGTGCGATCGGGGGCATTGCGCGTCGTCTCACGGCGTCGGCGCGTGGCATGTAAGTGGGTCTCGGTAGCGATGGTAGACGACGTCGTGTACGACGTGAGAAAAGATAAATTTGTAACGATTGATCGTGCGGACGAATGCGGAGGCGATGCTGATAATCGAACCACTCACTGGGTCGGGACCCGATGAGCTGCGATAGACAAATAGATTTGCTTATCACGAAAGATGCAAGGCGGGTAGACAGAAAAAGTTGTGGTATTTTTACTACTTCACCGCCTCTCTTCTGCTCAACCCTAATATCTAGACACGAAGCAGATATTCCATCGTGGCTAAAGAGAACTATCCGACCGGATGGGGATAAATCGACACCCTCCATCCCACACGCACCCGCCGCTGTGTTTCGACAACCTCCATTAAGTTCGCTGGTGTCAATGAGAGGCAGCCCGACTCCGGGCAAAATTATAAGGACTCGAAGGAAGGTGACGCCCGTTTTCTGGGGAACTAGGTGTCTGGATTGGCCGCGAGCCAACCGAAGACAGGACGAAACGAATAACCACAGGAAAAAATAAAATCGTCGATAGCCGGCAAAGAACCCTGATTGATAAAACGATCCCTCGCAATGCCCCGGTGTGCTGGGATTTAGACAGCACATGCTCCTCGTAAAACTGATCATGCTCGACTCGGTCAAGGCAGCTCCGCGTTTACGAGGCCAGAAGCGCAATGGCGGCAACCACGACGGCGAAGACGCTCCCCTTGACCATCTTGTCTGACGAGGCACCGCTGTTCCCACCGGCGCTGCTCCCTCCCTGAGAGAAGCCCGTGGAGCCGCCGCTGCCGGTTCCACTGCTGCCGCTGCTGTCACCAGATTGGGTGTTGCCAGACGGGTCGCTGTTCGTGGAACCGGAGCCTCCGCTAGAGTCCTCACCGCTTCGCTCGCCAGCACCGACGACACCGGGAACGGTTTCGGCAGAGAGGCTCGGGGTGGAGGATGGCGACGAGCCGGAAGCACTGGCGTTGGGATCGAAGTCGGGGTTTTCACCGCTAGCGTAGAGGGATTTGAGGACGACTACCTTGTCGACCATCTGGACGGTGTTGTTGGTGGCGGCTTCGTCGGTGTAGATGTAGGCCTTGCTTCCTTGGATTTGGGCTCCTGACGGGGGATCGTAGCACTCGACATTGACCGACTTGACCATGGCGTAGTAGTATCCGTTCTGCATCAGCGGGCTGTTCCAGTCGACGAGGCCACCGGACCACTTGATGGTGCCTTCGCCGTTGGAGGGAAGACCGGCTGGCCAAAGGGAAAGCATCACTCGGGATGGGGTTTGGGGGTAATCAAAGCGGTTGGAAGTGCTGTTCCACGTGTCCTGGCGCTTCAGCGTGCGGAGAATTTTGCCATCGACGATCCAGTCGAGGTGATCGGGCTGCCAGTCGATGGTGTACGTATGAACGTTCTCCACGGTATTCGTCACAGTCAGGTTCTTGCCGTTGTTATCTGTCATAGCGTCAGCCAATGCCCAAGCATCTCGGAGCGACCGAAGACATACAGTTCGTCACACCCTGGGAATAGAAGTTGGATTGCGCATGATCCAAGTCCACGCCAACGAATTCGAAGTCGATTTCATCCTTCACATCGGACATCATGATGAATGCCGTCACAACACCAGCGCCTTGACTGGTCGTCATTGTCGCGGAAATCTTGCCGTACCAGACATACTTGGTCGTCGCCATGAGCGTGCCGACCGTGTCCGGCGCCATGGTCAACAGTATAGAATCACCGTACGCGGCCGGGTTGCCGCTCGACACCCAGTTTGCCTTCGACGGGTCTCCTAGATACTTTGAGATGGATGCGACATCGCTCAACGACTTAAACTGGTAGTCGGCGCTCTTGCAAGCGGGGTTCGGAACGCATGCTTCCATGCTATGGGAGAAGAGAGGATCGCAGCCACCGAGGCAGTATGCGCCGACACCGCACTGTCCGTATTCTAGCTGTTAAGTCAGAGATGGTCCCACGACGATGGGATTTGGAGCGAAGACGTACGAGAACAACATGGAGCTGACTCAGGGCAAGGGCTTCCTGGGCCGCATTTCGGGATGTCGGCCAAAACCGAGGTGGTGAGCAATGCGACCGAAGCCACGGTTGCCGCGAGGACGGAGCGCATTGTGAAGGTCCAGCGATGGTCTGAAGGAGAAGTGGATAGATGTTCAAATGGAGTTGAACGAGGAAAAGGCGATGGCCGTGTCACGCGATGTGATTGCAGCAGCGGGTCGCCAAAGGTCCAAGAGGGGAGGCTCGATGAAGGTTAAAGGTAACTTCCAAGTTCAATGCTGCGAAGTCACAGCACTGTGCACCGGTGAAAGGGGCAGGACAGGCTACCGGGAGTCCGTAATAGCAGAGGTAATATGCTGGAGATTGACCGAAATCCGGACTCGAAGCAGCGCCACAGGGGTTAATCTCGGCGACGTGACACGCTGGAAATACGGCAAATGTCAAGGCAGCGATGGCACCCAAAAGCGAAGGACGGGGAGGAACGAATGAAGGAGGATAATTATGCACAGATAAGAATATTACAATACAGCAGCGAATGCAACGAATGGTCCTCAGATGGAGGAGAGGAAGCCGGAAGCGGAATGTTCAGGATGGAGATGGAGGAATGAGGAGAGAGGAGCGAGAGGTTGAAGAGGAGAGAGGAGAGGAGAGCGGCAGGAAAAGAGGAGACTCACGGGCCAGTCAGCACTCAGCACTCCCCATAGTAGGAGACAGGAGTGGCTTTTCTCGTTTGAGACGGAGGAAGGTGCCGACAGGGATAATTACTGAATGCAGTTTAGCATGGACAGCCCAAGGCTGGCTGGGCCGTTCGGCGGATTTCTGTCCTAGTCTCCCTGTCATCATCCTCCACAATGTCCACATCCTGCTGACCGACTTGCTAATCCCAAATTGAGGCCTGGTCGCAATCTATACATAAGGAAGCGAGGATTGGAATATTCATTGAATGTCGGATTCACATCATGCATGGTTGTATGTTCACGTCAGTTCGGTAAGGAGGATGCGCATCGAGGATGCCACTCTGGGAATGAATCGGAGTCCAAGTAAAGATCGGATTTTCATATTAGGTGGAGTTAAACAGACCGGCTGCTGTCAAATGTCAGATGAGCTGCAGTGCGACAAAGCTGTGGTTCGTTGCACGGCATCAAACTACGCACGAGTCATTGCATGGTGCTCGGTTGGACAAGATCGCGGTTTGAGATTCATAGGGATCAGAATCATTGGGATCAGAATCATTGGGATCAGAATCATTGCGATCAGATATGTGGAATATAACCCGGTATTCCGTACCGTATGATTTTGACAACCCGCTACCAAGCTACTCTGAGAACCATGATGCTAACCATCAATTTTGAAGTAAAGGGGACGAGGAATTGTGCTGTATCTTCCCAGTGTGGTATGCCATCGAATGTTTCTCCCGTTGCTGCTTTCCTTCAGAATGTGTGCCATGAACGTCTCCTCAAAGCTGCCTTGTGCCAAATTCCATCCATCAAAGATGTGTTTCCTCCATGCTGCCAGAGTATGTTTCATCCGAATGTTTGCCGTCATGAAACGATCCATTAGTCCTGCTTGAAGCACTGGAAAGAGATGACGCCATTGAGATAAGGACTGTTTGCGAGTGAATTGCCAAGACATGTCGCGTTTCCGGGATTTGTTGTTGCTGTAGGACCTGTAGGAAATGAAGACCGTACTGAAATGCCAATTGCAAGAATCGAAAGGGCATTGTAGTTTGTTGACCTCATGGACAAATGTCCGCTTGCGAGTGAGCTGCTGAGACACGTTGTACCTCCGGAATCCACTGTTGTCGCTGGAGGTAAAGGAAGCAGAAGCCCGAACTAAAAAGCCGGGAGTAAGCAATCGAAAGGCTTTTGCTGTTGTCGCGGGACGTGTGGGGAGCGAAGACCGAACTGAAACGCCGAGAGTGAACACTCGAAATGCATCTGCTCTTGTGGCGGGACATATGGGAAGTGAAGACTGAACTGAAGCGCCAAGTGGAAAGAATCGAAAGGGGTATCGCCGGATGTTTGGGAAGTGAAGACCGAACCAAAACGCCATGTAAAGAATCGAAAAGGATTGCTGTCATCGTGGAACATGAGGGAAATGAAGACCAAACCGAAGCACCAAGTGTGAAGATTCCCATAGCAGATTGTTGTTGTCGTCGTGGTGTGAAGAGCGAAGGCTGAACGAAAAGGGCATTGCTGCTGTGACAGGACGTGAGGAATGTGGACCGAAATCGCCATCTTTAAAGGATTGACCGGGTTTTGGATTGGCGATGATGAGGGGCGGAAGATTCAGCTATGGTCAACGCTTGGAGTCCAAAGAATTCTCCGTCAAATCACTTCTCACCAAGCTTCATCAACCGATGGGGTTTCATCTGTCGTGAGTCGATGATGAGGGACAGAAGATTCAGCCATGGCCGAGGCTTGGAGTCCAAATGATTCTCCGTCAAAGCACTTCTCATGAAGCTTCATCAACCGTTGGGTGTTGTCGTGTCTGTTGCGTTGTGACGTGCCGTGAGGTTGGTCATAAATCAGTGGTAGAGCGTCACTGAGGTCGTCCCATCCGGGAACGTTGTGTGCCAGACATACTGACCAGCCAGATTGAGGCATATGAGGAATCGCGAACCGTCCTTCGTTACTCGAGCCAGCACCTCACCTGATCCCGGCCAGGTGATGGGAGGGGAGAAGACTTCAGCGTCAAACTCCCCGATTGGGAATGGCCGTTCATCCTCATCGGTCTGCGCGCAAAACTGCCACATTAGCGGCCACATCAACAAGGTGAACGTGCAGTCTGGCGGGATGACCGCTGTGTTGTGGATGAACATCCTGACACCGGGGAATTGTGGATGCCCCATCATGAAGACCCCTCCCTCTGGGTGTGCGCCAGTTGGGACTGGCGGGAGGGGTGGTTCTGTGCCACCTGGAGGGAGAGAGGTCTCCATGTCTGCTTGTATTGGGCCAGGGAGGAATATCTCCAGCTCTGCTGGAAGGATTTTAAGAAGGTTGGGTAAAGGCTATAGGAATGGATCAGGAAGTGGTGCAGAGGAGTGATGGAGTTATCACAAACCTTTGCAGGATGGAATGTGTGAGCATGAGGATTTAACGAAGTTCGTTGATCTAGAAGAAAGAGAATGTCAACAAAAGCTCCAGTAGAAAAAGTGATGGCAAGTCAGGCAACGATGACGAGGCAGCAACTCAACATGAGGATGGAACGCTGCGGAAAGATGGAGATGCTGAACAGTGATTCACCCTGAGGGAAAGGAAACAAAGGATAGAATGAGGCATCGACGAGAGCCGATCTATTTCTTACGTACCCTGCTCAGTGAGATCCTCCTCATGGTTACCACCTTCTTCTATTTGCAAATTGTCAATTGAGTTTCAACCTCAGGGAAGAGGGAGGATTGTAAATTGTCGATGTTAAGAGACTCAGAAGAAGGGGGATGAAGGGATGCTTACCAGTTGTGTTCATCGCACTTTCACCAGCGGTCTCGCCAGTCACAATCTCCTCTTCACCCGCGACAGTCTCCTCTTCACCCGCAGGGGTATTGGTTGGCACTGGGGGGATGGAGCCGGTAGACTCGCCGCTCGATTCAGCATTGGAAGAACCAGCAATTGCAGGAAGGTAATGGGCAGGATATTTCTCGCCATCCCCATCTTCATGGTCACCTGGCGCGCCACTAGATGCAACTTGCGGCTCTCCTTTCTCTTGGTCTAGCTCGGATTCCTGTGCAGTGATATTAGCCTTGCTTTCCTTCTTGAGGCGTCGTTCTTCATCATCGTCGAGTCCCTGAAATGGAACATTGGAGCTCTGTTTAGACCATTGTCAGTAATGTTCGACGTGGAAAGTGGAAAGGGGATATTAATACTACTAAAGGTTTGGCATCCCGATGTCTTGAACTTACAACAAAACTAGCATCTCCATCCTCATCGTCTGAGCCAGAATGTAGTGCCTTCAGCTCTTGGCTTAACCCCGCAATATTTTCCTTCTTGGGAGGTGACGGCAACGGAAGCAGCGGAAGGAAGTTTGAGACCCTGGGCGGCTTGGTGGTGCGGGTGTTTTCCTTCTGCTGGTCGTTTTCCTGGTTGTTCGTAACGGCCACTGTGCGCGTCTGGAGGTGATGGGACTTGGACGACGAAGCAGGGAGGTGTGACTTGTGACGCGGTGACCCAGAATCACCCTGGTTAGTCAATTCCGCGAGTGGAAGAGATGAAGTAATCTTCTTTGGTTCCTCGGGGGAGTGGAAGATGCCTTGCACAGTCGCAGCAGTGACACGAATCCTAGAAGGCGGTGATGGGGTGGTCAAAGCTGATGTCCCGGTCTTTCTTGGAGACACCTGCTGCAGAGTAAATCTTTTGATTGCATGAGGAAGACAATGACCAAAACTTACTGCACAAGGAGACTTCGAGGGAGACTTCGCCGGACTCATAATTCGGGTTGTATGGTTTGTTGGCTTGCTGGGAGTAACGGCTGTACGCTCCGCTCGACATTCAGCTCGGTACTTAGTTTGAAGATTCGGAGAGATAGGTCGGGTCGGGGACGAGTGGTGGGAGGGAGGACTCTTGGGACTCTTTGTCAAACGCCTCTTGGGCCAGGCTGCTGGAAGCGCATGTTAGCCAGGGCGTGTGTTGGTGAAAGCATTGTGATATACATGTCTTAGGAGTTTGAACTTCATTAGGCGTCTTCGCACCAAGAGCCGGGAAGGCGACGAGGTATTCATTCTTCCTCGCAGCTTTCTCTTCGTCGATGACATCGGCTTGCGTCGCAGTGGAGGCACTGGCGGTGTCTTTGGCGGCTTGACCGACGTCGATGATGCCACCATGAGAATCAACACCGGCCGGTTCAGTGTGTTTAGTCTTGGAATCACCGATGGTATCGGACTTCTTGGTGCGCTTCGATGACCCAGACGCAACACTCAATCTGTCAAGGCTGTCATTGTGTTTCTCAACATCAGTAGTAGGCTCATTAGTGTTTGCCTTGTCAGCTTGCAGATCAATTGGCAGCCTGTCAACGAATGTGCTATTGTCGAGTGATTTGGATGACTCGGCGGAACACTTCAATGGCTGCAAGGAGCACCGAGCAGGAGGATTCTTCGCAAGCTGGGTCCATGAGGCGGCTCTCCGCTCGATCGGCTTGGTAGGTGCAGGCCCCCCAAGCGTCGGGAAATCATCCACAGACCTCAGATTAAACTCCGCCTTAGAAACCTGCTTGGGTGAGCATCAGTGAGAATTAGTGAGGGACGATGAGTGCCTAATGGCAACTAGACATACCAGTTGAGAAGAATTGCCATCCTCCCTGACAGCGAGTTAGACTTAGCCGAAGATGGACGACGAAGAAGTGATGAGAACTTACTGGCCAGATACCTTAGACACGTTAACTCTGACCATCGCGATGAATTCAGGTTGAATTCGCCAGATCAGTGACAAGTTGTGGGCTGGGAGACGGTGAAGGGGATCAGTCCCAACCGATTATGAGGGTGGCTTAGGGGGTCAGTTCAAGCGAACAGAGCCAGGTACTGCAATATAATGATGATTATGAATGAGATATCGTCTCTGTCGATGATGAATTCCTCTCCGGAAGACCGAGAACGGATGCGACGAGGACGATGAGGTCGACTATCCGATCAGTGTCTTTTCCATCACATTGATCCGAAATGACAACTCACGAACACTATCCAGATAATCTAGAATGGTCTCAGAGGCTGTAGCAATGGCGATGATATATCGCGGGTGTGCAAAGTGGTGAGAAGTTGGATGGTCATGGAGTGGTAGGAGGTGGGAGAGAGATGGGAAGATGGTATCGAAAGCAGGTGCGAGTGAGGGAAAAGGAAAGGGCGTTTTAGCACTGTGGCCTTGCATTAACAGACAGGCGAAGTTATTTGGTTTATTTCTGTTGTGCCAATACGGTAGAGAAGGAGCGATGGGTAGAGGATGTGTTTTAAGGGGGTCCCGTGCGAAGCCGCTAGTCCGGTTATGGCGGTTGACAGTCGTGACTCGAGAGGACTCGGATGGGCTTCCTTACCAGATGCTTGTAAGTAATTGACTGTATAATGGAACTCTCATCAATGCATTTGGAGCTTCGAGTAAATTTTTGGACTGTGATCGGTGAATGGGGAACAAACGGGGACATCGAGGGTGGTCGAGAGCGACGACCCCCGAGATCCTCGTCGAGAACGCAACACGCACGACGACAGCAAACCAAAATATAGACAGGGCAATCGAAACTCTTTTGCGTCTTACTATCGATCATACGATAAACCGTCTCGTGAATCTCTGGTGGCTAATATGGCATCTTTCGTCGATGCGTGCCCTACTGACACGGGATAGGGACGCATCCAGACTTCGGTATGAAACTCTGCATCCAGCATCTCAGAATCGCCTCCTCTTGGGTTTTGCCGTGGACTGCGTCTCCAATTGACGCCTCAATTTCTCTCGGCGATGATCCGCTGATTGCTTCACGGATTCTTCGGGGTTTGTATCCTCTTCTACGATAGGGGGGCCACCCTTTCCGTGCGATTCTCCATCGTCAGCCCCCTGATTCCGAAAACGCGACGAAGCAACCTGCTCAGAACCAGCATCCGTCGACTCTATTTCTTCGTGTTGATGCGTATCGTTAGTGTCGGACTCCATAGCGGTGCTCATCTTAACGTCCTGTGTAGGATCCCCCAGCCCCAGCTCGAGTGCAGGGGCCTTTGCATTTCGACCACCGATACGACCGACCTTGGACCTTCGTGGTGATAAAGCAATGGTTTTGGGCACATCTGGCGCAGACTGAGGGACAGGGAGCGGCTGCTGGCTCCTGGTTGTATACGCAGGTTCAGGGTTTTGCTGCCAGGCTTGCTCGGCTTGATCCTGTTTGGAATTACCACCAACATCTGGCTCAGCACGCTTTCCGCCGATTTTTCCTAGCCTACGGCTACGAGTAGGGTTCGATTGCGGGGGAGATGTACCGTTGGGCTTTATCATATGCTGAGAGCCGTTGCTGGTGGGACTAGGAGAACCAGACTCGCGCAAGGTTTGGGATCGGCTCCTCCATACACCGGGAGTTCGAGCGCTGACCGGCGTGTCGTCCAGTGGTGACGCATTGTCCCCCGCACTGGTATTAGAAGTGTCATCGTAAAAAGATGAAGTGGGAATCGACTGGAACTACAAATCGTGGTAAGCAATGGGGTAGTTATTTCGCCGCTACGAAGGAAACTAACCCGAACTTTATAGCGTCCGGGAGTCTTCTTGCTCCCTGGGGCGCTAGAACCATCTTCTGCCTCTTCAATCTCCGGAAGCTCGGGCGGCAGTTGATGCCACCAAAGGGGTTTCGGTAAACCCCCACGATTTTCTGGAAGAGATGACCATTCTGCTGGAACAGGCACTTCGTTGACAATCTGCTCATCAGAGAGCAGCTTCAACAGGGCTGGCACCTTACTTCGGAACATGGTGTCTTCATCGAAAGCCCTCATGCCGTTGACATTTTCCACCAGCCATTTCCTATGCTCTTCTGTCCTCGTAATTCCAGCGCCTGCCAGACCAGGAAAAATGGATGATAGATCAGCACCCACCGCCTCGATCGCATCGAGCAGCTTACCGATGATGTGGTCTTTCGCGCGGATTTCGGATTGCAGCTCCCTTCCTTTTCTACTCTCGAGGAGAGTCACTTTAAACAAAGGCATCACAATAGCTTTCTTGATGCCTTCATGCATTGCGAGCTTAAAATGCACGCGCCATGTCAGGGTCCGCAAAGGGGGTGGTAAACGACAGGTGAGCTGCATGACAACGTCCTGCGAGGCTGGTTCTGTTGCGAGCCAGAAAGTGGTAAACGGCTGGCCTACCAAGCCGTCTTTGATCGTTTGAAGAAAGAGGAGGTATTGAGACGGAGACTCATTGGGGTCTATGGTTGTCTTGATCTCCTGTGCACGTTTGATAACGTCGTCGCGTTGCAACCGTTCGACCCATACGTTGCTCAAGTCTGTCAGTACTGCTTGGTATCCGTCGTTCCCAGTGGAGCAGCTGATGAAGAGAGTGGGTGCTGAGAGTGGGATGTCTTCACTCTGCAGCTTCGTCCATCGTATGGTGTCGTTGATCGTCGCCGACATAGTCTCGAAAAGGATATCCGCCAGGCGAGGGGATCGGAGTACCGGGTAAACCGTCGACGCAGTAACGATGGTAGAATACGATGTAGGAAACACGATTTAAACTAAAGCGAATACGGTACAGTGGGAACAGTACACAGGATGTGCGCGATTCTTCGTCTCGGTGACGAAAACGACGAGGCAGGTTCGACAGGAGAACGAGAACCACGCCCCGGCAGAAGCATCCTACAATGCGCCTCACATCTCCACCCAACAAACAGGCTATTTTGGCCGAATCTAGACGCTCCGGAATTGTTCAACACCTATCGATCACAGCGAACGCAGCAACCCTTTATCAAGATCAGACAGAGCACCTTCTAAGTTCTAATGTAGACACGACATGGTCCAAAGTGTCAAGCAGCGTGGGGCGTTGAGCCAAGGATAACCCCCTGTTCCCCTTTCCTGACTAGGTATGTGGTATACGCATGCCACCACATAATTAGATGCCCCTGCGACCATTGATACTATAAACCGCCCCGAACATCTACTGGCAGTATGGAAAACCACTTGGGACCAAGCATCCAGTCGCCTACAAAGTTGAACAACCGTATTATTTCTATCGGAGGCACAGAATCATTCGAAAACTACATTCCCTCCATGCGGTTGTCAAACGTTTGTTGGGATAGGACATGCACATATCCATGGAAGCTGCTGGTTCGGGTACCACCTTTCATTGCCGTGGCCTTTGAGCCTCATGGACAATTTGACCATGATTATCTCCAGAATGCCGTGGCACCAAAGAATCGTCTGATATCTAACTTAAGTACTTATTTCCATCCAGTACTGATGCTTTCTGCAATGTCCAGTGGCATGGTTTCATACAGGAACGCACTACGTCTACTGACATGGCATGTACTATCTTGTCTCATTGCCTGTCCCGCAGGAACTTGAAGCACAATAATGCTCCGAAATTGATTGTTCGTACACGTGCACATGCACTCTGTAGACTGATGCACCATTTTCCTAGTGAAACTTCAAACTATGCCATGATAATTGTAAATCAATAATCAATACCTAAAGAATTTAGAGCTGAGGGAGCCGGCGAGACCGGGACCATTCAAGCACCGCCACTCCCTCTCCATATTGCGCCACATATGTATCCTGCACCCCCGCCACCAGTCACCGCCACACTGCTGGTTGATCGCCGATCGCTGCTGGGCTGCATCATCCAACATCTGTGACTCTGGACATGCATGTTCCACTGCAGTGACCTCCGAAACTGAACACAACCTTGTACAGAGTAATGCTTCCGTTTCAAAACCACACTTGCTACCGCTCCATTACACCACCGAAGGGTCGCTTACATCGTCTGATGAGCAAGGTTTGACCTTTCCTTTAGCCATTATCGCTATCCAATTCCACCCTCGTGTTCCCATACCGTTTCCAACATGGCCGAACGACGCCGCGAGTATCCACGGTCGACCATCCCAGCAAAGCGTCCAGCAGATGCCCAAGAAGATGCTTGGGTGGCCGACGAAGATAGATTCGTACTACAACAAGCGAAGAAAAAGGCCGCCATTCGAGTGCGCAACGGGCGGGCGCGACCCGTGGACTGGCTCGCGGTGATCTTGCGCCAGATCGAGCCGAGAATCACGACTCTGGGTGATGATGAGGATGAGGATGAGTCGCTCGAGCTTGTTGACCCGGAGGGGATATTTGAGTCGCTTGGTGAGAACGAACTATTGGACTTAGCGAAAGATATCGAGACGTATCGTACGCTGGAGACGTATCCCCAGAGCAAGGAGTATTGGAACGTATGTGAAGCACCTTCAGCACAATCACGGATCGCGCTAACACGCCATAGACGATGCTAGTGATATGCAACGACCGACTCAAGGTATTTCGAACGTCCACCTCAACCACACGCGGGATCCAGTCCGTCTCCTCAGATATCGACAAGTTGTTAGCTCCCAAGAGTTTGGAGGATCTACAAAGGTTGGAGAAGCAAGTGCGAATCAAGCTTTCTTCCGACGAAGATATAGATGTGGAATACTGGGAACATCTTTTGCAAGGCCTCTTGATATGGAAAGCGAAGGCTCAGCTACGGAACGTATCCAAAAAGATCCTTCACGGTCGCATGCAAGACCTGAGGAAGCAGCAAGAGGAGGACGCTGCAAAGCTGAGGTTGGATGTCCAAAAGCTCATTTCGAACCAACACCAAGTTCAAACTCCAAATCCCTCGAAATCAAATACTACGAATGACCCAGAGCCTCTTCTGAAATTACGCCCTGAAGACAAGCAACTCGAGAGTCACGACGAAGCTGAGTTCCTGAGTCACCTGGTAGGTTTGACTGCATGCGTTGTTCCCTTAGCAATTCTGATTGTCCCCTAGGAAAACGAGCGTCGAAAAGTCTTGAAACTCGGGTACGTGCCTCTCAAGCAACAAAGAGTCGAGGGCAAGCTTGCAGCAAACCCGGCTCCGCAACAAGCGGGCCAGCCCGAAAGCGAGGTATCTCGCTTTGCAAGCGGTGGCAACGATGACTTCTCCCATGCCACGAAGGCGCTTTACGAACGGGAGGTGGCGCGCGGAGTGAGCGAAAACGAGGAGATTTTCACAGGAGAGGAGGAGGTGGCCTCAAAATCTACAGCAGCATGGGCGGACAAGTACCGGCCACGGAAACCGCGCTACTTCAATCGAGTCCAGATGGGCTACGAGTGGAACAAATACAATCAGACTCACTATGATCACGATAACCCACCGCCGAAGGTCGTCCAAGGGTACAAATTCAATATTTTCTACCCGGATCTGATTGATAAGTCGAAGGCTCCAACCTACAGACTAGAGCGCGAGAATGGACGGAAGCGGGGACAATCCTTTGCTCGCGCGGGAGAGGAGGACACATGCTTGATTCGATTCATAGCCGGGCCACCATATGAAGACATCGCTTTCCGCATCGTCGACAAGGAGTGGGATTATAGCGCAAAGCGAGACAGGGGTTTTAAGAGCAGCTTCGAAAAAGTCGGTAACTCCTCCAGATGCACATCTACACCCTATCCGATTCCGAAGTGCCGCCGGTGCAAATACTGACTATATTGCAGGGCATTCTTCAACTTCACTTCCAATTCAAAAAGGTAAGCCATTTTCGCACGCATCGATCGTCCGTCACTTTGAGCGGCTACTAATCCTTGCTATAGATCTACTACCGCAAGTGAAAGCTTGCAGTTTTTGTTATGGACGCCTTGTTTAATACCGACCATGACCCATTATATCCAAACGTGAGCAGAATGGATGCAGTTATTGGCAAGTGAAGCCATTCGCAAAGAAGCAGTGAATAGATTGGGTGTCATACATGCCGTCGTTGGGAATAGTTACACTGTGATAGGAAATTCTTTCCTCCAGAATTCAAAACAACGGCAGGGTCCATGGACCACGTGGAGGAAATCAGCTTGATCGGCCATCATCTTTTATGAAATTCTCCGATTTGCATAGAGCCGCGTTCCGTTGCGCCTCCTCGCGGGACTCGCGCCGAGATCCGGCGCCCCGGAACGGTCAGCTCGACATCTGCATCGGAGGAGATGTTATGGTTCTTCTGGACTTCTGTCGCAATATTGGACCTATCGATATGCTGAATTTGAAAAGGCTGGCTAGTCCATGTTGGCCTGTTACTCTGTGTCCTGTGGAGTGGTGGTAACGTGCGACGGACCCAATGATTCTCCATCATCGGTCGGTCTTTTGCCTCTCACGCTCTACTGGCCCGATCTCGCTAAGCAGTGCAACAAATCAGCCACTACGGGGCGCAGAAAGTGAATGATGGTCTGGTGAACGATGTGTCACCTGCATCAGGCGCAACTTCGACTGGCATGGGACGTTGAGCTCCGCCTGTCTATCCCAGGCGCCCCCTTCGCCCGTTGTGCATGAGACATTGTCCAAGAAGGCGTTCTAGAAGATCAGCACCATCCGTTATGTCCCAGGGCGGTCAGGTTTTCCCGATCTTGTCATGGTCTGAAAGGCTTGTGTCGCCAATTCCCAGTTACCGGCCGTCGTACCTACAAGCTGCCTGCACCTTTCCGCATGTGCATGTAACTGGCAATTAGATCTCATTGGGCTTGTCAACCTCCCTCGTTAGACCAGTCCCACTCTCTTGACTCCACGAGGTACATCTTTCTGAGTCTTTGGAGGACTGTTGGGTTGTGATTGGGCAGCAAAACCAGGCAGGCCAGTCATGTCACTCATCGCCTTTCACCCTCCGTAGGTGAATTGGGAGAGGCAAGCCGAGGTGGGCAGCTTTGGCATTGGTGTGAGAAGCCGACCGCTCAGGCACATCGTCCCTGTTTGCCCTGATGCCGGTAGTGACAATCGCCGGAGAATGCATGCGTCGAACATTCTGCGTTGGCTTCCGTACCTATGTCATGGCAAGGCGAAAAAGACCGCAATCCGACCCGATAGGAGCTTGACCCAACCTATTTCTCTGGACTTTGAGTCGATGTGTGTTTTGATATGCTTCAAAATGTCTCACTAGCCGCCATCAAATCGGTCAGGACGGTTGTCAATTGCTCATCCTTGGCCTTCCGACTCCCGGCAACACTCCTTGTGCCACATTCTGGCCCATTCTGACCGTTACCATTGTTCCTCCCAATCGTCGCATTAGGTGTGAGCTCACGTAAAGTGCTCCCTTACGATGGATTCTACGAATGCGAAGAGTTGGGCTCCTGACCCTCATATGTCCCTTTCTACTCCCCATTCTACGCAAATTTCTCTTCAGAACTCCAATCCACAACTCAGGCCATCGCTTACACCACGGACCATGGCGTTTCCGACTGATGACCCACCGACCAACGGCGCCGACGGTGTTCAGGGCTGGGAAGACGTTTTTGCTGCCCTCCCTAGTGGTGTCTCGACCATGTCTTCATTCTACGACTGTGTCCCGAAAGGGGATCCAGGCGGCCCTCCGAACACTTCCTCCTCATATGTCCCTACTGAAGAGGAATTTCTGAATTATACTGCAATCCCTTCATATGCGTCCGGACCCACCAACGATGTATACGGAGCCAGGTGGCCTTCGGCGGCAGATGTGACTTGCCCTCGGCGATTTCCAGATCTCGCTCAACGAAGTCCATTTAACTCAGTCGAAGACTCGTTCCCTCCTTCCGTATATCAAATCCAAACGCCGGAGATATCAAACATCCAAACAGATCGATCGAGTACTTTCCCTGGATACTTGCCCTTTGACCCAAGCGCCTCGGGGACGGTGCAGGTAAAAGAGGAATATCCTTCACCTGCTGCGGATGAACCAAGTTCTCTTAGTCCATCCGATGGATATGGCACAGAATTCAAGCCTTCCGCAGGCTTCACTAGTGCGAATGCCGAAGTCAAAACCCCTCCGCGAAATGGGGAAGACTCTGCTGCCGAAAAGGAGGAGCCCTACGCAAAGCTGATCTTTCGAGCGCTCTTGCACGCACCAAATCACACCATGATTCTTCGCGATATCTACACCTGGTTCCGGCAGAACACCGATAAAGGCAAAGATCCCGACACCAAAGGATGGCAAAACAGTATCCGGCATAACCTTTCGATGAATGGGGTACGGGCAGTGTCCTTATGTTCTAGATCGCAACTGACATGGCCTAGGCATTCAAGAAGGTTGACCAACCGTTTGGGGATGAAACGAAGAAAGGGTTCATGTGGCGGTTGGACGAAGACGCGGTCCGAGAAGGTGTCAAATCCACGACTCGATTTCGTACCAAGCAGGGGAATAAGCGAAATGGACGATCCCACCATCCTGCACCTCAGCGGCAAGCGTCAGGAGCAAAAGGCGGACAAGCTACGAAACGAAACGCTCGCTTGCGCCGCTCAGGAAAACTCGACCGAATGGATGAAGTTCCATCGCTAAACATGACGAATCCCGCTTACCGCTATTCCTATCCGCATGGATTGCCTCAAGTGGACCTGCCATCCCAACCGAGTTTCGCGTACGATGCGCACGATCTCCTTTTCACGACTTCCACCCCCCCACTCACTGCTCCTTCACCATACTACACTCCCCCGAGCCAGCCGTCACCATACCACGAAGATCCAGGCATGGTCGCCAGTCGACCTCAGACCTCCGCAGCTGCCACAGATGAGCGGACCCCTCCGACTCCTGTATCCTCAGTCTTCGGTGAACACAAATTCAGCCCGGCTGCGCTGGATGGTAGTGCGGCTGCATCACCGATCCATGAAGGGATCAACGAAGGGATCCATGCGCTGGAGTTTAAACTCAAGCCAGGGGAGCCGCTCTTCTACGACAGTCCTCCATCGGATACCAACTCGCCCGTAACGCCGCAATCACTTGACTGGCAGATGGATCTGGCGAGCATGGTGCCATCCACCTTCGATCCCCCACTGTGCCACGACGACTTCAACCGGTGGCTCTGATGAGAAACGTTTATGCAACACCACCATTGCTTTCAATTACGCGACTGGTTACCGTCAAGTCAAGAGACGACCCTCCTTATGGCGTGACGAATCATATGTACATCTGATATTAATGACATTCATGACCTGCATGACCAAGTTATGGGATCGTGGAACTCGGGAATTTCCACAAAGGTTGGAACAAATCTGACAGGTAATTTGCAGTGGATCCCTTAGTTTAGTGCTGAGCGAGTGGTAGCCAAGAAAAAGGGATGGAACTTATGCAGTCAATATCACTATTAGTGGTAGTTGGCCCGGGTTGCCGTCCATCAGACGTTGAGGCGGCTTGTACCGCGCAGAGGGGTCTAGAAATTATGTGAGGAGCAGTACCAGCAATGTACAATTTTGTAATACATGTTTGGCCACTTGTCCCTCCACTGTATGGCTGTATGCTATCATTCGATCAAACATTTAGTATTTACAGCGTTGAGGAAGCTTTCAATGCTAAAGGGCCAAGTTCATAGCTTGCCAAGACATGATAATGCTTCTTTGCCATTTTGAATTGGTAATCTCTTAGATGTTCCCGACCAGCGGACAATCGTCATGGCATCAAGTGAAATCCCTATGCCCTGTATCCGATCTGTCCGTGGCGCAGAGGCATCTCCAGATCTCTCAGAATTACCCGAGCACATGTGACTTCAGAGGAGATTTCTCGTTTCCCTTAGGGCACCGTCATATCTAGATACTAAAGGAACGTGTTTCTCGCCTGTTGGTTAGCTTAATAGTTGACCATACATGGATGCTGGTCTTGAGCGACAGGTTCATAATTGGATATAGATCAGCACTACAGATGCAGGTCTGGACTATCACTCATGATGGTGGAGCAAAAATCGCATACATGTGAGTTTCACTCGTAAACCCCTAGCATTCATCTAGACCAGCGCTCCCGCTAATGCAGAGTGCAGGCAGTTCGCTTCCTCCAGTGGCCATCATATGAGTATAGGATATCATGGATATAACAATGTCATTTAAAAGTAGCTGTCGGTTAGGTTCAAGCTTGACATTAAATATACAGTGCTAGGAAAAATTAATCCGATATTGTACGTTCGTTTTGCCACTGATTTCAGTGTCGGGACATTCATAGTCCCACCGAATGGCTAATGAACAAGGGTTACACAGCACTCCTCATACAGACGTTTACTCAATATAAATAACATGCAATAATAATGCATGCACTGCAGAAGTCAAATGCAGGGCCCTAGCAAGTCATTGATACGTGCCGTTTAGGAACCTACTAGTATGCATGGACTTAGATAGGTTTCCCATAGCCCGGAAACGGTGCGAGCCGTTAGCCTTCTGGTAGCCTTGCCGCTCTGCCGCTCGGAGTTATCATGCCCCAATCACCCAGATACAATGGAGGTCACTGGTCAGGGTACCTACCTTTTGCTGTAGATTCATCATGATCTGCATAATGCCTATTACATCGCTTATTGTTCATGTGCACGACCTAGTTCCCGGATCTTGCTCTTAACTGCTAAGTCACTGGAGCTTCGTTTTGACTGTAACATCGCAAACACGTTCCCGATATGATAAATGATACTTTACATCTACTCAAGCCGCTTGAATTAGAATCGGCCCTTCTTCTGCTCGGTAATGAATTCGCGTGCACTAATATTACGGCGTACCAGGTGGAATACTGTAGCGTGCAGTACTCGCAATGCGTGATGTCACCACGTGTATACCCCTGCAAATATGATATATCAAATCCAACGTCACTGCATTCACTGCCGCAACCACCTTTGATAACTGCTCGATCTGCCGGGCGTTTACACCACCATATTCAAGATCAATTAGTCGAGAATCTCACCGCTCTCAGTATCCCAGCCTCCGCATAGCACGATCCTAGTTGCCCAGCCGCCAACGATTGGACGGTCAAGCAATATAGTCATCGGAGACATTCTTACCACAGAGCCCGCATATATGTTGTGCTCCAACAGACTTTGATGCCGGCCCGATATACTGCAAATGCTACTCTCAATGGCTTGAATTCTCTACTATTTTGACAGGGATGTTTCGGGATATTGATGTCCGCTCGATTAAGGTCTTATCAGATGCCCGTCAATTGCTGCAGCCAGTGGAAGAGTTCATGAGTTTTATGATGTCTCCATCAAGCTGGACAGTGGGGAGACGAATTGAGCCGCCCCCGTTTGGCTAGAGTAACGCAAGATATACCGTGTAGCTTTTGAGCGAGTATTTGGATCGGACTAATATGACAACTATACCTCCGTGCTTGCCCTTGACTCTATAATAGGTTCGTCGCTATGGCTCCAGGATGGTATCCAGTGCCATCATGCCCCGCCAGCCAAAATGCAGGTGCTAGATGCAAGTCGGAGAGCCACAATGTGGGCATTGGTATGACAAAATCTGGTCTGAATATGCATGTAAGGTATGGGGCGCTCGAGCTGCGACTTCGGGCATGAGAGATGAGGGTTAATGGACAGACTTAGCCCTGACTGTCATTCATACAAATAGGAAACTGCTGTTGGGGATCACTCGATACCAGTCGTCCTGCAAGCGGCGTCTTTTCGTCCCCATGCTCAGGACAAGAGAATGGCGCATTGTCCTCTCACCGACTTTAAAACTTCATTTCAGTTTCGCATCAATTCATGTCTTTTGTAGCTACCCAACCCCGCATACAGATAACGGGGTCTTCACACAGTCCAGCCCCTTTAGCTTTTTAGCCCGTTGCTTGGCCGTGAATAACTCAATCTCACTGGATAGCCACCAAGACTGGCCTTATCAGCTCTCCCCCAGCGTATTTCCTACCATATGCCTTTTTGCTCATAAAACCCATTGTGTGAGCTTGCGGCCTGGAGAATTCCGTTTCTTGTTCCCAAATTTATCCTGACTGCTTGAGACAACTCTCACAATTCTGAGGCCATATGCATGGAAACGCTGTGATGTTGTGGTTAACCGCAAATAGCACCAACAGAATTGTAATTTGGGACCTTGTTCATGACTTGGCCTAACATGGCTAAAATATTCAGCTGGAACAGATTAGTCCATGATAAGGAAAGGGGCCAGAGGTAAACAACCCTTATAAAGGAGAACTGAGGATGATTTTCCGTTGGATTTTGGCTTCTGCATCTGCATTTTCGATTCCAATCGTCAGTTGTTATTCAAGTTTGATACATCCCCTATCATTGCTTCGATACCAGTCATACCACTGCCATTATGCTGTTCTCTAGCCTCACTATGTTCACGATATGCATCGTGACATCCCTTGTTGCTGGACGGGATTCCACAACTGCTTCCCGTACCGCACGATCGGTATCTAGGACTCGGACCTCCTATTCAGCCACGGTTACCAGCACCCAACATCCAGCGGCTTATGATCCTAAATGTTGGAAAGACCCATTAGTCTGGCTCGCTCCGTCTGTCAACGCACTCCTCCCGAATCCAGTCCTAATCTTGTATCAGAGATGTATCGTCCTGCCATTCCATAGCTCTTTCGACCTATGACGTCTGCATTTCCGCCACTGCGACGGCGGCAAATTTATTCTCACCCTTCGAATACTGCGGTTGTGCATATCAGAAAGATGCTTATTCGTATGCCCCGTGCTATGATAGACACCCGAGACAGGCGGACTAACCCTATCCGTACAGATGTATTGTGCAATACTGCCCGACCAGCTCTGTGCAGAACGCTGTTCTATCCAACCAAATTGCCGGCTTTGAAGCACAAACTTGCGAAACGGTGATCGATGCTCCTATCGCGACCAGTGCTGGCGCGGTGACAAGTGGCAGCTCTACAGATACGCCAGGCGGAGCTTCCGGTGGCCAGAGCGGCACCAATTCGGCAAACGCAATGAGCACTGTTGGAGAGCTTGCTGTGATAGGAATTCTCGCGGCAATTATGGCTACTATCGGGGGGTTAGCGGTAGGTTTGTGATTGAGGACAGGTCAGTTTCGGCAAGGCTGTATCGATTAGACCAAGTCGCTTCAGCAAGATCGGGATTCCTCTTGACGGTAAGGTGCAAATAGGACTGAATACTGTTATATCCGTTGCAATGAGATCATTCCTGAGTTATAGCGAAAGCGTTTGAAATAATATCAGAGTACCTTGCCTGTATTGTGTGCCACTTTTCCTTAGGGAAGGTGCTTCATCATCGGAGGACCTCCTAAAGCCCATGTGCTCCAAGAGCAGGTGTTTCAGGTCTCTTTATGTTCCTCAAGAATTGTAGGGAGGTCCTGTTTACGAAGCCGGAAGTTCTTGAAAGGTCAATCCGCATGGCTTACTAAACAACATGAATTGATTTTTTCCTCGCCGTAAAAAGCCACTGACTGGGAGGCTGGTAGTACTAAGAGGCTCCGAACCCAGCCTACATCAAGATGGGAATCGATCGATGTGCTTTACGAAATGGAGCATGGCATGTGAGAGGTCTTTGCACTAGGAAAAGCAAGCACTGGTATACGGAACTGTTGAGTTTGCAAAACTCAGACTTCTAGCTGGAGTTGAATCCATTAAGAAATAATATGTTCAGCTGTGAAGGGGTTGACTAATATTCACATAGTTCCCTATGTTGTTCGACGCATGGTGACAAGATCCGCTCCAACCTAGCAACGAGCAAGCACCAAAGGAGGATTCTTGAACTTCAACTGAGTTTTCGAAGTCCTGGAGATATGCATCGAAGACCACTAATCTCGCCTACCTGGATGGACCGTGTTAACCATCTTTCTTGGGCATGTTGGCCTTCTGACAGTTAAGCAGCATAGCATAAGAGGATTCTTGACACTGAATTTCCTCCAAGCAGCAATTTTTGGTCTCCGGGCTTCAAGTAGGCTAACTACGCCTTCCTTCATTCACCCTTGACGGTTCGTGTGTATAGTTCGTTCCGATCCATGTCCCAAAGTTCTGTTTGTATCCCCAGCGGCGAATGGTCCGAGAATTCGCTCCTTCTATCTCCTCCATGGCCATAGAAGGCTATAAACCCGGTCCCCTTCTCCGAGAACACGTCACATGAAATGATCATGAACTTTTCGAGATCAGGATCCCTTGCCTTAATATCCGGGGCCAAATTGCACGAGCATAGTCACCGCGGAACGTGTGCTCTTCCAAATTTATCGCATTCAAAGATCCCTTATGCCGGTCAAGGAGCGCAAAGAGAGACACGCTGGTGAAATTGAATCGCCGCCAGCTAAGAGACTGTAGATTTTGAAGGCTCAGATCCGAAGCAAAGTCTTGGAATATTACGTCGACACCAGCAGCAGCATGCCGGCAGGCTGTGATGAACAGGCTCTCCAAGCCAGGTGTAAGGTTTAGAAATTTCCATAGAGTCCTGGGTAGAAACTGTGGACCGCGTTCTATCTGAAGCTCAAGCCTCAGTAGATTATGAAGTAACCCAGCACGCCACACAGCGCAAAGTCCGCCAGGTATCTCCAGGGAAGACACGGGAAGGCAGCTCTCGAAGCTTCTACGGCGTTCGAATCGAACTGTAAATTTCTCTAGCTACAGCTTGCTCTCGAGGAGCAATGGTATGAGGACATGAAGTGTTCTCGAAAGTGAATGGTCGGTACCTTGGTAGCTGCGCTCAAAGAGACTGAAGTCCTGATATGGTGAGAGAGGTGGAGGGGGTAGTAAGGGCGGCTGGCGAATGAAAAGTTTGCGCCTCTTAAACTGGTCTGGATGCTGTTTGTAGCCCCAAGGAAGTGGATTAGTGACGACTGCTATAGCGAGCCCAAAAGACTTGTAGTTGTCGAGGCTCGAGAGCGCCGTTTTAAGCAGTGTCGTAAATTCCGCTCGATCAACAGTATATTTGCCACTGGTATAGCTGTGTTGTAGACCCAATGGATCACCAATGGTGCAGATAATAAGTTGGCCGACAGCGGGACCAAGAATGGAATGCTTCGAGATGGCAATCAGACAGCAGGGACTCGAAGCTTAGAAGATGACTTCGGGTTTCGAAATAGCGTCTTATGGAGGTTTCCTAGCAAGCAGCTCGCATTGTACGACAAGTCGACCGCAGAGAAAAGAGGGAACCTGTGTTATCCGCAGAACTTGTCACGGCCAGGAGAAGCTCTGTAGGCAAGCGTGGCAAGGTAGATAGGGAAGCCATGTCGAAGCGGACCATCTGATGTCTTGAGCTGCTGTGATTCGATTTAAGACTAGTGCTTGTAACTTGGATAGATGTTTCTCCCTCTCCCAATCCCGTGGATGGCAGGGTCAGCGTTGGTATCTGAACGAGATTTGGATAGGAGACTCGCAGAGCGGCATAAGGAATCCAGTGGAACACCGGTGGACTTAGAGGATCTATCGCAGAACAGATTGAGGGAATAGAAGAACTTGACAAGGGATGACCCAGAACAATGTGTTTGACCTAATTAGCGAATGGTTTGCTGTGGGCATGCCTTTGCTTTGGCAACACATGAGATCCGATGCGTGTTACGGCAGAACCTTTTGGACAAGATTTCATAGGAAATTCCTACCTTTGAACTGGAGATACGATACCAGATGTTGGTGCCCTTGCAAAGTATCAACCATCTTTGCTTTCTATTGTGCCTTGTATCGTTAGTTATGTTAGGTACCTGAGAGTACTGTCTACAGGCACAGGTAATACGGGATGGCCCATACAGTGAGCACCGCAAGCAGAAGTGTTGGGTGCGGCGAGTTTGTGAGTGAGTTCAATGGTAGCCAAAAAGGGAGTCGGAAATGCGGAAGTGAGTTCCCATCCCATGATGACCGATCAACGCCTCCTATCGATACTTAAATCCTAAGAATGGATTCTAATTTCTAAAGTCAAAGGGACAACTGGACAGGAATTTGCCCGGGTACACCGTTCCGACGGGGATCCGATTCGTCAATGGAAGTCTGCTAATCTGAAAATCGTCGGCAGTCGGCAGCACCTGGGTTCTTACTTCTTAGGTTCCTTAACTAAGTTAGCACCAAGAATCTAGGATCCTCGTAACCTTCCAAATGCTTCCGTTTGCCATTCTTTCCCTGTAAGCGAGCCCGCCGAAGGACTCGAACCTGGTGATCGGAAGGGAGTCCGTCCGTCCTTGCATGGGCACCAAGATCGCCATGGCTAATCCATGACCCGCATGGAGACAGTAATGGTGGAGAGGGCCCAAGATCTCGGATGGATATTCAACTTTATCCCAATCCCCTCGTTCCCTCTGTTGAGACCAGTTGTTGATGATAGTTTTCCTTCTCTAGGGACTCAGAGTTTTTCTTAAGTTGCTGTATACGGCTCTCACCTTGTCAGAATCCCCTACACCATTCAGTTTTGTTCATCGCCACCTCGTCTCCATCTGTTCAATACTATCCCAATAATAGTGACCGGAAGACCGCGGGTTTCTGTCGGCGGGTCGTTTCCGATAGAAAACCACCCTCGTGGATATCCTTCTGATAGATCAACGGCAAAAGAAAGATATCAATTTGCAAACGGGACGTCGAACCTTGTCTGCATCTGAACACGGCCGAGGCGCTCCGGATGTCGAACGCCTTCGAAAAATGCCTTCTGGGCCTTGATACGATCACGAACAACAACCGCCGCGATTGCAGAGAGCTCTGCACTCTCGAAACATGCCCTCTAGGATACTCATACTGGGGCTACCTGCCGTCTCTGGCGGCGAATAGCCTTTTCACAGCCCTCTTCGCCCTCACCGTCGTCGCATTCGTTGTCCAGAGTGTGGTGTATCGAAGTTTTCATGGCTTCACAATCGCCATGATTTGCGGTAGCCTTTTGGAGATGATAGGATATATCGGACGGGTTATGGCCCATAGCAAACCATTTGCTGAGGTACGTCTGCGCGATCTCTTTCATTTCTACCATCAATTCTGACCCATCCTCTATAGGACCCTTACCTCCTCCAAATCATCTGCCTGACTATTGCCCCGGCCTTTTACGCTGCCGGCATATACCTTCTTCTCAAACGCGTCGTCCTCAGCATTTCCTCCGCCGCATCACCGATCCCCGCCCGATACTACCCCCGCATCTTCATCCCATGTGACGTCGCCTCTCTCCTCTTGCAAGCCATCGGCGGCGGTATTGCCGCCTCCGCCTCCCACTCCGACCGCGACCCCACGGCCGGCAACAACATCATGATTGCGGGTCTTGCCTTCCAAGTCTTTACGATGCTCATGTTCATCATCTTCTCCCTCGTCTTTGCGTGGCGCGTCTATTCTCTGATGCGATCCCAAGGCGCCGATGCCGCGCTGGAGCAAGGGGCGGGATTGGCGACGTTACGAAGCAGTTTCAAGTTCAAAGCGTTTATCGTCACGCTGTCATTCGCGACACTGTGTATCTTCACGCGATGTGTGTATCGTGTCGCGGAGCTGAGCGAGGGTTGGGATGGACGGTTGATCTCGACGCAGAGATACTTTATCGGGCTGGAGGGCGCGGTGATCGCCGCGGGGATAGTAGCGCTCAACCTGTTTCATCCGGGGATGTGCTTCCAGCAGGGCTATGCGGGCATGCCGTGGAGGTCGACAACGAAGGTGGAGAAGCAGGAAGGAGCCAAAGAAGCGGTAGTGATGAGCATAGACGGGAGCGAGAAAGGTAGCAATGGTGTCGTTGTGCCATAACGCAGCGGTGCGTCCTCGATTTTCGCTCTGTTGCTATTAGCCTTTGAGTGGAAAATTTAGCCAGCGGGCTATCCAAGTGTACGAGCGTTTTAGGATTCTGACAGCGCATTGGATATAGGATGGCAGGTGTCGGACTAGGAATAGACAATAGGCCCTTTGGATGATTATGAATGCCTGTTCATTTTGAACAAATATACCCCAAATGGAAGTTTACAATACGATTCGTCAAGTTCTCCGCTTCTCCATCCTCCGGCTCCTCCGTCCCATGACATCCTTCCCCTCCTCGATCTGAAGCAGAGCTTCCCGTTTCTTCTCAGTCACAGGCTTCAAAGCATCTCTCACCACCCTTCCTTCAATGCTAACTCCTTCCTCCACATACTCATCCATCTTCCTCCCAACCCTCGTCTCGATCGCCAAGATCAACTCCACATCTCGCTGCCCGACAACCGTCACGCTGTCACCTTCCCTGCCCGCACGAGCCGTTCTACCAACCCGATGGATATAGTCGTCGGGATCGCGAGGGACATCATAGTTGATCACCAGCGCCACGTCTGGGATATCCAAACCTCTAGCAGCGACGTCCGTCGCGACCAGGATCCGAGCTGTCCTCGCACGGAATTTGGCGAGGTTTGACGTACGCTCTGATTGTGGAAGAGCGCTGTGCAATGCCGTGACGCGATGGTCCAGCATGTGAAGCATGTGCTCTATCAACGTCGCAGTGGATGTCCGATTGCAGAAGATGATGATGCTGCGCTCCAGGTTCCGCGGCGTTAGAAGCAGAACATGCAGATAGACTTCTCGGTGAGTGACGGGACAGAGAAGGTAGGTTTGGCGAAGAGTAGATGGAATGGCAAGGGCCTCGGTGTCAACTTCACAGATGAATAGCGGTGGCTTGGACGCCGATCGTGGAAGGTCCTTCAGAGCGCGCACCTCGGGGGTCACGGTCGCGGTAAAGAGGCAGGTTTGGCGAGAAGTCGGAGGCGGGAGAACAGAGAGGCATGTTTCGACATCGGGCAGCATGCTCCCTGGACCAGATGCGAGGAGTCGATCGGCTTCGTCGAGGACAACGAACTTGCATCGTCGAAGGCCGCAGATGGTGTCTTCTCCAGAGGTATCGATGTGGTCGGCTAGACGACCTGGGGTGGCAATGACGACATGAGGACGCTTTGCCAGTTCGATTGCTTGTTCTCGCATATCCGAGCCTCCGGTTATAAGCACCGCCTTGAGAGACTGGGGGGATGAGATGGCGAGAAATTGCTCATAAATTTGCAGTGCAAGTTCGCTGTTTAACCGTCAGAGAAAGTCCGGGTTTGAATAAATTCGAGCGAATATAATGACAATACATACCGCGTCGGAGTTAAAACAACCGCAAATATTGCCAAAGGATCCTCTGCCCATTTATGCAGGATGGGTACTGCAAAAGCCACCGTTTTTCCGGAACCCGTCCTACTCCCTCCAATGCAATCCCGCCCTTTGAGAATTTCCGGTATACAAGCTTTCTGAATGCCAGTAGGTCTCTTGATCTGCATAGCAGCGAGGGATGCAACTAGCCACGGGTCCACATTGAGCTCGGCGAAATTGCTGGTCCCCTTCCCTTGAAGTACAGTATCCACGGAGTCGGGTTGAGCGGGATGCAGGCTTTGTTTCAATCCGGAATTTTTCGCCCTTATTCTTGAAATGCCCGCATACGGCGCTCTTTTCGGTGCGGGCGCATCCTCACTACCTGAGGAAACTTTTCGTCGCTTCCGAGAGTCGCCCTTGGCGATGTCTACGAAAGATCCGGAAGAACTGTCCGAATCGGACGAATCGTTCGGATGTGAGTCCACGGCAGGGCCCATTGTCTTTCTGTGTCAATAATGTTGCGGTTTAGATGGACTTTTTGGAGAATTCGGATCTTGTCGTGCTCCCCGATTTTGATATTGCACGAACTTCTGTTGGTCCGTGCTCGTGAAGTTTGCGATGTGAGCCAGCCAATCATGGGCCGAGGTTAGACGTCGATCTGAACTTTCGTTGCCTCACGTTCAACTGGATTCTTTGGTATTACTCTTTGTTGTGCATACGGTTCTCAATAACATCTCCAGGTAAACTGCCTCCAGTCACTTCGAGCTAGTCCACTCTACCATGTTTTTAAAGTCAAAGCCTAGCCTAGGTTGGTTGAAAGCTCTCAATTTGGTGTCTAATGTAGACTAATCACTTGTCCATTTTTCGTAACTAACTAGAGGGGAATACGTAATTAGAGAGTAGGGTAGTTTCTCGATTGACAACTTCGCCCCTATTTTAGTATTTTCTGCTATGCCTAATTAGACTGCAATCTAAGCTATGTCCGTGGCTGAGTATATCTTCAAAGCAAATACCGACTCCCCAGCATGAGTGACTTAGTGCTGGGCCACGCCGCAACACTATGAAAGCAATGCCACTCCATGTCTCTGTCTGAAATTGGCCCGCTTTGCAAGGACCCGGATGTGAAAGTTCGGATACCTTCACTGCCGAACTGTATCACCTTTGCAACTCACTCAAATCTCGCCGCTTCCTTCACTGAGCCCTTGAGGAGCTCGTTCGCCTTCTCGAATTCTTTCTTGGTTTCTTGCGCCAACTGTGCTTTCAGGCGCATGACAGTATCGATGAGATTATTTTGGCGGCCTCGATCTGCTGTGGGGAGAGTCGTTCGATATTTCTTTGTAGAGTATATCCTATCAAAGGTCTCCCGTATCTGCTGGACCATTTGGCGCACGTCCTTCTTCATATCTGACTCGAAGTCCCTACCCCTTTCTGACCGTTTTCATCATAGTGGCCGTGGAACTGATGACGAGTTTGATGGTTGAGCCCGGGCGATCTTGAGAGGTGGATCCGGTTGTCCCACTGGCCAAAGTCTCCCTGCATCGAACGGAAGAAGCTTGCCCAAGCGATACGTTCATTTGATCGAGGCCATGCACAGATGCTGTGCTCAATTTAGAAGTCAGTGAAGGCGGAATAAAGAGCTTCGTGAATTTGGGTATCGTCCTCAACTTCGCCTTGTATGGCAAAGGGAAGGATAACGTGTGTCAATCCGAAAGTGAGTTACAATGAAATGGAATCACTTCTCAGTCTGAAGCATTGCTTACTTTAACCTGGGACCATGTGAGTGAAACAATCTGTGGATGGAGGAAGTCTTAGAAAACTTTTATCAACTCAAGCAAGGTGAGGATGCAAGAGTAGGAAGAAGCCCGTGGAAGGGTAATCGCCTGGGCAATGTCCAGCTTTCAGTCCTTCGCAAAGTGAGACTTGAAAGGAGATGTATTGACAGGTGAGTTTGATGTGAGAATTGGCAGCTGCCAAGTATGGTGGTACTGGTGCCACTGAACTCGACGCTGCTCAAGAACGTGAAGTGAAATCAGATTGAACTGACGTTGAGAGTTCGTACTCAATTCAGTCTAATCGCGTAGAAAGAACGTCAGTACTGACAGGACGGAGAGGAAAACCGTCCGCTCGAGAAGATTCAGTAGGACCGAATGTTCTTTTGAATCACTTCTGCCGAATCGAACTAGTAGTGTATAGCAAAGGTCAATTGGAGAGGTGTTATATGACTCGGTTGAAGGAGGATCAGCATGAAATTGGTGCCCGTACATGAAATTGGTGCCCGTACCATTGAAGATGACTCTCCATTCAATCAAACGATCTGGTACAATTGACTCGACGAAATGACTGCTGACAATAGTCGCTTGACAAGTATAGAAAGGTGAGACGCGCGCATGCCGAAGGCTTAACGCATGTAACATAAGATATTTCGGAAGACCACCAGCCAGAGGGTGTGCAGCAGATGCTTAGATGATAGATCCCATCCGTTTAGATGACTTGCATTGTGAGGACGAAGATATTGACTGATCGTAACAACATGTGGATTCCGCAACAAGCGGGTGTATCATACAAGAGGTCCTGAAGTACATCAGCCATTTCGCTAGAGCATCGCGTTCAATAAATCTCATGGATATCCTCAAAACCAAAAGCAAACCATTCTCAAGTCGCTCGCTCCGTGTACCTTCCCGCAAAAATCGTTCAAACCTGGAAGAACCTGGAGTCCATTCAAATTGGACTCCATCAACTTGAATGCAACCCCCAAGGTTGAAATCGTAGGGTCTCGGCTTTTCGTATCGTAAGATGGCCCCGTTTATATTGGCCATGATATATCGACGTTGACGCTGACGGCAGTACAATACCTCACCATTTGACCAGCTGATCGTACTGCCGCATGAGCAAGCCCGTCGGGTCCTCCTCTTTCAGATGCGCCCACGCGCCCGCAAAATGGATCAACAGATCCCCCTCCTCCCACGGCCCAAGGCCCCTTTCAAAACACTTGATTTCATCGGGGAACGCGTTGGCCTGCTTCTGTGGAATGAACCGGACTCGCTTTCCGGACGGGTACCGCCACTCTGTCTCGCCCAGCTTTTCGAATTGCGCAGCGTTCTCCGCGAGATGGTCGGGGTACGCGGGGTCCTGATGCAGGAATGCGGGCGTGTCGGTGCGATTCTCGTGATCGGACTTCTGGGCCGGGTGCCAGCTTGCGAACTCGAGCACCGCGGCGGGCTCGGGGGCGGGGTAGCCGAAGACGGCGTCGCGGATGCAGTCTTGTTCGGAGCGTTCTTCGTGGAGGTCGCTGTACGCGCGTATAAGATTGAAGAATGGAATGGCTCGAGGGGTCGCGCGGACGAGCATGCTGCCGGCATTCAAGGGGAAGCTGCAACTAGGGTTAGTCGAGAAATCTAACAGTCATTGAGCGTGATCATACCAGTCTGGCGTCAAGAGGAAGTCAATGTCGTCCCTCTTTGACTCCTCCACCTTCTCCAGCTCCTCCTTAATTACGTCGGTAACAGGGCGATTTTGCGTCATCATCAATGTATCGAAATCAATCCACCAGACCCAATCGAATCCACCCCCAAGAATGGCCTTCTCAATCATTGTCATCTTGTACCACATGACTCCTCGTGGCTCAGGGGCGTCATAGTCGACGATCAAGGTGTAGTTATGCTTATTTGCATACGCTTGCTTGTTCTTCATGCTTGTTTGCACGTAGGATTTTTCTTGCGTTATGAACGTCACAATCGCAACCTTAAGATCCTTCTCTTCCTTCGACGCCGGTTTCGGTGCCAGTGGTGGTTCTGGCTTGTTCTCCGCATTCGTAGGCGGCACTGGCTCGGGCTTCGATTCGAGCTCGGGTACTGACTCCGGCACCGGCTGTGACTCGGGCTTTGACTCAGGCGGACCTTCCGGAACAGTTTCTACGGGCGACTGGGCCTGCGGATTGTCCTGTGCTCCGGGCCCAAGATGTATTACTCTTCCTGCCTCTTCATCGGGGTGTGGGGTCGTCGCAAGAGGTCGTGACCTTCCTCCAAAGGGCTCTACGGGGGGAGATTTTATCATCGGCGGTCCAGCTAGCCCCATCGATGAGCCCTCCCAATGTGAGCTAAACAGCCATATCAAGAATATTAGGACGCCGGTCGTGAGGACGCGGGTGGGACTGAGGATGCCTCGCATGATGGGCGATCGTAAGGCTGGCAGCCTGATGATCGAAGCGACGATAGGGTTTATATATGGGTGCGCGTTGATGCGCTCCAGTTAATAGGACCCTCGTTATTCCGCAGGACTCCGATGATCAATGCCACCTCAGTCACGCGAAAGGCCGAAATGTCGCATGCGAGGATCCTTTCCTTGCTGGCGGGGCACACGACGAGGAGGCCACTAGGTAGACTGCTGTCCTCTGATACCTATGTATTAGCGAGCGATCAAATCAAAGAATATCAACGTAAATAGCAACTCCAACACGACATCGCGACTCAAGAAAGGAGAGGAAATTTGGTACGCCAAACAAAATCCCCAGAGAGGGTTCATGCTTGTCGCTTGGGCTGGGAATCCAAAATTAGCGTCAAGGTGCGATTTTGGAGTGGCACGACCGCAGAGTGGGCAGTTTCACGTTTTCGTCCCAAACCATTCCTAGACAAATCCAAGAGGCTAGAACAGTAGAGTGGGTTTCCCGCCCATGCAGGCGCCAAGGTCCAGTTCCAGACACCAGCACGATTGTCTGCTTCCCCGCATGGTTTTATGGGCACACCATTCCGTACTGCTGCTAGTGTGAGATAAATAGCGGTTTCGCTCAATCAGGTGATTAATGCAGCGACACAGTGGGAAAACACCGTTAGATTCCAAAAGAGCATAGATAGATTGAACTTGATCCTGAAGAGCCGGATCCTACGAAAACAGGCTGTTCCTGCAGCTATTTTATATGGTTTACAATGGTGATCTTTTCCCTAAAAATGGAAAGAATAGGGGTATAGAATCGAATGCGGAATGAAGCCGTGGGGAAACGCCAAGAAACACAGATATTCTGTGACAGCTAGAGTTGAATGTAGGTCTGCACTAGAATACTCTATAAACGCCGCCGAGGAGCTGCCACTGTATTGTTGTACTTGTATTCTTACCATGTTCAGCTCGTATCGTGCAGGAAATAATAAAATTGGTCAATAAGGCCTTACTATCTCAACAGCTTACTAATAGACAGAAATCTAACAGGGCGAACCGACATGCCGCTGTTAATTTACTCCAAGGCCGCAACTGTCCTGACTCCTGAGGAGATGATATCCCTCATTGGACGTTTCTATAATGGAAATCGATACTCTGTACTCCGTACCATACGTCGTCTCCATATTTCCTCGGCTGGTAAATTGCCTGTACGGATGGACACGTACAGAGGCTTGGCAGTACGATTATCTATCCAGTCGTGCCAGTCTTGCCCTTTTCTTTTCGCAAACTCTTCAAGGAATAATATATACTCCGTAGTCATTAGTTAACCTTTCCCTTGAACTTTCACATGACCTGGATCGCACCAACTAAAACATCGTGCAAATGCTGTGGATTGTTCTCCCTTTCTTCTTCTCTAGCATTTAGTTAAGTTAGCTTTACAATAACTAACCATCGAAAGTTGGTTCTTGCGGACTTTTTTAGCTAAACCATATCACTCATGTGGCTTCAGGGCTTGGCACTGATCCAATTGCACTGTCCCAGTCACACTGCATCCTGAAGTGTCCCAATGTGACTACACTGCCCCAATTGCACTAGTTAGTTATCTGAAAATACTAACTTTCTACTTTACGGCATCATCAAGCGCCCTACGGTCCGCAACAGGTACGACGCTATACGTTTAAGTTATAAAGATGAACTAACTAGTTAGTTATATAGTTAACTTGCTGTATTAGACAGGAAGCTAAACAAAAATTCGTCAATGGCTTTCCCCACCTGATCCATCTTGTAAATTTTCACAAAGCAGTCAAACTGCGGCAAGCCGACACCGGTCGTTGGTTCCTTGAACGCGAACAATTCTCCACCTGGAAGACGAATACGGCATCATTCCTCTGGCTTTATGGGATTCCAGGATGTGGAAAAACCGTCCTAAGCTCAACAGTACTTGAAGCTGTGCTTAACGACCGTCGAAAAGATCCTAGCAATGCTGTAACATACTTCTACTTTGACTTTTCAAATCCGAAGAAACAATGCCCAGAGCTGATACTAGAGTAGTCTATTCGTTGATTTTCCCACTTTCGCAACAATGCGTCAAGTTTCCAGCTGCACTTAAAGTACTTTTTGCCTCCTGTGGGAAAGGAGGGGAACGTCCGTCGCTTTATGCCACTTTGGAAGTACTACAAAAGATGATTCAGGAATTTCCGCGGACGTACTTTATTTTGGACGCTCTACTATAGTGCACGATTTGGAATTACGACGGCTGTCGAGGTGCTGCTCGGCGAGGGCGCCGACGTGAATGCGCAAGGTGGACGTTGCGGCAACACGCTACATGCCGCTTCCGCCAAGGGCACAAATATATTGTCGAGCTGCTGCTCGGCGAGGGCGCCGACGTGAACGCGCAAGGTGGGAAGTTCGGCGACGTGCTACAGGCTGCGTCAGTCTGGGGCCACTCTTATATCATCGAGTTGTTGCTCGGCAAGGGCGCCGATGTGGAAGCGCAAGGTGCGCCGTAAGGTATGGTAGTACGCTCTTTGCCGCTTTAGCCCGGGGCTATACTATCTTCAATCCGTTACTTAATAGGAAGACATTTCAACGAACGTATATTTCCAACTTCTTCGAAGCGACTAAGAAACAACACATCAAGGACGGAGCATAGGCCTCAGGGGGGTGTGAATGCTGTGTATGTACTGGCTCAGAGTGTAGTATTTACGTAGTGACAGCCAGCGTAGCGGTAACTTCTATATGCCGAAGAGGACGGTGTCAATGAAATTACTACTACCACCACCTACTACACCATAGTACACTGATCAGTAAGACTCAGTGTAAGGTTTAGCTTGCCCTTTAGGTAGGAACAAAAATTGCCCAGCAAGCGCTGGACTGTCCTGAGGAGATGATATCTCATGGGATATTTCTGGACCAGCAATGCCACGTGCATCCCTCTGCCCTTTTAGTACCAATTGTGATAACTACCTGTATGATACGGAGTAAGAAAACAGGTGAGATTGTAAGTTGTATCATAACAGATTTTTATGACTCAGAGATATGGATATAATTTGCGATTTTAAAATGTTACAAAATAATTCCGTCGAATCATTTCAGATCGAACTCGACCTCCTCCATCTTCAGGGGGCGGCAAGGAGAATAGTGGCGTCGCATCACTCAAGCCGGATTCGCTTTTTTAGAGATGAATATCATCATCTTTGTCGTATCATCACTTCCAACGGTCGCTCAATCTCAAGCAGGCTCCGGTCTTCGATGCCCTCTTCGAATCGTTTCCGGTCAAATCCATCAATCAATCTCATGTCATACCGCCTTACAAGGAAGGCCACCACGTATCTCATTTCTTGCATCGCAAAGTTTCGGCCAACACAATGGTAAGGACCCGTGATGAACGGGATAGAGGCTTTCGCATTGAAAATTTCACCCGGATGGCGCTCACCGGGTAGCCAGCGTTCGGGACGGAACTCGTCGGGGCATGAGAAGTTCTCCTTGGCACGGGAGATGGCATAGAGTGCGGATCGGATATGGGTTCCGGGGGGAAGGTAAACATTGCGTATCATTGTACCACCTTCAGGAACAATTCTTTGGTTCTGGAAAGGGATGGGCGGTTCAAGCTATGCAAGTGGTCATCAGCGATTTCTCTTGGCCCAATTTCGTCCACGCACATACCCTCATCGCCTCGTTGATGTATGCATCGAGAAGTGGCTCTTTGTTCAAGGTTTCGATGTCAATATCCTGGCCGTGGGGTTGTCGCTTGAATATCTCATCCACAACCGTCTGCAGCCGCCTGAAGCGTTCTGGATTACAAACCAAGCAATAAAATAAGTAGGTTATCGCAGAGACTGTTGTATCTGCGCCACCTGTGACGACCTGTCGGGAGTCGGCTTGGAGAGCATTCACGCTGAGATGGGCCCCTTTACTGCTGCCTTCGCCCAGCAAGTGGTAGAAAACATCGCGCTGGGACTTGTTAAGGGGATTGCTCCCCCTCTTTTGCCGATTGAGAAACATTTGCCTCGAGAAGATATGGAATTGCTTCATCTTCTTGGTAACCCATGGAAACTGTAAAAGGTATCTCGCAAACCAGGGCAGGACTTTCGTCATTCCTGCAAGATGAAGTGAGTATCGTAACGACGCAATCGCACCGTCTGGGTCGATGCCTTCGATAAGTGCATTGCCGCCACCTTGGCCGCCATGTGCCCCCCAGGCCAGATCCGTCATTACGTCAAAAACAAAGTAGCTAATCCATTCTTGGAGGTCGAGTGAACCCGTCGTCGAAAGACGGTCGAGTTGATTGCATAATTGTTCGGTGCGACGCCTTATCGCCGGCTGGTACTCTTTGAGAGAAGATATTGAGAAAGCTCGGTCCCAAATCCTTCTTCTAAACTTATGTTCCTCATCTGGTCTAACGTGAGCTTTGCAAATGAGCATGGAGCAAAGGTATAAGCATACGGTCTCTGATGGACGATAACGCAGTCTCTGAAGTTGCTGCCCCACCGCTCGCGGTGAACGAGTAGCTCTTGCCTTTCACCCAAGGCTTTCCGCCATATATAACTGACAACGACGCAGCATCTGCCAGGGAGACTTCGTTGGGACCAATTCGGACGATGGGTCCATACTTCTCGTGCAGCACTCGTTGGTCAACGCGAGGTCGGCCCTTGTATAGGCGACTGAACAACCAAACTTGGGAACATTTCGCTAGGAACGGCCCGGGGACATGGTGTAATGGATGCCAAGGGGCAATGAGTCGGTAGAATAGGACGGAACTCGAGAGCGCTGAGAGGAAAGAGATGACTAGGCTCAGGGTTTGAGGTATACTCAAAGACCAAATTACTGAACCGATGAACCCTAATATTATGGGAATCAGGGAGAATTCAGCAAGTGCCGGTTCAAACCTCTTGAATAGAACGTGAGTTAGAAGCCCCAATGCAATGCCAGAAAGCATTTCAGTATGACTTAGCAATGCAGGCCGCTCCATAATGAAGATATTGAAAACAAGTGACTAAATGAAACAAATAAGAACAACGATGAAAATGAGACTTTATCTCCAGCACGAGTTCTATCATTGGCAGAGCTTAATATCTACTTGTAACTCTAGTACTCTACCTCACTGTCGTCCTCGGTGACGGCAATTCGATGGAGGGGTAGATGCTCTCGGTTTGATCAGCACTGTGTTCAGTACTTGCAAACCCCCTCCCCACAAGAGGTCGTCCTATCAGCCATAGCTTCGGTCAAGATCCAGTTGTTTTATTCTGAGGTGGCTGAGGACTGTGATGAATGATGATGATGGTGATGATGCCCGCTTTCTGAGTTGAAATAGATGATAACCATGGCCGAAACCGTACGTTGTTGACGCGGTGACTCGTGCATATTGCGTTGTCATGTCTGATGTCGCGTTGGAAGAATCGCTGGTGATCAATTCCTCGAGCAAGTTTATCTAAACACTAGTCATCAGCTTCTTAACTGAGACACATTCTCATTCTAAATTCTGTCCGTAATTTAGGAGATCCGTGGAAGGAACCTTTCGAACATCATGTGATGCCATGAAGTGCGGTCCTGTCTACCAGTATGCAGTGTGGCCCGATGCCACTGGTGAGAAGGGACACCACATCAAAGGAGAGCCATATGATATCTGCTTCAAAGAGGAATCAGTGTTACATGGTGGGAGTGGATTTATTGGCAGCATGCCTTTCTTGAGGTCCAGTGCCTCAGTCTCGTTCCTTTAAGCGTCCAGTCTCCATTCTCCATTTCTCCAATCTCAGTTATGGATACTCTAGGAGCACTGGCCACCTGTCCGGATATCTTCCTTATTCCTACCAGTACAATCACTTATATGTTTCTTTTCGCGCCCGGATGATGCTATTAATACTCTTGTGATCTCAACTTCTTAGTTTGCAACTCATACTGCAGAGCAGTCCCACGGTCAGCGGAATTCCGCTCTACTTCACCAACTTCCACGCTCTCACTGACTACTCATAACTGCCATTACACTTCCGGCTCATGACTATATGGTACCCGGCCTAGTTTTCAGGGGAGATACTGGCCCTTTCCTAGCCTATTGTTTTCATTTCAATGTTCGCGCCGGACTCTCCGTCGACGTTTGTTTGCCAGTATGACCAACACCCAGCATGCCGATTTGCTGCGTAAAGTACAAACCAGTTTCATACAGCCACTCCCGACCAATATAATGCGGCCGTGCAGTGCCTCGCTAGGACGTTGTCGCGAGCAATACGCGTTTGAGATATCTCCTGCTCAATTCCGCCTTGACGTCTTTCTTAACCACTCCACCATCACGCCAGCGGACGGTTTGACCAATTGTCCGGGCGACATCCCGATGATGCTGGAGGCGGCTGTGTCTTTCCGTGTAACTTTGACCTCAATTCACGCTTGGAGAGAATGGTTTATCGTGCAGGTTACATTCACCATGTACACCTCTGCTTATTCCTCTGCTTCATTCTTTGAAGCCTCAATCGCTCACCGACCTCATTATTGATTTGTTCACAATGAACTTGTAGGATCTTCGGGACAAACACACAGTTTGTATGGAGTCCTATCAGAAGCTGCTATATGGATCTGAACCTAACTGAGGAGTCATTGCTAGAACTCTTCTAGCTATGCTGCACTGGAGCGCGACTCCAAGAACCTATCATCATGTGGTGATATTGACTGAAACGCAGACTGGGAAGGTGTGAGATAAATCAACATATTATCCCCATTCACCTATTCATTTTCCATTTGGCTCGGATGTTTTCCTTCGTTATCACTCTATTCTCCTCCATTTCACACGATCGTTTCAGCAAACCTCTGACCGCAAGGTATTTTGAAAATACACGCCGCACCCATCCGGTACACATCTCTTTGACTGGTACGTTAAAGCAGTCAGAATGGGGCCATTCTTTTCTTAACCGCAGTAGAAAACATCACCGACCATTTTACAAGAAGCCCCTTACGACAGTCCCAATGTGTATCCTCCACATCACCCGTTTTGTCCTCTGCGGCTGTACCTACACCCAGCGGGGCCAATTCTGTGCCGCTGTCCAGAATCAGATGGACCGTATCTGGACAGAGTATGATGCACCATATGTACCATTCACCGATCCGTCTCCCAATTGCACTCAGGCCCTAATAAGACCATTCAACGGTTTTTGCCCGAAGTGTTTTCAGTTCATTTTGGATCCACAATGGTCTACGTGATGGACATGGAGAACCGAAGAGAAGATTCGGGTTTGACAGAACGACATATTCATGGGTTACATGACAACATGATGGTTTTGAGGATGGCTCCAGGCCAGTCGATAAAAGAAATTCGTATCCTGTTCCCTGCCGTTGGCTTTCCACTGGCAACGACTTCACCATGGGCCCCCCTCAACACGAGGTCTCTCGCAACTTTCCCGGGGGCTGCCGGAATAGCGAAATCCGAGGCTGGGGCATCCAGGAGCGCCATTCATAGTCATGTATGGGGACAAAAAGAGGATCTCATAATGAAGACTTGTCACTAACTGGCAGAGAATGGAAACTCAACTGCATCATTTGTGGAATAGCATCGTGGCTTTGCTAGATGAGACCTAAACGCCACTTAAAACACATATATATGTACCCATTAATTGCATATCCAGAATGGCTCAAACGCTCCTCAATGCCTGCATGAACGCCGTAGATCTAGGATCGAAGACTACAAACTGATTTCCTCCGGATCGGATATGGACAACCTAGATACCGCAAGCATTACACCTCTTGTGCTTCTTGAAGTCCCCCAGATAGTGTTCTTGGTGATCAATATTATCCAAGCGTTCATCCATCTCCGGAATCCTTCCCATCCAGCTAACCTTCTTTCCCAACGCATCCACTTCCGCATGCTGGGCGTCCATCGCAGCACCCTTCTCATTCAACTCCGTGGTGATAGGTTCTAGGTCTAGGTCGAGATAATCTCGGAGGAAGTCGCCAACTTCTGTGTTCTCATGGTTACCCACCAGTGGTCTGGCAGCATCAACGTCGCTGGCGTAGATGTTAACATCGGCGCCCGAGTGGCCAAGGGTGCTCCAACCGGTCTGGGCGCGACGGGAGACCATATCAGCGAAGAGTAGACTGGCGACATCAGGGGAGTCGACCAGTGCCTGGATTTCGTCGTGGGACGGATCGGTGATCCCGAACCCCTTTTCAACCAAGTCGTTGAGATACGGGCTCACTTTCAGAGAAGGGTTGGTGTCCAGCTCAGCGTGGTAGGTATGGGCGAGTTCGGAGGCGCTGTGAGAAGCGTTCGCGAGGACGGAAGGATACCAGAGGTATTGTGGATACTCGTCATGGAGCTCTGAAGTGCAAGTCAGCGAACGTGTCGAATCCTAATCGCAGTCTTCTACTTACGTCTTGCGGTGGCCAGTCCACCGGTTTCATGGTCGCTTGTGCTCACCATCACACCCTGGACAGGATCGCGGTCGAGGAATTCCAGAACACTTGCAATTGTCTTGTCGTAAGCAAGGACCTCATGGACTTGAGCGGCGGGGTCGTTTGCATGACCCGCATGATCGATCCTGCTGCCCTCGACCATCAGGAAGAACCCTTTGTCGGACGACTTAGTCGCCTCGCTCAACGTCTTGAGAGCGACATTCGCCATGGCATCCAAGCTCGGATAAACATCTTCCTGATGCCTCCGATCAATCTCATACGGCACATCCGTCTCCGCAACCAACGCCAAAAGCGGCAGGTCCACCGCCGCACCACCCTTCAACTTCCTGAACCCCTCCAGATCATCCACGTACTGCCACCCATCCTCCTTCGCCATCCCCACCACATCCGTCCCGTCCTCTCTACATGAGCCCACCGTTGTGTTCGGCAAGAAATGACATCTCCCCCCACCAATCATTAAATCCACTACCCGCCCCAGCGGGTGCGCCCGCCCGATCAGCTGCTCCGCGATCCGATCCTCCTCACTCCGCATGTTCACATGCGACGCCCACACCGCCGGCGTCGCGTCCGTGATCCGCGTCGTCACCACCAGCCCGGTCATATACCCCGCTCGCTTCGCCGCCTCGAGCACCGTCCCGCACGGGGTGTGGCCCTCCAGCACGGAGATCGCCCCGTTGTAGCTCTTGAACCCGCAGCTGAACGCGGTCGCGCCGGCGGCGGAGTCGGTGACGAGGCTAGAGCTGCTTCGCGTGCGGCTCGTGCCGACGAGGTGCTGATCGAGGACGAGCTGCTGCGACCAGGGTAGGCCGTCGCGGTACTGCTGGAACGAGCGGGCCATCGTCATGCTCGTGGGGCCCATGCCGTCGGAGACCATGAAGATCAGGTTCCGCTTGCCGGACGGGGGAGAGGGGGTCGACTGAGAGACTTTCTGCTGATAGACGACGGCGAGGATGATGACGAGGGCAGTGGCGATGGTGGCCCAGGCGAAGAGGCCTAGGTCGCGGTAGAACTTCCATCCGCGGCGGGGGGGGGAACGCTGTTGCGGTTCGCCGCTGAGGAGGGCATCTTCTTCGGCAAGGCCGCGGTCGGAGGAGTGTTCAGAGGAGGGTCGTTGGGAGAGGAGAGGCTCTTGACCGGCCATGGTGGCACCTCAACGGCTGAACTAGATGTTAACGGTATTGGAGATTCGGCCCTAATGGCGACATCAACCGTGACTGGAGACGGGTTGTTCGTAACAACCCCCTTCACTCGTAGACGAAGATCAAGGATTAGAAGAAGTAGTGAAGCTCTTCTCGACGAAGGATTCGAACTGAACGCTGCAATGGATTGGTATGACTCAAACCTTGCGTGATATGATTGCTAAGGTAGGGCGGGAGTTAATCAACGTGGATTTGGGAATGATCACCCGCTGATGTGATGGAATTCCACAGGAGCCAATCAGATGACGCGACGACCATTCACACGGGCTAATTACTGTATTAAGGGCACTGAAGGAGAGAGAAACAGAGAGTCACAGTCCATCTCAATTACTGTACAACTGATTGATATTGATTCAAGATCCAGTCGCTGCTTAACTATGGTTGTACATGTTACCAACCCTCCAACAATCCCATGGCGACTAACCATGTTGAAACCGAGATATCCTTTCCAGCAACCATCGTGTCCATCATCATATGTTCCCGACCTACACGCATATGCAATGGAATTATGTTCCCGAATCAGCTTACAGAAATCAAGCCGTTCTCTTCACGCACTCCTTACCTCCCCATCTCTCCATTTCACTGCCCGGTCCCATCCGCACCCGTCTGCTCCATCGACCCCATCCCCTCAAACCCCCACCCCCCCGCACTGATCCCCATCCCCATCTCCAAAATCCCAAACCCCTCCCCTGCGCCGACGTCCATATCCGTGGGCGGATCCAAATTAAACGGCATGAAATACGCCGTGCTCGGATCCGCGAAGAAGTTCGTCCCCGCGTGTCCCGTGCCGATGGGCCCGAAGTCCAGGTTCCAGAGCGTGTTGTTGGCGGGGGTTTCCGGTGGGTAGGTGGGGCCTAGGTTCGGCAGTTGGGAGGTGGTCGGTGAGGGGTATAGGTGGTTGGATGCTTGGGGTTGTTGGGGGATGTACGGGAAGAGTGGGTTGTCAGGCATTTGAGAAAAGTCGGAGAGGGCGGGAGGGTCGAGGGGATCGTTGTGGACCCCGAACGGGTTGGCAAGCATTTGTTGCTCTTCGGCAGAGTGATGTATGTTCTGCGGCACAGACTCCGAGTCCCGCTTCTGCACCTCTGGTGGAGCGTTCGCGGCGGCTTTCTTCGCCGCGAGAGCCGCCCGGCTCTTCTTTGCGCCTTTCTGCGCCGGCCCGGTCCTCTTCGGAAGGGTTGCGAAGAACTCTTCCACGCTCTGCAGATCGCTCTTCTGGCCGAGAACCCCTTCGTCGCCAGGCTCTAGTTGCGACTTCGCCGCCGGGTCCTCATAGTCAGTCTGTGACACCCCGTGCGGGTATCGATCGAACCAGTCGCCGTACTGGAAAATGTTGATCTGCCCCGATTTGGCGCCTCCCGCCTGCGGTCCACGCATGGCATGGTCTGCCTGCTGTCGATAGAGTTCCTTGAGATTTTCGGCCACCCAGTAGAACATGCCCCAATGCTTCTTCATCTTGCTGAGATATTTGACATTATATCCGAGGTATTGTTTGCTCGCGGAGACGAGGGAGGCGTTCTTCGAGAAAACACCGTGCACGTGGACGGTGCTGGAGAAGAACGCGGCGTACCCAGCGAACGGTGCGACGACGAGATGGTCCATCGCGTCTTTGATTAATAAACTAATTTGATTCGATGCATCGAAGGCGGCGCGTGCGCTCATTTGAAGGAACTCACGAGGCATCTCCTTGGGTCGCCGATCCGGAGGACTCGGAGGAAGGGCGAATCGATTCATGAAGAGGATGATCTGGTGGTAGATGATGTGGAGGAAAATGAATTGGTTGGAGATGTGCTCGCTTGCGTGGTTCTGCAGGTTCTCCGCATTGTAATGCATGTGTTCCGGTAGGCGCTTCTTGAACGCCTCTGCTTTCAACTTGAGATTGTGGAAACCCGATTTGGGATCCCACACTGGATATGGATCTTTCTCCTTGCCCCCTAGGTTGATGTACTTCACGACCTGGCCCCATATGGCGACAAGCCGGATGACGTAGGCAGATACCCCCATGTTGAGCCGGGCATCGGACGCTTGGCCAGTACCATCCGGTGTGGGGGTTCGAACCGTTCCATCCATATCTTCCGTTGGGCCGGATATCTCCATCGTAAAGTAATGCTCTTTGATTGGAAGTCGCGCCTTGATATACCGTTCGTTCATAAACAGCGGTCGATCCGTCCCTGAAGAGTTGAACCGGTCCATTAGAAAGCACGACCACATTGTCCGCCGTCGTATCTCCCGATCGGTGTTGCTCAATTTTGCGTGTTCTTTATCCTTCGCCAGCGGATCATGGTCCAGATCTTTGTGAAGCTGCAACGCGTACGCCATCCGCTGTGCCATGCCGCCGAACATCCAGCTCCTGCCACCTTGGCATGTTCCGAAGTCGTGAAGTCCGAGCAGTAGATAGACGATAAGAATCGTGATGTTCGGCGAATCGTACTGTTTCAAGGCGATTTCTCTTGCCGGCGCCGCCCATTGGTCACCACGAAGGAAGGCCGGTTCACTGCGTAGTTGCGGATGTGTTGAGAATCTCGCCGAGATTGCACACATGGCGAGCATTAGCACCGGCGGCACGCTACCCTGATTCAACTTCCGCATGAAGCTCGGTTTGTGGAGCAGCGGATAACTCTGGCCGTAGACGTAGTCGAAGTAAATTTCGGCAAGATGATGCTGCAGTTCTTTCGAAGGCAAACTGTCCGCACCTTCGGTAAGGAGTAAAACCTCGTCTGCATCTTTCCCTTTGAACGGTATACCGTTCGTTGCACCAACGCCCGTTGCACCGCGTGGCTTTGTGAGCTCGTCCAGCTCATCTCCAAACGCATCGTCTGCGCCACGTTTCCGGGCACCTGTGGGTTTCGTTGGTGGAGGTGGTATGGCTGGTTTGACGACCGCCCGCGACACCGTGGACATTTTATCCTTCGGTATGAGCTTGATGACACGGTCCTCCATCCTTTTCAATCGTTTGTCTAGCATTGCCATGTAGTCCGTCCGCGGCGCGGCTTTCCGTGTGGTCACTTTGTACACGCAAGGGATCCGCGATCGCACGCAATGCTTGCACGCCGGCTTCTCTCCGGAGCAGCGGATCTTCTTTCGTCGGCACGCGATGCATGCGAGCGGTAGTCGTTTTCGTTCTTTGCCGGCTTTGGTCCGCATCTCGGTCCATGTCGGCGGTCCGTCCTCTTTGCCGTCTTTCTTTGATTTCGAAGTTTCGCTCTCGCCTCGTGATTCATTTCGCATGTTTATGCCGAGTATAGAGTCGTCGAAATCCAGTCCATCGTTGGAGCCGAAGGCCCCGATCACGTTGCTGTCCGGGCTCGCGAATCGATCTATGCCGTCCATGTCCATCTTCTGTGACTGTGTCATTTCGGTATTGCTCGATACGCTCGATCTGGCTGGATGTCGATTCGTCGGCGAAATGAGTTCGTCTTGGTGATTTGATAATGCGTTCGGGCCATTTCCTTCAAACATTGTCTGCACTCGCGGGGAAGGCGGCGCGCGTATGTCCCCAGGTCTGATACCCCTCCCTATTCTCGATCCATTCGAAGTACGCTCTGAGTACGTCGACACGACCGTCGGGCTTGTTCCAGAATTGGCCGATGGAGATTGTGAATCGTGAATTAGAGAATCGATGTGGGGATTCTGAGTCGATGATGGCATCGAATAATCCCCCAGATTTAATGATCCATCCAGTCCAGTATATAGCGACTCAATTCCTTCGATATCTAGCCTGGCCGTTCGCTGGTTGGCAGCCATTGCGTGGTTCTTCCACGATGCGTGAACTGTCGCTCAGAAGGATGGAAATCGGTCGTGGTTCGTCCGCATGACTCCGTTCGCATTGGTCATTTGAGTCGATCGTTTAGGTTCCAGAAATCGGTTGTATGTTCGTGCAGCGCATGCAGATGAGCCTTTCAAACGCTGAACTTCAGCTTGTATGGTCTGGATGTCAGATACAGGTATCGCAAGTCAGCATGAAAGCATTAGCCACGAGTGCAGACTGCAGCATGCTCCCCGCCACCAAAGTCCGAGGAGTGAGAAAGCTCGGATTGATCAGTCCCGCAAATTCCAGTTGAACCCTCCTAGCTCAGCGTTCTCTTAGGGCCCGAAACCGTTGGGTAGCGATCCGCGTGGCGGAGTTCCAAACTTCCAATCAACTCTCCAACTTGTGGGGTTTTAGTTGGGACCAGCGCAATCCATGGGTAAGATTCCGGATGTCGTCAGTCACAAGCGTCGGCGCGTGCCTTTCGATGATCGAGACGACGAAACTTAAATCGCAGATAAGTCGAGATGGGAGAGAGGCGGATGACGAAAGAGTGCAACTAAGATGCTTCGTAATGTCGATTCCTTGAATACGCGATTGTCCGAAGCGAGCGGGGAAGGTGGCTTAGGCGAGGCGTGTTGGAGTAATCAGCTTGGGAGGTGTTTTGTGTGACGGTCTGGCCGAATATGAGAGGTTTAGTAGCTTTAGAAGTTGGAACCTTGTAGGCATGGGAAATTCTGAATTCATGATAAAAGGAGAGTGATGTACGGATACATAGTAGGAAGCTAACTAGAGATAGCGCCTCTGACGTTTTAGTTTTCCCCAAAGCAGTGACCATTGGCATACCGTATCATTGAAAGTCAGTGCATCTCAACTCTGTATGGAACTATTATTGAAGGATTAAGGAATGAGCATTCGGAACTCTATAGACGCAACCCCATCTAATAGGTCAATCCAGTAGCCGGTTGGATGTCTACTTATAGTGAGCTCGGATTCGTAATCAACCCGATACTCCGCGGGCTCGACAAAGTTCATTCCTCAACCACCCTCAACAGCGCAACTTTAGTGCTTCATAGACATGAAACGAAAGCGAACTACGAAACTCGTTCTCAACAGCCATCGCCCCTGTGATCACCGTCATGGCACAATAATGACATGCGTCAACAGTCAGAGTCTTCTTGCCTCCTGGGGTTAGGGGTAGCGTCCACGAGCGAATCGGAACGTTTCAGGGGGGGTTCGACCGAGGGCTTTTAGCAAAGCTTGGAGGCGGGCCTAGGCCGGTTTGGCATGAAAGCAGCGAATGATAGCGGCTGGAAATGGCGGGGAAGATGCCAGAATGGGGGATGGGTGGACAGTCACCGGGGCGATGAATTGTTGATGACGATCGATTAGGGGGTGCCAGGCTGGCAATGGCAGCCTTAGCGAAATAAGGAAGCATAAATCGATAAGGAGGAATTGATGGATTGGGGATGAAACAGGGTGGACAGAGGAATAGGGGTTTGTGAAGGAGAGGAGCAAGATAGCACACATTGGGACGGCTGAGGATTAATTATGCCTTTGCCCTCGAGACCATATTGGTCGCAGATCTAACAATCAATTTTAGCCTTAAAGGAGGAACTAAGACCTGCAGGTTTCAGTTGACTGTAAATGGACAATCCACTACTATCGCGTCATATAAATCATTATCCGCGAAATATCAGCCGTGGAGAAACCGGGCATGGCGTTCATCATCGAGTATGAACTACCGGTCCGATTAACCTCCATTTAGCCCTAGCTAGCTATCCGATTCTCAACCCTCAAAACCGCCGAGGCCTGGTTCACGACAACGACTTTGCATCCGTCTCGGACTACCGCTTCATATCGGATCGCACTCTTTAAGTTAATGAGCGCCAACCGCCCAAAGGTCAGAGGGACGCCGGGCTGGTGGTGCAAATATGTCGGATATGGCGCGACGAGAATAGAGGCAGTTGAATAAGATAATGTGCAAGGCACGCGAGTTGGCACCATGGCATGTCGACAAGCAGCACCGAAAAGTTCGGAATCGAAGATAAATCAGAGAATGCAGGATTGAAGTCATGTAGTCAGCTTCCTAATCTTTGGAAAGCCGAAGCATGCTACGTATGCCCTCAGTAATAGCATCTGGGCAATGAAATGCCAGATAAGGTGTGAAATCCGTCCGCCTCGTGAGGCCAAAGACAAAATCGCAGTCCGATGCCTCCCATCCTGAGCGCATCGCAGATACCATACAGGTGTGTCCCGCCCAAGATCAAAATACGCTGTTTGTGCCTCCCAAGAACACCATGCAAACCCATAGGAGACCGTGATATCTCATTCCCAGACCTATTTCCCATCCCGTTTCCCAAATGCCCATCTCATAACCGTGGAGGTCATCCATGGACCCATTCCATATGGCGCCTAGACGATCCGTATACCGTGAAAGGCATTAGACAGAAGAAACCCCCTCCCGAAAGGAAAAACCTAGAAGAGAACCGCCTCATCGAAATGTCTCCATGTCCACCTCCGCAAACATCTGCTCCCAATCCATGACGTCGACCTTCTCGTCCACCGGCCGCCCGAACGGTCCGTTGACCACCTGCGTCTGCCCGAAGTCGATGTCAAGGAACCCCATGTCGACGTCAGTGACGCGGACCGCGTCGTCCATCAAGGTGGCGTCCGCACCGTTAGGCGCCGACAGGCCCGCGAAATCCCCGCCCATCCCCAGCGCCCCGGCCATCGGGTCGTCGTAATCCAGCGCCGCCAAATCCGTCCAGCTCATCAGCAACGTGAGGTTGTCTCCCTCCGAGATGTCGCTATCCTTCCGCCGCCCCGCCTGCTCGTCCGCATCTTTCTTCCTGTCCGACCCATCCTTCCCGCCCGCCGCCTTCTCTTTCTCCTTAGCCTCCGCGCTCTCCTTACTCCCCGGCGTATCCTTCGCGTCCTCTCCGCTACTCGGGCTCGGCGTCCGATTCGGTTCCCGCAACGACCAGATCGTCGCACTCGCATCGATGTTCTCCTGTCCCCCATGCACCGCGTCGCTGCTAAGGAACGCGGCCGATGAGCTCATGCTGTCGATGTCGCCGAACAGTTCGCGGATCTGACTCTGCGAGATCTGCGCGTCGGACCAGGAGTCGAGCTCATCCTCGTCCGATTTTCCGGCGTCACTTTTGACAGGTTTTCCAGCTTTCCCAGTTTTCGTTTTAGCTTCGCCGCCTGCTTTGGTGGCGGCCTTCGCTTTCTCGGCTTTGGCCTTTCTCTCGCCGCGCTCGTCCAGCCCGAGGCAATTTCGCACGCTGTCGATGGCGAACTGGAGCGGGTCCGTGATCGGCGGGTGGTGCACGTCGCGGCGGTGATCCTCCAGCTCGTGCTCGGTGGCGAAGCCTTCGGCGCCGTGTTCGCAGTCGGGGGCGTTGCATTTGAATGGCTTCGCTGGCTCGACGGGCTTCACAGCGTCGGTCGATGGCTGGCGCTTCATGTCGGGAGAGGCACCTTTCCCAACCTGCGGGGATGATGCGGAGCCGGGGGTGCCTTGGGCGGAAGAGGTCCCGGTATTGTACCGTTGCTTCTTCTTCGGCGGTAGGTTCAGATTCGGTGGCTCGGGGGCGGTAGTCGCGTATTTCGGGACCCCTTGCGGGGAGTTGACGGGGAACCCCGGGGCGACGGTTGTCGTCGGTGCCGGTGGAGGCTTCGAGGATCGTCGCGCTTTGTGCAATTCCGCTTGATGCATCTTGAGGTTATCGGCGCTCAACTGCGTTTGTGGAGTAGGAGCAGCGCCGGCAGCGCCAGTGGCTGGTTGACCCTTGGCTGGTGGTGGCACTGCTTCTGGCTTCGGCGGCGGTGGCGGCTGGCCTTGCTGCAGCGAGGTTTGCTGCTCCTTCGCCTTCTTCATTTGCATCATGACCATCTGCACGAACTGACCCATCTTGCGAAGAATGTGCTCTAGCTCCTGGGTGGAGAGGTTCACGTTCGAATGAATCACGAACTCCTTGCTCATGTTCTGCAGCAGCATGACCTTCATCGCCATGAGACTGCGCACCTGCTTCTCATCCATCTTCGATTGCGAGTAGACGGCGTGCAGCATCTTGTCGAACTGCGCAAGGATCGGCTTCACCTGGTTGACTCTTGCCTGCATCACATTCCGCGTCGGAAGATCGACCGGATTCGCCGGTCGGCGAGGAGTCTGCTGCTCCATTTCGCGGTAGAGCGCCATGAATCGCTGTGCCACCGCCTGGCCGCTGTCTCCACTGGCCTGTTGCGCTTGCGAGGCGACCTTGGCGGCATGTTCCTGGTTCATCGCTTGAGCTTTCAGCAGCTGCTCGCGCTGCTGTTGTGGGTTCAGCTTCTTCATCTGCTCCGGACTGATATTAGCAGGGTGGCCGGTTTGTGCCTGCGCGCGTTGTCCCCCCTGGCTTGGTGTCGGCGCTTTCGCTTGCGCGGGTGCGCCATCATCGTTCGGACGCTTCGTTCCTTGCTGTGCGGGTTGCGCTTGTGTCCGAGACGTCTGCGCCGGCGATGGTTTCTGTCCCTGTTTTGGCGGTTGTGCTGGCGTCGGAACCTGTCCCCCTTGCGCTTTATTGAGTTGTGCAGGTTGCTGGGGTATCCCTTGAGCCTGCGGACCAATGCCTCCAGGTCCATGAGCGCCCGGTTGGCCTTGCTGTCGGAGCACCGCATTCTGGAGCTGTTGTTCCCGATAGTTCTGGATCCGGGCACCAAGGATACGCTTCCGAATCATATCATCGGAGACGTTTTGGGCATGAGAGAAGCGCTGTCGGAATTGCTGAATCTCCTGTGGGGTGACCGGGGGGAGATTCGGGGGGATTTGGTTCGGGCCCATCGGCCGTTGCATGTGTCCCCCCATCCCCATCTGCTGCACGTTTGCCGACGCTGCTCGTTGTTGAGCCTGGAGCGCCGCTTGAGCGGCCTGTGGATTCATTCCCTGCATTTGCGGTTGTCCCATTCCCAGCGATTGCATTTGATTGGGCCCCTGGACATTGCGCTGGTTCATCATCGCTTGTCGTTGTTGCTGCAGACTGACTTGACGTCTCGCAACCTGGATCGTCTGTATCCGCAACAGATACTCCGGGTTGACCTGGGTAGCCGCCTGTGGATTTCGCGCAACCCACTCCTTCAGCTGTCCCCATGTTTTCACATTCTCCGGTATAACGCCAACAAGCTGGGCCTGCGCCACCAATTGCTGCGGGAATTCCCACCCATCCGACTGCCGCAACATTTCCGGGTTGACGGGAGGCAGATTCTGCCGGACCTGCTGCTGGTTAGGCGGTCCTTGCGGTCCTTGCATTCCTTGCGGCGGGAAGTTTTGCTGATCAAACACCTTCGGACTCGGGGGTCGCCCCTGTTGTTGCGGCTGCCCCATCATGTTTGGCATGCCTTGATTGGTATGCGGTGGTTGAGCTGGCGGCTGCGGTTGCGGGCCCATGAACTGGTCACCGAGTTGGCCCATCTGCAGGACGTTCTGGTTGGCGGGGACCTGGTTGCCGAGCATATTGGCGCCGGGTCGGGCGAGATGCCGGACACGATCTTGGATCACTTGCAAAGCTTGGTTGTATGCGGGCGGTGGCAAGTGGGCGAGGTTCTCCAGTTGGGCTTGTGAGAGGCCGGCTCGCGAGAGCCAGGGGGGAAGTTGACGGGGTACGGCTCCCTGGCCGTTCGGTACTCCTTGCGCCGAAGCGGCTCGTTGTTGGGCTTGAAGGATCGCTTGTGCGGCTCGGGGATCCATGCCAGGGTGGAAGGCGTTGACTGGCGGAATCGCGGATTGCGGTCGATGAGACGCGACGCTCTGTTGACCGGGGGTATCCATCGGTTGCGTCAGGAGGGAGATATCGGAGTTCTGTTGCGGGGTCTGCGCATTCAATCCGTTCGATTGGCCTCGTAATTGCTGTTGCATCTGCCCTTGATTCTGTGCCATCTTCAAGCGTGCTTGTGCGTGGGCTTGGGCCTGTGCTTGTGCCTGAGCTATCTTTGCCGCGTTTTGCTGTCGAATATGTTCGGGTTGGTTCTGCTGCATGTTCATCATGGCTTGCTGTTGCGCAAGATCGTTCGGCACCTGTCCCGGCCCGCCCATTCCTGGTTGACGCATTTGATTCTGCATTCCCATGAACTGCCCGAGCTGATGTTGCGGGTTCATGTTGTTGCTCGCAGGAACGACCAGTTGGCCGGCATCTTGCGATCGCAGAGCGTCGGCTTGCTGTCCAGCGATTTGAGAGAAGTCAAACTCTTGCTGTCCGGACATGCCTCCCTGTGCATCTTGGGGATTCATGCCTTGGAATGAACGTTGATTGGACATGTTCGGAGGGATGCCGCCAGCTGTGGCGCCGGGCGGATTGTTGCCCTGACCCAATGCACTCTGCTGTTGTTTCTGCTGCAACACTATGCGCTGCGCTTGTTTTCGGAAATGGAGTATCACGGGGTCCTGCCCACTTTGCTGCAGTTGCGCCAGCTTATCCGGCGGTAACCGACCCGCTTCCTCTCGTATTCTCTGGTGGAATTGCGGATTGCTTTGCTGAAAGAGCCGTTGGGCTAGGAGTTGGATTTTCGGCACGTCCTCCTGTGTCAGCCGAATTTGTGGATTCTGCATCATCTGTTGACCGCCCGCCTGCGGACCACCTGGAGTCTGTCGGGGTTGGTTGGGGGCTTGCGAGCCCTGTTGTTGCATGGCCGGTGCGGTCAAGCCCGAATCTTCCGGCATGCCGGTCATGCCGGTCGGGTTGGAAACGGGATTCGGAGGGATAGGTGAGGCTTGCATGGGTCGTTGGAGCTGTGGTTGGAAAGGAGGCGGTCCTTGATTTTGAACTGGGTTCGCGCCTGGGTTTGACATGGTCTGCTGCATCGGGGTTCCCATCATGGGTCGTTGCATATTGGCCATGGGATTTTGTGGATTTGTAAGGGCGGGTGTGTTTCGAGCTCGTTCTTGTGCGAGCATAGTTAAGCGTCGAGTGAGTTCTGCGATATATGTTTGCTATTATCAAGTGTCAGCTCCGGCGCACAGAGAGAGCGAAAGTGATATTGAGTGTTGGCCCAGGAGCATATATAGAGTAGGAAGTGAATAGAGTGATATCAATAGAGGCAGATATGAATAGGGTGATATGTCAATAGAGGCGGATATGAATGGAGGATATGAATGGAGGAAAGCATGAATAGAGTCATCGGGGTTATTCACCTTATCTGGCGACTTCTGGCAAAATTGTGATTCTATGCCGACCGCATGTTGCATGACTTGCATCTCCTGCTGTGCATTTTGCGGGTTCTTCGCCAACTTTAGTGATGTATATCTGCGCAAGGTTAGTTTCGTCGCGTTTCCACCCATGCCACGCAGGGTGATCCCGCTACTCACAGTTCCGACGCCCGCCCAACTCGTTCCGCCACTGGCAACTGTTGCTGCCATGTTCCCACCGGTTGTGTAGATTGTTGTCGCTGATAATGGGCGAGGAGATGGCCCTTGATGCCCGTGTTCATTGCGTTCATGGTGGACTGCGAACCTCAACAAGTGAGGTCGCAGACGTGTGGTGGCTTCCTATGGCCCGAGGATATCGTGCGAAAATCGTCGAAGTGGTCTCGAAGGGAAGTTCTGATGTATGCAGATGCGCGGAATCGACGGCCTCCGGCTATGTTAAAGTGGTGCACGGCAAGGCAAAGGTGAATAATCGTGGCTCAGCCGTACGGTTCTCAGGCGGCTGGGATATCCAACGTCGAACCTCTTCTAAGCGCGGACCGATGGAAGGTAAAATGGTGAAGGACCTGTTGTCCAAAAAGTCCAAAAAGGGATCTAAGCGATGGTAGTCCGTTCGAAGCGTGGAATGCAACAATAAGTCCAGGTAGGTTGATTTCGATATCGATGTAGGTCGAACTGCGGGATGGCGACCAGCAGGAGGCTTTCCCGGGCAAGTTATGGGTCGCGTACCATCCAGGAACCCCTAGGGAACGGCGATTCCCTTTTGCGTGAACCAGCTCAAGATTCACGATGAGTTGGTCGAGGGCGGCGGAAGGAAAGCGATGAGGATACAGAGGAGGTTTGCGGTGATGTCGTGTGGTGCGGATTTCAAGGTTGAAAGGGTCCGATAAGACAGGGCGATCAGGTCGGGGGTGTGGAGGAACTTTGCTTTGGCGTTGCAGCTGGCGGGCTGGGTGCATGAAAGGTCAGTGTCGCAAACAAAGCTCCGCTGCCCGGCTCGTGGATTGTCCCCGTACGCTCCAAGGCGGCGGACGGAGTATGATGGCGACAATATGGATGTCGTCCTTTTGGCTGACCGGGTCCTGGGGAAGAAGGTATATGGCGTAACGAGCGGAGAGGAGGATGAAGAAAGAAATGGGAGATGTAGGAAAGGTTGGGGAGAGGAGAAAAGTGTTAGGGGGGTGTGATAGTTGGCTAGGTAAGGACAGGGTAAGTTGGGTGCTAGGCAGGTCGTGCAAGGTTCGGAGAGGATGGGGTTGGATACAGCCTACGGAGTACGAAATTGAAGTCCTTGGATTTGTAGCTGTAGGCGCATGATATAGGTGAATGACGAGAGGTATGAGTGGTGAGAAGGAGAGACAGTGAACCAGGTGCCTACGAAGCAGTCCGTACCAGTAAAAAGAACGCGAGTTTAAGGGATCTATGGATGGAATCACGATGGACAGGAGGAGATTGTGGATAGAGCAAGGGATTGGAGTGTATGATGTATCAAGTGCGCAGTGGACGTGCCATGGTGGGAGAGGGTGGTGGGAGAGAAGGTAGTGGGCGATGAGAATGGCGGATGGGCAAGCGGATTGATGGGCAACATGGGCGCCGGCGCCGTCGCGCCTTTTTTCCTCTTTCTGGTACCCGCTTCAGCCCTTCGTCGCCTTGGTTCAAGGAACCTGGTTCGGTAACTAGTCTCTCCCTTGCAAGTTGCAACGATACTCGATGGTGATCATGAGAATTGAGAATTGAGAATTGAGAACTGAAAATTGAAAATTGGAAAATAGAAAATAGCAAAATGATTGAAAGTAGCGAAATGATTGATGAACATGGTGGGCATGGACAACTCATCAGACTTGACCGCTTCTGAAGTTAACGTTGCCTTTTCTTGCCCCGTCTTGTGGCTTGCTTCGAATTTACGTTCATCCTCATATCAGGCTATCAACTACGGAATATTGCACTCAAGGCATACTGTACTAAGTCTATTGGATTCTGCCTAGACGTGGACAATTTCCTAGCGAAGTCCTAGCGAAGTGGCTCCTGCTCCATTTCCTCCGTCTCTCATCTTTTGACTTTAGTCTTTAGATTTGTCTCCATCCTCATTTTCGCCGTATGACATACATGAACTTCTGTCAGAGTCGCCGCAAAACGACGGCGCTTCCAGTTCAGACGGCTGTTCGTCCTCGGCCAGGTCCTCCCTCGCTCATACCGCGAAGCCACTATGTTTCCGCCTACGTTCTCTAGCTATTTTGGTCCCTTCGTCGCCCGACATTATTTACCTCTCGAAACTATTATTTCTCTCTCATTTCAACCTTCATCAATTCTCGTGGGTATTATGGAGACTAGAGAGGCGCTCCGGCAGTTCAGGCCCGGTGTCCAAGCGGCGTCAGACCCGCGACTGGGGGGTTGCCCCGGTTTCTACGCTATGCGATGAAACCATGTCCAAACTCCAAAACACTGCACCTTTTGGGAACGTCTCAAAACTCCAGGGACTAAGGTCAAACTCGCTGGTAAACGCTATGGATGGAAAGCCTCGTTTCTATCTTTGTTTCACCCGGTAGGTAGGGCCTTTTCTATCTCTAGGTAAGGGGTCAACGTTCATGATCTCCATGTTGATAGCAATGGAACCCTTGTGATAATATTCTACGTGGGCGTCTTCTGACTCGTCGGGATTGGGCCGCCCACACCCTCCCGCTGTCCTGTATCACAGGGAATGCCAGCATGCGCGGACTTTGACTCGATGGGAACAGCGCTCGCGGGAGTCAGGAAGCGCTTTCTTTCCATCACCATTCACACCCTCTCAGAGTTTCAGGATACTATGTAATTATCCCCTTTAATAGTCGAGGCGAGGAATCTCGACGGCATATCGCATATCAATATGGAGTAGCTCATCCCCTCCAATGCGCCACCTGAAGAAGAAAGGTACAAGCATCGCCATGGCGGTCGCCACGATCTTCATCTGGCATTGCTCGGTATTTGGCTGGACGATCCGCGGTCCACCAAATGACTGACCTGTTTCGTAACCAACAATCCTCCCCCACCTCGCCAATACCCCAGGGTCCAGAATCTCCCACCTCCACACTCCACAGGTCATCAACGCGGGCTAGTGTTGCCTAAGAGCCGTCTCTTAAAAATCAAAATAGCAGAACTCATCCAACATTGCAATTAAATCGTCCCGTCCCGTCCTATTCAGCTGCGCCGCAGTGGCACAGAACCTCGCGGTCCATCTCCTCATTTCCTCCCCAGCCCCAAGCCAGCCAATCGAATCTCGCCCGGAATCCCGCCCAATCCCCGGCCTCGCCGGCTGCCTGTTGGGCGTTAGCCTCTCGATTCGGCCCGGGTGTCGCGCAGGGCGCTCGAGGCGCGCCGCCGTCGATTGGTCGATCGGCCGACGAGGGGGCATCTCTAGTCGACGCCTATGTGCCACAAGGGAAATGGACGCAGGTCATGCTTTGTTTCGGACTCGACTGTTGAGGGAAGGGAGGGGAAATGAGTGGGAAAAAATCAAGATGATAAGAATCGGTTGAGGGCAGGAGACGGTGATAATCTCCGCTGGACGGTTTTTAGGAGGAGATCGGCAACCATTTCCGAGAGGTTGGATTGCGTAACGTGTGTTTCGCTGTCGTGAGACCGGTCCTTGCGGCGTGCAGACAAAAGACGTCCTATGTTCATTCGTTTTCTTCGATCCTTGTGCTCCATCCCTGTTGAGCGGAGAAACACAGGAGTCGACAATGGGATGCAATTTGTTTTTAGGAGTGGGTTTGGACTGAAATGATGGCGTTGGGGTAAAACGAATTCATCGCAGTGTTGCGGTCGAGTACGGGAATTCGTGGTCCCAAAAATATACTAATGTGCACTGGACTGGCGAAATTTAGGGGATCGTGAGGCAGACTCCAGCCAGGATACTTGGACTCGATAGGTAGAGGTTCTGTACGTTAGAATCCTCTAAGTTGTAGGTTATGTGTAAGGCATCTATAGACAAGCTATCGCCCTGCAAATTCCCTTCTTGAGAGAAACTCCAGAAAGTTATACAGTATCCATATATCTGAACAAGCACCACCGCAGTCCCCCAACCGTGTGAATCGAGAAGGATCCCCCGAACTGTGGACACCAGATTTTCACTGGATTACGTAGAGGGGGTGCGTAGCCTGTCAATGTGAGGAATCAGTTGTCTATCCAATGATCTTGAGCCAGAAGACAGTGGAGTGGAGTTGATGCCCTCGAGACCTTATGTGGCAGGTATCCGTTTTGAGTGCAAGTAGTATTGCAACAAGACAAAGTTAACTGAAGCCATCTTGCCATGAATTGCCCGATTTCAAGGCCAACCGTAATATGCGAGATACTCAGCGATGAGACATGCGCAGATTACTACCACCGAGATACGGATCTCCCTGCCCTCCCTAACGAAATCCCACATATCGTTGGTGCCGAACCTCTGCCAAACCACCGCCATCTCCTTGTTCTCTAGAGCAAACAATGCTAAATAGTTAAAACATGGAAAGTTGAGTGCTTTCAAGCCTCGCCTCCAAAGGTTCGTGAACATCAAGCCATGGACAGTCAGTCCAGGCCCGAACTTCGTGGGGAACAATCCATCTCAGTCTATTCGATTGAGATAACCATCCAGAGGGCATATCGCTGAACTCCTGGTCAGCCTGTAGATCCAACTTGACTCCTGTTACTAATCCACTGCCCGAGAAGGGATAAACTTGGATGCTTTCTCATCAGTGACCAGACATACCATCTGAGTCCGACAGCGTAAAGATACATATCTGAATAGGATGGCCTATAATTCTTCAAGCCAGGGGTATTTCCCGTAGTCTGTACCCCCTAGAGACGTTTGACATACCATATCAAAAATTATTAGTACAGTGGCGACTCGAACAACGGTCCGCCCACGGTTGCAGGGCGCGAAAAGAGGTCATACTGAATCGTTGTAAATCTGCTCCACCACAACGGACACCACTCGGACTTGTTTGCCTGACAACCTCTCCCTGCCCTAATGTGTCATTGATCAATGCTTGGGAAGACTCACGTGGTAAGTCGACCCGAAGCGGACAACGCTCGGGCCTATATCGACTTCTCCCACCCATCTCACACAACACCACCAACAACATCTCTCCCAACACTGCTGCTCTGAAATTAACAAATCATGGTCCCAACAACTGTGGGCATTTCCTGCGGCGCATGTAAACTTCCCAGAAGAAGAAAAGAGAAGCCATTAGCAAGGTAAGTGATGAATGGGATCTGAAACATGGTGCATAAAGACCTGCTGACAGACGCACAGTAATATTGAAAGATAAAAGGGTCTGACCAAGCAGTTTGCTACTCAAGCGATAACGACTTGAGCAAACGACTATGCTCATGCGAGATACCTTCGAACAGGGTCGGACAAGGCTAACGACTGACCCCCATAGCCGTCGGCCTTGGGGGAAGTAACATGAAGTAGTTGCCGGAGAGAAAGGCACAGACTTGGTTTGAAAGAGTTGAGTAAAGGCACTGGCATGAATAGAGGCCTGACATCATTATAGAGTTAAGCACGCGATACACACTTGGCAGAGTCTAACTGATTTCCCTTGATGAAGGGAGTTTCCGGTTCAGACTGGCAGCCCAGTGCCCAGTGCATAGGGACCACACCATCGACCTAACAGCCAAAGAGAACCGTTATATGTAAGAGTGTAGGAGAAATGGCCCGGGTCATCTGCGAGCAGTCCAGGAAAGAGAGAGTACCAAAGAGAGAGTACCATCTCATATCTGGATATCCACGCCAAGCCTTTCAGTTAAGTCCAAGACTCCATATCTCCAAACGTTCAAGATCACGTCGGGAAATAAATCAGTCAAGGTCTGACAAAACCCTTGAGAAAAACGAGATCAAGCAACTCGGGAAGAGCCAAGTCCATCGGTTGCATCACTCCACTCGAGGACGGCAGCCCCATCCGTCCTGACATGATGAGAAATGCCGCTGACAGAGCCCGGACAAGGCTGTGCAAGCCCACCATGCAACATCCGACAAAACGCTGAAGCATTACGAATGCATGGCGGCAACAGTGGATGCTCGAAGGAACGGAGAACCAAGCCAGGGCTCCACGACAAGACTCTCCGGTTGATCCGGAGACACTGGGCGTCGATTCCCTTGTGCCAAGGCGGCGGAATTGGGCCAAGTCCGAGCCCCGAGGAAGATTGGGACCCACCAAGGGTCGTCCATTTCGGTTTTATTGCCATCGACACTCCCATTGTCCACGACAAATGAACCGATTCGAGAAATGAGGGGGATGCAATATCTAGGAATTTGGACGTGGAAATCATCGGATCATATCACGGGCTGTCCACCATGCGATCGATCCCATCGCTTCCCCATGGACCATCTGCAGCCGAAGACCCTTCTGCAGGGCGTGGATGGAGAAGGGGAACAGTATTCCGGACTCGGTATGAAAAGCCCCAGAAAGCCAGAGGTCAGAGTACCAATGCTTTCTCTGCGACACGGCTCCAAAACGCAAAAGCCCAGCCGGAAACCTGATCGTGCGAGTGCGAGTCAGCCTTTCGGGCAACGGGAGAAGGAGAGCCTTGGCAACATCTTGGGGATTCCACTCGTCCACTTGCAGAATACGACACCGACCAGGGCTAGACGCGAGTATAGATCCAGCCTATGATAGGCGATTCCGTCCATGCTTGATCATTCAAGCTTGCCCTGTTCCAAGAGAATGACTCCTCTGATTAAGGCAATTTAGTGGTTGGGAATCTGATCGGCAGAAGATTCATTGGGGCATTGGGGGCTGGTTGCACGGACGCCTTGGACGCACCTTCGGTCACCCCTGCCATTCCTGATCAATCACATCGAGAATATGATGTAAGGCGACAAGGCGCCGAACTGGCTTTTGCCCAGAATCCCGTGCTCCGCCTTCTTATGAAGACGAGGAACCCCGCCCGCTTCGCCTGCCCAGATTTTCCACCTCCGTCGCGCTTCTCCCTCACTCACTCAACGAGCAACAAGAATCCATCCTCGCGATTCTCCTCGCTCTCTTTGAGTTGGAGCATCATACAAACTCCCAGATCCATTCTAACCCCTATCTCGTTGCTCACCAATAATTTTCTCGCGGAAATTCGTTGTTGCCCATCACTTCCGCCCGTTCTTGGCTGGACGACTTGGCATCTCGACTGACACCAAGACTTTCCTCTCAGTCAAGACCCCATCATGTCTGCTCCACCAACATCGGCAGACGCTTCGTCTGCGAATACGTCCGGTGCCGCTCAGGTGCCTCAGCAAACTCCTATTTCGCATAGCTCACATCCTACGTCGGCGCCTGCTCAGCAGACCGGCGAGGCTTCGGCCTCTACTTCTCAACCCTCGGTCGCACAATCCAATGTGGGCAACGACTCGCTCATCTGCCAGTGGGTGGGTTGTGGGGAAAGATGCTCAACTGCGGAACAACTCTATGTAAGTCTCATCGCCATCTTTCTGTTCAGCATGATTGTTGCATTTTTCCACATTCCCTCCTTATGATCGCGACTGTCTGCGATGCTTTATGGGCGGTTGACTGACTGTGTTCTTCCAGGATCACGTGTGTGAACGGCATGTTGGTCGCAAGTCCACCAACAACCTGAATCTGACGTGCCAATGGGGTACCTGCAAGACGACTACCGTCAAGCGAGACCATATCACGTCTCACATTAGGGTTCACGTACCCCTTAAGCCTCACAAATGTGACTTCTGTGGCAAGGCCTTCAAGCGGCCGCAGGACTTGAAAAAGCATGTGAAGACTCATGCTGATGATTCCGTGCTCCATAATTCTCCTCCTGCCTCGAACCGTGGAGGGCATGGCCAGCCTGGAGGATACGGCTCCAACTCCAAGCGTACGTTCAGTCCTTCCATTCCATGCCTTTGACTGCCTTCAACGGAAGTGGATTGCGAGTTGCTGCATCCGCTTCTCGAAGAACAGACTGTCCCCCACCTTATCATTAGTCATGCTGCTTGATTTCTGGCTCGATTTTTCTTCATTCCCTGACATTGTGACAGACTTTACTGACTTGCGAGCGATCGCTACTACAGCGAATGGCTACCATGGAGACTATGCCGCAGCTGGTGGCTACCCTTACTCTGGTGGACCGGCGTCTGCGTATCATGCTGCGTCTCAAGGCTATCCTGCCGGGGCTGTGTACTATCCAGTTCATCCGCAGTCAAACCAGATGGAGAGCGACTACCACGTCAGGAAGAAGGCCACGTTTGACGCCCTCAAGGAGTTCTTTGGGGACGTTCAGAACCGCAAGATCGACCCATCTACCTACTATGATGTCGGCCAGCGTCTAATGAACGCCGGAGTCGCGCTTCCGCTGATGCAGAGCTTCCATGGCGGCGCCGGCGGCGATTATCATGGCGGCGGTGTTGCGACCGCTGCATATGCCCAACCTCCTCATATGCTCCCGTTGCCCGGACTCCGGAAGACCGATCTGTCGGATATTGATCGTTTCCTCGAACAACTTCAGAACACCGTGTATTCCGACAATCCCAGCCATGCTGCTGCTGCCGGCGTCGCTCAACCCGGGGCCCACTACGTTCACACTGGTGTTGGCTACCGCAGTAGCAATTCGCCTCCGAACCTAGCTGCTGGAGCTGCGGCGGCGGCTGCGGCGGCCACTCATGGCTCCACTCTCGCTCCGCTCGCCTCCAGCGTATCCACGGAGACTCCGGCGCTTACCCCCGCGTCCAGTGTCATGTCGTATGCCTCGACTCAATCCCCTGTCGCTCGCACCAGTGCCGGCCCGCATGGCTACCCGCCCCTCCCCCCTGTCACGGGTATGTCGGAGATGGGTGGTTCATACACGTCCTCCGCGCCGTCCTCGTCTCTGGCTACCTCCTTCGACCCTGATGGTCGCCGACGCTTCTCCGGAGGAATCCTGCAGAAAGCTGCCACCCCTTTCCACGATGTCAAGATGGACAGTGATGATGCGCCCACCCCTCGTGGCTCGTCCAAGACCGCCTCTGTCTCCAGTGACCTCCCTCGCGACGTTAACCGCCTTCGCCTCGTTTCCCCGTCGCTCACCAACAACATCGACCCCTCGCTCAGCAGCCCTGCCGAACGATCCGACGGGTCCGACGATACCGAGCATCGCTGGGTCGACAACGTCCGCTACATCGAAGAGCTCCGAAAGATCATCAAGTACAAGCTCGAGCACGAGGAGTACGAGGCGGGGGGCATCGCTTCTCTGAACGACGAGCACTCCGTCAGCGAATATCCCTATCATATTCCCAAGCTGGACGAATCCAAGGAAGACGAGCAGGATGCGGAGAACCTCTACCCCATCCTCCGCGCGGTCCGCGACGATTAGTGGATGTTTCAACGGATGATACGAGCGTTATGAGCGGCGTGCAATGCTGGTGGGTTACAATGGGATCTTCATATGGCGCTATGGTAGGTGCCAGCGGAGCTGCAAACGGGTCTTCTTTTCTCTACTCTTCTATTCTTAAATCGATCGGTTTCCGCCTATCGGCTGAACTCGGGATTTCCAGGGGCGAGCTTTCATCGCGCGATTATATCGTCAATCCACGGATAGCCATTATCACCGCGGAGCCTTTTCTTTTCCTTTCTTTTCTTTCCTGGGTTGAAGGATGTCTCGCACATCCTCACTCCCGTTTTCTCTCTCCTCTCCAGTGTATTTTCAGAAACTGGCGATGGTGTGGTAACGCCATCCATGATCCATGATAGCACTCCATAGCTTACTATGATGATTCATCAAACCACCGCACTTCTTTTCCCTTTCTTTTCTTTTTCCCCTGGGTTGAAGGATATCTCGCACATCCTCGCTCCCATTTTCACTCTCCCTTCCGAAGGGTATTTTCAAAAATGGCGATAGTGTGGTAGCACCATCCACGATAGCATTCCGTAGCTCACTATGATGATTCATCAAACCTCATTCCACCCTAATTGCGTGAGGTCTCCAAGTGATCCTACTGGAGTGTCCACCTATTACTCACAGCCCCAACGTCATCCAGGTAATCTGGAACTTTTGTAACAGAATGGTCCCTACTCCAACCGCTAAGGAGAAAATTCTCCCCTTTTGCGAAGCCAGCCCAATCATTCACCCAAGAAATCGGGTGCGACCATGCAAAATATGGGCTTTTCAGCGGCGATAATGCAGCAAATGCGAACGATCCTGCCCCCGTCACCGAATAAAGTGGGGAGCTTTCGACGTGTCCGCCCCTCATCCTTCATGTTCCTCTCAACTGCAGCGCCGATCAGGGGGAAACGCGGCTGTACCCCAAAGGCCCACCGCGATCGGCCGATGGCCCCAATGTTGAGACCTGCAAACCTGCGATCCGCCATGTTTTCCAACTTTCTGCGATCGATTGTTCCCGTCGGCACGTGAGAGCGGAGAACGAAGCAGGCACACCCCACCGGCTGCCAGTGGACGAATTCGGTCTAGATGGTGGCCCTAATCTTTAGGCGGTCCTGGATTTCTCCCCGTGCTGATTGACGTGACGTACATAGAAGGCTTTGGACCGTATGAAGCTCATGCGATACAGTCCAGCAAAAAGAATTGGGTGCACGGTAGACGAAATACTCGATTGATATCCGTGTTACTTCATCATACAACCCCCAGAACGAAACATGCCAACATTTGGGCGAGGCGGTGCGGGGAACATCCTCACGAATACGCAGCTGGACGAGGCGAACGTGAGGCTCGAGCAGGTACGGCGACGAGTTCCCACCGATGGCGTCGTAGAATGCACTTAATTGACATAAATCGGCCAGGACCTCGAGGCGAACAAGAAGAATGTCGATCTAAGACCTGAGGATGTCATGACGAGGCGGGCACCGGCAGATTATGCTTCATCAGGCAGAGGGTAGGGTTATCCTTCATCTCACTTTCACCAGTAAAACTAACGAATATTTCTCCAACAGAGGAGCGGGCAACATGGTCACTCCCACAGCTCTCCAGACGTCTCCAAGCGCCGACCCATCCGTCCGCCCTCCATCGCCACCCCCACCAACCCCTTCAACAGGTACATCCGTCCCAACCACGGACTTCCCAGCCATCCCATCTCACGCCACGAGACATCCATCATCGCCGGCTCCGATGGTCGGCCTGACAACTGGGCGAGGTGGGGCCGGCAACATGGCGTACGCGTCGCAATTCAACAAGGAGAGCGAGGAGGCGAAGAAGAAGCAGGACGAGCAGGAGGCGGGCAGGGTGAGGGAGAGGGTGGTGAAGGATGTGGAGATGGGCTTACAACCGCCGGGGCGAGCGGTTTTAGGCGGGGAGAAGGCCGGAAGGGGATGGTGAAATCGGGGTTAGAACATCACGCTTCTCATGATGCTACGGGAAAGGTTGGATGAGGTGAAGTCGGCTTTTGATTTTGAATCGCGGGGATTCAGCTACCTCGCCTGATGCTATATAGATTCAAGTGCAATCTATCTCGCCATAGGACGTGGGATTGAGACCTATCGGTCGCTATGACATTGGCTCAAGTAGTGTTGGTAGTCTACTGCTCGGTCTGGAAGTAGTTGAGCAGGACGGATCGTTCCTGAGATTCCTCACCCCAGTCCTTGACGACGACGCAAGAGCAGTTCACGACCTTCCTCGCATTGCCCTCACGGTCAATCTGGCCTGTTTCAATTCGTCAGCGCACGCCCATCGACCCCGACTCTCGCGGATACTCACACAATCCAGCCCACTCGCCCAACTGCTTGCCATCCGGCACCTTGATCAACGGGATCTTATGCTCCGAGCACAGCGCCACCACCAGCTTCTTGTAGGCCTCCTCCTCGCAATTCTCGTTCAGCACGCACATGTGCGCCTGGCGACGGTCGAGCGCCTTGGTCGCCTCGCGGAGTCCGCGGGCCAGGCCGTCGTGGATCAGCGCAAGCTTGAGGACGCCCTTAAGCGCCTCGAGGACCGACATCTGGCCAGAGGGGGCATCGGCGGAAACTTCGACTTCACCGGCATCGACGTCCGCGATGGGGGATTGGGGCTCTTCTCCGTCCGACTGGAGGAGTGGTTAGTTGGGGCTCTTGGGATTTTGGCATACTTCTCTCGCATCGGGAGTCTGATGTTGAGATGTCTGGAATGTGGGAGGGAAATTGAAGCTTACCATGTTGATTGATTGATCAGACTCGTCGGATTATCCTCGAAGAGACTGATTGTAATGAATTGATTCGATGTTAAAGTGTGAGGATGTTGGTGATGATCAACAATCCACGATGTGGGAAATTAGCGAGCGCCAAGATTTTTGCACGTGATCCGGATTTGGGTGAACGGCAAAAGTTCGGTAGAAAATGGATCAACATGCACTGCGACAATTGACAAACAGCGAATTGAGGGGAATTAAGAAACAGATATCAACGTCTAGAGCAATCCTTGAGTCAATTCGCTGGCTCGAAAGCTAGGCCAATTTATATGCTGTCCAGACCTATCTGGGATCGACTTTTCTGCCCTTACAAGGCTTGCTCAGCTATCTACCTTCCTTTGACTCATCGTGGGCCCACGTTGATATCAAAACCACAAATCCTCACCCTCTGCCGAACCTTTTCTTCTAAGCAGACAGAACCCCGAAGACCGATCTCCTCCTTTGGGTCTTTCATCATGGCATCGAACAACGCATCAGATGCGACCTCTGTCGAGGAACTGACCTCCACATTGAAGAACTTCGGGCTCGATTCCGTCCCGCAACTCCCAAACACTTATCCAACCCTCAACCCCATCGACATCTACCGCTCCCACATCGCCTCCTTGATCTCTCCGATCGTCTCGGTTGACGCAAAGACAATCCTCCCCACCATAAGTTGGACGAACTCCTTGGACAATGGCGACCTCATGCTTCCGGCGGCCGCGCTCCGCATCAAGGGCATGAAACCGCAAGAGACGGCCGAGAAGATCGCGTCCCAGTTCCCCGAATCACCTTTGATCGAGAAGCCGCTGGTGGCTGGACAATTCATCCGATTCTTCTTCAAGGCCCTTCCGCTATCGAAGCTTGTCGTACCGTCAGTCCTGAAGAATGGCGCGACCTACGGGCTGAATCAAAACCTCGGGTTGAAAGATGCGTCCGACCCGTCGAAAGGACCGAAGAAAATCATCGTCGAGTTCTCAAGTCCAAACATCGCGAAACCTTTCCACGCGGGGCATCTGCGAAGCACAATCATCGGTGGTTTCCTATCCAATTTGTACCAGGGCGCAGGTTGGGAGGTGATCCGGATGAACTACCTTGGTGATTGGGGTAAGCAGTATGGCGTTTTGGCGGTGGGTTTCGAGAAATTCGGCAGCGAAGAGAAGCTGTTGGAGAACCCGATTGGTCATTTGTATGACGTGTACGTCAAGGTCAGCGCAATTGCGCACGAGGAGGGAGAGAAGATGAAGGCACTGAAAGAGAAGATCACCGCGGCCAAAACCGCAGGAGAGTCTGCATCAGAAGCCGAGGCGGAGTTGCAGAAGATCCAAGATGAAGGCATCGACGAGCAGGCCCGGAAGTACTTCAAGCGCATGGTCGATGGAGACGACCATGCTCTGGGCGTCTGGAGGAGGTTCCGAGATCTCAGCATCACCAAGTATAAGCAGACCTATGCTCGACTAAATATCAACTACGACGAGTACTCCGGTGAGAGCCAGGTAAAAGACGAGAGCATGGACAAGGCAGCGAAAATCATGGAGGACCAGAAAGTCAGCGAGAACAGCGACGGGGCCGTCATTGTCGACTTGACGAAATACAGCAAGAAGCTTGGCAAAGCGATCGTCAAGAAGAAGGATGGCACAAGTTTGTATCTGACCAGAGATATCGGGGCCATGATGGAGCGATATGACAAGTTCCATTTCGACAAGATGATCTACGTCGTCGCCAGCCAGCAGGACCTGCATCTTGCGCAGCTCTTCAAGATAGTTGATGCCATGGGTCTCAAGGAGATTGCGGAGAAGTGCGTCCATATCAACTTCGGAATGGTCCTGGGCATGAGCACTAGGAAAGGCACAGCGAAGTTCTTGGACGATATCCTCCGAGACGTCGGCGACAAGATGCACGAGGTGATGAGGTCGAACGAGGATAAGTACGCGCAAGTCGAAGATCCCACCCGGACGGCCGATATTCTTGGCATTTCGGCCGTCATGGTCCAGGACATGACCGGGAAGAGGTATAGATCACTTACTTGACCCCTTCTGTTGCTGAAAGATCCGCTCACACGTCACAGGATCAACAACTACCACTTCGATATGGACCGCATGACCTCCTTCGAGGGGGATACTGGTCCCTACCTCCAATACGCCCACGCTCGTCTCACCTCCATCCTTCGGAAAGCGTCCGTGCCTCAGGATGCACTCCTCTCCGCCGACCTCTCTCTCCTCACAGAGACCCACGCCATCCACCTAGTCCGCATGCTCGCCCAATGGCCCGACGTGTTCTTCAACACCATGCGCACGCTGGAACCGATCACGGTTCTCACCTACCTCTTCCGGATGACGCATTCGCTCAGTTCGAGTTACGACCATCTGCAGGTGGTCGGCAGCGAGGAGAATCTGAAGGTGGCGAGGATGGCGCTGTACGTGGCAGCGAGGCAAGTGTTGGGCAACGGAATGAGGCTGTTGGGGTTGACGCCGCTGGACAGGTGGGTCTTACCAGTGCGGCTAACAAGTGGAAATGATGAGCTAATCGACGCTTAGGATGTGATGTGCTGATGTTGTATGCTTTGCGCATGATGAAGGTCAAGCATTTCGGGACGTTGTGCTACCAGGATATGGGAGCGTGTCTCACTATCAAAAGTCCGTTTGTGATATACCACCATGTTAGACGCAGACTCAGAAATGATCAACCGGTTGCCGGCACGTGTCATGCTCTCACCCTTGTCATATCGATAATCGAACGCAGCAGTGTTGACCTTTGGCTTCCTATTTATGGACCGGGCAGCACGCCTCTTCCACGTCGACAGTTGCTGGCCGTTATGCTTACGTTTGCCCTTCCTAAAGCGACAACAGAAATATCTATGTCTTCACCTCAGTACAGTGACTCATTATTCCCGCATCTCTGGGATCCGTTCCTGCGTCGGAAGGAGCCAGAGGGCTGCCGTGCGGCTCAGGTCTATATTCGACGTGGCCGGCGGTCGACGAACCGATGGTGAGCCGCGTTTTCGTTACGGCAGTGGAGTCTATGGATGGCTGCCCAAAGAACTTGAGCCGCATCCAGGACATCTCGATCAAGGCGCGCTAGTGGCTTTGTTGGGTGAGGCGACGTGATGCGACGCGCTGCATGTCTCCCTTGCTGCGCGGTGGTGTCACGGCTGGGGAATTTGACGATTGTGTGGCGCGGCCACCTGGTATGTCTGCGATCAGATACCCTTCAGCAATGTCGATGTACGTTGCGGGTCTGGATCAGTCGCACTGCATCTACTGCAGCGAGTTGGATGACTTTACTTCAGCATGAACTTCCATCCCCCGTCTTAATGTTGCGATGAGCTACAAATCACAAAAGAGCGGTGAAGGATCGTGGAACGGTCTATAGTGTCACAAAAGGGAGTAGGTAACGCGACGGCCAATCACTCGGCCCATGCCGGAATACAGAGCTCCCCATGCTCTCTTCTCGTCGCTGTAGGTTCGGGAGTTCGATCGGGATGCTCGCCCTGGGCCAAGAGTGCCTGATTTCGGGTATGGATCTGTGATGGGCAAGCCGGAAAAGTAGCTCGATTGTGATACCAATCGTATATCATATCGCATCTGTACGCACCACCGCCGTATTGATCGCCGCATCCTCCCACAATTCCCCGACCTCGACCTTAGATGATGGATCACTTGGAAACCTCGGAGTCGAAGTTCGACTCATCGCCGGATTAAGTCTAGATCGTAGCCGTCGAACTCACTGCTCACATCTTGAGATGCAGATGGGAGCCTTTCTGTCCGTCCAATAACCTCCCCCGCTGTCGTCATCCCACCCCTCTATACCGAAGACATTTCGCGCTTATGCACACTTGACAAAACCGCCTTTCCGGCCACAAAATGTCCCACGGGGTCTTAAAAGGACGGGCTTGAAGTAGTTGAAGGCGAGCTGAACCCGAACATGGGCTGAGGATATGATTTCCGACAGGACCAGGCGACGAGAGAAATCCAGACTTCACGAAGCACGGTTTTCAGGCGAGGAATCAACCAAAGATAGCGCCCAGCCTTAAAGGCCAGGATGCCCCTGTCGGCCTCGCGGAGGAAGAAGGGACGAGGGTAAGATTGTGAGAATTTCAGCGGATGGAAATCATATTATGCACCGAAGCGAAGAGGGGTTGTTCATATCGAAGCCATCTCCGAGACTAGGAATACCCTTCTCGCGCGGTAGGGATTCGGCATCGTGAGATTTCAATGTGAATGTAGTGAGACTCCAAGGAAAAGATATAATAATGACTCGTTCAGTTTGCAGATATTCAACATTGCTTCCCTGTGACTCTGACAACGGGTTGCTGAGTGGTATCATGGCCAAGGCAACCTACTCAACCCATCCTGTCATCCACTCACAAGTCGCCCTTGAAATGCCGCAGCAGCATCATCCCGGGCATCCGCATCGACTGGACGAGACGTTGCCAAAATTCCCTGGTCGATACAGTTACACAGCATCTCACGATTTTCCGTATCCCTACCGTTTCATTTGCCTACCCTCAAGGAATGGTTTGACATGTGGTTACGCAACCGAGCTATCGAGCGGCTGCGTGTAGGCACAATGGATAGAGGAAGAGAGAAATAGCCGGGCGGGAGTCGAGTGATGAATACATCGGGATGAAATGGGAAGGGAAAGGATATCAATATCGAGCATACAGCGGATATCCCTGCTGGCGTTGCTCGGCCTTCCATGCCGTGGATGACCGTTGGGCATGAGTGGGAGGGTCGCCCTTCCACGGGCTGATATAGTTCCGGGACAATTGATATTGCTCATCTCTCGTGCATGTGGTAGCGCGAGGGCGCGACAGGAAGTTGAGGGATGAAGGGGGAACAAAGGTGCACGTTGACGGTTGAGACGTGATAGCAATCGTAGTGATCATCCCCATCCTTTTACCTTGTGATCGGGTAAGGACATGAACATGGGAACTGTGGATACCACCATCGTGCCCAACAGCATCAGCCCAACAGATGACCCACGCCTCCACGAGGATGGACGATTCCAACGGTCTCTGATGGTGCGGCTAGCTCCCGGGTCCCGAGCGAGCGAGTGAACGATAGGAGGGGTAGAGTATGACGACTGACCACAACGAGAGATCGTGGAGACGACTTGATGGTTTTCAGGGAAGGAGAATTGGGATATATGCGAGGGTCACTGGAATCTGACTGAGAGGGTAGTACTTTAAGCAGAGCAAGGAAATCGGAGTCAGGCCGTCCATCCAAACCTGCCACACGGAGGAAAAATGTGGAAGGGCATCGATCCTCGTCGAATTGGAAACTGGAAACACAAACCGTCGACTCATACGAGGATCTCATCTCGTTGCAGCCCATTTGGATCAGCTCTTTTCTCATTGGCACCCAACCCTCCGATGGATGCCAATCCAACAACGAGAAGTGTGGAATACGGAGGAGGATTCGGAATAATAATATCTACAGGCTAAGGCCCGCGCCGGACTGTATCAGCTTTTTGGTTTTCCTTTTCTTCCGGATTCCACTCCGAGATCTACCCCATAGCGGTTTCATGCTATCGACCGTTTACTGCTTACTCTATCCCATCATCATCAACGTTCAGTATGGTCAGTCAAGACAGGCAGCAAGTTAAACCTACTGCATAAGTGCACATTGATACTATCATATACCATACCTATCCTACTGGCTGCCTTCGCATGCAGCAGCCCTCCTCTGGCTCTGTCCAGGCATCCATCCATCCATCCCAATCTCCCCCCAGCTCTCCAAAATTCTACCCTTCCTTCTCCTCTCTCCCTCTCCCGCTCGTCTTCACGAGAATCCGAGACCTCCCCCCGTCCTGCTCCGCCACGATTAAGCCCTCGAGACTCCCGATTATTACTTGATTCCCCTTCGTATCCCTTCGAATTATTACTTGCCTTATTCTTGACCATTATCATCTCATCTCATCTCCACTATACTACGAACAACTCCGGGTTCTCGCCTATATCAACCTCTAACCTCCGGATTCGAACCGTGGTCGCGGAATCGGACGTCTGAACTATCCGTGCTCAGACATACCCTCCGGGACCCTTCAGCCTAGTTCCTGTCGTTGCTGAGGAGCAACGTCCAAACATCTGACTGTCTCATCCAACAATGGGTCGGCCGCCGTAACTTGGGAACCACATGATTACCGCTTTGGGCCTCTAAATGGGACGATCGAGGAATCCTTCGGTCTCCTTGCCGCCTCTTGATTCGCACGACAATCTCGTTCAAGGCACCAGCTTCATGTGTCCTTCACTGCCTTGGAATTCCTAAGCACTGTGCGCTTTAGCTTCTTCGTTCGCGTTGCTGCACTTGATCTTCTCGATCGCGCGACCCTACACACCATTGTTCCCATTGCGAGGTCATCCTCGAATGCCAGAGGGACCAAAATCGTCTTGTGACGCAACCTTCATCTTTTGTGGCACCCTTGAAAGTTGAATCCCGCGCCGTTATTTTTACTCCACACGAGCGCCACCAACCCGCCAGTCTTCCGTATCGGCACGAAAATCAGGAGTCCTCAGGACGGAACTGCGCATCTTCCCGCTGTCACGGTCTGCACTGCACTCCGGAGCATTTGGGAGACTTGCGGCATCCTCGGTCGCGTTCCTGGTGAAAACAAGCCTTATTCGCATCCAAAATCTCCATCCTTTCTTGCGACTAAACGAAGTACTCGAGCACTTTAGCAGCTTTCTGCTGTTATCGTTTTCCTTAGTGGAACCAACAACCCCGGTCATAGTGGTGCCCAACTCGGGACTTTTTTTTGGTGCTCTTGCGCTTCTTCCCGCTTTGCCCGCCCCGGCTCTCCAAATCATACCCATTACCCACCCATCGACGTCGCCCTTCGAGTTCCTAACCCTCCTACACCTTATCTGTGTCCCGGGAAATATATTCAAACGCTCTACGGACGGCCCATCCGCTCATTTCCAGAAATGGCGGACACTCCCAACTCCCGGCCTTATCAGGCCAGGGTGGAGGACTGCTCCGATGACGAGGACGCCCGACGAGCCGCCTCCAAGTCTTCATCGCAAAAATCGGCCCCATCAAGGTCGGACAAGGAAACCAAGGCCGCAAGGAAACCTACTCCTAGCGCTGCCACCGACCTTTCCAGCGAGTCAGGGTATTCGAATCATACTGCACCGACCGCCAGTAGTGCGGATTCTGTTAAAAGCATGAATGTGAAGAAGCCAAGACGTCCTTCGAAGACACAAGCTGCACCCGATTCAAGTCCCCGGCGCCGCGCTCCTGCGACCGTGCGACAGAATACATCCGCCAATACGAGCAGCACCGGTACGGTCAAGGCCGGTGGAACATCGCCCGCGAAACCGCCTGCAAGAGCTTCGTCGGTTCGAGGCCGTCCCGCCCCATCGAAAGTAGGAGAGGCAGAAGTGGACGAGCGACGCGATCGACCAACCGCGCGACGACTATCGACGACCATGCAAACGTCAGCCAGACCGCGGATATCACAGCAATCAGGTGGAGAGCCTCCGTCGCCGCAGTCAAGGCCATCCCGTCGAGAGAGTATAGTAGAGAATTCGATGCCGCCTCCAAGGCGACGGTCGACGTCTGCTGCGCGGACGGCAAGACCAATGAGCTATCATTCGGGGATGTCACCAGTCGACTACTTCACAAACGCAACACATGGCTCTACGAGAAGTTCGACTTATCAGAGAGGAGGGCCACCACCCTCGCGGTCGGCTGGTACTGCGGCGTACGCTGGTTACTACGACTCCAACGCGCCGATATATCCACAAAATATGTCGCATTCGCAGTCACCATATGGATATGCTCCGCCTCCGTACGAGAAATTGCGACCTGGTCTTCCACACATGCAGACCGAGCCAACATTGTCGGCACGAAAGCCCAAACCGCCTGCGTTAGTCGTTCAAGACAATCCGTATGAGCCGGGCCCCCTCTCCGCTCCTATTTCCAAAACAATCAGCGCCCGTCAACCGAATTACGCGGCTATCGCACCCCCGGAGTCCGAGACCGACTCCCAGACCACGTCGGAGGACTACGAGGATGAGTACGACGATAGCGACGGCGAAGACTTAGACCAGAGGATGATGCCTCCGCCACGACACCCAGCGAGTCGAACCCCTGCTTACCCTCCGATCATTACGCAAGGTGTGGGTCTGAGTATGCGCGGCGTCGCCCGTCCCCCCGCCTCCGTCATGGACATGCCCACCTCCGCCACACAATCTCCCTTTCTCCAGATTCCATACCCCGAACCCCCTCCCTCCTACACCTCCGTCGACCCCACCACCGAACGCGCCCGCGACCTCGAACTCTTCCACACCTCCTCCCGCTCTACCGCCACCCCTTCCTCCCGCTCCCGAACATCATCCCACCGCCGCCCCTCCCTCGCCTCCTCCGGCACCAAGGCCCCCTCCACTTCCTACACCACCTCCTCCGGCTCCGCCCGCGTCACCGTCGAGAACCCCCGCACCGGCCGCCGCCTCAGCTACGCTAGCCACGACGAGCAGCGCCGCCGCGCGCGCATCGCCCGCGAAGCCCGCGAACGCGCCCTCGACTACGCCCGCGACCTCGACGACGACTTGGACTCTCCCTCCCCGGACGACGACCTCACCCTGCGCGCCGACCAGGTCGAGGCCTACCAAGCCCGCGCCAACGCGAACGTTTCGGCGGTCGGCACACGGGGCCGCCCGCTCCCGCTCACGGAGCGCGCACTCCGCAACACAACCGGCACCATGGGCGATAGCCCTGCACCGCGGCGACGGGGGTCGCGAGCTGGTGCGGAGCGGAGCGAGGCGGGGGAGACGACGGCTACGTCGCGGAGTAAAGCGAGTGGGTCGAGTCGAGGCGAACGTGAGAGGAGGGTCCGGCGCGAGCGGGACCGGGAGGATCGGCGGGACCGGGACCGAGACCGAGACTGGGATCGAGAAAAGAACCGGGATCGAGAACGGGACCGTGATCGTGAAAGGGAGAGGGAGAGGGAGAGGGAGAGGGAAAGCGATCGGGATGACACGGCGTCAGTCTCGACGCGGACAGTAGGGCCGGGCGGAGGTGAAGTGGTGAAGATGCAGATCGACGTGACGCGAGGATTCAACATGGAGGTGGATGGGAAGCAGATTAGCCTGGAGCGGCTAGACGGGGACTTGGCGAACTTGGTGATCGCGAACAGCACGCGGGGCGAGGGGAGCCAGGCGTATGTCCCCGGGAGTAGCTTGAGGAGTGGGAAGAGTACGGTGTCAAGGAGGGATAGTGTGCGAGGGGATCGGAGAGAGAGGGAGAGGGAGAGGGAAAGGGAGAGGGATAGGGAGGATGAGAGGAGGGGGAGGGGAAGGCGGGGGACGTTTGAGCGAGATGTGGCATTCAGCCGCCGTGACTGATTTGATGGTATTTATGGACGATCGGATGATGACTGGAATGATGGATGATGGGTGAACGATATCGGGATGCGATATGACAAAAGCATTCTTCGGTCTTTTCTATGATACCTAAAAGCGCTTCGTTGCTGTTTTTGGGTGGGATCCCCCTTTTCTTCTCTCGGTTTGAAACCGAACAGCTTGTTATACTCTTCTTGTTTCCCAGCCAGTTTTTCTTTTTCCGATGGCTGTTTTGAGATATCCCCAGTTTCCGATTTCGAGGATCGAGATGGATGGTTTGATCGCCATTCCTAATGTTCTGCCTACAATGTTCGAGTTACTTGCGATTCGCTTTCCGGAGCAGGGAAAATACCAGTAGCTAGACGTGCGTCTGGACAGTGTTCATTCTACTAATTGTATTGTCGATTTTTTTCCTGGAGCATTTCATGGATCATTTTATCAATGTGTCGCAGCCACCCATTCACCAAAGCAATGGACAGCAAACTCCAGACTTTTGATTCTATTCCTAAGGTCGCGGCCTTGGGTGGTGAGCTGTATACGGTACTTGGGTACTCCACCACCCGAGTTATATTCACCGTGCCTATATCTTCCTTAAATCCTAAGATATTCATAGAATTCCGACCCAGACTCCTTCACCTTCTAGCCTGTCTGCCTCCTTTTCATGAGCTGTATAGCGTATCACCGATTAGCTCGTCCCAATCCTCTTCATTTTTGGCCTGGTGTCCTTCATCAGCTGTGTAGCGTGCCACTGACCGGCTTTCAACAATAGGGTCCTAGATTACGGTGAACTCGCACCCCAAAAGCCCCTGACAGATCAAAGTTCGTGCCTTTAACTATGCCTGTAGAACTACCAATGGCGCACCTTGTGAGTATCAGCTCTGCCATTCCAGCGATCACGGTGTAAGGGACACTTTGAGAAGTGTCCTTTTCCGTGCAGATATAGATAGCCGAATCGTATGAACAAGTGGCTCGAAAGCATTGCCCCTTCGTCCCAGTCTCCATGTACACCACATTGCTTTTCAATTTATCTTTCATGTAGTCTATGCCGTCCTTGATGGGCCCGACTTCAGCCCATGGTAAACCGCAGAGGACCCAAGGACAAGGACCGTTTGTAGGTACAGTGACCTCCTGGGACATCTGCGTGCGGCCCCCACAGACGATAGCTGTATCATTAGTGGGATCCTTACGGATTGAAGTTAGCAGACGTGATCAGGGCCGAATGATTCCAACAGCAGATTTGAGAACGTGGTTCAAAGAAGTGGGACGGCCTACATACATCTGCGCTATCCTCGGTACGACCAGGCTGGCCCTCTAGAGCGATTGCTGGTGTAACCTTGTCGGGGAAGTCGGTGCCTGTGGGGAAGTCCGTCCCTGGGGGAAAGTCTTTGCCCGGGGAGTAGTCTTTGCCCGGGGGAAAGTCGGTGCTGTAGTTGGGATTCTTCAGCTCAACATACTCGATGATTTGCGTCAATGAGTCCCCGTAGAGCGTGACCTCCGGCCCGTCCTTGTAGATCTGTCCCTTCCACCTGACTGAAATGAGTCAAGCACGGATGACCTAGATCTAGCGGACTCACATTGCGGGAATTACAACGTACTTCTCGGACAGCTCATGGATGACCTTGCCGCCACGAGAAGGATCACTGGTGACACTATTGACACGGTGTATTGCGGCAGCGAAGACCGAACTCCCAAGGAGGCCCAAAAGTAAGGTGATAAATGCAAGCATATTGAATAGATGTCCCAATTTGATCTGATAAGGCATATTATTAGGGTTCGATTTGAAAAAAGAATGAGATTCCGTGTTATCTGTCTGAAAGCTTTTGAGGCGATATCGGATTGAAAAGGTTAGAGGCAAACTTGGTCGCGGCAGTTTGCTTAAATCTTCCGGATTTACTGAAATAGCCATTGGCTTCCAGGCCCTGACGATCACATGGGACCTGGCTAGAATGTGAATGAATTTTAAGCATGGAGTCGTCCATCTATGGATCTGCTGCATCGAGTCTAATTCCAATATCCCTCTCTCCCCATATCCACCCTTTAGCAACCGGGTTCATTTTCCATATCCCTATGTCCTCCTCATATTTACCCTTCAGCAACCAGGGCCTTGATTCGCATTGATTCTCACTGCATAGAGCCAATGTGGCTGCAAGTGCGTTCCCCGAACCTTGTCTCCCTGTCGACATAACTGCAGAGTCTGATCGGCGAGACCCCCAATCTCAGACCACGGAACCAACTGGGGCTCGTCCTTGTTGTTGCAGAAGTAGATGGCCGAGTTCCAGGAGCAGGTCAAGCGATGGCATTGACCATAGGAGTGGGGCCCGTGCCAGGCATGATAGCGCTTGCTTTTCAGGTACTTGATGCCCTCTTCGATAGCGAATGCCCGCGCAAATCCTTGGCCGCACAAGGAGCCTGGGCACTCGGGAGTGCTGGGACCGCCCGACTTCTCGGGACACTTCACGAGTTCTCCGACAAGCTGAGAGAGGTTGATTAGCACAGATCTCAGACTACGGATACGCAAGGACTATTCGACATACCCATGGACCATCGGGATTATAGCCAGGAGGGCCATCGGGCGTCTTCTCCCTCGTCGAGACTGGGAAGTGAACGTCGTATTCTGGGTTTTGCTCTTCAATGTAGTCAAATATGTCAGAGGTAGTGTCGCCGAACAGAGTGACCTCGGGGCCGTTCTTGAAGATCTGCCCGGTCCATCTGCACAATGTTAGTTTACCTTAAAGACAATGAGATTTGGGATCGAACTCACTCTGCGGGGACAACTGTGAAGTTGTCAGGCATCTCGTGGAGGGTCACGCCTCGGCGAGAGGGATCAGTGGTGACACTGCCCAATGCGACAAACGCCACACTGATGAGCAGAGGAAGGACAAAGAGCGGGAGGGCGAGCATGTTGACGCGGAGCTATCAATATTGATGAAGTCTTGACTGATTTGTGGATGAGTACGCTGGTATCCAAGGAGGTTAAGCTCGTTGCTTTGACTTTATGCCAGAGAAGAACACAAAGAAGGAAATGAAAGGAGGAAAGGGATGTTTTAAAAAATCAGTAGAAGGCTCATGATGAATAAAAGCCATTCGTTCGTATTCATCACTATTTCCTAGCACATGATAGTCCTCCACATGAATGAGCGCTGGGGTGGCCCGGGATATATCAAGATCTCGGACTCTTATCATCAACATCTAAGTCCCCCGGCAATCCACGTATATTACCAATCCTCCACAAGCAGCATATGACCAGTGCCATAAATAACGATGGTGGTTAATATCTTCGCTAGACATAGCTGTGCCCCGCTGACGGCAAGGCCGTTTCATAATTCATTCCTTGGCCCCTCCTGCCCTTCATCGTTCAGGATAGTAGTCAGGTATTATTATCCATCACGTAGACATAGTGCTATGCTTCATGGGAAGTGCTTAGAATTTGGAAAGCAAGATTCAGCGTGGGGATTGTTGTAACCCCTTGTAGTGTTTTTGACAAGAATGTCGTAGGGCTGAGTGAGGGCTCAGGGCTGATCCAGTTCGACGCTTTGGCGTTGGGCGGTTGTCAGCCAAATTCTGGGATACCATTACCGTTAGCCAGTCAAAATATTTGATTTTATAATAATAGGAAATATTTTGTCCTCGTGATACCTTGTTGACGCATCTGGTACGGTTGATGGGATCCTACCTTGGAATGAGGTTCGCAACAATCCCACAATCCACGGTACAGTACCAAATCAAGAGATATAATGAGTCGAAAACCAGAAGTACTAAAAGAGAAGAACAATGTTCAAAGACAAGTCTCGTCTCCTGCCATTTACACCCCCTCTTCAAATAATTCTTGACTTGTCAGCTGCTCGCAGATCGAACCCAGTACACTCTGCAATATGCCTGATACCAGTCACTTCAGTGCCACCATGTTTGACTTGACAGCAGTTGAGCCCATGGACCCACCCCCACCGCCGTACAGCGCAACGGACTCTCAACCTATTGAAGCCCCAGAGCTAACGAGAAAACTAGAAGAAGTCTGTGGCCAGCAGAAACACGAGCTGAGGAGATGGGAGCGAGCCCAGCGCCAGCAGGATCTCGCGCTGATGTCAAGTCTGGAGAGGGTCCCTCGTCACCAGGAACAAGAGGTGGCGACGAGATCAGAGGGAGTTGATACTCAGCAGGAGCAAGAGGGAGGCAAGGGCTCTTCTCTGAAGAGGGCATGGAGGTGGTGCACACGAGCGAGACGGGGCCGTGGTTGGATGTATTCCAACTCTAAGCCCGATGGCCGACCAAAATCTAAAAAGATGCCATCGGCGAAGTAGAAGCAGGTGGCGAAGTAGAAGTAGGCGGCGACGCAGAAGACGGTGGCAGCACCGAGAAGTACGGTTCATGACGCCTTGGATGCCCGAAAGGAGAAACTAACGGTTGAACAGAACCCCGACGATCTTCGTCGCCGGATATGTCGATGTTCCTCCTCTGGGGCTTGATCATTTGAGTAGTGTCCTGGTTTAGTTCGAGTAGGTGCAAGACCCATCTCCTCTGTAACATCCAGGATTTGGAAAGGCGCTGATGAGCAGACCGGACGATGGGCATCAACCTTCTTCAGCGCGTTCGGGGCCAGCCATCTCGTACATCGTCAATCCCAATCGATGGCCGGAACCGGTAAGTACTCCAATTTTTGGCTCGCGCAACGGATATGGACTGACAACAGGATTAGAACATTTTCCTTGGGAACTGCGATGAGAAAACCTCTTTTGTTGATGGAAGTCATCGAGAGTTCAACGCGTGGAGTTGCCACCTCTGGTTCTTGGGAGTTTGGATCGGGTCTTGGTAGTATTTCGGTTGCAATTAGCTTGGGGATACCTAGGAGCATAGGGCGTACGGGATGTGTTTTTCTACATTCAATGTTATTGTATGCTACAGAATTTGTTGTGAACTATCTACAGCTTAACCGCATGTCTATCGCATCGCAATGACTGCAGGGTTTCTTCCATCATCAACCAATTTGCCATCGACCTCGTTGTCCCTACAATCATAGGGTCCGGGATACCTCCATAATCACGCCGACAGTCGGCTTCCAATCCATCAATCAACGCCAGTGAATGCCAAATACTAAACGGTCCGATCGCTTCGTTATCATGCGGTGTCCGATATCCATTAGAACCCATCCTCCTCATCATGCACCACCCTCATCCCCCCACCTCGCCTGAACCCACTCGCGCCCTGCCCCGGCCCCGCCCTTTTCGGCCCCATGCCAATATTGCTCACGCTCTCACTCGGCGCGATATCATCCTCCACCCTTGACAGCCCTGGGATCTTGCACGGGTAGCTCTTCGTCCCCGAGTCGGTGTCGTCCTGATAACTCGGCGGCTGACTCGGTCGATACGACTGATAGTACGAGCTCGCCATCTCCATCTCCGGCTGCTCCCTCGGCTGCCTGCTATGCCTCGCCTCGTCGCGCTCGCGCTCCTCTCGCCGGCGCGCCCGTCGCGCCTTGCGCTCCGCTCGGTCGGACGTGCGCTCCTGTCGGTCGGACGAGACGGCCGAGCGGTCCGTGTTGGAGGAGTCCCAGTGGCTGCCGTCGTAGTTCCGATTCATGCCGCCGACGCGGGCGGGCCGCTCGCTTCGATAGTGGGCGAGCTCGGGATCACGGGTGGCGCGGTGGCCTTCGTGGGCGTAGTCGCCGCGCTCAACGTCGCGGTCGTCGGTCATGGCGGAGCTGGCGGAGTCGTCGGTGTAGACGGTTTTCGGGGGCGCGACGATGCTGCCGCCGCCGAGGTTGGTGCTCTTGGTGGCGTTGGAGAGGGTTTTGCCATCGGGGCCCTTGCGGCGGAGGACGGTGGACTTGTAGTCGTCCCAGTCGTCTTTGTGCCATTTAAAGCCGCCGTTCTTCGCCCAGAAGAAGAACCAGATCGCCACGAGGGCCATGCCAGTGCCGAGGATGGCGAAGAGAGCGAGGAAGCCTTGGTTGTTGAAAGTGTGGGCTGGGGTGGCGCCGACGCCGAAATGGACTTCGCCATTAGGGTTGGGGTCATCGCGGATGGAGAGATCGTGGACTGCCATGGGAGAGAGTTCGAAGTTGGCTCCGTCGAATTGAGAGCGTCGAAGGAGGGTAGTGATCATGGAGCTGAGGGGCGCCATGATGAATGTTTTCTTCCAATGGCCTTTTTACACCTTTCGAAAAGGAGGGAAGTGATAGCTGGAGCCGTTAGGCTCACAACCTGAGGAATCCAAATGTGGCCTTGGTTCAGGAGAGTCGTAGAGTCGTAGGTGTGGATGTGAGAGGGGTGAGAGGGCACAATACCAAAAACTGGGTGCTAGGGAGATGAATTTAGAGAACGTGAGGATTTTGAAAGATGAAAGTAAGTTCTTGTACTTGGAAGATTATGAGAGTGACTGCAGGTCTGGATATTCTTGATGTCAACGGTGGTTGATATTGCTCTCATGGCGGAGGCTGGTGAAAGTCGAGAGGTTGGGTGGACGCTATGACGCGGTTTGTTTACACCCGCACTGCCGCGGCAACGTAAATCGATTATCCCCCGATCTCACGGTCTCCATCAGTTCACCAATCATTCAACTTTCAATTTTAACAGAAAATCTCATTATTTAACTAGAGTTATTTACGAAGTATGATTTTACTGATGTGCAACGCGTGCTAAAATCCACAGCGTTTTGATAGCGTATTAATATCTTGAATTTGACTGCTCCCTAGGACTATTGCGATGCTACCCTCTGGAACCCCAGAGTTGGCCCCTGCGTTAACTGTCCCGAACCATCTGCGTTGTGGATCTAGTCATATTTTCTTTTCGAGTCTCTATTACGAATTTACGATGGCTTACCTGATTGTTATCTCGTCGCTTGATGGATTGCAACATCTGCCCGCCCTCCACATCAGGTTTCGGATCTTCCGGACCCGAGCTTCCTCACGGCCACGACACGGAGTGGACTGGACTACCTGCTGGGAGACGAACTCTTCTCCTTCCGACAAGTGACAATAGCAATGCGAACACCAATAGATCCTCCATACCTGAAGTCAGCGCCGCGGCTTGAATCATGCAGAACGACGAGACCACCAGCAACCCCTTATCGGCTTTTCCGGATCGCGAGACGGGTTTGCGGACGGTATGCTCTCCAAAGCACCACCGAGTCGACAATGTCCGATTGTGGTGATTGATAATGCATGAATTGTCGAGCTAGATGCATCTTGTGACACGCAGATCCTGAGCAAGAAAGGGAGATGGCGTGCTAAAGGGCAGAACCCTGGACGATGTACGGTATTGCGGTGTAGTGTTGGTCAATAGTGATGTTGGGTGAGACTGCAGGAGTTCGCATGAAGGGTGGGGGGCTCAAGGACAGACAAATCTATATTGAAGGTGGTGTTGCGGAATAAGCATATCGTCATTGCAGCGGCAGGCACTAGAACGTCCAATATCATAATCATAATCGCATTCTAGGTCATTATATATTATTGCAAATGGCCTAGCCTCCAGCGTTTCCAAGACAATCGAAACTGAAATCAGGACGGCAACCTGGATCCGACGCAGGACGCTAGTCATCTGCAAGGGCGGCATGCACTGCATCCTCCCCCTCCATGCGCCTGAACACCCAACCCAACCATGGAATCCAATTCCCATAGCGAGGCAAATGGAATTGGAGCCTGAACCTGCATATTAGTCATTTTACGCACACGACCTGGAAAGCCAACGTCAACTGTCTCATCTGTCGGCGACCGCGACCTCTCAGACGACCCAATCCGACCCGCAGCGGCGTCCGCATATCGGCTGTGGTGTGGGAGGGCCGCAGGGGGTCAGGGTCGAGTGATCAGCCGTCGCGACAAATCTAGCGGTATCATGGGATCATCGCGTCTTGGAAACATGGGGAGGGTGAAATGATGGATTCTGATGTAGAAGGGAGAAAGGGAGTTATTTTGGACGAGTCGGATTTCGAGATGCTGGGACTTCCCTGTACCTATGACGTGCCGTTCCCGTGAGACGATTTGAGACTCCTAATGAGGCTCCATAGAAGGGACGAATACGCCCCAGCACTGCCTACTTCGGGATGTATTATGGTGTATGAGTGGAAAGGTCAAACGAGATGACCATCATCTCGTCCCAATCCGTCCATCTTACACCTTCATCCCATCCCCTTCTGATAATTCAATCAGGGTGGCGTGCAACCTATTGGGTCCCGCATACTTCCGCCCAACACTAGGGCTGAGGAATCCTGTCTAAGCAATCGGCGTGCACACCGAGTGTGGTCCGATATATCTGCAGGAGGCCGATGTTTCCAGCAGCCCATTCTCCAAATGGAGCAAGCGAGTAGTCCCGCTGCGTGGTCGACAAGTTGGGCGGGTCGGCCAAGCCACCCGTGATAGGCAGCACACGTGCGTCCGCCTGGAGTGATTCATAAAAGGTGGAGATGTCGCAACCCGTTGCGCGTGCTCCGCCTTAAGGGACGAATAGGTCTTGCACGCGGCTCTGACGTCTGCATCGTTAGGGTCATGCATACATATAAATCCGCCATGCTCGCCCCCAAATCTGTTCCCGATTTTCCTTCCTGGCCATCACCAGTCGTTACTGAGCCCATTGCGTTGCAGATTTCCGTCGTTACTTCGTCGAGCGCGCTCATCGGCCGGCCTCAGGCCGGGTCTTTTAATAGTTCTGAGAATCGTACTTTTCCAGGCAATATCCTTATCCGTTCCAAACCGTCGTTTGCAGCTCGAAGTCCGCTATCCACATCGTTCAAGATGCATCACGATCGGAAGCACCGCCGCACGTTTTCCTGGCCCCCTTTGCTCCCCCGAGAGAGTCTCACTCACCCTCATCAACCGCCACAGGACCACCTCCCCGACATCAACGAGGATCCTTTCGCGCACTTTATTACCCTCGCCGAGGACGAAGACCCCCTCGCCATGAGCGCCGGGATCCTCCCGTCCGAGCAACACGGTTTCCACTCGAACTCTACACGGCTCCGAACCTCCCTGGCTCGACGCTGGGCACGATACGTGGCGGGCAACCACGGCTCGCTGCATGAGATCTACCACCGACCGAAGCAGGACGCTGGTGCGGAGAAGTCGGCCGCGGGGACGGAGAACGCTGCGGTCTCGAAGGCAGACAGTGCCGTGGTCGTGCCGTCGATCGCCATCATCGCTGCGCCGGAACCCACACTCGGGCATGCGCAGGCGGTCGTCGCGAGGGCACGAGAGGCGACGAGGCGGAGTGGTAGGCGAGGTAGCCGGATCCATGTGCAGAACCGACACTCTTGGCAAGAGCCGAGCATGGATCTGTTCACCGTAGATGAAGAAGACGAAGGGGCCGATGGCCGGGTTGAGGCGGTCCAGGATGTATTCGACACGCGACCAGACATAACAGAACGAGCTCGACTTTGAAAGGAAGGGAAACAGGAAAAGAAATGCGCGTTGGGAAGCGGAGTAGGCCGAAGATTTCATTCTGTAGCATACAGACACGGGTTCCTTAGCATGTTAACCCGCATGGATGGAGTTCAGGTTTGATTGAGGATGATATTAGTATACCAAGCATTATAGGAGTTGACTAGATTGGACACTTTTGCAGCGAATGCATAGAAACTGAGGCGTATAGATAGTTAGCTATTCATTTAGCATTATGGAGAGGATATGGTGGACGAAATACAATCCGAAGCAAGCGAATGGAATTCCAAGTTGGTAGTAATGGCAGTTGAAATTGACTCTATATTTGAAAACGATCCTGTCGCGTTTATGTGATGAAGTGAATGTGAACGTGAACGTGTATTGAAGCAGAGGACCCCGATGGAGAACAGCGATGGAGAACAGAGATGGAGATGGAGGAGGAGAGAGGAGGCTCTGCACGACGGAACAAGCCGATGGGGAAGCAACGACCGGGAGGTGCCTACCCTCAATGCCCTGGACCCCTGGTTGCTGCCATGGGTCGGTGGTTCGGTTCTTCTGTTCGCTATTGGTTGACATTATTGGCTCCTCACAACGAGAAGCACCAGGCAGTTCCACCACCACAACATCGCGATAGATTCGACAACAACCACCACGAAACGGCAACCGTCCCTCAGTCGTGCCTTCCCCGCCCCGATCCTGGAAGAACCTCCATCTGACTCTCTTGAATACTTCCATCCTCTTTGGACGATGCATCTTTATCTTCAACTTCGTTTCTGACTTCATCTCCAACCTTGCTTCTAGCGCTTTCTGAAGTCATTGTTGTCCCCTCACCGTTGCCTTCTCCATACCCTCCCCAGGAACTCACGATTGATATGATCCCGATCTTTACCATCCGAGTCGAAATCTTCCATATGTCTTGATGCGCTTCTTCCTCGCATATTCTGTCCGAGCTCGGCTCGATCCCATCTGCTCATAATACCGATCGAGGAGACGCCGTCTCTCCCGGACAACACCATGCCTGGGACAACATTGCCTTCACCGAACGCCTACACTGCCCCTCAGTTGCGCCAGCTGATATACTACCAACTCGATAATGACATGCTACAGAACGCCTTATTCTTTGCCGGTCGACTGCATGCTCTGGACACGAAGGACTCAAAAGGTGACTCCGCCCACCTGCTGGCCCTGTGTCACTTGAGGTTAGGGGAGGTGAAGGCGGCTTATGAAACCAGTCGGGATAGAGTATTCTCGGGTCGGCTGCCGCATTTGGGGTGCGCCTACGTGTTTGCTAAGGCGTGTTTTGCGCTGGAGAGGTATTCGGAGGGTCTAAACGCGCTGGAGCGATCAAGAGCCCAGTGGAGTGGGAGGAATCACTGGAGTGAGTGATACCATGTCGAGCTAGCCGATGACAGACGCTAATATCTGTTAGACAAACATTCCGATACTCTTCGGAGGCATTTACCAGATGCTGCGGCCGTGCTGTGTCTGCTCGGAAAGCTAAGTCGAGCGAACGACGAGACCGACAAAGCGATTGAGTACTATGTGGAGGCTTTGAAGCTGAATGCATTTATGTGGGATGCGTTCACGGACTTGTGCGACTGTGGTACGTGGATAAATCGCTGAGACCAGAATAATATTGACATTTGGACTAGGCGCTGAGTTGAGGCCCGAAAATGTCTTCAAGGTATCGATGGAATTGAATAACTCGAACCCAAACCTTGCGAATGGGACCACCAACCCACAGCCTCCGAATCTACCCCTCCAAGCGCAATCTAACAATTCGCAATCCTCGGTCTTCAACTCCTTCAACGACCCCTTCAATCCGACCATCCGTACTGCTGGGGATCCCGGGTTAAATCATGGCGGACCAAACCTATTCTCAAGGCTCAACGGCAGCATCCCCGTCATGGCGAGCCACAAAGAGGTCAACGAATGGGATACGCCTCCGGCTAATGGAAGTTTTCAGGACGAGGATGTCGTGATGGCCGATGACACTTCGTCAGTACACGAAATCGAACCCCCACAAGCTCCCCTCAAGAAGCCTTCGAGGTTCCAGACACTCATATCGGAAGCCACGCTAGACCCGCCGAAAATCCGGACGGCGAATGGTCGACTGAAAGTGAAGAGTACCACCTCCGAAAGCACGGATAGCTCCGAGTCATCGAGAATCGCCGTGCCTACAGCCCATAAGCGGACGAATTCCGGTCATATCCCTCCACCTATGAACACCACGGAACAGCCACGACGAAGCAACCGATTACGGGACATCGTGCCGCGCGACACAATTTCAGGGCCATCTAGAAGCAAGACGACCACGGTGCGAGACGTTCAAGTCAAAGAGCAGCGCGAATTACGAAAGATGAAGGCCATATCCGGTCTCGGTACAAGAGGTCGATCGACATCGACGGTGGGACGGGTCGTCAGTGGGAACCGGAAGCCGATGGAAGTCAGCACGGGAGAGGTAAAAGAGCCGCGAATCGTTGGACATCCGAGCACAGCGACTGTCCCAACGAATCGAAAAGCCGGCCCTCCACAGCCTGATCCGGCGAAAGAGCAAGAGCAAGCCGTCCAGTGGATTTCGCAATTACTGCTGCGACTTGGATCAGGATACTACAACCTCTCTCGTTACCAGAACCAAGCGGCGCTTGAGATATTTAATTCCCTTCCTGCTTCTCAACGGGAGACTGGCTGGGTACTGGCACAGATCGGCAAAGCTCATTACGAACGAACGTCGTACCCGGAAGCTGCAGATGCGTTCTCTCGAATGAGAAAAATCGCACCCTCCCGGATGGAAGACCTGGAAATCTATTCCACCGTCCTCTGGCACCAGAAGAACGAGATCGAACTCGCCTACCTTTCCCACGAGCTGATCGACGCCGACCGTCTCTCCCCCCAAGCGTGGTGCGCCATTGGCAACTCCTTCTCCCTCCAACGCGAGCACGACCAGGCCGTCAAATGCTTCAAGCGTGCCACGCAGCTCGACCCCAAATTCGCCTACGCCTACACCCTCCAAGGCCACGAGCACGTCGAGAATGAAGAGTTCGACAAAGCCCAGCACGCCTACCGGTGCGCCATCTCCGCCGATCACCGCCACTACCACGGTTGGTACGGCCTCGGCCGCGTGTACGAGCGCTTAGGCAAATTCGACGTCGCCGAGAAACACTATCGCTCCGCCGCGCAGATCAACCCGACCAACGCGGTCCTCGCCGTCCGCATCGGCACCGTCCTGCAGAAGATGAAGAAGATCCACGCCGCGCTCACGCAGTATTCGCACGCCTGCGATCTGGACCCGCGGCCGAGCCTGTCGCGGTTCGCACGGCTGAACCGGGCGCGGGCACTGCTGACGTTGGGGCGGCCGCAGGATGCGCTGGGGGAGTTGACGGTGTTAAAGGACATCGCGCCGGATGTGGCGAATGTGCATTTCTTGCTGGGGCGGACGTATAAGATGTTACGGGAGCGGTCGCTGGCGGTGAAGTATTTCACGAACGCGTTGAATTTGGATCCGAAGGTATGTTCAGCTGGACGCTTCTGTTTTTGTTAGGATCGTGCTGATTGAGCGTCTAGGCTGCTGCATATATTAAAGAGGCCATGGAGACGATCGACGATGACGACGATTTCTACGACGACGACGAAGACGGAGCATAAGGTCATTGCGACCCTGTTTTCCACATTCCGCGTCTTTTATGACCACGTCCAGCATGCACACCTCGATCACGACGCTCATTTCGAGCTTGATACACCCACCTAATGGACCTGAACGAAGTTTGACGGTCCCACAAGAACCAAAATACACGAGACGAACCTCCACGTCTGCATTGCATGCATTCATATTAGCGACACAGCATCCCTATTTCTTCTGCGTTGGATACCCCCTTCCTCCATCCACGCATCGCGCATCGACAAAACGGCGTTCGGTCGGCGACGGCCGGCATGGAGTTATGGTTATTTGGATTTTTATCACGGCATGCGTTTGGGATCGTTCAGCGGGCGTGGGTAACTTTCTCTCGCATGGATGAGCATTGTATGATTAAGTCGTTAGCGTACATACCAGTAGTCGCTTTGCGCTATGGACCGGCCTTCGTGCGGTCGGGTGGGTATCTATGGAATTATTCGTACTTCACAACACGGGTCGGCTTCGAGGGTGAAGTGAATGCGTCTGGGTATGCTCCTCCACTCAGACAGTAATCGACCGCATCCCAACCATCGCTGGCATAGCCGCTTCGACCACGTAATCTAGAGCACCACGCCCGGCCCGTGGAGATCAAGCGCGGAACCCAAAGTCCGAAGCATCTGATATCCACTCGCGGACTTCTCGGGGGGTGGAGCTCCCCACGCGGAGCCGAGACCTGCGATGCCGCCAATGGGACGACGGCAATTGGTGATGACTGGATCTGGGGATGATGAGATTATCGCACGTACGTCAGCGATGGGAGTGAGGTGTCGTTGATTTGCAGTCACAATACATTCAGATTCATTCTGTCGACGGACTACCGTACCGTCCCCCTGCACGGAGCGACTCCGTGGTCTGCCAACCCGCGCATCCTCTTGTCGTCGACTTGGCATCGGGGAGACCTAGGTAGCTACGGGCTACGTTTCTCGTCAATTCATGTCGCTCTACCCCGCACCATTGGTTGTCATTCAGGACTGGCATCACCATGCGGAGGTACAAGAGGACGCGTAAGTTCATGCGACCCTTGCGCCTGGGTTTGGCATCGTCGCACAGCGGTGCTACGGTGTTACAGCGGGGGCATTTCCTGCATCGCGCGACCGGCGGTCCTATCAGTGGTTGGGCGCCTGTATTCCGCTGTTGGCAAACCGAGAATCCACTGTAGTTTCAGAGCCGGAAACGAAGATCGTCGATGACGGGAGATCAGGGTGGAGGGAATGGCAGGCGTCTTGGATTAAGTGGTTGTTATCGTGGGCCTGTGAGAGAAGGGTTGGTGATGCAGGTTCATATCAGACACATGAAAGGGGAGCTGCTCAGCCACTGCCCATGACGCTGTCCAGCAAATGGGATGCGGTGTTGCGTGCTGATTGCTTGTGCGGCAATTGGGGGCGCATTCCAAACAGGTAAGGTTGGAGGAGTCGCCTGGATCGGGAGTGATGATGCCATTATTCTCTACGGTCTACGTTTAGGCTCTCATTGATGGCGGAAGGTACTCTCTCTCTCTTCTGTGTGACGAGCGATGGAATTCTTTCAATATTACGGCACGGAATGGAGAGTGACGGAGGATTGAAAATGGGATGATTGTTGGACATGGTGGTTGGAGAAGCGATGAAGTCCAAATAAGGCAAGCAACGGATCCCCACCTCGGTCTGGACCGTTATACTGGCGCTGGTCAACTTCTGGCTTCTGTAGTTCCCGTCGCTTGCGTCAGTGATCGGCACCATTTCTGTACCTTCCGGAATGCCAAATATCAATCTCTCCAAGCATCCCAAGGCTCAACCATCATCCAGCGATGGTCCTCCGCTTAGTGTACACCGAGAGGCGGGGATCCCACCTGTCCAAGATCGACCAAGGGCCTTCTCTCCACTAACTGCTGTGCTGACGGTCCGTTCATGTTGTAAGTGTGATTGGCAGAAACTAGCACAGGTAGACAAGTCATTGATGCAGCCAGCCAACAGGTCTCAAAAACGCACACGCATGCCCTCCTAGGAGAGGAGAGGCGTCCTGAGCGAGATGTGATACGCAGCCGGCCTCGTCGAGTGTGTGACACTGCTGCTAAACTTAAATAGCCTTCCTAAACTGCGCTGCGCCGCCATTCTAGTCGATTTTTAAATTGAAAAGAGCCCCGCCGGAATTCTCGAGGTTTAAGGTCGCTCGGTGTCCCTGTCACCGAGATTTGCGAGTCCTGCATAGAAAGCATATTGCTCTGCAGTTCCATATTTTATATCGGACTTATATGTTTTGGTGTTGAGATTTGGATCGTTTTATGTCCTTTTAATTCATTGATCTGGTGTTTCACTGAATCAACTGGTTCAGCATGAGGCTTACCTCTGTGACTGCGTTTCTCGCGCTTGGTACGTGATCATGGAGCCCGCCAATGCAATGATGATTGTAACTGACATTTCCCCCTCTTAGGCCTGAGTTCTGGAATCTCTGCACAAATCACGAAACGCTGTCAAGGACAGGTGTGCTACAGCATCAACCTTCCCGGTTCCGGCGACCTGCTCTTCCAAATTACCGGTCCCACGAGCAATGCATGGATAGCCTTCGGCCAGGGCAGCAGTATGTCCGGCGCGAACATGTTCCTCATGTACACCTCAGCCTCGGGGAACAATGTCACACTATCGCCACGCCTTGGGCAAGGCCATGTTATGCCCCAATTCGACTCCGGTGCCCAGGTGACGCTCCTTGAGGGCTCCGGCGTGTCGAACGGGATGATGACCGCCAATGTCCGGTGTACGTTTCCGCAGCGTCGATCGACGCACCCATATATTGACCGTGAACCTAGGCTCGAACTGTGATTCATGGAAAGGGGGATCCATGGACCTCACCGACGACAATGGCGACTTCATCTGGGCATACCAATCCGGTCGCGCGATGAACACCGACGATCAATCGGCCGGCATCACGCAGCATGCCTCCGAGGGACGTTTCGAGCTCGACTTCGCCCAAGCGCGGGGTGGCAACACGGCGAATCCTTTCCTGGATAGCAGTACGAGCGGCACAGACAGCTCTGGCACTGGAAGCTCCGAGACTGGAAGCTCCGGCACAGGAACGTCGGGCACCCCGGCTAGCCCTTCAGGTTGTCGACTACGACCATCGGCAGGCGGCAACTCGGGGTCACCCACGTATAGCATGCCATCGGACCCGTCTCCCGAGACCGCCACGAACAGTGCATGGGGACCGTGGGGAAGTGCCCCTCCACATGGCCCTGCCTCCCGCCCGACCGGATATCCCGGCGGTTACGGAGGAGGGTACAACAACGGCAAGCGAGAACTCGAGGAGCGAGCCGACGAGTTGCCGTATTGCGATGAGGGAAGTACCAGCGGTACCGAGAGCAATGGGGCTTTGGGTCCTGGGGTGTCGGGTTTCGCGGGCCTTAACTTCCTGATGCAGCGAAACATCTTGATCGCCCATGGGGTGCTAGGATGCCTTGCTTTTGGTGTCCTGTTCCCGGTTGGTGCCATCATTATCCGGATCCTAAGCTTCCCGGGGCTTATCTGGCTGCATGCGGGGCTTCAGGTACTTACCTGGTTGGTGTTCGTGGCTTGTTTTGGCCTTGGGATATACATGGCGACCACTGGCCCTGTCAACATGGTAAAGAAATAAAAGAGTACCGTGACAGCACCGCTAACTGATATGTGCAGTTGGACAAATACCATCCTATCATCGGCATCGTCCTATTCGTCCTCCTTTTCTTCCAACCGATTCTCGGAATGGTCCACCACACCATGTTCAAGAAATACGGCACCCGCACTGCCTGGTCCCACGGTCATCTCTGGAACGGCCGCATCATCATTACCCTGGGCATCATCAATGGCGGCCTGGGCTTCATGCTTGCCGGCAACACGCAGGCCGGATACATCATCTTCGCCATCGTCGCGGGGATCATGTGGGTGCTGTATGTCATCGCCGCCGTCCTGGGCGAGCGAAAGAGGGCGAGGAAGGCGCCGCCGAAATATGAGGACCGAAGCCCGCCTGGCCCGCGACGTCCGAGCCACTCGCGACACCCGCAAGAAGGGTACTATGGCCCAGGAAAGGGTCGATAAGGGTAGGGTAAGGAAGGGCGGAACGGATAGAAAGGCACTATGACTTATGTGTACATGTATCATGCTTGAACACCGACACGGCCGGCATTGGAGTCTCTGGGACATGGCTGGCTGATATGGATCTATTTGATTCAAGTGGGTTAGCTAAATCTGGAGGGGGATAGATATTTTCCCTCCAGTTAGCTATCAAAAATTCAAAATACTCTGCACGTAATTCGCATACTACATAGTAGTCCAGGCCCTGTGTATTAGTAAACAACCTCCCTACCATTGGAGCGGGGAGACGCGGGATGAACCGCCAAGTGTTCCGCTGTTCTTGTGCAGACCCCCTTTCGGCCTTTCCGCACTGGCTCACGCTCGGGCCGCTTTCCGCTGGTCAGCAACATCTCCTTGACAACATTCAACATCGCTAAACAAACCATCGCCCCTCCAACTCCGACAACTTGGTCATTCTTCTCACCTTGCAACGCCCACCCTCTTTCTTGAAAAACCATTCCTTTTCATCCTTTACGAATCCCATAGACTTTTGCTCCGTGCTACCGCCAAAATGGGTGAATCAAGGTATGTTGACCCGTGAGCCCCTGGCTGCAATGTGGTGCCTTGAGTCAGGCATCACTCGAACATGAAGACATCTTTGCAGAGATATTGTCGGAAATCAATGTCGCTAATTGCTTTCTTTCTGCAGACAGGAGTTGCTCGCGTGGCTCAACAACCTCCTCCAGCTCAACATCACCAAAGTCGAGCAATGCGGAACTGGGTACGCCATCATGAGACGATAATGCGGGACTGGGTACTAACACGTTCAAAGGGCTGCCTTGTGCCAAATTTTCGATAGTATCTTCCGTAAGTCCGATAGGAGCACACGATAACCTTCTCGACACTAACTCACGAATAGTCGACGTGGCTATGTCGAAGGTCCGATTCAACGTCAACACCGAATATGCGTACATACAGAACTTCAAAGTCCTGCAAAGTACGCAACCCATCTCATTCCCCCTCACCCCCTGAATTCTAACCACCCTCTACCCTCAGATGCGTTCACACGGCATCACATCGAGAAGATCGTCCCTGTCGAGGCCCTCGTCAAATGCAAGATGCAAGACAACCTCGAATTCCTCCAATGGGCGAAGCGATACTGGGACCAATACTACCCCGGCGGCGAATACGACGCCCTCGCCCGCCGCAAAGGCTCCGGCGCTCCCGCCGCCACCGCCAGCTCCGCCCGCGCGCCCGCCACCGGCGCACGACGGGCGGCCCCCGGCGCAGCCCCGCGAACCCGCACGCCCCAGGGCGGCGGGGCGCCGAGCGCGGCGCTAGTGATGGAGAACAACCAGCTGAAGGAGACAGTGGCGGGGCTAGAGCGGGAGCGTGACTTCTACTTCAGCAAGCTGCGGGACATCGAGCTGCTGATCCAGACGGAGATGGAGACGCATCCAGAGCTGGAGGAGGTGGAGGACGGGATCCTGAAACAGATACAGAACATTCTGTACTCGACTGAGGTGGGTGATTCTCTATGAATTTTGGAATTGGGTGGGCGGGGCAGCTTCACTGACGCTTGGTAGGATGGGTTTGAGATCCCGCAGGAGGAAGGCGAGGTGCAGGAGGAGGAGACGTTCTGAGCGATGGACTCTGGCGATGAGCACGTCCTGTGTTCAACTTTGGCATGGGGTCCCAGGGATATGGGAGGAGGCGTGTAGGTTTATGGAATTCAAGCGAGTGGGGGTTTAGTATCGCTGAGGAAAGTCCCAGTCGTCTTTTGATAAGTAGGCATCGCGTTGATGCATAGTATGTACTCTCTGTTTCCGGGGACTTAGATAACGAGGAACGAATCTCATAGAGTCGTGAGACAAGCTGCATCTCTGACTCCTGTGAAGATTGTCTCTCGTTGCTCTGCCATGGACCCTGCTGTCAGGGTCTGGTGATGCAGCACTGGTCCATGCTGTCCATGCTGTCCATGGTTACATTTCGATGCCTTACAACAAAAGAATTTCAGCCTCAGGCATCATTTGAGGTATCGCTGTGACGTCTTTATCAAACTACGATTGTTTCCTCGACACTCACCAACTACCAAGTTGATAATCTCCATGCTTATGTTCGAATATTTCATGGAAGCTTTGAAGAATACCGCGATCAATGAGAGTCTGTGTCCCACCTGCACCAGAGTTTCCACCGCTCCAGGCTCCAATCCGACCCCATCTGACTGCCTAGTACAGCAGCGGAAGATAAACAAACAGGCGACAACGAATCTCACAACTCCGAGAACATTCTACACACGACACTCAGCACCTAAGACTCCATACCGCGTGCGATCTTGAAAGACCACATCTATCCTTCAAACACCACTTCCACCATGCCCCTCGACATCCGTATACCCACCACCAGCACCGCCCATCCCCCCACCACCAAACCTCACACCCTCTACCACCTCATCCTCACCTCCCCCCTCCGCACTACCGAGCTCCAAAAGCGCTACTCCGACTTCCTCGCCCTCCACGCCGCCCTCACCGCCTCCACCGCCACCCCCCCACCCGCCCCCCTCCCCCCCAAATCCTGGCTCACCCGCACCATCGCCTCCCCATCCCTCACCGAAACTCGCCGTCAGCGCCTTGAGGCTTACCTCCGCGCCATCGAAGCCGACATAGACCCCCGCTGGCGGAACACCCCTGCTTGGCGCACGTTTCTGGGGTTGCCCGCGGGCGCCGCGGCGGCAGGTGGAGGGGCGTTCGGGGAGGACGGGGTGAAAGCGCGGGGTGGGCTCATCGGAGTGTTAGGAGCGATCGCGTCGCCGGGGGCGTGGCTAGATGCGCATGCGGAGTTGAAGACGCAGCTGCAGCAGGCGCGGTTGCAGTTAGCGAAACGGGACCAGAGCAGTACGTCGTTGGGGAGTGGGGGAGAGGGGGGGCGGGATGTACAGGGGAAGCGGGAGGCGAGTGCGAATGCGAAGAAGGGGCTGGTGAGGGCGGGAACGTTGATTGCGCGGTTGGAGGAGGGGTTGGGGCGGTTGGAGGGGAAGGGGGAGTTGGGGAGGGGGGAGGTGCGGAGGCGGAGGGATCTGTTGGGGGTGGCGAGGATGGAGAGGGAGGGTTTGGAGGGGGTGTTGAATGCGTGGTCGGCGAGTCGGGTAGGGAAGGAGGAGGAGAGCGCGGGTGATAAGAAGGGGGAGCTGATGGGCGGGGCGGGGGGCAGGGGGAGGAGAGTGTTGGGGGCGCCGTTGAAGGAGACGGAGCGGTCGAGGGAGTTGGATAATCAAGGGGTGTTGCAGTTGCAGCAGCGGATCATGAAGGAGCAGGACCAGGATGTGGAGTCGATGACGGGCGTGGTGAGGCGGATCAAGGAGATGGGGATCGCCATCAATGAGGAGTTGGTGTCTCAAATGGACTTGGTCAACATCTTGGACCAGGATGTAGATCGGTACGTCGTTCTCTTCAGCTATATTATTACCGGACATGCTAACAGGTTTTAGGGTCTCTGGGAAGGTTGCAGTGGCGAAGAACCGTATCGGGCAGATCAGATAGGCTGGATCAACGCCGGGTCCTGTCTGATATGAAGCTGCTTTGCATTTCTGCCGGTCTAGCGTCGCGTCTTTATACCCTAGCTTCAGTTGTAAGAATGCCATTTAAATTCGGGTTGACAAATGAAGCGAGACGGGTCTGCTTTCAATCGGCTTCACGGGCGAGAGAATCGCTTCCTGACTGTCCCCGATCTCCTTCTCGCGAAGCATTCTCGCGACGACCTCGCTTTCGTCCAGGCAACACGCTGTTCCCACAGAAATCAGACCGTTTTCATGCCCTCAACGCCAACCGTCACCGTGGTATCCCACCTAACTCCAGTCGAGATGTTCCCCAAGAAAAAGCCATTCCTCATCCCTCCACAGTACCCCCACCCACCACCAACCGCTGCTTCTTCTTCTCCTTCCCCTTCTGCTTCACCACAACTTCCTCCTCCTCCACATCCATCTCCTCCGCCTCGATGCCCGCCCACTCGCCCTCCTTCACCGCATCCACCTCCATCGCCGTCTCCACCCGATCCCTCTGACTCGGCGGCAGCAGATGCTGATTCTCTGCCACCAGCGCGCGATCCTCCTCAAACGCCCGCCTCTTATTCCCCTTCATCCGGTTCAGGTAGAACTGCCGCTCGCGCTTCGCGCGCAGCTCGTTCACGCGCGACATGGCGCGCAGCGTGGTGGCGACCAGGTCGCGGTTGTAGCGCACCGGCACGTTGCGGCGGGCAGCGAAGGTCAGGGTGGTGTCGACGGTCATCTCCTTGCCGTGGGCGCGGCGGAAGGCTTTGGTCCAGGAGAGCTTGCGCGGGTTTCGCTTCATTTTGAACTATTGCAGGGCACTGTGGTCAGCGCATCGCTGGGGGTTTGGGTGGGGATAGCGGGAACATACGTTCTTATGGCATTTGCTGCGGCAGAAGCGGAAGAGTTTGGCGTCGTTTCGGACGAAGGATATGCCTGTGAAATGTGAGCCGAGCGATCTTGCGATGGATGGAGGAGAGAATCCCACCTTTGCTGGGAAAGCATGGCCGCGAGCAGAAGTAACACGTTTCGATCCTGCATACAGAGTCAGTGATCATTCAATTTGTACGATTAAGGATAACTTACCTCATCTTGACGACCTGTAGCGCAGTGCAGGATTATTATTGCGGTGAGGAAGGCTTGAAGTTGCCAAAAAATTCAAATGCGGGACGAAGTTCTGGTTTGCAGATTGCGCAGTTGGTCGCTACGGTTCTCCGGAGCATGGCGACTCTCCAACTCCAAAGTTCCACAGCTTCACATCCTCCAGAGGCATCAAAGCATCGCGTAAGCTCATAACAGCCTAAGACCGATACAACAACCTTCGACATTTCTCATATCGACTTCCAATCCTCAAATACTGCGTGTCTGAAATCTAAGGCTATCAAACACATTCCGAAAACGACGCCTTCTCACCTCCGCCGCCTCCCATCACACCTCCCCAGCTTCCACCTCCAGATACACCAACACGATGGACAGGTTAAGCGGGTTAATCAACGCCGCCCGTGGTATGGGCGGTGGCATGGGCGGAGGATCATCACAGGTGCCTTCATCCCTTCGACTCTCTGACCTCTCTGTACCAGCCAGACCCTAACCGCTTGCCACAGGATACCAACATCATCGACAACTCCGAAACAGTTTACATCTCATCCCTTGCGCTCCTCAAAATGTTACGGCATGGACGGGCTGGTGTACCGATGGAGGTCATGGGACTGATGCTCGGAGTGTTTGTGGATGATTATACGGTGCGAGTGGTGGACGTGTTCGCCATGCCCCAGAGCGGGACGGGTGTGAGTGTCGAGGCGGTGGACCCGGTGTTCCAGACGAAGATGATGGATATGTTGAAGCAGACGGGAAGGTATGCATCTTCCCTCCCTCTTTACCCTCTCTTGCCCTTCCCTCTTATTCTCATTCGACGCATCGATCTTGAAGTGAATAGCACTGACGTCCCCCAGACCCGAAACCGTCGTCGGCTGGTACCACTCCCATCCCGGCTTCGGCTGCTGGCTCTCCAGCGTCGATATCAACACACAGCAATCCTTCGAGCAGCTCACCCCTCGCGCTGTCGCTGTCGTCGTCGACCCCATCCAATCCGTCAAAGGCAAAGTCGTCATCGACGCCTTCCGCCTGATCAACCCGCAGCTCCTCATGATGGGCCACGAACCCCGCCAAACGACCTCCAATCTCGGCCACCTCAACAAGCCGTCCATCCAGGCCCTCATCCACGGCCTGAACCGCCACTACTACAGCATTGCCATCAACTACCGGAAAACGGGGCTCGAGGAGAACATGCTGATGAATCTGCACAAGCACGTGTGGACGGAGGCGCTGCAGATGGCGGACTTCCGGACCGAGGACGTGCGGAATAAGGAGCGGTTGACGAAGTTGGTAGGGCTTGCGGAGGGATATGAGAAGCGGGTCAAGGAGGAAACGGAGTTGACGAAAGAGCAATTAAAGACGCGATATGTTGGGAAGGTTGATCCGAAGAAGCGTAAGTTTGGCATTTTCTTTTCCTTTTTCTGATTTGTCCTGAGGCAATCCATGTCTATTGCGGGATCAATTTATGTGGTAAATTTTACTAACACATTCGGTAGACCTCGAAGACGTAGGCCAGCTCCTCATCGAAGACAACATCGTCTCCGTATCCCGCCAGATGATCGACAAGGAAGCATCCGTACCGACCGCAAAGTCCGAGGCCAACGGGCAGTCGAATGGAATGGATGTTGACGAGCTATGACCGTACCTTTCAGCTCTGCTTTTAGAAACTACAATACCCGAGAAGGTTTCATTTTGCATGGTCTCGGTCTTCCCGCCGTCGGTTGGCATATGTAAAATATCCTGGGGACCGGCAATTCAAGCAGGTCATGGCGTCGATCAGCTCATGCTCGGTTCATAGAACTAATTTGACATCTCTATGGTTTTGGACGCTATCGTGTATCGAAGGTGATCCTAAACAATTTTGGATATCTCCCTAAATCTATACCAAGTCCAAGTCAAAGTCAATCCGCCCCAGAACAAAAATAATAAAATCCTATCCTTCGGCATGAACATAGTCAAGTCATCGTATGTACCAGTATATCTTTTCATGACCCAAAAATGTCTGGGAAAATTCTAACATGCAATCCAACGCTCCAACGCCATCGCTTCCAAACGTTTCCAAGCTAGATGCAGTAAATTCCATTTCAACTTCTCCCCACATTTTCCTTCTCTTACCTACCCAACCCCTTCACCCGCGACCATTCGCCGTCCCGTTCGCCGTCCCATACCCTCTCCCTCTCCCCTCCCCCTGCCCCACCTCCACACTCGGCATCAACCGCTCCGTCTCCTGCGCCTCCCTCGCCTCCCTTCTCAAGATCTCCAACCCGGTCTCCCGACTCTTCGCTGCGACGTAGCCGACCAGCGCGATTCCCACGACCAGCGCGGTGCCGAGCAGGAGGAGGTTGACGGGGACGGGATCGTGGTGGAACACGCGGTGGGTCAGGGCTTCGAGGCCGGATTGCGAGAAGTTGAGGAGCCCGGCGAGACAGATAATCGTGCCGTAGACTTTGCCGAAGGTGGCGAAGCCGAACACTTTGGCGGCGTAGTCACTGCGGGAGATGCGTTAGCGAATTGGCATGCCGACGGAATTTCGAGGGGGGAGGTGTCGGAGGGGCAATCTGAGAGAGAAAGTGGGGATAGGAAACTTACGAGACCGCTGTATAGTAGAATGGTCGATATAGGACGAAGAGGCATACATTGGCATACGATGCCCACATGTGCGGGAGGACGCCGAGGACGCCAATGGTCGTGGCGGTGGTGACGAGTACGGCCAGCACGGTCGGGGTGCTCAAATTATCGAGGAACCAGCCGATGAAGGGGACGGCGACGACGCCGCCCAAGGGGAGCGCAACGTCGAAGAACGTGTTGACCGCGACGGCCTTCCGCTCGTCGCCGAGCAGGTGCTCGTACTGCGGGCGGATCGTCGCGACGAAGTAGTTGATGCGTGTCATCTGGATCACGGTGAACAGGGTGATCAGGACGAACCACGGCGTAGCCATCTGCTGTGCGGCCGTGCGGCCGTGCAGCGCGCCCCAAACGCCCGAGTTGTGCTTCTTCGCCTCCTCCTTCTGGTTCTGCTCATCCGCGTCCACTGTGCCGAGCAGCGCGGTGACTTCTTCGATGACGCTCTCCCGGCGGTGGCGGCGCTCGTCCTGTAGGAGCTGACGCTCCGACTCGTCTTCGATGTCGCCGTCGGACTCGTGGGCGTCGGCCTCGGCGCCGGTCTCGGCGTCGCTGACGAGCTCGCCGACGGTCTTGTAGGAGGCGCTGGGCATGAGAAAGATCTGGACGACGAGGATGAAGGTGGGGACGAGGAGATAGGCGAGGAAGAAGTATTTCGGCCAGAAGCGCGCGTGTGTGGCCTGGTAGATGAGGCGATAGAAGAGGAAGATGGCGGACGAGGAGTCGAAGGCGCCGGTCAACAGGGCGAGGATGAGTCCTGAGTACCGCGGGAAGGTGTTGGAGAGTTGGAAGGAGGAGATGAAGATGAAGGGGCCGCCGAGGGCGAGGAAGAGATACGATGGGATGTAGCCGTCGAAGGGGAGCTGGCCGGCGAACGCGAAGAAGAGACATCCAAGGTAGACGAATAATGACCCGATGATGCCGGCGACTCGCGGTCCATAGCGATCGAGGATTGTACCCACAGGGAGAGCAACGACATTCGTAGAGACCGCAGCGATTGTGAACATGAAGTTGAGTCTAGAAGTCAACTTAGCTTCATGTTGGACGTTTTATTGGAGAGCGGTTCCAGACTTACCGTAATTCCTGCTCGTAGCATACATGCACTCCCCTATCCAGCTCATCTTTTGAACATGTTTCTCGGTATACCCCCTCTTGAATCAACACCGGCTTAATCGCTGCATAACCAAACACGATCCCAGCAGCGAAGAGGCAATATATGACGGCAACTATAACTTGAGCTGTACACCGAAGAGGTTAGCTATCTATTCCACCATGAGCGAATCCGTATAGCATGCAAATCCAGGGTATATTGACTTTGGTGGTATGTTCCACCACCGTACTTCTATTTTCACGACGTACCTATTCTCTTGGTCGTCGATACCTCAAATGCCCCGATCGGTTCCAGTTCCTCCTGCAAAAGCGGTGGCACCCAATTATCGACAGGGTTAAAGCTGAGCTTGCGTCGTTGGCCGCCCGAAGGCGATATCTCGCGCCATAGATCGTATTCTTCGAGGGCCGAGACGCGTTGGCTGAGAGACATTTCGACGTTCGTTCAAGGGCTTCCAACACTATCTTGCTAAACTCTTACGATGGGAGTAGGAGATGGCGGGAGTAGTCGCGATACAGGAAGGCGGGGAATGGCGGCGATTGGGTGAGGGTGAGACAGCTGCAAGAAACAGACTTGCGTGTCACTATAAATCCGTCACCCTATTGCAGTTTTTTTCTCGCCCCGTCGGCTTGACGAGAGGAAAAAAAAATTGCGAGGCCTGATGATCCAGGTCCCCGTCTCCGAACACGGTCGAGGGATCAGCGCCGGACGAAATTACTGGATGGAGGACATGATGGACTCGCGGATGGGCGGGTCGAGAGCATGCATGAGAGGTCCTCTGTTCCTTGTTCCTGCGGGGGCTTGTATGCACTATGCAGGAAGTAAAACGGCACTCGAGCTCGTGGTTGACAGGAATCGCAGGATTGCAGCGATAATCGGCGAAAATTAGTTTGAGACGTACATTTGAAAAAGGCGTAAGTGCGGAGAGCGGCGTGCATATGGAGCTTCGACGGACATCAAAATGCAGACGTCACTGGAGAGAGCAAGAAATTCGGTTGGAACTGCGGGTCACCAAACTACCGGGGGCGCTTCATGGTGATCGGTCGTCGGGCCTGAGCGATACCAACTATGCCACTAATCTCCAAACAGGTAATTTTGTGAGAATCAACGTCCAATTGCGCTTCGTCAATATTCAATTGCCATATCCATGCCGAGTGATCTGAGGGTTCGGGCTGCGCTGCTGGGAATGTGATGCGGACGTGGGGGACAACAGCTTGGGGGCACGGCGAAATCGGTGATGGACGACGGGAACAGGCAAGAGGAAAATGTCCGAAGGGAGCTTGTTTATCCTTGATGTGTTGATGTATATATTTTGGACTTTTCATTATGGTATTAGACAAAATCTGCTCGGAACGCCTGTCGAGCACCAGGACAATTAGGTGAAATGAGCAACATGAATCCCCAAACGCCTTCCCCATGCCATTGCGGACAAGCTGCCATCTAGGCATGCAAGGTTTCTCGCGGTTCATATTTGATCCAGATCAGATGACAGACTAACATCTTAACAACGTTCTCCATGAATTTGGCTTGTGTACACGTTAGATCCGTCTATGCAGGATCCTTAACGTATCCAGCCTTCTTGTTCTTGAAAAACAGTGTCGGCAAAAGCAGTGCAGACACCGTATAGAGAATGCAAAGGGCGATGCTAAGACCCCAGATCGCCTTCGTCTCGTAGCAATTGGCCTTGGTGAAGCCCGCCCACGCGCGAAGGTCGAGTTGGCTGCCGGGAACGCCGAGGTTGGTCTTCATGGATTGAACCATCGAGTAGGTCTGGATTGCGTCTTGCGCTTGGGTGGAATCGCCAAGGGCGGGGCAGTGGAGGAACGAGAGCGGTTTGCCAACGGTGACGGCGACGACGATCCAGGCGATGAGGAGGAGGGAATCGACACCGCACATGACGAAGAGGCCGATGTTGGCTTGGGCCCAATAGAAGGCGATGGACACCAGGGTGTAGAGAGTTGCGATGCATGTCTGCGGGTAGAAACGGTCAGAACGGGAAGAGTGTTAGGACCTTGGAAAACATACGACGCTGAGAGTGCCAACCACCTCCTTAGAAGGCTCGCGACCATATGCGACCATCTCGCTGACAAAATTCGCCGTCATTCCAACAATGCCAATCATGGCAATGACTTGCAAGCCCCGGACAAGGAGGAAGGTGGTGCTCAGGGGAGCGGCTCCGTAGCTTGGGATAGGCATGATGACGGGGTTGATAGTTCGATTCGTGAAGGAGATTCGTTCGTTTGTGGGCTACAGAGCGAGAAGGAATGCAATATAAAATGCTTTTCAACAATGAATGTTGGGGATGGTCGTATGTAAAGACTGGACCTGCCGGTAGATATATAGAGAGCGATGAATGCCAGCAACCAAAGCAGATAGAGAAAACCGACTAGCAGAAAGAATGAGTCAAGGAAATTCGTCACGACTTTGTTTGCAAAGACTGAATGGATCTGAAGATGAAGCAGAAGACAGGAAGTGTGAAGCTGTCCATGACTGGATTATATACCTGCTGAACCGAGATCCGTGTACCCAAGAGCATCCGTGCCTAGCGAAGGTATCAGGAGAGCATCACCATGCGATCAGTTCCCACGAGAGACATCTATTCCTGTCAGTGTTGTTGACCATTGTTAGATCATGAATCATAATGGACTTTCGTTTCACACCGTCCTGAGTTGACGCTGAAGCATCCAATGGGGGGGATGAATCGGCAATGCGGCTCTTCCCGATAGCGGGAGGGGTGTGTTTGGGGCGGGCTCCATACCGGCGCCTACAGAAAACTGGTCCTCAAGCGCAACGTCCTCTTCCAACAGGACCGTGAATCCCATGTTTTGACGCCATCTTGCCTGGATGAGGCTCCGGAATCCCAAAGTCTCCAGCGCAACCGTCGTAGCGGGCTCCACTCGGCGTTGTTGGTTCTCGTTTGATGTAGAAGCCGTGGAGCCTCGTTCCGCTCCAGGGTTCACTTTCAAACCGGCTCCGCTCCCGCTGCCGCACTGCGTCGCGATGGCCTATGATTAGCAAGTCGGCATTTCTGTTGAGCCGGCATCGAGAGGCTGTCGATGCTCCGCGACGAGCGTGGGATACGCGCTGTTGGGATGGATGAGATGAGGAGGGATAAAAGTAACGCGTCGCAGCTGTTGGATATTCATGCTACAACAGTCTGGCGAATCAGATGCGCACATTGATGAGAACTAATGTGTACAGTTCGTTCCAGGCCCTCACAATCTTCCCATTCACTTTAAGAGGTATCGTACAGATACAAACAGGCTGGACCTCCAAACGGCACGCCATTTGAAGGTCTGACCAACGAGTTCGAAAGAGCTCTGGTGTGGCGGGGGCTGGGCATCTGTAGCTCCTAGTATGTCCCTAGGAGACTCGCGACATGACGTGTGATATATCAAATGCGGCATAACTCTCTCCCTTCGAAAAATGCCTTATAACCTCAACTTCGCACACGACGATGTCGTCTGCCTCCGATTCTAGCGCCGATCCAGCAATTCGGAGACGCACCCCTTGCAGTTCAAGTCTACGCAAAGCTATTCTCAAGTCATCAGCCGCTTCAGAATGCGCTATCTTCGGTGTACATCAGATCTCCTCGCTTTTCTTACGCGTGTTAAACAATTATTCTCTCGCTCATCATTTCGATCATTTCGACTATTTGCTCGTGTTCCGTTTTGTGAAGATCGGAGCCGATGCAAAAACTGAGCAGACCCGCTAAGCAGGCGAATGAGTCCAGAATCTAGGTTTATATTTGGAAAGGCTTCAGATTCTGATACATACGGCCACATCAACCTGAATATAGGGCATCCCGTCCGCTCTGCCGTACTCAAGCAGGTTAGAGATGGAATAGTACTACGGTGGGTGACCATAGGGGAACTCTCTCACTGTAGTACTACTCGGCTTGTCTGCCATTGGCCAACAATGTTACCATACATTCTTAGTCAGCGAGGGATACGTTACGGGGAATTAGATGGTTGGTTTATGTTTTGCGCCCCCGGCAATCCCTCCCTTCGTACACCTCCGTAATTCATCATTTAATCCAGATGAGCTCATTTGGACTGCCCTACACTCTGGAGATACTTTGATAGCTTTACAGACTCTCCTTTCCTCTTACGAAGACGGACATCGACAACCATCGTGTGAAGCACTTTATAAGACTTTCTTACAGATGATCCTGCAAGTAAAAGAAGTCTGGATTGTTCTCGATGCTCTTGATGAATGCAACGCGAGGACAGGGTCGCCAAGCGAAGGATTGCTCTCGTGGATGAAAGATTTCCAAAGCTCCTACCGAAAGAATGTCCATCTCCTTGTGACAAGCCGCCAAGAACGAGACATCGAGTCTATAATCAGCAAATTTGCTCGTATGGACGACATAATTCCTATTCAGAGTGACCTTATCACTGATGATATCCGGGCCTACGTGCGCAGGAGAGTGACAAAGGGTGATGGTCTTAAAAGATGGTACTCGGAACCAGACATCCAGAAAAATACGCCCGAGGGTCATAAATGGACCCAAGGGGTGCGCAGCGTAGGGAGCAGAACCTCCCAAGTTTTAACAGCATACCCAGCCACAGTTTGCTGATGAAGTCCTGATCCTCTACGGCCAATCACACGCGCTTATTAGTACTGGTTTCACCGATAGCTAAACCACATAATGAAATAAACAGCAGATGATATACTATAACTCGTTGATTTTGATCTATCTACGCAGACTCCATATCCGCAACGTTATAGAGGATATGAATCAAGCGATTCCCGCTTACTCAGGTTGCACCTAACAACCAACCTTATTGAGGTGTTCTTTTGATTGATGGGACGATCAAGCAAACTATGAACGTTTTTAAGCACTCTAAATCTCCATTCAGGAACCTTGAGTGCCGGACGGGTTAGACCCCGTTGTAGGTGTATCGATCTCACTCGCAAGTAGCGGGGACGACCTCCGAGGTGGAGAGGATGATCGGATCGGAAGTTAAACACGTCGTAGAGGCGGTGGCATGAAACCGACCGCGAATTGCTGAGGATCCTGTATAGACACATTAGCCATGCTGCGCAAGGAGTAGACGGTATGTAGTATGTACGGAGGACGCGACGTGATACAATGCGCGCCGAGCGACATCATCGTTCCTAGCTTGAGTTGTAGCAGTTACTTGCATGCGCAATCGCGGTAGATCAAACGATTCTTCGAATAACACCCCTTTCAGCGACTTAACACGCGAGACAGCTACATAAGTTAATCCCGGCGCAAAGTCCCGCTTATCAGCGATGTTCAAAACTGCCTTTTCTAGTGTCATTCCCTGGCTCTTGTGGATGGTGATAGCATACGCCAGAACCATTGGAAACTGGGTACGCAGGCAGGCGACAGAATCGCGAACGAAGTCTCGACGGGACCGGAATATAGGCACGAGCTTTTCACCGTTAACCTCTCGAAAGGATGGACCATCATAGCTGTCGAATGCAACCAGTAATGCCGTGGGAGGCGACTTCCGGGGATCTTGAACGTCCGCTTCCCAGGCCATGTCGCGTACATTACCCATAGTACCGTTTACCAATCCTCGTTCGGTCCAGATATTCTCGGTAAGCATGACACGGAACCAATAGATATAGGGAAGGTGTTCTGCAGGTTGCCGGCTTGTTCGGTAGTGGCGCTCGCTGCACCTTTCCCCTCATTAGTTGCAATCATCAGGACAACTGGTCGGCCACTTTCGCGCATCTGTGTATGGTTGAATTGAATGACGTCTGCCTTCTTGGCGTAGACGTGAAGGGCACCCTGGAAGCTTTAGACGTCACTGGGCGAGAGAGTAGAAGCAACTCGCGTAGCAAGAAGGCGCCAGTTATCAACCGTGACATTCCCGGTTCGCAAGTCTTCGAGTGCATTTCGAAACATTGCCTCCTCAGGTCCCTGCTGACGGACAACAACGTCTAGCTCAATTGTTCGGAAGAAGCCTTAATAGAGTCTATGGCCATGGCTCTCATCGATGTTCTTTGAAATGTTGTTCTGGCTGGTAAAGAGCGGCTTCTCGCCAACGGGCGGCAGCTGGAAGAAGTCGCCAGCTAGGATAACGTTGAGGCCACCAAATGGACGGTCACTACGATCAGGCCAAATCTCATTACATCGACGGTCAATCCAAGCAAGAAGTTTCAAGCCAACCATTGACTTCTCGTCAATGACGATATATTGAACACCTTTGAATGCAGTCTGAATAGCCTGAGCGGCTTGCTTTAACAACTTTTCGTACTGCTTGGCCTTCGGAGTGAGGCGGAATAGGGAATGAAGGGTCTTACCCGAAATGTTATGCGCGGCTACACCGGTAGGGGCAGCCCGAACGATTGGGGAGGTAGTATGCCCTATCGCACTCGCGACAGTCTCAAGCGCCTCGGAAAGGATCATAATAAGGTACGTCTTCCCTGTCCCACCCTTACCATCGATGCTTAGCAGGAGCTGAGGCGGAGGCCGGTGCTCCTGGTAGGCGTGAAAGTGACGCATGACGAGGTCCTGACAGAGTTTCTGTTTGCCATTTAGGCTAGCATATGTCCCAGCAGCAACGGCTACTAAGTTAGCCGGAAAGTCCGCCTTTATCCGTTTCCAGAACTCGACATCGAGGTCGAGATAGTTACCGATCATGCCATCAAGGATATATGCACGGTCGATGTCTCGGTCGCCAATGCGGTCAGGGTCCTCGACCTGCGCACTATCTCGACCGGGGCAAACTTGTGCAAGCTCTTGCCAGGAAGCAAGAATATCCTCCTCCTCGGAATCGAGTGGCTCCTCATCATTATCCCCCGTTAGCATCTCCACCTCATACCCGTCGGGAGTATGGCCTTCATGAAACGTTTTACACTCTTCCTAAGCCTCGTAGAACGTATCCCAAGTCTTCTCTGGATCGTAAAGGTATGCCTTTAGATCATCGACTTCACGGAACGGATGGTGCAACATCAACTTTACTCGAGCAAAGTTCTCTGGATCGATTTCAGGACGATAGCGTGGGAAGAAGTTCAACACCCGTTCCGAAGCACGAGGTCGCCTTCGGTATTTCTGGAGGTCATATTCACGCAGAAGCTCGAGATAAGTAATGCTATCGCACTCCGGAGGACGATCTTTATACTTCTGAAGCAGTGACTTGCCAGCGCGAACCTGAACACCGCTCTCATGATCCTCGAGGAAGTGGAGCTCAGCGTGCTGCTGCTCCGGGCGACAGTCAACATTGATGACCATCCGACTCTGGGAGCACAAAGGCAGGTCTAAGAGAAGATGGCAGATCTCTTGCGCAGACCAATTCCGTTCGCCTACGAGACGATTCATCGTCTTTTCCACGAGTGATTGGTAGGGGCGATTCGAATTGAGACGCGGAAGGAGCTTTGAAGTCATATCACGATATAACTCTGATGCCTCTTCGGCCTTGGTAGTGTACTTACCGAGATAGAAGATAACTCCATCTTTACCGGTACAGGGCTGGATGTCCGTATTGGCGCACCATGCCTTAGTAATAAGCGGGTTGTACTGGTTGAGCTTTGGGTCATTGCGTTCGGATTGGGAACGGTACCACGATCTTCCAGGATCCTTCACCATCTCTGGCGTAGTCGTAATGGGCCACGGGGCCTTAATACGACACTCCTCAATGCTAGTCGTCTTATTAGTACGAAGATAATATTGCCTAGTACAATGATGAACCTGAACACGGTTCAGTAGGTTGGAAAGATGGCGCAGTGTGTTCGGTTGGTCCGCAAACGGCATCTGCAGTTCTGACCTCTCCTCAGGACGAACCCAATCACGCCCACGGTCTGGATTGATAGCATGGATGTGGATTCCCCAAAACCGAGCAAATTCCGTCAGTTGGTCGATATTGTCTTGAAGTTCAGGACTAGGTAAGCCGTCACCCTCCATCCAATATGAACCATGGTCATGGGTACTACCGCGTGATTGCCATTCGAAACGATGCCAGTAGTCGACGATGTTAAACTTTGGAATAAGCACCTCGGTCCGGAAGGCCTCGAAACGACGGTGGAAATGATTCGCGACAATCAATAGATTATCTCGGACCGCATCACGAGCAATGCGAATACGTTGTACTGAAGTGGCGGATTTCCACTACTCGTAGTTCGGCATGGATTGCATCAGATCATCCCAGTGATAATCGGCTGCAGAGAAGGTGATAAAGAGATGCGGACACCCGAGTTGTCGGACACCGGCTTCTAAAGCCCGACGCTTTCCTGCCCAAAATGAACGGGTGCCGCGCATACTGCCGGAGTAACGGGAGATAGAGTTAACCATAGCTTCCGCTTCTGGAGTATCTTCCTCGAAAGCTCGTCGAAGATCGTCAACTGTTAAGTCAGTGGGACCAGGGCGGATCTTCTTGACGAAAAAGCTCGCGCGTGAGTTGACTTGGCTCCTCATGATTGTATTGAAGACAACATATCGAAAGCGAGGGTGCTGTGCGAAGCGTCCATCCTTGTAGAGAAGCAGATGCTTGACGAATTCGTTGTACTTGATAGCTCGGATCCTTGGCGTGGCAAACTCCGCCCTCCCGTATGGAAACAGTGTAGGGAAAGCCCATGTCAAACATGGGACTGATTTGTTCAAGTCTGCAAGAGGGGTCGCACGGAGGGATGGCATGGTCATGAAGGGTGCTTGACTGGCCTGGAGCCGTTCCCTTCTACGTGCTCCAATTTCAAGACGCATCTGATCGATCTCTTGGCGGTCCGGGTTCAAGTCCGGGACTGCACTGGCTTGCGGCGGGGATATATCGTCGTCTTCTGGGTCGTCAAAGTCGTCTGCCTGCATTTCAACATTGGGCTCATCCTGGTGGTCATAGATAAGCAGGTCCTCTTCAACTGAGCCGTTTTCGGGCAAGGCGTCGAGTCGAGTTAGATCAATGTCGATAGAAGCATAGGCAGGATGGTGTTCTTGAAGGAAGTAGAGCCATTTTATCACTGCGCTACGACGCACTCGATAATCGCGAATGAATTGACGATTAACCCTTGGATCCGTAGCATGATTAGAAGGGCGAAGGATGATAACATCTAGCTCTCTAGGCAAGAGAGGGAGACGCGCATAAACGCGTGCAGTATTCGAGAGGAAGTGACAGATATGACCAGAGTACTTGTACTGCTGGCCGCGGTATTGCCGAACCTCAACAAAGGTATGGACACGCGAGATAAGCATCTCCTCGATCTGAGAAAGCTTAGGGAGACAAATATCCGGAAATTCCCCGGGATCGGCATTGTTCTCATCGCTCCAGAGATATGGTTCGTCGGGGCCACGCTTTGCATCAATGGTAAGGCATGACTTGCAAACACCGTTCTCGTCGTAGCTTATCCCAAGCCATCGCTCATGGCAGCGGACACAGGTGGCCATATTAACAGAATCGACCTTTCGATGAAAGTTCTGTATAAGCGTTTTATCGCGTTCGGTGAGTGCCGGATCCGTGGTTCCGAGAGTTAGACTAGAGAAATCGATAGGAGGATTAGGGGCTAGTAGATCCGCGGTAGCAAGTTCTCGAGCGCGTCGATGGGGACCTGGACGCGAAGGGGTGCGACTTCTCGGAGGATCCAAGCTAGAGCGGCGTTGAGACTGCTCTGGGGCTCTCCGGCGATGGTCATTATTAATCCACCCGTCTGTACTTTGACGACAGGATACACAGTTGAGGAAATATAAGGCCTCGGAATCTGCTCCTTGCTCTTGTTTATCTTCCATGCACGAAGACTGGTTCACTTCATGACCACCTTGCAAACACCACTGCGTACGCTCAGATACAGGAGTATAATCCCTGCAATAGGTACACGATTCCATATGTCTCACTTTCCGAGACTCTTCACGGTAGGTGTCACAGAGTCTACACAGAAAGTATTGTAGTTCGGGAGCCTCCTGGCTAGGAGGCGGTTGAAGTTCGCGAAGTAAACCTCTAGAGGATTCGGACCGAGCGCTTGATCCAGTAAACCGAGATAGATTCCGAGTTCGACCGCGAAGTGAAGGTAGGGAGTATCGGCGGAAGATTGGACCGCGGACAGGTTGCTCACCATCCTCCTGCTCGTCTTCAATAGGCGGAAAGATTGGATTTCCAAGCTGGGACAGATTAGGTGGAGTCCGGGATGGAACATGGGTCGCGCCAGGATACTGTCCAGGCGGACGCGTCCGTTGTGTAACGAAGTCATCGAAATTGGGCGTCGAAGAGACAATCTCACCGTGTCTCCTGCGAGAACGGTGCTCACGTTGAATATCCACGAAGTCTCTGCGAACTGCTGCTTGAGAAGGAGTATCTTCCTCGTGTTGACCTCGGGGAAAGAATCCTTCCGACTGTAGACGAGGCTTCACTTGCCTCTGGATTAATGCGCTTGTATCTCGTTGATAGCGAGGGCGCTTCCTCTAGGGTAATATTAGTTTGAATATGATGCGGGACTTCGAAACACACTTACAGAAGATGTATGACTCTCACGGCAAGCCTTACACTTAGCATAATACTCTCCATTGCGCTTCAGGTCATAAGCAGCATCCTTCCGATGTTTACAGTGAATACATCGATGCAGTGGATTGGATGGGTCGGGAACATCGGAAGGGGGGTCGGGTGCATAACCTCCAGGAGGAGGTATAGTACTTAGGCTGACCTCCGCCATGCGGGATCGCTTTGATAGATCTCCAATTGACAATATAGACTGTGATGCTAGACCGATAGTAGTTAATTGATAGAGAGTCGACAAAGGTGCCAGGAAAGCGATAAGGTAGAGAAGAAAATTGTGAGTAAGAGATGAAAAAACAAATAGATTTTAAGCAGAGGAGCTGAGTAGAATCTATGTGACCGGCCCTACTTCATTCACTCTTCCACCTTCGACCACATGCACATATGTTTCTACAGTCTTTCGCCCGCATGACTTCCTCTGGTTGATTTTGAGGGATGGAATCGCTCAAGACGACACTGTATCGTACACGATGAAGGCAACGAGTGTCCGTGTAGATGATTTCAGGACTGTCGGCCGGTATAAGAACATAGATGATGCCCGGAGATGTCTCGAGGATCTTGCTTTCTTTCTCTTCACTTTCTTCTATGGACATTGTCCGTGAGACTCAACTACTCTGCATTGTCGAATTGTCTATACCTTACGATGCTATGTCTCACTCCCCCAAATGTAGGATTCGCCTGATGCCGTGATAGTAGTGAAAAGGTGCTCCATGTAGGTAACGAGAGCGCAGGACCTGGCGACGGCGACGACAACGAAGTCCACAGAGTTCGGAGATGGAAGAACTTTTCAGCCAATCACTTTGCCAAGTAATTTGGACGAATCACAGAGACACGGAACTTTCCGGACCCTTTTCTCAGCCAATCATTTTGCCAAGGAAATTTTTGGACCAATCACAGAGAGTTTTCAACTGACCAATGAGCGTGTGTGCTTTTTTGGAAAAGGAGCCCCATTTGGATTTTAAACTGCTCCGCTACGCTGCGCAATTATACTCAGCAGAGAGCTGGCAGGTAATTCCGACGTTGTTATTGGTATATTTCTGGTTTATACCGATTGCGTATTCCTTAACACTGTAATTAATGGCAGAGTGGGAGTGGGTAAGTCACGTGCTATCGCGCACCCTCGCGTTTGGAACACCTGCGCAGTTTTATTGACGCGACGACAGCAAACATCCACAGCAACAAGCAGCCATCCACATATCGACAACATTATCGCTTCCACAAAGGGTATTCTATACAAAAGTCCAGAGTTCGGTCTTTTCCACCTACTTGCACCCGCTCAATCTCCTCCAATAAACCAAATCACTACAGCCCAAATGCCAAATACCACTCTTCCATCCGCTTCGATCTCCTCCAACTTTCAAGCTCGCAAACCCTACCCACCACCAACGCACTCGGATCTTGGTGCCTCTCTTCCTAAGAACAATGACTCATACAATGTGCATTTTCGCCATCCAGGATATCCAGACACAAACAATATTCTTCTCGTATTGCCAGCACTGGATAGCTCTGAAGGGGGCATTCATCACGAGACGGCAAGGATTGCTTGTGCGATAATTGCAAATTGCACCTGGGAAGGATTTTTGACAGAGACGAGAAAAGGACGACGAATTGCAGCGGAGGCAGACTCCCTCCTAACGCTGAAGAATTACTATTTCCGGATCAAAGAGGACCCTGATGACGGTATGTCTCGAGGATTAATGTTTCGCTGGACCGCTATATTCCACATACTAACTAACATAAACTATTCTCAGATCCTAAATACCCTATCATCCCATCCTTTGCCCACTTTCAATTCCCCCACGATAACCTACCACCTTTTTGGAAATCGGACATCTTCCGCATCCCCAGGTCCGACATCTTACCACGACAGAGCGGCCTGACAGAGATCCTCTTGTCCCGCGATGTTTCTTGCAGAGTAACCAGCCACACTGAGGGCACGGAAGCTGCGCATCTCATTCCTCGGAGTGAGGAGCCGTGGTTCAGTTCAAACATGATGTTTCAATACACTTCTCGTCCCGCCACTATGACCGATCCAACTGATGATGCTCGAAACTCCATTTTGCTACGATCGGATATTCACACTGTGTTCGACCAGAAATGGTTGGTTGCTGTACCTAAAGGGAGTTCCTGGGTTGTCCATGTCTTTGCCCCTGGCTTGACAGGAGAGCTTGCGAAACTATACCATAATGTCACGCTGCAGCCACTTATGGATGTAAGCGTGGAGTGTCTGTTCGCTCGGTTTGCTTGGACTATTCTTGCACAGAGTACTTTCTTACGGCAGGGAGTTTCACGAAGGCTTGTTCTTGTGGACGGAGAGGATGGCTCGAGCAGGATCCTGGACGCGTCTGGCGACAAATGTAGGCATATTTTTGCCGCCCGAGTCAAGAGCAGGAGCCAAAGCCCAAAGAAGAGACAACGGGACGATGTCTTAGAAGATCTTGAAACGTGCAGCGAAGAAGATTTCAGAGGCAGGAAGAGACAGAGGAGCTTTGATCATAAATCATCATCCTTTGCTTCCTCATTTCGAGGTGATCATTTAACATCAGAGGAAGACGAAAGTGGTGAAAGTCACAGTGATGGGCAGCACGGAGACGGCGATGAGAGATTTCATTGTAACCTATCAAGTCTCCCCAAGAGACAGAGTGTACTTGAAAGTCAAGAACATAATGCTGAATGCAATATAAGTGCTTAGCTTGTCAAAGTCTTCCATGGTTCATGATACGAGCGTCCTCACCGTGCAGTGATGCTCACAAACAACTAGAGGCAATCGAGCCAGCAGCCTATTTCTCATAAACTCTTCACAATGGTGTAGCATAAGCAGGTCGGCGCCCTCCCTGCTAGCGCCGTATAACGTTGAAGTGAGTTGCTACTTCGCTTTGTATGCAGGAAAAGCCCGACACTGATTTCGCAAGTCACTGTACGCTTGTCATGCCTTGAGATGGCCGCTCCCGCCCTCGTGATATATCTATTTTTAGGAGGAAGAGCACACAGCCACAGCTTTGGCTCACGGCTAGACAAAAGCAGATTATATAAGTTAAGTTACTCCTTAGTCATCATGCGGGTTCTTTCGGGATCGCGTTTCTTTGATTGGAGGTATCAAGCAGAGTGGCGACGTTGCATGAGATCGCCTCCCACGGCAGCCCTACGGCAGATAGGAGGTTCTCGTCGTTCCCAGGGGACTCAAAAGTTCGGATAACCGTCATTTATGAGTTTCGCCAGCTGCGCAAGCTTGATGGCGATGCTGTGGAGGAAGCGCACTGTTTGGGCGCAAAAGGAGGCTCTCCGCAAATCAGTAGCTGCGACAACGTTGCGACGAAATTTTCCTATGGCCGGCTCCTGGAGCGTCAGCAGTGACCACGGCATGCGGTTAAACACAAAAATCTGCACTTTTAGGTGTGTATAAAAGAGTTTGAATTGCCTGAAGTCAAACTACTGTGACAGTCACAGATGTAAAATAGCAGATCGCCAGTGAAAGAGATCTTTTCCTTTTTCTCTTTAGCAAATCAACAGCGTTCCAGCTATACCAAATCCTTCGAGGTTTGAGCCTTTACAGATACTCGCGTATATGGTAAAAAAAAATCTTCCACTCGTCCCCAATACCATATCAGTTTGCTAAAAACAAGCAAACCAACGAAAACCTTACTTCCTTCTAGCATCCTATTGCCTTTACATATCTTCTCCATTGAAACCCCTTGCAATGACCTCATAGTCGCACCAAGGCGGCTCTTCTCTAAGCGATACTCTTATAAGAGCACGAAAGCCTCTGGCGCTTGTTCGGCCGATATTTCCCGTATACTAGGAGCATCATCCTGTACCAATCAATGAACTGATCCAACTCTATCAGAAGCATTCATCAGCAGCCATCTTTCCTTCTCTAGGAGTGACAAGCTCTATTTCGCCCAAAGATATTCGCAATAGACTTATTAAAGGGATCGGCCCTCGTGTTCCCAGCAACCTAGAAGATCTTTTAGTACATAACTCATTTTTTTTAATGTTAACCTTGACTTATATTGGTTCAGTATTTAGAGATTCGAATTGCCCATTGGAAGATGAAACGAGAAGAGCTGAGCTCTGAAATTCATATGCTTCATGATGCCATGTTCTTTGGTCTACAACAGCATGAACGGACTCAGCAGCAGATCAAGTGGTGGAGGTCCTCCGATGTGAACAAAGAGGAACATTTATTAAAATATATCCTCTGCTTTGGAAGCGTTACAAGGACGCGTGACAGAGATTGGGCAATATTTGAGCCAACTGTACTTTTATTCAACAGGTCCAAGTAATGCCCGAAATCTAAAAGGATCTCTGGAGCCTTGTTAAGGGGCGTAACTTAGCTTGAGGCGAGTTAATCTTCTCGATGCGGAAAGATGGGTCAACCAGTCGAATCAGTCCTCGGTGACGCTGATTGTTGGTGGCTCGATGAGGGGTAGCCTCTTCGTCCTTCGTATGCTCCCAACCCTTCGAATTCTTTCCGTAAATGTGGGTGGCTCTAGCAAGTGGCCGCTGGAATTGTTTAAAACAAAGGCAGCTATTACAGCCGCATTTAGCAAGCTCAGAAAAGCCTCAATTTCCGGTCCTAGATCGCCAGATGCACTTTCTTTAGACCATGACGTATTCTCCTTCCTTATAGAAAGCCTACTTGAGATTAGCACGCTCGAAGTTCTTGAGCTCCGAGACGTTGGCATTGTTGGGAGCGTGGAGTATTCTATGCTGCCCGCCTTCAAGGTTTTGATGATCGAGATGCAATGCAATATTGGAGACCTGTGAGCCCCCTTATCCAAGATATTGGGGGCTTAAGGACTTCTGAACTAAGGAGGAGGAGATAGAGAGAACAACGTTCAGCTTCGACGTGACTAGGTTCGAAGAGCGAGCTTGAGGATTATCCAAGAACGGGTTTGAAAGTCCGGGCGATTTATAAGGTGTGCTAGTCGACCAAATTTTGGAAACTCTGGCTCCTACTACTCAGTAGTAAGTGTACTTAAATACCGAAGACAGGAGTATTCGGCAATCTATTTTCCTTATAATATCAAGGCGGCGATGCCAACGTAATTTTTTAGATAGAAGTTGGCCCGAAGTTAAGGAATGGCTACAGCGTACGAATTAAACAAAACTTTAGAAATATCACTGTGTGTGCAGTGTCTGGCTTGCTCTGAAGTAAAAGTACCCATGATCTGGCTCGGCACGCAGGGAGGGAGGTTACTCTTAACAATTTTCGAATCTTTTCGCGCAACCTCTCTCGCTCTAGAACACGCAACTCACACAATACAACTCTGCTGCTTATGATCAAATCACCCTGAAATCCAACTATTCAGTAGAATCAGTCGGATAAGTCTAACTAATAGAACGAGGCTCCCTACCCTACTAAATATTTTCTACCCTTGAGGGCTGGCCCTGCCTACTCCGATCTCTTTGTCGTAGTTTGCATGCGACTTCTCTTACTTGATCTAGACAAAGGGTCTCTCCACTCTCTTTTGGGAGTGCTCGTTGTCCGTCGATTGCTGGCTCAGCATTCACTTCCTTGTCCATATGGTCCATATGGTTTGAGTTTTCTGAGGCAATGTCACTTTGTGCCACGGGTGGCTCCTCATTTTTCGTAGATTGTGTTCTAGGTATGAACATGTAACCGGCGAAAGTGGCCCAGATGGCATTTAGCCGGGCGATCAGTGAACGAAAACGAGAACAACTCATCTTTATATGGGACTGGATGCCGCAGAACATTTTCGGTAGAGTCGTGCCGGAGAAGTGGTCATTTCAAGCGTCTGGGGCGACTGAAAGCTCCGGGTCCTCAGCAAATGAAAATGGGTTTATATTGACAATGCCCTTTTAGAGCACTTCAAGACAGATTCCGTCAACGTTCTTATCTATGGTAGAGCACGCATTAGATATGTTACACGACAACTTTGTCCTGCCGGATCCGGACTCCCGTCCCACGGAACACATCGCTCCATCAGCGACGCTTCTTAATAGTAGGCCGCTGAACCCTGAGTCTCCAGATTTTAATGTTCAGACGGAGAATACGGCAAGTTGATCCTTCTTTATTGGGAGGAACAAATGTTAACTTTTACAAGAACCGCGGTATGGACATTCACGTAGCCGACTGGAGAATGAAGCAAGACCAGTCAGATATTGCAATGGCTACACTGCAGCAACACCTAGCTCATGTCACCTATACCCATTCAATTGCAAAGTCTGCAGCGGATAAGGTGATACATATAATTCAAGGATATCACCAACAAGAAATGCAGCGCGTTATCTCCGGTATATCGAGCCTCGAAGAGCGGGTTGCAGACCTGGAGAAATCCGCACACAGCGGGAGCAGATCAAAGCGATCACAGGGTGAGCATTGCTACGCCGCGTCAAGGTCAGATGACTACTTATAATCACATATATAGCATCGAAGGTTGGAAGAAGATGATTTACGCTGCAATTTTCTCCTAAGTTATATCCCAATTCCATTGACGAGCTTTATGATACCGATGCTGTCAACTGTTACCCAACTTAGAATTCTTCAATAATCTGCAACTCCGTTTTGCTTTCGTTTCTTCGTAACCGGTTCTTCATCCGAATGTACAGCAAAGACTTCCTCCTGGAGCATTTGCTCGAGCAGACCTAAGTCGGTCAATTTCCTCCCGGTATCATCATCTGCTTTCCGTTTTACATTAACCGTAACTGTGCTCTTATTCTGAAGTTCGGATGCTGGTTGAACTCGCTTATATGATCGATGATGTTCACGCTGCTTTAACCCAGTTTTGCACAGATGAGGCGTGTAATGCTTCCCATGCGTGCACTGCAAGTGACCGCAAAAGGGGTCTATTCCAGCTTCAATCATTGACCCGCAGTCAGGAACTGGACATTGACGAGCTTGATCGAGGTGGCCCGAGGGTAGATGATCAGCCTTGAAATGTTCTGTCAAATTTTGGCGCTGGGAAAAGGACAATTGACGCCCGGTCGGATCGCAGAGGACGCAGATCGAACGTTCGATGCGTCGATGAGCAGCGGGTGTATAGTGTTTGCCGTGCTGGCGTTCTAAGTGACAGTAAAACGGAGATACACCAGCGTCAATAGTCAGGCCACAGTCAGGAACTGGGCATTCGCGTCCTTGATCTAGGTGATGATGTCGTAAATGTTTGATCTGAAAGTGCCTGGTGAGAGACGAATGTTGTGAGAAAGATAAAACCTTCCCAGTCGGATTGCAAAGGACACAGATAGACCGAGGACATGGATCTTGAGCGTTTCGGTTAGAGTCATACCTCTTACTTCTCTTCAAAAGGCGGGGGTAGCTAGCCAGTAACTTAATAAATGAAGCCCGGCCTTCTTCATCAACGGGCGTTGCATCAACGATGACATCGCTGTTCGAAATTGGCAACTCGGCAATGGTGATATTGCCGCCCAGCGCCCTTGCATCTTGTACCTTGCGAAAGTATTTCTCCTACTTCTCTCGAATAGCCAAGAAAGATAACCGGTCCAATAGGTTGCGCTGTCCCGTTTTATGGTCCTGGAGAGCTTGCACATCTCGTCGCTCAAGAAGCTTTTTATCCTCGTCCTCACTCAGGTGGCATGGGGCATGGGGATCCGCCGTGGAAGACAAATCCGCCAGGAGGGAGAAAAGGGCATCAGGCGGTTGCATATCCATATATTGTTACATTGCTTGGCGCGCAACTCGCAAAAAAACTGCCAAATTTGGGTAACGACTTTTGCAATCGTATAGAATCCTGGATTTCGCCCCCAATACACATATCCCATACCAATTTGACGCGTTTTCGTACCAATTAACGTGTTTTCATACTCATCAACGTGTTTATCGTGATCTATATGACGAATCGATCTATTTCTCGTAATCTTGACCTCCTTAACCGTGGGTGGAACGCCAGACCGGTCAAGATGCCTCCTCTTCCCCCCAAGACCAAGGGCAAGACCCAAACTTCTCAATTCATACCTCCACCTTCGTATGGACTCCGATCTAACCGTCGTCGAGTCACCTTCGAGGACCCGATCGTGAACGAAGACGCTGGAGATGATATTGCAGACCGCCACGAGGAGGTGTTGGCTCCTCCGGCCCGGAAACAGAAGGCTCCTAGTCAACCGGCACAGAAACCCGCCGCGAAGTCAAAGGCCACCTCTAAGCCCAAAGCACCACCAAAACAGCGAGCTAAACGGTCGAAGGAAACCTCATCCGGCGATACGACCGAGCAACTGACCACGGTAACGAAAGAAAACGACCGCTCCTCCTAAACCTAGGGCGAAGCAGCAACCTGCTAAAAAGTCCGGAGGAAGTAGCCAACCTCCTCCTACAGAGGAGGAGACTGGCACTGAAGAATCAGTAGAGGAGGATGATACAGATACCGACGTGGATACTACTCCCAACGCCCAGAGGCGCCCAGGGCAAGCAGGGATATCTCGTTATGTCGATAACTCCCCGACTATCGCTTCGAATAAGGCCTGGTTAGACAGTGACTTGGCACCAGATAACCGACCGGGTAGAGCATGGGCATATAGTGTCATCTGCGATGATCTAGCTGGGGTTACCCGGGACCACGAGCAAGCGAAGAGGATGCAAAGGGAGGAACTAGAGAAATAGAAAGGTCAGCCGAAGGCGGGCAAGGACATCCGTTTTATACAGCGCCAAAAACGTCAGCCACATATCAGGACGCCTGTAGACCAACAGGGGATTGAAGAATTCCTCTCGACCGGTATTGATCGTACCAGGGCTAGACAGGATAGGCCCCCCATGATCAAGATCCTGAACGGGGAGACTGGTTCAGGCCTCTCCAGGACTCGACCGATTACCATCTCCAGCTTGAGATGGATAAGCGTGCGCTAAAGAAACACCGGGAACAGATGGTCATTCTTTCGCCGACGACGTCAGAGGTCAACGACGAAGTCGCCTCCGGCCGATTAAACAGAGATTTCGATACCGTCCCACTCGATTGGACTATAATTCTTGAATGGTACCTCTATATCAATGCGAAGAAGGCCTGAGATGAGAAGAAAGAGAAGTCCCGTGCGAGCGAGTTTGATATCGCGGTCCTTGAGGATGAGATATCAGCGAAGATTGAGGAGAGGACTGATGGGGAGGATTGGGATTACGGTGATCTCGATGTCTCTTGCCGCTCACTTTCCGGGCGTGGTTCTATACAGACTCAGACTATCACGGACTTTACTGAAGTCGTCGCGAAACGTATCCATACGATGTCGGAGGATATCGTTACCGAACGGCCCCATTCCCCAGTCCGGGTGATATTCTCTGTCCGGATAACCTGCGAGGGTATTAAGGGAAAAAAGCGTATAAAGACAGCGACTCCAAAAGCACAAGATCATGCTCTCCCTGTACGGATTACCAGCTCGCCTTCTGCCCCGGACTCTTCCTCAAAGACCACTCGTCGTACGCAGAACCTGTTATCTCAACAGGACGCTCGGATGGAGCGTATACAAGTGGCTGGCGCCTATGAGAAACAGATCACCGATCGATGGCAGTGCCACGACGAGAACTGTAACAACTGGCGTGGTTTCTGTTGGGTTGACCCAACAGATCATCTCCATTATAACATGACCGCTATCCATCAGCAGTCCTGGGCTAACGCGATACGCGCAGGAGACGCAACGCTGACCAGCCCGCCTGTCAAATTGGTTCGTGTCTGGCAACAGGATGGGGCCGTGAATAAGCTTGCTCGTCGCCCAAAGCAGTTATCTGCCGCACAGCAGTCGAAATCGATGATGGAATCGTTCCAGGAGACTCAGAAACAGATAATGGAGATGACACAGATACAGATGCAGATGGAGATGCAGGAACAGATGCAGAGGAATAACGAGCGACGATCTCAACGTCAGGAACAAAGAGAGATGGCAGAACAGGTGTCTATGGCTCGCCCTCCATACGGGCAATCGTCGTTATACGGACGTGGTTTCGACGCCGGCACGCCGTTCCAATTTCCTGGATCGGACCATCATCGCACTCCGTAAGTAATCTGTTACCTGAATTAGCTTGGTATTAACGATATCTAGTGTAGATCAGTTTCGCGGGCCACCGTCGGATATCAACCATCCGCCTACCACATTCGCGAACACTGAATATCGCCCTCAGTCTGCTCAAGACCACCGCCCTCGTCAAGCTTCTGTCGCCCCCATCTCCCAAAGCGCTCCATCGAGCCCCATCAACACGGACGAAGACGATATCGAGATAGTGATAAAGTTCTTTGATTGGAAGATCCGGAACACGCAATCGGAGATACGTCAGGATAAATTGATGCGGGCTAAGGAGACCATTGTACAAAACGACTGGACGCTAGATGATATGAAGACTATGTCTGATCCAGATACACGGTTATACTCACTCGCTCTAGCGAAGGGTATCACTGACGGTATGGCACGTCAGTTTAAGTCAGATCTACGCCTGTTCAAGAGCGAGGTTAAGGGCAAGGGCCATATCGATGCTGCGAGAACAGCATCCGCCCTACTGGATATGCGTAATCCGAGGGTAACCGGAACCGGAGGAGGTTTCCTCCCTCCACGGGATGATCCTATATGAAGTTCTACCACGGGATGTTCCTAGATCATGCCTTCTTTCCCTATCTCTCATTCGTTTGCCTGTCCCCACTAGTCCCTCGGCGGGGTGGTCGGGGGAACAGATAATCTGGGTTCGAATCTCGGCAGCGCTCTCTCTTTCGGGGTATTTGAGACCACATACTTATCCAGAAGCTATATTATTACTACCTAGAGTGTCGAGACAATATATAAAATGAGTCAATTAAAACAAAGGGATGCTGTCATCAAACATCTCTATCGTCAGGCCCGTCGTCGCGCACGACGATAGGGAACGCTTCAGCAACAGGAAACTCCCTAGCTATAGGGACCTCTTCGGTGTATCCTTCCCCAGTCTCATATTCAAACAGCTGCTGCTGAAGCTCCTCTAGCTGATCAGCATCTAAGTATGTTCCATCTGCAGCGTGATGGAAGTGTTCTAGTGCGAACCTATCGCACCGACTTGCTCGAATGGCGAAATGGAGGAACAGAGCGTAATTAGGGAAGCGCTCTCTAACGAAGAGATGATTGCGTCGAATCCAGGCCTTCAGGACCGACCACACCATCTCGATTGGGTTAAAATCTGGTGAGTACGGTGGTGAAAACAGAACCAGATGTCCCTCTGCTTCGATCATCTGGATCACCTCTTCGGCAACATGGATAGAGACGTTATCCATTAATACCAATTGAGGTCGTGGTGATCTCCGCGCCAACGACGGTAGGAGCGTATCCCGGAGCCATTCAAGGAAGTCAACGCGCGAATAATACCCCTTCTTGATACCCACACACAGGAGCCCATCCGTACAGTATGCCCCAATTACACCGTGAGTCTCCCCTCGACGCACCGTATCATAGGTATTCGCGGTATGCCCTCGGGGTGCATAGGCGCGGTATCTCCATCCCGTCTTGTCGTTGAAGATCGCCTCATCAAGACAGACGATATCTTCCGTATCGTATTGGCTCATCTCCTGCTTGAATCTATCCCGGAGCTCACGGCTCTACCCTTGTGCAATCCGATGGAGTTCTTTCCGGTTCCATCCACGTCTCTTTAGCATTCGACAGACCGTTGACTGGCTAACGCTGACATCCCTCTCCATATATAACCAATATACCATCTCGTCTAGGTATGACCATCCATCATATAACAGTTTCTGTAGGAGTGCATCCTCATCCGCTCGGGTCATTCGCCGCTGTCGTCCAAGAGTACGCCCTGTCGGAGGCGCTCGAACTGAACCGTGGGGAAGGATGTTCTTCTCGTAATTATAGACTGTCTTCCGACTGACTTTGAGCTCGTCGGCTATCTCCTTCTTATCCCAATTGAGAAGGAGATATCGAGCGAGTTTAGACCGCCTGCTTCCATCGATTCCTCGCGGGGGGCGTATAGGCGTCGATGCCGCTCTAGATTATCATCAAAACACGTCTTCCGCAACAGATATAGACTAATACCTGTCAGGCATCACGATAAACACGCTAATCGGTACAAAAACGCGTCAAATTGATATAGATACGCGTATTGGAGGCGAAATCCAGGATTCTATACGATTGCAAAAGTTGTTACCCAAATTTGGCAGTTTTTTTGCGAGTTGCGCGCCAAGCAATGTAACAATATATGCAACCGCCTGATCCTCAGGAGGCGCGAGCACGCCCAGCGTGACACACGTTAGATTCTGAGACATGTAGTCCGGGAAATAATACTCCTGGTGGGTATTCGATTTGTGTATAAGCATCCAATTCTCAAGCAGCTCGCCGAGAATTCCGATAATTTTGCCCCCGGAACCGACCCGCATAGAGTAGGGGATCGGAGGATCCTCTATGCCGGCGACTTCGTAGTAGCGATACCATATCCTGTAGAACTGTGACCCGCTGATATCGACGAATGGGGAATCGTTCAGTCCCTGTGCCCACAGAAGGAAAAGAATTTTGCAACGTCGAAGGTTCGGCTAGGTCAAAACTTCACTAAAGGACGTATATCCGGCCCTGAAAGTACGCCGTGCTAGAGCGCGGCCAATGATGTGACTAGTAAGGCAGACCAGTCGGCATGGCAAAATGGTCACGGCAAACTCGCGCCTGGGGCTCGCAGGCTTTAGGGAAGCCACTCGCAGATTGTTTTCTGGCATTCGGATTCGTACGAACGCGTTCGTTTTCCCCTAAGGTTAGCGAGCCCTATCCTGACGTCTGCATACTTCAGGTTTCTAGGACAGTCGGTCCGGAATCCGCCAATAGCCATACAGAGCACGATCATGGCGAAGTCGCTAAGTTGTGCCGTAGAGTGAAGGATATCGCCGTGTCGATTCAGGAGAGCCTGCATAATGACTACTATATCCTGAGCAGTCGCGGCCCGCTTTTGGCGCTTAAGTTCGTTAGAGATACCGGTAAGCAAAGGAAGGTCGTGGACAATCTACTACAGGGACGTTAGTATCCTTCTCCGCACAAATAGAGGGCAGACCTTACATTAGGTATCTCCCACACGGGTCCTAAAATCAGTTTTCCACTTGGATTGACGAGCCTCCATTGCCTCGCGGCATGCCTGTTCTCTCTTCTTTTGGGTGCAAGGACTGATTCATCTCCTTCCTGCACAAGAGCTCTCCACAACTGTTAGGACAGATGATGCTCGATTAACCTGTCAGACCTCCTCGGATTCTTGATCTCCCAACGCAACCCGGGAGTCCCAAGAGTCGGAGACGTAGGTCTGGAGAAAGGCACGACATGTATCCTGAGCCAAGGCTACCTCTACTGGTGAAGAGCTGCAAAGGGATAACCAGGTATCGTCCGGCTCGCGGTGTAGGACGTCTCGAACGTATCTAGAGGATGTGAGTGTAGGTCATAGGCATGATAAGTCCAGGTGTTTCGTACTCCTTGAAGAGCCCCATGGCGTAGCCGCGCTTGTAGGTAGTTCTGTCCGACACTGGGACCGTATCGTCGAGGGGCTTGCTCTGGAAGCCAGCTAGAAGCTCCTTTGCCTCTTGTTCTCCGGCTTCGCCCTTTCGAATAGTGCGTCGTGGCGCCATAGTCAAAGACGTATCTTGGAATAGACGCCGAGGATTTTGGCTGCGTGGAGCGTTGATAGTGTCGACTACCTCCGAACCCGATGGAACTGGAACTGAAGAAGAGTACTGTAGAACTGCGAACGGAGATCCTGACTGAGGGCGAGATTGTAGAAACTGCGAACAGGACTCCTGATTGAGAGCGAGACTGGAAAACTAGGGAGAATGTTGGAAAAAGGATGACTGGAAGTGTTAAGGAAGAGAACACAGGACAAAGTGTTAGCACAACAATTCCTACTATAAAAGGAATCCTATGTCTTCAACATCTTAGAACAATCAAGCAAGCAATTTCACCTAATTTCAACAGAGAAAGGGCATCTTTACGATCCTTACCAGAGTGTATTTTCGACGGGCCCTCGTCTTTCGGCGGTATTGACCCTCTGTTTTCGACCTCGTTTATACCGCTGGGAGACCATAGGGGAACTCCCATTGCTGTATGTTTTTTTTGTTTTTTTGCTTCGTTTTTGCCAGGATCGAGAAGGAGGAGGGTGGGTGACTACCGGTAGCTCCCGAATTCCCGCCCCCAAATAGCACTATTAGTCTATTACCGGCAACATCCCGTCTCCGCTAGCGCGATATTTTTCTTTTTAAGTACAGACCCACGTGGCTTATTGACAAATTATCCCTATTTTATTACGGCACTAGCAGAGAAGTTGAGCACTGGACGGTCTGTACCAGCCCGAGTGCAGGGAATACCCGATCTCCACGCCTCCACCAGTTGCGATTTGCAAGCATCAAGCCTCTCCATAATAGGTAACCATGCGACTCCTACAACGCAGCGACACTGGCACATTCAGTCTCAAGAAGTTCTCTGAGGACGATCCAATACCTCCCTATGCTATACTATCACATACGGTACATGGGATGCCGATAACAAGGAGGAGGTTGCTTTCCAGGGCATCGAAAATGACACCGGCAAGAAGAAGCTTGGATATGAAAAGATCCGGTTCTCCGGAGACCAGGCGGGACATAATTTCTTCATCGCAGCCTCTCCGTTTAGACCTCTCTGGTGAGTCAGTGACTGCCAATAGCCCAATACTCTAACATACTTATCTCCGGCTGCCTGTGCATACAACGAAATTAGCCAAGGCACAGGGGCGACACGTGGTGTGATCCGAGCATCCTGGCTCTTAATCCTCTTCATTATAAAAGATAAGGTACGTACCGATGAAAAGTTCTTGGATTGTTGTCGAATATTCTCTTTGCAGATCAGTACTTTCTTTTACTGTCGTTCACTTTGTTTTACGATGCGGCTACTCTCTATTTATCCCCTTTTACTCCTGGGCACCCAGTTCGCGTGGGCTCAGGATGACACAACGCCACTCGATGACCTCGCTGAACAAGCCTTGAGAAACATCCTCGTGGACGAAACCGCCAACCCCACGAGCGTCGGGTCCGTGGCCGCCAGAGCGGCGCGCTCAGTCAATTCATGCAACGTTTTCGGTAGCGCAAAAAGGATGGAATGGGATAATCTGAGCAGCCCTGCGAAACGTCACTATCTGGATTCCGTGCTTTGTCTGTTTAACAAACCTTCGAAAAGTGGCGCCCCTGGTGCAAGGAACCGATACGATGACTTTGTTGTGACCCACGTTCTTAACACTCAGCAAATTCACTTCACGGTAGGCCATATAACTGTCTAGTGAAGCCTAGCATAGCTAACTTTCTGCAGGGAAACTTTCTCTCCTGGCATCGATACTTCATACGCACTTTTGAGCAAGCACTTCAAAACGAATGTGGCTACACTGGCAGCCTTCCATACTTCAACTGGTCCAAGTATGCGAGCAACGCCAAAGCTGCCCCTCTATTCGACGGCAGTAGCACCTCCATCGGCGGCGATGGTGACTTTAAGCAACTTAGTGGCATCTACATTCCTTCAGTCTCTATGCCCTTCCAGGTCATCCCGCAGGAGGGTGGAGGTGGCTGCGTAACGTCCGGTGCGTTCCAAAACATAACAGTCAATATTGGTCCCGTGGACCCGTCCTTTGACGACGCTACGCCAAACCCACAACCGGACGGCTTAGGGTACAATCCAAGATGTCTTCGGCGATCACTTTTGAACTCCATGGCATCTGAAGGATTGTCAGCATTGAGGGTAGCCAGCCTTCTCATCCAAAGCTCGACTATTGCGCAGTTCCAAGATAAGATGCAAGGCAATGTCACTCCTGGACCCAATTACTTCCTGGGTGTTCATGCTGCCGGCCATTATCTTATCAACGGCGAGCCTGGCGCCGATATCTTCACCAGCACTGCGTAAGAATACCCTAACAATATTCGGCAAGATTCTAACCAAGTGATAGTGATCCATACTTCTTCCTGCATCACGCTCAACTCGACCGTCTATGGTGGATTTGGCAAAACCTGAACCGGAGAACACGACTGGACGCGATTGCAGGTACCATTACGATGTTCAACAATCCACCAAGTCGCGATACATCGCTTGATGACATGCTTGATATGGGCGTGAATGGACCAACTCTGCCGATTCGGGACGTCATGGACACAATGGACGGGCCTCTCTGCTACATCTATTTCTAAGGTTGCGAAGCACATAGAACTGACTGGTATCGGCATCGTGAAGTGGTAACTGAATGCCTTTAGTCCGCCTCATCGAGGTCTCAACTATCCACTTCTTCATTCAACCCTGCACATAGTTATACTCATTTTAATTATGTTATTATGATATTGAAATTTTTCATAGATGTCGGAAAGGCATTCGGGGGTTGCCACTTGCTACGGTCACGACTCATGACAGCTCGCTTGCGCTTGAGCCTGTCCAACAGCGAGGCATTCCATGCAATTAGTGAGCGACCCGCAATGAAATGGCAAGGGTGACCACCTCAACGGCTCAACAGTACAGAGATGAAAGGGAGTAGGAGCCGAGGGACGGAGGGAGGTGTTGATAGCAAGGTTTCTACCCCTAACTAACATTGACAGGCACATCTCCCATGCAACTCCATGGGTGTGGCGTCCAGCGCAAACCCGACTATTGCTGCAAGTTGCTTGAGCCGCCCCCTGCAGGCCTGCACCCGTTTTCCATGTGACATGTCTTGGTGGCTGGACGGCTGGTGCTGTGACAAAAGTCAAAACCTTTCGTGGTCTCAAAGGTGACCAAGAGTCAGTACTCCGTACGATAGTCTCATTAAGATGACATGGTAGGGCAACGACCGGTATACATACTGACACGGAGCAGGAGAGATGGTACCAAACACGTTATTCCATGAAGAGAAAGGGGGAAAGATGGCAATCGTTGGGAAAGGGGTCAACAGAGTAAACACACATCAACGTGGTATGTCAAATGTTGATAGCTAAGCTGAGGGATGGTGTAGAAGTCTTTTCCATGTACTATGGGGAGACCATAGACGATCTGTAGTGTCCAGATCAAGCTAGAATAGCTACCTGTACCCTTGTTCGGGATATTGCCGGATTCCGGAATCATGAATTTTACTGTACGCTATCTCTGGTCCCAGACATAGAACGGGCGCGGACGCTACAGGTACTAGGGCGGCGTTAATCTCGATTAAGGATCGCCCCGCTAGTGGCGGGTTGTTATGGCGTTCTTCGCAGCCGTGCCCACCCCGCCCCAGACATGCGAGCTGAGCCGCACGCGCCTAAATCGGTTAGCACGGTCTTCGACCGCCCCCAGGAACGTCTGCAATCAAAACTTGAAATTTGCGGAATGCGTGGTACCGGTAGAGCTAGGATGAGGTTGAAATTCCGACCATTCATCAAAGTCGCCCATCCATGCGATAAGCCTGCAAAGATCCACCCGTTGAATCAGAGGAATGTACCAGTTATACAGGTATAACGTTGTGACTTGATATCTGCAAATCAATTCAGTCTACTCACTCGCCTATCTGCTACCAAGCCTTCATTGCCTTGACACTCCTCTCCAAGAGAACCAACCACTTGACGTATCTCCAGGATACCATTGTCATAACACGCAGTCGACGATTGTACCGAAGCCAGCGTTGAGATCAGCGACAAGGCATCTCAAAATTTCTCCCAATCACTCGGACGAGGATGCCGCTCTGGACGACAGACTTCAGAGATACATCTTGGTATTCCAAACCTAGCTCCAACTGGTAGATACTCTATAATCTATAAATTTGTGCAAGTTTTAACCAATTGACATTCTGTTCCGAATTTACCATCTGCTGTCCATGCCATCGTGGCGGTACAGGCCCCTCGGTGGATACTCAGGATAGTTCGCATCCTTTTGACTGTATTCTTCAATGTACACCTCCTGTTTTTTTACAATTGCCCTCAATTCCGTATCCTCCCCCAGGGCCGAACCGCTTTCCATTGGGCCCACGGAAATATATCCCTTGGATAGGTTACCAGTTTTTGTGTTCTGCTGGCTCCTGTTTCCCGTGGTGGTAAGGAGGCCCGTCTTCTTCAGCAACCTTTCGAAGGGTGCCTTCAGGCATGGTATGCAGGCTGCCATTATGCCTATATATAGCTCAACCCATGCCCATATTGCGAGGTCGGGAAGGTCCCATATCGGGTCCTTGGTTGTGCCGAGTATGGGTGTGCGAATTATCTTGACAATGGACGTTCCTGAGGCGACGAGACCGAGGCCCTAGTCTTCAGTTAGGACGAGCACCGGGTCGACGACAGTGGGTGAATAAACCATAAGCAGGCCAATGGCGATTTTGTCACGCCTTGGTCGCTGAAGTTTAACAATAAATGTCAAGGGTAACAGCGATAAGACAATGTCGGTTACCAGCAAGAACGCTGCACATCCTTATTAGTTACCCTGATCATTGTCATTCAACGTATAGGGATTTGACTTACCAGAGGTACCGTGGAGCACATTTACAGCAATTGCATTGGACCAGCACTTTGCTCCTGGTATGAGTGGATTCCAAAAGGCGCGTACAGGCTTGCACTGGCCCAAATGTAGAGCAGTGATTACAATGCCTATAACGACAAGGAAGCCCATGAACCCCGACAGCCAGAGTCGCCACGCCTTGTCCCCTCGGGTACGGTATAACATGAGGGTAACAGAGACCTTCACAAACGTGATGCACCATGTCCAAATAATATTCAAGATAAACAACGTGCGCCCCACAGTCTCCAGTTGCGGCGGCTTCAGGTAGTAGAAATGTCGTCCAGCGCCAAGGTTGAAAGCATAAACCGCCAAACCATAATGGACGATGGTGAGAGCCTACAAAATATTAGCACGAGCCTGTAATGCTCCGTCTGATCATGGGAGTTGGACTTACTACCGCCAGCGACATGACGAAGTCGTCCCATCGAAGGTTCACCACCGGACGTGTTCGGGTGTACATACGCCCAATATACGTAAGTACCGCGACAGCAAAAAGAGGAGTCATGGTGGCCAACAGACGTCCTCTCTTGGACTCATCTGGTCGCATCGTGAAGGCCTCGAAGGCGAGTCCAGCGTCCACCATCTTGACTGACGGGGTAGACGGAAAAGAGAAGTACACTAATGAAGGGCCAAAACCTACATTGTAGGCGGCTAATCTCTGTCTTAAAAGGCCCAAATGATCACAGGCACTGAGGCAAGATCACAGACACTGAGGCCAGATCAAGGCACAGGGCACTTCGGGGTTGACGGAATTGTTCGAGAATCTACCAGCTGGTTTCCCTGCTAGAATCTTGATGAATTCCGCCACCCCCGGATGGTGCAACGCCATAATTTAAAAAAGGTAAACGACGGTTCGTGCATATCCCCCTCTCTGGAACGGTACCCAAACTCATGTCTAGCGGCTTGGTTTTCTCGTGTCCGGACTGCAATGCAAGCCCGGACTGTGAGTCTGGCAATAAACTGGCAACCTGGAGGCTGGATACCATGACACTGGGACTGTACCGTACCATAGTATTGTGAATCGTTGAGACTCGAGGGACTGGCTTGCTCTGGAACAGGGAAGTTGGTCACTGCACCAGCCAAGGGCGTAGAATTCCGTCAAGGACTCAAGGTGGCAAACCGCTAAATTTTCATTGGTGAGGTTCTATTATCCTATCCAATCATAAATCCATTCCATGAGTCCAGAATCACTGAATCAAGGTCTTAAAGTTCTCTTACAGACGGGGTAAGGCACTACCGTCTACCACGAACCACCTACTATGCAGGGTGTCATTGTTGATAGCTTAGCGTGTCTATCCACACGGAAGCAATAGGTTACGTGACGAAGAATGTAAAGTGCTTGTATTTGTGTAAGAAGTAGAGTACCGAACGAGGTAGATATAACTATCTATGACTAAGTAATAGCCGAAGAGGGGAAACGAATGACTAAGTAATAGCCGAAGCGGGGAAACGGATGACTAAGTAATGACATCAGATCTTGACAGTCATGCACCCCTGTTGACCCCAGACATCACTCCCCTTTTAAACCTTACAGCCTGAGGCATCAGACCTATGGATGCTGATACCTTTACATCCACTGTGCCTTTGCATCTACACCCCTAAATTCGTGTTGATATCTCATCATTTCACGATCACGACCTTTCGCATTCTACCTCACCGTGTGACTTCGTGACATTATAGGGCAGGCTCTAGGTGCCTATTCTTAGGCGGTCTGAGACCCCCCCATTCTACGGTACGCTTTATCGACGAGATTGAGAGCGAGACTGAAAAACTAAGGAGAAACCACGTCTTTCGACGGACCCACGTTTTTCGGTGGTATTTACGGTTTGATTTCGACAGCTTTTATGCTCGTGGGAGAGTTATGGGGAACTCCCATTGCTGTATGTTTTTGTTTTTGGTCAAGTTATTAGCCTGGAATATTACAGTGCATTCTTAATCGACTGGTCGTCAGAGCGGCCCCGGGGGATAGCTAAACCGCTGCCTTAACCATGACTCTACCCAACCGCCGCGCAGATAGTGAGAAAGAAAATCAGCCCCGCAAGTTCATTGACCGCCAAGCGGGTGCTGCCCGAGTGCAATTCAATGAGGATGACAACGACTACGACGTAGTACTTCCAAGACGACCTTCGCAAACCCTTCCCAAGTGTCGCCGCCTCCCGGGTGCCAACAGCTACCGCTCACGCTCCCCCTCCGGCTCCCCGAGCTCCCCGCCACACTCCGTCCCATCTCCCTGGCGACCTGCCGCGTCACGGGACTCACTGTAAGGATGGAAATTATAAATTCCTATATTACAAAAATTCTAGAATTAAGTTACAGCAATTACGTATTACAAAATTTTCCGTTACATGCCAAGTTTACAGTGACACGGTCTGGATGCGCAAGGTCTGCGATTACCGAGTTCCATTAATCTAAACTGAAGAGAGAGAGAGAGAAAAGAAATCTCCCGGCACCTTTGTGCGCAAGATAGCGACTCTCCTCTCCAATGCCCTAATGCTGTGTTACCATGTTTGTTTGCTTCTCTGATATAATCCACCAGCCACGTCTTTAGCCACAACCAAGGGAACTGGCCGCAGGCCTCGGACCATAACAGATAGGCCTGATAATATAGTCGAAGACGAAGGAAAATACGCGCTAGGTCTAGTTTAACGATTAATTTCCACCATACTAGCGCGGGTGAGAAATTCTCAAAACCGGGTGGGAAAATCTCACTAGCCATAAGATACACAGGCGTGGTAATTCCCTTTTCTTAACACACTGCTCTCGCTTAGATCGTCCAAGGGAGGGCGCTTAGTCACCACGCAGAGCTCCAGACAGGCCCCAGTCAACATCATTTCAGCCTCACCTATACTTTTCTATCGCAAATTATACAACAATGCCTGCCACAGAGAAGCCCAAACGATTTGAATACGATACTATACGGAAAACGCGATTCTTTGATGCCTATGACACACTTCCGAAAAGCTGTTCTTTTAATAGTCTTTGTAAAAGAGAGAGAATAGAGATCCATCCATCAACAGGTCGAACTTGGCTTAAACAGCGCGAACAGTGTGGTCGAGCTGCATATCGAAAGACTCATAAGCTTAGTACACGTTTCGGACAACCCTCTCGAATAAGTGATTCCGATATACATCGCTTATTAGACCCTTCCAGTCCTCTCCATTACCAATCGTACGATGAACAAGCCCTCGATGTTATGGTTCCAGGCCTGTGGCCTGTCGCAAGATGCCCCTGTTGGTTTCTACTGCCCTAACTTTCCTTTCACTGCCTATTACCCCTAGGCTAGGCCTATTTCGGACAGCTTAGTGTTTTCCCTTGTATTTAATTACCTTCAACTGTTTTGCTAGCTACATCTCCTTTTTGGGGAACAATGGGAATCGTCAAGACCAACTTGCGTTATGACTCTACAGCAACTGAGCTAAAGCAGCCAACTTGCTTAATCGTCACCCACGCGAAATGCGACATGGCCTGTCTCCTGAATGATAGTCACGTGACTAAGTCAACTGTCGAAGTCTTGGACATCGCGCACACGTCGTAGATAGCTGTCGCAGGCCAAGGCATGAGCTCTAGGAGTCCAAGGCTACAAACTGCATTAATAATCTTGCCGTGACTCTCGTATATCTGTAGGGCCGGGGAACCAGGCATTCAGCTAGAACAAAAAAAACTTACACACAACTTACACACAACAACTTCGCTGCTGGAACAACAGCACCTCACCCCCAACCATTTTAGCACATCACGTGCGACAATAGCTCTTCTTCTTTAGCTTTGCAATACAGGAGATGCGAACCCGCAAGCGGGTTTCGCTCAAAGAGAGCCTGGAGGAACGAAGCTAGAGTTCGCAGTCTTCGAATCTCCCTTAAAAGAGTACTCGAATTATATTCACAGAAGCATCATAAAAGGCTTATTTTCCATTGTTCTAGGTTGGTTTTAAGACATGATGCTACGGCAGTCATATGATAGGCCAAAGAGTCAACATATTGTATACCATAAAGCAACAAAGCAAGGAATGAATTCGCTATTTTGGATGCGATGATCCTACATAGAATGATATAGTTTATATTCCCAATTCAATTGTTTTTAGAATAATAGCGACTTGCCTAGTCCGGTTCGAATTTCACTACGACGACGAATCCCTCGAATTTATTCATAATACCTCTAAGTCAAAGCACCCAGTTTCCGGTCATCCCAGTTTCCGGCCACCACAAACAATCCATTTGATCCACGTATTGCCCTAGAGTTACACAAATAGAACAGCCACCATATATATTTCTATACATCTAGTTCAAATACAGAGCATAAGTGCTCGAATCTAGATTTGCGTGCTCTGAAATCCTCTCCGCCTTTTCCGCAGCTTTCCGCTCCGCTTCTTTGGCCGCCTCCTGCAACGCAACGATTTGCTCAATTGTAGCAAATCTTTCGTTCAAATCAGGCTAGACTCGTTTCCTTTTCCTCGTAGTCGAACCACCTAGATCTTGAATAGTTTTTTCAAGTTGTAGAACGTGTGCTTTAAGTGCAGCGATTTCGGTATTCTTCTCCGCCAGGGACTTGGCCAACTTCCCCTAGAATCCCCCGAAGTCTCGCGATGATATTCCCTCAAACTTTTGCTTATATATGTCCTGTAGCCCCTTTAGTATGCTATAGGTATACGGAATTAGTTTAGGGGTCACACGACTGGGCATTACGGTGTGAATTTCGTTCAATTACGAAACTATTTAATACTTTGGCTGGGTTAAAGGGCACCATTCCTGTTCCACGAAACCCTGCACGTATGTTATGCGAATTTAGAGCCGTATTTCGAGATTTATAATATATTTCTATAAAATTATGCTTCTTAACTGGTGCAGAGTCATCAAGCGAAGATAGGCGGCTCAGTTCTTTATGATATCTTGATTTCAGGGGCGAAAAGCATGCAATATCTAAAGGCTGGAGGACATGGGAAGAATGGGCTGGCAAACATAAAATAAATACCTTACTATCTTTCGCCGACTTCATGAGCTGGATCTTAGCATGCGTACCGTGCCCGGCGCATACCAAAAAGCGCTATTCTCGGGAGTCTTCTTCTCCATTTTGGTTCAGGGGTTTGGCCTCCCGTAAGAACTTTTTCTCGAGCCATTATAAGCCAATTTCGTTGGATGTCTAGGCAATTTCTGAGGACGTATAATGCCAGTTCGGGATATCGCGAGAAGGGAACTACGTCGACTGCAGAGATTTGCCTTTAAGGATAATCAGGGGCGTAATTGATCGGCCATCTGCATATATGTATTCTAGGATAGAGACCCATTCTCTATCTTTAGGAATCTTCACGTATATCGTGTTCTTCTTCCTCTTTTGCTTCTCCTAGACTGGTGTAATTACGCGGCCATTAATTCCGCACCCTAGGGCGATGCTATGCTCATTAAAATTCCACTGGTTATTGGTTTTAATGTTATACCTTTCGATAATGCGTGTATAAGCCGAAAAGAACTCCGAAATAACATCTTTTGTGGCAGAATTTATTCTAGAAGCCTCGATCGTCCGTCCGATAATCGTTTCTTACCTCAGGATTCCGGAGTAGAAACCCGTCGGTCTAATTTGTGCCGCAGGGAGTGTTATCTCTATTTTCTTTCGCAATCAGTTCTGCCATTTAGCGAACCTGGGCATGCGAAGGGGCCCTCCCGCAAAGGTCTTCTTCCGTAATCCACTAGACCTGTCATGGGCCCAAACCACGAAGGATTTGGTAAGCTGGTAACGCTGTTGAATTGCTAAAGAGAGAAGGAGAAGATCTCTCTCACTGCGATCTGCTATTTACATCTGTGGGCAAACGGTCTACCTATCCCTTCTGCCTTAGGCCGCAAGGCCACAACACACAGACTGGGCGAAGCCCAAGACTGTCACAAGACCAGCCATTTTTCTTGATCTTTTGACAACTTTTGCAACTTCTCGGCCCCTTTTTGATGGGATTCGGTGCCCTTTTAGATATGTTCTTAGAGAGTAGAGTACTTAACGCCATAAGCCTCCGCAAATTTGTGAATCGATGGGAATTCTCGATCTCAAAAAGCTTATATAGCTTCAGCAATTGCACTTTCATTTATAGGAGGCATATTGAAAAAGAATCCATCGTTGTTGGATTTATTTGCGTTATCAAATTAGTCAGTCTCGACAATCAGAGTGAAGTCTCGACCATTAGAGTCCGTCTTAACCATCCGAGCCAGACTCAACGATCGGACTCAGTCAGGCGCAAGGTCAGAATCCGGCAGTGTCTGCGGACGCGAAGTGGACGCCGCGGAGCGTGTAGTTTTATAGTTCGTTCCAATCATATCACAGGGGCTAAAGCGGGGGGGCCGATCGCGATGTCGACGAAGGCGTGTCAACGACGGCTGTGGTTGAGGGGGACAAATCACGTGAAACTCACGTGAATATCATGTGATTTAAGGTCGAGTTAGAAGTTTGTTGTCTCCCCTCGTGCGACCAAAGACCTTACGGAACTTCGTTCCTCCAGGCAAATGAAAGTGGTTCTCGTAACTTCTGCGATCAAACCGTCTCACTCGAATTCAATGTTAAAGGGAAAACAGTACAACGAAACGTACAGAAACGGTCTGGAGCCCAACGATTTCGAAAGCCCTATATCATAGCTATCTCCCTAGCAAATAAACGAAGACGGGTCTCGTTTGGCCAACGATACAAGGGCAAAATATTAACGAGATTCTGGCGATACGTCTACTACACAGACGAAGCCCATTTCAATTCTCGAGATCTCTCAGATCGACCTGAATATGAGCTTCGGGGTCCCCGGAGCAAGTCAACGTCTTCAAAATCTCCAGGAGACAGGATCACTCCCACTCAACGTTACCGTTCACGTCGCAAGCGGTGTTTCGTACGGCCACAAAGGTCCACTCGTCTTCTACAACGATCCAGCTTGTCCGACCGTCCCGAAAGCCTACAGACCACGCGCCCCTCGCCGATCTGGCATTGAATCAGAAGAGCAACATGCTGAGAACGTCCGAATCTTTCGAGAAACAGCTGATCGACCAGAGGTCGAATTAAAGCCTAAAGGAAACTCTATGAGCCAGAAATTCTATCTAAAAGAAGTTCCTCCGCATCATATTAAACATATTAAATGGCTCGAGGCTAAATTTAATCGGAAATTCTTCTTTGTTGAGGATAACGACCCATCTCATGGAACTCGTTCTATGAACAATCCCGTTATACAATGAAAAAGAGATGAAGATCTCCTCTTACTTGATTACCCCGCTCAATCATCTGATCTAAGTCCACAGGAGCCAGTTTAGAGAGCGATGAAACAGGTACTTCGAGGTGGATCGTGGCATTCGGTGGAGGAGTTTAAGCAAGCTATTCGGGCTGCCTTCGCTCGGTATCACAGCAATCAATTCGTGGATATATTAGTGAGATGCCTCCGCGTTGTAAAAAGCTCATCGAGCTAAAAGGAGGCCGAATTCGCTCTGATAAGTGGTAAAAAATGAAATAATTGATGAATCTGAGCCTTTGCCAAGCCCTCTGCACGGTGACTAAGCGCCCCCCCTTCACCCTTCATGTTGAATCGAATGGGGGCACAAGGCCACAAGGCACTAATGTATGTAATTAGTCAGCCCGGGTAGTTCCCCACATGGGCCTCGCCGAGAGGCCTGACGGGCGTATGAATCTCTCTCTCTCTCTCAGGTCTCACTCTCTCGATCGATGTAGATATCAGGAAGATCAAGTGTCAAATGGGACTTTATGCAAGAGTTGTGGAACACTGAAAGTTGAATTCATTAGGGGTTGAATAATTTGCGCTTTAGCGATCTATGAAATACCCGACGTATGAACCCTCCTCGATTTACACTGGCGGTCTTTTCGACGTCGTTCCATGTTTAGCAATGACCGATCCGGTCTCAATTGCTGGGCTGGTGATTGCAGTCGGCCAAGTGGCAACTGCTTTGTGCTCATATGGTGCCGCCCTGAAGGATCGGAAAGAGGAGACGAGAAGTCTGATGCTGGAAGTTTTTGCGCTTAAGGGTATTCTGGAATCCGTCTCCGCTGATTTCGAAGACCGTTTACCCAGGAATTCCGACTTAGCGGATGAGGAATCATGGCCAGCAATGGTGTCGATGACACGGGAGACACTTGTGGCTCTTCAGAAACGGCTCAAGGTGCCGACAGGCGTGCTAAATAATGCAAAGAGAACACTCACCTGGCCTTTTGCGAAACGGGATATCGATCGATATATTGCGTCTCTTGAACGGTCCAAAACATGGTTTCTCATGATCATTATGAATGAGACTTCAGCGCTGACGACAAAAGTGCACGCCGATATGAAGTCGTTGTCAGACACAATACATGAAGACATAATAGAACGCAAATCAGAAAGCCTCCTAAAAGACACCGAAGAGATCATCCGTTGGCTCGCCCCCGTACGACCCGAAGAAGAGCACGCGGATCTAACTCAGCTTCGGGCTCCAGGCAGTGGAGAATGGTTCTTCGACAAGGAATTCCATGGCTGGCTGAGCTCTGTTGGCGATAAGAGACGAATCATGTGGGTTACAGGCAAATGTAAGAGAAAGTTCCATTTCGGGGACGTCTCAGATATAGCTGTACTGACACTAATTGCTTTGGCAATAGCGGGAGCGGGAAAGACTATGATATTGTTCGTAGGACCGTATTATCCGCTTTTGCATATCTAGCTCACAGCAACCTAGTTCCTGCATCGTTGAGAAACTCCAGAGTCGCTGTCAATCCTCTAACAATAGAGTATGCGGATTTCATTATTGTTCTCTGAATAACGCGAGTACGCAGCAGCCGGCCAACGTGCTGGGCTCGATCCTTGCGCAAGCCGCTGAGAGGAAGCCCGAAATAATCGAGTGGATTCGGCCAATTCGGAGACACGACTATCATTTAATCACACGGAATACTCTGAGTGTCCACGAGCTTATCGAGCTTTTACGGAAGTCCATAAATATATTCGAGGAGTTCTTTATACTCGTTGATGCACTTAATGAAACGCCTCACCAGGGCACCATATTGTCCGCTCTGGCAGAGCTTGTGGCAGTTGCACCTACTCTACGAGTACTAATAACTTGCACAACAGATGCAGATACACGCCCGGAAACTAGTTCCATGGTCATCACTCGGTACATGGCGGCGTCTATGATCAATCATGACATAGCGAGCTATGTTGACTACCGAATGAAATCAGAGCCAGTATTCAGTTGCTTGAGCAAAGCAACCCGCGAACAAGTGTTGGAAACAATCGCATCTACAGCGAACGGCATGTAAGTTAACTTTCCGTATATTCTGATCCCATCTCATCTTTCTGACACCTCTCAAGGTTTCGCTGGGCTCAACTGTCAATGGACCACCTCTCTTCTCTCCGCACCGGTCGCGCTATAAAGTCCGCCTTGAACGACCTCCCCACCACTCTCCACGAAACGTACGCCACAATCCTCTCACGCATCCCCCCATCCGACCGCTCGCTGGCCCGAGATGTCCTCCTCTGGCTCAGCTTCAGCGTGCGGCCACTTACCATCCACGAACTCGCGGAAGCCGTTGTCCTCCACGACTCTGACCGGTCCTTGGACGAAGATTGCCGACTCGCAAAGCCCAAAGCGCTGCTGACTCTCTGTCAGGGGCTGATTCACGCGGAAGTAGGGTTGAGCTACAGTGAAAGCAATATACCACCTGCAGCGAAGATGTTGTCCGACAATGCTAGCGTTAAGCTATCTCATGATTCAATTCGGACGTTTCTTATGTCGGACTGGATCAAAACTTCAAGCGTCTCGGGGTTTGCATTGGATAGTGTGTCGAGCAACAGAGAGATAATGCGGAAATGTCTAACATATCTCTACTTCGACGAGTTCTCCAACGGTCGCGTTACCGGATCTGTTCACCTACGCAACCGATTCCGAGCGCACCCATTGCTACTGTACGCGGCATACTTCTGGCCGTATCACGCAGAACTTACCGCACTGAAACCCGCTGACGTGGATCTCATCCTCTCCTTCTTCGCAACGAAATCTGGGAAACACGGAGGGAACTTCGATTCCTGGGCCCAGTTCCTGATCGGGACCACGGACACGAAACCGATCGAACAGACGCAGCCGCTGTATTACGCGGCGTCGTATGATATGGTGTCGATAATCAAGCTGCTGCTTAAACGAGGAGATGACGTGAAAATCGATCGAAGAGGGGGAAGGTATTACTCTACGCCACTTTTCGTGGCAGCTTGGAGAGGGAATACTGAGGCAGCAAAGCTTCTAGTTGAAGCAGGAGCAAACCCTGATTCGATAGATAACAGCGGGTATACGTGCCGTGAGATGTTACAACATCGCGGTATGGATGAGGTTTTGGCGCTAATAGCTCGCAAAAAGGGTTTAAGAATCACGAAAGATTAGCTGTAGTGCCAATGGAGGGTTCCTCTATCCTTTCTTTCTCAGGTTTCATGATGGGGCGAGGGATAGGCATGATTCAATTGTGGGGGTGGGTTTTAGGGTGGAAGAGTGGCTAGATTGGGCGGCATATCAAACCACGATGGAAATGAATTAGAACTTCAAACAATATCTAGCAGCTTAGATAATTGGATTAAATTCACTAATCCACCAAAATAAGTACGGAATACGGTAATGGTGCGAAGATAACACGCTTCGACGCGTCCTGGGACTATTTCCTGTACATTGGGCTGGCTAACGCCCATTACAAGTAATGAGCGTGGGGCGCGAGTAAAGGGAAAGAATAGGGGTATAGAATCGAGTACGGAATAAAGCCGTGGGGAAACACCAAGAAACACAGATATTCTGTGACACATGAGGAAGTTCAGACAGTGGCGCTAAGCTTCCCTACTCCCTTCATAGAGCTCGATAAAAATATCGTCAGGCGTATCGACCGGACAAACTTCTGTGAAAACCTTAGAAAGGAAACTAAGGTCAGTAAGCGTGATTAACGTTAAATATTCGACAGGGTGGATAAACTGATTCGATATCGCATGGTTGATTTGCTCATTATGGATACACGAGCCTTATCTAGAGTCGGCTGCACATTCAGATCGTCAACTCGCTCTTATGCTGCCTTTGCTCTGCAGGGTCTTAAATGGGCCGAAAACGGCCACGACGAGCATAGTACGTTGCGTAACTAAAGATTTATTTGTAATAGGGTGCCGAAGGGTGTCATAGGCCCAAACCACGAAGGATTTGGTAAGCTGGTAACGCTGATGAATTGTTAAAGAGAAAGGAAAAGATCTCTCTTACTGCGATCTGCTATTTACATCTGTGGGCGAACAGTCTACCTATCTCTTCTGCCTTAGGCCGCAAGGCCACAACACACAGACTGGACGAAGCCCAAGACTGTCACAAAGGGACCGTATAAAACCCGAACTGTTGGGCCGATGAAGTACAATACTCAGTAGGAGGGTTGGTGTCGCAAGATGCCCCTGTTGGCTTCTACTGCCACCTAACATTCCTTTCACTGCCCTCTACCCCTGGGCTAGGCCTAATCAGGGCTCTTCAGTCTTCTCCTATGTATTTAAGTTATCTTCATCTGCCTTACTAGCTAGATCCCCTTTTCTAGATAATGGGAATCGTTAACTAATACCAATTTGCGTTAACTATGACTCTACAGTAACTGAGCTTAAGCAGCGATCGTGCTTAATCATCATCCCCGCAAAATGCGACAGTTGGGATCAGGACAGAAGCAGCGACTATCCATAGCTAGTTCCCTAACTAGTTAAGGCATTGGATATATTAGAGCCGCCCTTGCTCAACGTTGGCACAACTATACTGGTCATAATTCCTCATCGCGAAGTACAAATTGCATTTGAGAATTAATCCATTATCCATGCCTCCTGAACTGGAGAGTTAATTCCTATGGTTTATTAAGAGGTCGATGGCAGATTTGGACCTAGGTGTATCGCACATAGACAAGGAAGAACCATAACATGGAAGCCCTGTTTCGATCTTCCGTCGAAATGAACTGGACCCATCTCAGTCGCAGTCCCTCTTTAATTTCTTGATTCAGATCCGTATTGGCTCTTTCACCGTGATCAATAGGGCAAAGGACAGATTAAAAACTTCGGATTCGCTCGTAATGCACTCTCAAGACCGCTATCAACTCGAATCAATCATAAATTAGTTGCACAAATGCTTTCATAAGCCGAATATGGCATAGACCGCATTTTCAATGCTTGGAAGAGACGGAAAATTATGCACCGCAACGGTATGCTTCGCGAGAGTTGTCAAAGCACGTGCTCTGGATCATGTCAGGACAGCACCCGTATAAATAGTGGGCAGGAGAACTTGACCACAATAGCGAGAATCGGGTAAAGGAAGCAAGATGGGACTATCGAAGAGCTGGCTGACAGTTTTGCTTCTCGGTCAAGGTATTGCTGGCCTACCAGCTTTGCCAGACTCTGATCGACTGGGTATGTTGCAGCGTCAATGAGGACTGAGATACTCGACTGATCAGATCCAAAGGTCGCCGCCAGTTAGCAGTTCCTCTACCACAAGGACTGAATCCTATCCAACCAGCGACAATTGAAAAGTTGGCTCCATTGCTATATCCAATTGCAGAGCGAGAGATTGTGCGCTACGGTCCACTTAAGCTTCGACCTGCTGGTGTGAGTCAATACGATCCAGATGGCAGTTAACCATGCAAGAAACTGACTGAAATGAACAGGCTGCGCATACGGATGCAACTCTTGATCCCAATGGCAGTGCCTTCAGTGGAGTGCTTGAAGGGCTCTGCAAGAACTGCATCATCCTCTTTGGCAGTACCGACCTGACTTATGAGAATGGATCTCATGCAGACATAGCCACTGGAGTCTACAATCACCATGTTTTTATAGGGAATATGGGAAAGACTACACCGAATCCATTCAATTGCTCCACTGAAAACCTTCCCCCTTTGCCCGGTGCCTCAACTACACCAGCCGCAGGATCAGAGGCTGGAGGCCACTCCAATGGTTCCGAATCCAATATGGACAGCCACTCACATTCACATTCAAAGAGACAATTCGCTGGCCTTACGCAGATCATGGGGAGTGGGGACGATGGGACTCCAATTGATTATTTTGTGAGGAAAGGTAACCTAAAGGCTGGATCATATGTCAGTCCCACGGACAGAATCATCCATTCTTCGGAGTTTGTGAACTACAGGAAAGAAGAGCAAAGCGTTTACATCACCATCCAATATGAGTACGTCCCTGGTCGCCCCGAAGGATACAAAGACGCCTCCATGACATCCGTGAGCGTCTTGGGATGCAGAGGCGTTGCATACTGTAAGTACTCCTTTGACATTTCATATTTACTGGACTCTGACACTGATGCCATCTAGATCCGCCTGCGAACAAGTCAACCACCATGCTCTCACCTTCCTACACAGTAACCAGAGCCGGGACTTTGTACAACATGCATGCTCACCTCCACGATGGTGGTGTTGATGTGAGCCTGTACGTCAATCGCATGCTAGTATGTACTTCAACCGCTCTGTATGGAGGTGAATCAGGTACTCTTGTCCTCGAAGGTTCTGAGTGGCGAACCATTCAGAACTATACGAAGTGCCTGGATCCTGTCAGTGTGAAGAAAGGGGATGAGGTTATCGTCGCAGCAACATATGATCTCATCAAACACAAACTGTAAGTTGCCACTAACTGGTTCTCAATTTTCCATGATCCCTAGCTGATGAAATGGATCTTCTAGACGTCCTATGGCATCAATGGGTCATGGTGACCACAGCTCAGAAGGGATGGTCTCTGATGCAGGAGGGGCAGAGGCAATGGGAATGCTGGCCATCATCTTTGCTGCGGACGACAGTCTTCCTGCTGCAAATACATCTTCAACGGTAATGAATGCTACCACTGGAGCGAATGCTATACGCTCGTAATGCTGTGACTAGCTTCAATAGGATTAATTCTCTTGTCAATACGAACTAGGAGGAGAGCACTTGCGGTCTCTTTGTTCTGTAAATCCTCAATTGCTAAGCCCATATCATCCAATGCATCGAATACATGTGCCTGAAAGTAATGCTGGCAGATGTGCTGATATTGAGAAGCTATTAGTGGACTACGGAACATCGCCAGAGACGAGAGAAAACCCTTCGCCTCCTGGATAAGGCTAATCTAAGAACACCTGAGCGGCCAGTAGCTAGCAAGGAATCGGGTTTGAAAGCGCATTTTGGTGATGGTTTCTAGCTTTGGTGATTTGTTGTGGTAGGTTGACGTACAGATGTTTGTATGATCGCAAAGGTAACCAGGGCTTTTTGGAAGGCATGTACTCCGTATTAGGTGTCACAGAATATCTGTGTTTCTTGGCGTTTCCGCACAGCTCCATTCCGTATTCGATTCTATCCCTATTCTTTCCCTTTTTAGGTGTTACAAAGACAGATAGTAGAGAAGATGTGGATTCCTATTCCATGCACGGTCCATCTGGTTCATTCCTTTTTAGCGCCGGGAGGGGCTTGGTGGCGCCAAGTTAGCGTACTAATAGACTCCAATCACAACGCGGTACGAAAATTACAGCTTTTGCGCCTTTTTGCCCGCTCCATTGCTCATCGCAACTCTAATCTGTACAATCGAAGCGATCAACTATGCTTTCGATGCTCCCATCAGCTTCAGACACCACCGCTTCCGATGACGAGGTATCTGAGGATGAGCTCACCACTGAATTTGTATGGGGAGTGCCGTCTGATGCTACCACCGCTGTGGAAGCGGATCCGGAGTCCCAATTACAGCAACCTCAGGTTGAGCCTGCAACATCCTCCGCTGGATCTCTCCCTACGCTAATTGGACAACCTGGGGATGCCTCCTACGTAGCTATTGATCCTGCTACTAAGAGGCCTTTAGGGCAGCCTGGGACGTACTTTAAAAAGATGCAAGGATACGTCTCATACTAGCACTACCCCGAAGCGTTGCTTGATCTCTTCATTGGCGTCCAAGGCCCTCTCTGCGCTACCGACACCCAGAGTGTATCCTATGGGACTCCAGGTTGTACTGGCTGCGGGATTTTCCATAGCAATGGTCAGTCCCTAGACCCAATGCTTCACGATCGCCCTCCCGCTTCCTTCGAAGAGCTTGCTGAGCGATGGGATCTTAATTACAATGTCCGAGACAAGTTACGTTACCAACTGCGTAACCCGGCACCCATCGCTGTGCCCCTAAAAGATCATTCCACCATCTCACAGCTTCTCCCTTAATACACTCATCCACATCCCTTCACAGCTTGCAAACCTAACCCCCTCCCTATCCTTCACTTGGACGTCTAAGTACACTTTCCTCCCTTCAATTTTGTTGAGGCTTGCCGTCACTAGCACGACCTGCGGCGTCCCTAACGGCTTTAGGAACCGTACATTCATACCCGCCGTGAACATCGCAACTCCGTGCATGTTCAGAACATTCGATGGCATCTTCTCTTTGTGTTTTGCTTCGACTTCAGTGTATAGCTGATGGTTGATATAGATAAGAGAGCCCATCGCTTCGTCGATCAGCGTGGACATGAGCCCGCCGTGTGCGGACCCGTTATAGCCATTCGTTCCGGGACGGAGGTCTAGCATTAAGGTGGAGGAGTGGATCAGGAGACGGAGACCAGATGAGGTTGGAGAGGGTGAAATGGTAGCAGGGGAGAACGGGTCTTGGTAGAAGCCGATTGCATGGGGAATTAAGTCGCTGCTTCTGAGATTGATGCGGAAGAATTGGTCTTGTGTTGGGAGAGCGCCGTTGGCGTCTGGTTCGAGGCGGCACGTGGGTGTGTATGGAACAATGCCGGGTTTTTCGAGAAGCGCCGCGCACCAGGGAATAGATTGGAAGTAGTCCATTGTCGACGATCCGCAGTGATGTCTAGGTGTAATGGTTTACTCTTGTTGAGCGACACAAATTCAGGCCCCTTAATGGGGAAATGACGTGGATTGCTAGATGCGACAACCAATGCACACGATCACACGAGAGGATAGGTATTGTATTAATATACTTTCCTTATTGGGCCCGAAGATTTGGCATACACATACGACACAAAGTACCGGGTAACCGAGGTCCTACAGCTGTCAGCACCATGATTAGTTTATCTGTTTCCACTACATTTGCTAAGGTTCGCAATGTTCTGCTGTCGAGGTCATTCTACGTCAAGGTCGGTACGTCTTGCAAAACATTTACACAAGGTTATCGGTTGTGATTTGATTGGCTTATTGCTTCTAGCGCGCTCGACCATGGGCCATATGTGGGAATGGATCGTGAACATCCAATCGGCTTGGCCTGAACAAAGTTCGACCGACCAATGATACGGAATACTGGAAGACTTGGTGTAAATCATGTGAAAGCTTTTCTCGGCTCCATTTCGTGAAGTCTGACGTCCACCGATTCGGCAATATTAATGGCATGTATATAGCCTGGACTATCTGCCCTATTTTCATTTAGGTAATACTGCAATCTGTTTCTACTCAGCCTTCATCATGGCTCCAAAAGCATTGCATCCCTTGAGTTTGTCAATCTCACTAGCATATATGCGAGCTTTTACCGCGAAGCATTATGTCTTCGTGGTTGTTATAGTTACATACCTTGCACTCGTTCGTTGGTTGCGTTACAAGCGTACAAACAGGATTGCGTCTCCCTTTACGGATGGTAAAAGGCCGTTGTCGAGCATGACTACGCAGGAAGCGTTCGAAATCATGACCCAGCTGCAATCGCTTGAGTTTCCTTATGCGATGAACAAGGCGCGAAGTGTTGCTCTTCTGAAGGTATGTAGTAGTACTCTAACCCTTGTGGTATTGCCGCTGACTTGATTATATAGGCGGGCGGGATACCCACGATGTCAAAGCTGTTTGCCGTCACGGGTCAAAATAACGCCAGGAATGCAGGAAGGCGAGCTGTCGATACGGAGGTTCTTCTACGTGAGTCACAAACACAGCCACGGGATTCTGAGCGCTACATGGATGCTGTTGCACGAATGAACTACCTCCACGCTCGATATCGTAAAGCGGGAAAGATTCTAGACATGGACCTTCTGCACACGTTGGGCGACGGAGCGTTGGAGATCGTGCATGTTATAGATAACGAAGAGTGGCGGAATCTCAGCGATGTCGAAAAGTGCGCCGTGGGAATCTTCCATCGCAACCTTGGCGAAGACTTGGAGATCCTATTTACTCCATTAGAAAGTTTTGAGTTAGGATGGCAGGATGGGTTGCATTTTATGACTGAGCTGATTGAATGGACGAAGGAATATGAGAAAGAGGTTGCAAGACCGACGGCAACAGGAGATCAGTATGTGAGAGTCTATGTTGATTCAGCCACCAAGAAGTTGGGCAAGGGAGTCACGGCACTCCTTAGACAGGTCGTTGGTTCGGATCTGGATGATACGATGAGGACAAGCCTCTGCATCGAAGCCCCTGGGCCGTTCGTGTCTGCTCTCCTATTCGCTATCAGGAACACCCGCAAGATGCTCCTCCGCTACCTTGCGCTACCCCGCCCAGAGGTTTTCGCCTATCAATCCGTCGCGTCTACACCAAATGCTGAGGGCTTGTACAACTTCGGTCATGGGGGCTTCCAGCCTTGGTATGTTCAACCTGGCTTCTGGTCGATTTGGAGTCCTGGCGCAGTGCTTCTGAGGATGTTTGGCGCTAGGAAACCCGGCAGCAAAGGCGACAGGTATAAGCCAACGGGGTATGACCTAAAGTCGATCGGACCGCCACCGCAAGAGGGCAAGGGTCTTGAGGATATGAGGGCGACGGTCGAGTTTATGAAGGGTCGGGGAGCAGGAGAGTGTCCGTTTGCGGGCATGAAGAGGCGTAAGGAGTTTGTTGCGGCAAAAGAGTAAAGATAATCATGTAAAGAAGTTAATAATGTTGTAGGCCAAGCAAGGCCTTAGAGGCCCCGAACTGGCATTATACGTCCTCAGAAAATGCCTGGACATCTAACGAAATTGGCCTACAATGGCTCGAGAAAAGGTTCTTACGGAGGCCAAACCCTGAACCATTATGGAGAAGAAGACCCCCAAGAATGGCGCCTTTTGGTATGTGACGGGCACGGTACGCATGCTACGATCGAGCTTATGAAGTTGGCGAAAGATAGTAAGGTATTTATTTTGTATTTGCCAGCCCATTCTTCCCATGTCCTCCAGCCTTTAGATGTTGTATGGTTTTCGCCCCTGAAATCAAGATATTATCGTGATCCGTTACAATAAGTACTCTTTAGACATTTTCTCTTACGATATATTCGTACTTATAAGGCGGCTAGGTTCATTCTCGCGCGTCTTCATGTTGACTCGCTCCTTGATAAAAGGAATAGACAGAAAGTGATGTCCACTCTAGGGAAGCTGTCGAAAGGTTCGGCAGCGCTTAACGAGGTCTATAGCGGGGCAATTAAGCGAATAGATAGATAATTAGCCGAGGATCGTTCGCTGACCAGGCGTGCTCTATCCTAGATAACATATGCCTAACTAACGTAATCCACCAGCGAGTCGCCCAAACTACCGAGTCGCCCATCTCATCCCCATAACAGCGATCATCACGGTTTTTTCGCAATGTCTCAACAACAGCACCCTCAATTACCTTCAAATGAAGCTAGAATTAACCTAGCTATCCAGACTATCGAACAAAACCAAGTTCAATCAATTCGAGAGGCTGCAGAAGTGCCTGGAGGAACGAAGAGACGGGAGGCTTGAGTGCCTAACAAAGTGACTCAAGGTTTATGCTTATCTCAGCAAGCTCAGAGCCTCAGACGGTATCTTCAGATGCTGCACGTGACTATAATGTGGCGGTGCAGGCAAGGCATCTTTAGATGCCGTCTGAGGTCCATTTGTAAGATTTGTGTGGACGCGTAGTTGAAGTTTTCAGAGTTCCCAGCCGTTTCAGCCAACCATTTAACTTTCAGTACTCGAAAGTTCACGCGGGGCTAGGTAAAGGGTAAAAGGACCCACTCTTTTATAGTATATTAAAAAATATATCGAAATAAGCCTACAATAAAAGATTAGCATCGGCGGTTTCGAAGGGCACGCGTAGTTGAACTTTTGGGGGCGACCCCGGTCGCTAATTTTGGTGGAGTATCTGGTCTGATTCAAGACCCAGTAGGTGATTGTCATGTCTTTTATTGTGTATCGCAGGGTCTGATATTATGAAGTTGTAGATAATTGTTGTATCGAGAAGACTACGTACATGCATTGGTTTGATTGATTGATTGATTCATTCATTCCTGAGCCCGTTCCCGCCAACATTGGTTGGCCCACGTGGGGACTGGAGTTCGTACCCACAGATGGCAGTGCTTAAACCGCGCCTGCGTCGATCTCTTGCTCCTGTACGGAATATTTACTGATGATCATGATGTCCCAGTGCAATTCCTACCGAGATCGGGCGAGATGGCACGTCGGCCGGGATGGAGGAAGGTGTCGATCGATATTTTCTAACATCAGGTTATATAATTCGGTTGTCGCGAATCATCTCCTTCACCACCGGAACCAGCAGGATAACTCCATCTACCGTAACCAATCCCTTCAAAGACCTTTGCAAGACTGAGTCAGAAAACCAAACCGGCCTCTACCCTGTCCACACTGAGCTCAACAGCCTCTCGTCACGAGAAAAGATCACAACGCAATGGAGCATTCGATAGAGATGCTACCGCACGAAAAAGCCTCAATGCAGGGCCGTACTCTCCAGGTTGACTTCTCCTGGAAGGACTTCACAGCGAAAGTCGTCGGGAAAGACGATCCAGAGGCAAAACCAGTCTACCTCGTCGACTTCAAATCGCTCAAGCCCCATCTGGTTTTCAAGCGTGCCGAGGACGAGTCGACCTTTGGCACCGGCTCACTGCACACCTTCGGCATCGATGCCGACTGCGAGTTGAACAATCAGTCCATCACGCTTAAAGCACAGAAGCGCTTTAAGGTCGAGTATACCCACCAGTCCCGCACCTACTCCGACACTGACGAGCCCGTAACCATGCACTGGACCAGAGACAGCGACTTCAGGGTCTGGGATTTCATCTGCATGGACGCCGATCAAAGCCCCGTCGCGAAGTATTCCGTAAACTGCTGGGCTTTCAAGAAAATCGGCACTATCGAATTCATGGGGCCGAAAGCGAACAGTGATGCCGTGAAGCAGGAGATATTGGTCATGGGATTGACGCTCTACTACTGCGTTGCACGCCGATCGACCAGTATTCTGTCATTCTTTGGCGCCCTCTTCTCGCAGCCGAGCCACAAAAGCAAAACGGAGTGAGAAGCGCTTGCGAAGGCGGTGGAGGAGACGCAACGGGAGAAAGAAGAGGAGGAGGAGGAGGAGGAGGAGGAGGAGGAGGAGGAAGAAGAAGAAGAAAAGAACGAGAGCGAGCTGGACAGGTACAGAGTACATGATTGCGAGATTGGACTTCAACATCATGCTGATTCCTCCTCACTCATGGCGTTACGGTAGATACAGATACCATTAGGTGAAATTCCATAACTTTTCCTCCTCTTTCGAATCTTCTTTCTTGGACAATTGAAAGAAATACCCCATTGCCGACTCAGGTTCCCACAAATGCCTAGGAGCTTAAAGAAGGGACTCGGACTCACAAAGTAGACGTCTAGTCGCTCTTTGCCACCACGTTGGGGCGCAAAATATCAGATGTAGCAGTAATAATTACTACGTATGTTGAACGTGATTTGTAGCGGGAACAACATACTACTCACCATAAAATCTAGCCGTACAGCATTGAATGGTGCTCTTGGCCTCTAATCAGATACTAGCTTCATGAAAACTCCCCTTATTGGTGGCCCTCAGACTTTGCGGGATACATAATTCCAACCGAGCCGTGATCGACGCGAGCCGAACACCGGAAGAAGGGGGAGCCTGAATAAGCCAAGTTCCACAAGATATCAGTACCCGAGTATTAGTAGATGCGGTTTGGAAATTTATCGTCCTTCTGGAAACTCGATACTCGGTGATGAAGACTTGGGTGGGATGTGGTGTCCAGATGGTACCGTATGGCAAAGCTATTGGCAACCGCACAGTCACCCGCTCTTCGGATTTCTGGACGATCTGCGCCCCCTATTCGTACCCCTGAATTGAAGCCACCGAGTGTACCGTCAGTCCGTCACTAGCAGCTCTCGGTAGTTGGACATGCCAGCGTAGTCTTCGGATGATACAATTATAATTCAATAATACTACTCTCTTACTCCGTACTCCATTTGGCATATCAAAAGTGTCCAGTTCGATGCAAGTCCGGCTGAACTTGTCCTAAGTAGAGTGCGGAGTACTCTTTTGGTATTCCTAGTATCTGTCTTAATAGGACAGCGCTCAGAACTTAAGGATTCGGGCATACAGGCGACGACGACGAAGGGGATAGGTCTGGACTATGAATTCTTCGTTTTCTGGTTAACTAACTTAGTTAAGTTAACTAACGTAATCCACCAGCGAGTCGCCCAAACCACCGAGTCGCCCACTTCATCTCCGTAACAGCGATCATCACGATTTTTTCGCAATGTCTCAACAACAGAGCCCTCAATTACCTTCAAATGAAGCTAGAATGAACCTAGCCATCCAGACTATCGAACAAGACCAAGTTCAATCAATTCGAGAAGCTGCAAAAGCTTACAACGTCCCGTGGAGTACCTTACGTGACCGCCGCAACGGAATGACTGCACGAAGCGATTGTGTCCCGAATTCGAAAAAGCTCTCAAATATGGAAGAAAGGGTGATTATCGAC